CTCCCTTCGATTCTACACCGCATCTTGTTTCTAGAATGTTTAGGAACCTTTGGAACACACTTAACGCGAAACGCGGCTTAGTATTGTTTCTAGTCCCGAGGTCCCATTTTGTTCTTAGCTCCAATCAATGAGTTCATCTCACAACGTTCAGCTTGTAACGACTTTATGGGGTGCCGATCCTTTGGTGAGTTCATTTTTCTCCTGATCATCCTGACCATCTGGAAAAGAGCGGAGACCGGCTAGCCTTTCCTTGATTTCCGCTCTGTGGAGAGAGTATGACGATGTGAAATGATGGCCAAATTATGGCCCAATTAATCTATACGTCCCAAATTGACAAAGAAGATTGCGCCTTTTGACTTTTTCAAAGAATTCCGAGTATTTGATGACACAAGTCCCGATCTTTGTCAAAGTTCATACTAGCATTAGGTCTCGGGGAGGCGCAGAGTCAGAGGGATGCTAGATCTATCACCTCACTAACTCGCACTAAAACCACTCCTCTGGTAGAAAATCCAAAACCACCAAAAAATTCAGAGCCGATCCGCCACACGTCGGAAACCACTAAATGAACTAAGTGAGACCTAATGCTGTTCCCCGGGGCCCGGGGCTCAGGGCCGTGGGTCTCTTAACCACCACTAAACAGGATTCGGTCTGTATCAGCCTGTACCCTTTTTTTCTGGATCTGGGGGATGGATCTGTCGAATCAAAGGAGGTGAGTGTACTGATAATTTTATAATTTTGCCTTGTACACCTTTTTTTTTTTTTCTTTACTGTGTTAGTGTTACAATCCTGAGAGAAAAAAAAAACGATCTGATCTGATCCCTATCAATCATACGTCCTTTTTTCCCTCCCTTCTTTTTTTATTTCATTTTATTTTTCTTTGGATTTAACTTCCTATTTTTCTTTCTCGGAAGACTCAGAAATTCCCCCCGTAGGAGGGATCGAAGGAATTAAATAAATCATCTTTCTACCTCACTTCGATTCCTCGTTGACCTATTGGTTCCACCCCCTTTCCTTACCTCCGGGGTGCTTCTTCCGTCTCCCCCTCTGTACGGAACATGTCAGGTTTCTACATCCCTCCCCCCGATCCACACATAATTAAAAGGGATTTTTAAATAAAAAATATATTTAAAATCTAAAAGAAAAATCAAGCCCCACTTCGTTCGTCTTTATCCTGATCCAATGTTTGCTGCCATCTGCAACCTGTACAGCTGTAACCGAAATGTCTAGTTGTGATGCTGAACGGTTGACGTTTTGGTTCTTTGGCGCCTGATCATTCTATAGACCTATCCACTGTCAACATCTTATAATAGCTTCCCCTTCCCACCTCTTTTTCCTCTTCCCTTCTTTGGAATGACTCTCTCCCTTCTTGCAATTCATTGACTTGATTTGAACTCTACCTATCTCTCTATCCTTCCACCCCCTTTGCCGCCCCCATTGGGATTCTTTATAGATCCCTTTCCCATTCTTCAACACCCTGTCCCAACACAGCCCGACCTGTTGGAGTGATCGTGTCGATCGTGTGGTATTTGTCAAATCGATATAAACTCTCCGCCAGAAGATTGTGTCAAAGATCCCTTGCAGCTGTCTCATAGTCTGTTGGGACCCTACGTTTATCGGATCCATTGATTTTTCAACCACAGGGGCAGCAATGCTGAAGCCCTAAAAGCAAAACTCGATCTCCTTACTCCGAAGTTATTACATTCTCTCCCTTTTTACTCTGAAGATTTGACTCTGGGGCAAATCAAGTCGAACCACAAAAGCACCATTCTGGTACTTTTTGATCCCGCTACCTTTCCGGAACATTCAATCTACAAATCTTTGAAGGGAAGTGGGGTGTATCTACGCCTCTTTTCGAAAGTTCTTCTTCAGTCCAAATTTCGATATTCACATCTTCGCCATGTTTCAACTACCAGCTTGTCTACAGAACCGGCGCTCTCGCAATGGCTCTGACGATATGGCAGGCTTTCCCATTCGACAATTGTTCGTGTTAGGTAAGTCAGGTACTTTTGCGCGCATCGCAAAGTATGAGCAGCAACTATATTCGTGATGCGCCGCAACCGTTCGATCCAGCAGAGAGCTTGCCTGCTAACACTCGCGCATAGCTCTCGTCCGGATTTGCGAACCAATTGCTTTCATGTCCATTTTCCCATACGTGTATCACATGGTCGAATCATTCCATGTGACCGATAACGACCGTCAAATCGCCCTGTACGCCGGCATGATCACATCTTCCTTCACGTTTGCTGAGTTCTCGGCGGGCATGTTTTGGGGCCGCATGAGTGATCGGATTGGCCGCAAGCCAGTGCTCATCATGGGCCTGGTGGGCACGGCCATCAGTATGGTGGTCTTCGGATTTGCGCCCAACCTGGCCACTGCGATGATTGCGCGCGCTCTGGGCGGCATGTTGAACGGTAATATCGGAGTGCTTCAGACGACGGTTGCGGAGATTGTCACGAAGAAAGAGCACCAACCGCGAGCCTATTCGATCATGCCCTTTGTCTGGTGCTTGGGGTCGATCATTGGCCCGGCTATGGGCGGCGCTTTGGCCCAACCTTGCGACAACTATCCGGCCCTGTTTGCCCGCAGTACACTGTGGGACAAGTTTCCGTTCCTGCTGCCCAACCTGGTATGCATCACCGTGCTGGTCTGTGGCATTGTGGTCGGTTTCCTGTTTTTGGAGGAGACTCACCCGGAGAAGAAGCACCGCCGCGATCCTGGTCTGGAGCTCGGTCACTGGTTGATCAACTGTTGCTGGGGCTCTCGCGTGCAGCTTCCTGAAGATTCCGAAGAGAAGTACTTTGGATACGACGAGTACGAGAGTAGTGAAACTTGTACCGATGTGGAGGAGAGTGATTTGGAGGGCCAGAAGACCCCTGTCCGCAAAGCCTTTACCCGACAGGTCATTCTGGTGATCGTTGCTTACGGGATTCTTGCATAGTGAGTTGGCATTCCGATCCGATCTCTTGAAACTCGATGACTGACTCTCTCTCGTTTAGCCACAGCGTATCGTTCGATCAGCTGATGCCCGTCTTTCTGAGCACCCCCAGATCCGATGACGACGTGGTCCTACCCCTCAAGTTTACCGGCGGCCTTGGAATGGCCACTAAGACCATTGGCTTCATGCTGGCCGTGCAAGGCGTGTACTCGATGATCGCCCAACTGTGGCTGTTCCCCTTCGTTGTCAAGCACTTTGGCACTCTGCGCACATTCCGCTTCGTGCTGCTTGCTTGGCCCCCTCTCTACCTGGCGGTGCCCTATCTGGTGCTGCTTCCGACTAAGCTCCAAATGCTCGCTGTCTATGTGTCTCTGATCAGCAAGATTACTTTCCATGTCATCGCCTTCCCCGCTACTGCCATTCTTCTCGCCAATGCCGCCCCGTCCTCTAAGGTGTTGGGCTCCATCAACGGAGCTGCCGCCTCAACTGCGAGTCTCAGCCGTGCCTTTGGTCCGACCATCACCGGTCTACTCCACTCCAGAGGTCTGGAGAGCGGTTACTCCGTGCTGGCCTGGTGGGCCTGCGGTCTGGTCTGCGTCATCGGCGCTATTCAGAGCTTCTGGATGGAGGAGTCCTCCGAGCCTGAGCGCTTCAAATCCAACCAGCCTGAGATCAGTGAGGCAGAGATGAAGCGTGAAGCCATTCCTGACTTTGTGGCCCAGGAGTTTGACCCGGACGCGGAAGAGGAGCAGCGTTTGCTCTCCTTGCGCTCTAGTGTCGACTCCGAATTCGACATCTCCCAACTCAACCTCAAACCGGACAACTTCCCCAAACTTGAATCGCCTGTGACCCACGATCATCATGTCTAGGGTTGTTTCTTTTCCTTTTCTATTTCATGCGACAGGTCATCTTCACTTCAGCGCTCAGGAGCACACGGCTTCCTGCTTTCATCTTTTCACTTCTCATGATACCTCTCTTCGCCACATTTTCTTTCATATCTTTTCATCCTCATGACTCTTCTCTGAGACCAGGAAACGGCGCAATTATAGACGGTTGCATATTCTGAAGCATAAAACTTGGGTCTCTTTTCTCTTTTTTTTTCTCTCTTCTGTTCTTTTTCTTGTCATTTTGGAGCATCGCCCGGTTATTTTATCATGATACTCATGTGCATCTGGGAGGTTATTTGTGATTTCTGTTGGATCTTTTTATGCATGTATCTTTGGTAGAGCTTACTGTCACGGACTCGTTCAATATTCACGGCCGCCTTTCTCTATGATCTTCTCTCTCTGTAAATGTGTCTAGTAGTGTTCCCGTCGAAAGTTTCTTCCACAAAGCTAGTCCTAGCACTGTTTCAGTTTCCCGGCCAAGGCTACGCTGACCCTACAGTGCCCGGAAGACTGTGTATTTCTCCTTGGGTCATGATCTCACCATATGATCTTGGCATGATCCTATTTATTGGCTCTACGGACTCCCATACACAACTTCTGTATGTCTTCCCCGGACACTCTTGACAGCGGGGAGTGGGGATGCTCCACGCCGCCATTGCTACACCATTGCTACGCCTGAGCCTACACTATACACGCTTTAATTCAAGTCGGACTACATCGACTAGAGCGACTATATCGAGTCTCAAGCCATGTCGCTATCGCCTTCCCGATCGGCTCTCAGAGTCTGGGGAACCGAACCGAGTCTCAGGCTTCCCGAGGGCAACTTGACATCTCCACTCCATCTTCGAACTTGACCTCTCTCCATCCTCGTGTCTTATGGTCGATCAGCTGTATCCTGCTGCAAAGATAAAAAAAGACGTTATCGCCACTCGCGGGGGATAATCTAAGTCCGTGTCGCGGCACTTGGAGTGCGGGTCAATTTCCCACGATTCGATTTGGGAGAAATTGCAACTACCGAACAACTCCAAGTCTACATCGCACACCGGACACCTCACACGCATTTGATCTTATCATGACTGTTGATACAGTCCGGGAAGATAAATCGTTCCCGACCGCAGTCTCCGCAGAACTCCACCATCGAGAGATGATCGCGAGTCTGCGGCTCTCACTGTGCCACAATGCCTAACGCGCCCTCGCCGCCCTCGCCGGTCTCTTCAAGTAAGAAGAGATCGCATCCTTCCGATACAACGGCGAATATGGACTCCCCAAATCCCGCTTCAAACCCCTCCGCCGCGAACGTGCCTTCTACCTCCTCCGGCGCTACCTCCTCGGCCTCGTCCTCCTTCCGCAATGTTTCCGCCTGTAATAGATGTCGCCTGCGGAAGAATCGCTGTGACCAGCGCCTTCCGCGGTGCCAGTCCTGCGAAAAGGCAGGCGTGCGCTGTGTTGGATATGACCCGATTACGAAGCGGGAGATCCCGCGCAGCTACGTCTACTTTCTCGAGACTCGGGTAGCACACCTCGAAAAACAGCTGGCGGATAATAATATTGATTTCAAGAAAGTCGTTGCTTTCGATGAAGAGGAGGCTATCAAGGTGGAGGCGGATGGGGACTCCGCGCAAGCTCAGTTCAGCTCCGATGGCCAGGTTGGAAAGGTATCTGCCGTGGAAAAAGTACGGAAGAACACATCAAAAGAGGACAGCGATCGCTTGGATCAGACAGATGGAGAAGGAAATCGCGAGACGGACGGTGACCCCCAAAATGAGGATAATTGGCGCCTACATAATTTGGTCTCGAATATCGGTATGGTCTCTGTGCAGGGAACCTCCGATCCCCGATATTTGGGATCGACATCGGGTATCTCGTTCGCGCGTGTTGTCTTCGCCGCGGTCAGGAGCTCACTCCCCGGCAACATGCCGGAGCGTGCGCCACTACGCACGAGCGACAGGCTGCCTCAAAGCGCGGCTGCTGGTACAGGAGGAAGCATGCGCGATTCATTTTTCGGGCTGCAGACAAGACCTATGATGAAACGAGCGGACTTTCCGGATCGCGAGCTGGCCGAACGGCTAGTGAACCTTTACTTTGAGCATGCGAATCCCCAAATGCCGATCCTCCACCGTGGAGACTTCATGGAGCTATTGGACCGGACCTACCAGCTGGAAGAGAAAGACCGCTCCCCGCGTGCGCAGTACGTGCTCAATATCGTATTCGCTATCGGCGCTGGAATCATTTTTGACGATAAACCCCAGAGTTCGGACGATGAGAACCGCGCAAATCGCAGGACAGCTTCATCTACATCCAAAAGACAGAGACTTTCGAGTCATCAATATCAGCCAGAGGAATACCATGCTTCGGCGATTGTTCATTTGGAATCGTTCCTTGGGTCGTCTTCTAGTGAGGGGTTCGGTGGATTGGAAGAGCTGCAGGCAGTGCTCCTTTTGGCCAGTTTCGCCCTCCTGCGACCAGTTGCACCCGGCCTTTGGTACATCGTCGGTGTTGCTATGCGCTTAGCTGTAGATCTTGGACTACACTACGAGGATGGGACTGGGATTGATTCCGCCACGAAAGACGGAAACCAGGCTCAGTCGCGAATTGATCCTCGTGAACGAGGACGACGAGAATGGGTACGCGACCTGCGCCGCCGGCTTTGGTGGTGTGTCTACAGTTTCGACAGACTCGTTGCCACTTGTGTTGGGCGACCATTCGGTATCAGTGATCAGGCTATCAGCACCGATTTGCCATCCATGATGGACGACGAGTATATCACCAAGTCCGGTCTTCTGACCCCACCCGACGGCGCTCCGACATATAAGCATGTAGCCTTCCACTATTTCAAGCTCCGACTGCTTCAGTCCGAGATTCACGATGTCCTTCAATACCAACAAGCGCGGGCAGTGCGGAGAAGAGCCTCTAGCGCAGCCATCCTTCCCCACGCCGAACTGACCTCTCCATTCCTGCAAGGCTTTGACTCCTTTCGCTCGTGGCGCCATGACGTACACCGTCGATTGGTGGAGTGGCAAGAAACTGCTCCCACGCGCCCAGATACTGGCGTTAGATTCTCCATTGAATTGCTGGAACTCAATTATTGGCAAGCTATCATTTTACTGTACCAGCAGAGCTTGACGGTACCCGCAGAGTTGGCCGGGGAGCTCACTCCTGCCGATGATGTCTCCAGTCCGTCCTTCTCCAATCCGGATGAAGGCGATGAGGAGGACCACGTTTATCTAAACGTGGCTGAAGCTGGGCAAAAGGTCATTCGCATCTATCGCCAGCTGCATAGAGTACGATTGGTCAACTATACTTACCTTGCTACGCATCATATCTTCATGGCTGGTATGACTTTACATTGGCTTTCTTTAATTGAATTAGTACTAACTTCGCACAAGGCATTTCTTTCTTATATGCTATCTGGCATTCACCCTTAGTCCGAAGCCACCTGGTATGTGCCATATAACAGTGTCTTATGCTTAGACAAAATACTAACGCTCCGCCCGTCAGACTCTCGATGAGGTAGACTTTACAGTTCTCGCTGCAACCTCTGTGTTGGGTGACCTGATGCACAAATGTCCACCCGCTGAGGCCTGCCGAGACGCATTTGAGCGGATGAGCAAAGCCACCGTTCAGATGTGTCTCTCGACAACGGGATTCGGATCTCAAGTCGATATGAACCGCATCAACACATCAAACACCCATAACAACCCCTCGCCTGGCCGTAATCGCCAGCAGATGGACCCGCGACACAGGGCAGGCCAGGGTCAACCCCGACGAGCAACACAAGCAACACGCTCCTCCCGCCCACTTCCAAAGTTTGACATGAACTTGGCTGGTCTCTTCAACGAACGTAACCCATTAACAGACCGCTCTCGGCCTGAGAGCCGAGCCAGTGGTCCTTCTTATCCCCAACAAGAATCCCTTGGTCGCAACTTCGCGGCTGAGAGATCGTATGGACCTCGTCAGCCGTCTATGGACTACTATCCCAAGTACGAAGCCCCACCATCTCCGCAGCATCACCAACAATTCTACTACTCGACCTCACCGCAAGATGGCTCGCCGGGCAGTGTCCCCAACAACGTGCCCCATGCAGAAACGGAAGCGCAAGGGCAGCAAGGACTTAGTCTTGATTTCCTGGACTTTGGCTCGGTTGAAATTGAAGGCCAGGGCAACCTGGAAGGCGAGGCTAATACTGAATACAATGCCATGCCTGTACCATCCCTGGGCCACAACCTCGGCCAGAACGTTGGGATTGATCTAGGCTTTGGGATGGCGATGGACTTCCAGCATGATTGGAGTGAAAACCCCAACTATGATCTCTTGGAGGGATATTTCTTCGGCGGATCGGGGGCTGGCCCTTCAGGAGGGGATGCTTAGGGTCTTTCTTATATTTCTCTTCTGTGATATTTTATTTTGCTGTTACTTCTTTATTATGTCGATTTGGTTCGATTTATTTGACCCATCTCGTTTTGCTGCTTTGCCTACTATACCAAGAGGACCGGTGAAACGGATTGGATTCGCAAGGGTTGTGGGTATATATTTTCTTTGGATTCTCCCTTTATACGATAAAGACCTACACATACAGATACCGATACAGATATACATACATGGAAATAAATATAGAGATACAATCTGCAAGGAATGCATTCATTGAAGTGGACCTGGGACGTTATATGATGCCTTGGGCAGCAACGAAAACAAACACTTCCACCTTTTTTTCGACCCGCCAACACACCAACCTTGAATGCCTCAGGAGATCTCTCACCTCCCGTTGGTTGTGATCTACGCTTGGGCCTAACTGCCTAATCTCATCAGGTGCCCACTTCGATCTTCTACTTCCTCTTTTTCTCCCCACTTCCCCCGGTTTCATTTAGAGAGATGTTCATTCGTCGCGAACACAACCGATTCCCCTTCTCCTACCAAGCCGAGATCTGATTAGCGCTGTAGACGCTGTGGCCAGCCGAGACCCCGAGCGTACACGAGAGGCTCTGTCCTGTCTTTCTTTCGATCTGGAACAAACTCGTCGACAACCTTTGCGACAAATTTGCCTCTGCCTCGCGCAAGCTGCGGAACCTAAGATATACCCACTGGTTCCCTTCTGCCTGTCCCAGACCTGTTCTGAACAACCTTCCTCCGTGCGATATTTCTCGACAATACTCGGGGTTGGACTGAAGTGAGCTGAGATTTGTGAACTGGACATGCGTGGGACCGCGGATTGTTTGCTCGAACACCAATTATGCGTCTTGAGTCCCATACAACCCCCATAAACTAGCCGGACTTCCACGATCAATCTCAAGATGGTGAAGTCGGATGTACGAAGGGATTACTATTCGGACCTCGGGCTCCAGCCCAGCTGCGAGGCCGAAGATGTGAAGAAGCAATTTCGGAAGCTAGGTGAGCCATGAATAAGTCGCGCAAACAGTTACGAAGGGGCCCAGCTAACCAAAATGAAAGCGCTCAAATTCCACCCAGACCGCAATCCCGGACGAGAAGCGGAATTCAACGCTAAATTCCAAGCTATCCAAGCCGCAAACGAGATTCTCAGTGACCCCCAGCAACGGCTAAAATACGATACCGATCGTTTGCGCGCCGGCTACGGCAAGTTCTACGGACCTCCACCCACAAAGGCAAACACGCAACGCAAAACACAACCGTCTGCATGGACACGCCAAACGGCAACCCCCTCGGGCCCTCCGCCATCAGAGTGGGCGCATCCGAAACAACAGAGCGGACCGTCAGCCGGGGCTCGGCGATACGCTTCGCATGCGCGTGCTGGTCCACAGCAATGGCAGAAACCACAGGACGAGGGTCAGACAAGGGCTGATGCCTTCCGCGGCTTTTCGAATATGAGAAATTCTCAGGGGTGGCAAGGATTTGACCCCGCTACAGGTCACTCTGCTGGAGCAGCTCCAGGTCCTGGTGCCCAGCGTCAGCCATTTGGCAATTACCGGCCGAAGTCTGCATTTGAGACTTTCCAGAAAGCATATGCTAAGACAGATGCTCCGAAGAAGAAGTATGGCTTTGCGCCAGGTGCTGCTGGAGGAGATGAGCCTATGGCTCGTAACACTTCTGCTTATAGCAGCAATTCTCGAACCGAACGACCTAATACCCAATACTTTGAGTCTGCTGTGCCACCCACCGCCAAGAAACCAGCTACTCCTGAACCGCCTCAGCACCCATTTAGTCCCGAGTTTGAACGGACTAGCCGAGGCTACGCTCAAACTGGGAAAGGCGAAAGGACTTTCGTTTCAAGTACTCCGCTAGGACGGTCGGAAAGCGTCCGTACACCTTCAGGATCGTACCAAACAAATTCACGCAAACCAACGACGCCTACCTCCGGTCGATCTGGGAGACACAGAAGTGTCAGCCCTAAACCCAGCAAACCCGCCAACAACTATGATTCCACCAGTGCCAGTGAGTCGGAAGATGATGAAGACAGCGAAGACCTACCCCGGTCAAATGGACCAAAACCCAGAGCGGTGCCCAAGAGCAGGCTTCGATCGAACCAAAAGTTTTCCGATATGTATCGCCAGGAACGACCAGGCCCTGGAACCGGTGAGGATCCCTTTTATTTCATACTCCAGCAAAGCTTCGCTTTCGACGAGGCAGAAATCAGAGCAACTCAAAGACGCTGATCCCCTTCATGGACATCAATATGCTAATTGGATTACCCCGAAAGGACACACCTCGGATAGTGCAGCTTTTCCCAAAGGATCGAACCGGACAGATAAACAATACCAGCCTGCGGGTTCCCCCTCCGCGACCAAGTATGTTAAATTTTCCTGAGAAGCATGTTATCTATTCTGACAAATTGAACGTATAGGAATGACCCGCCAACACAAAAGGAGCGTCCTCAGTCTACAGCATTCGGGCGTAGTAGCACACATGACTTGCACAAGAAGTTCTCTGCTGAAGACTGGCGGGAACATTTGGGTCAATTTGATTTATTCGGCTCGTCTTCGACAAGCACGAGCAAAGAATCCCTGCCAAAATCGCCAAATGCGAACAATCGGGGACGTACAAACAACCGACGCGGAACAACAACCTCAGCCGGGTCGCCTTTGCCAAATCCCTTTGGTCCCACGCCTTTCCACCAACCTCCACCTCAACAGCAACCTACTCCCTTTGCCCAGGCAAAGTTCTCCGCGGACTCATGGGCTGAGCAGTTAAGAAATATGAATTGGGCCCCAGCGGCCGAGCAAGCACGGCAAGCAAATGTCCCTCAGTCTCGGAGCCCTAAGAAACAACCTCGTGCAACAAAGTTGCGCAGTACTCCACAGCCAGCGAATGTGGCAACCGAGGCAGACGAGGCCAAGAATACGATCAATGGCGAGAGGACCACCCAACCGAATGGCACAACTGCACCAGATGTCGAAGCAATGGATTTAGATGACGACCTGCCTACTCCACCTGAGGTCCCGCCTGTTCCTGGGAAGGCGCCTGTTGACGGATCAAATGGTCCAAGCTCTGCTAATACAAGCTATCCCGATCTGGCTTCTCATGCACCAGATGTACCTCCGGTCAAAAAGGTCAAAACACCTACAAAGGCGCAAAGCTCAGCAGCAAATGCAGACGCCCGTGCTCCTCTCTTCAACCTCGACAATCTCCGCAACACCGTTCCCTTCTCCAGCACAACTGGCGGAGGTATCGAGAACCTCGAAGACGTTCACGCAACCCTTCCTTTCGAGTCACAAGCCAAGCAACACACCACCACCAAGCGCGATATCAAACCCCGAGTTCTCCAACTTCCAAACCCACCCAAGCGACCAAAGGTCCCCGAACTCACAACCCTCACTCCAACCTCAACACAACGCGTTCTGCCCCGCGACAAATGGCAATATTACGTGTCCGCAATGGGTACCTACATGCACGAGTGGAATGCCTTCAACCGCCGTATGCTCAAGCACTTTAACGCACGCCAAGAAGCGAACGAAACAGGCCTGGCTCCAGGTTGGATCAGTGCCGTCGGCGACACTTCACGTCTTAATACCAACGATACAGATGATGACGAGATCAATGGTGTAAATGGAAAGACCAAGAATCGCAATGAATATGATGACCTTGATGACTTCCTTATCCCGGGTTCCTCGAAGGGTGGCTTTAGTGCTTATCTGAGAGGAGTTGAGGAAGATATCCAGGTGCGGAAGCACTGGGATGTGGCTTGTGAGTTGCATCGTGAGTGTATACTTGATCTTGGGCGATTGAGGGAGTGGATTCGGAATGGCGGGAAGGTTGTCTAGGGTCATTGACTGTCTGCATGGTATGATATGATCTCTGGCCGGTCATTGATTTGGCGTTCACCTGGTAATGACTTGTTTATCTCCAATTCTTCTGCTGTCCCATAAACTCTTCTCATTTCCTGTTTTTGTCTACTTTTTTTTGCGATGCATGATCGGCTTCGGTGTTTATGTGAATACCCTGGATTTTTATCACATCTTCATACATATATCTGATTCTGTCAGGTTTTTTGAGACTTTGCTATGCTCAATTCTTGCAGTGTCAGCAAATATGTATTCAATGTCGCTTTCTCCTTCCTACTGGTTAAAATTGTAGCCACCGATGCAACTATTATTCACCGAGGATTGGGGTTTCGCCCAGTTACATGTAAGCTCCAGATTTAAGACAAGTTAGGGAGACGGGTAAACTGATCACAGGATGGGCGGAGATAGTAGATGTGAAGAGAAGATGCTGAGCGAATTATTTTCGCGAGGAGTATCTTATCTGCAAGAATCAATCAAACCTCAATTGGATCTACCAATTTGAAAGAAGAGTGGCAGGACTCTTTCGGCACAGAAACAATACTGGGCGCCAGGGCACAAACGTAAAAAGAAATTTGAATACAAGGCATCGATCTTGTTGAGATCAGTTCACTACTCGTCATCCTCGCATTCCATGCCTCTGGAATACAGGAAGAATTGTGTGAAGATCACTATATTCACTACTGAGGTATCGGCGCTGCAGTCAAACCAGGGCCTATTCACCTACACCTTGACCAGCGGTGTAGTATAAGCATTGTTTTCAGTGCAGGACAGGACCCGTTGCCTAGAATCCTCCTTGGATATTTTTCTCATGCTTGACTGTTCCTTCAAACGGGCAGATAAACTCGCGTCGTCTGACGCAAAATACCTCCATTGAAGGCTTCCACGAGTCATTCCCAAGGTCCATAGTACCAAGGGTGACAGTAAGCGCATTCTCGTACTCTGGTGTCCCTGTCGAAGTTGTATAGACCGGTGAACTGCAGTTTGAACAGAAGTGTCTGTGAACCGTATTCTTGGAGCCCGGCGGTTTATCGTCGTAAACTTTTAGAACATCTTCCCCGGTTATGATCTTGAAATTCTGTCAAGTATTAGCAGGGGATCTTAAACATTCGGATACCATAGTGTCCAAGCTTCTGTCTGGGCTCTGGCTTACCTCTTTCATGTACACACTGTTTGCCATAAACACCGACCCGGTGGTTTTGCGACATGTATCGCAATGACAGATGATGTTGGTGATTGGCTGGCCTGTGATTTCATAGCGGACTTTCTCACAGACACAGCTGCCTTTGATCTTGGAGTCTGACATCGAAGCAGATAAGATGATGTTTGCGGAAGTTGAAGTAACTATGAAATTGATCTCAGGTTCCATATCCGATGTGGGACTCTTATATGACAGACTTCAGGCCCCCAATATGGGGCCTTGGAGCCTGCACATCTTGCACGTGCTCTAGGTACGTATGATAAGAGAATCGACTAGAATTATCTGGATCTTTGTAGAGCCATGTCGACTGTTCTGCTCGTTGTTCTTGCACTGTTTAGCGCAAACATCGACGATGATTATTGCCCACCCAAAGGCGAAATAAATATCATGAAACTCATACTGATACTTAAATTTCACACAATAAATGTAAATCAGTGCCCTCAATAACAGTGTAGTGAAGAGATCATCGTGACTCATTGACAGCGGGGATAACCTGGAACTTACGAGATCCATGCACAAGTTAACTTTAACTTAACTTAGTTAACCTTCAACTGGTTAGTCATCCAGATGAACCGGCCTGGGAGTATACATTAGGGAGCACAGCAGCCATGCCGAGTTGAATATGAAAACCATAATTGTACAATACTATAGTAGAGTGCCCCATAGCGCTGGAAGAGAGGCCGCATCTTTACTTATCAGATATGAAACTATGATCTTAGACAGTATACATAAATGGATTAGACGCCTCGTTGATGCCATCAGTACTCAGGTCGAAGGGATAAACGAGAAATTAGGCCAATATACTTGAAGGGACATAAAAAAGCGCATTTGGATCTTGATGAATCTCTGCCACTCTGTGAAACTTAACCGTGCTCATGCGTTTGCTTTCAAGCAAGTCTTACACTATTGGAAGTCATCTAATGATCGGCCTAACCCTAGGTCTTCCTATTCAGGGGTTTCACCCCAGACTCACGATCTGCAGCCCGATCAATAGTCAATAGTCAATAGTCAATAGTCATTCACATGCCGATCACAATCCCAGGGTGACAACTCCTAGAAAGGGCGCCCCTGTAGCGTTGGTTTGGGCCCCTGGCACTCACAGGGACAGACGCAAGGGATGGAAAAGACAGATGGCATTTCCTTGCATAAACAGTCATATCACACGCGTCTTCAAAGTGGCCGTAATCATTGAGCATCTTTCTTCTCGTGTCTAGAACTGTGACAGCTCTAACGATCACCTGCATCATCATGTACGGCCTTAAACACCTGTCGCTTTTGAGCTTAATGCTTCTCTCCGCATCGGCTGCGCAGAGCGATCCCCAAAAAACACTTGTATGTGTCTTTTCCGCGGAGTCCTCCCTGTCATAGCTAACAAATTCGCACAGGTTGGTATTGAGACCGCAGAAAAGAGTCACGGTGTTCATGTACTCTTGAATGAATGCGAGGATCTTGATGAAGAGTAAGCTCAAGGATCAACCATGCGCCAACTCAATTTAACAACTTCTATAGAGACGTTCTCACAATTTCGCTGAAAAAGCCTTGCCGTCTCTTCACGTAAGTCGGAGCACCTCATCAGAGGAACACGGCTAATAACGTCACAGTGGTCCTCTATGCACCGGTCACAACTCGTTCCTCGCCGCCGGCACACACACTTCGAAAGAACCGATCCCTGTCATCAATTCGATCTTCTGCCAGAACTCATTCTCATTTTAAAAATAAAACGGGAGCCGATGGGAGAATCGACGCTTTCTATAGTTCTCACTGGTTTAAACAGCCTTGTATCACCACCTTTTTCTCGCTCAAATTTCACATGTGGCTCGTCACATCGGTGCGGGATGTATCAACTCCCACAATGAATCAATTCTATATTTTCTAGGCATCATTGTTTTCATTAAGCACTCCTAATCGAATCGATATTGTACTTTAACCCGAGCTCACCGATCGGAGCAAAATATATTCCTATCAATTGGATACAGGAATCATGGAACGTATCAGCGTCAAACTTGCATTTCTATTCAGATCTGTCGCAGTTATCGCATCTATAGTGATGCATCCTCCTCATCAACAATCAAAACCTTGATACTGCCGTTACTAGTATCAGCACAAAGATGCAACGCATCCTGCGCCTTTTCAAGTGGAAAGACATGCGAAACAAGCATCTTCAAGTCCAAGATACCACCACTCAAACAAGCAATCGCCGGAGGCCATGTATCACGATAGCGGTTAATGAAACGAAGATCAATCTATCCAAGTCAGCAACAGCGTATCTCACCTCAGGACTCAGGAAACTCACCTCGGCAAGCGACAAATGCATAAAGGGCAGATTGTTCATGATAGATTTGCCAACTCCAATAACCATAACAGTGCCTCCTCGGCGCGCAGTGTACGCAGCCGTACAAACACTGCTCTCAACACCGGTGCACTCAAGCACCGTCTCCGGCGCAACATACTCATGCGACCCGAAAAGCGCGCGAATAGCCTGCGCGTTTCCCTGCGCATCCTTCGTACGATCAACCTGGTAGGTAATACAAGAAGGCACAAACTCCTTTGCAAAGTCTAACCGAGAAGGCTCCAGGTCTGTGATGACAATTGGATGAGCACCCGAGGCGCGCGCAGCGGCCAACGCAATCAATCCGATCGGCCCAGCGCCGCAGACAACCACACCCCGACCAAGGGACAGACCAGCTGATGTGATTCCATTCATGACGACAGACAGTGGTTCGAGAAGGGCGCCTTCGGCGAATGTGACGTTGTCTGGTAGTTTGTGCAGCCATTTTGCTGGGTGGTTCTTATACCGCTGCATTGTTCCTTCGTACGGGTAGACGCCGGCGAACTGGACGTCTTCGCAGAGGTTGTAACGTCCGTCGTCACAGAGAAAACAATGTTCACAAGGCACGCCAGGTTCAACTGCTACTCTGTCGCCTGTTGAGTATATTAGCACCCAACATTGCACCGCAACGCAACGGCATCTCGCCGTCAGCTAGACATACCAGGCTTCAAATGGGTCACGCCCTCTCCGCATTGTAGCACAATACCCGAGGCTTCATGACCAATAATACAGTCCCCTTCAAACACCAATGAACCAATACGCCCAGTTTTCCAGAAATGAATATCCGAGCCGCAAATTCCGGTCGCTTTAATGTGGACTAGTGCTTCACCTGCTCGAGGGGCATAGATGGGTGCTTCGACTGATTTCAGTTTGTGATCGGCTGTTACTTGTAGTGAGGGATTTGGGTGCGAGGCCTTGATGGCGACGCGGTCGCTTGCTTGCGACTTTGCTGGCGCCATCACAAGGTTGTTCTGATCGACGAGTACCGAGGGAGCCATTTCGTTAATTTGTGACGGTGATAAAAACTGCGTAAAGAGGAAAGGCTGCTCTTAAGTGTCAATGAGCTCTTGATTTGGTAGGTTGTGGCTCGAGATGCCTGTTCTGTTTAGTGGGGACCTCCCCGGTTTTGTGGAGTTTGCGATGGCCGGGGTTGGGGCCATTTGAAGAGTTACATAGTCGTGACATTGTTTGAGGTGGTGTTACACCGTAGAGAGATGGTTAGTGAGAGCTGATACACGTAGATTTACTCTAGAGTCGAAGTCGCATTGAATGCAAATACTCAACTTATCTTATTAGTAGAGACACAGTTGACGTCGAATACCAAGCCCTAACTCACTCGACCCTCCGACGACTAGCAATGGTTTCATACAACCCGACTGCAACTATCGTCATCGTCATAGAATGGAGATGCCCCATTTCCAAAAGGCCTGTTCCATCTCCAACTCAACTGCTCGTCCACAACCCCGGAGGGGCAAAAGAGACTAGGGCGGGGCTAAGGATGTCCTAGTTAGGAAATATTAAGCATCACCGCGCGCATTATTTGAAGCAGCTCCTCTGCAGCTTTGGAGTTGAATATTGAACTTTCGCATTGCAAAATCTCTGGATTCATCATGACTGTTGAAATTCAAAGCGCTAGCCACAGCTCGGCTCTGCCTTTGGTGCAGAAGCTATCCAAGGACCATGACTTGGTGCTCAAGACTTTCCGCTTGCTGATTGCCGACCTTTGCCAGCAGTTCAATGGCGGACACCCTGGGTATGGCTATCAATATTGATCTAGTTGGTTTGCAAAGCTAATGCGATTCTAGTGGTGCAATTGGTATGGCCGCGATCGGTGTTTCGCTGTGGAAGTATGTGATGCGCTACGCACCCCACACTCCGGATTTCTTCAATCGCGATCGCTTCGTTTTGTCCAACGGTAAGCTTGAAAACACGCTTGACTGATATACATCCGCTTACAGGAGAATAGGTCACACTTGCCTTTTCCAGTACTCTTTCCTCCACCTGACCGGCTACAAGGCCATGACTTTCGACCAGCTCAAGTCCTACCACTCAGACCGCGTGGATGCGCTATGTCCCGGACACCCAGAGATTGAGCATGAAGGAATTGAAGTAACAACCGGACCTCTGGGCCAGGGTATCGCAAACGCCGTCGGTCTCGCCATGGCAACCAAGAACCTCGCCGCTACCTACAACCGCCCTGGGTTCGACGTGGTGAATAACCACACCTGGTGTATGATCGGTGATGCTTGCTTGCAGGAAGGTGTTGGTCTTGAAGCAATCTCGCTGGCTGGACACTTCCGTCTCAACAATCTCACCGTCATCTATGACAACAACCAGATCACATGCGATGGCTCCGTCGACCTCACCAATACCGAGGATGTGAACGCCAAAATGCTCGCATGTGGCTGGAATGTTATTGATGTTACAGACGGTTGTTTCGACATCGAGGGTATTGTCAGCGCGCTTGAGCAGGCCCGCGCATCCACTGACAAACCCACTTTCATCAATGTCAAGACTGTCATTGGTCTGCACAGCAGTGTTGCTGGCACTGCTACCGCTCACGGTGCTGCTTTTGGTGCTAAGAGCATTGTTGACATGAAGACTGCTTATGGCTTCAACTCTGAGGAACACTTTGTCATTGGAGAGACCGTGCGTCGGTTCTTCCAGGGCTTGCCCGAGCGAGGAGAACAGTGGGTACAGGAATGGGAGCAGCAGATAAAGGACTATTCTGCTCGGTATCCTGAGCTTGGAGCGGAGTTCCAGGCTCGTGTTCGTGGTGAGCTTCCTGCGAACTGGCAGGAGAAGATTCCTGCCAGCTTCCCTGATAAGCCTACTGCTACTCGTGCTGCATCTGGTTTAGTCTTCAATCCCATTGCTAAGGATGTGAACTCTTTCATGGTTGGTACTGCGGATCTCTCGCCATCGGTGAACATGATCTGGCCTGACAAGGTCGACTTCCAGCATGTGAGTGTAGATCAATACTTATCTAATGCCAATCTCACTAACGGGTGTTTACTTAGCCTGACCTTCGTACAAACTGCGGTATCAACGGTAACTACTCTGGGCGCTACATCCACTACGGTGTCCGTGAACATGCTATGGCCGCCATCTCAAACGGCTTGGCAGCCTACTCTCCCAACACTATCATCCCTGTAACCTCCACCTTCTTCATGTTCTACCTATATGCTGCACCAGCTGTACGCATGGGTGCCCTCCAGCACCTTCAGATCATCCATGTCGCAACTCACGACTCAATCGGCATGGGCGAGGATGGACCAACCCACCAACCAATCGAGCTAGCCAACCTTTACCGTGCCATGCCAAACCTCCTCTACATCCGCCCAGGAGACAGCGAAGAAACAGCCGGCGCCTGGCTCGCCGCCATCGGAGCCAAGAACACTCCCAGTATCATCTCCACCTCCCGCCAGACCCTTCCCCAGCTCTCACAAACCCGTCGCGACAGCGTTGCCCTGGGTGCATATGTTCTATCAGAGAATGAGTCGGCGGCAGTCACCCTCATCGGCGTCGGTGCCGAACTTTCCTTCGCATTGGAAGTCGCCGAACAGCTCAAGACCAAGAAGGGTATCAACGCCCGTGTCATCAGCTTCCCTTGCCAGCGCTTGTTCGAACAACAGCCACTCCAATATAAGCGTGACACCCTCCGTCGTCATCGTGGTATCCCCGCTGTCGTGATTGAGCCCTATGCTCCAAACGGTTGGGAGCGGTACGCGGATGCCGGAATCCATATCAACCGCTTCGGTCACAGTTTGCCTGGTAAGGCGGCTTATAAGTTCTTCGGCTATGAGATTGATGCTCTGACAGCTAAGGTTGCCGGTTACTTGGAGCAAATTAGGGCTGATGAGTTGCTTCGGGGCGAGTTTGTTGAGCTTTGAGCTTTGAACCGATCTTGTGATTGTTTTGTGTTTTGATGATTTGGGTACGGCTATAGATTGGGCTGGGTATATACTTTGCATATTCTTATATCTCTGGTTAAATGAAAGATTCTTAAAGATTTCACCTATATCTCGTCTTTTTGTATTTTGTATTCAAGCCACAGTGCGGAATAACGTGTAACTTAGGCGGTGGTTCTTATCTCATACCAGAGACCGAACCCTTTAGGACTTCATGAAAGCACCATTTGCATTCTCCTGCTTGCCCAGGTGACCTCGGGACATGAGACCAGGTGACTAAGAAAATGCAGCCAGCGCAGGAACGGGCAAATACGCAGTGGAACAGCTCCCTCATTAGGCAACGCGTCGCGCCTTGCGCTTCTGATTACTCGATTAGGAAGAGGGGAGAAACCATTTATCGCCTGGTATTTAAGGCAGAAATACAATACCATTTAACCATCTAAGCGTACCAATCTATACCAACCAATGAAACAAAGCATGTACAGCCGAACATTCACACATTGTAGGACCGCCCTGAACCAACATTTGCATCCGGTACCTGAACCGGTCCATCACGCAACTCATAAAAATGACTACTGTCTGCCTCGACCGGCTCACCACTTTTTTGCTTCAGTCTTGTCTTTTCCATCTTCTTCTCCAGTTTCATCGCCTTCTTCTGAGCCTTTAGCTCTTGTTTTTCTGCGCGACTCTTCTTCGGGAATGTCGAATCCGGCCCTTGAAGAACCCGACCAGGGTGGAAAATATTCAAGGCCACCAAGCCGACGAACATAGGCACAGCGTCGAAAACATATTCATACCACTCATGCGTAAGAACGGGGTTTGTGCTCGAAGTTCCTTGAGCATATTGTGCAATGCGGAAGATGATTCGAATCTGCAACATAATGTTAGAAATGCATCTCATCAAGACTCCCAATATCAAAAGAATTTAGAATGAAAACCTACCGTAATCATCCCCAGCACGAAATAGACCGAATAAAACAGCCACCGCCACGAGAACGCACCCTGCACCTTATCTATGGCCAGCTCTCCATGATGCTCCATACGATAGATGATGCGATGCAAATGGATGAACAATCCCAAGAAGCAGAGAATGAAGAATTCCTGCATGCCAATGCCGCCCATGTAGATGTGCAGACCCAGCAAGACGATTTTTGTTTCTGTGTCCGTGCCTGATGTCATTGATGCGCCGGCTAGTTGGACTAGAAAGGCTATTATATCCAGTGTCACGAAAATGAGGCCGTAGCGTTGGGCGGATATCCCTGCTAATTTCTTGTGTGGGTGGTAGTAGTAGATCATTCGGCCGAGGGTCATGTATAGGAAGGCGTTGATCCCTGTGGTTTGGTTGTCAGACTTCTTGTATACAGTAGGGTGGGGATGTAGACTGTTATGAGTGGTTCTTACAGATTGGGGCCAGGAGGAAGAATATTGTGAAGATTGTTAGGTAGTTTTCGTTGTTTTGCTGTCGGGATTCCAAGGCTCGAAAGGTAAAGGCTATTAGTTCCCAGGCTGAGCCCATGGTTACTACCCATGCGTATGGCTTCATAGTCACATTAGCATTGATTCTGGTGGTTGATGGCGACGATACAAACCTTTTTGTAAATGAATGCTTGGACAAGATGCATGATGGTTGTCAGTCCATAGAGGACACAAAAGAAGATTGCTGCTGCGAACGATGGAACATAGTAAAGAAGCACATCGCAAGAATCTGGTGGAAGATATCCATTCTTTCCTGGAGCGACAGTGATACAGGTGGCAGAAGCTGTCGAAGTAGCCGTAGCCGATGCAAGCAATGTAGTCGCGGTCGGGGCCATATTGGAAAAGCTTGAAAGATGAGTTGATGATGTACGTTCATGACTCCATTCTCTGCTATGTTTATATACCTTAACCCCAAAGATGCAGTTCTATTTTTGCATTTTGTATAAATCATTATATTCTTGACCTTATAGGAATAACCAATCAACTCGACGACGGATTCAAGTACATGCATAGAAGCAGCTGTAACCAAGCCTCAGCCAAGATTGGGGGCCAGCAGTGAACAAGCTGATTGATTGATGCCAGCCCAACTGAGATCTGATACAGTAGTTAAAAGGCAGCCTAATTATTTCCGTGGTTCTGATTGGTCTGTTCGTTTAGTGAAGCCACCGGCTTCTGAAGGCCGGGCTTTGGGGGCTTTGTTTACAGTCAGACTTCGTAGGCATCGATATTTTCATGACTTACCCAGAATCCTTTTGCTCTTTTGCTCTTTTCATTTTGTTTCATTGCTTGTCGAACTTCTTACTGTTCAAATAATTCCAACCACAACATTCGTCAACTGACCTTTCGCATCGAATCCCCGACCGTCTAAACTTCATTAGGAGTTCCCCGCTCAGTCGACCTGACTTCGACCAGAGACTTGATCTTATGACATATCCAATGGATCGTGAAGTAGAGAGGGTGGTATCTAGTTGCATCTCAATGAAATTCAACAGTCATAGGACCCGATCATCTCGGAATCAAGGTCACAGTATAGCTGTTTCTTGTAGCGCTTCACGCCGACGACATACTATCCAGGAAGCATACCAGTCATGCGGGGAAGACTTTTCGAATGTAGCAAAAAAGGTAGGGAGCAAAGATCATGACGTCTTGTCTTAGACTATTGAACTGTATGGTGTGATTACCCAGTGCAGGATTTGAGATTCAAGCGCAAAACCCAAAAGAAATTTGGTTCAGCCAAGGAGACTAAATAGACCCTGGCATGAGTCAATGCTGTCTCCCCGACTCACCGTATTTCGCACATGCAGTAAAGACGCAGGAATTTTCATGAGTTTAACCCAGTTGCTGCAAATCAAACGTGGAACACGGGGTTTTTCCCCCCAACAGAACCCCCTGAACATGGTAACATCAGGTGTTCATTTTCACTTTGTAACAAGACGAAGATAAGAACATCTGATCGGCCTCAAAATCGTGGCTCGGAGCTAAGGGGGTCACTCGGCCAATAAAAACAAGCCCGCGGCCCATGCCCCGACGCGGGGGATCCAGGGCTGTTGATGATCGACAGCGTGCTGCTGATGCATATTGTAGTTGGGCCATGCAACACATGCGGCCAAACAGAAGTCTGAGAGGATGTTGGGGTTAGCTGCAGGGCACAAACTACTTATAGTGGCCGTCGAATTCCTCAAGTAATTTTTCAATTCAATCATGGCGCGTTCTTTGTTGCTCACAGCCCTAAGTCTTGGCGCCGCCGCGCTGCCCGCCTCATCGGGTTCAAGCAATATCAAGAACATCGTCGTCTTGGTGCAGGAAAATTTGTCTTTTGATCACTTCGCTGGTGGTTTAGACTATGATTCAAGCATTGATGGCCCCAAGAACCCCCAATACTGCAACCCCGCCAATGTCTCTCTGCCAGACTCACCCCAAGTTTGCGCCAACCCCATCGCGAAAAACATTGCCTCCGATGACCCGAACCACAGCATCTCAGGCGGTAACATGCAAGTTTTTGGCACTTACCACCCCGCCTCTGGAGCCCAGTCCAGCATGAACGGGTTCATCAGCGAGCAGCGCGCCTCCTACCCAAAGGACGACCTGGCTCGAGCCGCTGAAGCAATCAACTACTTCACACCAGACCATATCCCAGTCTTTAACTCCCTCGCACAAAACTACGTCCTCTTCGACAGATGGTTTGCCGCCGTCCCAGGCCCCACAAACCCAAACAGAGCCTACCTCACCTCAGGCACATCCCACGGCCACGGCAAAAACGACGACGACTTCCTCACCTCGGCCCTACCCCAAAAGTCCATCTTCGAACAACTCTCCGAGAAGGGCATCACATGGAAGAACTACGAGAACTCAACCCAATCCAGTCCAGCCTTCCTCCCCGACGCCCTCTTCTACGACTGGACCGCCAAAAACGCAAAGGACAATGTCCTCCCCATCGACCAGTTCTACACGGATGCCAAAGCAGGAAACTTGCCCCAGTTCACATGGATCAACCCCGAATGCTGCAACTACATGTCCATGCACCCTCCGTCCCCAATTAACATGGGCGAAAATTTCGTCAAGGGAATCTACGAAGCTGTTCGCAATTCCCCGCAGTGGAATGAAACCCTCTTCATTCTGACCTGGGACGAGCACGGCGGCTTTGCCGATCATGTTTCTCCCCCGACGGATGTCCCCGCTGGCGATAGTCTTACTTATAGTGAGGCTGCGGGTGATGGCGAGCAGTATACTTTCCATTTCGATAGATTGGGTGTACGTGTTCCTACTGTGCTTATCTCACCTTGGGTTGGGAAGGGTGTTGTGCAGCATGCGCCTGACGGAGGGAATGAGTTTACCCATACTTCTATCATTAAGTTTGTGTCGGAGCTTTGGGGGTTGGATTCTCTGTCGCCGCGGGTAGACTGGTCGCCCTCTTTTGGAAATTTGTTGACCAACAGTTTCCGGGATGATACTCCTGAGACTCTGCCTTATGCTGCCGACTTTTAAATCGGGTTAAGCTGGTGACGGTTGGCGAATGGATGATGATTTTTAATAGGCGGAATGATAATGATACATGAACATGCTTGATATCAAATGATTGTTTTATATTGTAGAAAGATTATCATTATGTACAATAGCTAATGCTGGGGTATCATAGCCAAGACACAGTCATGTCTGCCCTCCAAATCGACAGCAAAGGAGGGCGAAGGAGCTCTTTTCCCGCTCCGGTCATCACTGCGATGGAAGTTGGTGTCGTCACTTACGACCAAACAACTTCCACCTATTACGTGATTGCGACCGTTGTGTAATAGCAGAGTTGCGAGTGTTCACGCGGTCAATATCATAAGGATTGGCCTCATAAGTCCCCGTCCGCTCAAGCGACGACCTCGAGGACAAAGACGCAGCATCAGCATCTGCCATCGCTTCAGGAGCTTGACTGCCATCAACAACGGCTTCAGCCACAATCTCATCCTTCTTCTCATCATGGCCCCCATCCCCCTGAGTACCGGCCTTCTTTGCCAGAGCGCGCATGAAATCATCAGCCTCGGCAGCATACTTGCACTTCCGCCGAATAGCAGGTCCATACCGATAAAAGATAAAGGGGAACGGACAACAAACAAGCGCCAAGAAAGCAGGCACACACGACGCCCAGTGAATCCCCAGGTTCTGATACATATAAGTCGTAAACAGCGGGAACCCAGCACCAAAACAAGACCGAATAATCGAATTCGCAGCAAGCACAGAGGCGGCATAAATGGTATATGCATCAATGAGATAATTCATAATCCCTAGGAAAACAAATACCATACCGAACCCGAACGGCGCAGTTGCAAGCACACATACGATCCATGGGATCGACGCCGAATTCGTCCACGCGAACCAGAATAGCCCGATGGGGATGGCAAGACCACCCCACATTGTCGGTGGGAGACGAGCCTCTGGTGGTGCGAAGCCATTGTGGGCTTTGTGGATTCTGACATAGCGCTTGTTATCGTACATGTTTACGCCGACAGCTATCATCATGCCGATCATCACTGCTAGGAAGGGCAAGGAACCGACACCCTCGCTCCAGCCGCGAATATCCTGGAAAATGATTGGGAAAGCGTCGAAGAGCATGTAAAGAGTTCCGTAGACGATGGCCATGTAGAGAGAGAGGAGAAGGACGATTGGCTCGGAGAAGAGGAGGATCCACGGTCTTCCTAGGGCGGTTTTGAAGGCATCTCTAGGAGAGATGCGCCCACGCTGGATTTCCACTTTGCTGCGGTAGACTTTGCCGCTTAGAGCTGAGAGAGTTTGGGCTCGTTTGGCTAGTAGGACTGGTGCGTAGGTTTCTGGGATGATGAGGCTTTCTACCATCCAGATTAGGCCGGTGAATACCGCTAAGAACCCTTGTACCCATTTCCAGCCTGCATTTTCGCCTAGGAAGCCTCCTATCACAGGTCCCATTGTTGGGCCTAGGAATGGGGCACCGGCGAATAGACTCGTTGCTAGACCTCTATGTTCAGCGGTGAAGATGTCGGCGATTACGCCGCCCGCATTGGTGAGTGGCGAAGAGCCAAAGGAGCCAGCGAAAAAGCGGAGTATGATCAGCGTCCAGATGTTTTTCGAGCCTGCTGCACCGGCGCAGAAGATCGATAGAGCAAGGAACGTTCCCAGGAACACGATCTGGCGACCGATAAGCTCGCACAGTGGTGCCCACAGCAGAGGGCCAACAGCAAACCCAATGACGAACATTGAGACGCCAAGAGTAGCGACTTCCTCGCTGGCATTGAGATCGGTAACCACTTCTTTGATACTACCCGCGTAGGCAGATGAAGAGAGTGACACTGCGAACGTGGCAAAGGCGACTATGACGGTATACATCCATTTCAAGGCCAGGCTGAATTCCATTGGATTGCGCGGGTCATTGGGGATCCATTCCACCACATAGGGATCCTCCTCGGTGCCGGATCCAACATATGGATAGTCGATTATCTCAGGGGTGACCACACCCTGGTCTGTTAAGATGCGCCAGTGTGGGATTCGGCGTGGGAGCGCTGCTTGGACAGCATCGTTTTCGGTATCCTTCGCCATGAGGGACTTTTAAAATGGATAATGTCATGGCGGGAGTGGGCTCTTTTAAGAGAAATAAAATACGCAACGCAACTGTATGAGAACTCTTCCAAAATCATCTGATGTAAGTGGAGTCGATCGGATACCTTTTCGGTAAGCCGAGAGCCTCTTTCAACTTGGCTTTTGCGGCGACCGCGGCCCGTGGGTGGAGTCTGGTCTTTTTGGTATTTGTAGTTTGTATTGGGTATTCTATACACATGTAAAGACATCTCGAGATTCGACGGAGTGTATAGTTTTGAAGAATTCAAACCCGGCATTTCATTATTGAATCATTTGTAATAAGCGGGTCATACGCAATCACACGAATCAGAAGCACAAACTGGGTTTGGGATTCGAGAAAATTTCCCATCGGCATTTGCAGCCATGTCATTGCCGGTCCCAGAATCATAGCTGTTCACCACTGGATAATTGCCGTTATGAAAGGTTCCTTTAGGTCATGCCGAGGTGGGCTACGTTACCCCCTGCATACATGGTCAATCGCTGTAAGTTTCGATATTTGATGGCAGGATTCACCAGGCTAGCAAATCGAGTTTGTGCCAGTTGAATCCGGGCTTATAGTGAAACTTTTATCGGCGTGATTATGCATGCATTACTTATTACTTATCACATGTAGTCTGTTGTCAACCCAGGCATTCAGTACTTGAGATCATCCTGGGCCTAGAACGTTATCATACGTTCCTGCGTGCTAGCCTCGTCTCGGTGCTGGGTTGTATCCTTTCCGCTGATCTTCCACTTTTGCGTTCACTTTATGAGCAAGGCATAACGTTATAAAGTTACTGTATAAGTCGATGGCTAATATGGGGCCTTCCCAACCGTTGATGCATCAATCTGCATTTGTCTCTGTCCGCGATCGACAAACTCCTTCACTCTTTACGCTGTAGATGAGGGAGGTCGCTCCAATAGCCAGCTTGACATTGGAATTGACTACAGATTGCTATATATATCTGGCGAGACCGAGGACTCAATCGTAATATTCAAATCCACCACTCACTAACCTGGTGAGAGAAACTACCAATTGATTAAATGGTTGTTCATTGAAAATACAGGGTTCGTCGTCAAATATTTCTCACTGTAGGCTACTGCAATAATGACATAATGGGTAACCTCACGAACACGTACATATTGACATGCACCCCAGGGTCTACACCCACGGATTAATTGCATTATCTGACAGGGTGATGTACTAACAAGGCTATATTCCGGGGAAATAAAATCCCCCCCCGCCCGGGTGATGCACCGAGGCGTCGACAAGGGAGCTTAATTTCACTTGTTTGTCCACGAATGGAATCGCGCAACGGGATCCCAGCCGTCCCCGATTCGTGGCAATTACTCCTGTTCCTGGGTGGATATTGCTCCTTGACGCAGGGTTGAAACGTGAGTTCCGAAAATTGCACCAGTTTATGTAGGGTCCGAGACGGGGTGAAGTCCTCACTTAATTAGGAGGGCTTGGCAGTGTCTCCTGAAGAAGCGAAGCGAGATGAGGCATAGGGCTGAAGATGGGAGTATAAATATAAAGTGAACTATGATGCTTGGAATCTGATCACAGACTAACGTGCTTTGGCTTGATCTTTATACTTCCCGCATCAATTCACTCAGGTCATTGTCATCATGATTCTAGGCAGAAGCCTCTACATTCTTGGCCTTTTGGGCGCCGCTGCGAATGCACTCCCAGAGCCAGCTGCACCACAGGTGACGGCTCCAGCCAAATTGCAAGAGAGAGCAACTACGTGCACTTTCTCTGGTTCCAAGGGCGCTTCCTCTGCTAGCAAGTCGAAGACTGCCTGCTCTACTATTGTGTTGTCGGCCGTGGCTGTCCCATCTGGAACTACCCTTGACTTGACCGGATTGAATGACGGAACAACGGTACGGTAAACAATTCATGACGACAATGTGTATGCTCATGCCATCTGTCTAGGTCATTTTCCAGGGTGAAACAACATTCGGCTACAAAGAATGGTCGGGCCCTCTAGTCTCCGTCTCCGGAACAGACATCACAGTCAAAGGTGCTTCAGGAGCTACTCTGAATGGAGATGGGGCTCGCTGGTGGGACGGAGAAGGCTCAAATGGCGGCAAGACGAAGCCTAAGTTCTTTTATGCCCATAAGATGTTTCAATCTACCATCAGCGATATCAAGATTGTCAACTCTCCGGTCCAAGTCTTCAGTATCAATGGAGCCGAGGATCTTACTTTGAGTGGTATCACCATCGACAACAGTGACGGTGATGTCACTGATGGTGGCCACAATACCGATGCCTTTGATGTGGGATCTAGCTCGGGGATCACGATCACTGGTGCAACGGTATACAATCAAGATGATTGTCTGGCGGTCAATTCTGGAACGGTATTGCATTGATCACTTGAAAGATTGAATCATTCGCTAATGCGGACTAGGATATCACGTTCACCGGAGGATTTTGCTCAGGAGGCCATGGACTGTCCATTGGATCTGTCGGAGGGCGAAGCGACAACGTAGTTGACAATGTCCTGATCGAAAACTCCGTTATCCAGAACTCTGACAATGGTATGTGAACATCAAGAGACCAGCACTGGCAGTCATGTTATTCATACTGACATAATCAAAAAGGTGTACGGATCAAGACAGTCTCAGGAGCCACTGGTTCCGTCAGCAACGTCACATACAAGGGAATCACTCTGTCGAACATTGCAAAATACGGCATTGTGATTGAGCAGGACTATGAGAATGGTAGTCCCACTGGAACCCCCACGGATGGCGTGCCAATTACAGGTCTTACCCTTAATGGTGTGACAGGCACCGTGAAGAGTAGTGGGACAGACATTTATATTCTCTGTGCCAAGGGAGCCTGCTCTAGCTGGACGTGGACGGGCGTTAGTGTCACTGGTGGAAAGACAAGCAGCGCCTGTTCCAACATTCCAAGCGGTGCGAGCTGCTAATGACCTACATTTCAGAATTTGGTTAGACGTCTGATCTGATAAAGACAAACATGTTCGACTGGGGATGCGGTCAGATCTATAAGAATGCAAATCGAACAAACAACTATTTATTCCTCGTAATCAAGGCTCCAAGGCTCCAAGGCTGCAACACATTCAACTCTCTCAATATAGAAGAACATCACATGCCATCGTCCAGACGACATGAACATCTCCTTCGGTCATTCTTCTCAATCAAACATCGTGTCTGAGCGAGTCTTTTTTTTCGCGAGTTGTACAATCATTATTGACGCGTGTTCATACGCAACATGTGTCAAAACAAGAATCCATTGACCAAGCCGATGCATGACCGTGGCGAGTAGGGGTGTCAAGAATTGATGGACAAATGTCCTTGGACGCTATGACAGCATGAAATTCTGAGTGGACGCAGGTGATAAGCCCGGTAGGTTGACTGGTTAAGCTCGCATCAGCTCCACTGACAAGAATGTTGCTTGTGAAGAGAGCTCTCCCCCCACACAGAAAGCAATTCCCCGGAACCTGTGACATTATTCCGCAAATGCTATGACGATGAAAGGCTTCGGCCAAACATACGAACTGCTGAGAAGGGAGCTCACGTTTCATTCCAAGTCTCAGCATGAAACCCTCCTTCTGCTCCATCGCTTCAACCACCCAAGACCATGATTCGCACCCTTTGAGCATGGAATATTCTCCATCGGCAATTAGATTACCCAATAATATCTCTTGGATACCAGACTATCAGCATTTAAGTCTCCGAAAACCCTTCTTCCGCAATGCAATGTCCGATCAACATTCCATTGCCTAGTTAATCCCCGAGTGGGGCGGTTCGTGCACACGCAAAACCGACCAAGCCTTGACAGGGCTGTTCGAAATTTCCTACGTCCTTGCTAGAGCAGATCCCGCTGTCGATCGATAGTGTGGGCTTAGCAAGTGCATCCGTATCGCGGCATTATGGACTACTGGCACCATATATCTCTCACTTCTCATATGAGGTACAACAGAAGCTTCACGTGAATGCCTACGATCTTTTCAAGCAAGAACACATTTTCACAAATAAGATAATGTTACACGCGTGATATGGGAAACCTTACTGTGTGGCACATCTAAGGAGCTAGGATCACATTGTTGGGACTCAAGTCCGCCAGGATTCCAGGTATGTGCCTTGCACTAGCTGATTGGAAGGAATTCTGTCAGGAAAATTTGTTTCGTCATGTAGATAGCTCTGATTAGCTTATTTATCCTGCAAGCTTTCAGCCCAGCTTTATTTTTGAACCATCGCCTGCGCCAGACCCCTTTTTCAAGGGAGGTTCGACCCTGATTTTCCACACACTACACACATTTTCAACCGAGACATCTTCTCACCTTAGCTTTGGAAGATTGAACATTATGGAACCCAAAGACTATCCTCCCAGTTTCACTAGTCGCAGTACAGACTTTGTATCTTCCGACCAACTGTCCGACAGCAGAATTATCATCGATGATGAGAAGCTACCTCCTGTTGATGGAGGCTCGCAGGCATGGCTATTTCTTATAGCGTCAGCTATGCTTGAATCTCTAGTATGGGGTACGAGAAATGATGCCTTTGAATGTGTTGGATGATGCTGATATCTTCATAGGATACGCTTTTGCCTTTGGAATCTTTCAAGACTACTATAGCTCACACCCGCCATTTGCGGGGTCCGGACACATTGCGATCATTGGAACTTGTGCTATGGTCAGACCATACTGTTTTGAGGATGAGCTTGAACATAGCTAACGTCTTCCATAGGGAATTGCGTATCTCATTGCTCCATTAGCGATCGTTTTCATGATTTTGGTGCCTTCATGTGCTCGGTGGGTATCTACCGCTGGAGTTTGCATTATGTGCTTTTCTTTGGCAATGAGCTCTTTTTCCACCAACGTGACACACCTCATCTTGTCACAAGGAATTGGTTTCGGAACTGGTGGCTGCTTGGCCTATACCCCTACCATTTTGTTCATGTCAGAGTGGTTTGCCAAGCGCAAGGGTCTCGCTTTCGGAATTGTCTGGGTGAGTGATATTACCCTTTCATGAGGAAAACAACTAACTTCTCTAGGCTGGGTCCGGTATATCGGGTATCATCTTCCCACTAGCCATCCAGTGGCTCCTTGACCAGTATGGAATCAATGCAACACTCCAGATCTCAGCAGTGACTTTGTTCCTTCTCGCCGCGCCTTTCCTATATTTCCACCGACCTAGAGTCCCCATGAGAGAGGTTGCGTACCACAGGCTTGACTTCCATTTCTTATACGACAAGACTTTCATCATCTATCAGCTCGGAAATACCCTGGAAGCAGTTGGATTCTTCCTACCGACAATCTATCTCCCATCATTCGCACGCAGTCTCGGTGCCAATGACTTCATGGCTTCTCTCACCGTGACCCTGGTCAACCTAACAACTGTCTTCGGCTCCGTGTGCATGGGGTTCCTCTCTGATAGGTATCATATCACAACCTGTATCCTAATCTCAACCGTCGGAACCGTCTTATCAGTTTTCTTCCTTTGGGGCTTCGCAACCTCCATCGCACCCTTATACATCTTCTGCATCGCCTACGGGTTACTTGCCGGCGGATTCTCTTCCACATGGGCAGGCGTTTCCAACGAAGTCCAACGTGCGAACCCAGCCGCAGACGCAACCGTCATCTTCCCATTCATGGAAACAGGTCGAGGAATCGGCAATGTAGTCAGCGGCCCGCTAAGTGAAGCACTCCTCAAAGGAGACAAGTGGCGCGGGCGTGCATATGGTGCCTATGGAAGTGGGTATGGCACACTGGTAGTCTGCACCGGCACCACGGCGCTACTGGGTGGAATCTGTGTTGTGGCGCGCCAATTCAAGTGGATATAATTGTGTGAACAGGATTCTGCACACAGGTAAGTATGTCGGGACAGGAGTTGTTTCATATAAATTGGGTTTTATTTTTTGAGAAAGGTATTGGGAGATGGGTGATACATAGGTCTGGGTTTGCGAAGACCATATCGTTAATAAATGTGAAAACAAAGAAAGAGAAATGTTAAATATATGCCGCACAATTCACTTTGGCAACTGTGCTTTTTGCGCTAATGAGAAATAATCGCACATGCCCCCTTTTCCATAAAAAAATGCAATATAGGCAGGATACTGTCTGTCAAGTCTTGGCCCTCAATATTCATGTCAAGCTGGTACCCAGTCTCTCGTTGTGAGGACCGGCTCTCTTTGTGCGTTGTTATCAAGCGTACGGTTAGGTTCTTGCTTCAACTGGATAGAAGCGCCTGCATAGCCATTACGATACTACCTCAGCTGCAACAGGTCAATTGCACTTTGAGTCCTATTGATAAGTCATTCCAAACTCGGTGTGAGCAACACGTGATCCAAGAATACTTGACTACCCCTTCCCCCCTTTCCCTCTTCCTCCTTTCTTCAATTGGTTATCTTGAGAGGTTCTCCCTTTGTGCTTTTCTTTGACGAAAAGGGAGCTCATTTACTTCAATCAATCGCAATGCTGGAAAAGGAGCTTCTCTCACACAGGCTAGAATTCAAATCGTTCCAAGACCGGAACGGTGACTGTCAATCATAGATCTTGATATTCCACAACAATGGCTCTTCATGGTGGATTGAAGTTAACTTGTATGGGTTTGTTCCAGAATCAGTACCGCGGGGTTATCTCTAGCGCCGGTCCATCTTTCAAACAAACGTTAAAGCGATTGATTTCGGTCAATTACAACTTTTGGACGATACTATAACCAGTATTATATTAAGCTTGACTGAGTAAAGCCACGACTCGATCACAATACAGCATGGGTATCAAGAATGGCGAACTCCTATATTGCCGTTGCCCATCAAATGTGCTATAGGATCATAGAAGATCCGCAAAAAGTCATATATCCGACTCTAGAGCGAGAACGATGTCTACCAACATTTGAGGCACGTTGTTTGCAGGATGTCAAGGCTATTGCTCCAACACTCTCCACTGTTTTGCTCAAGCAACAGAAGTTTTCTTACAAAACCATCGACCGCCCTATCTATGAACCAGGAGACACGGAACACATATTGAACGAAATTGATGTTCTTGCACAACTCCGCGGTTTATTTTCAGGTCAATGGGGTAGGGATCATAAAAAATAATGATTAAACAAAAGTAAGATCAAGAATCTACTAGAGATTAAGATAAAAAGTAGGAAGATAGAGAAATTGTTGATTTAATTAATAATCTTTTAAGCTAAAAAATCTACCTCTATTTAAATTATTTTCTCTATTTGCCTTCTTATAATATATTCGTTATATTAACGTTTTATTCGTAGGAATTTGTAATTATAGGTTTCCGAACGAGGATTTCATAAAGTTTTCTGTATTCGAAAACCTTTCATGTTTCTTTGTAGTTGTTTACTTTTCTTTTGAATTCTTGAGCATATCATATATTCTGTGATATTGTTTCCTTTTGTATGGCTTCTTGTTTTAGAGTCTTCGTAGAATTCTTTGATATGATGTTTACATGTATTTATTTTCTCTTCAAACTTGGTTTACAGTTCTAGTGTCAGATTGTAAGTACGCTCACTGAGTTTGAGCCTGAGCGCCCTCATAAAGCGGCGGTAGCCTAGATAGGAAAGGTCCCAACCGGCAGACATTATCCTGTCTATATAGGTCCATATATTCATTCATATTGAGTAAGAACTAGGATGTGTCAAACTGGGTTACTTGGTAACCCAACCCCATACCCTCCAATACCAGGCCTTGGGAGGTCCGGTTGGCTTTTCATACTGTAGACGACCGGTATCAAGATCAGCCTCTTCTGGACGAATAAACGCCGAGCGGAAGATGATCTTGTGGCCAGCCCAGAGTACCACAAAGATGATAATGCAAATGTAAGCGACGAAAAAGTCGGAGACATTGAAGACCGGGATAAAAGACGTGAAACCCTGGGTTAGGGCAATGAGGACGTTGAAGAAGAGTCCGTACCAGGCAAGGTATGGTTGGAGGATAGCCTTGTAGGGAAGGGTATCGCGAGAAATGTTGCGGGCAGCAAGAGCGCGCATGAATGCGATGTGAGAAGCGTTGATACAAGCCCATGTCACGAATCCGGCGACACTGGACAGGTTCACGAGCCAGGTGAAGACTTGACCGGCATCGTTGGAAACGTTCATGAATCCAAGAAGACCAAATAAGGAAGTGAATGCCACGCTGATATATGGGACGCCGTGCTTCGTGACCCAGCCGAAGCAGGCGGGGGCGAAGCCCTCGTAGGCCAGTCCGGTCAGGACTCGGCTACCACTGTAGACATTGGAGTTGGCGGCTGAAAGCACAACACTGAGGAGGACGGCGTTGATCAAGCTAGGCAGAATCTTTACTCCAGCGAGATCGGCAGCGATGACCATTGGAGATGAGGAGGCGTTGGTCTCGGCAGTGGCGAGGCGCTTGTTGTCGTATGGAACCAACAGGCCGATAAAGAAGATGGTCAGAACGAAGAAAAGAAGAATACGGACAAACGTCTTGCGAATGGCTGAGGGCACAGTCTTCTGGGGGTTCTCAGTCTCTCCTGCAGCGACACCGACAAGCTCAGTTCCCTGGTAGGAGAAGCCTGCCTGAACAAGGACAGCCCAGAAACCAACGAATTTGCCGACAGACTCCGGCGAGCTGACCAAGTGCGTAGCAAAGGCTCCGGGGTGATGCCAATTCTTAAATCCAATATAGCCCTGATCTCCGACACCGACATCAATACAAATGGCGAAGATCATGAATCCGATGACGGTTGCCACCTTGATAGTCGAGAACCAGAACTCCAACTCGCCGTAGAAGTTCACAGGAAGGAAGTTCAAAGCTGTAATGAGAACCCAAAATACTCCGATGAAAATCGCAATATTCAACTCGCTGTTCCAGTACTGGATGATCGTTCCGGTGGCGGTTAATTCGACCGCAAAGGTAGAAGCCCAGTTGAACCAGTAGATCCAACCCATGGAAAAGCCCAGACTGGGGTCGATTAGACGCGCCGCGTAAGATGTGAAGGCACCGGGGATTGGGATGTATGTTGCGACCTCGCCGAGAGAGCTCATGACCGAGTACACGATGGAGCCGACGAAGATATAAGCGATCAATGCGCCTGCAGGTCCGGAGTATGCGATTGCAGTGCCACTGGAGATGAAAAGTCCTAGACACGGTTAGATAAAGCTATACCTTGAGCTTGAATTGGCCATGTACCTGTTCCGATTGTTCCACCTGCCTACGGTTAGCTTATTACGCATCCCAGACGGGACGAGTACATACCGATAGCGATCATCTGAAGATGCCTGCTCTTCAGCTTGCGCTTCAGCTCGCCGGGATTCGGTTCCGGGTAGCTTTGCTCAGTGTCCGCCTCCTTGGTGCCGGTTTGCTTGACGCCGGCTTGCTTGGTGTCTTGGACGTCATTATCGGGCTCAGTTGAGATCTCGTTCGCACTTTCGACATAGGGAGGGGGGTCCGTAGAACCCATGTTGGACCACCACAATGAAGGATAAAATTACAATCTGTCAAGAGCGAATCTAGTATGGAAAGAAGTTGACGTTGAAAAATTTTCCCTTGAAGCTTCAAACTTCCGTTTTCGCCTTGTGGGGGCTCTCGGAGGCGTGGAGACTTTTGAGTATTTCTTAGGTAAAAAAAGGTCGAACCATCCGGAAAGATTTTGATAGTTTGAGATCAATTCAATTGATTGTTGTTCTATCAGGTCGCTATTATTCTTTGCTCTTGTCTACTGCACATAATAGATCCCTAGGCTACGTAGTGAGGGTCTGCAGACTTAAGCTTAAAAATCGAACCTGCAAGATTTTCCATGAGTGGGTCTACAAGGCTGTCTGCCATTGGAACCAAAAAGTGTTATCAATCTATAGACTGTAGGGTCTCAACATAGTGTACTGGTATAACCGAGAGAAATCCTGAGTTGACTCAAATGATAGTGGTCATCGGGTTGCTGCCTGCAAAGTTAGGCCACAAGGCTTCAACATTCTTACATTCCTCACGCCCTGACGCAATATGCAGGGGGTTTTCTGAAACGACCCGTTTCATCCTCCTTGTCAAGTTCCGTTTGAATGCTAGCCACAGAGGACAAAATGTTAAACCAGCCTAGTTTGACCTGGATACCTGGCTACTGCATGAGGCATCAGATCTTAGCCTTGGACTGCGACGCAGCAGCCGCGTCTTTCTTCGGACCTGCAAATCCAAAGATGTACGCGCCAATTTTCCGCATCTGGATCTCCTCGGCCCCTTCAGTGATTCGATACCGACGGAAATGGCGATAAATATGCTCGAAAGGATAGTGGCGAGAGTACCCATCGCCCCCATGAATCTGAGCCAGTCAGTCATATCTCATCGATGCCGTACCTGACAAATTCAACATACCTGAATGGCCCTATCGGCAGCTTGACAGCACAGTCGGTTTGCCCAGAAGTTACACATGGCCACTTGATCACTCAGTCGGCGCTCAATCTCAACCCACGGCCGCTTCCCCGATGACTGAGACTCAGCCACAACGCGGTCCATTTCCCAGCTTGTTTTGAGAATGAACAGACGCAGCATCTCAACCTGAGTCATAAGCTCAACAACTGGAAATTGAATGGCCTGATTATCAGCCAGAGTCTTTCCCACACCCCATATATTGCGTGACCGAGCACGCTCAATACTACGATCAAGGCAGTACCGCGCAGCCCCACACGAACTGGCCGCTTGACGAATCCTATTCTCATGCACAAAGGTCTGCGCAATGGCAAGTCCCTGGTCTAGAGATCCCAACACCGCCGACTCGGGCACCCACACCTGGTCTAGCTGGACAGTTGCGTGGTCGGTAGGCATATTCAGAGTCCATTCGTAGCTAACTATACGCAGTCCTGTCGTGTCACGGGGAACAAGGAAAGCAGTGATGCCCCGTGCAGATCCCGGCTGGCCTGAAGTTCGGGCGAAAATGAGGAAATGGGTGCAGTGATGTGCACCTGTCTGCCATTTCTTTGTCCCCGTGATTTCAAATCCGCCTCGGGTCTGGCGGGCTGTGGTGGACATGTACGTTGCGTCACTTCCATGATCGGGCTCTGTTAGGCCGAATGTCGTTCGAAAGGTTCCTTTGAGACGCGCTGGAATGAGGGTTTTTCTTTGCTCTTCGTCACCGAAATGATGGAGCATTAATACGTCTGGGAAATTTCCTACGATGCTATGCTCGTTTTGGAGGTCGTTGGCTAGGCCTAGGCCACCGCCGTATACAGGGTGCGAGCTGAGGTGATAACGAATCGCTGACATCCATAGGTTGGTGTCTGGACGGGACTGACCACCGTATACTTTAGGCAAGGCGAATCGGTAGAAACCAGCGGCATCCGCTCGGTTGCGTGCCTCACCTGGTTTTATTAGCTAGAAGTATTGAGTGAAGCTGGTTATACTACCTAACAACTCTTCCCACTCCGGTCGTGGGTTCCCATTGTTTTCCCAGTCGGTTCGAGCGTATTCACGACGGTGATCGAAGAATCGATTGTTATCGTTGGCATGCTGCAGGGGCAATATAGTTGAATTGATAAATGAATCAAGCGATTCTATATGGGTTTTAAGCGCCGAGGGAAGCTCGAAATTCATAATGGCGATTCTAGGCAGATGAACATACTCGATAGGCAGAGTATCATGGTTAACTTATAATGTACTGCCTTTCCCCGCATTTAGACCTCGGCGCACATCTCATCTCGGCTGATCATTGAGTGAGGATTGGATTTAGCGCAATGGCAATTTGTTTGGATCAAGAACCAGAAGCAATGAATTGAGCTGGTCGTGCGTGGAGAGTGTAGAAGAGTCCTTTGATGAGATAATAGACCGAGCCCTTTACAACTTATCGCAATTCTCACCACCTCGTTTGATCATTCCGTTACTGTAACACCGGATCATAGCCTTAAAGATCCTTACTCTAGTCAGTAGACCTCTTCTCTTTTTCACTCGACGTCTCCCGAAATCGCCGCCAAACCCAAAACCCAAACATGGTCAACACAGTCAACGGAACAGCAAAAGCAAGATAAAGCCACCACCACCGCGAAACAAGAAATTGAGACCCATTTGAATCAGCAGAAGTATCAAACGCAACCAAGTTGGTCCCGAAAACACTACACACGAATGTGGCAGGAAGGTAAATCAACGTCACAGCCGCAATGATCTTCATGGACATACTGTCCTTACGAGCTTCACGGGCGATACTCGCACTTTGCGTAGCTATGCGCAGATTGACGGTGCTATCGTGCCCTGTAATCAGATTATAGAGCAGAGTGATGAAATTGTTAGTTCGTTGTCGGAGGTTGAGAATCCGGCGATGTCGGTCTTCACAGCAGTCGCGTAGAGCGAGAAGGTCGTCTCGGACGTGTTCGTGGAATCTGTTGTTGATGTGTGCGGCGCCATTGTATCGTCGTGATAATCGGCCTAGTCGGGTGTGATCCTGCAAGAGGTGGTCGATATTTGACGCGTCACGCTGGTTATTGTGTTCAAGCGTAATTAGGTTGCGAGACATTTTGTGTAGTAGCTGTACGTATTTGGAGAACCGGTCGGAGTCTGTGATTTCGAAGAGGGAGCCTTGGTGAAGCTGCGTCTCAATCCAGAGGAGCCATTTCACGAGATTGTCTAGCTCGGTTGATCGGGTCGATAAAATGTAAAATAATATGGCGGAGTGAAAGGCGAGCGGATGAAGCTTTGTTTCTCCTTTGCATCTGCAGGTGCTTTTCTCAGTACAAGCGCATGACTCACGTTGTCGGAGGCCCTCATGAAGGCCATACACCAGGTTACGGACATCACTTTTGGCCTGGGGGAACATATAGACACTTTGACCAGTGGTTATATCGAGGCGAAAGTAAAGAGGCTCATGCTGATGATGCAGGACCATATCGGTCGGGCCTCGCGAACTGATGGTTGGAGTACTATCCAGAGGACTGGTATTGTTCGCTACGTATGATAGTGACTCGGAGACATTGTAGCAGATTTCTGTCTTGGTGAGCTCGCCACTCTCAATCCCAGGGAGCGAATGACTGACCCAGGTACGGTCGGCCTTTGATATCCACACATCGACTGTGATAACCTGAAACGAGGGGCGAAGCTAACAGAGCGACAGATTCCAAATTGATATGCCAATATTCTTCAAACAGAGAGTTGACCTCCAAGTCGTCGGGAAAGGACCCCGCTTCAGGGCTTAGCAGTCTGACACGAGTCAACAAAGACCAACAACGTCAGATCCAAACATACATAATATGCAGCGTATTGTGTCTTTTACGCTCAATGGGTGCCTCGGACCGCAATTGCTCCTCGAAATCAGGCGATTCTGCAGAAAGTCAGAGCGGGCGCATGCTGGATCGAGGCTGTTCGCCGTACCGGCCTGGTCCAGGACTACAATTGGACCAGATACGCCTCGCTCGTGCGAGGCAACTGACTGACCGCAGCATAGAAACAAGGCATACTTTAGTGCCGAAGGATCAAGTTCAGACGACATCTCGGGATGATGTCCAGGTGAATTGTTCTAGGTCTGACATTTCCCACCCCCACCATGCAGTGTGATGACCCTGCAGTTCTTCATCCAGGACCCAGACGGTCGGAACACATCGGTTGACACGTCGCGAACATGGCCCCAACATGGGGAAATCGATCTATTCGGGATGGAGACTATTAATCTCGATATCTCAATCTTTCTCGTGGGAAGAGACACGAGAATACATTTGGGGCCCTAGATCCCTTGGCAAACAAAAGAAACCTCGGGAGTCCGGTGGAGTTTTGCAGAGAGCATTGCCTAGATCCTCACTTGTCGGTTATTCTGTTGAAGTGGATAAACCTGCCACGAACTCAGATGATCCGATACTGTGATAGCCTAAACATAAACTTTGATGCTATGCGTGGCTCGTCAAATGCTACGCTACCACATCAAGGGATCTGCGGAATCCCCAATCTCCAATCCCCTGAATCATGAAATTTCGGATTCAAATCCACAAAACTGGGCCTTGTGCGGGTACTGGGACGTCTTTCGCTATTCCTCATGGGGTACTAGAAGCCTTGGCTTTCATCACAATCCTTGCACCTCCGCCTTTCACTATACTAATGGCAGTTATAACGGTTGGTAGCGAGAATCCTGTTTGACAATAGTACAACATGACTCGGTGGTGTTTATGGTTCGGAAAAGCCCTCCACGCTTTGTCCTCGTATTTACCGATAGACACTATAGGCACAATGCGCATGATAAAGGTTCCACCCAGTCCCCGTGCTCATGAAATAACTTTCTGAGACGGGATGTCAAATCCGGATCTCTTCTATGGAGGCCCTCGAGACGATCCCGGTGCTCCGGACAGGATTTTCTAGACCCACGGGCAATTTAGCGTCGCTTTTGTAAGCCACTTTTGCTCTAACGGGTGTCCCGCGATAGGCTGAAGATATTATAATACTATTTTTTGTTCTTATGCACGGAGCCCCAGAGGTTCTCGTGGTCTTTTCAAATGTCCAAGTCCAACTCAGGAGAGGCCCGACAGTATGGGTACCAATCACGGTTGTATAAATATTCGGTCTAGTTACATTGTGTCCCCATTATGTCTTTCTTCACTGTTTCCTGGCAGAAGCTGACAGGAGTGGCCCCACTGCCACGGCACACAAAAGGAGCCCTCTAGGGTGAAGCTGGGGTGTTTTGGATTTCTTTGGATTCCTTCACCCCTACTCGGTACTCGCCACGGTGCTTTGATTTCCCTGAGATCCTGTGGAATATGGCGTGGTGGCATCTTGTTGTCGCGCAGCCATGCATCGCCCTCGGCGTGGTTAGCGTTTTCTATCTGCTTTCCCTGGCTGTATATCGACTATACCTTTCACCAATCGCTCATTTTCCAGGACCCAAGCTCGCCGCGTTAACGATGTGGTATGAATTCTACTACGATTCCTATGTCGGTGGTCAATACGTCTTCGAAATCGCCAAGATGCATCAGAAGTACGGCCCGATAGTACGGATCAGTCCATATGAACTCCACATTGACGACCCGGAGTACTACGAGGTGTTGTACTCTCGAGATAAGCCTCGCAATAAATCAGTCCATTTGACCGGCATGTTTGGAGCGCCCGATTCTGCGTTCGGTTCTGTCGATCACCGTCGTCATCGGATCCGCCGACAGCCTATGAACCCGTTCTTCTCCCAGCAACGAATCAGACACCTGGAGCCAATGCTCCGTGGGATGATGGATAAGCTGCGCAATGGAATGAAGGCCTGGAAGGAAAGAAACACCCCACTGCAGATGTACCATGCGTTCAACGCATTTACTACAGATGTGGTTGTGGAGTATTCCATGGGCGAATCATTTCACTATCTCGATGACCCCGAATTCACCCCGCAATGGTCCAAGACAATCCAATCGATCGTGACGATGGGTGTGCAACTTAAACAGTTTCGATGGGTGATTGGATTTTTCGAATTACTGCCACGGTGGTTGGTTGTCAGTCTCAACCCGGATATTGGCCCGGTCATCGACCAGAAAGCAGAAAGTCTCCGACTGGCAAACTCGATAATCAACAGTGAAAAGTCCAGTTCTGCCCCCGCAGATGACAAGGCTAGTTTGCCAAAGAATACATTGTTCCATGCACTGCTGGACAGCAAGCTTCCTGCTGAAGAAAAGTCAGCCAGTCGCCTAAGTCAGGAAATCTTCACGGTCATCACTGCGGGCGGAGAAACGACTGCGAAGAATTTGACAACACTCACTTTTCACCTTTTGAACAATCCCGACAAGCTACAGAAGCTGCGCGATGAGTTGAACCGACTTGACCCCGATGGAACAGCGTCTTTGGTGGAATATGAGACAATGCCCTATTTGGTAAGCGCCACTTATACCACAAAGACAAAATGAACATCATCTAATGACAATAGACATCTGTCATGCTCGAGGGACTAAGGTATGAACCGACAGTATCTCGTATTATCTTGCCAGTGGAAGCAGGATGCATTCCAGATACGATTGACTGACCTACCCTACTTAATAGACTCGCAGACGCTATCTCGACAAGACTTCAACGCAGCTCGCCAACTGATCCGATGAAATACAAGGACTGGGTCATTCCCCCTGGGGTATGTCTCATCCGTCACTTTGGTATTCATCTCATTAACAGCACAATATAGACACCCGTTGGCATGACCGGCATTTTCATGCACCATAATAAAGACATCTTCCCCGACTCGCAAAGCTTCATTCCAGAGCGCTGGATGGATCTGGAACAGCGAAAGTATCTTGAGAAATATATGGTAGCTTTCAGCAAAGGTTCCAGACAATGCATTGGTATCCCGTACGTGAAACTACTTCCACTAAGCAAATTTGGGCATAGGCTAACATCAATTGACTAGTCTTGCCCGAGCTGAGATTCTCTTGGCCGTTGCTACTATTTTCCGGGAATTTGACATGGAGCTGTACGAAACCACTATCGATGATGTTCGTACTGCAAAGGATATGTTCAATGGCCACCCGAAAGATGGGAGCCAAGGTGTTCGTGTCATGATCAAGGGATGGAATGGAAGTTCTGCGACAAGCAAAATTTGTTCCTGATCCTCGATTTCAATCGGTATCTTCTCTGCTTATCTTCATGTACATATACAATGACTACCCAACAGAGTATCCAGACATAATTGCTATTACTACTCAACTGTTCCCCGCTCCAGGATATACCCGGCTCTCGCCTATTAGCTTTGTTCTTGGCTTTTATTAAGATGGCTAGACCAAATCCGGGCTGGGGGTGGGACTAGGCGGGAGCTTTTAGACGAAGGGCTTACCCTTGAAATGTTGTACCTATTCTCGAAACACTCAATGATCATTCCAAATCTTCTAAATGAAGCCGAGCGCTGACCAGGGTCGTAGTTGGGTTTCCAATCCCTTACTTGCATTCTCCACTTTGCAGCGGTCAGCAATGAAAGAGCTGGCGACAGTGAGTCAAAGAGCAAGGAAGAATACAAAAGAAGGATGTTAAAAATGAAAGTTCAAAGACAAAGGTGCGCATAGTCAGATTCCTCAAGCCGGAGGATTTCCATTTGCGCATGTTAACCCTAATTCTCCGCATGTGCAATTTGGTCTAGATCTGTTATTCCAAATTGCCCGCCAACAGGTCTTCCTGGACCATGTAGTCCCTGCCAGGTCATAAAATTTGGGCTGATATTTGCCCCAGTGGCGTGGCGTGGCGCTGTCTTCCCTGCCGTGACTTGTTTCATATTCAACGAACAGGCTAGCTTGATCCACCTGAAACGTGTCAGTTGGGTTCCTGGCATCCGTTAAATCTGTGTTGATCATCCTTAACCTCAATCCTTTTGACTCCAAGATGACACAGATAGACGGTTAGTGGAATGTGCTTCCCACAATATTGAGCATTACCGTAGAACTGACCAGATGTGAGACAATTTCATCCTATGTTGTACCAGCAAAGACATGCTGCTCCATACTTCGCTGGCTTTGCTTCTGTGTAACTGATTCCATGAATCGTGATGCACGTTGCGCCAGGGCTATGGGGGCTGCTTTGGGATCATGGAGGCAATGAGAATACCCCTTGAACTTTTGCCCGCATATCCGCACTTCGATAGACATGTTGTACGAGTGCTCAGATATTTTCGCTTGGAAGGCGAGGATATCTTAGGGTTCCATTGGCCAAACATGTGTAATCAAACTAAGGCTTGTGCTCCCAAATAGCTTCCCAAAGGAAGGGCAGTCACGCAGTGATACCTATCCACGCGCTATCCTAACCAACTTCCTGGGCCATAATTTCCAATAGAACTGTACCCCTTCGAGCTTGAGGTCTGTTTGGATGTGCTCATAGATAGCATTTAAACTAATTGAACGTGTTCCTGGGGTCTACATCCATTGGGCTAGAAACAATCGAAAGTACATATGAGACTGGGGTCTTGATCACTGACATCAACTTTCTCATATTATCACGGTACAACAAGTTCATCACTGCTCCCTACAAATGCACCCGACTCTCAACTATAGACACTCCCGGCGCTCTGCTTGTGACAAATGCCGCGGGCAGAAGCTGCGCTGTGAGCGTGGTCATATGAATGGCATGTCTTGTGAACGCTGCCTCAAGGCTCAACAGCCGTGCATCACCAGTATGAATCATCCGGCGCCTGTTTTCCTTCCTATTCATCATGCTCAGGGCCTTGTTCAGAGAGACAGTGATGATCGGATCTTTGGCTATAATCACGATGCGATATCTATGATCCCAAAGCCATCCACTTCAAAAGGAACAAGCGTAGTTCTACCATCGTCTACGAACGCGGGCTTGTCAAACTCGCTACAGTCAAACTTCTTGGATGATCAGCTTCCACTTCAATATCTCCCTGGTGACACACCGTTTCCGTCGCCTGAAGATTTAGGCTTAGGCATGCCGCTAGATATTCGGGTCTATCCCACTTCCTTTGAACCGTGGGGTCAACAGCCTCACTGGTTGAACGGGAATTATAACCTGGTTCGGTAACCCCAATGTACGATGATGAATACTCAACCACTAATATCAGTTTTCTTTAGCCTCTTTTGGAGAGCGCCTTACCAGAGCTGACACATCAGTACAGCGATGAATCTCTTTACTCGCCGGTTCTTGGTACCGATATCTCAATGGAAGCCACCAACGAAAGCATTAACACCAGTGAACTGTCTTTACTAAATCAGCTTCCCAGCTATTCAGAAACGGCACAGTTCTTTGGAGCTGAAGGTATTCCTGAATCTTTTTGGAGTAACTTAGACAGTCTCCCAAGCCCGGTTGGATTTCGACCTGGAGTACCCTGTCAAGAAAAGCCCACCTCCGTCCCAAGTAGACGAAAAGAGCTTTTGAAACTGAATGCCGAGCTTCTGGATGATCTAGATATGCTTGAGGAGGATCACGTTGCCCTGTCGTCCGAATCACTGCTCAACGACCTGTTTAACCCATCCGTCACGCACCTGAAACTTCCAGTGTATCGATTACTCCATCATTCATCCCACCTGTTGGAAATTATTCAATCATTTGATATCTCACCTGAATCTTGCAATAATACTCCAGCCAAGTCGATAACCGATAGTCTCCCTCGCGGACAGGAAGGTTCCACTTCAATGTTTCACGATGTTAGTAACAACTCGGACGAATATGCAACTACAATATCCTTGCATGACTCGGGCTACGGCACTGCAATGAAATATTTTCCAGATCGAAGCATTACCACTTCAGGCCCGAAATGTGATATTGCAGTATTGTTAAGCGTGTTGGAAGCACATTGCTATCTGACCCGAATCTACCGCACGATTTGCCTTCGGTTGTACCAACTGTTTCTCTCTGTTCCTCCTGTGGATGCGAAAGTATATCTGCTATTACCAAAGCTTCAGCTTGGACACTTTCATATGGATGGCAACCTCGCTGTCCAAGTCCAGGTTCTGCTTGATCTTGGCTCTAGGGCAATGGGTCAGATCGACGAACTTCTAGGTTTTTCGTCCGGCTATATTCAGAAACATGAGCAGACGGAATCTTATTCCCCTGGGGCTATTGGGAAAGGCAACTGGTCAACTGCGATCCGGGATCTTGTTCTGGCGCAGGAGCAAGATGCGTGCGAAATGACCCTGGTGGATCTGATGCAACGTTTACGGCAACTTGTGCGAGATCCTGTTTTTCTTTAATTGCGAACTTTTTCTTTTCTGAAAAGTGACGTTTTTAATTCATAAATTTAATCAGTGGGCTTTTCATTTCTGTTAGTACTTGACTTGACTTGTTGAGCGCGTGCCCAGTAGGAAATCTGGGTGGCGGCTCAATTTCCTCATTGGGAATCCCAACCGCCCAAGTCATGGAATGATGATGATCTGTAGGGTCATTTTCAGCCCGAGAGCTGCGAAGGGCATTGCTTCCGGTTCGATCGGTCTTCTATTTGTCTCGCTTCCTAATACAGTTCATATATTTGGTGGATCTCACCGTTCAATAACCCCAAGCCCCAGATCGTGATTTCCCCGCGGGGGCATACTTCAATCCACTCCGTATCAAAAGGCATGCCACCGGCAACCTACTTGACTAGGCTTAGCCGATATTTCGGAGTCTTGCCAAATGTGGCTATGATTTGTTGGAGCCGACCTGATCTTATGTCAAAGTTGTTGGGGAAGAAGATATATAAACCTAGGATCAAGACGAAATCTAAATGTCTCAAAGTTATGTGAATCTCTCCAACACTGCAAATTACTTGGAAATCTCAAAATGAACAGACTTGTTTCACCAAACTGTCTCAAGTGCCCTACCTTTCGTGCGGGTAAATGCGCAGGAAAAGCAACAAAGCGGCTTGTTGCAACTGATGCGCCGCGTACTCGCAAAGACAAACAGGAAGGAGATATTTCTTCCGTTTTTTCAACTTTTTCTGGCCGAAAGAGCGCACCACTTCCCAGCCGCTTCAGGGATTTAAAGAAGAATTTGACCGTTGGATTTGAGGAGGAGATTCAGAAGTCTTGGGATGACCTAGTTGAGACTTTGAAAGTTCGGACCGAAGAAGTCGCTACCAAGAGAGAGGCTGTAAGTTCATTCCATCCTTCTAATGGAGAACAGCTGCTAATGGAATCAGATTATTCCACAACTCAACTTTTCCGATATTCAGGCTGGCAATGTATCTCCGGCAAACATTGAAGCCATTCGACGCACTGGTGTTGCTGTCATTAGAGGAGTTGTACCAAAGGGTGTCACGGAGGACCTCCTTTCTGATGTTCGTCAATACTTTGATGGCAAATCCTTCAAGGGATTCCCATCGGATGCGGAAAAGAAGGTTATCTACGAGTCATACTGGAGTCCCTCTCAAGTGAAAGCGAGGTCGCACCCTAACATGCTTTCTGCACAATCCTGGATGAATCAGCTCTATCGTGCCGATCCAGACCAAAAGAGTAACGAATCTTGCAGTTTTCAACATGTGTCGGACTTGACTGACAAGATTTAGTTGATCTTTCGGTCCCATTGACTTACTGTGACCGCGTTCAGATCCGTCCTCCTGGTGATAGACACTTTGGACTTCCCCCCACGTTGATGGTGGAGGTGTCGAGAGGTGGGAGGACAACGCTTACAACCATGTCTACCGCAACATATTCCAAGGAAAAGTAAGTACGAGCCATGTCAGTGGATGAGAGCAGAAAACTAATATCACGATAGTGGCGCGAGTACAACCCATGGGATCTGACTGGTCGTCTTGATGCCAACATGAACTTGTATGAGGCACCAGGAGGTTGCTCTGTCTTCCGAGCGTTCCAAAGCTGGCTTGGACTGTCTCGCCATGGGCCCCAAGAAGGTACGTGGCTCTTGAAAACACTGTTCATGCTAGCTCAGCGCTAATCGAGAATCCCAGGTACTCTGGTCGTGCATCCTATCCTGCAGCCTACCACTGCCTACTGGATGCTTCGACCATTCTTTAAGCCAACACGAAAGGGCTCCCTGGACGGATGGAAGTTTTCACTGGATGATGAAGAGGGCAATATCTATTTGCATGGTGCTAATCCGGGTACCGCTCAAGAGCATACCCCTGACCACCACCCTCATCTCAATCTCAGCGAGACTATGATCCCCTATCCTACTGTTGAACCAGGTGACACCGGTGAGTTTGAGCTCTTCAGATTACATCTTCCATGCTAACGTTTATGTTATAGTCTTCTGGAGCGCCGATACAATTCACGGAACGGAGACTGTGAACTCAGGAAAGAACGATGCTTGCGTGTTCTACATTCCTTCGGTCCCGCTGACGCCTAGTAATGCGGTAAGGTATCCGTTCTTAAACTTTGCTTATTTGCTTGGACTAATATCAAATAGCAATATGTCGCTCAGCAGCGTGATGCTTTCTTGAAGGGCGTTCCCCCACCGGACTTCCCCGGTGGCCTTGGCGAGTCTCAGTTCTCCGACAGAGCAACAGTTGAAGATATCCAGTCTGAAGCTGGTAGGGCTGCTATGGGTCTGGATCCTATCAAGCCGAATGGCAAGAACGACAAGCTTGTGCAAGAGATCAACAACATTCTGGGCCACTAGGTGTGTGGAAATTGTGACATTGTGATTAAGTATCTTAGCCTTGAATGAAACGTTTTATTTGAATATCCAATTGGTCGTGTATGATCAAGTGGTCGACGATATCTCTTTATTCGGTTGCTCGTTTCTCCCATTTCATCTCTATATAGAGTCGCTTGTGAACCAAGACCGACGATATCATAACTGACCATTGATTTCACTATGAACAACTTAATGAACGTGTGGACTACATCTAAGTGGGCAACACACTAGAACTAAGATCTCTGCAACAAAAGCTGAAACACCAGGTTGCCCTGCATAGTTCCGACGCCGAGTCCGAATAGTCCGATTTTAATTCCAATGTCATATGTGGATTCTTAATCTACCATGCTGTATTCACTTAAAAGGATGTTTTTTTCTGATAAGTCCAGATTACAGTTTCGTCAAAGAAAAAAACAATCTTACTAAATTTGTTTAGCAAATTGGATCTTGATACTTCATCATGTCTGCGCCCGATTCCAACACTCTCCCTGACATCACCGGAACTTGGATACTGGTAAGCCTATACCCCAATACTAAGATAGAAAGAAACATGCATTAAACATCAAACTAGAACCGGAAGCACTCAACCGACCCAGAGGAGGTCTTCGCTTTGGTATGTTCCGAAACAAAAGTGATTTAATTAGTCGCTAACAAGAAAGCAGCAAGGCGTCCCTTGGATCATCCGCAAAGCCTTGAAACATGCTCGACTTTCCCTGCAGCTTTGGCAAACCACGACCGATGCAGTGTCGGGAGGAGAAACGGACAGCACTAGTTCCAGCGAGTCGGTCACAAGGCTTCGTCTGAAGCAAGTCGTCAGCCCCGGTAGCTTCGACAGCGAAGGGGCTTATCCTGTAGATGGAACTCCGCAAGAGCTTTCGTTGCCGATATTTGGGGACTTGACTATGCGCTTGCAATTCATCAACACTTCGGACATCATAGAAGACACTCTCCGAGAGAAGTTGATCAAGTCAAGTATAAACGCGGAGGTCATTCAGGAAATAGCCAAGAACACTACGAAGGGTTGGGACGCTGAAGTCATTTGGGGATTTGAGGAGATTGAGGGAAACAAGTATCTTACTAGGAACATAAGCACCACCAAGGGTAATGATAAAGTTATTGCTCGGATGGTCTATCACTTAGAGAATTAAGAGTTCTTTGTGACGCCTGGAGGCATTGCAACTGGATAGCCGCATAGAAGGGACTATGAATGTGAAGATGAAACTTTTTGCTCTGAACATTGTAGCTGCTCACTTGATTGTGCTTCCTGGCTAAGCTCTCTAAATCCCTCTGGTCAAGTAAACATTGAATACAATGCATCATTGGCAACGAGCGAATAAGAAATCTGAGATGTAGGCTTTGTTTTTTATGTGGCGATTTGGACAATTTCAAGGAACCTTCGAATGTGTATATTCCTAGCTAATCTCCCAGACTTCAATTCGAAACTATGTTACTTCCCCTGCATCATTGGCACAACAAGTTTCTTTCCCGAAACCTTTCCATTCCGAAGCATATCCAATCCCTTCAGAATCCCATCAAATCCACCAGGAATAATTTCAAATGGGCAAGGTTTGATTTTGCCCTGATTAATGAGACTCTGAATGGTTTGATACCAGGACCGAGCCCAAACTCCAATTTCGGGTCTCGAGGGGATGCCATACGGGTCTGGCAGTTCCACGCCCTGGCCCGAGATAGCGCCTCCCATGACGAGCTCATGTTTGATTGTCTTTCGTGCGCAGAGACTCTCTTGATACTGTTCCAGGGCACAGTACCGGCCGCCTGTGCGACCGATGGCTGCATGACACAGTCGCAGAGTCTTTGCTTCTGCAAAGGGGTCGAGGACATAGCGTAGGGTACTCTTGGTCGCTGCTCGAATATCCTCCGCACAAGTTGCAGAGCTATAGTCAAAGACTAGATCTGCTCCGTAGGACTTGACCAGATCAAAGTTGCGAGGAGAGCAGGTAGTAATGACTCGGTGTCCACACCTAGACCGGTGTCAGTGGTTATGCAAAGTATATATCGGGCGCTTCAAACATACAATTTCACCATTTGGATTGCAAGTAGACCAAGAGTACTGCTTCCACCATATACGAGAACATCCTCCGTCTTTGTCGCTGGAGTATCCAACGTTCCAGGGATCTGGAGAGACCAAAAAAGAGCAACACCGAGAGTTGCAATTGCCGTACCCGAAATCGACGGCGCATTCTCAAGCGTCAAGCCTTTCGGAACATGGAAAGCAAGATCAGGATCAGTGCGAATATACTCGCAATAGGCTCCAGATAATGGGTCCGACAGATTCGATCCCTGAACCGCTCCAAAAGCTGGATCACCGAGCTTGAATCGTCCTTTGGCAGCTGCCTCAGCACCAAGAGCAACCACTGTACCGGCATAGTCACAGCCATCCCACAGGCCTGGAGTAGGGAACCTCAACGGCATCTTGAAATCGCAAGGATTCAACGCAACAGAAGCCGTTTTCATGAGCATTTGATGAGGTTCAAGTTCTGCAAGAGGCAAACCCGGGGTGATTTGAAGAACACCTCCTTCATGTTGAATGATCGCCGTTTGGGTAGAGGGAAGGCCAGGCTGAACTGCCATATTGGATGAAGGCGGACGATATAGACGGTGCATATACTGGAAGATAAAGATTCCAATATGCTATGTTCCCCCAGTCGAGGGATCAAACTATATACCCATAAGACTCCCCAGAGATGCAAATACAGCTGATCAGTCGGAGACCATTCTGGGCATGCATGTTGGTGAAGCAGGATCTCTGAGTCTGACCGCACCTGCGATATGGGTACACGACAAAGCTTGGTGCTGTTAGATACAGCAGCTCGTCTAGTTCAAAAGAGGCATGCGTGACGAAGTGTGAGTGAAAGGAGTTACTATAGCAGAGCAAAACCTTTGGTTGTACATCTCACCGTTGGCGCATCTACGCGTCCCGGATTTGGCTGGCTACTTCGGCAGTGACTTGAATGTAGTACCGATGTAGACCTTGACAACGTTTAGGTACTCTGGACCATTCATAACATTGGCGTGATGGAAAACTCGACCAGCACAGAATGCAGACTAAAAGCAAACTCGGTGATTGAAAGTTCTAGGTGGAATGTAGATCATTGGATGAGGCCAGAACAATCCATGTTAGAGGATCATGCCCCCAAGTTCAACACGGGATTCGAGCTCATAATTGTCATATAGAACCGTCAGCACGGCTGAACTCATTCCTCCGAGCCAGTAATCTCTTTCCTACCCAGTTACCTCGTGATGCAGGCGAGGACCGAAAGAACATAGGAGGCCTTGACATGTAGTATATGCCAGCCTCATGATAACCATATTGGAGCTTCGTCATTTATTTCGCCAGAAGTCATTTGAGAAAGCTGACATATCGAGCAACATGGGTGAGCATCGAAGCCTCATATTATAGCGGTTTTGAGAATTTCAAATCTACAAAGTTACATTCACTCTGTCGCGGTGTTAAGTGGAAGACTAATTCTCATCGGTACGTGCAGAAAAGGCATCAGATAATCTTAAATGCGTTAATGGTGATCATATTCGATAAGAAGTTACCCCAAAGCTATTCTGCAGGGAAGTCATAATGTCTTCAATTGACCAGTTCATATACAGGCTTCAAAGTGCTATACTTTTGAGTCATTGTATCATTCTAGTATTGAATCTAGTCTTAGTTTAGCAAATTGTATCGACCCATCCGTTCAAATGCTCTCTATAATGTTTCCTCTTTCACCAATCTGGGAAGAAGTACCTGTCCATCAGAGTTCCCACGCAAGTAAGCAGCCAGCAGCCGACTCATTCCCGCTTGCTCAGCAGCAGAAACCCACTCTTCCATAGAAATAGTGTGGAACTCCTGACCGGTTCCTAGCTCCATCAGCGGCATGATATCTTCTTTTCCGAGTTGCATTTCACCGGACTCATACATGTATTTGACTTGATGTGAATGACCGAGACCAGATCGGTAAACGGCCTCGAGAAGTTGATTTGCAACTGTTTCAACAGATACGAGATCAAAAACTCCAGACCATGAGCTTGAGTCCGGCACTTTGCGGGTCTCCTTGATGTATTGCATGACGTTTCCCATCAGGTCAAGCTCTGGTGAATTTGTACCGGTGATACTGGATGGACGATGGATCCACAGAGGAAGACCGAACTGTCGGTGAACGTTCTCCAGATACACCTCGCTGACCCACTTTGCAGCAATGTACCCGTCGTTTGGTGGTGATGGAGGAGGGAACGATGCCACGGAACATTCACCAAAGCTTTCTTGTCCTGAAAGACGAGCAACACCAGCCGTGGAAACGAAGTGGAATGGAATGCATCTCGGCAAAGCGAGTCTGACAAGTTCCTTGGTCGATGCCACGTTGATGAGTTTGAGAGTCTGATAGCTTTTCATGAATGAAACGTCGGCACCATTGTGAATTATGATGTCTGCATAAGAAAAAATTGAGCTAGCCTCTGAATCACTGAGTCCCAGTTGACGAGCTCCAAGGTCACCCTTATGCAAATGAACCTTCGGGTGCGAGAAATTCTCTGGCAGTTGGGAAGATTCTTTCCTGACCGCCAGACAATGGACGGAGACAACGTCAGATTCCCTTAACAGGAGTCGGAGAAGTTCCTTGCCAAGGAAGCCAGTAGCACCGGTGAGAACCACAACCCTAACCCCAGAGGGAATAATGTGGGTGCCGCCGTCGTTCAAAGAAGAGGCGAGAGTAGAATCGATCGCAACTTCCTTTGTCCAATCAACTTCTAACTGCTGAACCGGAACAGTCAAATCTTCAATAGCTGCAGCCATTGCGCGAAGTGTGCTAGATTCAAAAAGCTGGTATAGTGCCATTGAGACTCCCAAATGATCCTTAATTAAAGCCTGTAGATCAACCATAGCAAGCGAGTTTCCCCCAACATGGAAGAAATCAGACTGGGAGTCAATTGAATGATAGCTTGCCACTTCTCGTGGAAGCGTCTGCTGCCAAAGTCGACGCAATGATTGCTCAGAAGCCGTGAGAGTTTCATCCTTTGCTAATTGAGATGCAATTTCTGGGATGGGAAGTGAGGTAACTGCCGCTCGATCGGTCTTGCCAGAAGTATTCTGAGGAATAGCCTCAATGGGAATGATAGCAACAGGTCGCATATGCTGGGGCAACGGTAGCTCCCAAGTAAGGCGCTTGAGGAACTGATGTGTGCTCTCGTAGTTGTCCATGGTTGTCATCACAGCAAAGGCCACAAGAAATTTGTCCGAGTTGTGGTCGGCATCAGAGCGTATGGATACCACAGCCTGAACAATGGCACCAGCGGAAGAGTTTACAATGGCTCTCTCGACTTCTTCGATATTAATTCTCATGCCTCTCAGCTTGACTTGATTATCGCCATCCATGCGTCCTAATAGGACCAACCCACCGTTCGCAGTGAGCCTTCCGCGATCTCCAGTTCGATGAAGTCTTGTCCAATTATTCTCTTTGAAGAATGAATTGGCATAGTGATCAGGCGCAAAACGGTCATCGGTCTTTGCGCTGTTCAGATAGCCCTGTGCAACTCCTGCACCACCAATGACCACTTCACCAGGAATCCCGATCGGAACAGGGACGGAATTCTGATCAACAATATAGACAGAGTAGTTTGGCAATGTAAAGAGCGCCTGCTCAGAACATGCAGCAGTTGAATCCAGCGGGATCTCAGTACCAGAGCAGGCAATGGAAATCTCCGCAGGTCCGTAGCCATTTATCAACTTGAGTCCGGGTCGTTGGAGCGCTTTGAACTCCTCTATCAATCCACTGGATACAAACTCACCGCCACAGATAGCGGTCCTTAGGCTGGAGTTACTTAGACTGGATCGGCCGTGTTGCATCCAAGCAAGATACTCCGTCGGGGTTGCAAGAGTGAGAGTCACTTTCTCAGATGCAATAAGTTCGGTGAGAGCAACAGGATCACCTCTTTCCTTACTTGAAGCGATAACAAGAGTTGCACCATTGCAGAGCGAAACCATGATCTGCCAAAGAGACGCATCCCATGCGTAGGAAGACTGGTGTAAGAGGGTCTCGTCTCCTTGCTTGACATTCCACTTCGCACTGGAAGCTTGGACATGGTGAACGTATGCCGAATGGGAGATCATGAGACCTTTGGGGATTCCGGTTGATCCACTGGTATACATGATGACTGCAGTCTGCTCTGGTGTCGCCATGTTGGGGACCGTGCTGGCAGAGGAGTCGCGCAGGCTACCCACATCAATTGGCTCAGCCTTTGTATGTAAGAGGCCAAAGTCAGATATGGTGGTCTTATCAAGGAGAATTACAGGGGCATTTGTTTCATCCATGATCATGGCCAGTCTTTCCATGCCAACCTTCTTGTCAAGCGGAATGTAGGAGCCACCGACACGGAGAATGGCCATAAGAGAGCATATCCAGTCTGCACTTGGGGATTGCAAAACTCCAACACGGGTGTATGAGCCGATCCCGTTGGTGAGGAGCTCATGGGCAATGATATTGACGCGACGCTGAACTTCAGCATATGTGAGTGAAGTTCCATCGTGGTTCTTCAAGGCCACACGGTCAGGATAGGCGCGAGTAATCTCATCTAAGCGATGCACAATGGTGATGGGGTACTCCTCTCGCAGTTCGGGCCCTACTGCACCGTCAGTTAAGTTCGAAAGAATGTTAATGGGACTTGCCTCGCCCCATAGTCACTGCTTTCTCGACATCGTCCTTTAAATACAAACCCGGCCAGGTCACTCGAGTTGCTGGGTTTCGCAGGAAAGACTGAACCAGATTCGAGTAAGAGCGAATGAGGATCTCAGCATGGTCCAAATTGTAGAGACTTTCCTGGACGGATAAATGGACGAGGGTCTCGCCTGCGCCGACGTTGCCAACATCGAGGCTGAGATCAAAGGAAGTTTCACCACCACCTAAAAGAGCCCCATCGGCAATACATCCGCAGAAAGTTCTGCTCTGTTCAATCTTGGGACGGTAGTTGAACATGGCTTGACAAAGAGGGTTGTGAGACGCAGATCGCGGAACGCCAAGTTCTGTCAGAATTACATCAAATGGTACGCGCGAATGAGTATATGCGCCTTGCGTAATGTTCCGGACGTCCTTGAGCGACTCCCCAAAAGATTGGCCTGGGTGCTGGGAGAACTTTACAGGAAGAAGATTCAAGTACAACCCCACGCTTCGCAGGATGTCAGCTTCGGTGCGGTTGCCATCACCTAGACCAATGCAAATGTTTTCTGAATCAAAGAAGCGCAAGAGAAGGATCTGCCAGATTGCGAGGTGGAAATGGAAGGGCGTGGATTTGAACATTCGGCAGCACCGTTCAATCGACTCTGAAGTGTTCGCATCAAGACGCATTTGAGCAGTATGTGAGCCAAACTGGGCAACCTTGGGGCGGACAGATTGCAGAGCAAATGGGAGCAAAGGAATCGCTGGTGGGATGTCGACAAACTGTGCTCGCCAGTAAGCCAGGTCATTGGCCCATTCACCATCTTCATATTCCCGAATTTGTCGCAAGGTGAAGTCCGGGTACTGGATGCCATCCTGTGAGAGAGGTATACCCTGGTAGGCTTTTTCAACATCCGACCAGAAGACCTCAAAGCTGATGCCATCCATATTGATATGATGGAAACCGAATATCATCCAGTGCTTTGCAGAATTCAGGGAAAGAAGTTGAACACGCATGATTTCGCCATTGGCAAGGTCGAATTCATGTGCCTTCATATGCCTTGAAGCCTGCTCAACCTCACATTGGTCGCAAATCTCAATACGTTCGAGGCGTACGTTGGACTTGGCCCATACACCCTGCTTGTGGTTTCGCTCGTCGTCAGTGAAGAAGAATGTACGCAATGCTTCATGATGCTGACCAGTAGTCTCAATGGCTCGAGCAAAGTCGTCCACCCTCAGACGACCAGTCAATTCAAATGTTGGGGTGATGTTGAAAGCAGTCTTGTCCTCAACCAGATGACCAAGAAACCAGAAGCGAGACTGCCCATAAGACATTGAGGTGGTTTTTTGAACTTCCCGACCGGGTGAAATGATCTCATTATCATCGGTGGAAATTGAGGAAGAGGTGTCTGCATTTTCTTCGGAATTGGAGTCGCCAGTGTTCAACGAAGCGGCCGAGCTACCACTATAGGTATTCGTCGCGTCCGGGATTGCAAATTTGAAGGCTTCCAGAGTGTCGTTCGTGTCTGGAGTCAGAATCTCATCAGAAGTGTTACTGTCGATGTTAGCCACTGGCACGACCGGAGCGGGTTGACGCGTTGCAGCGTTTGGGAACTGCTCAATGCTGGGGAGATTAGGTACAAGCGTCTCCGGAAGAACTTCTGCGGCTGTAGCAAGCAGCTCGCGAACGGATGCCGCATTGAAAATCTTCAGTACTGGCATGTCGACTCCCAATTCTTTGAGGAACCACGAGCGAAGGTCAACAGCGACCAGTGAGTCCACACCTAGTTCATCGGGACTCATGTCCAGCATTGGCTTGGACGGATCAGCTTGAAGGGCGGACTGCAGCTTTAGGATAAAGCCATCTGATTTGAATAAGGTTAGCTGTGAAAGAAATGGAGCAAAGTCGGGATGGCAGTACCTATCAAGATCTCCATAACCTCCTGCATGGACGTCGCCTCAAATAAGCGTGTCTTTATCAGCATGCCGGATTTTCCCTTCTTATCAGAAATGACAAGGCTACTGGATTTGAAGACCAAATGTTGGAACATGGGGTTAGAAATCCAACTCTTCGACTCGTCATCGTCGATTCGGAGACCACAGCACAATTCAGCAGCACCAACGCGCTCCAAGCAGGAAATGACACCTTCGGCAAATACCTCATGGAAATCTTGTTCGGACATCCAAGAATGTCCGACTCGGTACAGGTATGACTGTTGACCCATGTTCAGTTCTCGGGTCACATATCCATTGCCAACAATAGCACCAATGTTGATTGCATGTCCTGCCAGGCCACGCTTTCTGCGTTGTGCAGCTAGACTTGCCATGAACATGTTCGCGGCGTTGTAAGCAACCTGTCCTGGATTACCTGTCATAGCAGCCATTGACGAGAAGAACACCATGAAGTCAAGTGTGTCTTCGGGGAACAGCTCATCGAGAAGTATACTACCGTCAACCTTGGGGCGGAGGACTTTGTCCAGCCGTGGAAGATCTAGGTCAATGAACATGGTATCCTGGAGGACCATGGCGCCTTGAGCGACACCAGCAACCGGAGGCATGCTATCACAGATCTGACGATATCCAGACTGGACAGACTCGCGCTTTGTGATATCACTAAAAGCCATTAGCGTCCATTGAGGTGGATGATGGCAATGCTGATCTGGAGAAAAATACTTACATCGAAAAAACGCGAACAGTGCATCCGGCTGCTGCCATTCGTTTCAACCACTGCTCGTCAATCTTAGGGTTGCGACTTGAAAGTGCGATGTATCGTGCACCCTGTCTGGCCATCCACTGGCAGAGAGACAAGCCAAGTCCACCAGTGAGACCAACAAGCCAGTAAGTCTTGTCTTTGGAGAACTTCACTTGCTTTGTGGCTGGACGGACTTGAACAGCAAGCTCAGATTCACCCCAAGCAACAAGGGACTGCTCAGCCAGTGGGTAGTTTGTGCGAATGAGATCCTGGGGAGTCAAGGATGCGAACCTGTGTAGATTCACCGGCATCAAGTCATACTGCGCTCTCATCCAGACATTCCGAAGCTGCATGGCCAATGGCCCCATGTCAGAAATGAATTGTGACTGATAGGAAGTGGCTGTAAGAGTAGTCTCGTTCTCAAATGGATATATAGCCGGCAGGCATGCTTTAAGAACCGACAGCACATCATCGCTACCCCCCATGGTGACAAGTCTCGCAATGTTTTTGGGTAATTTAGTCATTAGATCCCGTCGGGTGGTATTTGGGTGAACTTGTATCCATGGCCAAGAGCAAGGACCTTGCTTCGTTGTCAGCAGAACAAGCTGAACGCCCTTTTCATTGGCATGCTTGGTCAAAACAGGAGTCATGGAAAAGTCGGGATCCAAAACCGCCAAAGCCGTGCCAGGTTGGAGCTTCTGCAGCATAGACAGAGAAAAGAAGTGCAGATAGAGAGTGAGCATAGAACGAATGGCTTGATCTTCAGAGTCTCCGCAACGAACAGCGAGACTATGTGGCACATGAACTTGAGACTCCAAAACATGCGACAGAGCAACCACCCGCTCATTAGTGCGAGTATTATGCCCGATTACCAGGAATAGACTTTCCGCCTCGGTTATGGGTACAGCGCGTAACAGGGAGTGAGTAACATGGATTTCAACTCCATCGGGGAAGGACAAGGTGGAGCGAATATCTTTCTCTTCAACCTGATATCCCGTGTCCGATTGCTGTATAGTGACGATCGACTTGGTTCGCTCAATGTTCTTCGTAATAAGCCGTCTTGAAGAATTGTATCTGTCGTTGCGACGAGAGTTGAAACGGAAGCGAGGAAGTTGGAACTTTCCGTTCTCCAATGCTATCTCTCGCTCGTTAGACCATAGGATTCCATCAAGCTGGCCACTCTGTTCCCAAATTTCGGCAACTTCAAGATGAAGAAGCTTGGTTGCAATATTTTTGGTATCGGCTTCACGCAACGAGTGTAGATTCAGGAAATGGACGTGTAAGTGGGTCATTTCCATGAGCAGTGTCCGCTGGACGCCGGTGAACATGTTGCCGTAGGGGTTGTCACCTTGAGCTCCATGGCCTAGCCAAAGAACATTCTTGCTTCGTTTGAACAATTCCTGGAATGAAATCAAGTCCTCGGAATTCATGCTTTTGAGAACCGGTTCATCGAGTTCGATCAAACTGATCACCGTTCCCATCACTGGCAAATCTGCGGAGACAATATCTCCCAAGGAGTTGGCGATATGGATGTTGCTGTAGTGGCGACTGACTGCAGCCTTGACTTCAGCAGCCAAAGTAGCAGTAAGTGGCGTCTTACCTCCGATAATTGTCAACGAGTCAACACCAAGCGGTTGGTGTATATGGGCCAAGGGATCACGGAGGAAGTTGATGCGATGGTCAACCGCTTGCGTGACCATGACAGAGAACGGCAAATTAGAGGTTGAGGAAGATGGCGCGAGAGCCTGCAATCCTGAAAACTTGACCTTTTGCATCAGCTCGTCCCACTTACTCTCAGCGACGCAAGGGGACAGAGTTCTTCCCTCCTCATGGCCTAGCCACCAACCAGGTAGGCCACCGAGAATGAGGCCGAAACGCATAATGTCGGGGTTCGTGATCTCCAACATGATCAGATAGCCACCAGGCTTGATCAAACGACGAACATTCGTCAGGGTAGCCTCGAGATTCTTTGTAGCATACAAAGCGAGAGGGGCAATCACCAAATCAAAGAATTCTTCTTCGTATCCTTGCTCTAAGGTGTCCTTCTCGATGTCTAGGACTTTGAATGCCATTCTAGATTGGTATTCCGAGAATTTCTCACGGGCATCATCGAAGCCGGTGTCCAAGATATCGGAGTATGTATAAGAGGTGAATGCCGAGCCTAGCGCAGGCAGAATCCTCTCGGTATTGGCACCAGAACCAGCACCTTTAAGTCATCAATATAGCGAACCGTGGTGGACTTGTATTCAGACTCACCAATTTCTAAAACATTCAAGTGAGGATACCGGTGGCTGATCTGACGAGCCATGCGAGCAGTCTCTCCAATGTAGAAATCAATTCCAAGTGTGTTGGCATGAAAACTACCAAGCATGTTATCTTGTATGAGAATTTCAAGCAGGTTCTTCTCACCGCGAATCATAGCACACAGGTTCTGGCCGATGGCAGAGAGAGCCTTGATGTCGATGCTGTCAATATTTCTACATGCATTCATCAGTATATATTGGCTTCCGCTTGTTTTTATCTAGTATTAGTGTATCTCACCGCTCTATAATTGGAGTAATGGTGTCAAGTGTATCGCTAGCCCATTCAGTCTTCGCAAGTTTGTGCTTCCCAGATGCAACAGAAGCGACGCAGTGCTCAGCATATGACAAAAGATGAACATGGTTCCAGGCAGCTTTCGCGCGTTCGGTCTCTGTGATTGAGCTATTGAGGTTTTTGAAGTAGAAGTGAGCCATGCGTTCAAGATCTAATAAGAGAGCTTGGTCTTGCGGTTTCAATTCCGTAGTGGCCTTGGGGCTAGTCGGCCCATCAACATCCCAGGTGACCTCCGTGAAGAAGGGAATATCATTGATGGATGTCAATGGACTGAGTGGGGTCGTATGAAGCCCTTCAAGTTGAACCAACGTGTGCTGGCTGTCAGCAGAGAAAATACTGACATCACCAGAAAGCTCAGCGAAGCGAGCCTCCGCGACTGCTGAGTAGAATGGGAGATCTGTTCCGGGCGCAGCGAGGGCAGCACAGGCTGATGGGTTCAATAGAAGCCTGTCAATACGAGTGGGCAGGTAGAGAGTCTGTAGGCGACCATCTCCGGGGAAACAATAAGCCAACATAATTGACTGGATGGCGCCATCGAGCGAACCCGGATGAATAATTAATGGTCGCTCGTCATCGTCTACCTCTGGGACAGCAATGAGACCGGTAGCCTCGTCCATCTTCCTGCTCAGGTTGGAGAGGGCTTGGAAAGGTCCTGTATAACCGAATCCAAGCTCTGAAACTGTGTTGTAGAAGCGATCGGCTTCCAATTCAAGGAACATTCCATGGGTTTCAGAGCGAGGGGGAAGAATATCATTATCCGGCTGGCCCAGGGAGATCTGAAGCGAGGTGGAGGCGTGCAGGGACATGTTGGCGGATCCCTTGTTGGCACTGGAATGGCAGGCGAAAGACGCTGTCACGATATCATCGCGCACTTCCTCGATTGATAGTCTGAAAATAGTCTCGACTCCACCATTCTCCTCAAGAACCAAAGCTTGGCCAATGATCACATCACGGAAGTCGATCAACTTAACGGACTGGAGACCATACTTCTGAGAGACGGCCTCGACAGCTGCTGAAATATACCCAGCAGCTGGGAACACCATTTGTCCCTGTACCTGATGATGTGCTAGCCAAGAGACTTCGCGAGGATGAAGATAGTTGCGCCAGCGCAGCTCCTTATCAGTCCCATCCGGGCATTTAACACCAAGGAGAGAATGGAAAGGTTCATTCTCAGTACGGAACGCAGCCGAAGAGCGAGACTCATGCCAATAGACACGATCGTGATCCCACGAGTACGATGGAAGACCCTTGATCAAGCTGGGCTGTCGAGTGCTTTGTGTCGCCTTGCTTTCGAACCCGGCAAAATCGACAACGCTCTCTCCAAGTGATACCCACAGTGCACCGAGAGCAGATGCAAAAGCCTCTCGGTCATTTTTTCCGCGATTCAATGTCCCCGTGTAAGGTAATGCTTGACCGGAGACTTCTTGAATAGTTTGCATTGCGGGTCCTTTTAGTGCTGGGTGTGGTCCAACCTCTAATGCCATGTCGAAGGGTCCTGCCGATCCAACGGCATAAGTCACTGCTTGAGAAAAGAGGACAGGGTTGACCATATTGTTGCTCCAGTAAGTGTCAGCCAGGTTGTCATTGATGTCGTCAATGTTCTCGCCATATACACTGGAGATCCAAATAGCACTACCAGGAGGCCGAGGTTGCATAGTGATGCCACACTTTTGGATCGCTGCAATGTAAGGTGCCGCACAAGACAGCATGTGGTGCGAGTGGTATGCCTTGTCAACCTTCAAGAGGCGAGCAAACTTCTGCTCATCTTCGAGAATTTCTTGTGCCTCATTGATCGCATCCGCATCACCAGAGAGAGTAACACTAGTGGAAGAATTGCTAGCCGCGACGCAAATTCGGCCTTCTAGTGAAGGCATCTCGCACAGTTCCTGGGCATCTTGGAAAGATGTACCCGCAGCCATCATGGCACCATTTGGTCCTTCTTTGTCGTTGGCATATTGAAGAGACCATCCACGGTAGTATGCAATGCGAATGGCATCTTTTTCATTTAGATAACCTGCAGCGTAGGCGGCGGCAATTTCGCCAGACGAGTGACCAACCACAGCCTTGAATTTGATATTTGCAGCATGGAGAAGCTGGACTAGGACAATTTGGACAGCTGTACAAAGCGGCTGTGAAAACTTTGCCAGCGCAATAAGAGATGAATCCTTGTCTTTGAGCAGCTCTTTGCTTAGAGACCAGTCGGGGCGGTGCTCGGTGGGCAAACTCTGTAGGGAGCGATCAAGACGGCCAATACATTCCCGTGCCATTGCTGAAGATCCCAGAAGCTCTGCACCCATTTTTGCCCACTGCGCACCTTGGCCTGTGAAGACTCCAAGAATCTTTGGTTCATGGATGGTTGCGGTCTGTGTGCTTGGGGTAATGCCAGTGGATGATTGCACTGCATCATCCAGTCTTGCGACAAGCTCTTCGGTATTCGATGCAGAGATAGATAACCTAACCGGCAACGTAGAGCGACGGCAATTCAGAGTCCACGACAGGTCCCGCAAATTCACATCGGAATGACTCTTAACATAGGCCGAATATGCAACCACATTTGCAACAAGCGATTTCTCAGAAGAAGCAGACATGTTGAATGGGGATACAACTGGGGTATTAGCATCACCGGAAGTGTTGCCGAGCAATCTTGGATTGTATTCTTCCAGAATTGCATGAGCATTTGCACCACCGAAGCCAAAGCTGTTGACACTAGCTCGACGAAGGGTGTTGTCTGGGAGTTGAGGCCATTGTTTGGCGGTCTGAGCAATCTCCAAATCAGTGTAGAAGGGTCGAACCGTTGAACTCAATTCGTTAAGCAAGAGATTTGGCGGGATCACTGCGTGCTGCAATGCCAGAGACGCCTTCATAACAGCTGCCAAACCTGCTGTTCCCTCGGTGTGTCCGATGACAGTCTTGATAGATCCAACGTACAATGGATCTTCTTGACCGTTCTTACGGTGGTAGTTGGCTTTATTACCGAAGAATGCCGTGCTAATTGCTTCGGCCTCGACAGGATCACCAGCAGGGGTACCTATTCCTTGTTAGCAATATGCTCTAAACGATGGATCATAGCTAGGCCAGCACATACCAGTTCCGTGAGCTTCAAAGTATTGCGGTCGATCACTCGGTTTGGAAAGATCAAGTCCAGCTCGAGCATACGTGGTGCGAATCAACTCTGCTTGAGCCACAGGGTTCGGCATGGTGATTCCTTTCGTACGGCCATCTTGGTTGATACCCGTCTCGCGAACAATACACTCAATGTGATCACCGTCAGCCAAGGCGGCACTCAATGGTTTAAGAATCACAGCAGCAATTCCATCACCACGAGCATATCCATTGGCATCCTTATCCCACATCCGCGAGCGTCCAGTTGGAGATAGCATCTTCAATTTGCTCTCCGCAATATACTGTTCAGGGCCAAGGAGAAGGTTGGTTCCGGCGGCAATGGCGACATGGCTCTCGCCGCTTCGGAGGCTCTGCACGGCCTGGTGTAGTGCGATTAAGCTGGAAGAGCAGGCTGTGTCGATGGTCATCGAGGGGCCGCGCCAGTCAAAGAAGTAGGAGACTCGGTTCGATAGGATACTGCGAGCAGTTCCAGATGCAAAGTAGGTAGGGAAATTTTGAACATCTCGACCTAGCATGTCTGCGTAGTCGTTCGTCATCAGTCCAACATAAACCGCGGTGTTGGATCCCTGGAGACCTTCCATAGGGATACCGGCAGTTTCCAAGCCCTCATAGACGGTCTCCAACAGCAACCTTTGCTGCGGGTCAATGGAGTTTGCTTCGACTGGCTTTGTTCCGAAAAATTGGGCGTCGAAGAGTCGGTGGTCATCGGATAACAAGTAAGAGTGTCGCACGTTGGTCGTGCCATGGTGCAGACCATCTGGGTGGTAGAAGGCCTTGGTGCTAAATCGGCTTTCAGGAATCTCCGTCAAGACGTCACGGGGATCTTTCAGCAGATCCCATAGCTTCGATGGTGTTGTTGCATCGCCAGGAAAGCGACAGGCACTTCCGACAATGGCAATCGGCTCCCCGATTTGTTCACGATCACCCGTCATTGTGTTGGCAGGGTTTGACTGACTTATTCACAAGGTGGTGCAACCAATTGTACAACTATTAGTATGCAACTAGAAGTCTAGAGAGTATGAATCAGGGTGAATCGGGACAAGCGATGCTCCGTAACATTCACTCTCCAGCACCAAGGACGGGCAGCGGTACATATCAAGGTTCCGAGGCTCGCTATGATTGTCAGATTGGGACAAATTCGGGCATTGATTCTCGCATCATCCTGTCCACTATCATTCAGCTGGTTCCGACTCCGACTCTATTCCCGGGTCTGTGGTATGAAACGAGACAAATCACGAATTGGACAAGGGTCCACCATGTTTCCGCCATGTGGATTGGCGTGCCCATTCCCTCGTGTTGTACACGAACTATTGCCATATCGTGGAGAATCTAGATCCTTGCGGCGAAACGGGCTTTCCAAGTGGTGGAGGTTGCCTGTCAGCCTTTGACTCGGTTTGAATCTCAAGGCCGACTCCGAGTCCGACTCGCTCGTGTCTTAGAGCGGCAGTATATCATGGCATTCGTGTGCAATGCGCCTAGCATCATCCCGCAGATTCGGAGATATCTCAGGCTGGATTGAGACGCATTGCATAATCCCTTGTTCCTGGGTGATCTCCAGCCTTGGGTTCGTATACTGACCAACACGTGTGACAGGGGCAACTTGAAAAGTTCCAGAGTTGTTGCCATTCATTAAGACGGCTGAGTCTTGATGACCTTTTGGATAAATGTCTCATAATTAGCACAAGACATGGGCGAGAATCGAGTCCATCTCAGTTTGATATCTTTTTGGTCGACACATGACCCACCATGCGGGTCGGTCTTGAAAAGGTAACAGACAATAGGCGCTAGCGGTTAACAACTATCTGCATATGCATATCATGGTCTTATGGCCTAAGGAAGCAGGAAACCAAGCCATGCATCCATGAACGTAGCGTTAGCCGAGATGTTGGAATGGCTTGGGTGGTGAGGTTGTGTCAACTGCTGGTCAAGTCGTGCATATCCCTGTTTGACTTGTGTTTGCTTTTTCCAACGCGTCTCTGTTGCATTGCATGACAAGCGTCAGAACATGGATGAAATGCTCCGATACTATATGTTCGTGTCTTTATCCTACTCGTGGATGCAATTGAGACCAAATATCAGCAACTGACCGGGGGAATTAGCAAGTGTTTAATTAGGCGTTAAAAAAATGATTTCATTCATCATTCGCCGCCATCTCTGGCTGAGCGCAAGCTATTCGTCAATCGTCTTAATAGATATATACAAATTCGTCATTCTGACGGTCAGTCAGATCCTGGAAGGCGTTGTCTCCAACCTGAACGGTCTCCTGTCCCGCATCTTCCTGGTTGCCTTCATCCATGCCATGATAGTGGTTTTGCATGGAATGGTCCACAATCTCAGCCCTCTTGCCATTTCGGACACGGCGGCTTGCTTGTTGTTTGTTAAGGAACCACAGGTTAGCCCACTGGATAAGGACCACGGCAGCAAGGGCAGTGAAAATTCCCAGGCATGCACGCAGACCGGGTGTATAAGCGGGCTTGTCCTTCTCGTTAAACAGCAAAGGACCAATGATGTTTCCAGCGGAACTGGCGGCATTGTACAGACTCATGATGACAGACTTCTTGGTTGTGCCTGCTGTGTTGCCGATAATCCATGTGACGATTAAGGGGTTGCCACCGAATAGGAATGAAAGCAGGTAGTAACCGGCCAACAACTCGCTCTGCACGGCTTTGGTTCTGGGGAGTGCAAACAAGATGGCGAGGCCGGCAATCACTGGAAGCATGAAGCCAGCGAGGATGGCACTCTTCACGCGGGCTGTCTGAGCGAGGTAACTTGCCAGCAGAATGATCAGAAATTGCAGGGCGCCGAAGGGCATTGTGAGAAGGGTCGTTCTGTATTTGTCGTAGCCTAGACCACTTAGAATGAGAGGTCCGAAAATGTTGGTCACGCTGGCACCAATGTTGAGGAGCAAGGCCATGGCAATCCATAGGTAGGTTTTAGGCTCGAGGCAGGCTTCGTAGACGTGAGCCATCTTGAACTCGGTGTTTCCTGCTCCCGTCTGGTTGGCCCTGAGACGTTCCACTCCCTGGGCTTTTTCCTTTTCGTTGAGGAATCGAGCAGTTGCGACATCGTTATCGAGGCGCCAGTAGACGACCGGGGCGGAAAGACATGTGATGAGGCCGACCACTAGGAAGATACTAATCATTGTTAGAAGTCTTCTTGTCAGATACCAGCAGAGATACTTACATCTGCCATGACTTCAACACATCCGACTTGATATGTGCCAGTCCGTACGACAAAGCAGCCGCAATAATCGTAGCCAGACCATTGGTACTGTACCAAGCAGCAATCCGAATCGGCTGCTCGGCACGACGATACCATTGACTGGTAATCACACCAAACAGAGGCAAGCATCCAGCCTCGAACAGACCAAGGAAAAAGCGAGCGGCCATAAGCTCATTGAAGTTGTGACACGCAGCCATACATGTTTGCGCAATACCCCATCCAAGACACAGGCATGGCATCAAAATCTTATGAGGGACTTTGACAATGAGATATGAAGAGAAGGGTTGCCAGGCCAGCTGTGCAATGGGACCAATGGATCCAACCAGAGAGTATTGGTTGCCGGTCAAGTTTGTATCCTTCTGTAAACCGAAAGTCGCACCATATCCCAGGACCGTCTTGTCGAGAATCTGTAAGAAGTAGACCCAGGCAAGAACAATGAGAATAGTTCGATCAGTCTTCCGACAAATGCGCTTGCTGTCTTCCTCCGTCATGTGGACACGCTCAATACCACTGCTGTCCACCGGGTTGTCGCCTTTCTGCGCCTCGGCGGTCTCGTGGTGCATGACATCTGGCTTGGACATGGCGTTATCCATTGTGAAGGGGGTGAGTGAATCTGTCTGTACCTCCCTAGGCCAGCCCCAAGGGATATATAGGGATATCCACCCCACGTCCATCGTAATGCATTCTTGTTTCCCCGGTGTTCCCCCACGTCTCCGCGTCCGCCACCAAAGTCAACTGAAGATCAGCCCACACCAGTTCAGGCCTTTAGCGAGTGAGCTTAGCCGTTTGGTTACTAGCTTCATGGCTCCGAGCCAATCGTTTACAATCTCCCGACCGAAAAAACGCGGGGACTCGGGCGTCTTTGCCATTCGGCCATTGCCGAGGCAAACCGAATCTCGGTGGGGGTTCAGCTTTTGCTTCTCTTGACTCGGGTTCAGAAACCGATCGTAGGCTGTCGGCTTTTGTTAGAGCCGTACTTGATCGTGGCGGCGCCCAACATGCCGACCTTGGGCCCGGAGCGTCTCACGCCAGATATATCTTCGTCACATGCCCTGTTTCATTTGCCGTCGGTGACCTGTCGATCTTCTCACCGTTGACGGTCTTTGAGATGGGCTGATAATATCCAGTCCCTAGTGACAGCGTCAAAGACCCGATCCAGTTGACCGAGCCCGATGTCTTCCAGCCTCAGGCACATTCCACCCCACGCCAAGATCTCCCGCTCCGAATAACCTCGCTTATACCAAAAAGGTCTGAAAAAACCAACAATTGACACCTACTACCCAGACAAACCATTGTAATCATCCAAATCGTCCATTGAACAAAATAATTTCAAAATTCGGGACCAAATCGAAGTCCAAACCCTACCAAAACCCATAAAGATCCAAGACAAGCCCCTAGCAACCGCCATCCCAGATTCCTTTTTTGAAGCGAGACATGATCCAAAGTCTCACCCGACCGATAACACCAACTATGTGGATCTCCCATATTCCTCTGGCTTTGGGCTTTGGGCAAGATTCCCCTTACAGCAAGAGATAATACGACGCGTGTGTTGCCATTCCGCATAAGCATAGAAACCGCCGTGATTCATCGAGCGATGAGCAGTATATGGTAGGTGTGCTCGACAATTCACACTACCGTGTGATTGCTACTCATCTATGTATCTTCCTAAGGTTTATCTTCTGATTCCCAACCCCATGATTGGATGATGCGTCCGTCGACCTTTGGTGGCCGGCTGGCTCGACATGTTCGCCTGTGGTTGGAAACACTACCATTGTATTGGAGTCATATTTACGTAGTCTAGATATACACTAACTTATTTGGTTTGTTAGATAGATATCTTGGTATTCAAGTCCCGCGGAGATGTTCGAACGCGACATCGACCCTTATCTTGCCAAGACCCTGCCTATGATATCCGTGAGCACTGTGACTCGACAGAACAAAATGAAGAAAGGAGATGATCGCCCATGCGACATGCTATCCACAACTTTATTGGCTTGTCTTTACATGGTTGGTCGATAGTTCAATAATGCGGAGATACTCTAGTTCCTAACACCGGCAATGGTCAAGCTGGGCGAGATAAGGCTTGAGCTCGAGCAGATGAAAATGATATAACATCGGAGCCTTGGAAAAGTGTCTGTCGCTCATTTAGTAACGAGTAAAGGGATTTTCTGTTTCTCTTCGGGTGCTAAAGTATATATTTTTGTTCACGATGACATTCGACGCTTTATCCCCTCGGGAGGTGACCGAGATGGTCTCCAATGCCGGAGTCCTCAAGGGCAATATGCGTTTGGACAAGGTGTTCATGAGCGCTGTCTCGGCAGGCGCTTTGCTTGCCTTTGCATGTGGAACTGCACTCAGCACCAATGCGACTCCCTGGTTCCAAACCAATGCCCCGGGCTTGATGCGAACTATCAGCGCATTGGTCTTCCCCTATGGCTTGTGCATGATCTTGTTGACAGGAGCAGATCTCTGCACCGGGTCTTTCATGGTATAGCCAATCAAGACATAAAATTCTAGAATTGAGGCTAACGTGTATACCTCCAGTTCACAACAACAGCTGCTCTCCACAGACGCCTCCCCTGGACAAAGATGTTGATCCATTGGGTAGTCACTTTCCTTGGAAACCTAGCTGGCTCGCTATTCGTCGTGTCAATCATCTTCGGCTGTAAGTACCCGGCCAGTCCAGCAGTCGTGGTCGCGTTTCAGATCGAAGTGGCTAACCATCGAATCTGACAACCCAGATGGCAACGTCTTCTCAGCAGATCCCTTCAAATCAGCTGTAATCTCATTCGCGACCAAAAAGCAAGTCACCCCGGAGTTTCACATGATCTTCTTGCGTGGCATCGGTTGCAACTGGCTCGTGTGCCTCGCCTGTTTCTTTGGCCTGCAAGGACGAGACCTGGCTTCGAAAGTCATTGGCATCTGGTGGCCTACTTTTGCATTTGTTTCTCTCGGGTTCGACCACGTTGTGGCCAATATGACCTTTATTCCCATGGCGATTTGGCTCGGGGCACCGGATATCAGTGTCGGTCTGTATATCTGGAAAGGGATAATTCCAACCCTTCTCGGAAACGTGGTTGGTGGCGGTGTGTTTTGTGGTAAGTCGTTCTCATCTTGTGGAATCTGTCAAACTCCAACCTGTTCAGCCTTCGGGTACAGCTTCTAGCGCCGTTCTGCGCATGGAGTTTGGTGTGAATTTTTCTGTTTGGCCTCGAACTGACTGGGATTTTAGGAACTTACTACTGGTACATGTACTTGCTGGACTTAAATTCTTTGCCTTTGTATGGTAAGAAGCGCTTTGATAGCCCACTGCAGTCGGAGCAGGCGACTCTGAAGGAGACTGATGTGGAGGCATCGGCTGGCGTGGTAGATCAGAACATACACACGCGCGCGTAGAAATCCTCTTGCCGAAAAGGGCTCTGACAGGGTAATTTGAGCCGCAATCTACCTTCATATTACGATTATTTGATATTAATACGATCGCTCGACTGTTCAGAGGTCTTGCAATTGTTCGTCTCGTGTGAGCGTAGCGACCATGGCCGATTTAAATATATAACCACAAAAGAATAGTGCGATGGGCAAGATATATATTGCAAAGCGCAACCTTGATATCAGGCGAGTCACAACATTGAATAGGGGATTGAAGGCTGGAGTGTGATGTTGATGGCCTTTGATCCAAGTCCGCCTCGAAAAGCCCTAACACCCTTCCAACCCCTGATCACACAATTGCAGTGGACTCTTCTTCGAGATGTGAGTCGCTCGTGCTTGCGAGTATATGCCAAACTCTTGCGCCATAGCCTCTCTGCTATGCGTTGGGGTAGCAGCCGACGAGCCGTGGCGAAGATCCGGCATTCTGTGTCTAATGAAACCACGAACACTTAAGTATATTATACAAACTGAGAGAACGCAACATATACTATACAAGATTGTAATAAATGGCCCTCACACCCGCCATCATAGAGATGCAGCAGCGTGTGTGAGTGTTCCGACCCCAACAGCGACCGGGCACGGCCGATCGGTACGACGAGCCGAGCAGTTACAACGACATCATGAGAAATGCGGAGTTGCTGTATATAAGAACATCAGTCTTCCTTCCGAGAAAAAAGTTAAACTATCAATCAACGCACGCGGACACATACTCGAAAGAAACTCTATTTGCGACCAACTGAGATCAAGTATATCATCATGGCCCCCGGTCTCGTGGATTCAAGTGCTTTCCCGCAGCCTACATCCAAGCCTGTCAAGCTGGATGTGTTCCCCGATGGATTCAAAACATCTGGACAACACCCTCCTATCTATTCACAAGTTCGCCCTTATGCCGACTTCCCCAAAGTCCACACAGGACCCACAGTATGGAAGGCTGAAGACTATCGCAACAACCCCGAGTTGTGGACGCATACTTTCACAGCCGAAGAGATCGAAGAGATCAGCAATGCTACCGAGAATTTTATCAAGAGTGGAACTCCCCTGACTGGTATCTCAAAGGTATGCTTCATTACCAACAGCACACACAAAGCCAATACTAACGTGCGGTAGACAAACTTCTATCTTCCAAAGCTAGCCAACCGCATGGAAGAGCTTCGAATGGACCTAATTGACGGCAAAGGATTCTTCCTGTTCCGAGGCCTCCCAGCTCAAGAATGGGATCTCCAAAAATGCGCAACAGCATACATGGGCCTGGGCACATACCTAGGCTACTTCGTCAGTCAAAACGGCCGAGGCCATGTCCTCGGCCACGTCAAAGATCTCGGAGAAGATCCCACCAAGACCGACCGAGTCCGCATCTACCGAACCAACGCGAGACAATACTTCCACACAGACGGCGCCGACTTCGTCGGTCTCCTCTGCGTAGCCAAATCAATGAGCGGCGGTGAATCCGACATCGCATCCACGCACAACGTCTTCAATACGTTGCAAGAACGCTACCCAGAAGTAGCACAGACCATGTGTGAACCCAACTGGTACTTCGACCGCAAAGGCGAAGTCTCCGAAGGCGAAGAGCAATGGATCAGAGGAAGCATCTTCTACCTCGAAAACGACCGCGCCGGAACTCCCCGCATCTACGCCCGATTCGATCCTATGAACGTGACGTCTTTGGCGCGATTCAACTCTGGCCCTGACGCGCGCATTCCCCCGCTATCGGATAAGCAGAAGTACGCCCTGGAGGTGTTCGAGAAGGTCTGTAAGGAGCTTGCGCTTCACATGATTCTTGATCCTGGTGATATTCAGTTCTTGAGTAATGCGCAGGTCTTCCATGCCCGCACTGCGTACACGGATCACCCGCCTGGCGCTGTGGATGACCAGGGCCGGCCTGCTAGACGCCGGCATTTGATGAGACTTTGGTTGGCGGCGCCGGAGTCTGAGGGCGGTTGGAAATTGCCATATCATGATACGTTGGAGAAGAAGCGTGGTGGGATTCAGGTTAATGATACGCCTCCTGTTTGTCCTTTGGATGCCGAGTGAGGATTTCTTTGTATCTTAGTAGTTAATGTTGCTGTGATATCTCTTCTTTCCATAATGTTTGAACACAGAATGAACTTTATATTATTAGTTTGAACACTTACTCCTGACACTGGCTTTAAGAAGCGTAGGTAGAAAATAAACGGGACACTATTCATTTCTAAAAGCATACATGCGTATATCTCGCCAGTTATATACAGCCTCGTACTAATCCCCTACCCCTGTTGTGGAAATGGAAAAACAGGCAACCAAGGCTCAGTCTGTGCAACAGGATACCCACCAGCCCAAGGCAAAAGCCCTGCACCGTCAATCCCCGATCCCACAGCCGTATCAGCAGGCTGCCACGCCCAGCCCAAGTCAGACATGAAAAGAGTCTGCAATTCCTCGAGACTCGCTTGCCCAGCATCAAGTTCACCGTTCCCACCTAACATTCTCTCATCGTTGACTCGCGTTGAGGTCCGATCAACTTCCGCGTGCGGGTCTGACCGAACACTGTTTGGCGCGGATGATGTGCCTGCTTTTTCGGGGGCGTGGCGTTCTGGTATTGTTTTGCGTGCCATGCGGAAGATTGTCAAGGGGTTCAGGACGTAATCTGGGGCACTTTGGGCAGGCGTCCCTGTTATACTTTCACTGTTGGTATATGTTAGCTGTTGATATTACCTGAGAGAATGGGAGATCTTGTATGTACCTCATGTCTTCATCTTCATCCGGTTGGTATGGATCATCGGGGATTATGTTGTGTGTTACCACCTCGGACTCAATACCCGATCGGTCTAGCATTGTCTCTGCCGCACAGCCCTTGAAAAAAGAACCGTTAGCCAATTGAAACTCCGCCGTAACGACAAGAGAAAACAGTATATTTGAACCTACCAGGGTGTTGGCGATGGCATTCAGGGACCCCATAGATTTCAGAGCAGAGATATTACTCCTCAACAGCGGAATAGTGGCCAAAATGAGCACTTTTGTGCTCTCCTCCCTCGGATCAAGAATCTGAGTAAGATGATACACCATGATCCGACAACTATCATAAGTAATGGTTGGCAACCAAGAATCAGCCAACATCCTCGGACCATGGCGAGCCGTCTGGCCAATAATCGTAGCTAAAGCACGCGCGGCATCAAACAAAACCTGCTGCAGATGCTGGAGGAAATCATGCTGCTCAGGCGGGAAGTCGAAGGCTGCGCGCAGTTTGTACAGAGCCGGTGCTCCTAGTCGATATAAGTCACAGATTGTTTGATAGTGCGCACAATGCAGCACGCAGAGAGCGCCTAGTTGCGATGTGTCTTTTCGGATGTAGATTGCGTCTGGTGTGAATTGGAGACTGGCTGGTAGGGATTCGTACCATGCTCGACAGTCTGCGTCTAGGAGAGCAAATTCGGATTCTGGGGACCAAGGGACCATGGCGTCTCCTAGGTGTTTGATATACCTAATTTTGTGTGAGCAAAGGCGATGATATGATTGATAGAAGGATGGGTGGGATATACATACCGTAAAACTCTCTTACGGAGTGCAATATGCCGAATAAAGTAAGCCATGATACCCATGTTAGGGGAGGGAGAGTTGATGTCTGGATCCACAGGAGGATGTTTGAGTCTGTTCCCTGGATTCAATGTTTCAGTAAGACAAGGCACTTGTTGAGTGAAGTTACGCTCGTTGCATGGAAGCTGAATCTTGATATCCCTTTCATCCATCAGTGTGAGTTGGTCAACTCCACTGCCTACCAGCGCATCCATGATATAGCAGCTCCACATCAGCCGTCGGCGGGACTCTCTCGCCGTCACTGGCAGATTAGACTCGGTTTCGTGACAGAGTACATCGGTGTTATATTCGAGATTAATCTGCAATGCCTGCGTCATCCTGGTGGTGATTCCGCTTAACATGAATGCGTTCGAGAAGTTTCCTAAGCGAACAGCATAGTCATGGAGAAGGACGGCTGCCTACAATGACGTTAGGCGAACTCATGGACTTGCGAATATTGACACATACCATGAGATTCTCGATAGTGACAGAATCGAGGGCCTCCAGGATGATACGTTGAGCGATCTTCGCCCATTCGGCCCCTGCATGAAGAATGAACTTTGATGCGAGAGGGGCTACAGTCTCACTATATGTGAGAGCGTAAAATCTTATGCTCTGTTAATTCATGGATATTAATTGCAAGATATAGGGGAAAGAATCATACTGGGCTCCCAATGCACAGACAATATGCAGCAACGCATGAGTGTGACGGTTCTTCGCGAGTTCCCCATCTAGTCGTTGCAGGAACGATGGCTTGTGCGTAAAAGCAAAAGCGCGGAGAGGGTGGATATTATTAAAGTATTCCTCGACCAGCACCCTTGTCCGTGAAACATTGGGTAAGTGACGAGAAGACAACCTGCTTACTCAATTAGGTCCAAGGCAGACATCTGGCCTCTAAGAGTGGGTATCTCACCAGTCCAGGGGAGATGACGAACTCTCCGGGGGTGTTGACTCAACCGTTGGAAAATGCTGCGAAATTGGCGGAGTCTCCAATAGTTTCCGTATGTCCTGCCTGGCGGGAGTATAAATAGTTGATGGATCTACAGGCGGATCTGAGGACGGCGACCCCTGATCCCGTGTTGATAACCCGTCCACTCTCCGCACCCAAGTAGGCTGTGACGCTTCAGCAAAGACACAATGTAAGTTCTTCTCCTGGCATCGTTGACAAGTCGGTCTCTCTCCCGAGCATTTTGTTTTTGATGCACGACAGGCGGCGCATGAACGATACGTTCGCTTTCTTTTGGAACGCTCTAATTGATCAGTCACACTCTCGGATGCATGCGAGCGTGGGGGCGTTGAATAGCCGGAGCAGTCCAGTCGCAGCCTCGCACAGTTGCCACATTCCCCTGGCCTTTCATCGCATTTGACCTGCCATCAATACTGATCAGAATCACCACCTCACGGCCTAGAACTAATCTCTTACTTTGCGGGCGCGACACGTGCGACACCCTCCAAGATGTTAGCTACCGTCGACCACATTCGCAGAGATCACATACCAAACCGCGACCGGGAGGTCCTGTTCAAACCCATGATAGATTGCAGTCAACATGGTGGAAGCATAAGAAATTTCGGGCTGTCGGCACGGGCTTGCGAGATCAGCACGTTGGATGACGAGATCGAAGTGTGGGGTAAGCAATTCCTCGAACATCTGCTAACCCTAACTACGGTATACGTTTTACCTTCACCTTCACCTTCACCTTCACCTTTATCTTCGCCTGCACCTTCCACTGTTACATCTCCAACTCGGGGTTTGCGTGTTTTGTGACATCATGCATGGGCGAATGATCCCTGTTCATATCGGCTTTTGCGGTCGCAACATGGGGGCCAGCATTCGGACTCGGTCTTTGGGGGAAAGCGATGTTGCCTATATAAGAGACACATACATGAATTGTAACAGAACAATGAACAGGACACTGTTTGATTCCAGTCAAGTAACATAGTTCTTCAATATGACCGAGCAGCCTCAGTTGACCCTCTACCGGGGGTTCCCGGGGTTCGACGAATATACCTGGTCGCCTTTTGTCACGAAAATGGAACTTTGTCTACGTGTCTCTGGGCTTGAATATACCAAGGAAGCTGGATCGGTTCGTGATGCTCCGCGCGGCAAGATCCCATACCTGAAATTTGCACAACCCGATGGATCGGATCCTGAAATACTCTCCGACTCGAGTATGATGATTCGACAGTTGATTGGGAAAGGACTGATTGACGATTGGAATGCATCTCTAAATCCCTCGCAAAGAACACACGATCTAGGCCTACGTGCCGTACTGGAAGAAAAGTTATACTTCCTGACCGTAAGTTGTGGACGGGTGATCGGATCGACTCATCATGCTCACGATCGGGACAGGCACATGAGAAATGGTTTGAGAACTACTATACCATGCGAGACCACGTATTAGGATCTATACCTTACCCTATGCGTGTTGGAGTAGGATTGGTGGTGTACAGGAACATGACTCAAACACTCCATGGTCAGGGAACACTTCGCTTTACAAATGATGAGATTGCCACGATGCGGAAGGATATCTGGGAAGAGATAAATGCCTTGCTGGTCGCGTCGAAGTCTGCATCAATGAACACTGAGGACTCCGAGCCTTTTTGGTTGCTTGGCGGAAATGCACCGACTGAATCAGATGCGGCTTGCTTCGGCTTCGTCACTGCGGCTTTGACCTCCACTGCGTAAGTTGATGACTACTTGCCTTGAATCGACATGAGCTCATTATTCTAGATGCCCTAAGGCGCAAAAGGTCGTCAAAAGTCTGCCCGTTGTGGTCGAGTATGCGCGTCGGATTCATGATCGATTCTTCCCTGAATATGCACTCTGGAATTGAGCTCAAGAGGTCTCTATGGGCTGTTGTTTTTATTGTGATACCAAATTGCAAGACGGAGTTCCACAGTGTCTCCTGGTGTTACCACAGCAGCGAATTGTGATATGGGGGATATTCTGATCTGATCAGTAGCGCGTGCATATTGCTTCTTTCATAAATTATCATAGACCATCATCTTGTTTTCCACGTGCAAGCGAATTGAGCGAGGGTTCAATGTCCTGTCCATGTCCAGTTGAAGCAAAAAGAAAACAAGCAGATCAGTATATTGCCCGACATATTCAGACCGACATATCTACCGCCTCGGCCCCCACGCAAAACATCGACAGCTCCACCGCATGGTCTGGATTGCAGATCTCAAATTCCATTGCTTCATGTCGAGATGGGCTCTAAAACACTTGAAAATGAGGGCCAAGGAGGTGGATGTATGTATCATGTGCTGTCCAATTACTGAACCATACTAACTCCCAGTAGATGCTCCTCCCAGCTCTACCAAACCCAATGCCACTGGTGGAGAACCACGTGGAACCCATCTTGCCCGCGATGGCGATGGTACCCTCGGTGATGATGATGGTGGCGACGACGGCGACAGCGACCATGACGCCCGCACTGCTTCCTTGTCGTTGAAATCCGACCCTGCAGCTCCGGCTAAATCTCAAAAGAAGAAACGAAAGAAGTCCAAGAAGAAGTCTTCTTCCAAACAGTCCTCACCGCCACGAGTCCCGCTCACCAAACTGTTCCCTGGCGGTAACTACCCGACCGGCGAACTGCTGAAATATGCGCCCATCGAGAACACGGCTCGCACCACGGGTGAGGAGCTCCGGCATGAGTCTCGCAACCGCCTTGAGGACGAGAACTTCCTGCAAAACTACCGTAGGGCAGCGGAGATCCACCGTCAGGTTAGACAATGGACGCAGCAGAATGCTGCCCCGGGCCAGACACTCACGGAGATTGCCGTAGGCATCGAAGACGGCGTGAGAGCGCTGCTCGACAACGATGGTCTTGGTACCGGTGATTGTCTCGTATCCGGAATGGGTTTCCCAACTGGTATCGCCCTGAACAACTGCGTTGCGCATTACACGCCCAACCCCGGTCAGAAAGAAGTGATTTTGAAATCGAGTGACGTAATGACAATCGATTTTGGAGTTCACATCAATGGCTGGATTGTTGACAGCGCTTTCACTATGTCATTTGAACCAACCTACGACAACCTGCTTGCTGCCGTAAAGGATGCAACAAACACTGGTATTCAGGTAAGTTCAGTTCTTCCCTTGTAGCCCAACGTTATCACTGACAATTTCAGAATGCTGGTATTGATGTCCGCATCAGCGATGTTAGCGCTGCCATCCAGGAAGCCATGGAAAGCTATGAGGTGGAGATCAATGGCAAATTCCTCCCAGTCAAGGCAGTGCGAGGCCTGAGTGGACACAACATCGAGCAATATCGCATTCATGGTGGTAAATCCATTCCTTTTGTCAAGAACAATGACAACACCAAAATGGAAGAGGGAGAGGTCTTTGCTATCGAAACATTCGGCACGACTGGCCGAGGCCACATGTTTGATGGTGTATGTTCCCTTTCCTTCCTTTTATTATTCTATGTATTCGCATGCTTACAAACATTCAGATCGGTATCTACGGGTATGGAAAGGACCCGTCCGCGCCCAAGAAGATCAAGACCCATCTCGCCAGCGCCAACTCTCTGTATCAGAAGATTGATGAGAACTTTGGTACAATTGTCTTCGCTCGCCGTTATCTTGAACGGCTAGGTGTCGAGCGATACCTGGCTGGCGTGAGTTCACATGCTTATACTCTGAATTAAAGCAGTCCACTGATTTCCAAGCAGATGAACACCCTGGTAAATCATGGGGTTGTCGAAGCCTACAAGCCGCTTATGGACATTGAAGGGTCCTATTCCGCGCAATTTGAGCATGTAAGAGGCAAACAACAAGACGTTCATCCAGATTACTAACCACCTTAGACTATACTGCTGCGCGAATCTAACAAAGAAGTCCTCAGCCGCGGCGATGACTACTGAGCCCTCTAAGGTGCCCACCGGAGCATAACGCTCCAGCCACTCATTGACATTTCCCCTTCATGTTTAGTACGCCATTCAACACGCGTCAACGCATTCCTTTTCTTTACATCCATTCAACATGATGCAAATAAATCAAGATTCGTTTCTTCGCCTCAGTGCAAACTTGAATTTAACTTGTACTCAGCAGGTATCGCAGTAGGCTAGGATTGGAAGACTCAGTAGAACCTTTATCGACAGAAGCAGCGTCCGTGGCAATACCATGGTCCACCTCTAGGAATGCCCAGCACACAATCACTCCTGACGTCTACAAAGCTCGGAAAATTACAACATGGCCACGCTATAAATATGATGCCCAGAAGATCAGGGACTGTTAAGAAACAGCTCGCACCAATAAGAACCGATCAGCGCCATTCCAGGCTGGCTTGCATGGCCAGAAGTCGTAACATTCCGGCGGGCTTGCTGCAGGTCAACCGCCACATTCTTGGATGTGCGGGGGTTCACCTAATTTCGTCATAGTTCGACCACCTACGGGTTGTTTTGACCAATAATTCGACTGTATCGTTCGAGTTGTGCATTATGATCTTGTCTACTTTGGTATCAGGGTCTCGCCGCTTTTTACGTGCTTGTAGAATTGATCATGCTGTTAGGCCTATCAAATCGTAGTTCATGTCGGTTGTGCCTTGGATCTACATTGGACATAGGGGCTGAGAAATAATGGCCAACTGATGCAATTGAACCCCATTTTTAACAGGCTGTATTGTCTAGGCCACTGCCTTGCTCCAATCTGCTCGTGGCTGTAGCCTAATTTCCTAATTTTCAACCTTAAACACACTCAGCCTTGATACTGACAAGAGTAACATCAGCCTCAAAGCATTGCTTCACGCTATCCACACTGAACGTCTCAAAGAGGGTCGATTCGTCGCAACTAGCGGCAGTGTATGTGCTCAACACGGCGGAGGTGCCATCAGCGCAGGAGCCAGACTCGACGTAGGCAGTGAAAGATTTGATGGGGAAGTTCTCGACGTTGATGCAGGATCCGGCATAGGCATTCGTAGCGTCGATGCTTGGGACGGCGCAGTCGGCATAGTAATAGCCTGCGTATCCAATTGTGGGGTTTGCGACTGCTGCCACTGTCAGGGCGGAGAGGAGGGTGATTGTCTGTCTATGTTAGGTCGAACTAGATTTTGTCTAGTCAAATGAATTGACTCATGGCTCTCTGCATACCTTGGTCATCATCTTGAAGAAAGTCGGATTGATGTTCTATATCCCATTCACAAACAAGAGGACATGGGGCTATTTATATGTCTATCGCAGTTTCCCCTACTCTTGTCATAGATTTAATTGAAAATCGCTGGCCCACGAGGCTTGACCTTCTTAGGAAAGCGTTAACTTCCAGCTGAAGCAAAACGGCTCTAGATCCTGGAAAGCTGACGATTATCGTACTTTCAACACTCCCAGGTTTCGGCTTCAAGACCTTTGAGTATGTTTGCTCTGCAGATCTGCACAGTTAGTACCTTGCTTTGGTTAACTAGCAATTGGTTACTTGTCAGCTTATGGGCTTTGTGGAGACGAACCGTTACTTTGTACCTAATGGTCCTAAAGCACTCATGGCGCCATACCTTCGATCACTTGTTGCGATCTTCTTGGGTAATTATACTAATCATTGGGCTTCAGTGTGCCTTGTAATTTACCCAGACAATGTGATTAACTTGGACGGTACTCTCAATACACGAGCATGATCCTGAAGAAGCCACAAACACGCCAGTAGTGGGGCTCAGGCGGCCCAATTTAGGAAATTGGTCTCTTTGCAGAGAATGTCGGTTATTGTTGCCTGTTCCTATATAATGTTAACTAATGAGAAAGATCTTGAACGGTTTAGGTTCGTCCCGAAGCGGCTCGGACATGGATCGGTCCACGGGTGTTCGAAGCACTAAGAATTGCCGAGCTGAGGATCCGTTCTACAGTTTCTGGATTTCTTCAGCTACTGAGAGTTGTGGCGTTTATGCAAAAGCGGCATCTCCCAAGAACCGGATGAAGCCAAGCCCCCCCGCCGGGGTCCCTGGGACCTGAAGCCACTATCAATTTTTCCGTCTTGGTAGGACTATATATCACAGCTTAGGAAGTCATGGAAAATCATATCTCAGTATTAGATTGAGGAACAGCGCTCAAAATGATTCTGAATATTTGGTCCTTCCTCGGGTTACTTGCGTTCTGCAGTCAGGCTTTGGCATGGACTAACCCGATCCGAAACCCCGGCGGAGCAGACCCTTTTGTTGTGTATACGGGCGGATATTACTATCTTCTCACTACCACATGGAGCGACGTCGAAATTGCGCGTTCGACGACTGTCGCAGGTCTCGAAACTGCGACCAAGAAAGTGGTATACACTACAACTGATACATCACACTGCTGCAATGTGTGGGCTCCGGAGGTACACTACCTGGGAGGCAAGTGGTACATTTACTATACGGCGGGAGAAAGTACAGATCTCGATGGACAGCGGCTCCATGTTCTCACTGGTAAATTGCCCCATTTCACGTTAGTGGTCAATGTAAACACGTTGCTAACAAGGATCAGGCGGAGCTACTCCTTGGGATACCTACACTTATAGTGCACAATTGACAACCGAGTGGTCCATCGATGCCTCAGTCCTCCGATTCAATGATTACGGAAACTATCTCATGTTTTCCTGTTTCCACGGCGTGACCTATCAATCAATCTGTCTTCAAAAATTAGGATCAGACTATATCTCATTGACCGGCAGCATCTATGTGATCTCACAACCCGATCAAACATGGGAGAAGAACGGCACCCCCGTTAACGAAGGACCCGTTGCACTGTACTTTGGCGGCAAGACTTATATCACCTACTCCGCATCCTATTGCTGGACGGCCAATTACTGCCTGGGCACTTTGGAGTGGGATGGCAGCAGCACTCCAACGTCAGCAAGTGCGTGGACGAAGAGTAGTAAATGTGTACTCTCCTCGGCCAATGGAAACTATGGAACTGGCCACAACTCGTTCTTTTCCAGTCCGGATGGCTCGCAGACTTGGATTGCGTACCATGCTACCACTACTAGCACTGGCGCGTGTGACGATAGTCGGTATACTATGTTTCAATTACTGGGAACGCATAGTGACGGCAGTCCGAACTTTGGGACTCCAGTCGCTTGGACGCACGCTTATAGTGAACCGAGTTCTTGAGGAGGAGGTTGGAAGATGACGTGAACTTACGTGAACCTACGTTCAGATTGGGTCTTTTACTTGATGATTGTGTTTGATGGTAGTGGTTTTGAATAGGTATATGTTTCTTTTCGAACAGAATTTTGTTCTTGTAGCAAGGGAACGGTCAAGAAATGTAGCTTATATATTTCTATCAAATAACCACACAAGTGTTCGATTATGACGAAGATTACCCAGGCACGGAATTTCTTCTCGAATTCGAACTGGGCCAATTTAGAGTTTGCAGTGAGAGTTTGATGCTGCTTACTTGAGAGTTGCATCTGTTGAAAGACAATATGAGCGAGTATTTGACTCTGCTTTTGGATCCTTACTCAAATTCATGGATTGAAATACTGATAGCCCGTCTGATATGCATTTAAACAGTGAAGGTGTTACTCAATACGCAATAACACGCTAACAGGGAGCATTCCTCTCTGGAAAGTCACACCATTTATTCCGATTACAAAGGCTCGGACAGGTATAAGGCTTCAGGTCCGTTCCGCCTGCAACTTTAGGCGCCGTCTTATTTGGCCGTTAGACTTTGAGTAGTCTGCTCAACTCAAACATGCCTGATGAGGTAAAGAGAATGGGAAAGAAAGAAATTCCCATGACGCGTGCTTGTCTCGGCATAGAGAGGAATGGGCAAAGGGGAACGATCTTCCGGGAGATCCTAAACTAACGTCCTGCCAAGCTTGCTTCGCCCCGGTTTCATGCTTTGTTAGTCTTCAACTCTGTTTGTTATGGATCTCTCTTTGATCCCCTGGATTCATACCAATCGGAAGTGGGAAATCATACACAGCTTTCAATGATTGATTTACTGGACGGTTTCCACAGCTGATCGTCAAGGTGTATGTGCAGTCCTGTAGGGTTTGCCTCGTCTGCGCGATAATATGCATTCATGATAGATCGTGTGAGCTTCATGTGCATGCTTAGGCTGTGCTGATGCAATTCGATCATCTTAGACATCATCGGCCAAGAATTGACATAGCAGAAACCGGAATAGCATCCATGATTACGACGTGGCGGTGGGATTGAGTTCCGAGTCTAGCCAGCGATTTGATGCATGACGATCGAACCTTGAAAGATCAGAAGATCAGGATTAGCCACAAGGGTCTGACGAGCCGATCATCTCAGCCGCTGATGAGCGTCAATGGCTTCGCACTCGTATTCGTCACCATCCTTGATTGGCATTTGATCTGAGACATCTTATAGCAAGAAACTATACCCTCCTAGGGGCTTGACCCCACCGACGCGGCCCAGTAGACAGTCGGGATCTGCTCTTCCCCAGAGAATCTGGATGCCATATTAGCTGACCACGTACGCGATCATCCATGTGTCTCTCGTCAGGAATGCAGGAGACAGGGAGACGGCTAATGCATGGGATACGTCGTGAAGCACAATTGAAATTCATAAATCAGCTTTTCTCCGAGCGTTTGGGAGATCAGATTAAGAGTCATTCTTTCCACAGTATCCCCCTAACTATTTTTCAATCACTCTCGTCTCCAATATTTCAATCCGAGTCTTTAAGAAGACATTACCATCATCATGTTGGTGGCACACTCTACCACCACTCCCGTCCTCTACTCGGAGAGCAGGAAACATACAGCATCTGCTTCTACTCCGGCGCCTGCTCCATCAGCCATGGCAGCTCGCCTGTTCAACAAGCTCGATACCGTCTATCAAATTGAGGAAGCCCACATCCTCCATCTCTCTAGACAGGTTGAAACCGGCATGCAGCTATTCCCGGAGGAGAACATCAGACTGCATACTGTTGCTGGCGGTGGTGTGTCTGCTCTCACAACTCCTCAACTCGGCAAGCAACTGAACCGCACCCTTGGCCTAGGCATGAAGGGCATGGTCACCGAAAGAGATCTCTCTAATATTGAAGCCTTGCACGATGAGGCAAACCTGACACCCACTATCCTGCTCTGCCCATATGCCGATCAAAGTGTGCTCCAAGCACTTGCCATGCGTAGCTATGTCGTCGATGGCTTCCTCAACATCTATGCTCGCTCTCTGCATGAAATTCACGTGGACTTTGATCCAACCATGGAACCACCTGCCGAACTGCCCTTTGGATCTAACATGCTTGTCTGTCGAGCTCCGGCCAATGAAACCGGCATGGGTGCCTTTGTCCACGCCTCAGTCGCTGGTTTCAAGGATGATGGCCGGCCAGACGAAGTGCTTCGCAGTCTAGCGGAAACAGCAGCTCTAAGATCCGACACAAACCTCTACTTCGGCAAGATTGATGGTCAAATCGCTGGATGTGGTGCTATGGCACTCATGGAGACAGAGTACGGTCGTGTCGCACATCTTTACATCGATAGCACAACGCCAGATTTTCGTGGCCGTGGTGTCCAGCAAGCACTGATCCGAGCTCGTCTCATCGACGCAAAGCGCCTGGGTTATGATTTTGCCACTATCCATGCCCGCCCTGGTATTGGCACAGGCCGCAATGCCGAGAAGGAAGGGTTTGGTCTCGCATTTACCAAGCCCATCCTGACCAAGAAATCCATGTAAGGGACCCTTGGCCGTTTCCCCACTTGTTTACGTTTTGTCATTGCATTCTGTACCCATAATTTAGAGGTCCGTTCGCCAGAAAGGGGTTTGGTACCTCGCTCTTCATTTTCAGGCGTTTCATATTTTGGTCTAGAACAAACACCCGAACGTTCGTTTTCTTTCTCGGGGTTGAGTAAATATTTGGCTTTGGATATCTTTTGAAATCAATGATCCGGTATATCGGTCGATCAATCAATCAAAGTCTAATTAAACTGCTGCAGCTTTGTTAGTATCGTAATAGCTATGCAGACGCTTCAATTCAGTTGAAGAAAGAAATAATCCGAACGCCTGATGATACCGTACAGAGAACGAGTCAGTCCCCGAAGCGAAAAAAGGTTACTATCTCCATATATAAACCATTTCCATAACCCAGAACATGAGAGAAACCCAGTTTTGTCCGGCACTGGGTACAAGAATAGTGCGCAGAAAGCACTATCTACCTTTTCTCTATCCTGAATCCTTGTATCTTTGTCAGGACCACCTCCCTAACTGGGCCAGTTAGGGGACTTAACGAAAGGTTCCTACTGTAGCCAAAAAACAGGAACTAAGCCAGTTAACGACATAGTTCTTGTCCTTAAGGAGGTGCCTTGAGTGTAGCAGATGACCTGCTTACTTAATGGTTGAGAATAGATGAAGAAAGAACAATAACAGCATTATCCATAGTCCAAGAATAATTCTTGAAGAGAAAAAAAAGCATAAAGGAAGACAATGCTCATTCTGAGGCTCTGTAATTTATTATATTTAAAACTTCGGGAATGTTTTTCGCCGACGCTGACTGACGTTCATTCCCGGCAAACCGTTACACTCCTCTAACTAAGTGCTGACCCTCCCCGTTGGGGAAAAAAGCTTACAAAACCGCGCAAGGTAAAGCTAAGAGCATACAGGAGAACTTTCTTGCTTTGCGTGAGATTTCGGAGAGCGCAGATTATGACGGCCAATCCACGTCTTATTAACCTGCTGGGGCCTAATTAGCATCGTCATAAATGAAATGCAATACACTGAATACTTGGAACATGATATCTAACTCTCTATACCCCCTCTCTCTCGGTACTCCCTATAATCCTCTTCAATCTTCGCATATAAAAGCATATTGTTGTGCGTTGCTAAATGATCACTTCGGCAAAGCGGTCATTGTCGGTGCCAATCCCAGGCCTCATATTCTACTTATTAATGAAGGACATCTGAAGTGTTTTTTTCAATGATTACTTGTAAAGCGTACGTCAAACCTGCACGCACAGCATGAAACAAAATCAGTCCCAGGCCGTCGATCAATATTCTCAGTCCATTTTCAAACCCGAAACACTCCTGCAAGACGCAAATGCAAGCCACGCAGATTAGAAAGGTCGAGCTTTGATGTATGATTTAAGCTGTTGATCTTTACTGGTGGCGATGTACACTGCATTTAAGCAATTATTTGCACCTAAATCCACACAATCGTGCCAACGGGTGTAGATCAAGGACCCTGAGTTTACCCTAGATTTGATATTCCTGCGCTACACTCGTCACAGAATGTGATGATCAATCTAGTGCCTTGGCGAATTCCACCGGAAGAACTATCGATCCATGCTCGGGTCAACGGTCCGCCGTTTGGGAGATCCTTGACTGACATCATCCCAGGCGGTAGAACCGCTCCAGGAAGGGGGCTGTAGCTTAAAGTTCTTGGGCTTGAATATGATCCTTCACATGAACAGAAGCAAAAGCATGCGTACTCCATTACGGTAAGCACGCAATCTAATTTCTCTTTACGAAAATGTTCCATATCCACGAGCTGCTTTAAAACCCGACTTAACCAAGGTATCTGGATAGCTATCTGAATCATGTGCAATCACCTATATACGGTTTTGTATGCTCTACTTTCCTCAACGAAGTTTAGGCTTAGGGGGATTCAGTGCCGATAATTGCTATAATAAACAGTGGTCCAAACATCTTGACACCGACAGTTGATGATCTGCGAAACAGACCCACATGGAATATCCCTTGCTGAACTTTATCAATCACAATATGAACAGTAACCTTCACATGTACAGTACGGTACAATACGGTTCATGTGCTGGGTAGAACACCACATAGCGAAGTTGTTACAGGCCCACCAATCAGATACCTCCGCTACATTATGAGACAAATCGCCGATTCTGCTCTTTCCATCCCACCGCTTACCGTTTTCTATATTCTGCCGTGTATTTCATCTTGGTATTCATCATGTGAATGAATGGGCATTATGTTACTAAAGGGTCCAAGTGGCATTTAAGAGCTTTTGAAATTATCACAATTTGTTCAGGGGCAAATCACCTTTGTTATGTAAGTTTGACCAGGAAAGTGAAGCCTACTGTGGTTATCCTCGGGGTAAGTTGTTTTATATTAAGAAGTATAGTATCTGTATAAAGAAGCAAGTTAATTGACAATGAACATGATCCTCTTGTTCTATATGTATAGCCTCATGTTTCCTTCTGAATAAATAATGAACCATTTCCCGTCTGAATTACAGTAATTTTCAGGCCTGTAGAAAGTACTCGGAACCCTACAACAGCCCGAAAGCCCGAAGAACCGAGCATACGCTCGACCCGTGGATACAATCCCGACTCCCCCATCCGCCTAATGGCTTTGCACGGTTCAGTAGCGCAGATCACAAGAGAAACAATTAAGAATAGGTGAATCTCTCGGTGTTGACAAGCTCCGCAAAAGCCGCGGCTTGAGATCCCCCTCTGCCAGTCATGGCAGCCACAATGGTCTGCGTATAAATAAAGTAAACCTGAGCCTCTCATGTTTTTCTTTTTATCTAGCCTCGTGCTCAAGAAATAATCAAAGGTATTACTTCACGTTTTGTTGTATCAAACCAAGCTCTTCTCTAACTACATGACTTAGAAAGCTATCAATCCTCTTCATCACAAAATGGCGCCTATTCATAAACCTCTCGATCCCTCTACTACCTTCGATACCATGCTTTCCACCAGCCCGCCGGTTGGGCCCGTCGTACTCTTGAATATTATTTCCCTTCCTCCCGGAGCCGACAAGGAATCCTTCCTAGAGACTTGGCGCTGTGCCAGCGAGGTTCTCAAGAAAGCGCCTGGTTATATTTCTACCCAACTGCACCATGCTCTCGGACACGGCAACTTCATTGTCAATTATGCCATTTGGGAGGACAATGAGACCTTGAAGAATGGCTTAGCATTGCCTGAATTCCGAACAATCTGCAAAGATTTCCCGGATGGCACTGTGTTCCGTGCGGCCGTCCTGAAGAAGGCTTCGATTAAAGATGTATGCGTTGGCGCATGATTACACCAAATCAATGGAAAAGACTCTCGCACATGAAGTACTACCTCTCTAAGAATGTATGTTGAGCAAGGATATTGGTAAGCGACGAATGCCGGGTGGAAGAACGATTTCCTTGAGCGGAATAGCTTGTCGCCTCCCACCAGTTAGGCTTATAGAGCGAGACAAATGTATATTACAATGGCGAGCATGGAACTTCAATTTTAGAAATACTAAACAGGGTCTGTCCACGCTTAGTCTACTGCTGGTGTTTTTCAGACTTGGCTCATAGAGCTGCCACATCAGTTCTCGGCGATGCTCTCGTGGGTTTTTTCTCTAAATGCGATATTGGATTTCGTTGATTGCTTATAGCATAAGTTCCTCCTACTGTAGCTCATGAGCTTGGATAACCCTTTGTTTACCTAGAGACTTACCTAAAAGAATCTCTCGCATCAAGCTTTATAAGGTAATAATAATTCAACTTCAACTTACTGCAACAAAAAATTAACTTAACTTAACCCGTGAGGCTTCTTCCCCATCTAAGGTAAGACATATCCTCCGTCAATAATCACATCACTTCCAGTCATGTAAGTAGAAGCATCGCTAGCCAGATACAAATATAATCCCTTGATCTCTTTGACATGGCCTTGTCTTCCCAGTGCCGACATACGGTAAGCCTCGTGGACAGTCTCGGGACTCGCACCCATCTTGGTGTCGAAGAAGCCTGGCGAAACGATATTCACCCGCGCAAATTCCCGCCATTCACGAGCCAATGATTTTCCAAAGTGGGTTACATATGCCTTGGTTGCGTTGTAGACCGGCTGATCAGTTGGCGCATTGACGATATGTCCACTCATGCTCGAGGTAATGATCAGATTGCCAGAGCCCTGGCGTTTAAACACTTCGCCGGCATATTTTGCGCAATAAACAATTCCATCGACTATTTACGAGTTAGCAAATCCGTTTGGCACTAGTAATAGAGGGGGTAATCGCACCATTCACCGACATCTGCTTTCGATATTCGTCCAGGCTTTGTTCTAGAATAGGCTTGGAGATCGCCATTCCTTCTTGTGTATTAGCTAGACCATTCATTGAGAATATCTTCGATATAAACTCACCGGCATTGGCGACAAACACATCTAACTTGCCAAAGTCTTTTACAAGCTTGGCGATGGTTTCCGAGACTTGATCAGAGTCCGAAACTGCAGATCGACGTTAGACATACAATCCTTGGTTATTGGAACATCAGGATTACTCACCATCAACCTTATACGCAGAAGCCTTGATGCCATGCTGTTTCTCTAATTCCTGGGCCTTCTCGATGGCGACGTCATTTCTGCAACATTGTCAACAACTTCCAAAATGAGATCATCGAGTGGGCCATGACATACGAATTATACCAAAGGGCAACCTGCGCACCTGCTTCGGCCATAGCCTGCGCAATTGCATGGCCAAGTCCATCCGCAGCGCCAGTGACAGCAACCACTTTGCCCTTCATCTGAAACTGTTCCATGACATTTGACGGAGTGTCTGGGAAAGGCCGCGGGAAGCCTGGACGGGCTGTCGCGCAATCTTCGAGTGACATAGACATTTTGGCTAAGTTTAGTTTTATCCGTGCGGTAGAATTATATGATGAGATAGGATGCTATATCTGGGGGTCGCTCTTCTTTATATTGCTTCTTACTCGCAACCGACGTAACTACTGTAACTTGACCCACCATCGGTGCAGTGTTGGCCGAGGCGTGCTGTATGGAGCCATGTCAGGGTCTGTTGATTTTGGGCTTAAGAGCGGAACATACGTCCCATGATGAATTACTTCGTCTAATTTCTGTTTCATCTTGCTAGAAACTGAAAGGTCCGGCGATGAGTTTGCCAAATCATTTTGTGAGCTTCCTTAGGTCTTTGAGTGCGGGGAACTCCGTCGGCGCCCTATGCTCCGACATATTAAAACTTGACAGATCGACAATTGAAAGAGGAACCTTGGTGAAGCAGTTGTGAGGACCAAATCGAAGGCCTCAATTCGATATGAAATAGCTTGTATAGAGCTAGTGGATTTTGTATCAGAACACAATGCGGTAGGCGAATTCTCGGTGCTCCTCATACATTTATACATCAGCCAACACGAATCACAATCGTGATTATGTGCATCCAACGACCATCCCACGGCTTTTTCTCATAAAATTCTATATACGAAACCAAAACGATCTCATTCAGCAAGTTTGAAGTATAAAAATTGCCTTAAAGTTCATAGTTTCACAGAGCAAGTGCTTGGTCTTCCCCGCGCCATTGTTCGGAGTATCAAATACCCGAGGTAATCGTCATCGGACGACTGTAGACCGATGAATCGAACCCTTGAACAGCATTCACGTATTCGCAAATTGTATTAACGGAGAAGATTACATGTGCAGTTTCCAATTGCCGTTACGCTAACTACTACGTGGTACGCCTGATCGCAGGCTGATCGTCGGGGCTCTCCGTTATGCCCAAGTTCAAGCCTGCAGGGTCCGGGTCTCACGATCTTCGAGCGGTAAATGATCCGAATGATTCAACCTGTACTATTAAACTGACAAACACAGTGTACTGAATGCCGAGTGAGTGTCAGGGCTTATTTTTAACATGCTTAGCTGCTAACCGCAAGAAAAAGAAACGCAAAAGCAAGGTACTGCCAAGTTAAACACCTCTGCACTGTGCCTCCATGTTGACAAATCCAAGTGCTCCGGTATATCACCCTGTTCATATTGCACGCGAGCAAATAAGCGCTGTGTTTTGGGACCGCCACCGTCACGCACCCCGTTAACGAGAAAGTACGTCATTTGTTAATATCAATCCTGGCGCTACTGACACGGTTTAGAAACCTGGACGCTGTAGAACTTCGATGTGCAGGGCTGGTATCGTTAGTGCAGCAGTTGGATCCCGATATTGATATTGAATCACTATTGGAGACGATCCTTAGGAATCCCGATCAAGCATTCCAAGTATCCGTTGAAAGATCTCGTGGCTTACATTCTGACCTGGAAAACACCACTGTATCCGATCAAACTGAATGGAATGAGAGCTCTCTAGTGTCTCCATCACAACCCCAAGATGTACCACTAGATGGAATGGCAACACTGCCAAGCAGAAGGGCCGAATCTGGATACCTTGGTGGGTCGAAATTGTGCCCCTTGAGAAATATCGCTGACTGGGCGCCAGGAAATAGTTCAGGGTCTCACATCTTGAGGACTATTTCTGATCTGCTACCGGTAAAAAGTCTTAGGTCACGAGAGAAGCAACAGGCGCAATCGTCACCCGCAGACACAAATTACACTGGCAGCCCGTCAATGCCTGTTAACCTCGCTGATACAACCACAGTAAATAGTCTGATTGATGCATACTTCAAATGGTACAATCCATCATACCCAATCTTACATGAGAAAACCTTCAGAGAAGAATATGAACATCGACACCAAATTCACCCTCGGTCAAGCTGGCATTCGATATTCTTTCTTGTGTTGGCAGTTGGCCACTGGACTATCACGGAGGACTCCGAGGCGGAGCAATCAAGATATTATACTGCGGCTCGCTCGCACATGTCAATGCGCATGCTGGAGTCTGGCAATCTCCTGACCGTTCAAGCTTTTTTATTGATGGTGTGTTTGGAGATCATCTCGGACTATGGCCTGAATTGACTATTCTCGCTAACACATGCGTAGGGCAACTATCTTCAAAAGAGAGATAGACCAAATACCGGGTATAACTTCATCGGCATCGCATATCGGATGGCACTTGGTCTTGGGCTTCATCGAGAGCCACCTGGAGGAATGACTCCTTCCGAGCCGTTTTCCAATGAACGCAGACGAGTGATATGGTGGATTGCTTATTGCTTTGACAGTGGCTTCAGCTTCACAACAGGTCGGCCAATTATGGTATCGGACTCCTTTATTGAGACTAAGCTCCCACGAAACATAGATGACTCTGTAAGTGTGTGCAGCTATGTAGCCATTCCGTGAATGATACCAACATTAGTTATAGGCATGCACATTGGATGGGGGCATACCTGATTCGACCGGTAACCCTACTACCTACTCTGCACTTATTGCACAATCTCGGATGGCATCGATTGGGAATGTTGTTTTCAGTGAAATAATATCCCCCTCAACACAAACTCTCGTGGATCTGAGAACATCGCGCTCTATTGACAACCAACTCAAAGCCTGGAAACTCTCGCTCCCTTCTTATTTTACAGCTCACGGTGTCCCAGAATGGTTCCGTGGTCCACGTGCAATCGTATTATGGAAAGAGGAGAACATTCGATTACTGCTGTGGTGGAGTAGCAAGCGGATGTGTACGTCACCGTCTGATCATGAAGAGGCACAGAATATGTGCAACTTCACTGCAGTGGAGACCATCCAAGATATATCGAACTTTTGTCGTGAGAATTCCGAGATTCTTCACACTGGTGTCAGCTGGTATGCTACATACTACCTCTTCCAAGCCGCAGTGGTTCTAAGCATCCACCACCTTCGTCCAACTGAATCTATAAACCGAAATTTGGATAATATTGGTGCGGAGCTTTGGTCTTCTTCGATTAATAGATCTCGTGAATGCTTGAATGCCTTGAGCCGAACCAATACGGCTGCAATGCGGTGTTTGGAAGTTCTTGAAAGAATTAGCGAGCAACCTCAGTCGGGTCCGCATCTCCCATGCTTGGTCTCAACCTCGCAGGTCAATTGCCCATCAGACATTGTACAACAGGAAGCCATAGCCAGGGATGTGGATGTTCCCGCCCCAATGCTAGCGGTTGACCCTACACTTCAAATGCTTTTTGAGGACACTTCTTGGGACAAGGACCTTTTCCACGACCTCAATGGCTTTCCTAGCACGGGCGAGGGAGAAGCATTCGACTATTTACCACCCAGTACAGAGCCTGGGTGGCTCAAATTCTCAGACCCAGCTGGACATGGTTCGAATTCCACCGCATAACCAAATCCCATGTTAGGAATACATAAATATTTTAATTTGGTACATCTCTTAGTGACTCGAACAAGCCGTTATACTGATACTATATCAGTTAGCAACGATTAAAGTGTCTAGCACCATTTATCAAGTGTATACTGTTTAGCAGTAGAACGCCTCACATGCTGCCATTATTACCGTACTGTAAGTGTAATTATCGCGTAAGTCAGGCCCCAGGCTTGCAGTGCCCCGATATGCAGGACATTCTGATATTCATCGGCCAAGAGTGCGCCGGAACTAAGATCATCTATCGGCCTGTCTAAAGCCTGGGAAATTACCCCGCACCCCGGACTTCCATGTAATGGCTGAAGTTTAATCTGTTTGTATCTATAAATCCATGCAATATGCAACTACTCTTGTCCTTTCATTCCTCGGACTACTGCCTTTTCTTTGGAGTACATACCATCAGAACAAGATGGCTGCTATCGATACCCCTTCAATCAGGGCACAAGATGTCGCGTACGGCCCATCAGGTGTGTTGAATTCGGAAAAATCACCATTCAAGTTAGGCTTATTGAATTATAGGTATCAAGGGGCTTGTTAAAAGTCCTTTCCTTCTTTCACAAGCGTTGTTCTCCAGCATTGGAGGATTACTTTACGGGTAGGCTAAATAGTATATTCTCTGGTTAGCTGCGCTATGTTCTAACAAAGTAGTATTCAAGATACGACCAAGGTGTCATATCAGGCGTCCTTGTGACAACCAGCTTTGTGAGACTTCCTGTCTCTTCGCTCAATTTCCCAAATCTTCAACTTTACTTACCCTCCATTTTCTCAGGGCAAAGAGTTTCCCATGATTGCAAATAACGCAGGGCTTCAAGGATGGATGGTCTCGGTTCTAACACTAGGTGCAATGTTCGGCGCCTTCTTGAATGGCCCCATCGCCGACCGATTCTCTCGACGCTGGTCTATCCTATATGCTAACATAATCTTTCTGATCGGATCCGCAATTCAAGCCGGATCCGTGAATATACCGATGATCTTCATTGGTCGTTTCATTACAGGCGCGGCAATTGGAATGCTGTCCATGGTAATCCCGCTATATCTGAGTGAGATATCACCCCCAGAACTACGAGGTAGTCTTGTTTCGTTACAGCAATTGGCTATCTCGGGTGGCATTATGATTGCATTTTGGCTTGACTATGGGACCCAGTTTATTGGTGGCACAGGGGATGGTCAGTCAGAGGCTGCCTGGCGGTTACCTTTGGCTTTGCAATGCGTGCCTTCATTGCTCTTGGCGGGGGGCACTTTTATGTTACCTTACAGCCCACGCTGGCTGATGAAAGCCGGTATGCTATATCAGTAGCACGTCTTTTCCTTCAAACAGCTGACAAACTAGTTAGATCGCGAAGACGAAGCACGGAATGTCCTCTGCAGACTTCGTCGCGTCCCAGAATCTGATTCCCGAATTCGTCTCGAGCTTTTGGAAATCAAGGCAGCTACCATATTTGAACAAGAGACGAGAGCGGCGAAATATCCAAATAGCAAGGGGAAATTGCAAGTGGCCATGCGCGAATACAAGGATCTGTTTGTTCTCCGTCACCTTAATCGGCGCCTTTTCATTGCCTGCATGCTTCAATTTATTCAGCAATTTACAGGTACGTGAAACCTTTTCTCTGGAGGATCAGACATCTAATATCAACAGGAATTAATGCTGTCATATACTACGCGCCAACAATGTTTAAATCGGTACCTTGCCCCGACAGTGGAAGTCAATTCTATGAGTTGCTGATTCCTTCTAGATTGGCCTGAGTGGAAACTCGGTCAACCTCCTCGCGACTGGTGTTGTAGGTATTATCCTCTTTCTATGTACTATTCCTACGGTTCTGTGGATTGATAGGTACGTCTCCAGTCGTATAATCCAATGTATACCCCACAACTAATGCATTTGGTTTCAGATGGGGACGTCGCAATATCCTGCTTCTGGGGGCGGCGTGGATGGCTACATCTCAGCTGATTGTTGGCACTCTATATGCCGTATACCGAGACCGTTGGGAATCAAATACCAGCGCAGGATGGGCTGCAGCTGTTTTCATTTGGGTCTATATTGCCAATTTCTCATACAGCATCGGTAAGTTGCTTGTCGGATCAACTTTGAGATACGCAGTTTACGAATGACATACTGTAGGATGCATCAATTGGATTATGCCTTCCGAGATATTTCCGCCGGGTGTTCGTTCCAAGGGCGTCAGTATCGCTATTGCGACCAATTGGTTGACGAACGTAAGTCTCATAAGCATATGTCCTGGCGTATTAATGACCTCGTTCAGTTCATCGTCGCTTTGATCACGCCCCGGATGCTGGAATCCATCACATTCGGCACGTTCTATTTCTTCCTGGCATTTTGTATCATCCTTTTCGTGTGGGTTATGTTCTTTGTCCCTGAAACCAAAGGGGTGCCGATCGAGGACATGGACAAGATATTTGGCGGAAATCAAGGCCAGGCAGATTTAGCGCGAATGACGGAAATTCGAAATAGACTGCATACTGTCTCTGCAGAAGAGAGGGATCTGGCTCAGGCTAAGGAGGCGGACGTGGACTATGCCACCGTGGAAGAACAGGAGTGAACAACCGAGCTGCCGAGGCGTCAAGGCACATAAATAAGCCACTAGATAGCCTGAAACATTTAACTAGTTAACTAAGAGAAGTTAGACTCGGATAAATATCTCCCTAGACGCCCTCGCGCTGACAGCTGACACCGCTCTTAGCGTCAGATCAACACTCCCCCGCTCCAATCTGCTATCCACCATGGCATCAAGCAAGTCGGATTTCGAGTCTTTGCAGCTCGTGAGCGAGAATATTTATCTGTATGAGCCCCAGGAAAGTGTAGAGGGTCAGCTTGCAGGCGACGGGAGTTCGGCGCCTTCAATAATCATCATCTGCACCTGGAATGGCGGTGCAACGCCGCGACGAATCAATAAATACATCGCTCAATACCGCCAAATATACCCGGGAACAATCATCCTTGTTATTACAACAACTGTTCCCAACACAGCCTTCTGGCCTCTGCGCGTGGTGCGTTCGCGCCTGCAACCAACCTGTGAGGTCATTCAACGGATACTCGCAAAATCAACCAACCCCAAGGTTTTGCTCCATTTATTTTCCCATGGTGGTGGCAGCATGGCTGCTCAACTGGCATTGTCCATGCAAGAAGGTGCCGACAAAGGCGCACTATTCCTCTCCAGTCTGCGCGGTGTGATCTTCGACTGCTGCCCTGGACACGATAGCTTCCAGCAGACATATGGAGCTGCCAAACTATCGATGGGAACAGATGTGCTATCTCAAATTTTCACAAAGACAATGCTCTACCCATCCATTGCTGTGATAAGCAAGCTCCAGAGCTCGGGTGTGCTGCGCTCCGTGCAAGACATACGTGGAGTGCTGCATGATCCATCGACATTTGGAGCTCAAGTGAGGAGACTGTATATCTATACGAAGGAGGATACCATGGTTGGATGGGCGGATGTACAGAAGCATATTGAGGAGGCCCGAAGTCGTGGCTACCCTGTCGATCAGGTTCTCTTTGAGCATGGCACCCACTGCAGTTTGATAATGGAGGATTCGACGCGGTACTGGTCAGCTGTACAGAGGTTCTGGAACGGTGAACACGCTGCAGACCCTGGTTTGTCCAATGTCGATGAAGTCAAGGTTCGCAGTCGCCTGTGAATGTTTGTTCTACTGTATCTTCTACTGCATTATTGTCCATATCAAGACAAGATCGTCCGTCAAACTTCAGTGCATATATCAACCCTTCCAGATATCTGACATAGGGGCCAATGGTATATGTTCGATCTTAGGATCTTCAAAGTCCGCGCAATTTGCTCCTAGTTACAGGACTGGTCAAGGTTTCCATTTGCAAGAATTGTAATCAGTCACAGCAAATTTCTACAATGACGCGCATTGCGCTTTTCAACTGTAGAAGGCTCCTCTACTTGTACTCACGTTTGAGGCCGAAAATATTATCGAGACCTCAAGAGAGGACACAAAAGAGACTCAACAACAGTTCATCAAATTGCTTGCTTTGAGACTTCAGTCGGAACATGTTAATGCTTGAGACGTCATCCACATGCATGATTACTTGTTATATCGACGGGCTCCATACTCACCACCTTCATGGTTTGAGAATACTGCGTAGTATGACAACATAAGAAAATATCCGGTCATTTAGAGCATTGAAGCCCATTTATTGGTCATACATCACTCACGCAAGGGCCAAGCGCGATAGCCACCAACGTGCTGAAAGGAATTTTTCCATTCACTGTCAAGCAATCAATAGAAGTATCAACCCCAATTGGTGACTTTCTTCAATCATGAGATAAGAGGCTACTTACTTGGCAGTCGAAGATCAAGTTTTGTGACGCATGTAGTCTCTTCTGGACTTGTCAAGGGGGGTGGTTGGGTGACACAAGCGACGATCTTCACTGTTGTGCACAATTCTCCTCCTCGCAATTCTTGCACGCCTCATCGGACATACTTGCATGAAGTATGTTGATAAAAGAAGCAGCAGAGATGATTCAAACAAATCTTATTGATTGGCTGTGTGGAGTTATCCCCGTCACAATGGAATAAAGAATCAGAGAGAAATTTAGTGGACAGGAGTACTATAAAAGCTGCTCGGAGGACGGCTTGCAGGAGTAACGAAATATTCCAAACCTCCTGGAAACTTCATAAACCATTTTCCTCATAAATTTCGATCTGATTCATCATGCATCTTGCGGAAGTATATAGTTCTCAGCCTGGTTTGATACGCCGTTTGTTAACAACTATATTCTTACCCTCTAGTATCTATTCAAACGAATCCACCAACTGGGGATCGAATCCATTTTTGGGGTTCCCGGCGATTTCAATTTAAGGTCCCTGGACTATATTGATCCGTGTGGGCTTAACTGGATTGGCAATGTCAATGAATTGAATGCTGGTGGGCAAGTCCGGTTCATCAAGCTGCTGAGTGCCCAAGCTGACAACATCATCATAATAGGATATGCAGCCGATGGCTACGCACGCATCAGAGGGATTGCAGCGATTGCAACCACCTTGGGCGTGGGCGAGCTCTCCGCTATCAATGCCATAGCCGGCTCAAGCGCCGAGCTTGTCCCTATTATCCACATCGTTGGTTACCCGTCAACAACAGTCATGGAGAAGGGAGCTTGGCTACATCATACATTGGCAGATGGGGATTTTGAACGATTTGCTCGTATGAGCGAGGAGCTCTCAAGCGCCGTGGTTATTCTGAAAGACAAGTCAACTGCATCGAGACTTATTGACGAGACAATTATAACGTGTTACCGCTCCAGCAAACCGGTCTATATTGGTTTCCCCGTCGATATCGTTGAGGCAGAAGTAGATCCATCCCCCCTTGACACTCCCCTGGTGCTCGAAGAACCTGCATCTCACCCTATTGCCGTTGAGGAAAATGCTGTCAACAGGATTCTGGACCGAATTCTAACTGCCCAGAGCCCCATCATAATTGTTGACTGCTTGGGCGGGAAGCCACAGGTCTTGAAATCCACTAGGTCTTTTGTTGAGCATTCGGGCCTGCCTTGCTTCATTACGCCGATGGCCAAGGGCATTGTGGATGAGAGCTTGGTCAACTTTTGCGGTATCTACGCAGATAAGGTCTCAGAGCCTGGTTTGCTAGAGCAAGTCCAACTGAGTGATCTGATTCTGGTGATTGGGCCACGTCCAACGGATATCAATACGGCAGGCTTCAAAACAGACATGGCTCATATCGAGACGATCAAACTTGGTCGGGATACAGTCGAAATGTCAGACCAAAAGTTTGAAAATCTCAGAATGAAAGGTATTCTTGAGAAGCTCAGCGATGCCTTCGATGACCGCATGTCGAGGTCGAACTCATCGGCATCATCCGCTCCACGCAGCATCTGCCACTTGTCTGACAGAAATTCACTCTCCTCTGTTTCCACGTCACCTCAAAAGAGCGTCACTGCGGATACGGCATTCAGTTCCCAAGGCACTATTTTTAACAAGTCACCTCCCATAACTCAGGAATGGGTTTGGCAACGGATCAGCACTTGGCTACAGGAAGACGATATTATAGCGGCAGACATTGGAACTTCTCTCTTTGGCACTGCCTGGGCCAGATATCCACGAGGAGCAGTCCTTTTGTCTCAATTTCTCTGGTGTTCCATCGGGTATGCCGTTGGCGCGGCAATTGGGGCTGCCATAGCCGCCCGCGATGACGAGAAAAAGTCCGAGGCTTCTTGCCGTCGCACCATTCTTTTCACTGGAGATGGTAGTCTCCAAATGACAGCGCAAGAAATTAGCACTATGGTCCGCCACAACCTCCCAGTAATTATCTTTGTCGTCAACAATGAAGGCTTTACCATCGAGCGTGAGATCCACGGCCGTGAGCAGGGGTATAATGATGTTCAACCTTGGGACTACAAGCTACTCCCATCTCTCTTCCAAGCTAAACCTGAAGCCGCACGCACCTATGATGTTCGCGCTCAGGCTGATTTGGACATGGTCCTTGCCGATCCTGAGCTTGGTCCTGCTGTGAAGTTTGACGATAATAGTCCAGCACCGTTGAGATTGGTTGAACTACACATCAGGAGAGATGACGTCCCCGAGTCGCTTCATGGTATGATTAATGCACTCACGAAGTAGAAGTGACTTGACACGCTTCAGCATTAGTTATGTGATAACTCTTGTAGTGGGGGAATTGCTTACTGCATGAAGTTAACGGCGGGGGCCTCCGGGGGTCTACGGATGATTCAGCATTTACGATGTTATTTAAGACCTCTCTACGCATTGAGAACAATATAGACACAATCTTTTTCTTCAAATACTCCTATGTGCTCTCCTTTCCTCCAGCCCTACCTGACCTCTTGTTAGGATTTGCCCACGCTCCCATTGCCAGTATCGACCTGTCTGCTCGATCAGACTGCCATCGCAACGTCCCCACTTCACTATATAGACTTATAGTAAACTGCACTGATACTGTTCAAGAGCATGCAGAGACCATCAACAATAGGAAGTAACGTTTTAGACTCGTTCAAAGCTCCATTGCAGGTAAGAAATCGTCTTCCAATAACAGAGAATCTAAGAAACTTGACAGGCAGACCTTCATACGATCTGATTAATATATCCAGAGCCCCAACATGGGTAAAAGGAGGTAGAAAAAAGGAGGCCAACCTCAAACAGCAATCAAGCGTCAAATTATTGACTAGGTGAAACACATAGAGAGGTTTGATACTCAACATCACTGTGATTAGATCATAATCCCCGCTGTAGCGCTTTGCGTGGGTCAATGCCGACCAATGGTAAACTAAGCCACGCTAAAAGGAAAGAGACAACAAGAGAGAAAGAAAACTGATCGAGGCTGACTATTCCAATTGATTGGCCGGAATAGCTTTAGAGCCGTCTGGAAGAGCAAATACTTTGCCTGGATTCAAGATCCATCTATGAGATGTCAGTATGTGCACATGTGAAAGAAAATGCTCCGTTGCTCACTTTGGATCCAGTGCTTGTTTCAGCTGCTTCATTACCTCGATCGTGTCGCCCCCCAACTCTTCAACCAAGTAAGCCTGTGTACCGGATTAGCCTCTATCTTCTAGCAGACGATAATCAACCCACCATCTTCCCCATCCCAATAGCATGCTCTCCAGAGACCGTGCCATCCATCTCTAAAGCTCGGCGCACCATTTTGTACGCCGCATCTTTCACTGCAGCCTTCTGTGCCACATTCTGAGGATCATACATCATCGCCTCGTGGAAATTACCGTCGCCAACATGCCCGACAATACTGGCAAAGACCCCAAGGCTCTCTGCATCCTTTTTGGAGAGCTCGATAATTTCTGCCAGGCGAGAAATGGGAACAGCCACATCAGTGGACCAAAGTCCATGACCTTCCGGCTTGATAGACGTCATTGTCCAAAGTGCTTCCTTTCTTGCTGCCCATAGGTCTGTCTCCTCCCGCTTGCTTCTCGCGAAATAGGATTTCCCCGGGTTGCAAGTCTTGATCAAGCTCTCAAGCTGAGAGATATCCGCCTGAACACCCTGCTGCGTAGGGCCTGAGAACTTTAGGAAGAGTGTGGGCAGCTCGTCCAAGTTCTTCATTCGCACCGACTCGCTCCCATGTCGGTTGACGACTTGCATCTGAACATCATCCATCAGCTCCAGCGCGGCCAGCTGCAGACCAGAGCGGATCACCTTGGTCGCTGCAGATGCTGCGTCCTTGATGGTGGGAAATGATACGACAGCAACACCAGTCTCTTTGGGTACCACGGCCAGCTTCAAGGTAATCTCGGTGATAATTCCAAGCGTTCCCTCGGCGCCAACAAAGAGTGAGGTTAAATTATACCCAGCGGACGTCTTCCGGGGCCTTCTCCTCGTTTTAATGATTTTGCCGTCAGCAAGTACGACGGTCACGTTAAGAACCCAGTCCTTCATGGTACCATAGCGGAACGCATTGGTGCCACTGCAGTTGGTGGAAACCATTCCGCCGATTGTGGCGGTCGGGGAGGGATCCAGTGGGAGAAAAAGGCCCTCAGCTTGTAGGCTTTGATTCAAGTCAACCCAATTGACTCCAGGCTGCACGACTACATCCATGTCATCTGGATGAGTCGCAATGATATTGTTCATGTGTGTGAAGTCTACCACAATTCCACTGTGTGGTGATGAGAAGCTGCCTTCGATAGATGACCCAGCACCGAAAGCCACTTCAATGAGTCAGATTGGTCTTTGCTGATTCAAAACATAATCGGATAACTAACCCACTGGAACACTGTGCTTGTTGCAGATAGTCGCAATTTTGGACACGTCTTCGGTAGACCTAGGATAGACAATGGCCACCGCTCGTCCCGCTGAGTTTGTGCAAGCCCAGTCTGAAAAGCCGTGTATCTCGATGTCCTCATTATCATAGCTCACTGAGTCCTCTCCTAGTATGTCTGCAATTTCATTTGCGGCCTAAATATCTTCGCAGTCAGCAAGGGGCCTACGAAGCGGTTCGTTTGTAAGCTAGACTTACTGATAGCATGACCGCCTTCTGGGGGTACTGGGCAGGCCTGAGACCATCGGATAGTGGAGAGACAGATGACTGTATAGCAAGGCCATATCCAGCCACCATAGAAAGAACAGCCGTTAGCCCCAGGAGGGGGAACACTGATCTCGTCGACTTGGCTGACTCGCTGGAGTAAGCTCTTGACAAGGCTCTAAGTTGCCTCTGTCTCGGCAAATGACTGCCAGAACACTGTCGTAACAGAGCCTGTAAGCGTGCAGCTTTAGGCATTGTGCTGAACATTGTACCCTTCGAGTTGCGTGTCCCCTGAATTACGAGCTGATATGGCGACCACCAGGAACAACAGTAGTCAGGTAGGGCTTAAACACGAGTGTTGTCACGCAGCTCGGTTCAAATGACAATCTACCTCTGCTGCTCTGTGGCGCTTTAAAGGATAGAACGAGCAATACTAAGGGCGTTGGTTCAGCAGATCGGTTCCCGTGCCGCTAGGTGGGTCTCATCTCAGAGCTTTGGGCCAATTGGAATTGAAGACAGGCCCCCTTTACTATAGTAGCAGTTCGCCAGCAGTGCTCTTGTGCAATGGAGATGCGGGACACGACAAGAGAAATCAGAATAGGTCTCCAAGAAAAGGATGTACCTTTTTGATTAGAAGAGCGCAGTACCATAAATGCAAGGCGGATTAGGTGGACTTATCAACTCTATAGCACCCACTACCCCGTATTCTGTGCCGGAAACCGATCAGTTTATAAGACACGGAAAATGATACATAAGTTATATGGCAGGTCGGTTGTACTGTCAAGTTGACGACCCCGACGATCTGAAGAGTTCAGTTCAAACAGATTCGCTAGATGAGTTGGTCACCCCAAAGATCTTCCAAAGGCGAACCTGCGCTGCTGTCGCCGACTTACTAGGCTACCATTTTACGTAAGACATGGGAAACCCTTTGGAGGCTGCCTGTTGTATTCGGTGCGAAAGAAAGTTCCGGGAAAACTCCACTCAATCCCAGCAAACTGACGAGCACTTCTAAATCCTTGCTCAAAGTGGTCCAATCTAAGAGCTTCGAGGCACTTCACAAGTATCAACTATAATTAGGGGAAACGAAAGATCATTTACATCTTTGAAACAGCAAACAAGGATCTTGTTTTCTATCTTGATTCAAATACCGTTGATTACCTAAAATACAAACCTACCCTAAGGTATGGCGTATCTATAGCACGACGAGGGTACATAGTAGGCGATGAGGATTTGCATAGCCACATTTCTTCTATATTTGATGATCACTACAAACCCATCATGTAGGATCAGACATAACGTTATTACTCAAGTCCTCTTCATTCTCACCTCGTTTTGCCTCTTTTCGTCCATTTTCAAGTATGATCAGCGGATGTACTGGGTACGGGGGCTTTTTTTGCAAGGTAGGAATCTGATCAGCCTGTGGCTTCAGCTCGTGAATACCAATTGTCATTTCCAAGAATAGCCACGAGAATGACGTCGAACAGCAATAAGGCTGAAAAGAAGATGCCAAGTTTGTCCAAAGCTTGGTCAAAGCTTGGCACTGCGTACTTTCAACCGTTGGCACTAAATACTTTTCCGAGGTGGAACTACCGTGCCCACTCACGCCTGAACACACTTAGCACATACTAAGCAGAAGGGGCAGAATAGGCAGATTGGCCAGAATGAGCCACTGATGTCATGTTTCATGGAAGAACCTCCCTGACCCTTTAATTCAAGGGTCTGGGCGACATTGAAAATAGCTGAAGCCACATCAGCGGCCTTTGTGACGCCCCACCGCATAATCCGGCTGCCTGGGGTCATTTCAATGGCCTATCGGTTCCTGAGACCCATCCGTGTGTCTGGAAAGGTGTAAGACTGGCAGAGACTGCCCAAATTAGCAAATGAGAAAGGCACTAGCTGAGGCTGACCCATTTCCCTGACCTTTATCTGTGCCGTCCCCCTCTTTTTCAGCCCTGCACTCTTCTACAACTTCCATCGCCCCTATTACCTCTTTACCAAGATCCTTTCAATATCCACAATGTTCGGCTGGTTCAAGTCTTCCGAGTCCAAGCCTACCCAGGAGGCTACCTGGGATGCGGCCACCATGACCATGCGCCAGCCCTCCAACACCGAGGAGATGGCTGCCAACCAGGTTGTTTCTCAGCAGCCCGTAAGGCCTCCCCTTCTCTCTTAAAACAGTTACACAAAGCAGAAGCTGACCAGAATCTCTCGTGATAGAACCCTGAGTCCATGAAGATGGAGCTGCGCGGCGGTGGTGAGGGTGGTGATATCTGCTGTGGAGTGTGAGTACTGCCTCGGACTGGAATATGCAAATACACCTGCTGACAATCATCCAGTTGCGCCGGTCTCGCCTGCTTCGAGTGCTGCGAGTGCTGCTGCTAAGCGCCTCGCTTTTCTACAAACCACATACCCTGTTGGACTGATTGAGCGGCGTTGGAATGGATCGGGAAACTTGTGGATACACAAGTTATGCTAATACCAAATTATCTGAAAACTTTTGATTCAACTTCCATTTTTATCATGTCTGGTCGCACAAGCGCTTCGTGCTTATTGTAGTGGTGAAGTGTCTGAATAGCGCCTAGGGTGCCTTCCATTCATGATTGTATCGGAGTATTTGATAGTTTGTCGCTGTTCCCGTCCATGGCAAGGTCCTATGTAGGATTGGGTGAGTGTAAGATCTGTTCAAAAGAAAACTCCAGGTTCACATCTAGAATGGATTCCATAGCTACGGTGTAACGTGACTCGCTCCGCCTTGCTTCCAGGATAAACAAGAATAAAGCAGAAGGGGACATTACATGATCACCAAGGATATCTAGCTTAGTACATATTCAGGTGATGATGTTGCACATCCGGGGTAGGGCAAGGGATCGTCAATGTCGCCGATATAGATCTGTAGTTTGGCCTCATCTACCACAAAACCGCACTCTCCAGTCTAATAATGCCATAGTTGGTGGAATGCCCAAGTACTGTAGTGTCAAATAACATATTTAAATTCCCCTATAGAGAAAAATCAATATATCCAATTCAATCACATAGAAAGGAAAAATATCCCCAACATGCCATCACATAGCTAAGACGCTAACCGCAACAGGAAATGCAAGCTTCTGCGCGTAAACACCCAAAACTCCCCGAACAACCACAACAATGCCTCACCTACGCCGCCAACCAAACCCCCGCGAGCTCCCCAACCAAGATCCAACACACGGGGATCTGCGCGCCCAATTCCACACCCCGCCAGCCCGACACACGCCCTCCAATCCAACCCACCAACTCCCCCCATCAACAGGTCCAAATGTGATCACACCAGACGCACTCGCGCAGGCGGGCCACCTCGGAGAAAGAAATCCCTTTTCAATATTCGGTCGCACAGGCTTGGCGCCACCACCAGAAACAGAGACAATGGACGACCAATTCGACGATGACTATGATCCGCGCGGGATGGGCATGCGGGAGCTAGGCGATGACGAACCGCTCGATGATGACGATTCCTTCGAGGTGGAAGATGGCCATGAAGATCAATACGACGACTCCGACATTGATGGCGAGGAACTCGAAGAGACCGAAGATGTGGTCCAGGATCAATATGGAGAAGATGACCCGGACGAGGAAATGCAAGACCGAGGTACGACAACTCGCCCCCTTCTACTCTTCGCTGGCAGCGTCTAGCCTTACGCATTCCGACTCTAACACACTGACCTACAGAAAAATCACCTTCTCCTCTCCCCCCGAACCTGCGCGAGATCTCCTCTCTCGCTTCCTGGACCGTCTCAACCTCCAAGCCAGGTTGCGGTGTCGCAGCCCTCCGCAACACCTCGCCCTCCCAATACTGGCAATCAGACGGTCCACAACCACACACCTTGACGCTTCATTTCTTCAAACTAGTCGCCGTTGTGCGGATCCGCGTCTACCTGGATTTCGAACTCGACGAAAGCTACACGCCAACCAAAATGATCTTCGCGGCTGGAATGGGCGGCAATGACCTAGTCGAGTTCGCAACTTGGGAAGGCGACGGGCCATGCGGATGGGTCAATGTCCCACTAGAAGGCGTCGGCGGACGGAACGGCGGCTGGGTACAGAATAACACGGGGAACAGGAGACGCCGGTCGACTAGTGTGCGACAGAGACGGCGGACTGTGTATCGGAACTGTGATGATCCAGATCCTGAACACGAGCACGATGAAGAGTGCGATCCGGTCTACGAGGAGGAGGAGGTGGTGGTGGACAGCCAGGATGACGAGCACGATCCTTATTCTGGAAATGTGCTCAAGGCTATGGTGATTCAGATGCGGATTATGGAAAACCATCAGAATGGAAAGGATACGCATGTGCGTGGGTTTCAGGTCTTCGCGGCTGATGAGAGTCGGCGCAGGGTTGGTGCTGGGCCCTCTGCTTCGGCGGATGTTAGGCCTAGGAGAGTTTCGCGCACTTCGCATGATCTGCGTGGGCGGGTGAGTGATGGTGTTGATACGGAGAAGTTGACAGCGGCTTCTGGGCTTGATGAGCCGGATTGGATGGGTGAGCCGGTGATTCGATGAAATGCATTCCGAGCAAGAGAAAGAGAAACACGCTGGATGGGTTTATTGGGTTCAAATGCCAAAATGGGGGTTCATATAGGAGTTTATTCGTGTCCAGGTTCAAGATACCCAGTGCTCGTGGAGATATCATATCATTAAGGCGGTTCCAGGGGAATAAACAGGTTGCATCTTAAACGGGTATTCAATTTTTGGTTGTTTTTTTTATGCTAGTCGTATCTCATATAGAAACATAGAAGCTCTTGCTCCATATTTACTTGAGCAGCTTCTCCAGCTCGGCAGCGACAGCGTCACCAACCTCGGTGGTCTTGGCCTTGCCGCCAATGTCGCCAGTGCGGACACCAGCCTCGATAACATTGCTGACGGCCTTTTCGATGATGCGAGCCTCGTCGAACATGTTGAAAGAGTACTGCATCATCATGGCAACGGACAGGATGGCAGCCACGGGGTTAACAATACCCTGGCCGGCGATATCGGGAGCGGAACCTGAATATCAAATTAACAACTTGCCCAGGAAGAAATGGAATATGACAGAAAGAAGAGGAACAAGAACATACCGTGGATAGGCTCGTAGATACCGTTAATGCGAGACTTGCCATCGGGAATACCGCTCAAACTAGCCGAAGGCAGCAAGCCAAGCGAGCCAGGGATAACACTAGCCTCATCGGAGATGATATCACCGAACAAGTTACTAGTAACAACGATACCGTTGAGCTTACGGGGGTCCTTAATCATAAGCATAGCAGCAGAGTCAACAAGATGATGACCAAGAGAAACCTGAGGGAACTCCTTGGCCATGATCTCAGTAGCGACCTTACGCCACAGACGGGAAGTAGCAAGGACGTTAGCCTTGTCCAGAGACCAGACGGGCAGAGGGGGGTTGTGCTGCAAAGCGAGGTTGGCGGCCAGACGAATGATGCGCTCGATCTCGTGGCGGGAGTAGGGCTCTGTGTCCATTGCGTAGCCGCTGCCATCGTCTTCCTTGCGGTCACCGAAGTAGATACCGCCGGTCAGTTCGCGGATGATGTTGAAGTCCACGCCGCGGCAGACTTCGGCCTTGAGCGGGGAGCTATCGACGAGAGAGGGCGCAGCGAAGTTGCAGGGGCGCAGGTTGCCGAAGGTGGCCATTTCTTTGCGGAGCTTGAGGATTCCTTGCTCTGGGCGAACGGCGCCGGTGCCCCATTTCTTTGTGTGTGTGTTAGTTGCTTTGTTTCCTTGGGATTGAGATTTGGGGGTTGGCAAATTGACGTACGGGACCACCAATGGCACCGAGGAGAACGGCGTCGGCATTCTTAGCAGCGGTGAGGGCCTCATCGGTCAGAGGGGAGCCAGTAGCATCGATGGAAGCCTGCAATTGTCAGTCATTGAGCCTGACTTCGGAACAAGTTATGTGTATACGTACACCACCGAGCAGGTGGTCCTGCAGGTTGAAGGTGACATCACGGTTCTTCTCGATCACACGGAGGATCTACAGCCAAACAATTAGCACCAGCCCCTGTATCTGCATTGATAATTTGCATCTCTCTGCATGTCTCTGCAAGATCGCATTGTCGTTAAATTTACCTTGACAGCCTCGGCAGTAACCTGTGTCGAATGTCAGTAGATGCTGTGCTCATTGGTCTTCTCCCACATACCTCAGGACCACAGTGGTCACCACCAAAGACAACGACGTTGAAGGAAGACATAGCTGAGCAGAGAATTGAAATGAAAATGACTCGATTGGTGTTCAGGGGAGCTTTCCTTATATAAAATCGGCGCCGGGTGATTTCGACCCCGCCATCTCCGAAATCGGCGATGACATAAACGCGTCGCTTATTCCCGGTGCATCTTCGCTCTATAAAACCTCATGACTGATGCTGCTTGATTACTGGGGTTGCTTGGATGAGTATTCTGGAAATTGTCAGCAGGCTAGTACCAGCCAATACACGCTCTCAGTTGGAGGCATTTGAATCAGACATATCCATTGCAACAAGCTTCATCAAGCTTAAGAAGATCTCCAATACTCAATTGGCCGTAGTCGGATCTCTCCTTCCGAGAACTACCTCCATTAACAAAGACTAGTTTTGAATGCACAAAAAAGCATTAAATGATGTATAATGGCATTAAGAATGACTAGAAGAAACGAGATCGAAAAAAGACCCCTAGGCCTGATACAAAGCCCAGGGAAAGAAAATGAGGAAACATGGAGAGTGAAAAAGAGGGCAAAAAGAAGGGGAAAAAGAATGGGGCAGTAAAAACACAACCCGCGTGTGTACTGTACAAAGTCTCGGAAAGTGGACTATGTCTGGGACCCCAAAACAAGCAGTGGTCAAAAACAACTCATGAATAGAATCCAGCTACCAGTCCAACCATCGCTCAAAGGAGGAAGGGAACGGGACAGCACTGACTGCTGCCCACTTTCTCATCCTTGAAAACAGACCGTAGCTCCAAGACATGCATGACAAGAAGAGGGAAAGGGGATGAATAAGGTGTGCGATATGAGATATCAGCTAGATACTTGGATCAGCAAGTGAGCTAGCGACCATGCTGGTAGCATCCGATCTCAAATTTGAGTCCTTCATTTCTTGCGGTTGGCCCGGCGGGCCTTGAGGTCACCTTCGGCCATCCAGCGTGCGGCATTGACCATCTGCACCACGTTCACGAACTGCTTAAATGCCATCACGGGGAGGGAGATGCCAGTGATGATCCATGGCCAGGTGCTCTCAAGCTTGTTGGCACGAGCCATCTCAAGGGCACCAGCACTCCAGGGGCTGGCAAACAGACTGGCGGGCTCGGGGTGGGCGGGGTTTCCGGGCTGAGCAGAGGAAGCCTGCGCGTCAGGGACCGGTTGCAACAGCGAAGGAGACAGAATAGGCGAAGAAAAGGAGAGCAGGTAGAGGCCAATGAAGAAAGCCTCGTTAAGAGCACAGCAGATGAACAAGACGGTCTAAGTGAGAGAGCGAATTAGCTTGGCGACTAAACACACCCTGTCGTGACGATTTACCTTGCTGGTGTAGTACTGGTAGAGGATCCAGCTACGGCTCGAATCGACCTTCTTATGGCTCTGATCGGATCCACCCATGCTGAGCGTCGCGTACATGTGCATGTAGTGACTGGCCATATCGAGGCAGATCAAGGCCTGGAAGACGATTGCCCAGCGCGGCCAGGCAGAGCTCAGGAAGACCAACAAACAAGCGGTCGTGCAGCGGTCAGTCACCATGTCCAATACTGCACCGAAGGTAGTAGATTGGTTGAAATAACGTGCTGCGTAGCCATCCAACGCGTCGAGGAGGCACGACACGGTGTAGAGGAATGAACATGTCCGGGGGTGGAGGGGCATGTAATATAGGGAGGCGAATGTCAGGACAACTCGGGAGTACCCTGGGAGCAAGTCAGATACTGAAGATGATCGCAGAGCGCGAAACGTATCCTACCGATGATGTTGGGGGCAAACAAGAAGACGTTCTCCTTGGGCTCCCCCTCCCGCACAGCGGACTTGGATCTCTTCTTCGATGGTGTGCGTTTGGAGGGTGTTGACACCGAGCCATTTCCAGCGGGGGAGTCTTCGCTCTCCTCTGCGGCGAGAGCGGCCTTTTGTCGTCGTGTTCGTGCGCTCATCGTGAATGTGTGGTGGGGATTTGGGGATTGGAAGATCAGAGAGTTGAAATTTGGGGGGGGGGGGGGGTTCGGATTTCGAAACAGGACGATCGCGATTCTTGATAGCTAGATATCATGACTGTCAGCTTGATGCAGCCAAGACCAGGCAACAGAACGGAATTCGGAAATCGACATACCGTTAAGCTTCAAAATCGGTAATAATATGAAGTTCCCAAGTGGGATAAGGATAGGATGGAGGTGAAAGGAGGGTACTCAGATAAGTTGACACGCAAAGAAAATGAAGGACAAGGGATGAAGGTGGGAAGATCAGGAGAGTGGAATGTCCACAGCGGATTACTCGGATCCTTGGAAGCTTCCCGGGAACCCACTGTAGGATCTTCAATATGAAACAGGGCAAAATGTTGGAAAATGGGGACAATGTGGACAAGAGTCGAGCTTTTTCTTATCTTGACTTCGTTATTGGGACCTCCAGGGCTGCAGGGCTGTTGGCTGTAGTTAGTCAGCTCTATCGCCCTGGAGCTCATAAGTTACTATCAAAACCCTTGTAAATATGACACAGCCTCAGGCCGCAACCTCATATATTCACCCGGATGCAAATCAAAATCTCAACCTATAGAACACCAACAATTATATGCGATGGCCCGGCAGACCAAAGAACAAAAGATATATACAGAATAAATGCTCAGAAGAGGCATCACGTCCGTGACCTGCGCGGATCAGTAGCATCCTGCCGACGCCACTCACGAGACTCTTTAGTCCCCAAGCTTCCAACACCACCTTCAAGTCGTCTCTCCCAGCCACCAAGACGAATAACAAGACAAGTAGCATTGTCACCCTCCCTTGTAACCTCAGTGGAGAAATTGACCACATCGCGCGCGCCCTGCTCAGGCGTCCGGGATTCCTTGACGATATCTACAATCTCCTGATCAAGGAGGGTTCCGCTGATGCCATCGGAAACCATAACTAAGAACGAGAACTCTGCGGGCCCCATTTCAATGCGTTTGAGTTCTGGCTCGGCGGAGACGCCGATGCGCTTGGATTGCATGTCGCCGAAAGAGCGCGTGTTGGCTAGCCCGCTCATGCGCTCTTCGCCGAAGGAGTCCGTGACGAAGGTTGCTGCGTAGCGGCGAAGTCGGCTTGCTTCGATTGGGGAAGAGGGGTGGTGGTTGGATGTGAGCGGGATCGCTTCGCCTGTTGTCGTTGAGCAGAGGAGCATGCGGGTGTCCCCAACGTGGGCTACTAATAGACTCGATGGACCGATGGGGTGCCAGAACGGAGTGGGAGTGGGTGTTGAGATCAGCGCGATGCTACCTGTGCTGCCGCCCTTGAATCGGCTGGGTCCGCCGATTTTGGGAGAGCGAGTCATGCTGGGTCGGTGGAATATTTCATCGTCATTCAGAGGCCTCTCGGCCTGAACGAGATCATTGTCTCGTTTCGCTGCTTGCGCTTTGAGAAAGTCGAGGTCTGCACGGAGGAAGGCGTATTCCATGACTTCCTCGATAGAAATGTGGTCTAGGATGCTGGGGTCTTCAGACTCGAGGCCGTGATAGGCAAAATGTGGCGGCTTGAATCGTTTGAAATAACCACCCACTATGCGTCTCCAGTCCTGTACAAGGTTCTTCTCCAAGTCGCCAATCTTGTTCCGGTTGCCTTCCTGCAAGACAGGGAGCTCACTGTTGGACGGTGGAATTTCCGCACCGCGCCGGAGACTCGACTTGAGATCTATATCGACCGCCGCATGTTGGATATATTCGTGCAGGTAGTCCCTCAAGAAGGCACTGCAATCAACTCCGCCATGGCCGTCGAAGACACCGAAATAGAACACTTGCGGATCACCGCTGGCCGTCTCCGCTGCCCGCGACTCGCGCGGTGTAGGTAGAGGTTCTCCGTTGCCCCGTCTCTTGATAGTCAGCGACGTCGGGGGCCGCTTGGCAAATGCCGGGATGTCAATGACACCAGCTTGGTATGTGTCTTCATTGGCCGGGCGGGTGCCACGGGCCGTGACGGCGCCGAAATGGTGCTTCGCGCTCCGAAGCGGAATCCGTACAACGGTTGTCTCACGGTCTATTAATGCCTGGTACGAAGCCGAAGCGCTAGCCGGCGACTGCGACGTATCTCCGGTATGCGGTACGGAGGCGGAACGAGGGAGCTTATGGAACGGGGCGGATGGACCGCGGGGATCTGGATGGAGGGAGGATGAGGGCAGATGTGTCACGAAGTAATCGTGGAACTGTGGCTGCTTCTTGGCCGTTGGGTGGTCATTGGGTGACGCAAAGTTGGAACTGTAGTATCGAGCTCGAAGAAGAGCGGAGCCTGTTGCGATTAGCTATGTGTTGGAGAGATCTGTGATTGACACATACTGTAACGGTCGGCCGAGGTCCAGACTCGGCCTATTCGCCTCGCAGCAAGGAGAGTCATTGGCCCATTGAAGAGAGTGAAGGTGAAACGTTCAGATCAAAGGAGAGTTGAAGAACCGGGCGTGGGGGAGCCGTGGCCCGAGCGTCGGCAGATAAGAACAGTTGGGTCGGCACATCCGTTCCGCTATACTTCTGTAGTTCAACAGTTCAACCCGCTATAACTTGCACTGTAAAGGGGACCCTGATGGTATTCTCAATATGCATGATAAGTCTAGAAAATTACGAAATTACGGAGTTGAATATCCTCAACTTATGGGCTCAATTGCACCACTACACAAATGAAAAATGTTTAAGTGATTCGGGTTGAAAATGATAAAGAGCATTCGATATGCAGGGCCACGCTACTGGAACAATCATATCGAAGGGAAAGAAAAAAAAGACTCCGGAAGTGGCCACGAAAAATCACGCTAAAGAAATCGGCACCTACCAGGAGCAGAATCATCCAGAGAGGCCTAGGCAAGAAGTCAAGGGATCTGCTTTCAGAGAATGTGCCAGGTTAGAGATCAGAGAACCAGTTGGGGACCCACGGCATTGGCTGTTCACAAGAGCCAGATTACATGGCCTTGGTTCGAGAGAAAAGACTGCTGTAGACGGCATCCACGACAGGCTGGGCGGTAATCTGCTTGCCGCCAAAGAAACGGCCGTTGAGACCCTTAATGGCGTTCTCACCGCCCTGGACACGGTCAAACTTCAGGTAGATGTCGCCCTGGGAGTTGGAATCTAGCGAAATGTGAACAACACGGCCATATTTCGACTCGCATTCAGAGCGAACGTCATCCTCCAGTTCCTTCATCCAGGTTTCACCAGTCTCCCTGTGAGGTGTTAGCAGATGGTATCGAATGAAGATTGGATGTACCTACTCGGAGGGATCAAACATATTGCGCAACATCACACACCGACTGGCCATGTTGACATTAACAGGAAGGGGTTTGGTCTCGGTCTTCGGCCGGAGAACCTTATGCTGATCTTCGGCAGGTTGGGGGTCATCTGTTCGGGCGAGTTTCCTCATCAACGCGTCCCTACTATAATTGTTGAAGTTCACACCAGCAACATCGGTGTCGTCAAGGGCACTGGCACCGCCGCCCTTCTCAGACTCACGGCCACCAGCACGATCAAAGCTGTTGGAACCACCTGCTTGAACGCCACGTCCACCTTGACCGGAGAATGAAGAGCCCTGGAACTGTTGGCTGCTGGACTGAGAGCCCTGCTGACGAGTGGCGGTCGACTCGGGGGTGAACTTATCATTGCCAAGGCCGACACGAATGGCGCGTCCAGCAAGGTCGAAACCGTTCATCTTCTCCAATGCTTCACGAGCTTGGGTTGGGTCATTGAATCTGGATAGTGTCAGTAGAGAAGGGTGAAGAGGGTGAAATAGAAAACGTACTGTACAAACGCATATCCTTTGCTGCGGCCAGTCTCATCTTTCTGCAATTGAACAAATTCGAGCTCGCCAAAGGGTTCAAAAACGTTCTGAAGATCACTCTCAGTAATGCTGAAATGGACGTTACCCACGTAAAGTCTGTGAAAGGGTGCGGTATGCTGGGATCCGGAGCTAGCCTCCGGGTTACGGGCCTGGCGGTTCTTTTCAGCCTCGGTCAATTGCGCGATAATGGGAATGCCTAGAAGCTTTTGGCCGGTGAGTTGAATGGCAGCGGGCACGGATTCTTCATCTCTGAATTCGACGTAGCCGACACTGTATCAATGTAAGTATGAGGGTACAAAAAGAAGAGGTAGCAAAACATACCCTTTAGATCGAAGGCTGACACGATCCTTAACAATTTGAGCGTCCTTAACGGGGCCGACCTTTTCAAAGAATTCAGCCAGCTCCTTGGATCGAAGACGAGCAGCAAGTTGCTGCACAAAGATAGTGCGCTTGTCACGTTCATCCTCGTTGAGCACGGGGGACTTGCTATTTCCTCGGCGGCCGGGAGTTCCACCACGGCGGTCCTGGCGAGGGCGACGCTCTTCATCACGGTCACGGCGGTTGGGTCTGTAGTGGCGATCATCAATAGGAGAGCGAGAGCGAGCGCGACCTCCACCGCGGTAGAAATCTCCGCTGGAACGGTAATCATCACCGCGGCGGCGAGGGCGGCGGCGATCACTTTCACGGCTGCGGCTTCTGCGTCGGCTTCTCTGGCTTCCGTTAGCACTGCCAAGCTCGCTGCGTGGGCTCTTCATGTCCTCATCGCCATCGATATCACGGTCAGGGCGGCGGCGTCTCTCGCGGGAACGGGTACGCTGGTCATCAGGATCTGCGCGGGGGGAGCGGTTATCGCGATCATCACGTTTATCAGATTTGGTAGGTGTCTGCGCGGGGGCTGCATCAGTGGCCTCCAAGAGAGCCTCGACGTTCAGTCCAGACATAGTGAGTGGCGTCGCGACTCGGAGGGGGGACGGATGTTGTTTCGCCGAAGTCAAACGGCGAGAAGATAAGAGAAGACTGAAAGTAGCTGCGATACAAATCAAGAAGAATTCGCAAATGAGAATAAGGTCGAGATGGCTGTGGATTAGACTGTGGGTATATCATATAATCGTATCGGGGAAAAGTGATGGGGAAATGGGGCGGTGAAGGAAACTAATCACGTGATTTAGAGAAAATTGTGATGCCCTAGGCGGTCAGACTAGAATCTGCCGGTTGACCATAACCATGTACAGTAAGTTAACTGTACATAACCACAGTACAGAGCTAGGGTCTTTCCTCTGCCAGCACATGGTGGGATTTGCTTAATTTGGGGGCTGCCGCTCTAATGATCACGCTCAGAGTCAGGCTCTTTAAGTAAATTTTAGTCCGGGCTGAGGCTCAGTGAGCTTATCAATATTAAGAAATGCAAGAGATTTTGACTCACAATCTATAAAGATAATAAATGAACATAAACATGAAAAAATACATGAAAAGAATTAAGAAAAATAAAATTGACAACTGAAAAAAAGGTACAAACATGCCTTAACTTAAGTATATCCTGTTACCTAAACTGCAAACCAAGTTTGACCAAAACACCATATACAAGGAATTCTACGAGGACTGTACACTAATTCACCATATTAAAAAAATGACTTCAAAGAAGATATATAAGAACTAAGGGATCTAAAAGAAAAGTCAGGAGCTAAAAAAAATCATAGAAGATTTTGCAGCAAGCCCATTATGTCTAGAATTTCTCACGGAAATGCAACCAACTTGAAGTTAGAGTTGCGAGGATATTCTAGAAATTGATGGAACCTAGCAATACGGCATGCGTTGATCTTTAAGTCTATCAGTACTCCCTACTAGTCATCCCCTCTATATGAAAAGAGGTCTAAATTATACATGTTATCGATATGATACAGATCTTATCTTGAACGGGGTTAAGATACTGTACATTCAGATATGTCGTATGAGCTCACATTGCATTGTGGATCGTACATTTTCTCTAAATCAGAAGCTGAAAATAGTGCAGTGAATATACGTTACGTAGTTTATCATTAGTACAAGACTGGGGAGGCCGCTCCAACATGCTTCGTATCTGCGTGTAAGGAGGGGTCAGGTCATTTCGACTAGACTTTCAAGGATGCTGGCAGGTTGTGCTGTGGGCCACCATTGATGATCTCAGGAGTACAGTAGGTACCTAGGTACACTCAGCCTAAGTTAGTAAGTTAACAAGTGTGCTATATTATTCAGAAGCGGCTTGACGTATAAAGTATGGATGGCATTATGATTAATGTGCATATGGACTAATAAGTAATACTTGAAGATATAGGGTCATTAACCGGCAAGTATCTACCGGAAATGAATGACGAACTCCACCGTACAGTACAAGCGTAGACCCTGCAGGGTCAAAAAGAAAACCGCAAACTCCGCCGACATCAATGAATAGAGAGTTGTATCAAAGACTCTGTCGTACTGGACGTCATCGACGTGAAGTCATGATTCAAGGGCCAACGCCCATAATAAATGGTTGATGAAGAGTTGCTCACTGAGCCTTGGTTCCCTTCGGGGAGGGAGTCTCGAGTTCAGTGCCAAAGACACGATCCCAGAAGCGACTTGTGACACCAAATCCATTCTCAAAGTCGGCAAAGTGGTGCTGGAGGTGGTACTTTTTAAGCTCCTTATAGTACAGTGGGAGACTGAAACCATGTTAGCATTTTGCCGATGCCGAGAGCGAAACTCAGGGGTTTAACTTACTTGCGGTGGTGCAGGAAATAGTGGGTCAGGTCATAGCAGATATATCCGAAGACTCCGCCGCAGAAGACCGTCAGAGCGGCGAACCAGTTGTAGAAAAAGACGGTATGTGCCAGCTTCCAGAAAGGAGCAGCCAAGAGCACGAATAATGTCGGAGGCATGACAAGGCGGTACTTGTCCATGGGAAGGTAGTGGTGAATACCGTGGAGGAGGAAGTGAAGGGTCAGACCGACACGGTTGTCCGGAAGCCAGTGGTCAACATGGAAAAGGAATCTGTGCATCAAATACTCAATGAGAGTCCAGAGGCAGACACCGCCAATCCAGTAGGAAGCCGTGACAGAGACGTTTCCAAGTCCTGATAATCCGACCATGGTTCCGTAGATAACGGGGGGCAGCCAGATTGACGGTACCACATACCACGAGGTCTTGCTGAGAGGCTCGAGGAAGTTACCAAACAGAGGGGCTGACTCTCCACCGCGGTAATGACGAGGACGGTGAATCTGCTCCAGGTAGAACTCCTTGGAAAAGTTGCTGTTCCATAGCTGCATAATAAGCGGCTTGTTCAGGTCCAAAAACTTGTGTGTCTTAAAATCTTGGGTGTAATCCGTATCAATCGACAGGTCCTCCTCACGCGACATTCCGGTGTTGGCGTAGATGGGAACCGACCCTGACTCGGTCTCGATGGCGGTCGTAGAGGTCTTGCCGGGCGTCGCGGCATTGGAGACGAAGCCAACATGGTACTCGTCCAGAATTTCGTAGGCGGCATCCGAATGTTCGTGGGAAATCTCGTCCTTGAGGATATCTGTAGCATCCTTGCCTCCATACTCCAAAATCAGATCACCGCCACCAGGGTGAGCGTCGAGGAAATCCGTCACATCGTAAACATTGCGCCCTATGGTGATGAAGCAGGACTTGGCGGTATTGTGGGATTCAACCTCCGTAGAGGTGAATGTCGGCAAGACTCTTCCAGGCATGATCGCACGGAAAAAGAAAAAGACAACAGAGGCGTATGCGTTAGGAAGTGAAGGGATGTAACCGGAGATAAATTATTCAGGGGAGTGGCGTGACAAGAAAATCCGATCGGGGGATCCGCCCTCCTCCGAAATCTCTGATATTTCAACCACCGCAGATCAGGCCACAACCTGATTCAAATGGCAATTTCGAGTCTACCGTTCGGACTGGAAATCAGCCCATAATAATTTGATCCATGTAGATTTGCTGATAGCCTATGTGCTGACATAAGCCAGCTGACTAACCATCTACACCACGCGCCATATCGAGTTAGAACTGGCTTCAACTGGCTTTGGCTTCTCTTCCTACCGGTCGATCAGGCTGACAGACCCATCAGGCCCCATGAGTGGGCACCAAGGGGGGGTTCCGATCCTGATCCTGATCCAGGGCTGTTCTCGGCACACTCCACTGCTTTAGCGCTTGCTACGCGGGAATTGGGGCCGGAAAGTTTCCATCTGTGATTTATCTCTCGATTCCAAATTGAGGCAGGGGTTAGACATCAGTGGAGTTTCCCCCTCTTGTTGGCTTTTTCCCTCTTCCCTTCCCTTTTCCCCCCCTTTCAACTTTCTACACCATGTCGAACGCGGGGGATTGGATCCCTGAGAATCCAATTCTGGCTTATCTGCAAACATTAATTGCTACCAAGAAGACCCTTCCCTATGGGCAACCCGTGGCCGCCTATATCTCCCATGCCCACACTGACTCGGCTTCACTTCTGCGGCTGGCCGCAGAATTGGGCCCCCACATCGCCATCCTACAGGTGCCAGCTGAAGTCATTGACGATTGGGGTAGCGATACAATTGATGAATTGCAGTATCTCGCCCGAAAACATGGATTTTTACTCTGGGAAGGTAGCAAGATTCTGAACTCACTGGTTGGGTTCATGGGCCGGGGCGATGCGCCGCTAGAGACGCGCCAAGCGCTTTCCGATTTGATTAAAAAGTCATACGCCTCGGGTCCGATAAGAACAGCAACTTGGGCCAACGTGGCCACTTCTTGGGCTCCCGCTGTGGCTGTCACCCAACAAGAAAAGGATGCCTTGATCCCAACATTGCGGACTGCGGCCCGCGAGGCGGTTGCGACGACCGCAAAGACAATTCAAACGGAGATTTCTGTTGACAGGAATCATGACTCCTCTGAGGACGAAATCGAAATGTCTGTTTCCTCGGAGTCAACAAGCAATGGCTGGAAAGAGTTTAGCCCCGACAACATGGGTGGCGCGCTACGCAAATCGTCCACCATCTCAGTGACGGAACACAAGACACCTCACCCGGACGTCCAACCAGAAAACGGCGTTCCAGCCCCGCCCACATTCGCCCGCAGTATATCGCTCTGTTTGCCCAGTTCCATTAACACCGGTTTCAAGCCAGAGTTCCGCCAGAGTACGATAATTGCCGCATTGGCCAACTCCGACTTCGTCCTAGGTTTTGCCACCAGCGAGCCCTTTTTCGTCAATCACCGTGGCAATGATATATTCGAATTGGCCTTAATGGATGGCTGCGGAGTGGCCCAAGAAGGCATGGACTGCTCTTTACTCGCCAATTCGCCTTATGCCGATAAACAAGGCTCAGTGACTATATTCTCGCTCATTCCACCCCCGCTCGGCAACGATTTCGAATATGACCCCAACTTTAAGCCCAATGGAAAGAAAGTCGACGATAGTGAGGTTCCAGCTTCGGCGCAGTATCTCCACCATATTATCGGCCAAGCAGTCGCCATGCGGGAGCAGAGTCGACAAGAACATCGACAAGAGCATCAGCCCAACGGATCGAGGAATGAAGTCGGTCCTACTATCTTGCATTTCCCAGCGGTTATCATTGGATAACTTCAGCTACTAGCGCCAGCTGTTCGCATGCTATCTGGTGTTTTGTCAACGAACGTTAACGACCATTTTGATGATCCTATATGTCAATGTCTCACTTTGGCATTAATGCTGTTAGGATACTTATCCATGGCCAATACTTGAAAAAAAAAGTCTTGTATATGCAAATGAATTGGAATAACATATTTACTTGGATTTTATCGATCAAATATTCTAGATCCCTGCGTATTAGCCTTGCTACACATGAGGATTTGTCCTCGTTGAGGCCTTTTTAATCAGGCATGTAGCTTAACTAATTTGGAAGGTACCCCACGTGCCTTTAATTAGTCACCACTTGAAACCACCTGGGCAGGCATATCAACAGTCAAGGCGCTTTCAACTCTTCCGATATCATCCTTCTACTCTAAAAATATTGTATTTTCCCCCCGACATACAGAAACATCTGCACGTTCGGTTGCATGTGTTGACTCATGTGCAATTTTGCAGTATCACCCCCCTCACAATCCACACACATAGCCATATCTTCGACATGAACATCTGAGAGCCTTACATGCTACCAGGAGAGGTCCCGATTCATACAACAAACCATTCCTCGTCGTTTGATGAATCTCAATGCTTTCTTTTCATCGCAAAAATTCTTACATCGCATCCCATATTAAACAGCGGAGTCCGCAAAGAAAAAATTGAGACATAAGTATCATGAGTCACGACGAAAATGAACAGGGCAATGAATTAGGTCCAAGCACTGATGGCATTAACCCATCTATCAAAGTGATTTCTTCTCAGGGAGATTTGATCCTCGAGTACATTGCTCCTGGCGATTCTGTGCCAACAACCCGGAAATGGCAGGTGGAAAGCAAGCTGCTCAGCTCCAATAGCCCATACTTCCATGCTCTGCTAGACCCTAACAAGTTCTCTGAGGGAAGGCAATTCATTGCTCAAAAAAAAGCCTGGATCGAATCTCAAGACTCAAAATCCGACTTGCAGCATATGTTACCCACTGTGAGACTGCCCAGTGGTATATTGACCGACTTGTGTGGGGATGACTCCATTGAGCTGTTCTTGCAAATTCTATGTCTTGAATCTCTGAACGAGGAACAAAGTATCTCATTTAAAGACGAATTGAAGTCCCTGTCTCCATCGCTTGTTGCGAGGTTGATTGATCTTGCTGATTCTTTCAACTCTCCGCGTATTGTTCAAGACGTGCTGAAAAATTCTGGATATTCATATGGCAAGACTAAATCTTCACTCATTGCTAAGATTACCCTTTCAACGTTGCAAATGAAAGAGGATCGGATTCGGCAGATCATTTTGATATCTGCCTATCTCAATGACACAAAAGTTACCAAAGTCATGACTCACGCTTTGTTGGTCATTGGATCTAGATTTTGGATCAATGGACTGGAGTATCCGGAAGAAAAGACTCTGCGCTGGCGTTATTTACCAAACGGCCTCGAAGGTAAGCTTTCATCTGAGACTTTCAAAAGACTATCCAATTACTTAATCCGATTACCAATAGAGGAAATGTACTACAGGCGCCAATGCGTCATGAATACCATAACCGATTTGCAAGCCTATTTCTTACGAGTCTACGGAGGTCTCGAGGATCTTGATAGTACCAAACCAGCACCCAACACGAGAACACCAGGCGCAGCATTTACAACATCAGCGCCCTTGACTGTTCATCTCCGTCAATTTCAATGTCGAGGTGGATTAAATAACGCCAGCCAATGTGATCTCTTTCAACTAGGCCAAATGATACGGTTTTTTTCACTGCGCGCCAAAACCATCTTCCTGGGATCGACGCTGATAGACCCCGACTTCAGCGCAACGCCCAATGAAGAGAGCTACAGTGTCGGGGATGGGAAAGATGGACACTCAAGCAAGGCCCCTGCAGGTCCGCCGTCTGACGTAACCGCTATCATAGCTTCCCTCAAACAATATCCTGATTACCCTATCGACGAAGCCCATTCTGGCTGCGGAGTCCGGCGCCGAATCATGGCTCCGTTGGAGTGTATTGAAAAATTTATCTGGGATGATCGCGGTTTGCTTGGTATCAATTTCCCAGTCTCGGATTCTTCGGCATCGGATATCTCCCAGCCAACGCGGTGGATACCATGGGCAGACCTGGTAAACAAGAAGCAAACGGTTGAGATTTCTTTTGCGAGGGTCACTGCCGTCTCCTATCCATCGATGCCACAAAAGAATCAATTGAGCCGCTCCACGCCGCAAGAGGAAGTTGGACGGCTATTGTTTAGTGCAGCTAAGCGAGATTGGACAGGGTCTTCCGGATGAATATGCATAAGAACCAACGGTTCACCCCTTCTTCATGTATATACTGTTAGTAAACAAACCAATATAATAGAAGCACCTGCCCAATTGCGCCAAACGGGTGTCCCTCTAACCCCAACAAATGCCTGCCTCCATACACCGTACATACGTCACGATGATCAATCATCAAACAAGGTGCTTATATAACTACATTTTGGTCCGCGACAGAATGACGACACTGTAAATATATCAGATGGATTAAGACCGGTCTCGGCCTGTTTTGTCCAGGGGCTTAGTCCCGTCGGTAGCTCTTGATCGCTATGTCCCCGGTCATTTTGATGGCAGGAAAACTTGGTACTGGGAATATAGAACTTAGACTTGGACTCAATACACGGTTACTTGAACCCTCTTCCTAGGTTGTCGGTGCTGCTGGTTTGGCGTATAACTAAGCGAGTTAGATATCAACCTTGGGAACCTTGGAACTCAGCGACTCAAATATCAACCTGGGAGAGGTCAGGGTTTAGTCCATGGCCGTCAAATATTACGTTAGTCCAAGATAGATATAGGAGTAAGTTGGATCCAGTCAGCCAATAATAACTTTTCTCTATAATTTATCTTTAGCGTCTATGTGAACAGTTGTTGCAAGGAGTTCTATATTTCTCTCCATGCAAATGAAGGAACACAACAAAATCCGAAATCAGATAAAATGTCAAATCGTTCCAATTTGAGTCTCCCTCCAACGTGCTGTTGCGTTTTTTTCGTTTCGCGTTTGTCATTCTTGATCGTTTTTGCATAAAAAGATTAACAGACAGGATCACCCCAAAAATATCCCATATCAAGATCCACATTCCCACCAGATGGGAAAAAAGAGCCTGTGATCTGACCTGTAGCAGGGTCATAGGGGAAGTACTCTTCATAAGGACTGCATTCCGAAATATCCTTCTCCTGCTTGATAAATTGATCCAGGAGATCTGGTGCTTCCAGATCGTAGAGCTCCTGCATGCCAGTCGGGGTATCGGATTGATCCATGGGCGAGCAGTTTATAGGATCTAGCTCTGCGACGAAAGCGTCGACGGCAGCATTTGTGGGCAAATTGGCTGGTTCCTCTAAAGACAGATCACAACTTAGATCATCCGCCCCCGTAGCATCTTCGGAGTCAGGGAAGAATGTTTCTGTGGAACTCTCGTCATGGCTGGAGAAATCATTGGGATTGATTCCCATTTGTGGCGCTAGACGACGAAGGAACCCGTCGCAAAGCCTCCAAGCTCGTTCGGCAGCTAGGCTAGTCTTTGATAGAGTGGACAGCCAATCCAGAGCCTTTTTCGCTGCTTTAGATACCATAGTCGCTTTGTCGGGGACATGTTGGGCGCGGTATGCCAGTTCTAGAAGGAGAACTGTCACAGCCTGCATCAGGAAATGGAGAGTACACCACCATGGTGACATGCGGTATAGGAGTGCTGCATCTGGCGTATCGGGAAACAGTGTGAGCATGTGGCAGGCTGTCTCAACACACTCTGCCGCAGTCTTGCTGCAGAACTCGTGTCTTTTGTCGTTCTCTGATTCTGCTTCTTTCAGGCGACACAGGCATGGTCGGGTGATGCCAATCTTGGTGCTGTAGAATAGGAATGCGAGACCCATGCGTTGGTTGACGGGGCATTGCGATGTCTGCGTCGAGGTAAAGTCGTAGGCTGGGGGTAAGTTCATAAACCATGAATCAATCTCGAGCATTAAGCTTTGGATGGTAAACTCGGTGCTTGCCCATGGTGATTGAAGTGCTTCCGGGCTGTAGAGCTTGACTGTCATCCGCTTAGAGATACTGGTCAATGATGACAACTGCAGGAAGTAAAATGAAATGCATGGCGGCAGGCTCTTGAGATACTCTGCTCTGTTCATCTTCATCTCGCTTTCTGTAGGTGCGTCATTTGATTCAGAGTCCACTGTGGACTCGCGGTCCTCGGTGCCGTTGCTGGCTAGCATTTGATCGTAGAGCATGGAGGAAGTCCGTCTATCTGTGCTGATTAGTCGGGCGACCTCTTCTTTCTGGAAATCACTTTCGTCAAAAGGTACCGGCATGGGTGTAGTGCAAGAACTATCAATGACACACGAAGGACGACCAGTCATCACGGTCAACAGGTGTTCAAGGTCATAGAGTGACCACCATACTCGATAGCGAATCTCTTTGGAGGTATCAGAAGTGCTCGCGCCCACGTTCCGAAGATGCAATCCTAGAGCCAACGCTCCTCGAATTGCACTTCCAGATAGTTTCCAGGCCCTATAAGTTAGCACCGTTAGCATGAATAAAACACTCCAGGTGTACCAACTTACCGATTGATATGCCCTGCCCCAGTCAGATAGAACGATGTAAGCCCCTCGACTTGTAGCTGCTGCAGATCAGGATGATGAAGGATTTGATCTTCTAGGCTCAAAGCTCGCGCCCTTGAGAAAAACATTTGATGGTCATCATCTTCCTCCACCCATTCAGCATTGGCCAATTGGCCATACTTGGACGCAATGGCAAAAATCATATTCAGTATGGCGAGCCATTTGTTCCCTGGCTTAAGAGCTGGTTGGCTGAAGAATACCTGAAATTGAGAGACAAATGTTGAAATCCCAATGATTGGGAAAGAAGGATGCACGGAGGTTAGATATACATTGAGTAATTTGGTTGCTGGCTCACGAGAAGGAACAGCATAGGTATCGCCATGATCCGCAGTTGGAATATCGGTATCATCGATATAATAGTTGGAGCACACCACCCACGAATCAATGGGGTTGTCTGGCAGAGGAGTCAATGTTGGAGAAGGCAAACCGTGAATATCATCGGTATTGGGAAGATTCGAAGGCCATGCTTCACATTCGTTATTGACTTCTTTCTTGAGCCTCTGAAGCCAATTGATTTCCGAGCTTTTTCCAATGAATCCTGTGGCTCGTGCATTTTCGTCGCGGTTGAAATCTTCCTCTGTTTGGTCTCCGGATTCCAGTGGACTGACTGATGAAGCTCGAGAGACTGGTGGCTCGGAACCAGAGCGCCAAATCATGATTCTTTGGTCTCCAGCTGCTGTTATAGATGCATCCGGATTGAGGACCACATCTGAACCCGATTCCTGGTCGTCGTCAGTCTTTGCTTTCATCGATCGTGGATCGAGCTTCCTACCGCTGCTAGGGCTATGTTCACAAGCTGCTCATCAGACACGCCAAAGCGATTGCTTAGCTTGCTGATAACATTTTCATATGCCTGTACCTTTGCTGACAAGCTTGCAAGCTGCCTTTGCAACCCAGAAGGTCAACATCTGCACTCATCTCGTGATATATATTCCACACTTACCGCTTAGACTTTTCTCGTTTGCCATCAGTATAACAGCAGATGATTCCAGCTTCTCTGCAATTCCGACATCCCGACTTGTCACCAGTACACTTTGTCTTTCGCTGTCTGCAAGACTCGCAAGCACGGCGGACATGTCGACGATGAAACCTACCAGGTGAGGTGAAAGCCGACTCAGCGCCTTCTGCAAGTCGTGGAATGGCCATCTTCTTGCTACCAAGGTCAGTATCGCGACGATGAAGCTGCGACACTGGGGTATCCTACCGAGCTTTGGTCAGAGGCGCTGCTCTGCTAACTAGTGAGAGCACTTACCATATTGGATAACTGGTTACATGTCTCAGCATCGGCGCATGATAAATTAAAGAGGCTTGGTTGCTCGCTCCATGGGGGAAAATGCAAGCTGCTCATTGTCAATCATATGATTGGGAGGAGTGAAACTGTTCTATGCGTCAGAGAAAGGGGTTCCAGTTTGATATCACTTCCAATGACTTGCCTGTAGGTGAAGAATAAACTTGAATATATCCAAGTCCCATAGCACTATGAATATGTATTGAAGCAACAAAATTGGCAAACATTTGCCGAGACATTGGAAATCGAAAGATAAAAATTAAATCAGGAGGCAATAGGTCTTATAAAACCTCCGCAAGGTTTGACCCAGGAGCATAGACCAGGGAAGTATGTCAAGAAGGGCTCGGGTTTCAAGCACCGTTTGAGCTCTTGAGCTGGCTCTTAATGCTCTGTGATGACATCCCATACTCGTTTTCACATTCAACGCGTCCAAATGGCCACCGAGCTCCAGACTAGGAAGTCTGTTCGGCATTTGACCTCATAGCTACTTACCTGGCTAGGAGATGAGGCGAAGAGTTCAACGTGTCAATGAGCAACACACTCGTTGTTTAATCACGCTATTTGCCTTCAACCAACTAGAATGACGGGCTAGCATCTGTTCACATCCCAGGGGGTTTGTGGCATTGGCTTAACCATTGAACAATTTCCCCGGGAATTCGTACTTTAGCAGGTTGGGTTTCGGTTGTTGAAACCGACTGGCTCTGGATTCCGGTAAGGCGACCAATGGTTCATATATAAGAATCAGTTTGAGTGTCAAACTTACCAATTTTGAAAGGGCAATGGGGCTGCACGAAGCTTTTGTATGTTTTGGTGACAGATCATCTGGAAGAGCTATTACTGCCAGTATAAAATACGATACACACTGCCGGAGTATTTCAAGATCCGACGAGCTCTTCAAAGGGTTGGATATGACGGCCATACATTTTGAAGTCAATCTGACGTGTCTATTATACGGAGGCACCGATATTGAGATTCGTCCCTGGTTTAACCTTTGAGGTCAGCACCTGAAGGGGAAGGTGTGTCAACAGGGGAAAGGTACGCATAGCGTTGCGGCAATTGGCATAAGGATCTCCCGCTTGGAATTTGTGACGTTATTGTCTCTGACGCGGTTTTGATGTGGTGATGACTCTATGGTGATGTACCAGGGCTGGGATGTTAACCCCCATTCTAACCATGAACCTAATCTGTTTGTCTGTGATTGGTATAGTTTAGACTACCTAGGTACTAAAGTAGCTGCGAGGAAGAGGTAATCACTATAATATGTAGCAAAAGTCCGGTTGGACCTGGTTGGGGTGTTAAACCCGCCACGATATATATCGTGACCCGGCAAGGTGGAAAGCATTCAAAGTGACAACGAATGCAATTTGAAATTAACTGGATATTTCCATGAACTCAGGTGAGTCTTACATGGGACAATCTTTTGCAAATACTAGAAATCAGGCTAGGAAGATAATCAAATCAGGCATTGGCTTAACACGATCTTGGAAACAAAAAAGAACACCACCACAATCCGAACATCATTAGGAACCCTATACAATAGTAACCCAAGCCCATTTTTACTCAATGAGGAAGTTCTCAGCGACACTACGGACATCCTTGGAAAAGCCGGCATCCTCACCCTCCATCTCCAGGAGGGAGACACTGTGGACGTCAACATCCACAAAGGGCTTGGTCTTTGTGAAGCGAACGCTCATGGGGAAGAACTCGTTCTCATCAGCGTCAGTCGCCTCGAACTCGAAGCTGCCGGATGCGTTGGATTCATCGACAGCACCCAGGTTCCAGTCCAGACTGTCTCCAGACACTTCGTAGACTGCATCAAAGCTGGATACTGCGGGTTCTGTTGAGCCGTAGGGGATGGTAACAACGACATCGCGCAGACTGTCCTCGCCAGTGAGCTCATACTCCACAGTCACGGTGGTGGAGTCAGAGCCCTTGTTGACCCAGACAGTAAATGTGATTGGAAGAATATCGGCATTGTCAGCCGAACTGGCCACGCGCCACCTGAGGACACCGATGGCATTGTTGGCGGGGAACCGTTTGGTAGTATCCTTCAGTTGGATGACAGATGAGCTGGTGAAGAGGGCCTTGTCGACGTTGGGGTGAGTCCGGAATTGTGCGCCATGTGTGGGAACTGCCTGACAATCGAGTCGAAGCTTCGTGAATGAAGGATCAGTGATGCGAAGCTGCAGGTCACCTTTGACCTCGAATGACTTCAAGGCACCCTCCCGAGTCAGGGTGGCTGAGATGGTCTCGGCGATTGTGAGATGGATGGGTTCCCGATCCGTACTGAGGGACTCGCGGGCCGAGGAAATGTCTTGCACAGGAGTCGAGATTTGAGGAGTCACCAAGGGGCTCTCTTCCTCCGGTTCAGGGCCTAGATCGCCCCGCACTTTCTCGTAGATATCGGTAGCCTTGGACTTCTTGCCAAGTTGCATACCCTTGCCGCGAGTGGGCATGGGCCTAGTATTACGATTAGCAATCCCCTAGCGATAAGCAGGTTAAGTATCCCAGGAACGTACTTGGAGAATGTCTTCTTCTTCTCAGCCTCGTATGAATCGTAGGTGTCGGGCACCGAGGGACGGGCCGGAGGTGTGTAGACGGGGTAGGATGGAGTTCTTGGGGCTGAAGCACGACCTGTGCGGGCAGCTTCCTTGCGCTGCATCTCCAGCTGCTTCGCCTTCCTCTTGCGCTCCTCGCTGGCCTCCAACTCTTTGTTCTGTTCATGCCTGTTAGCCATAGATCAACCCCGCGAGCCATCCCGCAACGTACCCGCTCAATGATCTCCTGGATTCTCTCCTCGTGACTCTCCATTTCCAGGAAAGTCTTAATCTGAGACAGAGAAAGGTTCTCACGGTATCCCAATGTCACCAACTCATCGAATGCACTCAGGAGTTCGAAGGCATTGCGGAGGATCTCGCGCTCATCCAGGCTCTTGCAGATGCTTGCTGTGACTTGCGCAAAGAGATGGAGACTGTCAATGTCTTGTAGAATGTTGGATTGGCGGTTGGTGATCAGGACGATGTACAACTCGTCCAATGGCTGGTAAACGAAGCGCACGTTGTCTTGCTCAACGGTGGTGTGTTGGGTTCCGGAGTCCGCAAGCTTAGGGAAAGAAGCCAGGAGGGCTTCAATTCGTGACCTAGAGATCTCGCGGAATTGGCGCGAGAGGACCGCTTTGCCTCCGCGAGTACAAATCGACGCTGCTAGAACGACCTGTTGTGTGTTGATTAGTCGATTTGCCCCGCGAAATGGCTTAGACAAGGGCTTACCATGATGAAATAAGCGTCAGCGAATGAAACAAGAAGAGATTAGAGAAGAGAAATGGCACAGAGACCACAATATCACGGACGAGTGGACTAAACAAACATATGTGATGGCAACGGCAGGGAGCTACTCTGTTCACTTCGGCCGGTGGTCCGTGCACCTCTTTCGCTTAGTCGGCAACCACTTTCTTCCTCACTTCACCTTTTTTGCACGCGTTGGAGAGAGACACTCACCCTCACTCATTTTATCGTTCTCTTCTCTCACACTCAGTGGCCTATCTCTTTAGCACTCTGAGATACATCTGTGTCCAAATCTTACATCTACATCGTCTGTTTGCATGGGAGCTCACTGTTGAGCCTTTCAACACTCACCGGTGGCACTCGAACCAGTTCACGCGTTCTTTTTTGTAATGACAGCAGTACCCTCTGTATCATACCCCGTCATGGAAGTCCCCGCCGTGGAAGACTCTATGGAGATGGCCTCGCCCTACCAGGGCCAGGCGGACGACTTTGACATCGACATCGACTTCATGGAGGACCATGATAATGCCTCCAACATGGACAGTGATATGATGGGTGCTGAGGAGTTCACAAACGCATCCCAACCTACGGAGTTTAACGAGGCGATCCACGATGCTGACATGGCTGATGACCCCTCTGAGGGGTCGATGATCGATGCCGACCTCGTTGACCCAGACAACGATATCGATGTGAACATTACGGAGGAGACATACGAAGCTGAGATGATTGAAGACGATCCAGTCGAAGACGTTGATATTCCAGTTCCCACTATCCAGCTAGAAATCACGGCCGCCGAAGACACAAACAAGCCTATCGAGGTAAACGAGACGGTCTCTGTCATGGCCGAACAACAAACCCCCGAAGGACAGCAACCCCTCAGTGTCCCTACCGAACCCCAAGAAGACCAAATCAATCCTCAGGTATCTGAAATCCAGACCCTCGACACCGAAACTGGGTCCACCACCGAGAATGATAGCCTTGCCCAAAACCCGACCGAAAACGGCACTCACGCTGAAACCTCCGAAAAACACGAAGCCGTTAACCCTACCGTCAACCCTGCCGTGGAAGTGAATGAGACAGGAAAGCCTTCTGTCTCGGTGACAGATGAGAACCACGAGGCAGCTGAAGGCTTCGAGACTAGTCAAGTCCAGTCCTCGATCGAGCAGCCCCAGGCTGCTCCCCTTGAAGAGCCTCAGGCTACTTCAACTGTGACTGAGCCTGCAGAAACCCAAGGTCAACTTGAAGGAGAGTCTCACGCGGAGCATGAAGAGGAATCTCTCCATCCCGTGAAAATATATTATCAGGACAATGAGATAGCTCTCTTTCCCCCTCTTGAGGGTGACTCAGCAGAGACATTCTTCCTGCATGATGAAGATGTGGCATATGAAAACATTGGTGAATTGTTCAAGGCTCTGCGCTTGGTGCTTCAGGGCAACGTGGCAGACAATGAAGTCCTCGTCATTGATATCGATGTCCTTGGTATCCAAATGACAGAGGTATGTATAATTCCCATATTCTTTTGACGATCATCGAATTAACCCTTTTTTAGGACTCTTTCCACACATCCCAGGTCACTCTGCATCAGGTCGTTGACCTTTACCTTCGACTCTGTCACAACGATGGCACCGCGGATGCTGAAGCTCTCTATCTAACACTGAGCAGCAAACGCGCCTTCCCTGCTGAAATCGCTGATCTCCTCGACGCTGCCAATGAAGGCAAGGGACTCTCAGGAATCCACCCTTGGGATGAGTTCGATGAATATGACCCCGGTTCCGAAGACGATATTGAAACCCATGAGACCGAGCGACATGAAAATGGATCGTCCAGCGAAGAAGCTCAGCCAGAACACTCAGAACCCGAAGCAAAGCTTGCCCCGTCCAGCGAGGAGCAGGCTCCTGTCGATGCGGCGAGTCAACCCAAAGAGGATCGCTCCAATGTTGCCCAAACAAAGGATCTGGCTCCTGAGGATACTAAACCTGATACTGCCCAAGACGAGAGCAACGGTGTGCTACAGGCTGATGATCTTCAAGGTCAAGTTGAAGGCAAGGAGACTGATGAACCTGACGAGTTGGAACACTTTGAAGGTGAACATGCTCAAGAAGATGATCTTCACAATGATGATCAAGCTGAAAATTATGACGACGAAAACGAAGATCACTACGATTCCGAAGGTCAACAGAGCGAATCTACGGCCACAGTGGCTCCGTTGTCTGCCGAGGCTGAGGTCACAGAGCAGACCGAGGAAGTCTCCACAGATCCTGCGGCAGTTCACCATGATCAACATGACGGCGAAAATGATGAGGTCAATGCCGACTATTACAACGATGAAGACAATAGTTATGGTGACCAAGAGAACTTCCAGGATGAAGTTACCGGGGAGGACATTAATGCTGGTGCTCAAACTCTTGCTGGTGATGCAACTGGCCCCGACGAAGAGGAAGATGAATTAGATGCCGCGCCCACGGATGAAGTCGTGTCAACAGACGCTTTCAACAATGAAGGCGATCAGACTTTCGATTACCCAGTGGAGCCTACCTCGAATGGTGCGCAACAAGACGCATCCTACACAGAGCAAACCCGTGATCATGCAGATGATTTGCTTGAGATAGCTCCGGACGTGCTGCAATCTCCCGCGAAACATACCGAGAACGAACCACTTTATCACATTGAGGGCGTAGATTCCGGCGAGCTTGTGGACGAACTAGCTTATGATGGAGTTACCGATGAGCAACATTTTAACGAAGACAACTTTGGCGAACATGACCCTCATTTGGAGGACTCCGAGGCAGTGGTACTGGCTGAGGCAGACCCTTTAGTCCCAGACGCCGAATCCAGCGCGCCCCTGTCTGCCAAACGGTCTCGCGAAGACGCTGACGACGATGAATGGGATCTTGTGGAAACCACCGTGGACACCAAGCGCCGCCGGTCATCGTAACCAACCCGTCACCAGGCCCGCCTGAGGGGCCTCGTTTCCCTCCACTACTATGTGGGCTCATCTTATATGATGCCCACTCCCAACCCTCTACTAATTCTCCCTGCCAGCGACCATCTTGACCGGCGGACGCATTGTCGGTGTCATGGGTTCACCGTTAACTACTCACAGGTATGTTCGCCCCTTTCCCTCCCGCGCGTCCACCCTCGGGGGGACCCGCGCTCCCTTTGTTCTCCTCGCCTCTGGATCAAACCCAGGTCCCTCCACACAATCCCCATTTGCGAGTCGCCTTCGCATTTCCCATTTTCTGCCTCTGGTTCATTGTGATTTTGAGATACCACTTTCGGTCTTCGGACAGCATCTGTTTTTTTGTCTTTTTTTTATCGGTGTTGAGGGATCTGTTTGTTTTGATCTCTTGTTTTCTTTTCTCCAATTCCCCCATAGGACTTCGGCGTCTAGACGTGGGATATCCCACGTGTAGGGATAGCAGAGTTACATTTCTTCATATTTTTTATGCTGCATAAAAGTTGCCTTGGAATGTACCTTTCCTTAGTCGTAAGTTGACTGAGCATGTCTCACTTTACATCTGAGTGGGTTAAGTAGGACGTACTGAGACTAAGCCAGTTTCCACTTAAACGCCAGGTCAATAGTATGAGTTTATCTCGACTAAGTATAGCAACACCGCATTCGGAAATGAAACGATCGCCGCACTCATTTCAGGGTCCAGGAATGGGAGAAATGCAGGCTCGGGTAGGGATGAGTCTAGGAACTGGCCACCTAAGGAGTTTAATGCCATTCATATGGGATACACCGATTAGTTCTCGAGTAATAGAGTCAAAAAATATTAGCATTCACGTTAATATTAGTCTCTCTCCGATTTACTATTCAAATTTCGCGGTTTCAGTGGCTCTCATCTCGCCTCCAAAACTCAGCCGTTCTCTTACGCGTCCCGATCGGCCCTTGAAACGGAACCCCACCGCACGCAGGCACCGCCCTTCATCTCACTTGCATCTTCTAGACCTTCGCTTCTTTTGCTTTGGCCCTCATCTCACTCTTTTCTCTTCCATTGCCGGCACTGGAGGTCGTTCGACAGTAGGAGCACTCGGCTCCTCAGCAATTACGTCAAGATGCTTCCAGACAAGTCAGTGTTCCCCGTGTTGCCTGGAGGTCAAGCTGTTAACCCCCATCCGCCTCTTAGATATGTCGGACTCATCTTAGCCATTGTTTCCACCATGGGAATCGGCACAAGCTTTGTTATTACGAAATTGGTTCGTGTGCCTACCCCGACGCTGCGATCGAGCTGGATGCAACCTGGATGCAACCTGGAACCTCGGCGGATACAATCGTGAACTGGAGGACTAATGGACGGCAGGGGTTGAATCATGCATCGGAGCGTCATGGCTTTGAGGGCGAAGGATTCTCATATTTAAAGAGTCCCGTGTGGTGGGCTGGTGTCTCTCTACGTGCGCACCCATGAACTCAGCGACGGGAGATTCAGGAGCTAACGTGGTTTACAGTGGGACTCGGCGAAGTGGCCAACTTTGCAGCTTATGCATTTGCGCCCGCGATTCTGGTCACCCCGTTGGGTGCGCTCAGCGTGTTAATCGGGTAGGCAGCTCCCGTGGAATATCTGGACACTTGGCTGACATTCACAGGTCGGTTCTCGGCTCGTACTTTCTCAAGGAGAAACTGGGGGTGTTGGGTAAACTGGGATGTGCGATGTGTCTGTTGGGCTCGGTCATTATTGTTCTGCATGCGCCGCCTGACAAGCAGGTCGACACCGTCAATGAGATTTTGGGATATGCTGTTCAGCCAGGTATGACTCGGACTCGAGTTTGGCTTGCGAGGCTGTAATAGATCGCTAATCCGTTATTCGCAGGGTTCCTCGTCTATTGTCTGGCAGTTGCAATCTTCTCCACGCTGATGATCTATCGCGTTGCCCCGGTCTACGGCAAGAAGAATCCTCTGATCTACATTTCAATCTGCTCCACTGTTGGGTCGGTCTCGGTCATGTCTGTGAAGGCGTTCGGCATTGCGGTCAAGTTGACTTTTGCGGGCAATAACCAATTCGTACATGCCTCGACCTATGTCTTTGCCATCGTGACTGGATTCTGCATTCTGACACAGATGAACTATTTCAACAAGGCGCTGAACTCTTTCTCCACCTCGATGTAAGTGAGACGACTTCTGGATGAAGCTATAGAATCAAATTAACATGTGGTCTCTGACAGTGTGAACCCGCTCTACTACGTTACCTTCACAACCGCGACCCTTTGCGCTTCCTTCATTCTGTTCAAGGGCTTTAACACCACAGATGCCGTCAACACAATCTCTCTGCTCTGTGGATTCCTCATCATCTTCACCGGAGTCTACCTCCTGAATCTGTCACGCCACGACCCCGATGGACACCACCTGGTGAATTCCAAGTTGGACGAAGACGGGGTGCCCACGGATGCCATTGCAAGCTTCCAAACTCGCCGCTCGATGCAGTCCCGCCGCAGCTCCTCGAGCGCATTCCTCAACGGAAACGGCGATCGTGAGGGGCTTATTCACGCGTACGACGTGGAGCACGGCATCAACATGAATAATTTTGAGGGAAGCGATGGAGAGCCAGGGCCGACGTTGCCACGTACCGACAGGCAGACTGTGAAGCACACCAAGCAGAACAGTCAACTCTAATGGGAAGCCTCAATTGTATTTTTACTCTACGAAAATGCCAGAGTTGCAGAACTCGGGCTCAGACGGATGTCTGAACGACTGGATATGACTCTGGGTATGCGTTTTGTTTTGTATATAGTTCGCAGTTTTTGGATTTTGAGAATAGATGGTGGGGCCGATGATGTAGTCAGCTGTTTAAGCCCCGAGATTCCTCTTCTCTTCTCTTCTTCCCTCTCTCTCTCTCTCTCTTCGCAAGGCTGTTCAATCTAGGGGGAGAGTCTCAGAATGCCTCTCCTGCGCAAACTGGTCATCGTCGCCGCTGTCGACGGTCTAGTGCTCCACGCAGCAAATGGCCGATCTACCAGCGGAAGCAACAATGAAGCCTCATCGATTCGTATCGACTACAAAACGAATAAGATAACCGCCTTTTCAAACCCGGCATCGGAGTCCCTCGACGGGAACGAGGCCCTAGAAGCCCACGGCCTGATAGGTATATGAAAAAATAAGCCACAGCTATAGCAAACCCCACAAAAGATCCAAACTAACCCGAGGGGTCGCTGCACCACACTTTCAGGCCTATTGTCCGTCGCCTCATACTCCTTCTTAGTATCAATAACCCAGCGCGAACAAGTCGCCCAAATCCAAAACCGTCCCGTGTACGCCGTGACGAATGTAGCCATCATTCCCATCTCCTCCCAAGCAGACGCCAGCCGCGCAATCGCCCAAGCTAGGAAAGATACAGCGCAGGAGATCCTCTCGCTGGATTCCTCGGATGACGACGAAGGCGATTTACCCGATAACGAGGCAGATCGCGCCGAGGCGGAGATCGCTAGCTTGCCTGCGTCCCCGACTCGTGAAGTGCATCATGCCCGCGGCACCAGTGTTGGGAGCATCGCGGAAGATGTAATCGGCAAGCGCGTGAGGTTTGGTCGCTTTGCGGCTAATTGGTTGTCGCGGAAAAATCTTGGTTTGCCGAGGCCTGGTGCTTTGGAACAGGATGTTCCACAGTCTCCTACTACTGCAGCAGCAGCAGTTCAACCTCAAGCCCAAGCCCCGGCTGAAGTGGTCGACTCATCTTTCGATAATAATGTGTCTCGCTCTACCGATGAGACCCGCAATCCAAAGGATGATCTTCCACCTTTGCAAGCGGGTGCATCGGAGGGAGCTGGCGAGTCGGATTCTGGGCGAGCCAAATCTGATCAGGCGACTGATCTCTTGCCCAAGTTGTTGAGATATACACGGCTCTTGTTTGCTTCGCGCAATTTCTTCTTTTCCTATGATTATGATCTTACACGGTCTGTTTATACACAGGAAGCTAGAAAGGATTTGCTTCCTCTACATAAAGTTGTGGATCCCTTGGTATGCGCGAACTAAATGCTTGGCTGTTTCATCTCTTGATGTCTTACTTGCTGACAGTTTCGCAGTATTTCTGGAATAGAAATCTGATGAGTGCTTTTATTGATAATGGGGCTCACGGGTTTGTTTTACCGCTTATCCAAGGCTTCGTCGGGCAGCGTGAATTTACCATAGCTGGTACTGAGAAGAAGGCATCGGAAGATCTTGCGGGAGGTAAGATTCTCGGCGAGAAGCACGAGGCAGAGGCAGTTGAAACCGATGCCAGCAAGCGCGATTATCTTCTGACGCTTGTATCTCGGCGCTCTGTAAATCGGCCAGGTCTTCGTTACTTGCGCCGTGGCATTGATGACGAGGGAAACACTGCCAATACTGTCGAGACTGAGCAGATTCTCTCGGTTCCTGATTGGAATCCGTCACGGCCTGCCTACTCTTATATGCAAGTCCGTGGTTCAATTCCGCTGTACTTCTCTCAGTCACCATATGCTTTAAAGCCAATCCCTGTGCTGCATCATTCGGCGGATACCAATCTTCTCGCTTTCAGCAGACATTTCCGAGAGTTCAGTCGCAGGTACGGAAAGATCCAGGCTGTCTCCCTCATTGACAAGGTCGCCGGTGAATTGAAGCTAGGAGAGCAATATGAGAGATACACGCAATCCTTCAATGAGGCCGGTGGCATCGATGGCACTCCATTGAATCTCGAGTGGTTTGAATTCCACCGCGAATGTCGCGGAATGAAGTTTGAGAACGTGTCTCGCTTGGTTGATCGTCTGAAAGACACACTGAACGAGTTCTGCTACACAATCATCGTCGACAACGACATTCTGCAAACACAAAAGGGTATCATGCGCACGAACTGCATGGATTGCCTTGACCGTACGGGCGTCGCCCAATGCGCATTTGGACAATGGGCTCTCGAACACCAACTTGAGAATGAGGGCATAGACATCGACTTTGGCGGCGACTCCTCAACTCGATGGTTCAACACACTATGGGCCGACAACGGTGACGCAATTTCCAAGCAATACTCATCGACAGCAGCCCTGAAAGGCGACTACACACGTACCCGCAAACGAGATTACCGCGGCGCCCTCAACGACCTGGGCTTAACGCTATCACGCTACTACAACAACATAGTCAACGACTTCTTCTCACAGGCCTGCATAGACTACCTACTGGGCAACGTCTCCACCCAAGTCTTCGACGAATTCGCCATTCAACTTCAAACAACCGACCCCGGAATCTCAGTCCAGAAACTCCGCCAGAACGCCATCGACACCAGCTGCAAAATTGTCATTTCAAGTCCTTCCGAAGATTTCCTCGGCGGGTGGACTATGCTCAGCCCTCGCCAACCAAATACGCTTCGCACCTTCCCCTTCGAAGAATCCGTCCTGCTCCTTACAGACGCGGCCGTTTACAGTTGTCGCTTCGATTGGGAAACGGATAAAGTCCTCTCATTCGAACGCATCGATCTTCGCTCCATCTCGCGCATTCATTATGGCACATACATCACCTCCATCCTGACGGATAGCCAAGCAAATGAAGCAAGCAATGTCGGCCTAGTCATTGTCTACCGTGACGGTGATACAAATGCCCTGCGTGTCAACACTCGCTCCCTCCAAAGTGACGTGAATATGTCTACGCTAGAAACGACTGCTAGCGCCAACAGCGAATGGGATCTCGTTTCCTGGCTGCGCGGCGTGAAGAGAGCGACGACGCGCTTCGTTGCCTTTAAGGGCCTTCCTTTGTCCGCTTCTGTTGCGAGTCCGCGCCTTGATCTGACTGCCGGTGCTGTGAAAGAGATTGATCGGGTGCGTTCTATTGCGCTGGATATTGAGCGTGCTATGGTTGCTGGCGAGGGGAGGAATGTTGAGGGGCATTCGGCGGTTGAAGAGTCCGATATCATTTCTTTGGCTGATGCGAAGAAGAGGACTGGTTGGTTGGAGTATTTGGTTTATGATATGAAGAAGATGGTTTGGGCTTAGTAAGGAGGGGGGGGGGTGTGCTTTGTATGGATGTTTGGTTCTTAATCCCTGTCGCTGTGATGATTACTACCCTGGTGAGGAAGGCGAGCGTGGGCGGACAATTGCCTTCTCATGCTTCTCGCAGTGACCGTATATTCTCTCCATATTTTGTTGTGTCATGCATATTGATTGTCATTCAGTCTCATGGGCTCCCAGGTGCAACTACATGATAACATACGGACTGAAGACAAATGCCCAGATTGATCATGGATGCATCATCTCTGATTCAACCGTGCACCCTTTGGGAGCTGCTGACATTCATTATGATCAAAACTGCGACGAGTGTCCATAGCTAGTTCTTGTGAGCTGATGCAAGTGCAAGTGTACATACATCAATCTGAAATCTTAGAGTTGATCGAGTTTGATGATCCCAAAGTAGAATGCAAAGTATCTCGCGCGTTTCTACGCGGACAGTGGCCGCTATAAGAACCCCGATCTACCTCACTTTCCTTCCTCGCTCTCTCACTTCTTCTCACCACTGGTTGCGTGTCCCCCGTGTACCTGGCGCGTTTCTACGCGGGCAGTGGCCGCCATAAGAAACCCGATCTACCTGTTGTGTTCTCTCCTTTTCTACTTTTCTCTCCCCTCCCTCTGAAACGTGTCATCGTGTTAGGTCTGTGAGATCTATTGAAGCTGTTCGCATCGAGCCTGTCACGCATTGATATCTCATCTCTCTTCTCTCTTTCGTTTCTCTCTTTACATCCCACCGCCTTCCTCTTTCATCCGCCCTGTTTTTTTCTGCCGGTGCACCCCCTCTTGCACCGTCGACGGTTCTCTTCATTTCTTGGCTGAGCAAGATTTCACGGCTTTTTCTCAATTACTTCTATGATTCCTGCATCGGTGGTAGCAGACCAGCGCCGCAGGTGATCGCTTTGTTCATTCTGGGGAATCGAAGGGGTCCGTTCCCACATTCTCGGCGGGGCTCCTGTGCCACTCGCACTTTCGACTACGTTTCTTAACCACAGTTGACCCCGAGTCCATATACCAGACAAAATGGACTGGCAACCTGAGGAGGAGCCATTGAGGCAGCTGGCTTGCTGCCTCCGGGACTCTCTCGTTGGAGGAATCGGTCCAGCCCGCAAGCAAGCTGAACAGGTAATGGTTTCCCTTTTTTTTGCCCGCCTCTGGGGCTCTACATCGTGAAAGGAGCTAAGCTCATCTCCTGTGTCAACAGATGCTTTCTCAAGCTACCTCTTCTCCGGACTACATTAACTACATCACCTACCTCTTTTCTACCCCGCACCCTCCTCCATCGTCGGGGATTAGCAATGCGGATTACAGCACCATTCGATTTGCCGCTGCCATGAACGTCAAGACCAAGATCTTCGTCGCCTACAACACCATCTCTCCCCAGAGCCTAGTTTTTGTGCGATCTGCAGCCTTGCTCGCCCTGCGCGACTCTGAGCGCAACGTTCAGCGCGGGGCTGGTAGCATCATTACAGAGCTCCTCAGTCAAGGAGGCCTGTTGGCTTGGCCCGAGGTCCTTCAAGAGCTGTTGGCTCTTGTAGGCAATGCATCCGGCGATGTTACCATTGGCACTCGAGAGGCTGCCATGGAGGCTCTGTTGAAGGTCTGCGAGGACAATCGCAAGATCCTTGACCGCGATTACTCCGGACAGCGCCCACTTGACGTGATCATTCCCAAGCTCTTGGAGTTCAGCTCCAGTGAGAGCTCTAACATCCGTGCCACCGCTCTCAGTGCCGTCCACATCTTCCTCCCCTACAAGCCCCAGGCATTGATGCACTCGCTCGATCTCTTCCTTTCACAGCTTTTCAACCTGTCTGGTGACCAGGACACTAAGGTCCGACAGATGGTCTGCCAGTCATTCTCCCAACTGGTGGAGTTTGCACCCGAGAAGCTTGCCCCGCACATGGAGGGTCTGGTCAACTACATTATCATGCAACAGCAATCTCAGGATGATCCGGAGCTCGCCCTCGATGCAGCTGAATTCTGGATCGGCGCTGGAGAGCAAGCCCAATTGAAACAGGCACTCGCCCCATTCATGCCTAAGATCATCCCGGTCCTTCTTCAGAACATGATCTACGAGGAGGATGAAGTCATCCGACTGATGGCCGAACAGGATGATGCCGATACCGAGGACCGTGCTGAGGATCTCAAGCCCCAGTTCGCAAAGTCCAAGTCTGACCGCATGACCGCAAACAAGCAGGGCGACCAAGCCAACGCCCCGGAGGAGCAACAGATCGAGGAAGATGATGATGATGATGACCTGAGCGAAGGTGAAATTGAAGACTCCGAATTCGGAGATGACCCCTCGGGCAACTGGACTCTGCGCAAGTGTTCCGCTGCAGCCCTTGATGTCTTCTCCAATGTTTACCACCGTCCTGTGTTTGAAATCCTTCTGCCATACCTGAAGGAGACTCTCCGCCATGAACAGTGGCCTAACCGCGAAGCTGCTGTTCTCACCTTGGGCGCAGTTGCCGACGGATGCATGGATGCCGTGACTCCTCATCTCCCAGAGCTCGTTCCCTACCTGATCTCACTACTGAACGATGCCCAGCCTGTCGTGCGACAGATTACTTGCTGGTGCTTGGCCCGTTACTCTGGCTGGGCTGCTAGTCTTCGTGAGCCATCTCAAAAAGCGCAATACTTTGAGCCTATGATGGAGGGTATCCTTCACCGTATGCTGGACAGCAACAAAAAGGTGCAAGAAGCTGCTGCATCGGCCTTTGCCAGCTTAGAAGAAAAGGCAGATGAAAACCTGTTGCCCTACTGCGACCCTATTCTGCGACAATTCGTCGCATGCTTCGCGAAGTACAAGGACAGGAACATGTACATCCTCTACGATTGTGTGCAAACACTTGCCGAGTGTGTCATGAATGAACTTTCCAAGCCTCATTTGGTCAGTATTCTCATGCCCGCCCTCATTGGACGCTACAACTCTGTTAGCGACGAGTCGCGGGAGCTGTTCCCACTCCTTGAGTGCCTTGGCTACATTGCTGCTGCATACGGCGATGTCTTCGCCGAATTTGCACCCCCTCTTTTCCAACGTTGCATCAGAATCATCTACGAGAACTTGCAAGCATCTCTCCAGTCGGCAAACAACGCCGCTTATGATGAGCCTGACAAGGACTTTTTGGTCACTAGTTTGGATCTCTTGAGTGCCATTATTCAGGCTATCGACCCACGTAAGAGTGGCGAGCTTATATCTTCCTCGCAGCCACGGTTCTTCGACATCCTGTGCTACTGCATGGAGGATTCCAACTATGAGGTCCGCCAATCCTCATACGCTCTTCTGGGTGACTGCGCTATTAGCATCTTCCCCCACCTCCAACCTTTCATCCCCACCATCATGCCAATCCTCATCAAGCAGCTTGACCTGGATCTTATCCGTGACGACGATCGCCACACCGGTTTCAGCGTTTTGAACAACGCCTGCTGGTCCTGCGGTGAGATCGCTGTCAACGAGAACGCCGGTCTCTCGCCATACGCCGAAAAACTATACCAAAGCCTCCTCACTATCATTGAGAACGAGGAGATCATTGATTCCGTCAATGAGAATGCCGCCATGGCATTGGGACGATTGGGACTCTGCTGCGCTGACCAGATGGCGCCACAATTGAGCGAGTTCTCTGGATCTTTCTTGAAGTCAATGGACAAGATTGACTTCACCCGTGAGAAGGCCTCTGCTTTCCTCGGTTTCAACCAGGTCGTGATGAAGAACCCGCAGGCCATGGAATCAAGCCTGGTCGACTACTTCCAGGCCATTTCCACTTTCCCCGCCAAGTCGCTGGTGCAGGAGGAGTATCGGGAGATCCAGGTCTCGTTCCAACAGGTAAGCATCTCGAATTAGGCTGCTGAAATATCATCGCTAATATAGTCTTACAGGTTCTGCAAGGGTACAAGAACATGATCCCCAACTTCGACGACTTCCTCGGTCAGCTCCCCCAGGCCGTAGCCCAGACACTGCGCACGGTGTACCAGATCTAAGCGGTCTATATCTTCACCATAGCTTCATTCAAACTCGAGATTTGTCTCACCCACAGGCAGGGGTGAGCTAGGAGGAAATGGACAAAGTACATAGGACCGCATGGGTCATATTCTTTTTTTTTCTTTCTTTCAAAGTTAATAGTAAGAGGAGGGACATAGGACAAGAGGAGGGAGGGGGAGGGAGGGGGAGGAAGGGGGGCAAAAATCATGGGATAGGAGCATTCTGCGATTTAGCCGATTTTTTACGTTTACATCTCATGATCGCAATGGGTATGCATGACTTTGAAATGATCTCCTTTGATTTTTCATTTTCCGTTGATTTCTTGCATCCATTTGACTGTATTGGTCAAGGGCATCTAGGTAGTTGCCTTTTTTTTTTCAGCGCTGGTTCGGCATTTTCTTCACTTCATATCCCATTAGATAGATACCTAGGTAGATTAGATAGATTCACATTCATGCAGGTTTCAGGATTTAAGATTTCTGAACATGACTTGAGGGGGCGAGTTTTGTTGGTCATTGGGTATAACGTTAGTAGTGTGGTCAATCAGTTGTGTGTCTGTAGATAGCGGTGATATAAACCAAGATTAATTATTGAGTGTAGGGATATATTAATTTCAGGGGATCATGAAGTGTAACTGCTTTCATTTACACGCATATATAGCAGAGCTATGGTGAAATCTTTGGGTCATATCTAGCTCTACGTGTGAAGGATTGACACACTCGCTAATCCTCAAATCACGCCTCAAATATGGCCAGGACTACGACTTGGGCCTTCAAAAGACCATGGTAGTTTGATTGAGATTGCATAGGTGTGAGACAATCTATATTGGTACGCTTAGCAAACGGCCAGCAGCCAGCAAACAGCCAGCAAACAACCTTGAAAAGAACTGAAAGCCTACTAACTTATACACACTCTGTATATGTCTAACGCATGTTTTGCTGCCAATCAAAACGGCAGAAAAAGTACTAGGTCTAATATATTCTTCACTTGCCTTGATATGGTTCAGTTTGTCTGATCTGTCGCAAATAGGGATGCTTAGGCTCAGAGTGTAGTAACCCGAATTCTCCTAACCTCGAGGTTTGTTCCGGTCTATATCCTGTTATTGTGCCATCCAAGTCATTACCCTTGTGACCTTTGCAAAGCAGTTGTAGCAATACCCTTGATCCAGTTACTTGCCTGTGTGCATTGCAGCCAACCTATGATCCAAACCCAAGAAGATCGAGTATCAACAGACCAATCAGCATCACCACGACAGCCAGTTCTCCCCACAAGGCCTGTGCATCCAAATCACCAAACAACAACCAAAAACAGCAGATTCACCCAGGGGCTTAGAAATCAGGCGACGTTGAGTAGGTCTCAGTTCGGTAATTTCGGTGCTTTCGGTGACATCCGCACCCCGGTCGATCCCCAACGACAAAGCAGTATGCTGCGACGCTAAACCAAAACAAATCTCGATCCGCCAGATCTCGGGGCACCTCAGGAAATAAAGATCAGCGGGGATTTCCAACGACTATTTGCTACGGGTATATTTGGATCGACCGCACTTGGTCTCGTGCATCGACTCCTTTCCCGTCTCCGCTCACGGTGAGGGATGTGCAGGTTCTGTGCCTGGATATAGACTCCGCGGATATGCAAGAGAAGAGAGAAGAGTCAGAAAAGTAAAGAATTGAAACATGTAAACCCCAAAGCAAAGAAAGAACTACAGTATTTGACTACCTTTCAACAAACGCACTCCCACCACTCTTACCAATCCAGTAAGCAAGAGTCACCAGAGAACCCAGAGAAGCCCGAAACTTCCGCAGCTCGCCTATCTGACGCGTGGTATCCCAACTCCGGCATAGTGGAAAAGAAACAGTCGGCCCCGAAAGCCCGCAACGGGTCGCCAAGCGCCACGCTTGAGCCAAAAGAAAAAAAAAAAAGAGAAAGAAAGAGACAAGGCGCGAGCCTTTCCCATAACCGCTTCATTCCACGGAAAATTAACAAGCATAATACTGTAATAATCAAAGTAGAAAACACAAAACCGGGTCCCATCTGCATATCATTTTGGCCCCCACCATAAGCACCAACACGCCAAGGACAAGGCGAATCTCGCAAATTCTCACCCTGCTGTGGACTGTTGAATTGTCCCCGTTACTGCACGGCTCCAGTCTACCGAGGGCGTGGGTGCTAGCGGCGCCGCAGTCTGGAGGCTTTGGGCATTGTTGGTCCCGTCTTTGCTGTTTGGGGCATGGTTTTTCGGCTATGGTTATTGTGGCTTGCGATGAGATGACGGGGGCTATCCTGGGCTTTGGGCCTTTGTCGAGGTGGATTGATGGGGGCTGCTGGGGATCTACGGCCGGGGAATTTACTTGAGACGCCGGTGGGTATACTGTATGCGCTATGTCCTGGACTGGGTGGGATGGTTGTTGAGCGTTATTTGGGGGGGTTGGTGTTGTTGGGTTTGTTTAGGGCTCAGGGGTTGCAGGTTTGGGGGATTGCGGGTTTGGATGTGTTTTGTCTGATGTTCAGCCTCAGCTGTGGTGAGACTAGGATTTATCGGTTTGTTTGTTTTTGTTTTTTTGGCTGTGTAGGACAGTTCTAGGTCAGGTCGAGTCAGATCTGGGTTTGAACTGTCAAGCCTTTTAGGGGTTGAGACTCGATTTAGTTTCTCGATCGTGGAATCTGACTCCCAAGTATAACCCCCTAATTCACTCGTGGGTAAAAGTCAAGCACTTTCTATTTCTTTTTTTGTTTCTCGGGATATGAAGCATGAATCTTGCTAGAAACATTGCATATACTTCAAATGTCCATCTTCGTTCTTGATACAGGAACCCAGGTTCAACTCGTCGTTGCAAATGTTTCCCTCTCCGTCGTCGAGCTGTGCATACAAAAGCGGCTCATTGTTTGGGCCTTCCATGCGAAGGTCAACATCGGTTGCAGAATCGGAGAAATTCTTGCAGCTCCACGTAAGCTTTCCTGTTGATAGTCAGGTTAGTCAGACAGGGTCGTGAACCAAAGTCTTGTACGGTTGCAGCAAATGCAAACTCACCTTTTTTAGCCCCTACAAACTCATTCAGGTCTAGTTCCGAGTAAATGGCCTCCCCAGTTGGCCGGCGGCAATGAGCAGTGAGAGTGTGCTTGTTCTTCAATTGAATGTCCGTGGATGATCTGTGAAAGGGCATCTTGGCGGGTTGGGCTGTATTCCGAATAGCCTTGCGGTATACTGTCTTTTAGGTTCCGAGGCTGAGCTGTTCCCAAGGGTAACACGACAGATCTGCGAGCTTATAGGGTCTCTGACTTTGGCATGCAGGATGGACGAAACGTGTCTGCGCCAAATGTCCAGAACGGTCTGTTGCAGTCTTGTAGTGCAAGAGAAGGAATGAAAAGAGAATATAGAACCTATTCACACGCCGAGTACTGGATACCGAGGGTCCGGCATCTTTCTCCAGATGACATCGGTATGGTATACATTTCCGACCATTTAGATGTATGGAGGCGGTGGCTGTGGCATCATGCTTTCTTCACCATGACCAAAGGGAAATGTCGGCCTCGCACTGACTACTACAACATGTGGCTCCGTCGTGGAAACCATCTGCCTTGTCAATGATAGGACCTCGTCTTCATGTTTATAGGAGGTCATGGTGACCTCATGCAGGACTCTGCAGAGTGCGCTGTCAGCCTCATTCATTGGCAATGCAAGTATCGGGCGTTAACACTTGGCAAGGGTCAGCAGCCATCGGGTAATAAGTATAATTATTCTAATTCTTATTATTATTTAGAAAAAGGCGCCAGACGCATGAAAAATAAAAGCAAAAAAAAACGGATAGATAGAAAGCTGAAACAGAAAGAAAGTTAACGCTAATGATCTTGTAGATGCGCGGGACTCGGGGCAATATAGACTCCCTCCCGTCGATCCTGGTTGACTTGACCAAACCGCCTCTTCTGGGTTCTGTTTCCCACTCTCTTGCTCTAGGCCATGTCCAAAGTCTGAAGGGCTGAAGGACCCCGGTTGAAACATCCGAAGGGAAGTAAAGAAGCACCAGAGAGTATACCTTAGGTAGTGGACGATCTCGTGCGCTCCACTCGTCTACAATGGCCTCGTTCTTGGCGGAATAGAGTTGCGTGGTCTGCAGCCCATGGGCAGTGCTTAAAGGTCTCGATGGCTCTATCTTGTCCAAGGCTTGTCTCTTGATCTCCATTCCATGGCTGCTATCTGGGGGAATAATTGATTCACGATCATGTGGGGAAGAATGGATAGAACCCAGGCATCCCCAAGTAGGGAAATGCGAGATAGTCATGATGTATGCACCAGTCTGATTGGACGGGAATGATATTCCTGGCAATCCCGGAATACCTGGCTTCGGAACTCATCCAACGCCAGAGCATCTGCATAGCCCAAGACCCCACGGCCGATATAGTTAGCAGGGCTCGACGAGAAGGAAAAGTAATGAAGTCAGTACTTTTGACGCACTAGCCCTATTTGGGTTGCATGTTGCGAGAAGCGAGACTCACCGCCTCTGATTGGTGGTTGGCGTCGGCCCCGGTTTGCCTCCACTTAGTATCGGACTCTCTACTCTTTAGTTGAACTCTTCCTCGATTCACAGCGATGCTGGAATTACTGTATCCCCGAATGACAAACGGGATTGCCCGAGTTCCCTGACTTGCCCGACCTCCCTGGCAGGAGAGGCAGGACAGGACTTCCTCAGTCTCACCGGAGGCCTGAGATCCTGTACAAGTGTGGTGCCACGTGTGTAGTAAGGTTGGAATGTCAGAGTCCAGATCAGCAGGTGGCACACACCGACTTTAGACACATGTCTCCCCAGAAAACGTGGTCGATCGGTGCACAGCTCTGCATGCAGCCTTCAGGGGAGTCACACCGGAACTACTATCTGCTCAAAGTCTTGGCTAGGCATCCTCTGCCGCTCTCACCCTCCAGCCTGGACCCTGCAGGAATGGGAGAATGGGAAAAAGATTGAACGGAAAAAAAAAAGAAAGAAAGGGAACAAAAATCACCCCAAAACAACCAACAGAAATCAAGAAAAACAAAAGTGATTTCACGACTCTCTCATCCCTGCATACTTGTCCATTGTCTTATTCGGGCTGGACATCCCACACCGTCAAAACCGCGCAGGGTCATCCATGGACATGGTTCCCGTTCCAGTCCAGTGGTAGCGCAGGTAGCTTAGGCGGACCAGAAGATGGGGAATCCGGGGACATATAGACTCGCCACCAGGACTTCAATGAAGATGTGGCGGCGATCCCGCAAGATTGAACTGGACCCCCTGGTTACGAGTAAACCTTGCCATCGTAGCCGCCAATCCCCATGGCCCAAGTGGTGAGCGGTCCCCCTGTCTCACGCATCATACAGTCATGGGCGTGCAGTTCTACATTCGGTTGCGATTACCGAGTTCAGAGCGTTTAATTTCCTTCTGGCTCACGGGTAGAAACGGTGGACTTCCGCCTGTCAGTCGCAGCTCCAATCTTAGCGAGCCGGTGGATCAGTAGGGGGATGGTCTACAGTGGCACTGATGGACAAGGTGACTTACTCAATACGGTATAAGGTGCTGGCTTGACAGTTTCGACCCGCAATCCAGGGTCCTGAGATCGAGCCTTGATCGACCTGGGACAGGGTGCTATACGTTTGACCTTGGACTTTGGGCTCGAACTCCTTTTGACAGGCGGGATGGGCGTGAGAAGCACCCAAAAAACAAAAAACGGAAACCCAGCCCAGCCCGTACAGTAGAGTCGATCTCGAGATTCTGCTGTGTTGCCTTTTGCCAACCATGGCCCGATCTGGGGAAGATTCACGTCTGTAGTCTGTCTATCACCGGGCTTTTCTCGTCTATACTTTATTCTCTATTCTCTATACTGTCAAGTCTGGGACCCAACAGAGTCTAAGCCTATCGAGGCAGCTGTATAAGAATGTTCTCCACACGGGTCTGAGACCCAGCTGAACCGGTGCTATCCTAGACGCCTCGATTTCTCTTGGGTTTTTTTATTCTTTTTATTCTTTTTATTGTTTTATTCTTTTACTGTTCTGGGAATTGTGATTATTATTTGAGCTTAGCCCCTGGTCCCAGAGGCTCAAAATCTCATTGCTTGGGGGTTGATTCGCAGTGAGATTGATCATATCCGCGCCTGACCTCTTTCTCTTCCTCTCTCTCTCTTTCTCTTTTAAGTCTCCCTGGCTCTTCTTCTCAGATCTATACCTTGGACAACTATTTCGACAATCGGCTTCAAAAAGGTATTCCATTTGTCTACTTCGGAAATTGGGAGCCCTGCACCTCGTATTCTCCACGTGCTTAATCCGACATTCCTCACACCCCCCGGTTATTTTTGGACTGGCAGATCGACTATAAACATCTGGTGCGGCTCATCTTCTTATTCACAGTCGTTGGGTCCAGGATTGGTCTACAGGGCATACGTGCCCACTCCCAGATCCTCAACCATTCCCTCTACTCACTTCCGGAGTCAACCGTGACTCCCCCAATCTACGTGAACGCCTTACCTGTTCAAGTCTTTTAAATACGCCAACATGGTCGGCCCAGGTGGTGGTCCTCCGCGCAAGAGCCACACCAAGTCTCGTAATGGCTGCAAGACTTGTAAGAGGAGGCATATTCGCTGCGACGAGACCTTCCCACAATGGTACGTGAATCCATAGAGATGCCTTACATGCCCATAGGCGCCAAATTAAAGTCCCCTCGCTAGTCGCAATTGCACCAAACACAACTGCCGCTGCGATTACCAAGATGTGGTCGGCGGCGCAGGCAGTCCCCCAACTCCACGGCGCGGTCCTGACCTGCTCATGTCGCCTGACATCGAGGCCGAGATTGAGAACTGGCATCGTACCGGTGTGCCTCCTTATCCAGAGCTCCTGCAGTGTCCTCGCTCAGGATGGTCGGGTCTTTCGCGTGATGATTTGCGCTTGATTCATCATATTATTGGGGTTTCCATTGACTTACACCGGAGAGGGCTGAGTGGCTGTACAGCCTGGGCGCAGAAGATGCCCAAGTAAGAGAGCCCTTGGGTGGTTATGGAGACTACTAGCTGACTGTTTGTCTAGTTTTTTGGCTATTGCGCTGTCTAGCGACTTTGTCATGAGCTCCATCCTGGGCTTGTCGGCTTTCCATCTTTCGTTCTTAACAGGAGATCAAGAGACAAAGCAGTTGGCGTATCGCCATAAAGTGACGGCTCTTCAGGGCTTGCAGGGTGCCCTTGCATCGTTCTCCAAGGATAACTGTGATGCCATTCTTGCGGCCTCGGTTCTTCTTACATGGCAGGCGACAGAGCAGTGAGTGATTGCCGATCATTTTGAGAATGCCGTTCACTAACGTCAACAGCTCGAGTTGGATGTCCTTGCAACATGGCATCTCAAGTGTACTCGAGTTTATGCATCCATATTGGAAGCAGGAGTCAGATCTGGCACAATATGTAGAGAGCCTAAGGGCGCTGAGCACAACAGATCTCTCAATGGCAGGTGCCTACCAACCTCTCGACGAAGACATGGTCCATCTCGACCAAACAATCCACGCCCTCCAGATGATTCAAAAACGAGTCACTCACAATCTGGAGCACACCCAACGCCTCGGTGAACTGATCGAATTCGTTCAAAAATTCCGCGATGACTTACCCAGTCAGACCTCTGAACAAACCTTCGACCGCATCCAGATACTTCGCCGCTGGCTCTTCTGGCTCCCGCCCTCCATGCTCCGAGGAAGCGACTCGGATCTGAGCGCGCTCGCCATTCTGGCCCAGTTTTTCGCCGTTGGCATCTCCCTCGACCGCTTCCTCCCAGAGATGGGAGGTGCATATCTAGGCGCTTTATCCATCGGCCCCATCGAAGAAATCTACCGCATCATCATCGCAAATAGCGCAACAGATCCCTTCAACGCCGACCTGCGACTTTCCCTCGGCCTGATGGATATCCCTCGCCGCATCGTCGCCCGCTATCGCAGCCGACTCCACTGGTCTCCTCGCTCCTCTATCGACCAGTATTCCCCCTGTTCACCAAGTCCATACCACCACAACCTGACCGAATACCCACTCGTCACATCCTCCTCTCCTGCATCGGCCTCTCCCTCCTACGCCGCATATACTCCGCCCCTCCAATCCCCTCCGGCTGTCACAGTCGCCAGCTCTCCCTTTAATCTCGCAGACGGCTACATCACTGCGCCACCCTCGCATTCGCATTCCCTCTACCCACCCTCTCCACAACTCCTCGATACGAATGACGCACATCTTTCTCTGGACCTGGTTCATTCTCAATCCACTCTTCCGAGTTCCTCGACATATACACCGCCATACGGCGGGGAGTTACATTGCTCCGACTTGCCCCGTGCTGATGGCACGCTTGGCTTGAACATGGAAGTCTATCCACAGACACATCCATTCGAGATGCCTGGCTTGGTTGCGCCGCTTTGGACATCGTGATGGCTATGGTTCGGAGTTGGGCTGGAGGCCCTGGGTGGACTTTTTCGGATTCTATCACTCGACACTTGTCAATTCTACCCGTCGAGCATCAGCGTTGGTGTGTTGTGATTTTGATAGCAGTGTGTTATCTTTGGTCGAATCTTCAGTTTTAAGCTGGTGAAGATGGCTCCCCTTTTTTATATTGATGTATATACCCCGATTTCATTGAACGTATCCTTTTGCAAGTGTGCTACTTGTCTTCTGTGATGATTAACAAGTTCCAAACTATCATTCATGAGCAACAACAGCATTATCATTCGAGAAATGGCTACCTAGACAAGTAGTCACAATGGAACCTCGGCACAGATCAAACCACTGCCCGCCGCGGACTCTATCATCCTCCGACAGCTGGGATTGAGCCCCAATCACTCTAAACATAGTCCCACCACTTCTCTCACTTCCCACCCTCTTCCCTCCATTTACTCACAAGATCACACAAAAGCCCCAGGTGTACCAACTTCAGCCTCCACCCCGCACTTCCAACCACAGATCGACAGGAACGAAAGCAACCCAACGAACAGGTAAAATCCGAATTCTAAGAATAAACCAAAGACCCAAAGGGTCCAGCATCACGGACCCAGCACGGGACACACATTAAGACCGATAAACTACAGATCGCCGCATCTCATTGGATATCAAGGCCCTCACGCTCCCCAGACCTCGTATTCGGCCGCAGTTGGCCTAGTTGGGATGGGGTATCATGTTCCCGGGCTAGGGCGGAATCAGGTATAGTCTATAGTTAAATAGATAGACGCAGGACGGGACATATAGCGTCTGAATTCATAGTTGCCTCGGTTTTTTTCGGTGCGGAGGTTGCTTTCTTTGGTGGTTGGGATCGGCGCTTCATTATGTCTCGAGTGGTCTGACTGCACCGTACCGTTTGGAAATAGGGTTGATGCATGTCTGGTGTCTTTTTCGTATGTCTATATTTATCGCTTGCGCTTTTTTTGCCTGCGTGCTTTTATTGAGCCCCCTAGACGGTTCGTTTATTTTTTTTTTGGTTCTGTGGCTGTGAGGGATTAGGTTTGTGGTATTTCCCAAAGGTTGCGTCTTCGATGACCCTGCTGCTACGGGCTTACTCTTCTTTGAGGAAATATCGGTGAAGAGGACTCTGGTTTTGTCAAAGTAAGATATGCAGTGCCCTATATCAATATTCTTCGTCATTTTTGCTGCCTTTAAGAGAATACTCCAGCTATTACAGCCACTGTAGTTGCATTTTGGGTCAACTGTGAGCTTCCCTTGGCAATATTGGGAAGTTTTGACTACATGCTTAGCTTGAGAGATGCCAGAATTCAAGACTCACACCTAACTGCACCTTGGCTCCGTGGTATTCCTATTCCGATAAGAACGATGTGCTGTATGGACAGTCTATACATCAGGCACAACAGACAAACAGAGCAAACACAATCATGTGATAATGACATAACCGCTTTCCATTTTGGGCAAGAGAGCAACGCTTGATTCTCAAGCTCCAACAACCACCTTTCACGCTTTCTCAACCTACCTACATATCACCGAAATCCAATATGGGAGACGCTGCTGGTTGGAGTACAATCGAGTCCGACGAGGTAATTGTCTCCAAAATCCCTCCGCACTAGTTTACTAAGACATTCTAGGGCCTGTTCACCTCGTTGATCGAGACCTTGGGAGTAAAGGACACCCAATTCGAAGAGCTCATCTCCCTCGATCCCGATACAATCAGATCCCTCGGGTAAGCACCTCGCTCCTCCAAGTCCCCAATGCCCAACCCACCCACATCGTCAACACCCCAGCTCCAAAAGAACCTCCCAAAAAAGCTAACCTAACTCAAGACCCGTCTACGGCGTGATTTTCCTCTTTAAATGGACACGCGAAGCAGCAGGCGCCCGCGCTGATGCCCCCCTAGACGGCGAATACGACCCAAGCGCCACAGACAACAACCTCTTCTTCGCCGCGCAAACCATCCAAAACGCCTGCGGAACACAAGCCATCCTCTCCGTCATCCTCAACCACGACAACCCACCCACCCCACAACCCGCCATCACCCTCGGCGCAGAACTATCCAGTTTCAAAGAATTCACCACGGGCTTCCCGCCCGAACTCCGCGGCGAGGCGCTCTCCAACTCCGAAGCGATCCGCAGCGCACACAACAGTTTTGCGCGCGCTAGTCCGTTTGCCGATGAGACTGCGCGTCCGCAGGATGACGAAAAGGGCGCGGACGCTTACCACTTTATTGCGTATACGCCTGTCAATGGAAAGCTGTATGAGCTTGATGGGTTGCAGCCTCATCCTATCAGTCATGGGGCTTGTGATGCGGGATCGTTCCCGGAGAAGGTAATTGAGGTTCTCCAGCGGCGCATTGCGCGGCACGACGCTGGTGAAACACATTTCAATCTCATGGCTGTTGTACGGGACCCGAGGATTTCCGCTAGGGAGATTGGGGATGTGGAGACTCTGGAGAGGGAGGAGAGGAAGAGGGCTGCGTGGCAGTGGGAAAATACGCTGCGGAGACATAACTTTGTTGGGTTTATTGGGGAGATGATGAAGGGTGTGGTGGGGATGAAAGACAAGCAGGACCCCGAGGGCAAGGCTTATGGGGAGTGGGTTGAGAATGCGAAGAAGGAGACGAGGAAGAAGCTCGAGATGCAGCGGTAGATATTCTTTTGTTCTTCCTCTTGTTCTTTGTGAGCTGTTATGGCATTTCAGATACCCTTTGCGAAACAGGACGATTATGGTCGATATGAACAAAGATCTACGGTATTCGATGATGTTTGAGCAACGCTGGAGGGTTGTATACTACACATTTATTCACACGGAGTAGGTGAATAGAGTAAGCGCCCCGGGCCGCCTTAAAACGACCAATCGACCGCGTTCTGGTTGCACATCAGTGGCTCAGGACTGACTGCCTTTGCATGACTTTGAGATCAAACATGCAATGAACACCTGCTACCATGTCCATACAGTCAGTCCCAACCACCATGACTATGACTGGATCGTGTTATCCAGCTCTTTTCTGATATCTTATCGAATGGCACAAATCTGATGTTCAAAATCCTTGTCATTCAATTCTTATATTTACGTTTCGTGGTTCAAGGAAATCAAGTACATGGCTGTGGCAAATCACCGAAAATCAACGCAGTGCTATATACTGGCATCCACATCGTAACTCGTAATGAGATATCCAAAGTATATCCTCCGTCCCAGCCAGAATGTAGACCATTATTCTCACCAGAACTGAACGTCAAACTGACACTCAATGCTCCACAGAGCGCAACTTGAGATGCTCAACCATAGGCTCAGGCAGGTCCTCCGCATTGACCAAGCCCAACGCCAGCAGGTCAGACCAGAAGAACATGATGCGGTCTTGGGCGTAGGCCAGATAATCGAAATCGCCCTCCTCGTCAATATCCGCATCAACAGGCGGTGTCTTCTCACTGTCTGCGTCACCGTTGCTGTGACCGTTACTTCGGCGCTGGTCGTTTTCGCCGTGCCCATTGGCAGCTGCCATCTCCGCGATGCCTTCTTCCATGCCGGGTACCTTGGCTTGGACAATACCCCAGGCAACCCACTGCGCAGAGTTCATGACTCGCCACAGGCGGGTCTGTTGCATGAGGAAGCGCACTTCTCTGTCCAGCTCTTCGTCGTTGGACTTTTCAGTCTGTGCGAGCTGCGAGCTGGACCCGTCTGCTTCGTCTAGGTCTAGCGGAGTAATGCCCGTTGCAGTACGCCCGCGCATGTTGGGCGTTGCCAGAGGGGAGATGGTTCCGCCGCCAACGGCGGGTCGGTGCGTGAGGTATGTCGAAACAAATTGGTATTGCTGGTCTGGCGTTGGGTAGGCGCGAGTGTTGCAGGCCCATGAGCGCTCTTCGTCATGGTAGTTGTAGCACCATTCAGTCTGTTATCGTTAGATTACCGAAGTCTGTCTCTGTCTCAAAGACTGGGAACTCACGAAGTGATTAGCGAACTCAAGGCCAGGAGTATTGGCAGATGAGTATTCAAAGTCAATGACAACGAGCTGCTTGTGCTCATTGGCAGGCAAGAGCAACGGTGACTGTGTGGCCGGTTCCATGCGAAGAAGATTGCCGTATTGAGTCTAGAAACGAGTCAATACAAGATCCCACAATTGACAGGAGGGAAAACTTACATCATTGTGCGCAAACACCAACTGACGCTTGATCTCAGCAATTCCCCCAGATCCGGCGACCAACCAGAGTCGGTAGCTGTCCACGGCTTTGCGGAACATTTCCCACGGCACACCGCAGACATAACCGCGACGACGCCACGGTTCAAGTGCGGCTTTGGCTTCGTTTTGCGGGGACTGGATTTCCTTGTCGAGCCAGGTGGTTACCTGCTCGCAACGATCCACCCACTTATCCCAGTTCTTGAAGATCATGGGTCCATCTTCGCGTTCTTCTTCGAGAAGGTCAATTCCATCGTGCAGTTCTCTCATCCGCTTAGCAATCTGCTTCGCCGTTTCGGGCATGCGCAGTTCTTTAGGGGTAAGAGGACGAGCCTCGAAGTACTCTTCGAATCGGCCGTTGAGGAATGTGCCCAGGACGCGAGGACCAATGTTCTTCCGGCCTAGGCGGCGGAGGATCTGTAGCTCCTTCTCTCGATCAATGAGATGATCGACCTGGGGGCCGTAGATTCGGAGCAGAAGCTTCCTACGGTTCCAATTAGCGTGGTGCTCAAGGTAGGGTGGACGTCGATGCTTACGGCGGGGGTTTCCTAGACACCAAAGTAGACTTGCTATCTGTTTTGGGAGGAGGCAAGTTCTTAGGTGGTGCAACTACATACACGGCGTTGGTGAGAGCGCCGCTAAGTCGAACCACCTCAATATCGCCAGCTAGTTCCGCTGGGACCTTGCGCCAGCCTTTAAGTTGCAGCGTGTGTACAATACGCACAATCTCAGTCTTAAAGATCATCCAGCCCTCCCGATCCTTGTCGGCTTTGAGGTTGGCATTGGCGTCGGTGTCCTCTTCTACTGCAGCGCCGCCAGTGTAGGCCAGTGTCTTGGAGTTGTCCAAGTAGGCTTCCACGCCTGGCACGGGTGCATCGATATCTGTAGCTTCCGACTCAGAGGCTGAGCCTTTTTGCAAGCCCTTATGACGACGTCGGCTCAGGCGTTTGGCCGACACACTTGAACCGATGGCACTGCTCGGTCGGTTGGTCGCATGTTGGAGGAGGATCTTCTCCAATATATCCAAGGAGAAGGTGCTTTCGGAGGGGTTGGAGTTGGGTCTTTCTAGGGGACCGTCCTCGGTGGGCGCATCGTTTGTCGCATTGGAGACGGCTTCGGATTTCCGTGCTTTACGATTCTGCCGTCTGGTTTTTTCATGGTGTAACCATTCGTATACTTGGTGGAAGAGACCCTGAGGGTCCTCTTCAGGCCGGTGTTGCTCTCTGTCTTCTTGTGTCATGGCATCGTTGACGCTCGAGGGGCCGTCAAGAGAAGGCATGGAGGAAGTGGGGGGTTGCGCAATGGGCTGGGACTTGGAAGCCCGATACTGTTTCAGAGAAGTGCCGTCTGGGGAATCGACCGTCCCACTTGCGTGTAAGGCCTTGGTCAAAGAGCGAATGTTCAAGCCTGTTCCCGAAATCGACGATTCTGTGGGAATTAGTATTCGAATTGAGAGGATTCGAGGTGTTGCTGGGGGCAAGAGATGTCGAGTTGCGATAGAGAGAGATTACAAGCCAGGGGCGTGCTTATAGGTGGCGACGAGAGAGTGGATTTCTAACTACGAAGCAGGGCAAAGAAATGGAGCCTACCTGTTAATTCGGGACCAGGCACATTGTCTTCGGTGAAGGACGGCATGTGTCCACGCGAGCCAAGAAAGGGGCTGAATAGCTTATCGGTAGGCACGCGACCAATTGCGAATGCGCTTCCGAGCGAACTGAATGGCCAAACCCGAGTCGAAGGAGAATCTTGGGGGGGAATAGAAAGGAGGCAAGGTGGGGGATAAATTGGACCCCTAGAAACAGTTGATAAGCGAACGGAAAGGTCCCAGTTGTGGATGTGGGTACGAAGGACTGTCCCTTGGGTTGCAACCCAACTGCGGGACCTGGGGAGATGAGCCGGATATGGTGAACAGTGTCAATGGACGGTCGAGATGGACTGCAACGTAATATGAAAGGTTGAGCAAAAGGGACACAAGAAAAAAAGTGGCGAAATTGGCAGTTATCACTCAGGTGACTCTCCAGTGCCTGGTGCCTTGCGAATCTGGCATCGCTTCTCCATATCTTGGGCAAAACAGCCAGGGATCTCCGATTCGGCAGGAGGTCACACCACTCATCATTTCAAGATAAGTTATCTTTGCCGACCAGTCGTAGGAAATCCTTCACACCGCAATATTCATCTTTGGGGGCGTCTTGTACATTGCACGGCAGGTGGCAGTATATGGCTTTCATACTGTCGCATGTGGGGAGCGGGCTGTATCGGCGCCAGGAAGCTTTTCACTCGGGTTCTCGCCAGAAGGTTTGCTGGCGTTCATCAAGTCTCATTTTAATGATTGGTGTAAACCCCGGATGAATCCAAAGGATTGGCTTCGGATTGTTATGATGAGAAGAAGAGAAAAGTAGGAAGAGGGGAGATGGGAGGTGAGGGGAGCACGAGGTAAGTTACCGTATTGGATCTTGGAAAGTCTGGCCTCACATATCAGGCCACGAATTTGATCGTTCCTAGTTAACTCAACGTTACTTACAGCACCATACTTTCCCAACTATGTATTGATTGCTTGGGTGTTTTTTTTTCTCTTGTATCTCATGGATCTGTCAATATCTAATGCCAATGGATGTCTCGTATCGCTAAGTCCACATGTTATAAGTATGCCTAGAGTTGCATTGCGAATAACAAGCCAATTCCAACGCATCGACAACTCTACATGTCTTGAGCATACCCCGTTCAGCGAGGCAATTCTGATAATATAATTGACGAGGCTTGACCAGCTAGTACATCTATGATGATTCGGAAGGGCAGAGCCTTGGGCAGACATGCGCTTTTCACAACGGAGTCTAGAGCGGGCGGCCATGCAGATGGCCATGCGGGTGAGCTTGACTCCTTGCTCCTTGCTCTTTTGATTGAGCTGGAGAAATTCTTTGCAAAAAAGTGCTGACTCTTGTCTGATCCAACGACATTCACAGTCCAAATGTGTTGGTGGCAGCGAAATAAATTGATCTGGCTCAATACTGGTCAGGGCTGGGGGTTGAACAAATCGATCCCTCCAATATTCTGTTGAATGCAATATCATCCAAGGACTTGTGGGAATTGCATGGCGCGTGATGATCATATTTCTGTCATCCCGGTAATAACACCTCCTTTTCCACAAGTAGATTCTCTCCACTGGAACAAGAAGCATAAACCGAGTATCTCAATTTATTCTCCATTCGGCCTTGAAGATTTACTTCGGAGGCGACATTGAAAGTCCGGATGCGATCCTGTGCAGCAGGAATACGCCCTGGTCTAGCTAACCAGTCATCAACAGTTCCGGACTCGGGGGAGATTGAGAACGAAGATTCCTCCAGGGAAATAATTATAGCAATGATCTGGACGACAGGCAAACACATGCATAGACCCTGTACTGGCGGGGCTTCCTGCAGAAACCTCAGGGCCTGGCGACGCAAATGAGGGAATCGACTTTTTAGGGCTGTGATGAAGAGCGGGAGAAAAACGCCCATTTCGAACATGAAGTATGGCTGGCTGCCATCCAAGTTGCGGGTTTCATTGATAGCTTTAGGGGCATATTCCAGGATCTGGGTGAATTGGTATTCGTACGCATCGTAGGTCATTTCATCGGTAATGAGAGATGCTTTTGTTTCGATCAAGATGCTGATGTACGTCATGAGGAGAAGAGAAGTAAAGCCGTCAATATCGTTTGCATCTGGGTAGAGATTTATATGCCGTGTCGATATCAATGTCATAAAAGACGCGTACCAGGAATTTAGGCGCTGTTCTAGAACTTCCTGTCGCACTAAAAGTGCAGCGAGGTCATGGATTTCGGCGTTGAAGGCTGTGAATTGGGACTTGATATTGGTGTTAAGATTTTTCCATTCCGCAACCAAGCCCAGAAGTCTATTCCTCGCCTCATTGATGGTGGCACATGGTTCTCTCTGGATTATCTGGTCCAGAGGCACGGCGTCGGACAATTTACCATCTGTCGTGATCAAAAAATGGGTCCCCAATCTTCGAAAAATTGGGATGATAGTAGTCATCAACAGCTCAGAGCCTGTGACAGAGGCCATGCATGTGGTACTGGCCAATAATCGCGCACCATTCGTATATAAGATGACTGCGGCTGATTTATTGCCCTGCAATAATTCAATAGCAATAAAAAGCACACAGCTGATCATCGATATGGTGAGATCGGCAACGCCTCTATTGATTCGCCGCTGTAAAGCTGCAAGGGAGCGTGAATACCATACCAAAGCTTCTTCGTGATAACCATGGCGCACATTAGCTGGATTATTGAGCAGGGATAATGGGTTGGAGTCGCAAATAGGCGGCCTCTCATATAGCGCACTCAGTGAAATTACTGCATCCCACACTGCAGGCTCAAGCCGACAGATCTGCAGAACGGATCCGCTCCAAAAGTTGAGATCTAAGGCCCCGGCAAGCGCAGGCCCTGCCCGGTGAAAGTAATAATCAAATGCCCGGCGCTCACGCTGCCCAGAGTGAGATTGCGGATACGACATGACCAGTGCTGGGCGGAGCGACAATGCGTTGTAAGCACATTGTCGGCCTGTGCTAGTGCATCTTGCACAGTGAGGTTTTTCTTCTCCGCATCTGATCCGACGAATTCTGGATAGGGTCAGCGCTTTCTCCGGACGGCAATGAGCCTCACTCAGTGGCCTAAGATCAGACTGACTTGCACGTATTGCATCCCGTTTTTGACTTTCTGCTCCCAATGCGACCAGACCTCCGGGATGGGGGCATGGCTAGCATGTCTGTCACCCAATCAGTATCGTGGAAGTTGAGTCTCAGCTCATGATGGGAGATCTGTTTGCCGAAAGGGGCCCGAACGGCGAATCAGAATGCCGACAGTCGTCATGATATTGACACCTCAGGCACCAAGCCATGACCCCTAGATCTCTCGCGTATTCTGACCCGCGGCGTTTTTAGCTATTACAAACATTCGAGAAATGTCGCATTACACGGCGTTGACGGTGTTGCTGGGTATAGTCCCACTGGTGGTGATCTATTTGTGGAAAACAGTCACATACTACCGAACAAAGCAATATGCACATCTACCCCAGCTTCCACCATCATTAGTATGGGGTCATTTGGCCGCTATTGGTAAACTGAAGAACACTCACAGACTTAATGACCATGTTGGTAGGGAGTCTTGTCAATTTCATCGGATGCCGCACGTCTGACTGGCAACTAGACGAACTCTTCAAGGACATGCACGATCAACTAGGAAACCCTCCTCTTTTTATTGCAGATTTCCGACCCATAACTCACGTTATGTGTGTCATTTGCAATCATGAAGTCGCAGAGCAGGTTTCCAAAAGCTCCAAGCTTTTCCAGTACAGTACTCCAAAGTCGCCCACAATTCGATGGTTCCAAGACCTGTTCGGCGCGAACTCCATCCTTGTTGCAGAAGTAAGTTGATCCCGTCAGCAAAAAGAGGAATGATCTAAACAATATACAGAATGAAGAATGGAAAGGACTACGCAAGCAGTTCAATCCAGGATTCTCCCACAAGCATCTCATGAGTTTGATGCCTTGTATTCTCGACAAGACCCAGCTTTTCCTAGAGCGTCTTGACCATTTAGCCACGACTGGAGAGGAATTTTCTCTTGATGATCTGTGTACAAACCTGACATTCGACATCATTGGTGAATAGTCTTACTCTCCGCTCAGAAATGCATCCTCTAACACTCTTTACAGGCGCGGTCACCATGGATACCAACATGGATGCTCAACTCGGAGAAGAAAAGCAAGGCGAACTGGTTCGACTCTACCGTGAACTGGGCTACAGCTATCGCCCTGATAATGGCAGATGGAAAATTCTACTTGCCTTCCAGAGACGTTCATTGGGTCGTCGAGTCGATAGTCTCATTCAAGCGATTATCAAAGAGAAATTTGAGGAGGAATCCAATCCTGAAAAGTCTTCTCGCAGTGTGCTCGCTCTCGGTCTGGCAGAGCACCCGAAATTGACGCCAGAAATCCTCAACCAGACCTGTGATCAACTCAAAACTTTCTTATTTGCTGGTCACGACACGACCAGTATTGTGCTCCAGTGGTCATTTTATCAATTGAGTCGCACTCCCCGGGTCTTACGCCTCGTTTGCCTCGAGTTGAATGAAGTCTTCGGAGCCGATAGTTCGACATCTGCTGTTCGAGCCAAAATTCTGGAACGTGGAGAGGAGCTTCTTCAGAAACTGACCTATACTTCCGCGGTGATAAAGGAGATCCTTCGCTTGTTCCCACCAGCTGCCACAGCGCGTTCGTCGCCTGCAAACAGCGGGATGGTCGTTCAGTTGCCGAATGGAGAAGAACTCAATCTAGATGGAACAATTATATATCACTGTCATAGTATCATACAGCGCGACAAGAGCGTGTATGGTGATGACAGAAACGATTTCATCCCCGAGCGTTGGCTGAGAGACGCTAAAGATAACGCTCCCATCCCGCCAAGTGCATGGCGACCTTTTGAGCGAGGGCCACGCAATTGTATTGGACAGGAACTTGCAAATATCGAGGCACTGGTTATTCTTGCCTGTGCTGTTCGCCGATATGATTGGAAGAAGGTAGGGCTTGGGGCCTTCAAATATGATGATTCGGGGGCACCGATCATGAAAGAAAACGGGCAACATGATGTCCATTCAGAGCTATACAGTGTAAGTGCTCGAAGTTCTTTCGATGCGGCGTTCATTTACTGACAATCGTTAGACGTTGGAGATTACCGCGAAGATTGTCGACGGCATGAAGATGCGCGTCAAATTGGCCAACTCGGTATGATTGCAGATGTTTTATGATTTAGTATACATGTTTTGGTTTGCTTGGTTAGGTGGTGGGTTTTTGCTATTTCAGCTGAAGTTCACGGCGGACAACAATTTAGTTAGGGTCCCAATAGGTACGGTACCATTGTGAAAATTTTGTGACTGGACTTCTGTAATCTTCCACCTTTCGCATCTCGAGGAGATTCGATCAACAGTATTTTTGTTATTAATCTCGTCTGAGTTTCGGTATCTCTTAGATACCATGTTGGTGGGCGCTTTGTCTGCTGCTACTAGCTTCAAATTTGAATGCATTCACGACAATATAAAGAGTCGACGTGTTATATGCAATGCAACTTAGACATGCTGCATAGAAATATGAAGATCAGCTAAAGAATCACAGTATCTAGTTCCATTTTCTAGCGTACGGCGGGTCACGAAAGGCATTATCGGGTCACATTCCTTTTTTGAACGCTGTACATAGCATTTGCAACACTGTGTTATTCCGATATCTACTAGGCTCTGCAACGTGTAAAGTGGCTGCGTCTGTTCACACCGATCATCTATCAACACTCACCGTGTTTTAGTAGGGATTCTCTGTCTCCGAATCCCCCGAGAAGTGAATCTCCATCTGCTAAGAATTGCCAATCTTGGTGTTTAAAGTCTGGTAGACACCATTGCGGTGAATAGACATTTTTCAGTCTTATGATAAATTGCTCCTCATCTTGGTTATTCTGAGCCTACAGAGAGCTCGCAGCAACGATTATCAGTTTCCAAACTCGACGAAATGTCTATCATCCCTTTGGGCTTCGTTCTAGCGTTATTCTTCGACTACGTGCGATGCTTTATCTTTAACATGGTCTTGACTCGCTAGAAGCAGGAGTACCAATATGGTCGATTCAGCCACAAGCGATGAGAAAGTGAGGGAAGTGGAATCTCCACAGGTATATCTACAGGATCAGGCCGCAGCAAAGCTTCAAACAATGGAGCCAGTCAGCATTTCGTTCAAGTACGCTCTTTCCAGTCTCTATTGCAACAAATTCGCTTCGTCATCGTCATGCCCAGACACAAAATCTACGAGCATCACTCGCGTCATCAATACCGCGCAAAGATCTCCAGAGCAATCATTAGTGTACATTCCGGATTTATTCTCATCCATCATGGCTAGTCAGCCAATCGTGAACTCGAAATACCAGGATTTCAAAATACAAGCTGATGCTTGGATTGCTGAGTTTGTTTTAGCTTCCCTCCCTGTTCCCGAACAGGCTAGGTATAGCCTTTTGATTTAAATGTGGATATGAAACCCACGAATCATTTAGAATCATTGGCGCTGATGAAAAGTGGACTTAAAGAAATGTCCTCGTCCATCTTGCCTACTTGGCAGCTACTTGGGCACCTCGTTGCGACGAGGAGGCTCTCCGAGTGATGATAGACTGGAACCATTGGGTAGGCATCTCGTATTCAGAGGTTAAGATCGTTACTTTCAATTATAATACTAATATGGAAATCATGTGTGCCCTGGGAGGTTCTTTGCTGCCAGCGAGATCAAGCCCCTTAGGTTTCATATTCTCTTGACCTATGATATGAAGCTGGCTCCGGGTGGTTCTCCTCAGTTTCGCGGCATTGGGTTTTCTACTATCGTTGATCAAGCGTGGCAGGTTTTAATCAGGCGTCGAAAGGAGATTCAACTGCCCGAATAATTAATGAGGGACGGCCGTTTGATGGCTAAGGCGTGGAATTTTTATAAAATATTAGCATCATGCCTCAATGACCGAAAGAGCTAGAGAAGATGATCTGGTTGTCTCTCGGGTTACTACATCAAATATAGTGAACTGCTCCACTGATGTCGCGTAATACACACATAGAATACTCAAGCTGTAGTTGTTTTTTGAAACCAAATAGTTTTCACCTAACCCCATGGGCGAGATGTTAACTTGCATACAAAAAGTCACGGCGACTCCGAGGTGGCTTGTCGCTTGATTCAGCCGTATGATGGTTCTTGTTGAAGATAATCACACAGAAGATCGCACTGACCTTTCGATACTATGACGCCTGGAATGTACCCTTAATCCAATAGTCCAAGGATCATTTGCAGGTTGCAGCGACGCCTACCGGTGAAGACCCAAAGTACTTAAGTAGCAACACTGTCGATCAAACATAGTAACACGTGACCCGGCAGGACCAGTCTATTTTATTCGAGAAATAGGTACAATTAAAAGTCTCTCTTGCGGTTCTCAAGGATGGGTAAAAGCTGAGTATAAAGTTGCCTCGTGAGCCAGTATACGAGAACTGCGAGCTCTCGCCACCAAGATCTGCATAGCCAAGCCCGGATCAATCACACCTCACCGACTCTCCTTACGCCAAGAATTGAATTCCAGCCGAGATGTGGAGAGGCTGAGTGAAACATCGTCACTGGAATTGTGCAGACTGGGGATGAGCTGCTGCTAAATTTAGGGTGTGTTTCTTCAATAGCCGTATGATTCCGGTTCATTATATATGACCATGCTCCCTCTCCATGCAAATCAATATTCCTCTTCTTTTGCCCAATACTACTACACACTTGACTGATTGTTTCCCCGGCAAGCTCAAAGCCAAAATGAAGTTCACAATTCCCATTCTCGCCTCTCTAGTGGCAACCAGCACCGCCCTCTTCGACAAGAACCAGCGTACGAACAAACCCCAACAACCTCCCAATCAACCCCAATGTAACTAACCAAGTCACTTGACATTCAGCATGGGGTAAACGCGACTACCCCTGCATCAATGTTTACCAAGGAATCCCGGATAACTCAACCGTCAGCCCGGGCCAAACAGTACACGTTCGCTTCAACCGCAAGCCCACAGGACGCTGTCTGGACCCATTGAACCAATACCCGGGCGACGACTACAGTGTCTGGCTGTATAACAACCCAGTTCGCGTGCCGAACTCCGTCAACTTCGATCAGTCGGTTAAGATCGCTACTGGTATCAAGGAAAAGGCTGGTGTGGTGGATGTTGTCATTCCTAAGAATTTGCCGCATGTTAATGATGGCTCGGTTTGGTATTTGAGGGTTCAGACTGGGTTGTCCACTGCTCCACAGGTTGGTTTTCCTTTTTGTGATTCGGTTGGTGGATTATGCTAACCTTTTGTTGTAGATGCCTACTTTGTTCAATGCTGCTGGGCCCTTTACCATTACCAAGGCTTAGATGCTATAGTATCAAGGTAGTGAGCCATGGCTCAAGTTCTGAATGAAAATATATAGCCTTAACCAAAGAAGATGCATTTGAGAAAAAAAAAAGAAAGAAAGAAAAATCAAAGTACAAAAACAGTCCAAAAAGGAAAGTACTAGAAGTAAAAGAAGGCGAAGAGGCTGATAGGATGTGGAAGCGATTGAAGGAGTCGGAAAAATTTGTCAAGTAATTTACTGTTCTAGAATCACTTATTTCACACCCAGCGAGGAATTAAACTCAGCTTCAAGTATGTTCAAAGAATCAAAAGTATTTTCATTAAGCTTCTGGCCTCGCAGAGGATCAAGCACGAAGGTAAGAGACAAAGCCTGTCAGAGAACTGAATCCTGACCATCTAGTCTCGGACAAGATAGCCATGCAATATGCCATAATGACATCAAACCATTAAAGCGAAACTCAGCTCAGTCACGATATGAAACACTAAAGACCTTGTATCCCCCCGCCCCACTCATAGGCCCCTGAGCATTGATATCGACATACTGCCCCTGATCAAGCTGTTGAATAGAATGATCCCGATTACTGCCATTGAACGAAAATCGCACCTGGGCGGCATTTGCGCCCTGATCATGAGGCAGCATGGCATTTTTGGCACCAAGCCATCTTCCATCTAGAGCACTGGACAAGGTGAATATCTGGCTTTCCTCGTCTTGTGTGTAGTGGATGATCCACCGCTGAGACTTGGCGTTGTGGTTGGAGGTTGCTGGGGTGGTGGTGAGGGACTGGCCGTTTCCTGGGTTGGTAAGGGCTGCTCCGTTCTGCTCGAAGACTAAGTAGCGGCCTTCGGTTAGGTAGCCGACTACTTCTTTGAAGCCTTCTTCAAACCAGAGAGCGTTTGTGTCGGTTTCATTGTCTTGCGCTCCGTATGGAACTGGAGGGCGGGTTTGGGAATGACGGGATTGGCAGTTTGAGGTGCCGGTGTAGCCGCCGTTGGAGTTGGTGTCTGGTGTTTGAGCATCTGGCAGGGCTGGGAGGGAGTAATCCGGGTTCTCAAAGTCGAAGGCATTCACAAGATTGGACATGTGTTCACGGCGCCAGGATACCATCTGGTCGGTCTGGATATTCTTGTAGCCTCGGGCTGCTAGCCACTCTTCAACGAACAGGATTTGGGAGTTGTGGTCTGCTCGCTCGGTGAAGATACGGTTTCCTCGTGTCCAGGGGGAAATCATATAGAAGGGAACTCGGAAGCCAGGTCCTGAGAAGATGTCTGAGAAAAGACCCAGTGGATCCTTCATCCATTCTCCGGGTGTATTCGCAGGAGAGTGGAATGGAGTGACATGGTCACCAAAGCCACCAGTCTCATCATAGCTGATCATCAAGAGGGTCGAGTTGTACTTGGGACTATTGGTTACCGCATCGACAACCTTCTTCTGTAACCAGGCTCCATCTTTTGGCATGTAGGGCGGGTGTTCAGACAGCTCGGCTGGACCAACGATGAAACTGACCTCAGGCAGAGTACCATTGGCAGCTCTCTGGTAGAATGCATCGAGAGACACAAATGACATGCCTTTCTGGTTGAGAGGGCTGTTCTTGGAGGCATTTTGGAACTGCTGGAACCACGCCAAAGGATTATCGTCGAAGTTGTTGGTATCTTGGAATAGCTGCCAAGAGACTCCTGCTTCTTCGTAGAACTCATAAACGGTCTTCCACTTGAGCGGATAGCAGTTGATACCATTATCATCGCAGCCTGTGAAGTAGGTTAGCTAATGATACGTGCCATCAGAATCAAAAGGTGAATTGTACCAGGGACTTCATTGTTGTCAATATATACACCACCTTGATCCTTGGACTGAGGGCTACCAGGCACATTGATAGAACCACTGACAAGGGTGACCCGATTAGGGTTTGTGGCAGTGATTTGACTTTCCTGCGTTCATAGGTAAGCCTCAACATCAATTCAAGTCCCTTCCAATCCATACCTGGTACATATCACCTGAAGTCCAACCTTCGGCAATGGCAAACTGAACAGGAATATCTTGACGCTTGAGATGACCCCAGCTCCAGGGTGTGTTCTTGGTCACCCAGTGGTTATTGGAACCGTTGTTCAGGGACCCCTGGTTTTCCTGGTAGCCATTACTGCCAGCAGTCATGCACTGAATGGCATCGCTCCAGTCACCACCTTTGTAGCCCAAGTACCAAGGGAGCAGAGTTTTGGTACTATTAGACTGGCTGGGATCGACAAGTCTGGGAACTGTTAGGGGTACTCTGAGCGATGTTGCACCAACACTCACTGGTGCCACACTGAGTTTCCATCGGGGTTGACCTGAATATTAGGGTCATTGAATCCACGAACTCCGGCCATAGTACCGAAGTACTGGAAGCGTCAGTTAGCACAGCTCACCTGCTCAGTCTTGCAAGGGAATAACATACACTATCCCAGGAACGGTTCTCCTGCATGAAGATGACTACATGCTCAATATCCTTCAAAGACCCAGCAGTCACAGTGCTGCTCCCTAGCAGCACCGCCAAAGTGATACATCCAAGTAGCTTGGAAGTCATAATGATAGTGAGGAAGTAATGGATGACCGAAAGGAAGAAGAGACCAACAACTTTATGTACCTAGATGTATGCCCCCACATCAAGTGAGACTGCGTTGCACCAGACCTCGGAGCTCTTTAATCGCTATATTAAAAGTTGCATCTGCTCCATAGTACTAGAACTCGAAGAGGAAGCCCGAGTCGGCAGTCAGCGATCAGAGTCAGAGCGCAGGGATGGGCTGGCATTCCAGCGACGATCACCGCTGCATAAGCGATGTAGTATGTGGGTTTGTGCGGAGAAGTATACAAGAAGAATGCGAATGAATCCTTGAGTGAAGAATCCGATATTCGACTTGATTTGATATTCAACAAACATTGTGCCTGGTGATCGGCCAATGTGATCTAGTTAGGGCTCCACGTGAAGCAGTGGGCGGGAAACGGCAACGCTAAGTCGAAGCAGACCTTCGGCACGAACAGCGAAAGTTTACTTGTGGTATAGTCTCTTTGCGATTCATAATTGCGATTATCTGATTGCTTGCTTCATGCACGTGGTTGCATGTGTTTCTGTAAGGTCGCAGTTTTGATTCAGAGGTGCTTTCTCCCCTTCCCAGCAAGGGTGGCATGAGATCACGGCCCGGACTTATCGGGGCTCCGATCATTCTTCAACCTTCATACTGAGATCAAAATGACTTGGCTTAATTTTTCTCTTGTATCATGAGAGGCAGAGCACTAGGACAGTCGGAGGACTGTCTGTACTCCCATCTAGAGCAACCTGAACCTCAGATGCCAAAGCAGGTCCGGCCATGGCCGATCGTGACTTGGTCTTTGGTCGCATGTCTCTTGATTGGGCTTTCATACCTACTCCAATCAACTGAGCTCTCATCTGCGTCCTTAGTCCTGTCTGGAAAGCACCATCCAAGCCCGCACATAAACGGGGAAACCGCAATACGCCCAGGATGGGAACTTCATCCCCAGGATCATGTGTACCGAGAGCCAGTGACACACTTTCTGGACTGGAATATTACAGCGGATTACCGCAGGCCGGATGGTGTACTGAAGCGGGTCTATCTCATTAATGGTGAGTGTGTAGGTGGGGGTGAAGTTGTGTTTTGGGCTAACCGGAGGATATTGAATTAGACTCATTTCCTGGCCCAACGGTTGAGCTCCGCTCAGGGGATACGTTGGTTGTCACTGTTGAGAATGGGTTGATAGAGGAGCCAGTATCGATTCATTGGCATGGTCTTCATGTTGCCAGTACGTACTTGCTGGGTGGGATGCAGTTTAGGGCTAACACGCGCAGATTCAATGGATGGAGCTGCCGGAGTTTCTCAATCCCCAATTTCTCCCGGAAGTCGATTTGTATACAATTTGACTATTCCATCCGATCAAAGTGGTACTTTTTGGTATCATGCTCATTCAGGAGTTGGGCGAGCCGACGGTCTCTATGGTGGACTAATTGTTCATACGCCGGCATCGAAATCAACTGTTCGAGGCTTGATAGCCGAAAAGAACAACAATGTGCAGTCATTTGATTATGACAAAGAACTTCTGTTGCTGATCGGAGATTGGTACCATCGGCCTGCAACTGAGGTTCTTGAGTGGTACATGGACCCTGGGAACTTTGGCAATGAGGTATGGCATGGGACAATTCAGCCGTATTGATCGATTGATTTACTAATATGGAATTGTGCCAGCCTGTTCCTGATTCACTATTAATAAATGGACTGGGTCGTTTCTACTGTAACATGGCTGTTCCTGCCCGGTCGGTGGATTGCGTTGAGGGCTTGAATTCGTCTATCGTCAACCTCGATCCGGATCTCACATATAGAATAAGAGTTGCAAATACTGGGTATGAATATCTATTTAGTTTCAGTGCTGGAAAAGTGGCTGACAAGTTTCTAGCGCGCTTGCTGGGTTCACACTCTCCTTCAGCCATCATGCCCTGGATCTGATACAGGTTGATAGTGTCGACGTACAGCGTTCCCAGCAGCAAAATATCAATTCAGCTGGAATACTGTATCCGGGACAGCGTATGGACTTTGTTCTTCGTCCTTCTTCGCTAAGTGCTGAGAAGGAATCGTACTTGAGTGTTCAATTGGATCAAGAGTATGCGCACCCCACAGAACAAACCACGAACATTCTGCTTACAATTTAACAGCTGTTTCAAATATGCCAATCCGGCATTGACTCCTAATCAAGCATTTCCAATCAGCTACCATCCATCTTCAACTCCCAAGACCAACTCACAGCAACCAGTCACTACCAAACACCTCGACATCCAACAAGTTCCGTCCGCGCCCTCCATCCTCAACAAGCTTCCACAAGAAGCAGATCAAACCCACATAATCTACAGCAAGATCCAAAAAATGGCCCGCTATTCCAACAAACCATTCGGCTACATCAACCAAACAACCTGGAAACCACAAGCGGACCCACCAGTCCCATTGATATCCTTACCCCGTACGAAATGGGATAAGAATCAGTTCTCTATTAATACAGGCCCAGAGCCTGTATGGGTTGATCTAGTAATCAATAATCTAGACGAAGGATCACATCCTTTCCATCTGGTAAGACGAACATTCCCTCATCTCCGTATCTACGCATACTTTCACTGTTACCATATACTATACGATGAACTAACAATCCATACCCAAGCACGGTCATCACTTCTTCATATTGGCAGTATACCAAGCAACGTCTGGCTGGGGTTCCTTCAACCCCTTCACAGACAAAACACCGCCACACGTAGATGCAGAGCTGGAACGTGATTTGGATCCAAACACAAACACAAGAACATCATCGTCATCGTCATCGTCATCATCATCAAGTCCGTACGACCTATCTCGCGCTGCACTACGTGATACAGTCAATATCCCGAGTCGCGGGTATGCCGTGATCCGCTTCCGGGCTGAGAATGTTGGGATCTGGTTGTTACATTGTCATGTCATTTGGCATTCTGTTACTGGGATGGCTATGTTGATTGATATACCTGGCTACTCTTGAACATGAGACTATCAAATGACATGGTTCGATGAAGAGTGTCTTGATGAACAATCCCATAGGCAATTAGAAGCCTTAGGACATTTTACAGCAACTATGTTAGGGCATCCCACATTAACGTTGACTTATCATGCACACATACTTGTGTGAACACTAAGCTATTTGAAGGAACTCAAGTTTGCATAGTGATATCATATTTCGGAGTGAGACATACGTATACCAAGCTTAACATTATAGTCAAGAACAATCTAGGATCAAGTATACACGTATGCATATTCTGGGTGCAGCGAGCGCGAATAACTAACAATGCCAACAACGAGCCAAAGAGAGAACGCCAGAGGTATTACAAAAACTGTACAAGGGAGAGGAGCTGTCGTATATACAGCCCTATGGAAACCGAAAAAGACCAGCTTTGCCGTTCAGGATCAGACACAAAAAGAGAGAATATGAGGTGTGTAATTTACGCAGATGCGCCCGCCCACTCGACGACTTCCAAAGCGCACATGACGAGAACGAGGGTTGATGGGAGGATCCTATACAGCGAAAGGAGGTTAGTACAAACTTGAAGAACAAGCAGGCCAGTGAAATCCTGGAGTAGAGCTGACTTACCAAACAACGTAGCTCTGGAAAAGAAGCTTCGACATCGCCCCAACATAGACATTATTGATCTGACAAATCTGGGCCAATTGCAACGCCGACGGCGCACCAGTAAGCAAGAAGCAGACAATGACGAAGATTGGATCGTCGAGAATACTGATCGGCACAAACTTAGCCGTAAGCGCCAAAAGCGGTGCCATGATAATAGTTGGCATCAACATGCGCGCCACCAGAGAGGCGATAATGAGCTTGCGCTCTTCACGGGGATGTTCCATATCCTCAAGCGCCTCTTCAGGAAGGGTATTCCGCGCCAAGTTCGCGCCAAGAACGACTAAGATGAGCGGCACGGCAACCTGTCCGTTCTGGTCGATTGCACGGGTTACCGAGTTGCGGACGAAGGTGCCGTCGTCGAAGAAGAGGCGCTGTAGGGCAGGTACCGAAGCGACGATTATCGACACTAGCATCGCCCACAAGGGTGGGTTCATGAAGTCCCATAGGCCATTCATGAAGCGGCGTGTGCCGCGGTTGGTTGAAGAAATGCCCTTCTGGAGCTTGGGAGGAAGACGTGCCTGGAGGGCATTCGTCTTCTTTTCCCACCAGCGCCCATGGCGTTCTCGCAATTTGCGCAGGGATAACGTGAAGCGCTGAACCCTAGTTCGCTCCGCCTCTTGGGCTTCCCGGGCTGTGACTTCAACATCGGGGAAGTGAAGAATATCACCCCGGGAACTTTGTCGCGGGAGGAAGGGACCGATTGGTGGTGGTCCGATTACGGATGGGGTATCATCCGAATCTGGGCCGTCGGAGTGGGCGGAGGATAGCTTGGAGTAGGAATATGTGCGTGTTGACACTGGCGTTTGGTCTCCGGATTGGAAGTCATGCGAGCTGTGCGCGTGATGCGCATTGGGTAGATCGTCTGAACTGCGCGTCCGGACGAGCGGTTCGTCTGGGTCGGTTTGAACTGGGTTGTCGGTGTAGCGCGCCTGGCCCTGCTCGATGACCGAGTTGTCTGTCTCTTCGCGCTCTGCTTCCTCTAGGTATCGGTCCTTTGGGGCGAGAAGAATATGGTACCCCCAGCTCCAGCGCACGAGTTGGCCTAGTTGTTGGAAGATAAGGAGATAGAGAATTCCACGCGCGGCGACTTCGTCATCGTTGTCGTTTGGGATCTGGTCCCAGTGAAGACCTTTCAAAGTTGCCGAGAGTGACACGACAAGGGAGATTGGGAGGGAGTTCGAGTTGCCGAAGACCTTTTACACAGCTTATCAGTAACGCGTCTAGCATGAGATTGTATTTCCAAGGAACATACCGCCATGGCAGCCACAAAATTGGACTGGCGCTTCTTGAAACCACAGCATTTTGTGACAATCCAGGAACAGAAGTATGACACGAAGGTCTGGACAATAAAGATGACGGGAATGATAGCCAGGTCGGTTAGCTTCTCGGCGGTCAATTGCGATCCCAATTTTGTGAAAACTGCCACTGTCAGCTCTGCCGATCACAAGACATATCTCCTTTTCGGGAACAGCTTCAGGCACAGGATTTCATACTCAGACAAGGCGTAAACAGAGTCACGTTGAGATTCGCCACAAGCTTCTGGGCATCGGCATCGAATAACCCCTGGCGGGCGGCAATATAGCCGGGCAAACTGACACAGACAACTTCCAATACGGCTTCAAACACGAGCAGCACTAGGTGGAAAAACGAGGGGTGACTGGAGTGGGCTCCTTCTGAGAAGAAGCCGTTGATGCCCATCGGGGCTTGGATGGCATTGACATTCTGAAATGACCGCGGCGAGTTAAAGATGGCCATTTGACGAAAAGATGAGGATGAAGAAGGGAAGGAAGAAGGAGGTCTGACGACATTCTTGTAAATCTTGGCAATCTCGCCCACGTTGATAGTTCCTTGGATAGAGAGCTCCGGCTCCACCAGAGTGGCTGAGAGTAGGCATTGTTATTCCAACCTACGTGATACGATGTGATACGGTGTGAGACGCAGGCAAGGGGTTTAACAGGGTATGGTGGTGGTCTGAAACCCAATAAGACTATACATTCAGATCAACTGGCACCAAGACAGAGACCCCAAAGAGCCCAAAGACTGACCTCAAAGACTCCCAAAACAAGTCAAAACTGAGAGGCAAAATGCCAAGCCTGGTCTGTGCGCCGATAAGAGATCAGCCAATCGAAGTATACAAAAGTCGGAGTCGAGGGAACAGCAGTTCCTTGTATAAGATTACTAGTTTTGACCTGCTATCCAGGCTGTATAATACATTGGCTTCTCAGCGGACAACACTCAAACTTCCACATGACCCAACTTCTCGCCCATCTTGATGCGTTGACCCTTTTCAATATTCCACTTCCACCCATCGGTCTGCGCATCATCCGGCCGGCCAGCGTCTACGGACTGGTGGGAACCAAGGGGGGCCTCGAAGACAAGAACAATCGAGCTGCCAAGCTGGAATCCACCCATTTCCTCGCCGCGCTGCAGCGGATGTCCGCCAAGAGTCTCGCTGGCATGACGGTAGGTTGCTTCAACAAAACCGGGATACTGCTCACCCCGCTTGGACGCCAAGGCGGCTGCCAAGTCGGCGGCCGTGTCGGTTAACAGGCTGTTAGTGCGCAGCTCCGAATCAAAGTTGATTTTGATCGACCCGACATTGGTGGCTCCGACCGGTGTGTAACTGAAGAATCCCCATCGCCACCGCCCAAGAAGAGCAACACGCTCATTGAGGGTAAACAGGCCGGGGAGATGCTTTTGCAGATAGGGCGAGACGGAGTATAACTCGCCGGCGAAGTGGCGGCGGCTTTCGACGACCCAAGGAGCTGGAGAGTGGAAGCGGTGGTAGTCACCGGGAGCCAGGTAGATCACAACATAGAACAAGGCGTGGTTGGCGGCGGTGCGTGGCGAGTACCAAGGGGTTCCCTCACCCCGAGCCAGCTCCTCTTGCACTTGGATTTCGGATGTGGCCTTGGATGCAGTAGAGGCGTCCAGGGAAGCACGTCGCTTGGGAGGAGCTTCTGATTCTCCAGATAAAAGGCTGGGAAGTGTGTAAGAAATGCCATTCATGCGAGCAAACTCCTCATGCGCTGACATATTCTCCGAATCCTTTTGTGTTTCTTCAGTGTCCTTGTCCGTGAGTCGCTTTGTGTGGTCAGCATGCGCGGGGGTTGCGGAACCCAGGAGAGCATCCAGGCTATAGGTCATTCCCTTCACTTGTTCGACTTCACCCCGCTCGATCATTCCGAATTGCAAGATGCGACCATCGGACGGCGCCAGAAGTGCTTGAGGGTCGGGGTCGAGAGGTCGAACACCAGGCTTCAATTTGCGATAAAAGAAGGCAGCCAGATTGGGGTATGTATGCAGATCGGGTTCGGCGACTTCTTCAAGATTGACGCCAAAGGCCCAGGAGTATAGTTTGAATCCAGGAACGCGGAAGTAATAGGGGAGTTCGATTTCGTTGAACTGACCCCAGATTCGAGACATTGCTTTCAGGGGAAGTGTCGACATGATCTGGACATGCCATGGACCGGATGGCACGATCCTCGGCCGAGGTGGTGGTTTTTTGCTTTCATCCCATTCATCTCCAGCGGCATCACGGGCCAGGCGCTCGCGTTCCGCGCGCTGTGACTTGTAGAAGTGCAGCAATCCAAGCAGTCCAATACCAAGTCCGACCGGGATTGGATACCATTCGACTTTGGTATTTCGTAGGGCGAATCGTAGTCGGGAGCCGAATCCGCCTCTGTTGTTGTCAGGGTTATTGTCCTTTTGATATCTCCATGACTTGGATGAGAAGTGCCGAAGACTGGCTTTGTGGCGGGCTGTAGCCCGGAACGAGAATATCTCCATGGCCCCTATGCCAGAAGACGGTAAAGAAGAAAAGAGGCGCTTGGCCATGTTTAATAGAGGCTAAGACCAACTGAGCGCTGAGCGTTTTTTCCCGGGGGGAAGAAGCATCGCCGATTTACCGCCCGGGCAGAATAACCTATGGCACGTGGGATGCGGTGTTTGGCCTCAACTTCGTTGCTCTTTCTGCTCAATTGGCGTTGTGGTATTTCTTGCATCTTTTGCTCTCTTTCCTCGTTCTCTTCTTCGCATCACCCCCACCTTCTTCCTGCTCCCATCTCCCAAACCCTCTCCACCGAGCTTATCGCTTATCGATACATTGATGCCAGATATCACGATCAAGTTCTCTCTCTTCCTCTTGCGCTTGGAGATTTGATACCCTGGGGCTCTCTGTTTGTGAAGAGGCGGATCCCACGTCAGCAACAGAAGACTGTTCTCTCGAAGGATTTCCATCCACCCCTCTTTTCCGCCCCCGGCGCAATCGCAACTTCATGCAACTGCTCCGATAACGCATATCATTCCCCACACGAGCTTCAAGAGACATCTTCCAAAGACTCTCTTACTGCAACTTCCTTTCCCTCACTGAGTCGCACATCGGCGCAGTCATAGCTTCACAGTCCATCTTTGAGCTTACTGCCTCCCGCCAACCATGGCAAACTCATCTCCAAGCACATCTTCATCGGTCGAGTCCACCGCAAACCTCAACATCCTCTGCCAGACGCTGCCTCCTCCTGGAAGATTCCCAATCCGGGATCTGCCTTTGAGCACAACCATCGGCCAGCTTCGGACTCGCATCGCAGAGACCTTCCCTGGTAACCCTCCTTCTTCGACTCAACGCCTCATCTACCAAGGCAGAGCACTCCTTGGTGATAGTGTCACTCTCGGGGACATCCTGCCAGCTGCTAATGTAAGTCTGTTGGTATTTTGACACTTCTTTTGTACCCTGGTTGACCAGCCTATCCTGCAGAACACTTCTTACGCATTCCATCTCGTGCTCCCTCCACCCGAGCCGACTCCTGCGCCAGCTTCAAATGTCTCTGGCTCGCTCCGCCCACGTGAGGCCCGGTCTTTGGGTCCTGGTGCTCCGAGTTTATTCGGCAGCCCTGCGCCCAACACCCCTACATTTGGACAGAACACTCCAGCTAGCTCAGGCATATTCGGCCCTAGCACGGCTCCAACAACTGGCTTAGGTCAGGCAGTAGCTGGTTCGGGTTTGTTTGGAAACCCTCCAACGCAGGCAGCTACTTTGACGTCCAATCGCCCAGCTGGTTCCGGGTTATTTGGTTCTGCTCCAGCCAATGCAAACCCCTTCGGACAAGCCAATCCGGGCCCCGGGTTCGCAGTCAACAATGGAAACCCTACAGCGCAGGCCGCTGCTGCCGCACCCAATCATCCAGCCGGTTCCGGTTTATTTGGCCCTGTCCCAGCCAATACAACCCCCTTCGGGCATGGTAATCTGGGATTCGGAGCGGCACTCAACAATGGGCATCCGTTTGCCAATAACAGAAATTTTTTCAACTCCGCTGGCAATAATACCAATGGTGGTTTCCCAGGCTTCCAAACACGCAGTCCTGAACAGGATACCGACACCCGCTTGCGCCTTGCCCGTTTGCAAGGCCAAATAGAAGAGATTGAACGTCAGCTGGAGCGAAACCTCCTTCCTCACACAATGCAACAAATCATTAACACTCGGACGGAACTTCTGGGACTTCAAGATGACCAATTCAGCAGACGAAATTCGCTACCAGAAGTTGAACGATTGATTACACGCATCCTGAGCGCTTACAGTCGTGCGCGCCAGCTGGAAAGCATGCAACCTCCGGTGGAAGAACCAATTTACAGCCCGTTGCCCAATTGGGGGAACTCTATCTACCTTGCCGTTAGCCCAAATAATTCCCCTGCTCTTATCATGGGCACGCAGATACATAATCACCCCACGAACCCTCTATCATCTACAGCAGAACTCGATCCACCAATTCCTCCCCAGCCTCTCCATCCCGCAGCAATGGCTGAGAACGTGGCTCGCCAGGCAATTCCAAATCGACAGAGAAACGTTATCAATGCCGAACAAGTGGGCTTGGTCCAGCACCTGGGCCGCATCTGGCTATTTGCGCGACTTTGGTTCATCTGCTACTTGACTAGTGAGCCTGGCACATGGAGACGATACATTATGGTTGCCTTTTCCCTGCTGGCCACTTTTCTGTCAGGCACAGAGGCTCCCGGGCAAATACTGAGAGCAGTTGTGACCCCCGCCCTGCATCACCTCGAGGCTTTGGTTCGTGCTGGCGGACCTGCGGATCCGGCCGCTGCTAATGACGCCGAGGCTGAGGTCTTCAGCCTGCGGGATCAATTGCGTCGCCTCGAGCGGTCCGTTGTACTTCTCGTGGCTAGCATTGTACCGGGCTTTGGTGAGCGACAAGTCGAGGCTCACAATGCGGCCGAGGCTGAGGCGGAGCGCGCGCGCCAGCAACAGGTGCAGGCAGAGCAAGAGCGCCAGGCTCAGAATGCCGAGGCTGCGGCCTCTGCAATTCCTGCTGTGGAGGAGGTGCAGGAGGAGGCTCATGCCCCCAATTAGCTCTATTGCGCCAATTTACCATTCTACCGTTTCTTTGTTTGTGTGTTAGCGAAAGCATCTCAGATTTGACTCCTGGGTAGAGGGACTCGTGAGCTTCGTTTTATCTGTTTTCTTCTCTGTTCTGTCAAATAAGATACCAACATAGCCCCATGTCAGATCTCTTCTAACCTGTAGTATTGAATCACTTAACGCTAGATCTGAGAGCGATGTACTGAGATGGTCTTGGTTCAACCTCAGTTGTAAAACCATATAAGCCCTCTGTCTGCAACGAAGATAGGAGAGATCTCAAGAAACTAGATTTGAGCTGCATTACTTCCAAGCTCAGTCTGCCGAGTTAAGAGGCCCGAAACATGCTGAGCTCTCCCTTCAAATAATAGAAACCATGCTCTCCAGATCGTGGAATCGGACTACGTTTCAAGTACATAGTCTGGACAAAACAACAGGCCTCGGCTGCTCATTAACAGCAGCACTGACACTATGCTCATTCCCCAAGGCCATACACTCGTCCTCTAACGCACGCAAATTCCCACATCGAACAATCCTCGCCTGCACCAGTTTCTCCAAGATTACCAACAGCCATACACGGCACGTAACTCCCGGGATACGATTAAGGTCCTCGTCATATGCTCTCACTGTGCGATCAAGCAACGCCAGACTCGTTTCCGGCACAGAAGCGATTTGAATAAGCACACAAAAGAAATTTGACTGGAGGACTGAGTTCGGCCCGTGTTCGGGGACGAATCCTCCTGTCAGACTCGAGATGTGGTATTTCATCCCACTGGTGGAGCTGGTATGCAGGTAGAAGCCCCAGTGGAAGTCATTCGGGCGTGGAGGGTCGGATCGGATCCAGAGGCCGATGTGTAGTGTTCTCAGGGGGATGCTGGCTAACAGGTCGCTTTGCTGGTTTCTGATTATTGCTGCTCGTTCCCTGGCCTCTGTGAGGGTGGAAGTCGCCATGCTGAGCGGTGGGGGAATCTCTGTGCTCTGCTGAGACGAATTGGTATGACGGAATCAAGGAGCTGTCAGAGTAGGTTGTTGAATGTTGCAGGTTCAAAGAATAAAGTGCAGGGGTGCCACACTGTGCTTATGCACCGTCGTAGCCTATCACGGCGAATGTATAGTGGAAGTATCAGAGCAGGAAACCCTCATGTTGACATGACTATTTTAAACACGGATGGAGGTCATATTTTATATTCCATAGCTATAGTTCTCTCTCCGGTGATCTGTATATGAGTCTTTTGCCTCTGAGAGATCCATAAAGACTTCAAGGATTATTTATCTCTCTTTGCCCTATGAATCTCATACTCTCAATCTCAGGATATAAGTTTACTGATCACCCAATTACAACTCAACACCACTAGCTAAGACATCAACCACCCTCTCCTGAAAGTCCACCGCCAAAGCAGGGCCTTCAGTCCCTCTAAAATCCCCCTTCAAACAAGCAAGAACCGCCCGCGTATATCCCGCGCCCATTTCCTTTGGCAATCCCTGCAACGCGAACATCATCAACTCCTCAGCAATCTTCTTCGGCCGGGGCAGTTTCCCATTCGTCTCTGCCTCTTTGATCTTAGGTCCCATCAACCGCGACACCGTAATCCACAATCCAATCTCAAGCAGTACCACCCCGAGTGCATATATATCATGCAGCCGACTAAACTGCTGTGTGGGTCGGCCCTGTCGAGTCGGATGTCGGTAGAAGTTGGGCTCGACTTCAAAGTCGGATCGCATGTCGGTGCCTTGTTGGACGGAGCGTGCGTAGCCCCAGTCGCTGAGGTAGGAGACGATTTTCTTGTCTGGGGTTGGGGCCGAAAGGCGATGCTCGTATAGTCCGGAGGTGCTGACGCCAGTAGAGGTCTCGAGGAAGAGGAGGATTCCTCTGCTCCAGATGTTTTTGTGGACCCAGGCTGAGGCGTGGACGTTGGAGACTGTCAGAGCGAGACTGTGTGCCATGCTGAAGCGGTCGTTAAGAGAGGGTTTCTTCACTGGGCGTTTGTTTGCGCTGTCAATGGCATTGATAAAGGTGTGGAGAGTCGTCAGTGATGCCGGTCCCGTTGGCTCGGATGGGAGTTTATAAAGGAAAACACTGCGCTCTTCAGCGGGTTGATCGATGAAACCGAGGCATTCCAATGCATATATTTTGGGCTGGTCAAGACATTCGGATGAAGCGCTGGAGAAGGTGGTATTTTGAAGCAACCAAGCCAGGTTTCGGATAGGTTCTTTCAGCGCTTTGATCTCTTCTGGTTCATCTTCTTGTCTGAGAAGACTTTCGTATTCGTGGTATTCGACAATCACTTGCGTTTCCTCTGATCCTGAAGGAGACCATTTTCCTAACTGAAACCCTCCTGTGGACTTATCTTCCGCAGTCACTGTTCCGGTCAAGCTTTGATAGTCTGCTGGTGCCTTGGCCTCGGCCAGCATACGTCTTTTGATGACTGGTTCCAAGCCACTGCTTTTCAATCCTTGTTGATCGCCTTCGGCTAGCTTGGCCAATGTGTCTTGCGACATGTGCTGCATGAGATTGCGCAGATCCTCAGACCACTTCGTGTAGGCTTCTAGAATGCGATACAATTTCTTCTTGTCGAAGAGCGACCAGTCATACCCCTTGAGCTTGAGTGATTTGGCTTTGCTCTTCGCCCGGTCGAGCAGCGACTCTTGCTCTTTGGGCTTTTCAGGCTCGATGTTGTACTCTTCATCCACCAGACCGTATTTAGTGGCCATTATCTCATACTCATGAAGCGTCTTTCTCATTTGCACGAGTAGTCCTTCCACCGTTTCAGCGATGAAAGGGTCTACCTTTCCTGGTATCATCAACCCATGCTCCGGATGAAAGAATGTGCGTTTGAAGAATAGAAGGGTCGACAGCTGGACATTCAGCTTAAGACGGATCTCGGCCCGGTCATCATCGAATGCCTTGACGTCGGAGATGACGCCCTGGATGAAAACAGTGACTTGGTACACTTGAGTGATGGCAGTCACTGCCGTGCCATAGAAGTCCATTTTGAAGTCCCAATAGAAACAAAAGGGGAGAAGTGTCAGAAGTCAGACGTGGCGGGGATCAGCAGTCAGCACTAACAGCGGGATAGGTTAGGGCTAATTTTAGAGGCTGAACTACTGCACCTGCACCCACTGCTTATTGTCAGTCCGGCTTTTGTTCCATGAATCTTTGATATTTTTCATTTCTTAATTCAACTTCATCAACTTGTATAAGAAAGTATGGCAGAATATGACGATATTATCAACTCCCTCGAGGATGACAACTACTACTCCATCGATGGAGGCGATCTCTCTCCCTCCTTGCAACCCTGGCCCAACTCCACCGACATTGAGGAACTCGACCTTGAAAGCCTTAACTTATCTTCCGATTCTTCATGGATCGACCCTCTCGAGTCTGCCATCACAGCAACCCGTAACGGCTCAGCTTCAGTCCTCAGCACTCTCTCCCAGTTCACCACCATCCTTTCCCAAACGGGTATTCACGGTCCCCGTCTCTTGAAGGCATTTAACCTCTCTGTCCGAGCGACCAAGATCGGTGCCGGTTCCCAGTTCACTGTTTTCAAAGACCCTCTTTTTGAAGGAGAGGTCATCAAACGCGTTAACGTCCCGCTTTCCAGTCGAGCCGAACAACGATTCGCAGCCAGCACAGACTATCGCCTGCAGCTAAAAACCTTGGAACTTGAGCTTCTATCCCTCTGCAATCCCGTCCTGCGCGCACATCCCAATATCACCAGTCTCTTAGCATGGGGGTTTGACTTCCCGTTTGCAGATCTCGCGGTGCCCGTACTCTTTATGGAAGCAGCGCTCATGCCTTTGGGTGATTTTCTCGCTGCCGAGGAAAGAAATGTCGAGATAAAGTATCAGCTTGCACTTGGCGTGGCAAATGGACTGGAAGCGCTGCACAATCTGAAGATCGTGCATGGAGATGTCAAGCCGGATAATGTGCTTGTCTTTGCCGGTCCAAGTAGCAGCATGCCTTTCCAGGCTAAACTGAGTGATTTCGGCGTTTGTGTTGATCTCGAGACCCCCGAAGGGAGATTTACACTGGATGATTACCGTGGAACGCCAGCTTGGTTGGCCCCTGAGGTCCTGAATGGGGATGTTTCAAACTTTGGAGGGTTTTCCACGGAACTCATGTTTAAATTTGATGCTTATAGCTTTGGGGCTGTGCTATTGTCGATTTTTACAAGCAATGGCGACGCTCCAGCACTGGGCGGTGACTTGGACAAGATTCCTGATCGCATTTCTGCATTACTCAACAATCTGAAAGATGTACCCTCCCTCATTCACATCCAGCTGCGCAAGGCAGTATTGGCTCTATTAAAGGAGGATCCTCGGGACCGACCACTTCCGAGTTCGAATCTTCTAAAGACAGATATGCCAGCATACGCATCCTGGTGAGCTTATTTATTCTTGGTTGGCTACTTTGGCTAACCTATGATTCCAGGCTTTCCTCAATCCAATCTAGTTCCATGGCCACCCATGTTGGAGTCATTGATCCAATCTATAACAAAGGGCCGCTCTTCTGGTACCGACTAGATGAAAGCATCCGCACGGAACTTGAAGAGCAGCATGCGCTCAGCAAAGAAGACAAAGCCCCTCCGTTCGCGGGAGACGTCCTCTTTGGAATCGCTCAGACAATTACTGGGCAAAAGCCGGCCTATCTTGATCGCCTAATCACATATCTAGGTGATGCAGCAAAGGCGGGATTCTCTCCTGCTAGGGCTGTATATGCTCAGGTCATGGAAGCACACGGTCAAACATCAGAATTTCCCCAGGAAACATTGAATGAGTGGATGCTGCAGGCAGTTTCTGAGGGTTTCTTCTTTGCAAAATCTGGTCAGCTTGACAAGAGAGTGGAGGAGGCGAAAGACCTGTTCAGGACAAAAGGCGGATTCTGCTCAGACATATTTTTGGAAAAGAAGGATGTTCAGGCTGCAGTCTCTCAGAACAAGGTGTTGGAGTGGAGGGTGAAGTTTGGTGATGTTATTGACCGCAAAGACAACACAATCTTGCATGCTGCAGCTGCTTTTGGATCTGTGGACGCAGTACAGAGCTTACTGGAAGCACAGATTGAAGTTGACGTGGAGAATAAGAATGGAGAGACACCACTGTACAAAGCATTCCAGGCAGGCCATGCGAAGGTGATTGAGATTCTGCTTGACCATGGTGCAAGTGCATCTTGTCAGACTCGACAGAAGCTCACGCCTCTACATTGGCTTTTGATGATTCCAGACTCTTCAGTTCACCGAATTGCAAAGCGAATGGTTGAGAAAGGAGCCGTTGTAAATGCAGTCATGGAGCCTTTGATCAAGGAGAACAGCGGTGGATTCCCGGAAAAGATCCAAATCCTTCATTAGTATGTCTTGCCTGTCTGTCATAATATCAAGCTAATCTATCAGCCCGTTTGAGCTTCCCTTTGGAACACCGTTCCACTGGGCATGCTTCTTCCGCAATATCACAGCCATGGATACCCTCATATCGCTCGGTGCCAATATCAACGCAGTATATCATGGCTTGGATACATCAACCACTCCACTCGCATTGACGGCATACTTTGGAGAGCCCACCATAGCCAAATACCTCATCTCTCACGGTGCAGACGGTACTCTGGTCGACTCGATGAAACGAAACACATTGCATGGCATCACCAAATACTTTCCCGATCGGCATGGCTACCTACCTCATCACTGGCATTATTGGATTCGCCATGGGGCTTGGGAGAATCATACGGCGCAAATGACAGGTTTGGTCAAAGTCTTGGTTGATGCTGGAGCAGAGATCAACGCCAAAGACAAGGGCTATCCATATCTGACCCCCATCGCAGCAGCCGCCGATCTAGGAGTCTGGGACGGAGGCATGATATGTGCATTGCTGGATGCAGGAGCTGATCTCACTGAATCGTTGCTGTCAGCTGGAGATACAGTTCTCCATTCATGGGTTTCCATCATCGGACCCCGACTGGACTATCCCAATTCATACATTCCGACGTTAAGAAAGATAGTCGACGCCATGCCAGATATCGATATTATCAACAAGTTCGAAGAGGAAACGCCTCTCCATCTATTGACGACGATTTATCATCCGGAAGAGGAATTTGAAACCGCTTGCGATATTCTTTTCAGTCACTCCTCTCCGGCCAACATAAATGCAACGACACGCCGAGGCGAAACACCCCTATCAATAGCCCTAGAAACAAACCTCAATCCCACCCGAAGAGGCCGCTTTGTCTTGGAAAACGGCGCCGACCCACTGATCCTCAAAGACCAAGGGAGAGATATACTCTACTCAATAGTCAACAACGTCGTTCTAACCGATCAAGCCAGCCACGACCTGATCAAGCACTTTCTCACAAGCCTCAATCCAGACATCGAACAAGCCTATAAAACAAACTACCTCCTCAACTCGAAGAGCAACGAAACTCTCTTCGCAGCTGCATCCCGCGGCAAACCACGAACAACCTCCCTCCTCCTAGCCCTCGGTCTGATATCCGCCATTAATAAACCAACAAACGCCAACACACCCTCCAATTCCAAATCCAACCCCCAATTTTGGACACCCCTAGATCAAGCCCTTCACCGCGCCGAACTAAGTCGTCGCTCACACATCCGCAAGCTATCTTCCTACAAAGCCGGCAACGCACGCACACAAGCCCTGGAGTCAAACCTCGTCTATGACGAGCTTCAAGGTCCGCCGTCACGCGCAGCGGAGGCGTATAGGCTTTTTCCAGGGGTAATTCAGATCTTGCGGGAGGCTGGCGCTAAACGGATGTGTGAATTGCAGGGGAGTTCGAAGGGGGATTATATTGAGCAGCCGGGGGAGTGGGATAAGAGTGAGATTTTGGGCTTTGGGTTTACGGCTGATGATCAGCCGAATCGGGAATCCTGGGAGGCTTTGTATGAGTCTGCTAGGTATGGAGATGGGAAGAAGAGCTGGCTGGGGTTGATTACTGGTGGGAGAATTGGTTGAGGTTTTACATTTTAGGTAGGCTTGCCGTTTGGTCATTTTCATGTTCAGGTGTTTAGCCAATATGCCGAATGTATTGATGGTTTATCTTCTAGTTATAAGTTCATGACCATGGACGATGGTATATTCTCAAATGAACAAGACTGACATGCACACCAACCAATAATGCAGTCCTCATAACTTCGTATCAGTCTTACTCGGGGCTGGCTCAGATGCCGGAGCCATAGGACCAGTATCAAAAGATTCCTCGCCATTGAAGTGCCTACAGCAGATATAATCAGCGTCAGCATCGAACCCAAGACGAAAAAAAACAAACAGCCAGGATCAAACTTACCAGCCACGTTCAGCACCCGTACTCAAAAATTTGCAATCCCCATTCGCAACGCAATCCCATCCACCCGCAACACCATTCCCATCCTTCCAATCCGGAATATCGCCGGAGGCGCGAAGGAACCTCGTTCCCTCGGCAAGAGCACTCTCACCATTTGGTCCGTATGAATCACCCTTAACACTGGGCGTCACACTCCCCCTCCTGTTGAACGTACTCAACCCAGCAGTGAAAACATTGAAATCCTCTTCAGAGCTATCGTCGGGCATACGACCGGTCAATGCACGACCCATGGCAATGAGCGGCGCAGCATGCGCGCAGATCAACACTGATTTGCTGGTTCGCTGGTCCAGGGGCAATTCTGCTTCCAGGGCTGTTATCTCAGCGTCGATGTCGGTTATTATTCCCTGTAGGACAGTTGCGACGCGGTTGTGCAGTTGACTGATTGTTTCGCCGCGTCGTGAGGGCATGAGGAGTGGTTTGTACTTTTCCAAACTTGATTCTGAGATCAGGGTTGGAAAGTGGATGCTCATTTCTTTGGGAATTGGGTGTGCGGGGTGGTCGAAGAAGTTTGTTGCGCCGAACCATTCTCTGGTTTGTGTTGGTATACTTCGGTGAATTGTAGAGGATTCTGTGGTATGTACTTACCCTAGTCCATTCTCAATCCTAACATCCAAGTCTGCATGCTTGTCAATCGATCCTGGGCCATTCTGCTGACTATTTCCGGACTGTATAGATATCCTTTTTAATTGCTCGACTGAGGGCTGGATGGTCTGTAGACAGCGGTAGAATGGACTCGAGTATACGCGAAATGGCTTGGGATGGAATTGAGGAGCAGCAATATGTTCTGCCAATTCGTGCGATTGTCGAACGCCGTGTGAGGTCAGCGCAGGGTCTACGGGGTTTCCTGTTGGCGTAGGGAACTGGGCCTTATAGGTGCCAGTGCGGATGTCGATGGTCCAGTTGAGGCGATGCTGTTCAGCTTAGTTTCAGGACTATATTTCAATAAGGTGAGTAGCACGTACACCATGACGGGTCAGGTAGATCGTATCCAAAGGCATTGTGACCGAGATTCTGGAGACTCTGAACGTCGAACTATTGACAACAGTCTTGCGGGGGAAGGGCAGAATACAAGACCCTATCAAGGCGGTGAATTCCAACCTCGGCCCGAAATTTTACGCTTTACGATGTCCAGGAACAGAGGGCAGACCGGAATCACATAGCATTGGAAATACGAGCGCACCATGTACTCTGCAAACTATTGAACAGCTGAATGGGGGTATAATATCCACAGCTACCAGATTACATTCCCAAGATCCCAATAAAACCACGCCATGCAAAACCAGTCAAAGCAAGAACTTTTTCAATTCTTTTTTTTAGACTCCATCTAGTAGAAGAAGCCGAGGAGCTTGCCAGCAACGTGCTTGCGGCGAGCCTCCTCGTGGTCCATGATACCGGCGGAGGTGGTCAGGACAACGTAACCGAACTGACGGGAAGGAAGGAGCTGAGTAGCCCACTTCTCGAGGTCACGGAGCTGGACGGGGTAGCGGGGGTTGATGACACCACACTTGTTGAGGCTGGCATGGAATTAGCATTCACGTTCAAAGCTTTGGTTAGGATGGTGAAGGATACGTACCGGCCGTTAAGCTGGATAACGATCTTGCCGGAGCGGTGGTCATCGACCTCCTCGAACTCGCCGATGTAGCCTGATAGAAAGATGTCAGTATGTTGTGAAAATATAAAAGTCGTCAAATACTGAAAAAAAGCCATAACAGCGCTTTGAAAACGTGTAAGATCTTCACAGATCAATATACCGACTATTTAAAAGGCAGACGTCGTAGGTTGTTGAGACCGGCCGCCTAGTTATCAAGCCGGATGACAAAAAGTATCCATTGACACAAAATAGAACAACACAGGAGAGAACAGCAAAAGAAAAGAAGAAAGGAAGGAAAAGAAAAGACAGAAAGAGATTCAAGACGACTAAAGTCAATGGAACGTACCGTGCTTCTGCATGACAGCAAGGAACTTGACGATGACCTTGGAGGAAGGACGGATGAGGACCTGGCGCTTGCCGGCCTTCTCGGCGTTGTTCATGGCGTTGAGCGCATCGTTGAGGACGGAAGTCTTGACCATTTTGGCGGTGTTGGAATCGAGATTCTCAAATCGAAAAAATTAAAGAAAGATTATGAGGTATCTGTTCGATAAAAACGCAACAGAAAGACCCACCCGACAGGCGAGTTTTTCACATTGCAAAACTAAGTCAGCCACCAGTAGTCCTCGAGCGCAAAGAGTGCCCCTTTTTGCATTGCAAGGAGTTCTTCAGCCCGTGCCGATTTGGAAATTGCGTATCATCATTTCTTTCCTACTGTCTCTGGAACCATCTGTAATTCTCAAAGTCGATCCAGAAATGATGATTGCAACTCCCAGACTAGCTGAGAGGCTGTTTGGGGGGGGGTGGAGTGGTACATACCTCGAAAGACTGTCCGTTGGGTGATGAGGAGAGTGAAGAAATCGTCGAAGTTTGGTTTTCGGGTGGTGCGCCCGTAGGGTTAGTCCGGTGACAGCCCTTATCGTAGATTCAGTCACGTGGCGATAAAGAGGTCGCTTCTGCCTCAGGCGGTATCATGCCTATTAGGGCTGCATCCAGGAGTCTATAACCTCATGCCAACATAATGTCTTCTAATGCTCAATAACTGTGGTTCAATTTGTTGGAGTCCTAGATAAAACATACAACTGCGGAAATCATACAAACAACTACTTGAGTCCTGCTAGCTGATGAGCACATTACCTTGAGCCATCTGCGAATCAATCCACCGACTATTGTTCTATACAAAATTTTCCATGGAAGCATGGGTTGAGGGACGGAGTATACGAGCAAGGAATAGAGGTACTCAGGGATAGCTTTTTTCATGACGAGGACTCTTTTCTGGAGGGGTGACATGATGGGGAAGGGATACATGATTGTGATTGTGATTGCGAGGACAGGAATTGGGGAATTGGTGACGGGAGTACATGAATCTTGGGCTACATGATTCGCAATGCTATAAAATGCGATGGGGTGGGGTCTTGTCTAATTAAAAACAAAGTAGAAAGAGGACGGGTAGGGTTAAAAGGGTTGTGTCAAGAAAAGAAGAAACTTGGACGGGCAAATGGGGAAAGGGGTAACTGGCTTTCATTCGCGCGTGTGTCATAAGGGGAGTAGCACCAGCAAAGGGTCAGGGGAAACAAAGTTCAGGACCAGGGGGGTGGATAAATGCATATCCTGTGCTGGGAGTGGGGAGGGGGAAATTCTGGGAGTGAGATAGCGAACAGCTCACGTATACCAGCATCGAGAGTGCAGGTAGCTTGTCTGCGTACCTCGGCATCGAGAGGCGGGCCTCGAGATGCTGGAAGTACCGCATCAAAGGGTCTGTCACTTTCAACACTTCCGAGTGGAGTGGCAGTCTGCCAGGAGTGAAGCTGTGCTGAACGCCTTGATCAAGATGCTGAGGTGCTTGGGTGGCTTAAGCCATACCAGTGCTCATGTTGATCTGGCGCTTGACCTGCTCACGAGTCCAGCGGGCGGTCTCGATGGTTCGCTCACTATAAGCTCTAGTTGTGCGAGTCTCACGAACGAGAGCAGTGACCCAGTCGTTGCGGAAGTAGGCAGCAAGCTCACCGTTGGGGAACGCATCAGCAAGATCACCAATGACACCCATTGCAGAGCGCATCAGACCCTCACTGCGGTTGCTCTCGGTTGAGATGATGTGAAGGAGCTGGAAGATGGACTCAATGAAGGGCTGCAGCTGAGTGATGGAAGAAGTGCCCTTGTAGGACAGAAGGATTCCACCCCAGGCATCCATGATACCCTCACGGAGAGACACAACGTAGTCAACCATATCGTAGGACTGGTCAGAGCTGGTGGTGACACTGGAGGCCTGCTGGAGAACCTGGCCAACGACAGCCATGTAGGTGTTGAAGTTAGTTCCAATGGCCTGGGCAATATCACCGAAGGTCTCAAGGATTGCAGGCTTCAGCTGGTTGGTCGAAGTCGAGAGGGTCTTAAGGAGCAGGTTCATGAAGTCGTCGCAGTAAGGCTGAACTTTGTCGTTCAGAGCACGGACAATGTCACTAACCAGACCGATGGCCATGGCGCAGAGACCAGGCTCATCCTGGTTGCCGAGAGCGTTGTACAGGATGGGGCTGAAAGATTCCATGTACTTGACGAAGTCATCCTCAAGAGCGCTAGCAATAGCGCCAACGGTGGCGAAGACGACATCGGGGACACTCGACTTAGGGCCAAGGGTCTGGAGGACCTGGAGCAAAATGCTCATAATACGGTCGGCCTGGGGCTTGATCTCAACCTCGAAGCGCTGGACGATGGCCAGAATAACACTAATCAAGCTAGTCTGCATCTCCTCGAGGAGGATTCGATCCTCGGTGCTGACAACCTGCTGCTGCATGGGGATGGTGTGCTCAAGACGCTGGATGATAACATCTGAGAGAGTGGCAACCATGGGCAGGCTGTCGTTTGCGGAGTTGAGAACAAAGGAGTTGAGAACCTCGTATCCAGCGGTACGGAGCTGGTTGTCAGCGTCCTGGCGCTCGGTGACTGTAAGTAGGGACTTCACACTGTCCTCAAAGTGCTTCGACAGAGGGTTAGTCTGCGAGCCAGCGTCACCGGCAAAGCGGTCTGCAACGTTCATAAGAGCCCAGCAGCAAGAGCTGGCGATCTTGGGGGAGTTGGCAAGGCCGTTGAAAAGGCAAGAGATAAGGGGTTGGAGGTGAACCTCGGGGTCCAAAACCTCGGGGCAGCAGTCGCACACACGACCCAGGGCGTAGGCAGTCGAGTCGCGGACGGAGATAGAGTCATCCTGCATCATACCAAGCAGGACAGACAGAGCCTGCTTGATCAGAGGCTCAAGGACGCTGGGCTCAGGGCCCTCCATGATGGCACCGAAAGCAGCGACGGCAGCATCACGACGATGCCAGTCCTCGCTGCGGATGTTCTCTTCGACAAAGGTCACGACGGGCTGGATCACATCGCCCTGGACACACTGAGCGTAGAGCTGAAGAGCCTGGTAAGCAGCACGAGACACGTTGTATTCGTCATCACCGGCATCTTCGTCCTGTCGGCACATAGCCTGGAGCAGAACGGGAACAACCTCGCGGGTGGCCACGCGAGCAAAGCCGAAGAAAGGACGAGCCTCGATACCCTCTTGCTGGGCCTAAGAAAGGTCAGTATACAATCAATCGTGGTTATCATCACAATAACATACCTCCGCGTTGTCGTCCTCGATGGCAATCTCCTCCTCGCAGACAGTGCACCAGAACTCAATAGCAAGCTTGGAGACTTCCTCCTCCTCGCTCTTCATGCCCATGATGCTCAGGCCGAACAAAGCCTTCTCCATGTAGAAACGCATCTTCTCGTAGTAAGAACCCATGATACGGTTCAAGCAGCCAAAGGCACCAGCCTGAACGCGGACCTCATCGGCCTGGGTGGCTTCGCACACAACCTGCATAATATAGTTGCGCTCCCCCTCGTTGTCCATGTTGGTCCGCACAAAGTCAACAGCATCACTGAGGGCAGCAATAGCAGCGTAGCGGACATCCATGTTGGGCTCCTCACGCCGAGCACCCTGGACGACAGCAGTGAGGATGGCATTGGAGTGTGCTGTGAGGCTTGCGCGGAGCTCGGGATCTTGAGACTCGCAAATGTAACCGATGGCAGTCAAAGAAGACTGCTTGAGAGCATCGTTTCCACTAGCCACGTTCTGGACGAGGATGTTCATCAGCTCCGTCCACTCATTCCGGGGCAACTCGATGGCGGCAATGGAGACGATAAGTGTGGCGGCGGCATTTCCCGCGCGGGCGTCGGGGGAGTGAAGAGTCTTGAGGGCAAGCTCCTTAACCTGTGTCTTGGTTTCGGGGGTGATCTGCTGGACCCAGCGGAGCTGCACCTCGCGCAGCTTGGCCTGGTCCCGGAAAGTGAAGGCGTTCTTCAGGGCAATACCGGCAGCGACACGGATGTGAGCTGGGCTGCTCTCGTTGGCCAGCTCCTGACCGAGGGTGATAAGGTAAACGGCCTACAGAGCCGAAGATATTAGTATTTATATTGAATCCAGGGAAGGGGTGCTTCGCATCGCAGGGAGACAGAAGACCACCGGGGGAGAGGAAAACCTACGAAGTCGACCTCCGCCGCGTGAGCGAGTTGTTGTTCAGCATTAGTACGCTCGGCCGCATCTGAATGGAGAATCTCAGTTAGCAAGGCTTTCAAAAAAATTTCTGCATTACGCAGCGCGACTCGAGGTCGAATCTGCGATGGAGCTGGGGGTATTACCTGGCGCGAGGGTACTCTGCAACACCTGACGAGCATCCATGGTGTGCAAAAGGTATTAAAAATGACAAAAACAGGAAAGAAAGATAGGGCACGTTGAAATCAAGCCCAGGTCCTGGATGGGGGGGGGAAGAAGAAATGTGGAAGTTGAGTGGGAGGAAGGGACGGATGTTTTTGTGGATATGAGGCGGCATGCACTATAGGTCTTTCCGCGACAGCAGAGAGAAAAGGTGCCTTGAGTGCACGCCCAGAGTTCAAACAAGGAAATCTGGAGTACAGGAAAATAGTGAAGAAAGTGAAGGGACAAAAAAAGCGATTCGAAGGAGAGATGAAGTTCTACCTGATTGGGTGCGGGGTTTAGTCAGATGTCACGTGACCTGGGTTGCGATCTGACTTTTTATACTACGCTGCGCTTTATGGTCTCTAGTCTACGGACTATTCCCTATCTGAATAGCTTTATAGCCTATTTTTCTATCTCCTGGTGTGTTGGGTGGTTTGTGGAGGGGCTGCCCCTCCGGCTTGCTTGTTTTGATTTTTCTCCTTAGAGACATCGGTGGCCCCAGCGACCGAGTCCACCAGTGGGGTGAAAATATCCAAACAGAAGCCTCTAGAATAATAACAAAAGACAGCTCTGTATTGCTTGCAGGTTATGCTCTAATAATATCCATTTCGATTTACCGTTTTATTTTTCGCTCAATATGTCAACTGGTGTGTGCCTATTGATCGACGCACTATATATGCACGGGGTGAGACTAGATAAGGGCCTAACGCTAGCCACATTGTGACAGAGCACACCAGACAAAGAGAAGTTATATGTCACAATTTTGGAACATAATTGGGTAGATCTCTATCCCCTGCAAGTCAATTTGGATCACAGCTTGGTTGCAATGGTGAGTTGGTACAATGCTGTAGCACACAAAGACCTTATACCCCACTGTACATACATAGTACGGACTGTTTGCCTGTGTTAGTCGAGACGTTGGAGTGATATCGCCATGACGTGATGGTATTAGAATAGAGGGTATTCTAACAGAGTCATTACCCTGGGAATAGCTATCTTGAATCTAGTGGGACGGTAACCCTTGTCATGAAGGCATATCTTCTCCCCCGAGATTTGTCCCAGCTAAGTAGCGAGTACATATGGCTGAAATAGACATAGTTGTGGAAGGTACTCATAGGTTATCAAGTCCCACACCAAGAATCCTAATTCTCAGTGTCAGCTTCTTCCTCTTCTTCGCTGCCCATCTCTTCCCCCTCTTCATCCACCTCTTCCTCATCAATAGCAGCATCCAAATCCAGAACCTCATACCGCATAGCATCACCATACAAAGCACAGACAGCACGTCTCCCTTTCCTTCCATTTACATCAACATGAACGGGTTTCGCCTTCGGTCCGCTGGAAGCAAAAACATGTTTCAGTACCTCTGCATGAGGTGACGAGTCCGATAGATCGAGGTTCGTAGGTGGCGCAGAGGGTTTCGGGGATGACGGTATGGCTTCACACTGTACGTAGTTGAGAATTAAGGGTGGTGGGGTTTGGTGTGCAGATATGGATTGGAAGGGGAAGTTGAGGAGATGGGAGGATCCTTCTATTTCGATGGTTAGGTCAACTTTGTGGATTCGATACATGAGGAACTTACTGCTATTTGTCCAAAGAATCATTAGGGTGTGATCAGCGACGAATTGAAGTTGACGAATGGTTCCTTCTTCTAGGTTCAGAGTTGCGATTGATGTGCTTCTTGTTGAGCTAACGCCACCGACGGAATCGAGGACAACTCGGTAGATGTGGGCTGGAGTTAGATATGTTAGTAAATGACCAATTCAGGACCGTTGTATGAGCGAACCTTGATACTTTGATGTTGTAGACCTGGTTGCAACGTAGATAGAACATGGATGGCCCTCCTCGAGGTCTTCGCAACAGACAGTGAGGTCAATAACTTCCTGGTCGCAGTCGGGGTGAAGTGTGAGAGGCGAACGATGAAGAATGCCTCTCCGTTGGGTCAAAGCAATCTCCCCAAAGACCTTCTCGAACTGAATACCCAAACGCCGGGTTAGATCGTTGAGTTTAGGTGCATCAATCGAAGAACCATCACCGCCCTTTTCCTGGATCCCTCGCTGCTGCTGGAGGAGAGACTTGAACTCCTCGTAAAAGGAACTATCATGGCCGTCTGGCAGAGGAAGCCACTTATCAGATGGTGGGGGAGGAGGACCCATCATGGGGAGTTGGCGGATGGAGCCACGCAGAGCACTTTTTGTCAATGCACCAGTGATGTATTTGACAGTGGGAGGGACTTCGAATAGATCCCTTTTATCTTGCAACTCTTCCAGGGTCTGCGATAGAGGCTCGCTATTAAGTATGTTTATTTCGTGTCGGAGCCATGTAGAGAAAGCACCGAATTGATTCAGTTCGTCATTTGCGTGTATGAGGATTCGGTGAGCGAGAAGATGGAGGCAGTCGAGCGTTTCCACGATGGCGTTTAGCTTAGACGTGTCCAGTCCGAGGACATCGCTAAGCTTGTGGAATTTAGACAGTCCTACCAGTCGGCTGAGAAGTACTTGGCTGCGTTCAAGGGCGGGCAGAAGACACTCGTGCGTCAACCGACGGATATTCTCGTAACCGCCTCCAACGGCCTTGTCCCATCGCTTGTGTCCCTATTCACCCATCAGTCAACATTCTCACACGTTCAGAGTATCCAGAGCACATACCCGCTCCCCAACAATATCAACGAGGAACTCCTTCATTGGCTCATAGCAATGACCAGTAACAACAAGATGATAGATAGCAGTGATAAAATCACACTGACACTTCTCTTGTAAGTCCTCGTTTACACTGCGCAAGAATCTTGCAGGAAGTTCCTGCGCATTCTTCCACTCCAGCTCAATCTGCCGCTGCACCTGCCCAATATATCGCAACAAATTCTGAAGCTGGGTAGTCTTCGAAGCGAGCAGAGACAAGTACCTCCCGGACTTCGTAATGAAACGCAGATCCAACGTTACAAGCTCAAGAGTCCTCCCTTCACTGCCACAATCATGAGCAGCCGAAGTCAACAAAGCATGAGTCGAGCTCAGCGGATGAGAAGCATGTCTTAAAACCGAACAAGAACCCGCAACGCCAGGCATCCGCCCAACAAGAAACGACCCAATCTCAAAACAATCAAAGATCCTGAGGTGAACACTCCCATCATCAAACCCAACCGAGAGAACATCCACTGAATCATTAGTATCCCTCCCAGAATGAAAAATAGCATCAAGCGAAGCCCTCGAACTAAAAACATCGTCCTCACCACCCGTAGCAGGAAGCGTGCTCAACTTCGGCAACGAACTCTCAACATCCAGAAGCGCAAGCTCGCGCGGTAAATCGGCTTTGAGAACAGCTGCCGCTTTGGAAGGATGAATCCCTGGCGCGAGCAGGTCGTCGACGCTGATTTGGCCCGCTGATTCGTGGAGATGTCTCTGGGCGGCTTTGCTATCTGTGAAATTCATACCCCAGCCTAAACACGTTGTCTTTGGGACGGGCTTTCCCTGTGAGACTAAGTCCTGTGCTCCTTCGCCAGTGGACTTGTATGTGTCATAGTGGTGCACTGTCTTGCCACTGTATGAACTGATGAGACGGAGAGTATTGTCTCCGCATGCGACAGCGAGCAGACGACCTGGTATGGGATATTAGCATTAGACCATTTAAAAAGTGCATGATCCTAAAATAGTCATGCATAGTATTGTATGCCCTGGCCGCATGGATCGGATTGGAGTGGATGGTTCAATGCACACGTACCATTGCCCTTCCACGCCATCCCACGAATCTCCCCATCTTCCTCATCTTCGCCAAGATATGGATCGCCACCAAATGAGCCGCCGAATACGCGCTGCCCGTTCAAGCGGAAGACGCGTAGTTCTTCGTCCTCGGTCGCTAGCGCGATCAGGTCCATTGTTGGACAGTAGGACACGGCATCGGCTTTGCATTTTGCTGGAAGGGTTTTCTCCCCGACGGGTGTTAATTGGGGACCCTCCTCCATTGTACTTTTTCGTCTAGATGCTGGACTGGATTCAGCCCATTCTATTCGCTTGGTTGTTGGGAGTAAGTAGAATTGCGTTGATGCTGTTGGCGGGTGGTGGATACAGGGATTCTTGGCGCGTTGTTTGGTGTTTGGGGTTGCCTTGGTGTGTTTGTATGGGATTTGGTTTCTACACACTTCTTCGATGTATGACTTGTGAATGTTCTTGGATCTGATATCTTCTTTTCATAAAGTTTCATCTCTATAAACAAATAGCTAAATGATACATGTATGTGGTAATGCCCTGGCGACCAGCACCGGGCAAAGATATGAATACAAAACGAGCGACTAGAGTACATGTAAAAGTATAGGCAATCCTCCATCAGAAAGGAGTGCCGTCCATCTCAGCCTGAATGATATTCTTCAGATAGCTAAGCTCATCCATTAACTCCTGCATGGTAGCATTGCCACCGTGGAGATCTGCATTGCTGCGTCGAGAGCGAATAGACTCGGTCTGATGACTGGGTCTACGCTGTCCAGAAATATTTCTCTCCGAAACCGAGTCACGTAGGATCTGGGGGAGGATGACGGGAGAGGAATTGGGACTGCGGGACATGGCGAGTGCCTCCATTGATTCGAGGGCGCTGAAGAGGGCGGCGTGGCGCTTTGGATTACTTTCCACTTCATCCATTCCTTCGATTCCCAGCCCTGAGCCATTAATACTAGGGGAGGATAAAGAAACTGTGAGGTGGGGCAGGGAGACGTTCCAGGGGAGGTCGCCTTCGCCGGAGGCCGAGTTCGGAGAGGAGGGTTTTGAGTGGACTGTCAGATGGGGAGTATTTGGGTCTGTGTTGGTTGCTGCATCGCCGGATTGTGAAAGTTCGGGGGTTGTCCATCGGTCATCTGAGCCGTCGAGTTCGGAGTTGTAGTCCTGGTTGAAGGTCGAGGTTGAAACCATTGATTCTGGAGTGTTGTAATCGTCGGTTTCAGTGTCGGTGCTCCATTCTGAGAATCGACTGCGTTCTGCGATAATGCGCGAGTGAATAGAATCGTCTGTCATTGTCATGCTGGAGAAGTGACTACGCAGGACCTCCGCGTCCATAGCTTTGTCTCTTTCATCAATGGCGCGGACGGCTTCATCCATCACGGAGGATGGAGAGTTCGGGAGCGTTGGCAGTCGCTTCTCTTTCTTAGCAAATGGCTTGGTTGGTGTTGGCAAGTCACTGGAGTTCGCGATATCTTCCAGCGCATTTCTGATGGCACGAGACTCATCATGGGCTGCATTATTGCCGTTGATACGAGAAGGACCTAGTCCACGAGGTCCAGGGCGTGTTTGTACAGTAAGAAGACGACCTGGAGCTCCATCTCCAGTTTTCAACGCGCGACGACTTTGGAGGGTGGAGGGCCCCAGCTTGTTAGGCGCGTTCGGAGAGGAGGGAATTGCGATTCCAGCGTTTATTCTGATACCTGGCACATTGCGACGAGTCTCAACCGACTCGTTTGAAGCATTGTTTGATTGCCATGTCTCAGGCACCCGGGCTTCCATGGCATTGGTTTGTCCCAAAGCAGCACGAAGGGCCCGTGCCCTCGGGGGAGACATGGAGCGCGAGTCCTTCGAACGGTGGCTCCTGCGAGTGGCACTGTTCGGCTGCGACTTACTCCTGTGAACCATGCCAGCAATCGGAGAAATGGAAGCCATTGCCGGACTCAGTTGGCGTCGCACGGACGTGGACGTCTGAAGACGCACTGGTTGAGGCTGCGGTGGCGGCTTGCGCGGGTTCATAAACTTGTCCTCGGGGTTCATGGTTCGATATTCGGACTTGGTGGAGCCGCTGCTGCCCGAGCGTTCATGCGATCGACTATCAGGTAGGATGATGGGCACATTCAGCACATTCACCGGCTGGCCCGGAAGTAGAGGACAGCTTGTAGTGGCAGGTTCTCTTTCGTTATAATATTCAATGTCATCATCCAGCAAGTACTGTAGCTGTTAGCATTATTCGCCCGTAGACCTGGACATGATCAGACTCACGTAGTACCAGTATGTGCCTCCCATCTTGAGACCCCCGGTACGCCATTGACTCTTGTCAGGCCCGTCGCCAATGATATCTGTAAAAGTATGACATCCTTTCCAATGGCCGGGGCCAACCCGCTTGTCCCTTTCCATTACATATTGCCTGGAGAAATTATCCCAGGATCCGAGCAGTTTGACCGACCGGACCTCGGGTTTGGTAATCCTAGATTGAATCAGTATGAAGACACAATAGAGAATCAAGAACACTTACAACAAGAAAGTCATGAGGGTGGTCGAGATCATCGCAACATAAGAAACAAGAAGTAAACAGGCACACCGATCAAAAAGATAGTAAGGAAGAAAAGACCAGAAAAGAAAGAGAAATCAAAGAGAGACAGGCACAACAATGCAGTACAAAAGAAAACAAATGCTAAAAGACAAACACCCAGTGTTGCACACGCAAATGCGAAAAGGACAATGGAAGGCGAAAACCGAGTCGCAAATACCAGTTCATATAAGAGAACTAGCCGACTCGTCCAGACCCTAGGCAACCCCAGGCAACCCCAGGCGGTACCTGTCTCAGGCTTGACAGGTCTAAGAATAACGTCGTTTCAGCTGTGATTCGAGCTTGCCATTGCCTGAGAGCCGCGATGGCACAATTTCCCAGGCGCAGTGCAGGGCGACAAGGTTGGCCAATCGGAGGCGGAGATGCACGCGCCGAGTATTTCGGAGTCCGGCGCTAAGGGAGATGAAGAACGAGACGAGAGGAAGCTGAAGAAGTCGAGGAAATGAAGGAACTGGAAGAAATCAAGGAAAGTCGAGGTCAAAAGAAGTGGAAGGAGAGGACGATGTTCTATGGGAGAGATGCAGAGGCGAGGTTTTCGAGGATCGGCGCGGGGATGATGACTTTCGCCGATCAACAAATTGCGGTGATGAGGGGTGGAGTCAACTAGTGCAGTTCAACCAACTTTGAGGGCGAATTGTTGATGGGGGTTATGGGGTTTATGCCAGTCAAAGGCGTTAATTTGGCGAAGATTATCGTGGCTTTTGTCCCTCCACCCGGAGTTTCGTCGATCCTCACGCAAGGTGCGCACAATTAATTTAGAGACACTCTTCTGTACTCTGAGGAAGATCCTCTCTAGCTTTGTCAAATCCAGTTCTACTGTAGAAATAAACCGGATCTGGGAAACTGGGCACATAACATATCACATAGGGAACTGGAGTGCCGAAACGACGTGATTGGCGTATAACCGTTAGGGATCGCCTATTGGATACGCTCGAGACACTAAAGGAGACTACTGCAGCTAATAGTAGCTAATTGCACCAACCGCAATCATAGGTTCGTGAGGGATGTGTTCGCCTTATGCTCCACTGCGGCGGTTCCTTAAGATTACGGTTGATCTGTCAGTTTCATCTGAAGCCAAGAATAAACAATCCGCGACAATATGCGATTGGCCAGAGGTGAACCAGCTCGAAAAGCAACTATGAAACACACCTCCTGGGTATATCAAACTGATCCCACAATCACCACAAACCACTACTGAAGAACCCTCCGATCCAACCTCTTATTTACAGCCCCAAGAACAGTCTTCAAAATTCCATCCCCACAAAGTCCCCCATTCCCCCAAGAAACAGTATCAACAATATCCCTCAAGCCTTCCCGACACCGTCCGCCCAGGAAATCATCCAACTCCTGCAAATACAGTCGAGCACTCTCATCCTCCCCCACCTGGAAGAACTGAATCCCAACCTGCCACGCAATAGCATCCACCAAATCCAATTTCCGCGCTACACCCATGATGACACTCTCGGCATCGTCCGTAAACACTCCATCCGTAATCACAATAATATTCACCGGCCGCACATAGAACCGATCATCATCGATCGCACCGGTCTGCGCCTGCGCCTGCGCAGCATGCATCCGGTCCACGCGAGCCATGTACGGCTTGAGGATGTCGTTGAGTCGTTTCCCGATAGGGGTTGCGCCGCGCGGGGTGACGCTGGTGAAGATTTCATGGACTTGGCCCGGGGTGGTGATATTGTAGTGGGCGTTGCTGGCTGCGGGCTGGTTGAGGAAATAGATGTCGATGCCGTCTGGGTCGTGACTCGTGCAGATGGGGGCGATGGCTGCGATGGCGTTGGCGGCTTGCGTCCAGTTTGGGCCTTTCATGCTTGTGCTGTCGTCTACGAGGAAGATTGTGTCGAATGAATTGAGGAAGCTGTAGGCTGATTCCTGGTCTGCTGCGGTTGGGGGTGCTGGTTGGTGTTGATGTTGATGGTGAGGTAGGGTTTGGGGGGATATCGGGGTTGTTGTGTAGGGTGGTGGGAGGTCGGTTGTACCATTGTTGGTGTTGGTTTTATACACTGGACTTCTGAATCTCGACCTCCATGACTTCTTAGGTGCTGGTTCTGGTCTTGCTTGTACTTCTTGGCGGGATGAACGTTGATGGGAGGCAAAAGAAGCCCACTTGGAAGGCGATTTTTCGGAGAAGTTCATGGCTGCTAAGTGATTAAAATAACAGAGTAATTGAAGAAGTGAAGGATCGCAGACTCTGTCTCTCTTTAAAAGACCGCCTGCCAAAGACAATTCTAAATCGGATCCTGTCTAACAAAGAAACCAGGGAAGCACCACTTTCTTTATACCAATCCTGGAGCACAACTTCATATTTGTGGAACTAACAAAGTGTCATAGCAATTTTCACAGGCATGGGCTAAGGCATACTTGGGCACCACACAATGGGTCATAGTTTGGATCATCCATGGATGGTTTCAACATTCCTATACTACCATTCATGCCTGAGCCCCTTCTAAACCTTGAAATGTCAGACTATCGAAAGTCAAGGCAGACTCAGACATTCCCGGCAGCCCTATTCAATTAGTATTCAATTAGGGCATGTATGTATGGTATAACGTGGTGCCCCGCAGCGCTGCACCTAGCCAGAACTAGCTGGTGTCAGATATTCAACTTGGGGTCGGATCAATGAGCCAAATAGGCCTGGTTACGTTTTTCCCATGGTTTACCGCATGAGTTGTGTGGGCTGGGGCGGAGTGTAGACACAGCCCCCGCCTGTGCGCTCAGCCTTGTTCGGCCCGGATTATGAAGTACATGATCCTGGGTGGCAGGGTTGCAGGGGTTCCTTTTATGTGGAACTTTTTTAAAGTGCCCTTGGGGGTCATTACGCTATCAGTCTTCTTGGGTGTTCTTGATGTTGGATCCATTTCGTAATTCATAAACTCTTCCAAGATTCCCCTCCCCAGATCTAGGCTATAACGCAACAATAGATGCAAACTTTGAGACACGACCTGATACTAATCAAGTTGTATATAAGTCCCCGAAATAATATAAGTGAGATGAAATGAACCCTGAAACATGTAACCCCCATCGCCCATAAGTTCATTAGATAGGCACAGGAAGTCGACTGGTCAAATCCGGCACATTCAACTCCTCAATAAACCCATCCTCCTCTTCAGTCACAGAGTGCAAGATACCAGGATCAGCAGAGATGATATCAGCAACTGCAAGCGCCTGATCAAGACCCATGGTATTGCCAATCATCTCGAGACATTTCACAACCCAACGGCGAAGACCGTGGCGCGGGTTTTCAACAATCCCAGCGACAAATAAGGGCCATAGAAGTACGAGACCGCCTATGTAGCTCTCCGGCGGAAGAATGTTGGGTGACTGATCTGCGCCATGTGCGTTGAAGTGGAACGGTGCGCCGCGGCAGATGTCCACTGCTAGTCGTCTGATTGTGGAACGGAGTGCCTTGCATTGGAGACGAAATTCTTCAGAGAGCGAGGTTATTGATGAGTTGGTGGAAATTTGGCGGATATGCGAGAGGATAATTTCGCTAACGATGATTCGTGCGCTGCGGTATTGATTCCAGGAATTACAGACCCAGAGAGTTGGGTATATGTGGTATTGGTCGTCATAGGGTGATAGCCCTCCAAATCGGTGTTGGAATGAGAAGTCAAAGGGGGATTTGGTGCAGCTTGTGTAGTTGAATTCGGGGGGGAGAGATGCTAGCCATGCAATGAGGTCGGCTTCGATGGCCGAGGCTGCTGAGATGATTTCTCGTTCGTTTCTGAATTCTTTGGTTCTTATGTCGGCGCGCAGGTTGGAAAGCTTGCCAATTATGAGGATGAGGCGGTTGCCATGTGCTTCTGCAGGGCGGAGAAACATGGTGATTTTGGTACATTCGAAGAGTGACTCCGGGACTCGGGCATCTCTTTGTAGACAGCTAATGATCTAGGAATGGTCAGTATGACATGAGGGGCTTGTTCTGTTCACTATACATACAATCTGATATCGCAGATGCAAGAACAATTTCAGGCCAGCATCAGTCTTGAGCTGGTCAATTCCTCGTATGTCAAGCAATGCCGTTGCACCATTGATATGATTTGTCCAACTATCGATATCTTCTGCAGACCTTGACGTAACAACCTAAGTCAGTCAACGTTAGCGGACGATCAATGCACCAGAGATTGAACCTACTTCATAAATGGCAAGCAGCACGACGGTGCCCAGAGTCTGATTCGTCTTCGCTTGATCCATATCGGTTAAAGCGGTATTTAACAATCTCAAAGCGGATCCATACTCCTTGTGGGCCACCTCCCTCAACGAAGGCAAGCCCCGGACACGGGAAAGCATAGCGGTCGCAGTAGCAACCACACTGGCCTGCATGGCTCTTTGACTCGTCGGACCCCCAGACTGCAAGAGGAACTTTGAGACCAAATCGCTAGTCCAAAATGAACCGGGAATTGCGTTCGACCGCATAAAATAACAAATCGCCTCATACTTGGTCGTCTCCACATCCTGCGATGGCTGAACTTCCACCGGGCGACTCCCCAATCGTTGGAGAAGATTGAAATCGAACACCGGCTCCACCACAGCATTCCCCGTCTCCCCTTCTGGGGATACAGTGCGAGGCGCCCGGGGCTTCTTGGACCCTGCCGCTTTTCGCACTACTTCCTTGCTCTCATCGCGGAACATCAGTGATAGTTGATCCCTGTAGCCTGGGCAGTCTCGCTTGGCGCGCGTACATTGTGAACACGCCGGTCGGCTTTGGTCACATCGGATCTTTCTTGCTCGACACTCGCCACATCCTTTGCTTGGCTTGCCGCAGTACACCATGGCGTTGTTGAAGAGGAACTCGGTCCTGCACCAAGTTCCTGTACTGGAGATCGTTGGGCGTTTCCCGACGGAGATGGGGCCGCGCTTAGCCGTTTCGGGTATGCTTTGCGAAAGCTTACTTTACTATATTTTTTTTATCAGATGGGGAGGTTGAGAAGAAGGGAAGAAGGGGAGAGCTGGGATGACTATATCTTGCGGATCATCCCCGGGATAGTCGCCAAATTGCCTATATCATGGACATAGGGAGGTTTCTGTCACTCGTACTCTTTTGTTCTACAAGAGACCTCCGTTGGGTCAATTGAGGCTTTACGTGAACAGCAACTGGAAATATACAGAAGAAATGTTAAATATTAAACTTTTGATTGAAGCCCCCAGAACACCTGCTCAATATGCACCACACTCAGAGACTTTTCGAGACGTTACTCAACACGCTTCGAGGGAGACTCAGGCTCCTCGACATCAGCCTGAGCAACCCGCTTTCTCTTCCCAGTAGAACGTGAAGTGGACTCGGATTCCTGTCGCACAAATCCAGATCCATCATCATGCCACTCACTGATCTCCCATTCAACCGAGGTAGACTGATCATCACTAACTCCCTTCCCACGTCGAGATCGCATCAAGCGACCCAAACGGCTTCCTTCCACCATCTCTTCAAACCAAGGAATACCCCTGGCTGTGCCATGCTGAAAGCTTCTAGAAATCTGAGGCTCCTCAAAAGACGGAATAATGACTGAAGATGTGGAAGCCTCTGCAGGTGCCCGGGTAGAGGTCGAGACCACCCCGGCACGAGGGGCATCGTCATCGAAGTCATCCGGAAGCAGATTTAGATCGTCCAAAGCCCTCTGATCTTCAGCTAGCAAGCTGCCGATGGCAATGGACATGAAGTCTGACTCCTCGCGCGGCTCCTCGGTCCAGAATGTCAATGGTGTTCCACAGTAACCACAGAACACTCGCTGAGTCTGGGGGGCATGACGGGGCGAAAAACTGCGACGGATAGAGGAGTGGGATTCATCCGGAAAGAAGGACTGGGTGTAAGACTCGTACCAGTCGAGAGGCACGCGCAGCCATGCCGAAAGAGGTGTGCCGTGGAATCGGCCTGTTTCACGTTAACCTTGGCCGGGAGATCGACGACTAGCTTGGGATGAGGTTCACTCACGGCTGTCTCGGCTGCTGTCGAAGTAGACCTCGGCATGTTCTGTCACGTCATCTGGGATGTTAATTTGGTATTCATTGCGACCACATGAGCATGAGCCGCGCAGCGGCTCGTAGGCCATTGTTGTACAAGAAGGACCGGGGCGCTGGTAAACTGGGCGAGATTGCGATGGATATAGCTGGGGTGGGAGAAGGCCAGTCAGGCAGTCAATCTCTACGGTTGACAATGCCAATAGTGAAATATGAGGTGTCAAGTGAACAAAATTGAAGGAAAGAAAAAGCAGGTCGAGTTCAGTGGACCTCTATGACGTTTAAAGATTGCCAAGACATTTCCACTACTCCGCACCTTATCGCTATCAACTTCTCTGCTTCAACTCTCTTCTCTTCTGATCTCTGCTCAGCACTCGGCTTTGACAGCTTTGCAATCCAACTTCTCGAATGCCGTATACCCATCTCCCACACATCCATTCCGAACATCGATTTCATCCCGCCCTTTCCAACCTAACTTCCTCGTATCAGTCGCATTCATCATGAATCACGATGATGGTGATGACCGGTCATCGTCAACACCGAATGGCACATCCAAACAGTCAGCCCAAGATAAAGACAAGCCTCGTCTTACAGATCAAGAAAAGAAAAGCAACCACATAGCCTCCGAACAAAAGCGACGCGCAGCAATTCGCGAAGGATTTGATCGCCTAACAGAACTGGTCCCTGGTCTCGAGGGCCAGGGCCGAAGCGAGAGCATTGTTCTACAGAAGACGGTCGACTTTATTCACGTCAAACTCCAAGAGCGTCACGACCTCATTACCGAGATTGAAAGCAAAGGCGGCCATGTGGACGATTCTTTCCGTCCTTCATGATTTTGCTTGGGGTTGTCCTCGTCCCCTTTCGCTGGTCGAGGGGGTCGGGGGCAAGCATGTGCCGAGGTCCGCTCATTTTTAGGCATCCCCACGCCACACGAATTTCTTTGCTTTATTCGTTGTAACAACGAGATGAAAACGAGCTACTTGATATCTTGTTTCTTGCAAACTTTGGCCTTCCATCCGATATCGTCTCCTTTCTTATTGTTTTCTACCCTTTGTTTTTTTCCCGGACGTTTTTAATTCCCTTTTCTTTTTTCTTCTCGCCTTCACCTCTTGTCCTTATTTCGATTGTAACTTCTGCTGTACATTGAACATTTTCCTGGGTACCAGAATGTATATGGTCATGGTTGTTGCTGCAAAGCGACTGGGGCGTTATCTCATTGGCTGGCTTTGGCCTCTCTTTTTTCCAGCGTTGAATGATCGATCCTCAATTTGACTCATTTTCAAGAGATTTGGGATATTATCGGAGCCATTTGAGCCCCGAGTCCCGTATTTTGGTTACATCACGTGTATTGCTAACCAAAACGTATAGCGGGAGGAGGTCAACAGCGGACTTTCTTGGCCTGGTCTTTGGAAATCTAAGCTTACACAGTCCAGATATCAATCTGAATCGCAAAATGCTATTTAAAGAATGGCCTTGTAGTGCATGGTGTGGATGGATATTGTCTTACCGCCCACCGAACTGCCGAGTCAACCTCCAGTGAAAGTTGCCATTGACATACACTGGACCAGGATACACAGATTCTCGGAAAGGGACTTTCAACTGAGCCTTTCTTATATATCATAACAAATTTTTCCGAATACCTCGAATCGACTGGGTGCAACTTCAACATCAAGCAGGACATCACCCCGCATTGCATAAGAAAGCTGCCCGCATCATCAACCACAGCCAGGACCAAACCATGCCAGACTCAAAAGAAGCCCTCCTCTCCGACGTGGACATGAACGACCAAACCCAAGACCCGCCCCCAGCTTACGACCAACCCAAACCAAACCGACTCCCCCGCCCACCACCATTAAACCTCCCAGTCCTCAACAACCTCCGCAACAGACGCGTAATCCTAGCATCTCAATCACCCCGCCGCCGACAAATCATCTCCTTCCTAGGCCTCCCAAACCTAGAAATCATCCCCTCAAATGCAGACGAAGACCTACCCAAAAGCCTCGGACCATTCGAATACGTCCTAGCAACCGCAACCAAAAAAGCACAAGCGGTCTACGCCCAGGAGATCAACAATGAGGCAGCCGGTGAACCAGCCCTCATCATCGCAGCCGACACAGTAGTCGTCGATCCATCCACAGGCTCCATCCTCGAAAAACCCCGCTCAGAAGCCCACCACATGACAATGCTCCGCTCCCTCCGCGACGTGCGCAATCACAAAGTCTTCACGGCTCTCGTGGCTATGGCACCACTTGCTTCGGCGCGAGATCCGGGCTACGCGCTTGAGAGCACGGTTGAAGAAACGGCTGTGCGCTTCGATGGGGACGTCACGGATGAGTTACTTATGGCTTATGTGCGCACCCGGGAGGGTGCGGACAAGGCTGGTGGGTATGGCTTGCAGGGTCTAGGCAGTATTCTTGTTGAGAAGGTTGATGGGAGTTATGATAATGTTATTGGGATGCCGCTTAAGGCTACGCTTAAGCTTATTGAGACTGTTATGGCTAGGGCAGATGATGAGGAGGGGATTCCTGGGGATGGGGAGGATAGTGATGAGTTGGAGTGAGAGAATTTGGTTTGAGGAGTCTTTGCTTGGGATTGTTATCTAGTCATTCGTTGGCTGCTGTGGTTAGGACTCATTTCTTATATACTTGCATTGCAGTGGTCTTGGTTTAGATAGAACAAAAGCTTTCCTTGGACTAGATTCAAATTGAATCGTGATTTTATGCTTCATCTAATATATTAATATTCTCTTTTAGTAATTAGTGGATGGCATCAGATTTCGATGGGAATATATATCTGCCGTTAATCATAACCTTGATAGGCAATATGGATCTGGACACACTATTTTTATAGCCGGACCCAGCTCTCAAACGTATCCAGCACATTGATAGTGAACACCAAATGGCAGGCATCCAAAGAACTTAGCTTCCAACTCTACACTCTACAAGAAAATCATATAATCTCGTACAAGGGTTACATTCCATATTTTTCTATAGCTCAACCCCAACCCGATCACAGCGGGAAATTAGCACCGACCAACATCGGGCCCACAGATAAACAAAAAGAAATCAACGACATATACAGAGGCCAGAGGTAGAGGCGGAAGCGGAACGCCTGGATGAACCAGAACCAAAGAGGTTATAAAAAAAAGTGAAAAATAGGGAAAGAAAACTAGAAAAGACAAGAGATGTAGCACATCTATGCAGTCCAAATGCGGCGCAGAGCCTCGGTGACACCGACGTCGTTGGTCTCAAACTCGTACAGACCGACAGCGGTGGTGAGAGTGAAGGCGCGCAGGAGCCAGTCGCAGAGGGAGCGGAACTTGGGGACACGCTTGGGGGGGAAGTAGTCGACAATAGCAGCCCTGGGGGGAGAACTGATGTTAGGTCGTTTTTTCATGCTGGTAAATCTAGATCTGGGGATGAGATCCGGGGATGTAGCCTTACTGGAATCCGATGTGGGAGTGGGCGACGATCAGGGAGCACAAAATAGCGTCCATGACGGGGTGGAGGGAACCGGCGGCGAAGGGAGCAATGGTGAGAGGGACGAGGCCGACGCAGACAGCTCTGCTCTGGGTTAGTTATTGGTTCTTTGGACGTGAATTCTCCGGAATCACGGAAGGGGTGCGATCAGATGTTGCTGCTGCATGCTCAAGGGATTACGAACCTCTCGAAAGTCCAGTGGTAGCTGCCCTCGGAGGGATGAGTCTCGGGAACGGGAGCAGGGTCGTTCACTGTCGCATTGTTAATATCAAGGACATAGGTAATAGCAGTATCGCAAGTCGATCCGAAGCATCTGCCGAGACCATCACGCTCAACAGATTGAAACAATTGTATTTTTCTTTACACTGCTGGCGATTTGGCTGGTTGACTGCCCGTGAAAAGCGTGGGGTGGAATCAGGATAGGCAAGGCGCGGAAATCACATACGGGTTCCCTGAACGGACTCTGGTAGTCAAAAATATGTTAGCAAGACTCGCACAACACTGGATATCTCCCATCCATTCCGATTCTTTCAATTCGACATTCTCTCTGTGACAGGGCCTACTTACGAGGCAATGGGGGCAGGATCTGCTTCTTAGCCGAGGCGTGGAAAGCCACGACCTGCGACACGCCGACATTCTTCTGGAGGAAGGGGCGGGGAGCGAGAGTCTGCCTCAGCAGGGTTGAGCGCGCAAAAGAAGCCATTGTGTGGTGTATGGAGGAGAAACAGCGTCGCGGATGAAGTTGGAGGCCTCGGGAGTCCAAGTCGGGTATGTCATCCTATTACGGGTCAGGTGATTGGTCGACGGTCCGCCCAGCCGAAATTGGCCGATGCGAGAGAAACATTTAGCCCGATGTACATCTTCCTATTCTTGCTCTTCTTCTGTACTTATTTCGGTCTTCTTCCTGTTTCACGTTGAGTATTGTCTTCTACGGAGCACTGGACTACTGGTTCTATGCTTATTGGATCAGTTGCAAGATATTTGCAGACTTTATTTTATATGCCTATTATGGCTTGCCTGCTATCCTAGCCGAGGTATTCAATACCAAACCAAATCCTGCACATCTTAGGGGAAAAACGTTATGACGCCAAGTTCATTATTTCATCAGTCTTATAAGGCACTTAGAACTTGAGGACAGCCTTGCCCATGTTCTTGCCGTAGAAGATACCGACGAGACCCTCGGCAGAGTTGTCAATACCCTGAGTCTCGTGGATAAGCACCTTGAAGGAGCCATCCTTGATCCACTTCTGCACATTCTCTTGGTGCTCCTTGGTGTAGACATCACCCATGCCCTTGTCACCAACGATGAAGCCACGCATGTCAATACGCTTGACAAGGACGTTGTGGATGTTCTTGATGGGGTAAGGAGCGGCGTTGTACTGGGAGATCAGACCGCAGACGACAATGCGGCCGAAGTTGTTCATGGCATCGAGGGCAGCCTCGAGGTGCTCACCACCGACGTTCTCGTAGTAGATGTCGATACCCTCGGGGGCGAGACGGGCAAGAGCAGCAGAGGGCTTCTCGTTCTTGTAGTTGAAACCGCCGTCAAAGCCGAGAGTCTTGGTGATGTACTCGAGCTTCTCGTCGGAGCCGACGGAGCCAATGACGCGCAGACCCTCGTGCTTAGCGAGCTGGCCGACGAGCTGGCCGACGGCACCGCTGGCAGCGGAGACGAAGATGGTCTCGCCCTTCTTGGGCTTTCCAATCTGATAAAGGGAGGAGTATGCGGTAAGACCGGGCATACCGAGGGGACCGAGGAAGACGCGGATATCCTCAATTCCGAGGGGGTTCTCGAGCTTGCGGATGCGGATCATCTCCTTCTCGCCAACGACAACGTACTCCTGGACGGCGACATGACCGATGATGAGGTCACCCTCCTTGTAGTTGGCGTTGTTGGAGCGAATGATCTTGCCAATGGTAGCGCTCTCAATGGGCTTGTTGAGCTCGAAGGCGGGGGCGTAGGACTTGGTCTCGGCAGGGCGCATGCGGCCACGCATGTAGGGGTCAAAGCTGGTGTAAAGAGACTGCAGGACGACACCGTTGTCAGGAGCAGCAACATTGGCGTCATAGGCACCGGCCTCAACAGCCAGGTGCTCACCAGGGACAGGGTAGCCCTGGGGGATAGACTTGAAGACGAGAGCCTTGTTAGACATTATGAGGTAATTATGATGTGGAGGGGAGGTTGAAGAAGTAGGATTGTTGTAGTGTGTAGAAGTATATATAAGGACATCTTCAGGGCAGCAAGCTCCTTTATACAACGTTGTACCAAGCGGGGCAGTCTACGAGCCGAGGAAAGAATCCAACCTTTGAAGATCTCAACATTTTTATTATAAAGCAGACTGGGCCCGGAGAACGTTCTCGAGAAGGTTATGCTGAAGCTGTAGACTCCACTCTTTGCAGTCTGGGTTTCAGTCTGGCCATTCATGACTTGCAGACTGGTATATGCACAAGCTCAAGGGTTCATAAACCCCCACTATTCCATGTTTTCAAAGCAAGACAGGCGCAAGAACAGTGAGGCATTGGGGGCATAACTGTGGCAACGGCACACTGGTGGAGATCGGATGAATTGGATACAACTCAGACCGACGGAGGAACTCCATTCTGGGCAGGACGACCGTCCCTCGGCACTTTTTCAGATCGAAATCGACGATTTTTAAGCACGGAGTAGCTTACCGCTTCGGGAAGCAGACTCTGCCTATGGAGGGGCAGATCAATTGGTAATGAGTTGGACGGAATTTATAGGCACAAAACAAGTACTGTACTAGGCTTGAATCTATGATGTCGACTTTTACAGGGTTCATGACAGGGTGTATGACAGGGATAACCGCGTACAGTCGTATAGTTGAAAACCTTAAGGGTTCCAGGGTGAAAATGAAGTCATCCAAAATTATGTATTAGTCATGCCCGGAATGGGAACTATGGATATCAATGTTCTAAAAAGGACTGAAAATCAGATGCAGTTCAAGCCTTACCGGCAAGTGCGTTTGGTGCCTTTTCAATGAAGTAGTGCTTGCCCTTGATCATCTTGACCATGAACCCGAAAGGCACAAATCCAAAGATCTGACCAGTACCGCTAGCTTCACCCACAGGGACCACCATCATGATGCTGTCACCTTCATCAAAGGTCTTGATGGCCCCAGTACCGATAATCTCAGCCTTGAGGTTGGCTGCCGCCACATGAGCCTGCTCCATGGCCTTGAAACTGAGACGCATGGAATTGTTCGTGATATCGCCAGCTGCAAAGATGGGAAGTGATTTACCATCACTAGACTGCACACGCATCTCACTGTTGACGGTCACCCAACCATCCTTGTCAAGGAACTCAGCCGGGATGAAGCTGTTGTTGGGCACCGCACCAGTGGTGGGGATATAAAGATCAGCTGACAGCTTGTCGCCTCCTTCGAGAGAAACAGTCCAATTCGATCCATCATCAGCGGGGGTCTCTACACCCATGACCCGCTTCGAGGTGATGATCTTGATCTTCTTATGCTCGAGCAACTTGCGCGCGGCAGAACTAGCGGACGACCTCAGCATGGGAAGCACGCGATCAGTGCCTGACACCAGTGTGATCGAGACATTGCCTGTGTTGCCGCTTGCTTCCACGGCTTCAGCAAGCTCGCCAGCCAGTTCCACACCGATGGGACCTGCACCACCGATAACGATCTGCTTCGCACCAGCAATGTGTCCTTGTGCTGCTTTGATCAGCTCCTCCATATCATCATCGTTCGACTGCTTGAAAGGGATCGAGGTGCCGGTGAGCGAGCCGGAGGTGGCTGAGGTTGTACTACCGGATGCGATGACGAGATAGTCATATGGTACCGCAGCGGAGGCACCGCCGTTCGAGTTCACGGCGACAGTCTTGGCGGCTGTGTCGATAGCATTTGCGGTGCCTGCGATAAAGCGAAAGGCGTCGGGGCGGTAACCTGCGAAGGCTTCCTTGATCGGGAGCAGATACTGCTCCGCGCGGAAGGCCTTGGGTTTGGCGACGATACGTGGGGCAGCGATGTTCCAGTAAAAGCTGGTTGAAGGATTGATCAGCGTAAGCTGAACGTCAGGCACATCACGAAGGATGGAGTGGGCAATATGGAGGCCCGCATAGGAGCCTCCAATAACAACTACATCCACGGGGGCCATGGTGTGAAGTTGAAGACTTGGGGGAGGAAGATGAACTTGTTTTGGAAGCGCGAGGAAGGGTGATCTTATACGGCTTGGGCTTGTCCCGCGTCTATGCAGGGCCTGCTGCAAGGCCTGGAGTATCAATACAAGTCCTTCCCCAAAGCTTCCATGGATATGTTAAACAAATCGCCACTAGTTGGTCAGTATTCTCTAAATGGCCCAGGGCATCGGGCGAAGTCCGCTGTGGCTTTCTTCCATTTGCCGCTTTCACATTTTTAAATCCGAGGCGCTCAGGGCCTCCGTTGGGTACATTCCAGTCCGACACGTGATGTCGGGCACGTGAGGTCATTCCATACAAGTTCGAGATCACCTCAACGTCCAAAGAATAGTCTACGAGGGCTGTAGTTCCCAAAAGACCGAATAAAAATGCAAAGTCCAATGTCTGGAAATGTTGCAAAGATACATCCCTACCGAAGATGGTGTGTGCCTCCCTTCGCAATAACAACAGAAGTAGATAAGTCTGCCAATATATATAATGGCTAGATCTGGCTTTCTTGCGATGATATTGTAGATAGTCAATATAACTTGTAGTCCTCTCAGACAGTATGAATATGCACAGCAGTACCCCCATGGGCAGCCTATAAGACTTGGAGTGTCTTCAGTTTACAATCACAGTCCGGGGTATAAAAAGGTGCTTAATTCTACTGGGGTGAATGTGGTAATCAGTCGACACGAGATACAAACCTTGTAGGCAGTAGAAGAGGGATATATACCTTGGTATGAGTTGCACAGGCCGAATAAATCTAAGTCAGCACTGGAAATCCTGCCGTGAAGCTATTTCCAAGCGGATGTAAATAAAGTTTGACATGTTTGCAGGATTTGATACAAATGTATTGCTTGGCTTGTTTTGCCTGTTTGCTTGGATAAACCTGCTTTGGATGTTTGGCTGGTTTGCTCTTCGTACCTTTTCATATCAAAACATAGGGCCATGATAAGATGAAGACTCACGCACGCTATAATATCTCACAATGAGAGTGAAGTTTGTCGCAGTAGTATCAATCTATCAAAATCCAATGAATGAACCAGCCTCAATTTTATGAAACAGACACAGCTTCAGGACTCTCTACCCGACACAGTCCGAAGTCCAGACTCGTATCTTATCGATAACAACACGTGACAGTGATTATTTTTGCGGTCTCCTGGATCGCCCCAATTGCAATCTGCTTTTTTTTATCATCCCTTTCCCAGATTTCCATCATCATTCAAAATGTTTGGAACGATTCGCCGATTTGGCGGTTCCAATGCGCTCCGCGCATCCCTACCTCGCTCTCTCTCAACAAGATGGGCTTCCCAACTGCCAAAGATCCAAGCTCCGTTGGCTTCTTCTGCTTTGACGAGATCGCTGCACTCTTCCTTCCCCAGATTCTCAGCTGTTGCTCAAGAATCTGTTGAGACCGAGTCGCCGAAGCCTTTCCAAGAGTTCTCGGAACTCGGTGAACAAGGCTTGGTTAACACAGCGATCATCAAGAACATCACCGATGCTTCCCGGATGAACCTCAAGACCATGACTGAGGTGCAATCCATGACTCTTCAAGAGATCGTTAAGGGCACTGATGTGTAAGTCTCGATACGTGTTAGGAATGGCCCGAGATGAATCCAATCGCTAATCTATTATTTTTTTTATCAGCCTTGCCCAAGCTAAGACAGGAACTGGAAAGACTCTTGCTTTCCTTCTTCCCACCCTTCAAAATATCCTCAATGATCCTGGCGTCGACGTTTCCAAGGTTGGACGTTACTCCAGAACCGCTCCTTCCGAGATTCGTGCCCTTGTCATTTCGCCTACCCGTGAATTGGCCGAACAGATTGCTGTTGAGGCTAAGAAGGTCGCCTTCGGCACTGGCCTCATTGTGCAGACTGCTGTTGGAGGTACCCAGAAGCGCCACGGCCTGATGAAAATTCAGAGAGAGGGCTGCCATCTCCTCATCGGTACCCCAGGACGCCTCAAGGATATTCTATCCGATCCTTGGACTGGTGTCGCTGCTCCTAAGCTCAACACTTTAATCCTTGACGAGGCAGACCGTCTGCTTGACCAAGGATTTGCTCCTGATATCAAGGATATCCAGGGATTCCTCCCCGATCCCTCCAAGGTTGACCGCCAGACACTCATGTTCTCTGCTACTGTTCCCCGTGAAGTGATGTCTCTGGTGCGCCAGACTTTGAAGCCCGGTTTCGAGTTCATCCAGACTGTTCGTGAAGATGAGGTTCCTACCCACCACAGAGTGCCCCAAAAGGTCGTCCGGTTACGCGGTCTTGAGAACGGCATGCCCGCTCTCCTCGAAATTGCCAAGAATTACGAAGCCCGTCGTAGCAGCGGGGAGGACCTCCGTCCTTTCAAGGCCATCGCCTATTATAACTCGACTGCGGAGACCAAGGCTGCCGCTGACGCTTTCAACAACCTTCGTCGTTCCCAGAACTTCGGTCAATCCCCTATGGGTGAACTGAAGATGCTCGAGATCAACTCGCGTCTGACCCAGGCCGAGCGTACTCGCAGTGCCGAAAGCTTCCGCAGATCCCCCACTGGTATCCTGTTTTCCTCGGACGTGACTGCCCGTGGTATGGATTTCCCCGACGTTACCCACGTCGTTCAGATCGGCGTCCCCCGTGACACCGAGACCTACATTCACCGTCTCGGTCGTACTGCCCGTGCCGGCAAGGAGGGTGAGGGCTGGCTCCTCATCCACGATGGCGAAGAGGGCGTCTACCGCTCCCGTCTCGGCCGTATCCCCATGCAGCAGGGTGCTCTTCCTGCAGCCAAGGCCGACATGTCCCAGGTGACTCCCGAGTTAGATTCCAATGATACTGTCAGCCAGATGAAGGCCGCCATGGTCGGCGTCGGTATGACCCACAAGATTAAGTCTTTCATGGGCCAGCTTGGCACACTCAACGGCAACTTCTCTAGCAAGAGATATGCTATTGAGGCTTTGAACCAGCAGTTCATTGACGGATTTGGCATGGAATCTGCCCCTGAGATCAACCCCCGAGTTGCCCAGCAGATGGGTCTCAGCAGAATCCCTGGTGTCAACATTGGCCACGGCTCGCGTCAAGGAGCCATTGGAAATATGGATGACATGTTTTCTCGCGGTGGTGCCTCGAATGGCGAACGCGAATTCTCCCGTGGTGGAAGCCGCGGTGGATTCTCACGCGGGGGTGACCGTTCATTCTCCCGCAATGACCGTGGTTTCTCCCGTGGTGACCGTGGTGACCGTGGTGACCGTGGTGGCTTCTCTCGTGATGGAGGCCGTGGCGACCGTCGCGGAGGCTACGGTGACCGCCGCGGTGACCGCGGCTCATCACGCCCCCCTCGTCGTAACTTGGACGAATTCAACTTCTAAGGGCTAAATTGGGTTTCGATTTTTGCCAGTCACGTTTGTGGCTCCGCTGCTTTTGATACTTGGCGCCAGGAATGCCTTTTATGGGTTCAGATGAACGAAAAGTGAAAGGAAGAAGCAATCATCGCATCGGGTGGCGTTTTGTCTCTTTCTTGAATTGCCTGTGTACTATACACCCTTCGTTGGGTGCTTGTCTTCTAATTTAGACTTCTCTCCTCTTGTCTTATACTCTGTTTCTCCTTTGCGGGATTTTCTTCTGGATTTTGAGAAGCTGGCTTGTTTCATTCCATGTACAATATTTCATTTATCAGCCTCTACATCCAGGAATTCATTTTAATTCATCGAATGAGCATATATTATGATGAAAGTGTTGAAATCCGATATAATCTCACATAGGTTGAGTAATGTAGCTTCTAAGCAGATCCATTTTGGAGACATCTAATCGTTGAATATGAAACAAAAAGAGACCTTATATCACACATCCCAAGTATATCGAATATGAAATGACATAATAATCAAACAGAGAAATCAAGAGACACTTATTCACGGGCAATCATGTGCTCTCTGGCAGGGCCAGTACCAATCCACTTAACGGGAACACCACCAATCTCACGTTCAATGAACTCGATGTAAGCGCGAGCATTGGGAGGCAAATCCTCATAACGAGTGACGCCCATAGTGTTAGACTTCCAGCCAGGAAGAGTAACGTACTCAACCTCAATCTTCTCAATAACGTTGGGATCCGCAGGGAAAGTACCAGTAGTGCGCTTTCCACAGGGCAAGCGGTAAGCAACACCGACCTTGATCTCATCAAAGTCATCAAGAACATCGAGCTTGGTCAAGTTGAGCGCGGTGTAGTGGTTAATGGCGTGCGAGTAGCGGCACAGAACGAGATCCAGCCATCCGCAGCGGCGACGACGGCCAGTTGTCACGCCGAACTCGCGGCCGACCTGCTGCAGCTTCTCGCCGTCGGGGTTGAGCTGCTCGCTGGGGAAGGGACCGGAACCAACGCGAGTCGTGTAGGCCTTGACCACGCCAATAACGGACTTGATGTTGGAGGGGTTCAGAGCCAGAGCTTGCACGGCACCGCCAAGGCCTGTTGACGATGAGGTCACGAAGGGGTATGTGCCGTGGTCGAGGTCGAGCATCAGGGCGTTGGCGCCCTCGACCAGTGTGTTGGGCGAGTTCTTGTGCTCCTGCAGGAACTCGAGTTGGTCGACGATGTGGGGCTTCAGGAGGTTGCGGTATTCCTAGGTATGAGTGTTAGTGACATATCGTAGCTAAATTGCCGTCAGGAAGGAGGCCTTCTCTGCGTCCTCATTCCTTCTCAGGTGATCTTGATTCGGTGGGTTGCGGGATTCGTGATCCTGCATGAAACCCCCTCTGAGTCACACGTACCTTGAAGCGGTTGATCTCATCCTCGACGTCGTATGCGATGTCACCGTAGCGTGTGCGGTAAGCGGTGTCGAGAGTGCGCAGCTTGCGCTCGAAGGTTTGCTCGTCGAGAATCTCACCGACGCGCACACCACGGCGAGCAGCCTTGTCACTGTAGCAAGGGCCGATACCCTTACCGGTGGTGCCAACCTTGCGGCCACCGAGACCCTTCTCCTCAAGACCATCAACAACAGAGTGCAAGTCGAAGCAGACGTGCGCGCGGTCAGAGACGAAGATGCGCTGAGCAGCGCCCTTCAGACCCTTGGTCTCGATGGCGGCCAACTCCTTGAAGAAGCTGGGGACGTGGAAGACGGTACCGGCACCGATCAGGTTGATACACTTCGGTGAGACGAGACCGGAGGGCAGAATGTGGAAGTCGTAGGTGACGTTCTCGTGAACAATGGTGTGGCCGGCGTCTATATTCAATCAAAAGAAGCGGGTTGGTCAGTCTTTGTCCCGCGCTCTCGAAAGCCCATTTCGAAACTCTAGGGTAAAGGAATTGGAATCCATAGGGGAATTAACGTACTGTGACCACCAGCTGCACGACAGCACAGCGTCGCCTGCTGCGACAGCATGTCTGTAATCTTTCCCTTTCCTGTCCTCTGTTAGCGACCATCTCCGCGTTCGGGGGGAGGCTTGGTCCGTACCTTCATCTCCCCATTGACTGCCTAGAACGATAGAAACCATGATTTCTGAATTGGCAAGGTAATTGCTCGGTCAAAGAAGTCCGATTCAGTACTGTGTCCGTCAAAGGTGGTGGGGGTAGAAGAGAATATGTCTGGAGCCGATAGCGGGGCCAAGAGATTTGCCGGTGTGCTTTTCTCGTTCTTCCAAGGTTGACTTCGGCGAATCATACACCCAGTTACCAATTTAATGCTAGGAAATTTTATGAGAAGATGGCATCTATTCATCATACCTTGCCCTTTTCTATCCCAGTGAGTCAGACCAACTCAACTTTTCTTTATCCCGCATCCGATCTAGCGGGGTGGCGGGGCGTGTTTCAGCCTTGATGCCTGAGTGCCTTGACACCTTGACACCCTGATGCCTGAGTGTCAGCATTTCGTCATGTGTAGGCCTCAGGCCAGAAATTAGGGCAAGGGTTTTTTACTTCGTCTTGCGTGGCAAGAGAGCTTGCAAAGACGATGGAATCATGGAGTTATTGGAGTATCCAAGATATCATGTTTTCGGTATTAGAGATGACATTGCACCGGGAGTTTTGCTCAAGTCATACTACTCCAATAAATAATCTATCAAAGAATTCTAGAATGTTTCATATCTTACAGGTTCTGCACTACAAGTGTCTACATAGGCTTCATCTACTTTTAATTAAATAGCTCAGCCCTCTGTTGTCATGTATCATCCGCATATTAAACCAAACCGAAGAAACCAGCATCCAGTGCCTGTCGAAAGATAGCATCAGAGGCGAAGTTATCCTGTGCTGAGGACTTCATAGTCCCTACTGCACCAGGTGAATTGGAATACAGTATCTCCCAACTGCCTATAGAACAAATTCAACTTGTCGTTATCAATGTTTGGGCCCAGCGGTGGGTGGCTGGTCTCTTTCATGCTGAGATCTGGAATGTACCAGGCCTTGGTCAAGCACAGATTGTGGAGGATATCTCCAGAGAACATTATCATGTCTCCCCGAGAAAACTAGATGATCAAAAAGCCTACACAGTGAGATATCATCCGGAATATAACACTGTAGAAGCCAGCCTTAGGATCACATTGCGTCTCGGGTATACCACCTCTGTGCTTTGCAATAAAAGCACCGAATGCTCGTAGTGTGATTTCCTTGTACACCCCCCGAGCCAAAGAAGACATACATGCATAAGGGCACATGCAATGTGAACCATACCGAACCAACAGCCTTGAAATACAAAGGAAGTAAAACGTCAATCACGGGTCTCGTACGGTCTCCGCAACTTCCCCAACTTCCCCACACCTCATTTCTTTCTCTCTTTCTCAGATCAATGCCCCAATGCAGTTCTCTGAAAATCCATCCCCAAGTTATGCAATGAATGAATGGGCTCGCCAATCCCATTCAAATCCCCATACGTACACCCCATCCGAATCAACAGATGCGCCGGCCTTCGCCTCTCCTCTTGGCGCCGCCAGCTGGGGCCACGATGGGTTCTCCCACGATCCTGGCTTCTTAGCCTCGCAAGAAGAGCTGCGATGTATGCTTTTCAATATTGCGCACTCTGCCGCCCCAACTCGGGACCCGAGCCCGGACACGGGTGCCAATGCAAGCGACGCGCCGCAACGCCGTGGAAGCGACCGGGCGGCGCGTCCTGTCCTGTCGAATTTGAGGAGGATTGAGTATTTGAAGAATTATGTTGGGCAGGTTGCGCCCTGGGTGAGCTTTCTTATACTCCAGTCTTAGAGTTCGAAAGTCACCATCGCTAATGCGACTGTAGCTTGACATGTTTGATTCGCAGTGTACTTTTCGGGTTCAAATTCCTGCCTTAGCACGCTCATTTCCTGCCCTGTTGAATGCTATTCTTGCCATTTCTGCCAGGCAAATGGAGAGGAAAGAGGGAATTCAGGACTCGTTTGATAGCCTCGAACTTTATCAGGAAGCAATCCGCCTATTGAGTCCGTTGCTACAGATGCGTGACCCTAAGGTTATTGCGGCTTGTGTGTTGCTCTGCTGTCTCGAAATGATGTCTGCTCGCGCGCAGGATTGGCACCGCCATCTCGAAGGATGCGCGGCCCTTTTTGATTCATTTGAGATCAATGGGTTCAGTAGTGGCCTTTTACAGGCTGTTTTCTGGTGCTATGCACGAATGGGTGAGATTTCAGAGTTCATACAGCTGAAACAAGAGTTGGTTGATGGCTAACTATCTAGATGTGTGCGGTGCGCTTATCTCTGATGGGACACAGAGCACCCTCCTCCCTCCTGGTAAATGGCTGGCGCCTGGTTGCCATGTAGATGAGGCCGCGCAACATTTTCAAGCTGCAAAATCCCCGGATATGCACGCGAATTACGCCGTTTACCTATGTGCAAAGACGTGCGAGCTGGTGGCAGATCGTACTCAGTTCGTTGAGCTGGGCGTGAAGAATGACTGCTCTGGTGAAGCTCTGAATCGCCGCTGGCTCCGACTTTGGGCTGATCTGCAAGATTGGATGGAAAACAGACCATCCGAATTGTTACCAGTTCACACTACCACCACGAAACCGTTTCCATACATTCTCTTCATGCAATGGGCAGCGATTTCTTCGAATCAGCTATATCATACATCTTGCATTTTGCTACTTAATATGATGCCAAAATCTATCAAGTTGCAACCAGTACCCGCTATTTCTGCGTTGTGGCACGCAAGGCGAATTTGTGGTATCTCTTTAGCTAACCCACATCAAGGATGTTTGAATAATGCCATTCAGCCACTTTGGATTGCAGGGCGTCTCTTTAGCCATGTGTCAGAACATGCTATTATCATTGATCTTATTCGTCACATTGAAGCCGAAACTGGATGGGGTGCCTGCTGGCGTATCAGAGATTTGGAACTTGCCTGGGGATATCAAGTACCTCGTCCGGAAAGGTCCAGTGGGAGATATCGAAATCCCATAACAGGGTGATAACGAGGCGAAAGTGAGAGTCAAATGGACACTCCTGTTTCATGTCTCATCGAGAAGACCCCATTCCGCTCGCAGACCTTGCACAGAGTCATGGGCGTTCCACCCTGTAATCGTGCGGATGTGATCAAACCCTCGCAGCACCTCCTGTTGTTGCGACTCGTGGGTCATCCGACGAGCTGCCACAAAGAATGAGGCCAGAAGGCATGGATCCCAGCATTCCCGTCGGTCATTGTTGAGAGCAATACTGCATATCCGCTGCGCATGCCACAGTGGTGACATGGCAGCAGAGTGAAAGTCGGTGATCCGCGCAGTGCGCGGTTTATTATGTAGTAGGATGAGCATCGCTGTATGGTAAAGTTGATTACCGAACAAGCCAGCTCCATTGGCAAAGAGAACAAAAGGGAAGCTCCTTTCCGGCCCAGCCAAATGGTCATTCATCTCTAGTTCTAACATGGGTTGAAACTCCTGCGGTCGTTCTCGATACCATTGCTCGAGCTCCTCCACTAGCTGCATCCATATATGCAGGGGAGGGCGATCAGGCGAGATGTCATCATTGTGCATGAATTGAATTGCTCTTGCGCAGAGCCACAAAGGCCGATATGCGTAGTAGAAGACCATTTCATATGGGTCGGCCACCATATCCAGTTCAGTCAGATAGGGGAATGTTGGTGGCAGCGGCACCTGCACATCAGTATCACCTGCGAGTGCGGCTCCGACATCTGTAAGCGTTCATAAGCTAGATGCCATGATAAATATCGATTTATAGCAGCGAGAGTCCATACCAAGTCTGGCAAAGAGCCAATAAATAGCTGCGTTCAGGTCTCTGCCTACTGCGTGAGAACTTAACGCATTCAAAAGGCTGGTATTGCAGTGCCGTTTCATCGTCCACGCAGTGGTCAAGTTCGTGATGGACTCCATCACGAGGCTAAGGGTGTCAAGAAGAGCGAAACATGTAATATTATCCATGACATCCTCATCGCCAAACGGAGGAAGTAATCGACTTCCTTCTTTGCGTGTGTCTTGTGGGTGAAGCTGATTAAACGATGTTTCAGACAGATTTAGTATAGATTTCCAGATGGCTGGCGATCGCATCGCGATCTGAAGGGCATTGATTCCAAAAGATTGCCCCAGGTCACATATGTCCAACTTTTGAACTTATAGTCAGCGTTCAGCCCCAGGTTTCGATAGTCATGCCAACTTACCCAGGAAGCTACTTCATAACGATAGTGTCGCAGTAAAGCCTGTATTTCAGTCGGCGAAATTTCATCACCCGTGAACCCAGGAGGATGCCAAGATTGTATAGAAAAGGAGAATCGGCTATGCGACAAATGGGACGGTACCGTGGAGCTATTCAGAGGGATTCTGTTAGGGGATGAAACCGCAAAGTCCGCCGTTCTCAGCTCAGGCTCATTCATGCTAGTTCCTAGCGCCAACAATCCCGCAACAGCCGATTCATCCTTATCACTAAGAGCTACCGTAGAACACTGTTCCTGCACACTGTGAGATATCGGCTCCTCTGACCAAGAAGGGGGGACATCGTTGTTGCTGGGTGCATGGCTGAGAGGATTCGAGTCGACAACTTCCTGCGATTGCGGCAATAACTCGATATGAGAGGATGCATCGTTCATACCATCATCATCGGCGTCAGCCTCGGTATTATCATTTTGGGGCTCTTCATTGATAAACTATAGCAATAGTCAGGTCTGTGCCCCGCCTCGGCTCGCCAGTAGACCTACCCTGATGGCCTCATAACTTGCAGATATAGTGTCGACTTGTGAATTTTGAATGGTGTGTGCATTCTTCGACAAAAAGGTCAATTGGGGACCATACTGGCATTGGAAGTTGCGATCAATGCAGTTCCGACATCGCGGTTTGCCCTCATCGCCTATAGACCGTTAACTCGACAGTTCCACAAGGTTGGGACATGCATACACTTTCGCCTGCGCACTCTACAGCGCATGCATCCAGTGCGACATCGCGTCAGTCGACTTTGCCCTGAGCGGTTCGGCATGGCCTTGTCAGGATGTGGTGAAATGGTGCGGAGTCGAATCGGGAAGGTGAAAGAGGGCAATGTCCCAATCAGGTAATTGTAAGCACCATGTGGGGGCACATGACTTGCTTTGTCAGTGGATATCAAATTGGGCGTTATAGTTAAGTTATCCATTCGTCTTTTGCCTAAAACTGATCTATATCGCCTTTTCTACAGCTTGACAGTACCGCTAGCCAGACCTCGACTTTTCTTCCACTCGTCCACGATTCCAGCATATGCAGATGGCTTATACACCCCTGTCAGCTCTGTGTAAGCCCGTCCTCCCAGTCGATATGGATTCAAACCCAAATCTCGCATGAGAATGTCGTTGTACTAAACAAGCATTAGCGGAAGAGTTTTCAAATCTACTTTCAGGAACAAAATACCAAAATAGCATCAACTTCAAGTCCAGTTCCCGTCAATGCACCGAGTACCACATCCTCAGAGATTGAATCTTCCATCGAGTTCCCCAAGAAGTCTGCAAATGAAAGCCCATCCTCATTTGCTGAACTGACACTGTCTGCTGAGTCGAATTTCCCTGTGAGGAAGGCCGCCACCCAGAGTGCCTGAACCTCGGCAACAACAGCAATTGTCGACGACAAGAGTATACCGAGTGTCGCGAATGAGCGATCGCCCTGTGTAACTAATTCTGGGGAAACCATTCGGCGATAAAGACGGTAGGGCAATAGTTTAAGAGGTGCAGTCCATGAGGGAGGACGGCGATCTGCAAGAACACAGTTTGTCGCATGCAAAGTGCTCCGAACTTTCAATTCGGAGTGACGGTCCAGATTCTCCCAATGCTCAATGCTATCTTTCAGACTTGAACTCAGAGGTCCCCGAATAATCTCTGGCATTGTTGATAAGGCTTGATCTTCGCCATAGTCCTGGGACTCTGAATCCACCAGAGCAGACAACCCAAGATTCAGTCGAAGGCTGCGTGGGCTGAACTGGATCGGAACTATTGGCCTATAGCCAGTAGCGTGGACAACCAAATCAACGCCGTCAATGAAAATCCCATCTGACAGATGAACCACGGCCTTGCCAGCCGAGTCGATGGTTTCCTGTGAGTCTGGAACGTCAATGCTGGACATTCCTGCTCGGTAAATGTGCACATGAGGCAATCTGATTGCCTCCCAAAGATCTCCTTGATTTGCGATACCAATACCAGAGGCACAGGAAACAACACTAGAAATTGTAAACGAATGTTTCTTCAAAAAAATGCACCATCAAACTGACCTATTTTTCGGACGGATTTTCTCCAGTTTCGGATCTGATTCATATTGCGCTTCTTGTTCTAAGCTTTTGTCAATGGAGCGCCAAAACATCTTGATCCACCATCGACCCAGCGGGTTTCCATGGAAAAGCCGTGCCAGCCATCCTCCCTCCCACCGGAAGTCTTTGAAAGAGAATCGCTTTGGAGTCTCATAGCAGCATGGAGTTAGATGGCTGAGCAATCTAGTACTCGCGGCCTTGTCACTTGCAACGGTGTCGCCATTTGGGAGCGTTGACGTCGGGGGTACCATCCATGAAGGACCTGCACCTCGATCGCGAATAATCCAATGTACCTGGATCGGGCTCTTTTGATTGAGAGCGAGACGCAGCTTTGGGTCGTTGCGGTGCAGAGTAGCGAAGAAATGCACTAGATCGAAGGATGATTTTGCACCTCCATATATTGCAACGGACTTTAGATCTGGGTATCCAGATTCATTGTGTGGATGACTTGAGACCGACTGCAGCGGTACCTCCAGTGGCTGATATCCCAAGTGTTCACGAGCCCAGCTTCCAACATCCTTGGCGTGGATGACTGGAACAGGGTTGTCTGTCTTGGATGAGGTTTTCGTGTCTGGCAGATTTGGCACTGATGTTAGCCCTGTAGCGAGGATCAACTTGTCACAAAAGATAGTCATTCTCTGCGTCGAAGTGGGTGTGAATTTGGTGATGTTGAGCTTCCACTGCTTATTCTCCAACCGACTTATGTCGTCAACCTAGGGCTTGTTCAGAGATGTTATCACCTTGAATCAGCTTGAGGAAGCCTTACCATCCAGTTCAAACGAATGTGTCTTCGAAGCTTCCATTTTTCAACCCACGCATGAAGATACCGGTTGATTTTCCACCCTGCAATGAACTGATCTTTCGTGCCGTCTTGATAATTCTCCTCTGGAACAACCTCTGACAGAGCCAAATCGCTGAACTCATATAGACCATAGGAATTTTGGCTCAGTAAATTCGGATACAAACGTTCCTCGGCCCATGTACCTCCAATATCAGATGCGGAGTCCATGACCAGAAGACTTTCGGCGGCATCTCCTGAGGGTAATTGTTCTGCTGCTGTAAAGCACGAGGGCACATCAGTCAGGTCGATTTTGGTATCTGTGTCTCTGTCGTAGGCTCCCACGACTTGTAAATAAGTCTTTGCGGCAATGAGACCGTAGAGTCCTGGCTGGTTAGCGAAGCTGATACAAAATGACGAATTGCACATACCTGCACCGACAATAACGACGCGCGCCATGGCTGTTAAGATGGAAGATAGGGGGAAGTGGTCGAGGAGCCTAAAGACATGATGTTGGCACAATGAATGAAGCAACAATACCCCGGGTCTTGATATTGTTCTTGTGGGACACAAAAGCCAAAACCGAGTCTTCTTATCAAAGAAATGAGATTCCACAGTGGCGATGCAGTTTATCTCGGGATTCTAAATGTTTAAAATACTAGCGATTGAACATCCGGATAGATTGATACTAATAATACTTTACATTAGCTCGAGAAAATGCCATATTGTACAGCGTTATCAATTAAAAGATATCAGACATGTTAGCCCATGCTGCCAAATGGCAAACAGATGACCTCCCAAGAGAAAGTCAAGCGAAGGAACTTGAACTGCAATAACAAACACATATGATGCTGGTAGAACGGAAATCATAACACCTTTTCTCCTTCCGAGGGCTCAGAAAAAGAAGTGGACGCGACCGCAGTCGGCATTGAAATATCTAGACACACGCGCTATTGTCCAGGGAGCAAGAAATAAAAGAGGGAAAACATGTACATCTTCGAAAATGGTAAAACATCATGGACAGGCTCGATGGGCATCGAGATGAGGCACCGAAGTGCGGGATGGACGTGAGAGGATTTTAACAGGCACAGCCGTCGTTGTTGGTGGTCTCCTTGGGGTTGATATTAACATCGATCACTAGAGAATAGAGGTTAGTACCACGAGGGAGAGAGAGAGTCAAGGACTGGGAGTGAACATACTCTGGCTTTCGCCTTGCTTGGCCTCGCCTTCCATTCCAGGCAAAGCCTGGGCAATTCTCCGGAACAATTGCTTCACGTTATGTCCGACCTTTGCACTGGTCTCAATAAACATCAAGCCGTTCTTCTTTGCCTCTTCTTCACCTTGTGCGGTGGTGACCTCGCGCTTGTCGTTCAAATCAGTCTTGTTGCCTACGAGCACAATAATCACATCGTTTCCACGCTCTCCGCGGACATCGTCAATCCATTTTCGGGTGTTCTGGAAGGACTTCGCATTCGAAATGTCATAGACAACCACGGCGACGCTCGAGTCTCGGATATAGGACGGAATCAGGGAACGGAATCGCTCTTGGCCGGCGGTATCCCAGAGCTGAAGGCGAACGGTTCGGTCTTCAAGATACATGGTCTGACAAATCGAATTTAGTGAAATTCATAGATAGACAATCTTCAGAGGCGAAACAAGTGACTGAACGCCTGTGCGGGGTATGAATACCTTGGACAAAAAGTCGATACCGATAGTGGCCTGGTATGTGTTGTCGAACGAGTCGTACATGAAACGGGTGATCAATGAGGTCTTTCCGACTGTAGTACATGTCAGATCTTGTATTCATTGGGCTCGTGGACTAAGGCGCATGGCGATAAGGTGTAAAAAGATGGGAATGCTTACCACTCTGTTCGCCCAAGAAGACCAACCTAGATACTGCTGTTAACAATCCGTTCTAGTCTCGATGAATATGCTCTCGCGACTGACTTGAACTTCTTCAAGGGGTTCGAATACGACCCAACCCCGGAGGAGGCCATTGTACGGAGGAGGCGTTGAACGCGAGAAAGTCAGGGGAAGGAGGAACCACGGAGCGATAAGTCAGGGATCACACAGCAAACAATGTGCAAGCAGTCCACAAGAAACAAAGATATTCAAGATTCAGACAAGTGTCTCCCATAATAAATAAAGGAGGGAGATGTCTGGGGAAGCACAGCGCGCTGTCACCGCCCGAGCGGAGCAGTTAATCCGGTCCGGCCACCGAGTCCCCCCATCTCCCTCCAGCTCCATCTTGAAGTCCTGAGACGCGATATCTTCTCATTCATTCAGTTTCTAGAGGTCGTCATGGCTTACCTCTACCCGGTCGGTGTTTCCACCACCGCCCTTATTGTGGTCGGATTGTGTACGTTTCCTGCGATGCAAGATGCGATCTGGCAGCTAATGCGTTCCGACAGACATGCTCTTCCACGGTGAAGGAGAAGCTTTCAATGTACGAGTCTTAGTCTTCCACACCCTCCTGTGAACCCTTAGTCTAACTTGCATCGCATTAGGTCGGCCGTTTCCTGGAAGAGGTATCTCCCTATGCCTGGGCCAATATCGGAATCGCCATGTGTATTGGCTGCTCAGTTGTCGGCGCTGCATGGTAAGCTTATCTCCGCATAAATATCCAAGCCTCCCAATTCTTATCAGATGCATTTCCTTAGGGGTATCTTCCTTACCGGTTCATCGATCGTCGGAGGTGGTGTCAGAGCCCCCCGAATCCGTACCAAGAACTTGATCTCCATTATTTTCTGTGAAGTCGTGGCAATCTACGGTGTCATCATGGCCATTGTCTTCTCGTCGAAGCTCAACCCGGTCCCCGAGAGCGCACTCCACACCTCCAGCAACTATTACACCGGATATGCCATCTTCTGGGGAGGAATTACAGTCGGTGTTTGCAATCTCATTTGTGGTATCTCCGTTGGTATCAACGGTAGTGGTGCTGCTCTGGCCGACGCTGCCGATCCCAGTCTGTACGTGATTTCTCTGACCTTGTTCCTGATGCCCGGGATTTTTGCTTACTTGATTTCTTTTTCCAGATTCGTCAAGATTCTCGTCGTTGAGATCTTCAGTTCCGTTCTGGGTCTGTTTGGACTCATTGTTGGTCTTCTCGTGGCCCAAAAAGCCTCAGCATTGGAGGCAGCGTAAGTCGAATCGGCTTTTCTAAAGAAGATTCAAAATTGGGCGGTCAGCCAGGGAAACACAGTCCCCTCACGATTTCGCTTCACTTTCTGTGTCTAGTTCATGTTTCGATATACACCGCATTGGGGCGTCTGGGGTCGCGTAGAGCCCTACTGGGGGACTTGCATCTGGAGATTATGTGTACAGTAAAGAGTACCAAGAACTATCATTCCCTTTACTTGTTATGTAAGACATGAATTAGACCTAATTGGGTAGTTATAGCCAGGCACTTCGTATAGAAAAGGTTGCCCTAATAAACGTATTCGGGCTGTGATAGTCCGTTATCGTCCCTTATATAAAGAGTCTTCCCACCCCACTTCTCAGATCACAACACAACATGGACAAACTTCGAGCTGCGATTTTGATAGTCTCCGACACAGCCTCGGCGAACCCTGCATCCGACAAGGTTGTTGATGCCTTGACGCCCATCTTCGCTGCTGAGGGCAAGTGGGAACCCCCCGCATTCAGGATCGTCCCGGATAACGTGGGCCAGATCCAACAATGCATCCGCGAGTGGGCTGATGGTACGGATTGGTATAACCTCATTCTGCTCAGCGGAGGGACAGGGTTCGCAATCAAAGATAATACTCCGGAGGTAAGTGTTTACTGTCAATTGACGCTGTCCGTGCTAATGACATCACAGGCCGTGTCCCCCCTGATTCAACGCCATGCCCCCGGATTAGTGTGAGTCTTCTCGGGTTTCCTTGGCCGCATTGACGCTAGTAAACTAACCAAGAAGTGAAGACACGGCATGATTGCGGCCTCTCTGAAGGTGACGCCCTGTATGTGACACCAGAGGGTGCTGCCCTGGTATCTCTCCCGAGTATTTACTGCATGCTAACTCCCGCCTCAGTTGCTATGATGGCCAGACCGGTTGCAGGTGTTCGTGAGAAATCGTTGATTATTACGCTTCCTGGATCACCAAAAGGAGCCCTGGAGAACCTTGAAGCTGTCGTGAAGCTGTTACCACATGCCTGTATGCAGGCTGCTGGTGCCAATTCACGAAACCTCCATGCTGGAGGCACGGCAAAACTGGAATCAGAAGCAGGCATCAGTGTTCAGAAAGATCAGACTCAGCACCAACCCCAGAACCACCATCATCATCATCACCACCACCACCATGGCCATGATCATGGCCATGGACACAAGGTTCCAAAGGCACATACATCGCCTTCGGACCGACCACAGTCCAATGACCCTAGTGCAGGTCCTAACCGGCGCTATCGATCCTCTCCTTATCCAATGCTCTCCGTAGACGAGGCATTGAGTCGAATCAATGAGCAAACCCCCGACCCAGAGATCATTGAAGTTCCAGTGACAACGTCCTTGATCGGTTCGGTCATTGCCGAAGATATATATGCTGCTGAAGCTGTCCCGGCCTACCGAGCTAGTATTGTGGATGGTTATGCCGTCATTGCACCAGACTCTGGCAGCACAGGCCCGTCCACAAAGGGTGTCTTCCCTGTTGCATCAATCACCCATGCCAATGTCGGTGGAAACCTAGAGCCATTACAACCAGGCACCATCGCTAGAATCACCACCGGTGCCCCTCTCCCCCCTAACGCAAATGCTGTAGTCATGGTCGAAGACACAACCTTGGACGCATGCACACCAGACGGCAAAGAAGAAGCAACCGTCGAAATTCTGACTGCTGACATTGAGCCCGGCGAGAACGTCCGCGAACCAGGCAGCGATGTCTCACTGGGCTCGAAGATCCTCGCCAGAGGCGATCTAATCACCCCCGTCGGTGGAGAGATCGGTTTGCTAGCTTCAACAGGCACAAAGACCATCAAGGTCTTCCGCAAACCGCGCGTAGGCGTTCTGAGCACAGGCGACGAGCTGGTAGAACACAACGACCCTCGCCCCCTCACAGGCGGCCAAATCCGAGACTCAAACCGTCCATCTCTAATCTCCTGCCTAACCTCATGGGGCTTCGAAACCATCGATCTAGGAATCGCCCGCGACACCCCAGCCGGCGAACTAGAGGTTGCACTCCGTGACTCCCTCCGCGGCGTAGGCCGCGCCTCATCAAGCGTTGACGTGATCATCACAACAGGCGGCGTCTCAATGGGTGAGCTAGATCTCCTCAAACCGACAATTGAACGCTCCCTCGGCGGGATTATCCACTTTGGCCGCGTCTCTATGAAACCGGGCAAGCCAACCACCTTTGCTACCGTCCCCTTCAAAGCCACCAGCGATGTAGACTCGGCCCAATCTGAACGCCAGTCGAAGCTCATCTTCTCTCTCCCTGGCAACCCAGCCTCCGCTCTCGTTACTCTCAACCTCTTCGTCTTGCCTTCATTGCACAAGCTCACGGGTCTGGGTCATAGTTCTCAGGCTCCCGGTTCAAGACCATGGCTTGCGCCGCAGCTTGGTCTTCCTCGCGTGGCTGTTGTCCTAACACATAACTTCCCACTGGATCCTAAGCGTACAGAGTATCACCGTGCTATCGTGAGCGCGTCTCGATCTGATGGCCGGCTACATGCGACTAGCACAGGAGTTGAAGGGGCTGGACAGAGGAGTTCCAAGGTGGGCAGTCTGGCTAAGGCGAATGCCCTGGTGGTTTTGCGTCCCGGGAGTGGTGTTGCGGCTAAGGGGGATACTATTGAGGCTTTGTTGATGGGTGATGTTCATGGTTCTGATACTAGCTTTGATTGTTAGTATATTTTCGATGGGTTGGTTGTCTCCAGGACTGGATCTCCAACTTGATTGATTTAACTTTCTATATATGAATTTGATCTAAGCAGGCCGCTGAAGAATGCCAAAAACAGCAAAAGCCTGGTCCCTTATTGCCTATTGAGAATAATCTCGACTCTGAAATGCAAATCTTGAGTAGAATGATATAGACGATGTTGAATGGAATGGAAGGTCTGGAGTTCTAAAGTCGCAGTTGAGGCTCTCGTCCTTGTTATAAGCGTATCTTTGCTGTCATTTATCAAAAGCAAACAATGATTCAACAGCTCTCAATTATCTATCCGTGCATGCCCAAAGCACATGAGACCAAACCCATAATTGGGCGACAAAACGCCAAAGGCCAATGCTAGATACTCTATTTACAAAGCAAAGCACTATGCCACCGTAAATAACCCAAAAACCCGGAACTAAATAGCCCCCTTAGAGTATTTCCACCCCTTCTTCTTCTCAGCCCGAAAAGCAAGTAAAGTCCCCTCACGTCCCTGCTTTCTAGCAATCTCAACAACCAAAAACCTTACAAAATCCCCAAGAGTCCAGTAACTACTATGCGCACTCAGCATATTGAGGTACTGAATATTCAGTGGGCCCCCGCCCCCAGAAAGGTAATAGTCAATCTGGCCATTCTCGTTGAGGAGAAGCATGCGTTTCTCGGCAATTTCCTCGCGAGTGAAGTCGTGTGTTTCGAGTTCCACGTTTGAAGGGAGTTTTGAGACTGCTGCGGGTCGTGTTGGTGCTGCTGATGGGAGGAATGAGATTGGTGCTGTACTCCAGCGGAAAACACTGCCGAAAGATTGCCAAAATGTTGAGCTGGAGCTGGGGATTGAGGCCATTTTTAGAGAGTTGGAGAGGTCGCTGTCAACTGCTGCGTTGACGCGGTAGGCGATTGCTGGTTTTTTTATTAGTTTATCCTCACATAGGTGACAGGGTATGAACTTACGGTCGGTAGTGTGCATGATATTGTATAGATTATCCACCGCGAGACAGCCATAATGGCCTGGTTCGCCCGCTACACCACGCAATCTGTCGTCGCCATCACTGCCTATTTTATCTCTGCCTTTGCGGGGTAGGAGGCTGGCTGTACGATGTTAGATACACGCTCAGAACCACAGCTTTGCAATCTTACCTTTATTTAGAAGGAGGAAGAAACCAACTGGGCTTCCACAAAGGAAAAGATGTCTTGTGTCAAACTCGAAGATGTCACTGTGCAGTGCAGTATCGGAGAAGTCAAAGCGAGGGACATGTGTTGGCTGATTACTGAGAATGTCGATAGCCATCACACTTCCCAGGGAATGAGCGAGGAGGTGTACACGCCCATTCTCCTGGAACCCTGGGTTGTTTTTACACCAGAGGCGGTACACGCGATTAGCTTCTCTGACCACTGCTTTGACCATCTTTGGTTTATGATGTGACAAATAGTATGGAATGTCAAGCATCACGTCACTTATCAACGATCGAACAGCTGGAAGTGTCTGAGGAGTGATATCTTCCAGTGAGAAGTTATTTGCAGTTGGGTCCTCAACGCTTGCTTCAATATCGGGGTCATCCAGAGACAGCTTCGTGCGCCAGTTCACGGGAAGTACCATGATTCCTCCATGGTCTTGGCGCACATGTGGCCAGACCGGTTCATTATTTAGCTCCATATTGACTTCTCGTCGGAATGCATTGATAGCGTGCGTGAAATGGAAGCTTTCCATTCTTTCAGATAACTTCTGCCCGATACCGTGAATGACGAGTACCAAGTCTGTCGGGGGCGGTCGGGACTCTTCCATCTTGCAAGCGTAGCAAACTTGCTCACCTGGCGCAGAGGGATTTCGGGATTGGGTTTTGCGGACGTAATGGCGCACATCGATGGGATTGGGCTTGGACGGGTGCAGTTGCTCCCATAGCTTTCGACTAAAGCCTCGCACCACCGGTATCCCTATCTGCCTCCCTTTTCTGATCGCCCCCAGCGGTTTTCGTCCCCTCGAAGATGAGGGAAGGAGGCTGGGTCGAAGAACCTGAGCGTTTACCGCGTCGACGAAAATGGCACTAGAAGTGAGATAGGGCTTGATATTCTCAGATTGAAGAGAAGTGCCGCCAGCGGCTTCGTTGTTGTCAAATATCAAGATATCATCTGCTCCAGTCGATTCAAGGTCACCTGTTGCAGGATTCGGTTCAGCTTTAAGTCGTTGTTCCTCCTTTGTCCACAATGGATGAACGACTTTCATTTCAGCATCAGCACCGTTTTCCACACAGCTGTTCAGCTCATCCTGCCAAGTATCACTCCAAGGTTTCAAATAGACGTAACCTTCCTCCAATTTGTTTGCAAGGTCCGCCTCAACAGGGTACATAGTGTTTTTGTAAAACCAAGTTGCTCGAACAACAGTCGATATGTCCTGGAGAGGGCTCCAATAAATGGGTTTCATCTGGATAATGTCAGTTTCATTTCAGGCACAAAGGGGCATGATTTCATACTTTGAGATTCGGCAGTTCCACTAAGTGAAGTCGTGAAACACCCACTGGAATTTTTGATTGCGTATTTGGCTCTTCTGTCCGCTCACCTTGCGAGTCTTGAGTCAATTGATCCAGACTCACAGTCGTTCTGAGGCCAGAAGGCTTCGGTACACTCCGAGGAGTAGAACTGACTAGCACTTCAGCCTGCAAATCCAGCCTTCTGTCCTTCGAGGAAGTAGACTCATACGACCGACCGAGTGGTGTATGAGACTGAGAGGTAGGCGCTCGTAGGAAAGGCGAGCCACTGATACTTGCATCACGAGAACGATTGGCGCGTACACCGCTCATCTCCTCATCTGCGTCCTCTGGATCCAAATTAGAGCTGCTTCTGCGCTTGGTCGCGCTAGACTCATTCACAGAGGAAGACCGCGCTCGTTTCTGATCGATAGAACTAGCCGCAGGAATATTATATCCCATGCCATCATCAAGAGATGATCCCACTCGGTCTATTTTTCCAAAAGCATGCGCTCGCACCCCAGAACTAGTCGTGAATGCGAGCTGAGACTTGTGACTTCGAGAAGGTACATCGTCTGGGAATGGAGGAGTATTGCTGACAGCACTTCCCCTGCTGCTGATAAACTCAGGATCTTCTCGAATAGAAGCCTTTGGGTGGCTCTGAACGTTCGATTCTAATTCATGACCTGGCACAGCTATTCCAGGAGGCCCTGTCGAAGTTGGAGGCCTAGAGCCATGTTGTCCCGCGAGTTTGGTTTTCCTCGCCTCCCGCAGATCGCGCCAAGCATCCTCCAAGGCGATGTTATCCCTAGCGGAAAAGGGCTTGGGTGGTATCCTTTCACTCCCAGCTCCTTGACTGGCTGGCGGAGGCAGAGCAGCTAGTGGGTCATCGATTGGCAACGATGAGACGTAAAAGAACTGTGCCTGGATCTCTGGTGGGTCAGGACGTGTCTGGAAGCTGGTAAGATCTGATTCCTCATCCGATAGCAAACAGCTTTGACCGTAGGTGTGAATCGGGCCCGTCATTGCGGGTGTCGCTGTTCACGCCAGCTGAGCTCCACTCCGATCTCCGATGATGCTAAACGCGGATCGTACAGATGGTCATTGGGGGCCTGTCTGTTCACTCCACCACGCGATCGGAAACACCCGCACGCTGGAAGATTGCATATGGAGAATTTGGAGTGTTAGGAATTGAGAGAAAAGAGACGATGCGAGCGGTGACGACCTTGGAAAGCCCGTGATCGATAAGCCGATGACGTCGCCCCACGTGTTTATCTACAAACTATGGAGTTTGAGGAAACTTGGCCATGAGTGACATTGATTTCTAGCTACTACTACCAGCTTATTTCTCCATTTTTCACAGGCTACATCATACTGAAAAAAGAACAGAACAAAGATACGAAAGTCGGGCAACAGAAGAACCGGCAACTAGGGGGATCTCTCAATTTCATAAAACAAGTGACAAAAAACTAATAACAAGCGATATCGGAGACAGGATGAAATTAAGATAATGATAACCCCTATGTTTAATGCCAGGATGGTAATCATCCAAGCTTGAGCTTGCCATGTTGAGAGGCCGCTCAGTGACGGCCACGCTCACGAGTCGGAAGTGCGCCACAGCGAGAAGACTTTGCCTGCAACGCCATTTGATACTGGCTACGCTCAAGAGAAAGCTCAGCAGGACGGCCAACATGCTCAAACGCAGCAACCTCATCACGTGAAAGAGGCAAAGGGGTCTCAGAAGCAAAGGAACCCCGCGAACCCTGACGGCGGCGTGACTGAGGGGTCTGGGGAGTACGAGAAGACCGCGAACCCGAAGAAGCTGTATTCGTACGATGCAAGATGGAACTCAAAGTCATGACAGGAGTGCTGGGCGTACTTGGAACGCTGGATGCGTCCGGAGCATCACCAGCGCCAAAGGACCCGCGGCCGATACGAGAAGCACGGACTTGGAGGATCTCCTCGCGGGTACGCATGGCAAGGGTCTGCATCGCCTCCATGGTAGAGGAAGGGGCATTCAGAAGTTCGAGGATGCCCTCGATATCATGCAAGTGTTTGCGGACGGCGGAATCGGGGAGACAGAAGGATCGAACATTTGTCTCGACGCAGACGGATTTCCAGTTGCTGAAGATTGCGTGCAGCAACATTGGATTGGCGCAAGCACCACCACCAAATTTAACGCTCTGGCGGTTTGCAAAGATAAGCTCACGTTGAGTTGACTGATCAAAACAGAATTCAGGGACACCGGGGCGGTTCTTGGATATCCATTCCTTGTTTAGTCGGCGAATAGAGAGATCAGAAATGTTGCCATCGTAATATTCATGCATCAAGAATCTGTTCGCAGTGGTGACAATCAGATACTCGAGTTCGGCGTAAAGCTTGACTTGTGTCTCGATGCTTAGAGAGAGGGCCGCAGTAACCTCAATTGCGATACTGGCGTTGGATGTGGTGATACGGGCTCGCTTGGACTCTCCAGTCTGCCAACTCATTATTAATGCCTGAACAACTGCGGCAAATGGTTATTATCTACTTACCAGATCTTTCACGTGGGCCTTCACGGTCTGGCCTAGACTTTTGAGACCTGAACTGAGTCGTCGCTTGTTTGTAATTGGGAATTTACTCTGATCAAGCCAGCCTTTGTTGCCAAACAGGTCCTTGCTGTAGTAACGAGTAGGCAAGACATCGTGGTCAAAGTCCATGCCAGAGTCATGAATGCAAGCGGCGTTGAAAGTGTCGATTTGGACACTTTCAACAGAAACAGCACAGCTAGATGTATTATTAGGGTCCTCCGGGACATGAAAAGTCGTTGTTTGGCCCTTGGTGCTTTGAATAGGGACGTTGGTAGACCACTTGAAGTCAGTAGTTGGCTCTTTCTTGAGCATGTCCTCAATATCGTCCATGATAGGAATCCAGCATCCATCGGAGGGGATAGCCGATCCAGTGCTCAACGTAGCAGAAGTTGAAAAAGAAGAATCACTACTAATAGGAGAATCGGCGGACGGCTTTCCAGTGTGAGAAGCAGCATCAGAGAAAGAAACATCCGGCAGATGCTCCTCTGGCGAAGGAGTAGCAGACTGGCCAACCGAATCAATATCAACCTTAGAAGGCATGTTTCCCGAAACATTGCGTGAAATGGTCAGTGGGGTCACGACGCAGCTCTTCCGATAGTCGTTTGCATAGAAGTCGTACATGTCTTCCGGGGTTTTGAACCTTCGGCCACATTCTGGGAGAGTACGTGATGAGGAGTCAGGAGCAGCACCGTCAAGGCTGAAGTCAGAGTAGAGCTTGGAGCGGTGGTTATCACCAGCTTCATTATTCGAGTTACGACGAGGAGAAGTGTAGACCTGGATAGCAGGAGAACCATCACCATCAAGAGGATCAGGGGAATCAAAGGCCGAGTCAACGTAGGAATAATGCTTCAGACTCCATTCACCGTTTCCATCCTCAATCTCATCCTTTAGATGAGAAGCAGCAGCACGCCGGAATAAAGTGGCAGATCGGGTAACGCGGCCATGGGTAGGCCTCTTCATACGATCGTGTACATTCTCATCGTATTCATGGGCCTGATCATCACCAGATGGCTTCTTCGGACGATCAACAGGAGTAGAGGGCCGGTAGTCGGGCGAAACGTAACCATCAATGTTGGTCCAAGCTGGGTTGCCAGTGTTAGCACGAGCATCCGCCCTCGCATGAGAGTCAATTCTGACGAGAGTCTTGTTATCAGATTTGTTATTTGAGTCGTCATCACATTGCTCCTTTGGGTCGTCAACAGTGATAGTAGGCAGATAAGTGAACTGGGAACTGCTATCAAGCTTAGAGCAAGCAGGCTCGGCAGCATCATCATCATCATCATCCTCCTCATCATCATCATCATCCTCATCATAATCATCATCCATGTTCACAGAGTCGTCGGTCCCATCATCCGATTCAAAAACTTTCTCGTCATAAAATGTGGGACGTTGGGTGTTGAACCGAACCTCAGATGAGACAAGGCCATGTGCGTAGGCTTCTCCGAAAGTGTCAAAGAGGTAACCGTCGTTGGTTTGCCATTTAACATATCCAGGACAGTCGCCATCGTTGCATTTCCCTTTCACATCACCAGGGCCGTCGAGAGAAGCGGAATACACAGAACCGGGCTTGGGAAAACAACTGGAGCTAACACCGGACTGATCAAGCTGGCCAGCGTCATCGTGAGAGGCCCAGATGCAACGTGGCGAACCACCATTGACTCTGGCTTTCTGGTAGTTATCACAGACGCTACCATCAATGGCCAAATACTTCCAGGTACCGCTCATATCAGAATCGCGAGACAGCAAAGGGGTATCACTCTGGTTGTCTTCATCGATGGTGATATCGTTGCTGTACTTGGTCGCAGCAAGCAAAGGACTGAGATGAAGAAGACCAGGTGAATTGTGCTTGATAGAGTCGTTGGTGCACTGAGCCACAGCACCGAAGTCAAATAGGATTGTAGTGTAGACGGATGAATCCGAAGGTGCTGGTGGAGGAGCAATGTGAAAGCTGGTCTCTGAAAGGTGCTGCTCGAGTTGCTTATTGATGTATGTCTGGGTGTCGTTGCATTCAGACTTCTCGTCAGCAGGCTGAAGGGACCCAATAGCTGACTCAGTAAAAAGAATGGAGTGGTCTCCGCTGATTTGCTCGGAAAGAGGATTGTACAGATAGCTACTCATGATGTAAGCTTGTATCAAACCATGACATTGAAGGATATCCATCTGCGTACCTCGGAGCCTGAATCACAGTGCGGTAGAGACTGTCCGAGTCGTACATGCGAGCTCGGTGAGCCTTGCGCCAAGCACTCATCTCAGGATCAACCTCCTCCTCCATGTCGCGGTAGCGCTGAAGAGTTTCTTCAAGGGTGGCGTGGCTTTTGAGGTTAGGCAGATTGCGATTGTATCGCGTCTGCGTGGACTTCATGCCATGGACCTTGGAGTACATGATTGCAAATACTGAATTCAGGGATCAGGGATAGAACAACGTTAGAATAAAATGTGTAAGAACAGATAGGAGAAGAGTGGAAAAGACGAAGAAGATGAAAGAGAACGAGAAAGGATGAGAGGGTAGCTGGATGAAATAGAATGATCGAGTAAATGAAGCAAATGTAACTAGATTAAATCATGTTCTGATGACAATAGCTCAACAATGCTATTCATGATTCATTCCGCTGTGCAATCAGGGCCGACACACAAACGTAACGCTATTGTTATTGAATTAAGATTAGCACCCGGGGATTCTCAAAATTGCGGCTAGGCCAATCAAGTAGCTAAAACCGTTCGTAATGTCTTGATTTCAATGGAAGCAAACAATTGCTGCGGCGAATCAAAACAGGGGAAACCAGAAAAGAAAATCAACCATTCTCGATTTGGAACCGAACCATTCGGAGACCAATAGAAAACAATCAACAAAGAAAGCTTATATTTCTATTTTTTATATTGATCAATGACCTACCCGTCCTTCTTAGCCTTCTGGCTAACACCTGTTAGCTCCTACACAGAACATTCTCATGTCCAATGTTTTCGTGTGGTCGTGCCTGAAAGCATCAGAGCATACTGTATTTGTAGGATCAGTCACTCGGCTACCAGCTTGCTGAATAGTTGATTGATGTAGCTCTCTGATCAAAGTGTCGTAATAGAAGTGTTCGCTTCAGACATCAATAAATGTGTCCGGCAGTTATGTCGACTAACATTTATGAGCAATCCTCATGCATGCTACCGGGGACTTCCTGGAAAATTGCTCTCACTAATAATTTGGAGCGAAAGAAACCTTATCTTATTCTCTGAATTATGTTATGCTGTACCATTCAAGCACAACTCTTCTTGTTCAATGCCTAATGATGGATGCATGTAGTGAATATAGTTCGGCACGGAATAATGTGTGTCCGAGATCAGACTACTTTCGGCCTGACGTATAAGGTGTCATTCGTCCCACGGACTTGCCACTCCCAGTACCGAAATTCCTATCGCTGAAAAGCAGTTCGCCCGAGGATGTGGGCGTTTGGATATCCGGGGCTTTCGGTTTGATTGTTCAATCCGAACTTGGGACAAAATATACGTAGGTCATGGAAATCTGAAATTTAGAGAATATTGTATGCAGAAACTACTGAACCGGGAGTGGGATTTACTCTACGTCATATTGTACATTGACATATCGATTGATTAAGATACAACCTCACGTGAAGTAATTCATACATGTACGATCAAATCACTCAGAATTAAGGCTGATCTCCCTCGGGCACTTGCACGGGAGAGATTGAACAATTTGCCATGGATAGACCCGGGGAATGACACAATTTCATAGTCTGCATGGACTTGATAACGAGGCGACTTCATGGGAGGCAACCTCGGGTTTTCCGTTGTGCAAGTCCCAGGTCAAACTACCACCGGAGGATGAGGCGGCAAGAGACTTTTCGGGTAAAACGGACGCTGCAGTGGACCAATGGACAACCCAGAAGATGAATGCCCATTGGTTTGGAAGAACAAAGTCAGAAATCCCGGCCGACCTGCCGAGAGCCCCGTCACGTGCCCCACTCCACATACCGAAGTGGTTTCCGGGTGGAGAACAACTTCCCTGCTGCAACGAGCACGGCTCGGGGATCAACGACGGCATTAAGATGTCTGAACACGAATGAGAGAGCGAGAGACAGACAGACTGGTCTGCCCCCACATGATGGGCATCATGCTGACTAACCCCAGTCACCTCGATTCTCGCCCCGCTGATTGGCTACCCCAGCTCTGCAACCGGTGCTCCCCACGATTCAGCCGATTCTGAATGCCGTGGATGTTCGCCGTGACCCAATCTTACCCCAGCTTCCGCACAGTATATAGAGCCCGCCATGGCCGTCTTTTTTTCTCTTCGTTGTGACTCTTGTGAATACATCTTGCCTTCTATATACTGTTGGACTCATCATACCCCCCCATATATAACCACATATACATATAACCCACCCGATACCTGACTTCCTTCGTCATGGTCCAAGAGACTTACGACATTGTCATCGTGGGCGCTGGCCCCGTTGGCTTGCTCCTCTCCCTGTGCATGTCACGATGGGGTTACAAGGTCAAGCACATTGACAACCGACCAGTGCCGACGGCCACTGGTCGTGCTGACGGTATCCAGCCGCGGTCAACCGAGATCCTGCGCAATCTGGGCCTGAAGCGCTCCATCATGGCTTATGAGCCTGCCAAGGTCTATGATGTTGCCTTCTGGGACCCCAAGGCCGATGGATCCGGCATTGGCCGCACTGGCAGCTGGCCCAGTTGCCCCCGCTTCATTGATACTCGCTATCCTTTCACCACCCTCGTTCACCAGGGTAAGATCGAGCGTGTCTTCCTGGACGAAATTGAGAAGGCGGGCACAAAGGTTGAGCGTCCCTGGACCATTGTTGGCTTCAAGAACGATGGCGCCAACGCCGACTACCCCGTTGAGGTCAACCTGAAGTGCTTGGACACCAACGTCATTGAGAATGTCCGATCCAAGTACCTCTTCAGTGGCGAGGGTGCTCGCAGCTTCGTCCGTGAACAGCTCGACATCAAGATCCATCACAAGGACCCCATCGCTTACGTCTGGGGTGTCATGGACGGTGTTGTCCGCACCAACTTCCCCGATATTGAGGTAAGCGTCTGCAAATTCTCGGTTTCGTGTAACCTACTGACCAATCCGTTTACAGACCAAGTGCACGATCCACTCCGATGCCGGCTCCATCATGGTCATTCCCCGCGAGGACAACATGGTCCGTCTCTACGTTCAGATTGCCTCCTCCACCGACGCCGACTGGAACCCCCGCAAGACTGCCACCGCCGAGGACGTCCAGCAGACTGCCAAGAACATTCTCAAGCCATACTGGATCGAGTGGGACCGTGTTGAGTGGTACTCTGTATACCCTATTGGACAGGGTATTGCTGAGAAGTACACCCTGGACGAGCGTGTCTTCATGGGTGGTGATGCTTGCCACACTCACAGCCCCAAGGCTGGTCAGGGTATGAACACTGCTTTCCACGATGCTCTCAACATGGCTTGGAAGCTGCACGCCGTCGAGTCTGGCTTTGCCAACCGCTCTATTCTGAGCACCTACGAGAGTGAGCGCAAGGATATCGCCGAGACACTTCTGAACTTTGACGCCAAGTACGCTGCTCTGTTCTCCAAGCGCCGCCCTAATGCCGGCGAGGTTGGCGAGGCCAGCAACGCCAAGGTTGGCGCCAACGCTGAGGAAGATGAGTTTGTCAAGACTTTCAAGTCCTCTTGCGAGTTCACCAGTGGATACGGAGTGGCCTATCAGCCCAACATCTTCACCTGGTCCCCTAGCCACCCCGCCAAATCTCCTCTGTTCAACATCCCCGGTGTTCACCTGACTCCTGGCCGTGCCTTCACCCCCACCATGGTGACTCGTCTCGCGGATTCCAACTTTGTCGAGCTTGAGCAGGAGGTCCCCGCCAACGGTTCATTCCGTATCTTCGTCTTTGCCGGTAACCAGGCCAAGAGCAAGAAGGCCATTGCTGACTTCGCACTCAACCTGGAGAAGGAGCGCTCGTTCCTGTCGGCTTACCGCCGCTCTGATATCGCTGATGTGTCCTTCTTCGAGCGTCACAACCCCCATTCTAAGCTCTTCACCCTCTCCGTCATCTACGCCGGCTCCAAGAACACCTTGGATGTCGAGTCCATCCCCCAGATCTTGCGCGACTACCACCACCACCTGTACGCCGACGACATCCCCGATGTTCGTGTCCCTCAGGCCACTTTCGCCGCTCACGAGAAGCTCGGATTCGACCCTGAGCAGGGTGGTGTTGTTGTCACTCGCCCTGACAGCCACGTTGCTTGCACTGTCCAGCTGGTTGAGGGCAGCGGCACTGTTGACGCTCTTAACGAGTTCTTCGGTAGCTTCTCTACCAAGCCCCTGGGCCAGGACTCGCAGGCCAGCCGTCTGTAAAGACTTGATTTCACGTTTATGAGAGTGTATATTTTTCCATGATGTATATAGCTTTGTTTCGTTCATTGGGAGCGACAGCTCCAGCATGACTGGCGTTTATTTTCAGATTTCAAATAAGAATAGATTTTCTCTTCTATATTCACCGCTGCCTTTCATAAAACGAGATTTTCCTTGTTTGTAGCTTGTCGAGTCGGAAGAGTCCAAAAAGTCACATGCCAAGCCTTGATCTAAAAGACCTTTCCATCTCCACCCCGCATCTGCCTGCAGACGATATTCGCAACCACAACTCCAACTTCCAACCCTCTTGCTAATATCTCAAGATGTTATCTCTCACCCTGGAAGCTGATCTCGAGGGGTAAGTGCCACCATATCCCTCTGCATCCCGCAATTTGTCTCATCAAAATTTGCTATCATTAACCCTCCCCGCACCACCCTCAACATAAAGAAGCTTGCGCGGGCAAACCCCCCACCAACTATCCAGGACTCAATCCGCTAATTCAGAAATCTAGCGTTACTGCCCTCCAGCCTACTGATACTGAGGAGAACCCTTACTACTACACCTTCCGTGTCACATGCACTTCTTGTCATGAGACGCACCCTAACTGGGTTTCGTTCAATCGCTTTGTATGTGCTTCCATTTGGAGACTAGAGGATCATCTTTGAAGTGCGTAAGGACAGTTATTGACTGATTTTTGTTTTGTTTTGCAGGAGACTCATGAGATTCCTGGTAGCCGGGGAGAAGCTAACTTCGTGTGGAAGTGTCGTCTTTGCACTGTGAGTTTTAATTTCCTTATTCGAGTATTAGCATGAGCTGCATTTAGAGGTGGCATTTTTCTACTTTTGAGGACCATCACCTATGCACCATTTCCTCCTTCTTTGCGCTTCCTCGGCTAACATGCACTTACAGAAAACCCACTCTGCATCTATCCTCAACGCACCCAAGGCCTACGAAGCCCAAGAGAAGCGTACCTCCCAAAAGATCATTGAAATGGACTGCCGTGGTCTCGAGTTCATCGAGTTCAAGCCCGACGTGAGTCACTAAAAATAAAAAAATCTACATCCGTTGCTGACTTGGCCACACAGGGTGACTGGGAAGCCAAGGCTGCCGAGTCTACTACCACCTTCTCGGGAATTGATCTTCTCGAGGGAGAGTGGTACGACTATGACGAGAAGAAGGGCGAGGAAGTCAGCATCAAGGAGCTGACTTGGAAGGTTAGCCGCTAACAAGCTTGCCATGATGCGGAGCCGGCATGACTGTGGCAGGGAGCTGTTGGGAAATCTATGATGTCGAGATGAATGTTTCTTTTGTATTATTACTGGTGTCTAGAGATGGGGTCAAGCTGTAGTGTTGAGGAAATGATGCAAAAGGATGATGATGATGTCCACGGTGACAGAACAAGCCATAAGGTGACCACTTTTACCTCTTGACTAGCTTGAAGCCTTGCAAGCCAAACATAATTGTAAAATCCAGCTCTTTCTGACTTAATTCTTCATGCAAAGAAGTAGCTCACTGCCACATGTATCAAGCAACTTAAAAGCGGTGTGCAACAACGAACCCTGATTGGCCCAGAATCACCACCCGGCCAGCTCACATTTTCGCGATGTCGCCGACTTCGATGTTCTCGCAGCCACGCGACCAGCACATCCAACCGGCGTGAAAGATCCCATCGCCGATTCCCATCCTTTCACTTCCCTCCTAAAAACCCTCCCACACATTCTAGCCACTCATCCCCGAGTGCACCACCCCAGTCACAATGAGTGTACGTTCCCCCTCGCCCTGAAACACCAATCCCAAGCTAAAAAGATACAATATATCTCCACGATACCTGCAAATCCTATCACTAGAGATGGAATTACTAACAAAGCTCTCCAGGTCCAACCCGTCAACCCCCGACCTTTCCTACAGGCTCGGTATGCGACCCATCCAACCCAAATCCCAACCCCCAACCCCGACTCGTATCCCACATATTTGCGGCACATGTATCGCAACCAGCACGAAACTATGCTAATACCCTTTCCACTACAGCGTCGGCACCGAAGTCCTCATCCGCCTTAAGTGGGGCCAGACAGAATACAAGGGCAAGCTCGAGAGCATCGATTCATACATGAACGTCTTGCTGCGCGATACGGAAGAGTTCATTGATGGAAAGCCTACCGGCTCGCTGGGTCTTGTTTTGATCAGGTATGCGACCACGCTCGCTCGTGTCTCAATGCCATTGGGGCATTTGTTTGGATTGGCTTGGAACGGAACCGCTAACTCTTCTTTCCCGTTAGATGCAACAACATCCTCTGGATGGGCTCCGCGGAAAATGTCGAGATGACGGATCTCGGGTTAAAATAATTCTTTGTCGCATTTGTTTAGCTGGGTCTGGGGAGGGATGCAATGCAATACAACATACTATGCGTTGTTTGGGGAGAGAAGTCTGAAATCTGAAGTCTGAAGTGCGAGGTTGGAGGTGTGACGGAAGTGCTGGATCTCCGTGTCGTGAGCTGTCGGGCAATGAAACCGACATTCTCAATTCCATTTTCGTTTTCGCGCTTGTCGGCCTTGGACTTGTACATCCGCCGAGTTGGAGATCGCATTGTCAGTATCGACCCTCTCCGGATTGTTCAGGTTACATGTACAATGTGTACCGGCCGACCAGAGGGATGCATGTTCTATTCTCCCATCAGGTACACGCTGCACGACCGGGATCAGAGCTCATTGCATACACGGACACGGACACAGACGCAGACGCAGATAGAGATGGAGAGATGGCGACGAAGTCCACTCTGGACCAGGTGTGCTCAGGCTCACTGTTTTCAATTATCACGAGGCGTTTTTTCTTTGGCTTTTCGAAGTGGTTTTTGTGCATGGTCCCAATTGGCCAAAATCGAATCAATTACAGTACTCTTTTTTTTTCTCTCTGCTTGTTGTACAGAACACTTGCCTTGGCCTGTGTTGCTCTTCTGCCATTCCCGCCCCCGTTCTCACTCTCACTTCAACTTCCTCCATTTCAAGTCGAATACGGATCTATATCCCTGTGTAGATAGACCGATACTCATTTCATTCCATCCCTCGTGCCATCGTGACCGTACTCCATCTGGGCTGGATAGCCGCCACACCAACATCCGCGAAATCCGGGTACAGTATACCATCCACCCAGCGCCGATCCCGAAGAACAGAACCCACATCCCACGAGAGAGAGGGAGTCGGTGAGAATCACCTCTTAGCCGATCGTCCGCCAAATCCAATCGCGTTACCCGACGCTATCGCGTATGCGTGTACACGCTGCGTAATTCACGAAGCCATGAGACAAGGCGATCGAGTGGCGACAGCATCTACTGTACAATATCCTATAACTGGAGATGAGAATCAGCATACATCACAGTGACCGCACTGATAACAGCCATACTGTACAGTGTGTGAAGCATCGAATGGGACCCCCGGTTTCATCCTTCGTCTCCCCACCGGTATTTCATCCCTGGTGGAGATGATGGAGGCGTTGGTTTGGGGCGGCCCACTTTGGTCCTGGTTGTTTTGTTGGCTGTTTTGACTGTTTTGACTGTTTTGGCTAGTTTTAGTGGCTGGTATATTGGAATCATGCGTAGTGCAAAGGGGGAATACGTGGATTGTTTCGCGTTGGGGGGGGCTTAGGTGGCTTATAGATGGTAGCTCATACGGCACAAATGTGCACTGTGCAGTACATGCAGTTCATGTGAGTGGCTGATATGAGGTTTCTTTTTATAGCTGATCAGCGAACACCCTGTACGTGTGTGTGTAGGCATGTCCATTTAGGAGGGGTGCCTCCGACGTCATGGGGGCTGTCTGGTCATTAGGCTGCTGTTTAGGGTATGATGAACTATGATGAACTCTGGTGAACTACGGTGAACTACTGCACACTACTGTAGACTCACGCTACTGTCAGCCTCTGAGGGAATTTCAGGGTCGGGAGAACAGGAAAAGTATAACGGTGATAGTCTGTAGGGGCATAGCTCAGGCCTCTCCAAGGGTTCTTCACGGGCCCTAACGGTGGAGACCCTAATGGGGCCAGGATCAACAGTGGCGTCCAAGGCATTTTTTTGCCTTTGAATATTCTGTGGAGAGTAGCCTACAGAATATGCGACGCAAAGGCAGTATAAGTGTAGTGTGCCACACCTGCACTCCTCTGTGTGATCCTACCACACTGTACAAATCTCGAATCCAACCAAATTGGGTCCGATCTTCACGAATCTTATACTGGCACTATCGAATCAAATTTTCGTGTCTCCCCTGATCTTCATTCGGAATCCACTACAAGGATCGAGAGTGGTTATCCTGTTCTATTCTTTCCATTTGCCTCTGATATTCCTGTTCCCTTTTAAAGGTGTCTCCTGCCTCCCCTTTCTTGACTGACTTCCTCAACTTCTGTCGCTTCACTATATACTTCCTATACCCCGCAACTCTGCAGCAAGCCCAAATCTGCAACGCTCTTTGTCTCATCTCGCGCTTGCTTCCTGCATATACTCCCGTGACCCCTCCATCACATTCTCTATATCCAAAACCTCCATCTCCATTTCTACTTCCCCCCTCCCTCTCAACCGAAACGAAGTTCGCATATTATCCACTCCCGGCGAAATGCGCGATACTCCCTCCAAATTCATCGAGATTCTCGATCCAAAGGATACATCCCGCATGTCTGACTCGGACGTCCGCTTAGAAGATGTCCTCGCCGATCATGAAGCGTTTAGCAGTCGGCCCCGCTCCTCTACACAATCCTCCACCAAGCCCAGTGATAAATCCATGTCACGTCGAGACTCGACCTCTCCAACGCCACGCTGGAAGCGTTTGAGCAATATCCTCGTGCAGCCGCGTCGGAACTCTTAGCTTCACCGCCTCTTACTGTACAGAGTCGCCTCGGCTAAGGAGGATGCTCTGGTTTTGCCATGTGCTACGAAAATGAAGTTACGGCTATATTCACGACTTGACTACGGTGTTGGGTTTGATATTCGGTGGTTGGCTCATTCTGCAAATGAGTGAGGGCGCGGTGTCAGACCATTCGCAAATGACATGATGAACTGAAACGATATGAAGTGCGAGTGCAAGCGAAGTGGGCGATTCCGGAGGAGTTTGGCCCAGGGCCGTCTTTGGTCCGATTGTTAACCCACTTTCGCATCTTGATCTTGGGAATGGTGTTTGGTGTTGTCGATGAGCGTTGGGTTGATGTCCAGTGGACATGTAGAAAAAGAAACCGCCTCATGGGAAAAAAAAAGAAAACGAAGAAACTGAACTGAACTGGAGTGAGGGGGTCGCTGACTCGGGGAATGATATTCAATATTCGCTTCTTGTTCATACTTTACACTCATCCTTTTTTTGCTTCTTTTTGCCTTTTTGCCTAGTGCACCTTCGCTGCCTCGTAACCTGAGGGCTTTTACTTTTCACTTTTTCCTTTTGATACCCAATCCTCAACGCAGTGAAATTTACATTACATTCTTCACGTTCCACATGGAAAACTAAGCTAGTTCTCTATTTTCATTCCTCATCTTCGTACCTGGCAAATACTCATTCCAACGGGTCTTAGACGCTACTGCATAATGCCAGTCTCAGTATCCCAAATTAGCCGTGATCACTACTATTCACTCCCATGTAAATCCTTGTAACATACTGCATGGAAATAGTAGATCTATCGTGTGGCCCCTGAACCCTGGCGAGGGGTGATTCGGAGTAGAACACTGGTACCACAAACCCCTCGTTCATCTCCTCCAATAGGAATGGACTTGATTGAGGTTTCAGGTTTGAAATTAGGATGGGATCATTAGCCATGAATCTAAGATTATCTCTTCATATATTCTCTCTGTATTCAGGTCTGTGTTTCCGTCTTATCAAAACAAGACTTGCACGGCGTCTTGGTAGCTTGTGCCCTTGATCTCTTGGCCGTTGTCGGTGCCTCGGTCCCTGCGCCGGACCATTCCGATATCTGGGCTTGGGCTGGGGTTGTACTCGGTTGGTGAGAATTTTGTGCGAAGTTCGAGGTACCTTTGCATCTAGATCTTTATGGATCATTCTTCCTGTGGTTGCTTTTTGGTATATGATAAGGGAATCGTTGTACAGCGCTCCGGACGGTGATGCTTTGGGGGTAGTTTGCTTTATGCTGAGGTATGTCTGGTTGACTTTAAATTCTTAGACCTCGTGAGATGTTGTCTCGCTCTGATTTAGTTCAAGGATGCTCTAGGCTGGGCTGATAATATAGTTCCCTGAGTACGGGTAACATCAAATTGCGTTCGACGCGTTTCACTTGTGACTAGGAATCACTAAGCCTTATTCAACTATGCTCAATCTTGAAGCCCAATCAGGCCAAACACCAAATTGTATTAGCATATAACAAGCATGGCTTATTTGACAACGAGAACCACATGTAACCATCAGACTATCTTCCGTTAAATATCGCTATGAACAAGAACACTCCTCGATTCGAGCAACTTTATTACTGAGCGCCAAGTATGAATAGTGGGATATCAAGACTTGACAACTCCCGGATCTTCTATTGAGCTTCGATCATTTTGAGAAAATTAGAAAATTAGATGGATACTGTGATTTACATGTCGGCTTAAGTGCTATTACTTTGATGATACAACTGAGAATACCTATGACCCTTAATGTATCATATGCAGATATAGTCGTGGAAGATGTTATATCTTAACCCACTGGGTCTGCCCGTCGGGGTTGATATAGGTGATTTTCTGAAGAGTACTACAGCATTGAATGTTGATAAAATCATCCAATATATCTTACAAACCCTGAAAATAAAAGACGCTGCTTAGTGTTGCAAACTGATCCTGGCCCATCAACTGGCGAGTTTATAGTTGCGTACATCGGATATCACAATCTCTTATCACTGCCCCCACCACAACTTCTCCCATCAACACCATCGCGCAGAACAACCCATCGAGATTGACCACACCCCTCTCCCGGAGCCCAGTCCGATCCAAATTCCTGCTCGCCAAATACAATACCGTGCAAACCGCCCAACCCCACGTCTCCAGTCCATCGCACCTTCGCGGGGATCACTTTACGACAATACCGACAGATCGCATCAGTCGCGTCTGTCTCGATTAGCCCGTCCCAAATACTCTCAATTACACATTTTTCGAATAATACCGAAGACATGGCTTGGCACCAGTCAACACCGAGCTCAGGCGGACGCGCCGCGACCCCAACCGTCTTCGAGCAGCAACGGGAGGAATTAGTTCGGGAAATTGCTGTGGTGGGTTTGACCTTTGCTATTACTCATATTACGACGTTTGGGGGGCTTGTGGCGCTTACTAAAATGTTGCAGGGTATGGAGCAGGTTCTCCAGAATATCAACCGTCTGAATCGGAATCTGGAGAGTGTTATTGCTGTACGTATCTGGAACGATTGGGTTTCGTGGTAGGAAGGTCTCCTGCTAACATGATGACACTAGGTCGGGAATGAATTCGGGTCTGTGGAAGCTCTATGGTCTCAATTTGAGAATTTCATGGGACGGCCAGAGGAGGAGGGTGAGGAGGGGGGCGATGGCAATAACAACAATAATGGAAAGAGGAAAGTCAGTGGGGAGAGCGATGTAATGGTCAAGTCGGAGATCAAACAGGAGCCCCAAGAGGGTGAGTCGACTATCATGCAATGATTGTTTACATTTCGTCTGCATTGGCGGCAGCGTCGTTCTGTTTTGTTTTATGTTTTAGATACCACGCAACTCTCAAATTTACTTATACGAGACAATTTACGAATGCCCAGCTAGATCTACAATTTATACTTGGATGTCGAATGAACAAAAGGTGACATGAATTGTTTCAGTAACACATAGGAATCGCTTTCGCCAACAGTACAGATCAGATAACATAAACATAACACCAGTCCCATGCATGCCAAAAAAAAGTGGCAAAGACCCGAGTCATGAGAGACATCAATTGGAACAAAAGGGACAAGGGTCATAAAAAAAGGCCAAAATCAAGAAATAAAAAAAAAAGAACAGGGAAATAATGGAATAAAGGAAACAGCCTCCAGCAAAAAAGAAACAGTCGAGATCGTCGTAGGTGCCGCACAGCGTATTCCCACAGACAACGGGTGAAAATCATGTCTTACTTTGCCCAGCCACATGTCACATATAGAGACGTTGAGGCAATCAAGCCGACGAAGCAACCAGGCTCGTGGTCCGGCCAAGGGAGAAGGAAAGAGTCATTGAGAATGGAACGGCAGGAGCGTGCCGCTGTCTGGAGAGTCAATCTACAGGATCTTGCAAGTGCGCTTCTTGATTTTCTTGCCGGGACGTTGACCTCCGCCTGAGGGCATGTCATTGTTGCGATCTTTGCGTCCACCACGGCTTGTGGGTTGCTGAGACGAGGAGCCCTGTTCTTCAATGCAGATCACGGAGTCGACGGCCTTGGAGAAAACCTCATCCACACCGCGCATCTCTTTACTACTGCATTCGGCGTAGGTTGCACCCATCCTCTGGGCCACGTTCTGGCCTTGCTCTGGTGTAATTGGGGTCAAGCCTTGGGTCTTTAGGAGCTCAATGCAGGTTCTCTTGGTACGCAGATCGGACTTCAAGCCGACGAGGATGATTGGGGTTGTGGGACAGAAGTGCAGAACCTCGGGATACCACTGTTTCCATGTTAGAGGATGATGGGAGAATGCATTCGAGGTCTTGACTTACTTTATCAACAACATTCTCCAGTGAAGCGGGGCAATCAATAGCAAAGCAGACAAACAGAAGATCTGTTTCGGGATAGGACAGTGGGCGCAAACGGTCGTATTCCTCCTGTCCAGCAGTATCCCAGAGTGCTAGTTCGACGGTCTTTCCCGAAGCCCGATGTGTGGTTTGTGTGATGTAGTTCTCGAATACCGTCGGAACATATTTCTGCATCCTGGTCAATACAAGGGACGTCACTATACACGGTGTTGTTGACTTACCTCGGGGAAGTAGCCTTGGGAATAACTGATCAACAGACACGTCTTTCCACAGCCACCATCACCAACCACTACAAATTTTTTTGAGAAGGAGGGCGGCTGGGTGATATTGGTTGCTTCAGACATCCGTCCGCTGGAGAAACTCGTGCTGGTGCTGGCTGTGCCGTGGCTCATTCGCACACTGTCGCTGCGTGCTCTGCTGTGACGCGGTGTCAAGGACGGAGGAGGGGTTGCAAGAGAGCGGCGGCGCGAAGCTGCATAGTATTGGTCCTCGTACATAGCACTCATGGTGTGGAGATGTGGATACGTGGAATGTGGTCCCTCGGTTGGCAGGTCAAACTGAGGTACGTGGTGAGAATGTTGACAGGTGATACTGGACAAGTTGACAAGTTTTTTTCGTCAGAGATGTTGAGGGGGTTGAGAAAGGAGAATAGACAGATCTAAAAGATCTCGATGGTGATCGTCGATAGAGGGTCTGTCAGGGCGAGACCGGTGTTTACACTTGAGCTGCCATGGCAACGGCCGTGTCTCGATGACGCCAGGGCTCCGCTTCCCATGAAAGTCTTGCTATTCTGTCACTCTGAAGCGCGGCTACTCCGATCCTGTTTCTTTTCTTGGAGAGGATCCGCCTCAAGCCTCCTCATTTCCCCACCGTTCAGCTCGCTAGAACCGGGCCTATATACATATTACCGGATTGAGCCATCCCACTTCCAAGGTCGACTTGGGTATGAGTTCCACCGGAAAATAGATTGGAGAGTGGGATTGACAATCAGGTTCAAGGATAGTCTTCTGGAGAAGTCAAAGACTACAAGGGATGGCTATAAGCGATGCGAGGCTCTATCTCATGCAGCCTATCCTGCGAGTGCTCGTACCGAGCCCACATGTCCGACTAGTCACTATAGAGTATCCCACTGTGGACTCCAAGGATCGGAGAAGGAAACTCAGTTTGCTATGATGTGCCCTGTGCAGCATTGGTTGTGATCAGGGACAAAGGTTATACTGTAAGCTACAAACATAGTGATCTTGGCCTCTAATGTGATATTCTACCACTTGATGTACTTCCATATGTCAGTCAACTGTTTGTTTTCTATTTAACATGTGAGTCTTATATCAGAATTGAGCTCAGCTGAGCCTTTGCGGGGGCTGAGTGTTAGTGTCAAATTAGTATCGCTGCAATGGTATTCGTCAACAGCCTCACGCCAGGCCAACGCCGAAACCACACGGGCCAGATTGTGGAAGATGTTTCTAACAACACAATAGAGGGAAACCAAAGCATACAAGCAAGCAGGCAATGAACAAGAAAATCAACTGAGGATCAAGGCCTAAGAAACGCTTGAAGTACTCCATGGAGGAGTTCAACCTCGGGCGATTTTAGGTGACTAAGCCCACACATGGCCGATCCCAGGGCACACACGTGCAGGGGAAGATGATCTCAACCTCCTCCACCTCGAATTCTATTGCTTCAATCCAACTTCTATTCGTTCCTTATGCTCCGGCCCCTCTAAATATCATTTCAACCCTATCGGCAGACAGCTGTCTGTCGATCTATGGAATCCACCCGATAGACAACACAACATGGGCCACAAGTCGGACCAGCCTGATGCTGGATTAAAGAGTCTCAACCATTGTATGCGACCCCTATCAGCTATGCAGATCCCCTATCTCAATCTATCATTGGAATTCGCCGCTGACCCCGCGGGTTCACGACATAGATTCAAACCGGTTACCCCTCTGGCGATACTGGCCGCGACAGCAACTCATCCCGCTGATTCGATATGAGACTCCCTACCTTGCCTGGGTGCAGGAGAAAGTTCGCACCCCGACGCTGGACTCGTACTTTGCCTTTACGGCAAATCTCGGCACGCACACATTCTTCATGGTCTTTCTGCCTTTCCTATTCTGGTGTGGCTCCCCAAGTATGGGTAGAGGGTATGTGTCTTTGTCGGAATCGTAACATCACCTGGAAGCGGGAGACTGACAGGCGGTCTTTAGACTCGTACATATCTTAGCATCTGGTGTCTTCTTCAGTGGCTTCATTAAAGATTTGCTATGTCTCCCTCGGCCTCTATCGCCTCCACTCCAACGCATCACCATGTCCGGCTCTGCGGCCCTTGAATACGGATTCCCTTCGACGCATTCTACAAACGCTGTTTCAGTGGCTGTGTACGCCTTGGGATTGCTTGGATCTCCGGAATCGACTCTCAGCGCGCAAGTCACGCTCCTTCTCCAATGTGTTACCTATATGTACGTGGTGTCTATTGTTCTGGGCCGTCTATATTGTGGAATGCATGGGATGCTGGACTGTACTGTTGGGTGCGCTTTGGGTGCGGGTATTGGTCTCATCCAATTCCACTACGGCCCGGCCTTTGAAGAGTTTATTGTGTCTGCTTCGCTGAAGGACATCTCCTTGCTTGCGATTTTGATCATATCTCTGGTCCGTGTCCATCCTGAACCGGCCGATGATTGTCCCTGCTTTGACGACAGTGTTGCATTTGCGGGAGTAATGCTCGGTGTGGACGTATCCTCGTGGCATTTTGCCGATATTTGGGATGGTTATCCTGCTGGATCAATTCCGTATGATCTTCAGACTGTGGGATGGATCAATACTGTAATTCGTCTGGTTTTGGGTGTGCTGTGTATCTTTTCCTGGAGGACTGTGATGAAGCCCGCTCTGCTTCGCATTCTACCGCCTATCTTCCGGACTCTGGAGAAGCTTGGACTTCTTCTCCCTCGACGGTTCTTCACCACTGCTTCGTAAGTTTAATCGTTTATCCCGGTGAAGTTGATTCTAACGAGTGCAGCAAATACACCACTGTTCCGTCAAACCTAAAGGACCGCGATGTGCTCCCCAATTTCTCCGACATTCCATCCATCATCACTAACATGCGCCATCCCCGCCGCAGAGCCATTTCTGTCGGTCCTCAGTCTGAAGCTGATGCGTACGAGACCCTGGCATACAGGGAAAAACGTCGACGTGAGAGCCAATCTGGTGGAAACCGTGCCTCTCCGGTTCCGGAGGGTGAGACCAGACTGAACGGCACACCCCTGTCAAGAAAGGCGACAACCTTGGGTGAATACGAAGGCATGATGGGAAGGGGCAGCCCTCATTCCTCTGCCGTTGACGTCAGTCCCGAAACAACACCTTTCCCCACAGCAGACTTCTCTATCGAGACTGAACTCGAGGCCGAACAACGGGATGAGGAGGAGGTTTTCTCCCAAATTAAGAAACCCCGTGTCCGTTACGATGTGGAGGTTGTCACCAAGCTGGTTGTATATGCAGGTATGTTTCAAAACCAACGCTTTAGCTCGACATTTGCTGATGATTACTTCTAGGAATCCCTTGGGTTGTTATCGAGGTCGCACCCTTACTATTTGACCTAATTGGACTGGGAGTCCCGCATGTTGTATGAATATATTATTATTAATTGTGTCATTATTCGATCACCCTTCCCTGCTCCCCTATCCCCAGCGGCTTCCCAGACTGCTTCCAGTTCAGCGGGCTGTGCTGGAAGGCATCACCGCAGACCAGCATAACACTGTCCATGTATATAAGCATCGCAACTGGTATCAATATCATATGTTTGTTAAATCAGTTATGTCATACTGCTGGATTATATCCATACTGTATCATTTCTTTGTAGCAAGCTGCTTTGTTCCGTCAATGAGTATAAGAAGTAGAAACACAGACATGTTTGGAGGCGTTGGAGCTATTTTGACGTCATTCTTAGAGATCAAGGAAAAGTTTACTTCTTCTTCAGCCATTGTACAGCCGATCGGTCTAGTCAATAGACATCCATACAATGACAGACAGTAGCGAAACAAACAGAAAAGCTGGAATGGACCTCGGGTCCGGGGAGATGTTTGGGGCTGAGTCAGCGGAATGATGAAAGCTGGAACCGCGTCGGTATTGTTCTGATGAACCTCTCTACTGTCTTCGACTTTCTGGTTTTCTCAAACCACTCCCAGTCATGCTTAATGATGGACCGTGAATTTTCCTTATCCAATCTTTCGTTCTCTCCTCGTTCAACCTCCAACCCTCATTCAATCGCCACCCTTGCCATTCGAAAGCGCGTCATCAGACCATAGATTCCCTCGCATTCGAGCAGCTGAGATATCAACGGCTGACATCAAAATGGGGAATTGCTGGGCCCGACTGAAGTCGCGCTTTTCATATGCCACACCCATAAAGTCCGCGCCTGACGCTCCACCTTCTTTTGGAGCTCCCAAGAAGCGAACGCTTGGCGACAACGATGGTAAGGAGCCCACGGTGCACGTCAGACGCGCACGGAGATACTTAACTACTCTCAAATTGTAGATTACACTAGCCCACATATTCCGGGAGCCTTCCCAGCCACCCCCCCAGTCACCGACACTTGCGCCAATCGGTCTACATGGCGAGACTCCAGAGAGCAAGGGCATTGCGCCTATGGAATTGGAGCCCATAGATACACTCTCCCTTGGGTCGCCGTCTCTCGCTACAGATCTTGGTTCACATCTCCATCCCCGACCATTGAAATATTACCCCCCTACCCCTCCACGCTCGCAGGCGGCGCCATCTCCCCGCCCACAGAAGATCCCAAAGCGCGCCGGGGAGCCTCGCACATTCATCGATGACCCATGGGAACAACAGACAAAAGATTTCGAGAACCTCGATCTAGGGAGACCCGTCTCAGCCGTACAATTATTCTCCATCACGAAAAAGGACATCCCGGCCAACCGAATTGCATCAGTATACGCGGCCGAGTGGGAGAAACGCGAGAAGGAGAGGCAGTCTAAGCTACGTGAATCTCGACGTCCGACAAGAGTTGTCCCGCGTGGTCCTCCAGTGCGCGACCTCTCATGGGATTGGCTCGACAAATTACAACGTGCTTGTCAAAGTTCACAGGGTCAGGCTGTCGCAAAGTCTTTAGCGGGTGATGATCTCTATCAGAAGGACATTGTTACCTGTATTCGACCGCTGGCCTGGCTGAACGACGAGATTATCAATGCCTACCTCCCGCTACTAGTTCATTACCTTCGTCAATCTACCGGTAATCTGAACCCCAACGAAAAGCCACGCTTTCACGCCTTCAATACATTTTTCTATTCTACCCTTCGCGACAAAGGTTACCAGAGCGTGCGACGATGGGCGAACCGAGCCAAGATCGGCGGCGAAGGATTGCTCAACGTTGATACCGTCTTTATCCCAGTTCATGAGTCGAGTCACTGGACTCTCATGGTTGTTCGACCAGCAGATCGTACGATAGAATACTTCGACTCTCTTGGATCTCGTGGTGCTCGGCAGGTGAAGAGGGTCAAAGAATGGCTTGCAGGCGAGCTCGGCTCAAAATACAAAGAAGAGGAATGGACCACACTTCCATCGGTTTCCTCCCAACAGGACAACGGGAGTGACTGTGGTGTATTCCTCCTCACAAATGCCAAGGCAATTTCCATCGGTGTCGAACCAACTGCTTTCGGACCAAGCCATACCCAACTTCTCCGCAGAAAGATTGTCGCCGAGCTCATGAACGGAGGGCTTCATGGTGACTTCATTCCGCTAGACAAAGCGTCAGGAGCACTGCTGCTTTGAGTCCAGAAGTCCCAATTAATTCTTAGAATCAGTATCTCGCCCCGCTCCTGTTGTGTCCAGACATTGGCTCTGGAACGTGGGTCCTGGTTCTGCTCTCAACCATTCTCCACATCTGCATCCCATACGCCTCATCTTCCCCAAATCACATACCTCGTCCCTCATCTTTCCCCAGGCGCTCTCAGCAGCAATTTGCATCACTTGGTCTCGGCGCACAAGGCGAACTCAACATAACACAGACTGAGAAATAACTCTGCTTTTTCTCAGGAGTTGTTTACATTGAATGTCCGCAATGAATATGAATGATACCCCGGTCACTACGACATTGACTTGACATAAAGAACGATGCTTCGGTGCACTATTTTTTCCCCCTTTTTGATCTTCCCAGCTTCTTTGCATTGGTTCATGGCGTTTTCTCGTGGTCTTTTGGTTCTTTTTTGTATGGAATATTTCTGCCGCTTTTCCAGAGCTATGTACTTTTAATCCGGTTGCACCAGATCCTCAGCACATTCAACTTCGTTTCCATTTGAACGACATACTCAAAATACCATATAAATATTTCCAGCAACATCTCGAAATATACACATCAATCAGCACTAGACAAACATCCAATCAGCCCCCCACTCATAAAGAAACCCAATCCAAGGCTTAGACCACAACTCCCCGTCACCCCTAGCCCAAATCTCTCTCAAAACCCGCAAAGCATTGCTCACATTCCCAGCCCTCCAAACAACCCACAAATGCCCAAAGATGTCCTGAATAGCAACTCTCTGCTTCTCAAGCTTAGCATCTGCACCGATGACAAACGCAGGCCACACAAGCGCCTTGTAGAACGCATCATGCGGACTTATAGCGTTGAGATGCAGGATCGTTGCATCAAGATCGACTTCAAGCCCGACATCACTCGGATCAGCTTCCCACTCGCATCCAACCCACCCGAATTTCACCTGTGAGATGTATATCGCGACAGCATCCCGATACGCACAGGCGAAATGGTAGCGTGGCATCAGGCGAGATATGTCCGGGCCGGCGATTGCCCAGCGTCGAGGGGAGAAGCTTGTGAGGTGGGATGTCAAGTGGGATTTTAGGGATTTGCTTTGTTCGGCTGTTTGGGGGACTGTGTTTGCTAGGGAGATTATGTAGAGGAGTTCGGCTGGGCAGCCGATCCAGGTTTGGGATTCGGCTAGTTGGAGAATGTCTATTGTTGACATTTTTGTGAAGAGGGGTTGGTAGGCGTGAGAGGGTTGTGTTGGTTTGACAAATGTTGAGCCTATTATGTCGAAGCTGGATGTTGGGAGGGTTGGATTAGTTGATAGTTCGCGCGAATGAGATGAGTGGAGGATGTGGCATACATTGCATATGTCATCTCGAAGTATTCGCATGAGCTTGAGAATGTGGACATGAAGCTCTTTGCATTTTCCAATACGGGGAACAGACTCTTTTGCATAATGTTTCGTAGTGCGATGAGATGATATCGCCACGAGTCTCGTCCCGAGTCCATTAGTTCTAGCCAGATGAAGAGTAGTACGGCAGCAATGGCACCATCATGGTTTGCAACCTCTGGATTTTGAAACTCGTTTCGAATATGGCATAACGCTTCTTGTTTATATAGCAAAGCATCGTAGAAGGTCTTGGAGGGCTGGGGTGTGGTGATTTGATTCTGCGGCTCTGTGTTGCTTTTGTTATCTGAATTGCTTTGGTTGCTGATAAATAGAGTGTTCGCTCGCTGGGCTCGATGTAAAGCGGCGACTGAGATTATCGTATAAAGTAGTCCCGGACTTGACGGGATGAGGCGCATGAATTCTTTGAAAGGATTGGTGGGTGTAGTATCAAATAATGTGCTTTCTGCACAGCAATATAGATCGACTGGAGCGTGGGTTAGTCGTGTGGAAGTTGCACGACTCGGAACGATACGTACAATATTTTATATAACCCCGCTTGGCTGGGGATAGATCTTGTAAGCCTGGATCGACAAGACATCTTGACACAGTGAGCGCAGGTGTACTAGGCTTAGTCTTGCCCATCAGCTTGCCTCGACTGGCAATACTGTTGGTCCATCTCAAGGGCTTTTCATTATAACCAAGGCAAATGCGCCCCGTGTTCGTACATTTGGTGCATGCTGGAAGTATTTGATCGCATTTGACTCGCCGACGACGGCAGGTCCAACAAGGGCCCGTGGCCTGTGCTATTTTCGACATTACAGAATGTCGATGTCGTTGTATATAAAGTTGTGGGAGGAAGTCGGACATGCTTCTCTTGCCACTAGTCCGGAAGAGGCAGCCAAGGCGCATTACCCGCAGATCGATATCCACTGGGACTTTGAGCTTCAAGTTATGCACAGAAAACACAATAGTTAAAGACAAGGAGTAGCTCAATTCAACTGGTTCGCTCGGATAAGATATGGAATACAGTTTACAGCTCTCAACATCTCCTATGAAAAGATAAAAATGCCTGAATCACAGCATAACGCTACCTAGCATGCCACGGCTCACCTCCATCAATGAAGCACGATCTCTGACAGAATTCATGATGAGGTCGATGCTTGTATCTGTAATTTCTGCATGTCCGTCCCTGTCTTCCTGGAGGACAAACATCCGCTTCATCGGAAGATTTCCCATGCTTCAAAGTCTCCTCGAGGATGGAAGTATTGGAAAAAGGAGTCATTTCCTGGCCTTTGCGGTCCTGGAAATATGCATTGCGGGCAGTATCATCGGAAGACCGATTGTAGACTAGCTCGATGTATTCGATGCCCATGTAGATGCTTTCGCCGATTTTGATGTCGCCAGTCCACAATCCACCGTCACTCCAAAGATTAAGCACGATCATGCTTTCAAGCTCAGGAACCCGATAAGACTTAGCATCTTGGATTTGACTGTTCACGAACCATCGTGACATGTCTGAGAGCCAGTCCAGACGATGCGTGGCCCATGATGTCCATGGAACGGGGAGATCGGCTACCGTGCTTGCCCCAGGGATTTCTCGATCCGTGACAGGGTCATAGTCTGGCTGATTGGCATACCGGACACGATGTGTTGGATCTCGTGTCAGAATCTCGATATCTGATTCTGAAAGACGATCGTGGTAGGTAAAGATGCCGGCGCAGGCGCCTGGCGGTGGACTTCCCTCGCGCAATGGGATCGTCCGATTGTCCACTGCAGTGCGGTTGTTCAAGCGCGAAATCGCATGTTTCTGAGGATTCCGCGGTGGCCATTCTATGGGCTGTGGGGGCTGAGACACGATGAAGTCTGCCGGCAGGAAGCGCAGTCGAACACGAAGCGAACAACGGTGAATGTTACGGACGCGAGTTTCAATCTCTGCTGTGGATGTGTAGTTGTCATGGCGAGTGGTGCGCAGCACAAGATACGTTGCCTGGGGGTCTTCTCGCTCATAATCCTTGGTGAAAAAGACGTTCTGCTTCGAGTTGATCATGTAAACTGGGGCTACCGGCGAGCGCTGGCGTTCCCAATCCTGACTGCTCCAATCCCGCTCGAAGGCCGTTTTAAAAAAGACCAGAGAGCTTGGATCAGGCCTCTTCTTGCCAATAGGTGGAGCAGTGGTGAAAGGTATGTTCTGCTCTTCCTCATAACCCTCATCATCATCATCCCAGTCCCCACCACTGCCTGGAAGAGGTTCTGTGAGATTGAGATGCGCATGTTTTCTCAAATCAACGGACCGAAAATCCCAGAGCTTGTAGTGCTGGAAGTATCCAGGATCAGGACCGGAGACGGTGAAGCAGTCGCAGCCATGTGGATGTTTCTTTGAAGGAGTCTGCGGTGGTTTTATACTGGTTGGTTGTAGAGCAGATGAGACCAGCGTGCCGAAGCAAAAGACGGCCGCAAGACTCAAGAGGTTGATTCGCATCGTGAATAGAACGATGCAGTGTCAAAGATGTAATCATGCGAGTCGTATGGAAGCATGGTCCGGGGAGTGTCCAATGGTGGTGGTTTCCTAATTGGGTTCTCAGACCGAATGATTGAATTGCGTCAACTCCAGCGTTGTAGAGATGCAGTTGATTATTGTTACGGATAGTTATATTTGAGGGTATCGTACAAGTGCCTATTTCTTCTGATTTGTCCCGTATATTCACTCAGACGGTGGGCTCAGTCACAGGGACTTCCTCAAATAGATCCTGCTTCAAGACCTCCAGCACTCGCTCCTCATCGACATCTTGCAGATTCACAGCAGAAGCAGGAAGTGTTTCATTTCCAGCCACATCCTCATCGATTCTAGTCGATTTGCCAATCTCTTCTGGTCCCGCAGTTCGGAGATACTCTTCCTCCAGCATGAATGGAGACGTCTCTTGTCCTGCAAGTGTCTCCGGAGAAACCGAGAGAGCAAATATTGTGGGAAATTCAAGAACAGCCCGACTGCGGAGAACTTCATTCAGAGTTGATGATGGGGATAGAGGAGCAAGAACTGGGTTTTTGGTGGAAGTTCTTGGGCGGAGAAGATAGAAATAGAGATCGCGGTGAGTGTTGCTTTTGTCGAGTGGCTGCTGTACCACGTTGGTAGAAATTTCTGCAGGTAATACCTTGGACTCAGGCACCGCAGCTTCGTGTGCTTCTGAAGCTCCCGGTTCGCCAGTCACCGTAGTAGAATCAGTGGGTGTTGGGATAACTTCACTCTCAGCGTTATTCATGTCCGAGTTCTTATGGTCGTCTTTTGCTTCCTCGTCAGATGTGGAAGTATTTTGATCCTTTGAACGGGGAATGGAACGATCATAAGCCTCGGATATAGTACATGTATCGGCAATGGCATTTCGAACGGTCTTCGATCCATCACTTGCAACCCACTCCACGGTCCAGGCAAGATATTTATGTCTAAGAATCAAGTCAACGGAGTGTCCGATGTAAACTGCAACAAAAGTTCAACCCACTTAGGATGTAACCGGGACGCGTTTTGCTTATTCCGCGACATTCCTTTGGGGGCACGAATGACCTGGACACCCGCAGCCTCGGCAGCGCGCAAGAAACCAGCTTCGCCCTTGACAAGGCCCCGGTGTGGGTATTTCCTCTTAAGTCCAGTATTTAAATCTTGAGAGTCATCGCCGATATCCTCGCCCTGAATCTCACGCGAAAGGTCGATACCGCGATTATCGGCATCTCTATCCGCTCGCTCGAGACCGCGCTCGATGCCCGTGATGAAGTTGAAGTCGCGATCAAATGCAGACTCTGTAGACAACTCCTTGCGCTTGAGATAGGCGGCTGGGTCACGCACACCAGAGCATTGGGACCAGAGTTTGTGACGTCGTGTACAGGGCAGAGAGCAGGTGCGCGTTGAACAGCGAGGGCATCGGTATTTTGGCGGATTCACATGGCTGTAGGAGGAGAGAAGGTTAGACTAGAACTTGTGAAGCATAGCACAAGGATCAGAGCATACCATATTGAGCACAGATCGCTCAATAGAGCATCAGAGTCGGCCATGGTGAGTTGTGACAGAGAAGTTGTCGAGTGGTGAACATTTGGGAAATTTGTCGGCTTATCGATAAGGGACTATTGCCTCAGGCCGTTATCAGCTGGTGCCTGAGGCAGAAGTCGAGTTTACTCTTTCAACTTCACGATGGGAACATTGAAGTGAAACAAACTCCCAATTAGTGATTATTCATCAAGATGGTCTCATTGATGTTGTGATCCAATTCTGCGGGGAAAAGCCAGTCCTATTCTCTGCAGATGATATCATCTACCGAGGTGATGATCAATCCCCGCTGTATTTCTAAGCTTCGGTGATAGTAATCTGCCCGAGAGCCCTATATAGTTGACGGGTTTGCTTCCATCTTCACGCTATCTTCAAGCTTTTCATCATATATCAATCATGGCTTCGAAGGCACTTGCAATTATTGCTGGAGTGGGCCCTGGTACAGTACGTTTTGTCCCACTTATACCCCCGCCTCATGAGACACCATACTGACAAGACGTACAGGGTGCCTCGATTGCCAGAAAGTTCGCCAAGACATACTCTGTCGTTGTTCTGGCCCGAAACCCAGACAACTATGATCCTGTCGTTCAGGAGATCAATGCCAGTGGCGGTCAAGCCATCGGCATCAGTACTGACGTCTCTGACTCAAAGAGTGTGAATGCCGCCTTTGACAAGATTGCTACTCAATACCCAACCGCCAAAGTTGCAGCTGCAGTGTTCAATCCAGGTGGTGGCTTTGTTCGAAAGCCATTCCTCGAACTCACTGAGCAGGATTACTCAATCGCACTTGCTTCTCAAGGGTACGTCCCTTTCTACGGGGGTTGCTGTCGATGCGACCAGCGCATGTCACCGTGGGAAGCTCATACTAATCATATAATAGACAAGGTGCTTTCAACTTTGCCCAACGCTCTCTGCCACTACTCTTAGATTCTCGTGAATCTTCTGAGTATCCTCCAACTCTAATCTTCACGGGAGCTACAGCTAGTCTGAAGGGCTCGGCTAACTTTGCTGCGTTTGCCTCGGGTAAGTTTGCGTTGCGTGCACTCGCACAGTCACTTGCCCGTGAGTTTGGACCGCAAGGTGTGCACGTCTCGCACACCATTATTGATGGTATCATTGATATACCACGAACCAAGGAATGGGCGAACGAGCATGTGGATGGGAAGCTGAGTCCCGATGCTGTAAGTCATGAGACCTTCCAAGGTTGGGTGAAATGATCAAGTGACTAACTAGACATAGATTGCGGACTCATATTGGTATCTACACACTCAGCCCCGCACGACGTTTGCCTTTGAGTTGGATTTACGACCATACGTTGAGAAGTGGTAGGCAGTTGGGCTAAATCAAAGAGATATTGGAATTTATTGAATGCAATTTGCACGAGTCAAGTAATCGTAAAACCAGTAGTGGAGTGTGAAAAGAATGCTGGCTGTCATCAGCTCTCTCATATCGGAGATGAATTTATAACTATTCTGTAAATTTTGTACTACTTCATAGACTATAAAGCATCAATTCCACTCTACACTTTACTGTTTCTTTCCATTTCTGAATTCTCGTCACACAAGCTTGGTATTCGCTCCTAAAGTAGAGTTAGATGCTTTTATATTGCAGCTACTCAATGAGTCGATAGTGTAAAGTACATGAAGACGAACATCAAAAATAACTATGATGTATGAATCAATGGGAGAATTGTTCAGCGTCCCTACCTCGATACTGCCGAGCAGCGTAGTACTCATATCGAGCAGCAGAGAATTCTCGAAAGGACTTTCCATACCGAATGAAAACACCAACAAACATCAAAAGAGCACAGACAATCACGAGAATGACGATGAAGACATTCTGAAGTCCCATTTTGGCAATCCACGGCGAAAGGGCAAATATAAACACCGTACTGAAAGTATTGCGCGAAAGAGTAACACCGACCACCGCATCCCCAATGATCTGGTTTTAGTGTAAGCAGAGCTGAGCTTGGAACAAACTGATTGGAGGATTGACTTACATCTTGGTATGAATCGGTCAAGTATGTTATCATGATGGTATTGATAGGGGCAATGCCGACATTGTACAATGCCAGGCCAACAGCGATGACAGGCCACGAAACATCATTGTTAAGGCCAATACCGAAGAGTAATGCACCGACAGGCACAAATGGGAGAAAAGGAACAATGCACCAAAGACGAGTCTCGGGATCGTAAACTCCACCGCGTCGACGAGAAAGATACACAATCCACCAGTCACTCATTGGGCCTAAAATTAGGGCACCAATTGTGACGCCGATCATTTTTGGCAGGCTCATAAGCCCTATCTGACTTGAATTAAAGTTGTATGGTGATTGAGGTAGGTAGGTGGACATGGTAGTCGACATGACATCCCCTAATCCTACCAAAATGCCGTACACCAAGGCTGTATAAGCAACAGCGGGAATCGTTGTCATCAAGATGAGAGGCTGATACATGTGTCGGAAAAATGACTCGTTGGGTTCGCTGGATGTTGAAGTGGTGACGATAGCAAGTCTTTGCCAGTATGTTCGTTTGGGAATGTTGGGGTTGATTGTGACCGTGGTGATGTTTGCTGGCAAGTTCTCATTTGCAGATTGAAATAAAACCGAGTCTGTGTCCAGCGTTCCAGGTTGATGTTGCTTTTTTACCATCGATTTCGCCTCAGATATATCCGAAGTTGCAAACTTTGCGTCATCAGATATAACGGACGGTACCGGATGATTGTTATTTGTTGTTGGTTGCATATTCGATGTAAGCACAGGTTCAGTCGGGCAATATTTGGTTTCTTCGTAGCCAAATCCGACAAGCAAGATCGTAATGCCCAAGATGATGACATTCCACCACCATATCCATCTCCAACCTTGACCCTGTGCAACAAAGCCAGCGACCAACACCCCCATAGAGCTTGTGAGAAGCCAAGTCCACACGTAAAAAGCGTTCATCCTTCCGCGCTGGTGCACAAAGAAGACATCGGCAATGGTCATCTGGACTATGACTTCCGCAAGACTTCCAAACAGACATTGAAAGATATTGACCAGCATCAGGTCCGCCACGGTTTGCATCTTTGCCGACCAAATGCTGACTGCAAATTGTGCAATCGTACTGAAGAGATAGAGTGGGCGACGACCGAACTTCAGAGCAAAGGGAATCAATATGACCGAGCCAATTCCTAGGGCCGCACAGCCAGCAGCATAGCTATCATTCAGTATCTCATAGCTAAATCCCAAATCTTTCTGCATTGGCCCCCAGGTTGGAGTGCTAGCGTTGATCAACTCGGCAACCATTGCCACATAGAAACAAACAAGCCCCATGTTCAGGTATTTGCGCCATTGTGGCCAATTCAAGGGGTCGTTCGGGTCATCTGTCGGTCGTGGCTGCAAGATGATGTCTTCTCTGGTAGCGGCAGTTGGATCTTCAAGTATCACGGTACCAGGAGGCCACATTATGTTGCTGTTAGCACTGCTATTCGGAAGAGTAGAAGACATGGCGAAGTAGCAAAAACTGGTTCTTGCATCGGCAATGATCAAGTGCGGAACACCGAGAAGATATATAACACATGAGTGCTATAGGTAATAATTTCGAGGCCGGTATCCCAGAGACGTTTGATAGTCTACCCCAGCATGTCTATTCTATTTCTTATCAATCTTATGAAGCAAGATAAACCGTACATGTCTAGTGGCGGAATAAGCCGCTCAGCGCAGGGCATTTGGTCCACCTAACCGGAAGAATACGAGTGACCAATTGAAACTTGGACAGGATCTCCTATGCTGACCCTTTAGAGCCAATCCATGCCCCTTTGCCCCATAATTCACGGATCATTCCGCCTATCGTGAGATCCATACCAGAGCCCCACTCCAAGGGCTTCACTTGCGGAGATAGACTCTGTGTGCCAGTTGGCTGGAGCGATGAGGGGTTGATTGTAAGATTGCTGCTCAAGTGAAACCAGTCTATATCTAGATCATGTCTAGTGTCTTATGATTGTCAACTGGATTCTAATTTCGGCGCTCAACATTTATTATATATAGGAGTCCGTGATCTGCATGAGACTGAGCTTTGCTGGAATCAATCAGAGCAATATGGATGAAACATCATCCACCAGAGTGAGAGGCTCAATGCCGGTTTCAACTAAGATTGAAACAGCAAGGTTTGGGTTTCCCAAAAAGACAGGATATTCCGTATCACACTGGTTGCAATCCGCAAAGGAGGATCCTCTTCTCATTCATCGCACAACATCAGAACTACCTGCTACTGCCGATGTGGTCATCATTGGATCCGGGGTAAGTCCGAGCGCAGGACCAGGAATTCATGTGATATATGGCTAAGAGTTCATGATAGATGTCAGGCACTCTCATGGCAAAACATGTCATGGCTACCTGGCCTGAGAAGACAGTCGTCGTTCTAGAGGCCCGTCAATTCTGCTCCGGCGCGACTGGTCGAAATGCTGGTCATTGTAAACCGGATCAGTGGCGAGGCTTTCGAGGGTGGGAAGGCGCTTTTGGTACCGAGCAAGCACTCAAGGTATGTTTTGCATATATATTCGGATCAAAAAATCTAACATGTCAATCCAGATTCTGCAAAACGAGCAGGAGACATGGTCAAATGTGGTACATTATATCACCGAAAACAACGTGGACTGTGAACTCTGGGTGGGGGACACGCTCAATGTTCCCATGACCGACGAAGCCGCGAAGATTGCACAGGAGACATTTGATAGTTACCACGCAGCTGGCGGCAATGTCGACCATATCAAGGTCACCCACGACCCCACACTCGCAGCCGAGGTACTGACTACTCTCCAACACTTGGATGTGCAGCAGCTGACAAGAGTGTAGAAATCCCAAATTAAAGATGCAAAGGCGTGCTATGCTTGGCCAGCCTCAACGCTGAATCCCTGGAAACTGGCAGCGCATCTGATGCGTGAGAATCTCAAGAAAGGGTTAAACCTTCAAACCAACACATTGGTAACTGGCATTCAAAGTTCGCAAAATTCTGTGGGGAATTGGATCGTCAAAAGTGACAGAGGTGACATTGAATGCCCCCAAGTGATCCACGCAACGAATGCGTATAGCTCTGCCCTCGAACCATCTCTACGTGGGATTATTATCCCTTCTCCTCACATCTGTACCAAGGTGACCCCACCGTCGGAGAATAAAAGCTACGCAAAGCTCAACAACTCCTATGGAATCATGATGCCCAAAGGTGACTTGATTACTATCGATCCCAGAGCAACCGAAGAATGTCCAGTTCTCTTTGGCGGTAGTAATCCTGGACAACACAGCTTCCAGCAGTGGCTACATGAGCACCCAGATCAATACATTGACGATGGTATCGTCGAGTTTGAACCAATCACTGGTGCCGTTCGGGAATTTGCCGAGCGCCAATTGGAAGGATGGTCAATTGACGATAATAACAATGACAGCGCCTGCATGTCCTCCTGGAGTGGCATTATTGGATATGCAAGTGTTGAATTTGATAATTTTCATGAAAACGTGCTAATAATCGGCCAGACATTGGACAAAGTGCCCTTCGTTGGAGAAATACCAGGACTGGGTGGTCAGTGGATTTGTGCTGGTCACAATGGGCAGTAAGTTCCAGCACGCCTAAAATGTAACTTGACTAATATGGTGTCCATTTTCTTTCGCATTTAGTGGGATGGCGCGCATCTTTACAGCGGCCCCAGCTTTGGTGAAATTGATGAAGGGCTGTTCTTGGGCAGAGACAAAGCTCCCAGAAGTATTCCAAATCACCCAGTCACGTCTTGACCGACTGAAGACGCCCTTGAAAAACAAACGGGATGTCATTACTCGGTTGTAACTTTTGGAAAGAAGTTATCTGTGAGAATTCATGATATAGAATGTGAATCAATATAAATCCGTACAGCTTGAGCCAAAGATAGAGAAAAATATGAAGAGGTCAAAGAGTCGAAAAGCGAAAGGTGCCAATGTATTTCTCAGAATTATATTTGCAACGTTTCTTCAATCAAAAAAAAATAAAAATAAAAATAAAAATAAAAACAAAAAGAAATATGAAAAGAAAAAAAGATCCTGTTGTTTAAATATCGGTCAGTGCATTATTTAAGTATGAACCCTTTAATATACGAAAGCTTGCAGTATCTATTATTTTCTACTATAGTAATCTCTGGGTCCCAAACAAGCCGGGTATACTAATCCTCTCGCGGATTTTCGCCTAAAAGACGATCCAGAAGCTCAGATATTCCATCAGAAATGCCAGAATCACCCATCAATTCCATTTGCTCCATCAAATCATTCTCAACCAGACGACCATGTAATGTTGTTGCCAGTGTAAAGTTTGAGATACCACCATTTGCCTCCTCCATCATCTTCATTGTCAGATTGGAAAGCGTTTCAAAAATGTCCCGATAGGGTGCGGCAGCGTGCCATCTCTCTGCCATTATAACCAGAGCAATGGTACAGTCACTGCAGGTACTGCTCACTTGGCCATTTGCATGTGCCTCACGTGCTGCAGGCGACGTCCATAGGCAATGCAGATATGTAAGTCCCCCCAAAAAAAGTTCGTGAAGTGCCGTCCATGTCGAACTGGTCGGCTTTCCAACGAACTGGCGACGATAGCCGTGGCAAATGCTCTCTGAAGCCCTCATGCATTGGATGAAGACATCATCTCCGGCTCCAGTTGGTCCATGAATAATTTCAGATCGATAGAGTTGTATTATAGCATAGTTGTACTCCAGATCGAACCAATCCGAGGTTGGAAATAGCGTAAGGGGTTCTTTTGCCGCAGGCGTGGGAGGTATTTCAAGGTACCAGTTTTCGACTTCTTCTCGGAGTTGCTGTATAGCAGTCTGGCGGCTATTTGTACGGGAGCAAAATGTCTCGCCGTTTGAGTAGAGAGTGCTGTGTATCCGACTGAGAAGGCGTCGAATCCGGAATGTGTGAATCGCTCTTGTCATATTTGTCAATGCATCATTTTTGGACTCCCGTGGGATGCCATATATTCCTGTTTTTGTGATGCAAGACTCGTTGATATCGGTCGGATACTATGTGCCTTTGTTAGTTAAACAGTTTACGGAAGCATGGGGAATGAGTACCTCGGCATCGACCTCAAAGTAAGGTATACCTTGAGGTCGCCCAAGCATAACGGCAGCTTGAGTCTCCAAAGTATAGGCACACCAGAATGACCATTTACATAACTCACGTCGAAGCGGATCTGCAGTTGACTTGAGGCATTTCGCGTTTCGGTGATAGCCGAGATCAATACACTGACGGAGTGCCATCCCCGCTAGCTTCCTAGTTATTGTGAGCAAACTCGAGGACCCATCAATTTGTATATGCTCACCAGTGGGATGGGCCACGGGGTGCCCTGAGCGAGTATATTGCGCAGCTTAGGATTGCTTGTATAGCCTCAAGATTATCAAAGGGTAAGATATGATCAACATAGACTTGTGCGGATGCGTACAGCTTCTACTGAAATTAGAAAAGTACCGCACAAAGAACATGTAAACTTGCCTCAGGTGAATACCCGCAACTTGGCAGAAGCAAAGCACCAACAGCGTACACCTAAAAAGATCAGCTTGATATTTTTACTGCAGGCCTTCTCATTAAGCATACCATGTTCAAGAAAAATAGAGGCACTGGACCAAAAACATTGGAATCAAACTCGATCGATTCACAGAGTAAAGACCTTTCCCATGTCCGGAAAGTTGGCTCATGTAAGAACGGGTATTGTATGTGAACATTCCGAAAATAAGCATTGCTTAACTGAACTGCACTTGAATAGTCGGGTAGAAGGCATGGGGATGGAGATATCAGTGGGTTGTCATCCTTGGTGCCTCGAGAACTCCCCGTTACAATTTGGCGGAGTGACGAATTGATCAAGCGCGAGAAAGCAAATATAGAAGACGAACCTAAATAGATAGGCTCTGCTCCAGCTGCATTCAAGTTTAATAGGCCGACTTTGGAAGCCAAATCTTCAACTTCCTCCGGCCTGCCATTCTGTCTGTTAAGATCGATTGGCTTGGACGTGCTTTCAGAATCCGGTTGGAAAGAAGACTGGGAAAGCCCATCCACAGCGAGATGATCAGCGGCTAGATCTGGACGATACTGTCTCAAAGCATCTTCTAGGAATGCTACTCGTCGTTCCAATATTTCGATGTAGTCACGCGGCCTCTGTTTCTTCGTAAATGGATCTTCTATGAGGCAATCTGTAGCTTGGATTCAGCGATATACATCATAAGTTGTTGCTAGAAAGGGCACTAACTTGAACTCGAGCGAGAGCAGTTTTCGCAACTTGGGGCATGGTTGTCGCACTGGAGATATTAACGGGTGGTTCGTGAGCAATTATACATCTCCGTACCTTCATTTTTTTCTCTTTGCAATTTACACAGGCGAGAAAGGCTCGGCCTCCTGACCGGATTCGTCTTCGAGGTGGCTTCCCTTTTGAATTCGCAGCATTTTGAGACATATCGAACGGTGCTGATAGAATGTGCAAAGTAAAGGTATTTGGGGCACTGATAAGCGCATTGCCTTTCAACGCCACAATTTGTCACCAAAACACATCAAGTTTAGCGTCAATTGGTCTATTCTACCCCCATTCGTCTATACATTTGGACTTCGGCTAATACTGCGTGATGTAAATTTTCAAATATAATTTGATGTGATGTGATAAAGAGCCGAAAACAGTAGACAAAATGGCGAATTCAAAAATCTAGAGCTCCAGAATGTGCTGCACAGCATCTTCAACAGCCTTGATCATTCGATCTTTTGACTGACAAGAATCCAACACAATTACATCGCTCTCCAAGCGCATGGGAGGTTCTTGAATGGCAAGCTGCGATTCAACCATTGTTGAGTGCATATAATGATTCTCTTCCGCAGAGCGAGCGACGAGGCGCTCTTTCAACCGAGCTTCATCACTAATAGTGAGGGCCAAGAAAGTGACCGTGACGGGGAAATCAAGAAGCTGAGGCAACTTCCGCAGCTCGTCACGATATAACGCTCGCAATGCCGAACAGGTAACTGCAATGGCAGGAGCTGTTGAGTTCTGTAGCCTGTACATCACTGCACCACGGATATGAGCAATCCAGTCCCAACGATCGGTATCCTCCAGGGGAATGTTATTGGTCATTTTCTGTCGCGAAAGGTGCGAGTGCAAGTCGTCGCCCTCGATGATAGGGATATCAAATCGCTGCGTCAGAGCTTGAGCCGCTGTGCTCTTGCCACATCCACAGGGCCCGCTCAAGAATATCACCTCCCGGGAACGTGTGGAGAGATTCAAGAGAGAAGCGTCTGACCAGCATTGAGTGTGGAAATACTTGATGAATTGTGACACCAACGTGGCAGTCAGACCTCCAGCCTGGCGCAGGGCAGGTGCCGCAGCTTGAGCCTGCTGGGTGCTATAGAGAAGAACTCGACCCGGACGGTCATGATCGTATTTATTGGTGAAGAACTCGACAAGCTTGATGGGTGGATTAGCTTTGGGGTCAGGATTTGAATCTCGAAGGCGGTTCAACCACTCGCGCGGTTTTAATTCGTCAAACTCCAAACCTGCTTGCCTCAGAAGCGGCAACAAGTCTCGAGTCCAATGATTCAGAGTTGGGTTTGTGAGATTGACTATCTGTCCTGCATCTGCCGCCAGAGTGAGATCGATAACACTATTGGCAATGATATCCACTGGTGTCCATGACACAAGATCGTCGAGCTGAGGCAGGGCGTTGATTGTCATTGCTGTCTGAAGCATCATGGGAATGGCCTCGGTCGCATTCCAAATACCATGAATGGTATCAGCAATAATTTGGCCCACTCGTAGCACACGAGCCGTCATTCCTGTTTGAAGGGCGGCCTGGTTGATGATATGCTCTGTTACTAGCTTAGACTGCGCATAGCCCATCTCTTGTGCATAGCTGAGGGATTCGGGAAGAGCCTCTGGGACCCAATGACCCGGTGTTCGAGCAACTGTGCTGACCGAGGAACAAAAAGAGAATTTGGCAGGAGAGGGTCGGCGAACCTTCAAGCAAAGATCCAGCAAATTTCGGGTGCCAGCGATGCAGCTTCCCTCGAAGCTCTCCAAGGACCAGTTGAAATTCACTGACCAGGCACAATGGATAACCCCTGTTACCGACTCAACCAACATTGTATAAGAGGCTTCATCCATTCCGAAACGGTTGGAGTTGCCCAAGTCAGCCGGTAACACGATAATCTTCTGTGCTTGAGCCGGGGTAAGCGTATATGACAGGCCTCGTGCGCGTAAAGACTGCTGGACACGACGGCGTGCAGAGGCAGTGGATGTCGCTCGAACCAAACAGTAGACAGTGTTGACACAGATAGACTGGGCCAATTGAACCACCACATGAGCACCCAAAGAGCCTGTCGCGCCAGTTACAATGATGTGTTCGCCGTCATCCTCACCAGAAACTGGAATATGGGATTCAAAGTATGCGCTATACTTCTCAATCATAGCTGACATCCGCTCTTCAACAGGAACTTCACCCTTCGCAGTCTGGCCAAGACGCATGCAAGTCAAAGTCTCTGCCATCGCTTGCAACGACGGATTCTCGAAAACAAAGTTCTGAGATGGTCTCTGGCCACCAAGATCGAGGGACTTCAATATGATTGTACGAAGCCGAATTGATTGCAAACTGTCAACTCCCAAGCTGAAAACATCAGTCGTGTCTCTCAATGAGGCTCGTTCGATGGATGGTGCTACTTCGACAAGTTTCTCGCGAAGGAAATTGATCAGCTCGGCGCCTTCGCAAACCTGGTCTCCCCCAGCAACCTCAACATCGTATATCTGATCAATTTGTGACTGATAATCACGATAGAATGCAGAGCGGATAACAGTTCCCTTGTCAGTCTTGCGGTAGTCGGCGTCTACGGGCAGGGCATGGATCATGTCACGCGATATGTAGGCATATGCAGGAGATTCAGCATTGCATATCTCGATTGCCGGGAAGACTAAATCCACCAGGTCCTGCTCGTGTTGAACACAACTGTTTTCTGCTGGGATTATGAACATCCCAAGTCTTGGCTTGTTGGCCCCAAAGGCAATCGCTTCGGCCACATGAGGGTTATTCCGTGCAACACCTTCGATAATCAACGGGTTGGCTTTTTCCCCATTCTCCAAAACCAGAGTATCGTCCAGGCGGGCGTAATAGCGCCACGCATTTGGCTTAGTTGGGTGCTTTTCGAACAGATCTTTGGTTGCGTATGAGTTGTCAGGGCGATTGCTGGCGACCTTGGAGGGCCAGCCTTCCAAAACACACAGCTCATAAATCCCAGGGGACTGCTCCTCCCATCGGAGGTATGGTAGCAAAGATGGACCTGGGCGGACGTAGTCCCAGTCCAAGTCCGAGCGGTCTCGGAACGAAGTCATCAGTTGCCCTGTTTCGGTCGTTCCGTAGTGAGAAACCAGGCGGACTCCATTCTGGACGAGAGTGTCGCCGATGGGCTTTGGACACGAGGAGCCGCCGAACATGACAAGTTCAAGTCGTGAGAGAACCCTCAGGCCATTCTCCGACTCCGAGAGGAGCTTCAAGGCGTATGGAACCGCATAAAGCACCTCGATCTCTTGGTGCTCCTGCAGTGTAGCAAGAAGATGTGATGCTGTCAGTGGCACATTTGCATTGTACATATAAATCAGCTTCTGGGAATGAATTGCACGGAAGAGGCAACTGATTCCATGGGCGTGAAACAGTGGCAATGTGATAAATCCTCGGAGGCCAAAGTTGTTTGCATAATTTCGTAGGGCGCCGGAGTGAGTTTGATAAATTGGCTTCGGGTGGCCTGTCGATCCACTCGAGTGAATGATCTAAGTGAGAATATCAGCTTATAAGCTCCAACATGGGAACAACACACACAAACCCAACAAATATTGGCAGCTTCTTTAGTACCATCCAGACACGCTGATGGTAGCCGGGCCACTCTAGCTGCAGGGCTTTTATATACTTCTGGGGATAAAGCCTCGTGCAGCACAATGCTGGTTCTCTTAGAAACCTTTTCACCCATGGTTTGAAACTTAGGGTGGACAATCAGAAATGATGCCGAGGTGCTTTCTACCAAGCTAACATATGCATCCTCTGCAATCCGTGTAGATAGCAACAGCACAGTATGTCCCAAGCGGGAAATAGCTAAAAGAGTGATCGCATACTCGAAATCAGATGGACCGAGCAGGCCTACCACTTTGACGGGGTCTGCTGAGGAGCGACGTTGTGGAATCACTTTGGACAAAGTGACCGATGCTGCTTCGACAAAACTGTCTAACTGTGCAGCTCCAAGTTAGTATTAAATTTTCAAAGGAGATAAGTACAAATCTCTTCCGCTAATCATTGTTGTAGGCAAAACTTACTTGGTAAGGTGTATAGTAGTCATAGTCAGTTCCCGATGATGGGTATGCAACAATGGCTTCATTTGCCAAGTGGCCATTGGATCGGGCTCGCAAGAGCCCATCAATAGTTGTAAAATTTTGGCCGAAAGAAGTCTGTATAATTGCTGTTTGGGAGGCTGAGCTTGCTGGCTCGGCTGATGAAAAGAGAGGCTGCGATGCAGGCTGAAGTGTGACTGCTGCCATGTCCAACAGGTTGAGTCAATATGACAGTCAGATATTGCAAGAATAAATCGGAGTCTGGCATTTTGAATGTTCCAAGTGTCATATTTATTTCTCGAGGTTCATTGTTGTCATCTCCTGCGAACCTGGAGTTCCGCTCGGAGTTGTCGGAAATGTCGGATTTCCAGATCAAGCAAGATGAGATATTCTCGCATGACATAGTTCGGCCATCAAAGTGAAACCTAGTTGGGAATAAATTGCAATTAGTTACTGAGCTAGGGGTTTGTCATGTGAATTCGGTGTCTGCTTCGGAAAAGCATAGCGGAGAACTTCTCTTATTCCGATGCCTGTTCTTGTCCGGACAAGGCGCACTAAATAACTAACAGAGTATCAAATATACCTGGATTAAAGATGATGTAGGGCGAGGAGACCCTTAGTCCCATCGCCCCGGAGTTTAATGGGACTATAATGACGAAAGAAACCTACAGTATCAACATCGAAGCTTCCAATTCAAACAGCGAAATTCGATAGGAATCAAGAAAGTAATCATTGCCTAGCAATCTGTCTGTATCAGAAATAATTCATCAAGTTCATGTGAACATCCCATTTTACAGGTATATACGACTGAACATCCTCAAACTATTTCACAAAACTGGCAATGACTACCAAATATCTCATCCGTCCAACCATAAATTGTCTTTGTTGGTTTGGCTGCAAGTCACAAGATATTTGCAAATCAATAGCAAATCTTCGTTCTCATTTCTCTAATTGCGTTATGTACAACGACCGTCAAACCACATATCTCATACAGCAAACTTGGTCTTGTTTAACGGGCCAGCCTCCAATGCAGCTTTACGAACTGCCTCATCACTCACTTCTTCAAAAATATTGTAGCCCCAGATGGCAGGGAAATTAAACCGCTTGTGTCTCTCCAACGAAGTGAGCTTGGCAAAAGCAGGCTCGGACAATTGCCGGACCTGAAGGTTAGAGGCAATACGCGAAGGGGTGACACTCTTGGACAGAACCACAGTTCCGCGCTGGACACCCCAACTAGCAAGAAGAGCACCGGAATCCAGGTTCACCTCACGTGAGACATCATGAACAAGGGGGTCGTCAACGGTTCGGGGCTCTCCGGTCTGGTTATTGCCCAGGGGCGAGTAGGCCTCGACGATAATGCCCTTGCTCTGGCATAACTTTAGCAGTTCCGTCTGTTGAAGATATGGATGGGCTTCAATTTGGTTTGCTGCAGGTACCACAGTGACTTGGCTCAATAGCTCTTCCAGACGACGAATGTTGAAGTTCGAAACTCCAATCGCCCGTACCTTGCCAGTGGCTAGCAATTTCTCCATTGCCTTATAGGTGGTGATGTAGTCGACATCTGCTAGCTCAAAGACCCCGTCTTTGTCCAAGGGGAACCATTTGTCGCCGCCTTTGAAAGCACTATGTCTCACTCGGTTAGCTCTTGTTTTATACGTTCTTCAGCGAAGGAATCAGTAGATAGTAAATGAAGTTCTTACCAAGGCCAGTGCATAAGATACAGATCAAGATATTCAAGACCAAGATCCTTCAAGGACTTGTCTAAAGCAGCCTCGACGTCACCGGGGGCATGCTTCGTGTTCCATAACTTCCCAGTGACAAAGATCTCGTCGCGGGACACTCCTGATTTGCGGATTCCATTTCCGACCTCTGCCTCATTGCGATAAATAGCGGCACAGTCGATATGGCGGTATCCTTGCTTGAGTGCGATCTCAACGGCATTCTCGACCTCCATTGGCTTGGCCTGCCATGTTCCAAATCCCACGGCCGGGATCTTGGCGCCAGTGTTCAGAGTGAAGTGAGTGGTGATGGCCATTTTTACGTTTCAAAGATATCTGAATGTCGAAACCTTGAAAGAGAAATCCACTGACATAAGTAGTTCTGTGATCTAAGATCAACAGGTCGGAAGCACAGAAGGGGATTCACGGATAAGGCGGAAAACCGAGAGGGCAAAAGTCTTTGCAGGACAAGCTTCTCGGATTTGTCTCAGGGTTTGCTGCAGCAATTTAGCCAAGATCTTGCGGAGAAGTCCGGAAGAAGAGATTCTGGTGCTTCTTCCTTTGCCAATCCCCCGCATGTTGATGCGGGTTCGGAACCTGGGGCTATATATCAGGTCTTCGCTGACTTGGTAGTTTAGAACCACGTCTCTGTTCGCTAGTAATTCTACTTCCTCTCTTTCTTCTATGCACAGAGAAAATTTCACTATGTCACAGTCTGATCTCAAAACATCTTCTCTTCATATCGAATCCTCCAAGCCCTTGGACAGGGACCCGATTTTGTTCGAGGGCCTTTTCGAGGAGGAAACACAACACATTGAGAAACGCTGTAAGTTTTTTTTTCTAGTCATTTTTTTTCTAGTCAGTTACTAAAACACAACCAATGGTTAACTTGGTTCTAGTGGTGCGAAAGATTGACCTCCATTTGATCTCTGCATTGTTCCTACTGTTCATCTTCAACATCTTGGACCGATCGAACATTGCAAATGCACGACTAGGAGGGCTACAAGAGGACCTCCACCTCTCCGACAATCAGTACCAGACTTCAGTAGCTATAATGGTGAGTAGATTCACTTTGAAGCTAAGAGAACGAGCAGACATTAACTTGGACCAATATCTATAGTTTGTTGGCTACCTTTTGGGTCAAGTCCCAAGCAACATTATCCTGACTCGGTTGAAACCATCCCGGTATATTCCTACGGCTATATTCATTTGGGGAGGCATATCCTTGTGTACTGCAGCAACCAAGAACTTTGCCGGGCTGATGTGTGTGCGAATATTCCTCGGATTTGCAGAATCTCCGTTCTTCCCTGGAGCACTGTACGTTGTACCTCTGATGTCCGAATAACATAATAATCAAACTGATTTGAAACCAGACTATTGATCAGTTCTTGGTACAAGCCGTCAGAGATCGCGGTTCGAGTGGCAATTGTGTATTGTGGAAATACAGTCGCCAATGGATTTGGTGGACTATTAGCCGCCGGTATCATGACAGGGTTAGAAGGAAAAGGCGGGCTTGAAGGATGGAGGTTCGTGATTATCTAGGAATATTCCTATGATCTTGGAACTGACACAATTAGATGGCTTTTTATCATTGAAGGTGCCGGGACTATGGTAGCAGGCCTCGTCGCAGTGGCCTTGTTGCCGGACTTCCCTTCATCGGGCAGGCAAAAGTGGCTCACCGAACAGGAGCAGCGCTTTGCTGAATGGCGTCTTGCTCGTGCAGCAAACGACGAGGTCGACGAGAACGGTTCTATCAAAGAAGCACTGCGTGATGCCTTCATAGACCCAAAAGCGTGGATCCTCATTCTCATTCAGGTTTGCCAGCTTTCCTCGCAAACATGGACATATTTCTTTCCTGTATGTGTTTCCACTCAGTCTGTATGGTTCATTTCTAATCTATACAGACAATTGCCAAAACACTGGGTTACAGCAATAACGTCACGTTGTTGATTATCGCACCAGTGTACATCTTTGGCTTCATCACTGCACTAGGCAATTCCCTGATCGCGAACCGCACCGACCAAAGGTTCATACTAATTGCCTGGCCTCTCTGCATCGACATTGTGGGTAACATCATGGTCATCTCGTCTAAGGCCACTGCTGTGCGGTACACCGGCATGTTTCTCATGTGTGCCGGTTCCTATTCGGCATTTAGTGTGGTGCAGGCATGGATTGCCAGCACGATACCTCGTACAAGAACCAAGCGAGCCATTGTATACGCCTTAGTGAATTTGTTTGGCAATTCGTCTAACATTTACGGCTCTTACTTTTTTCCAACCAAAGATTCGCCCCAATACCGCCCAGGCGGTATCACATTGTCCTCCTTTGCTGCTGGGGGAATTGTGCTCTCCTGTGTATTGGCGTTTTATCTGCATATGTTGAATATGAGAGCGAGAAAGGCAGAGGAGCAAGATGGTCAGACACGCTACAAGTATATTTGGTAGACAAGGTTGAAGGGATATCGAGAATATATGAAAGATAAGTTCCGCTTGTTCCCACAATATGAGACTGCCATACATGTAACCGAGTGCTCAACAATATTGTTGTGCCCTACGTTGAAGCAGATCACGGTCAATAAACGAATACGCCCTAAACAAGATAAGCTGAAGATGTTAGAAGGATCAAGTGGAGTACCGTTATATATGACTTACAGATAGGCAGGCTATCAAATTGCGGCCAGAAATCAAGGACCAAGTCTTCGTCGGTCGCAAGATTGTCCAGTAATAGTTCGGTTTGCGGATCAAGCAGAAATGAGTCATTTTCAAGACCGGATATGCCCGGTTCATCCTGCCTTGAAAGAATCTCTTGCGTACCCGGCCCATTCTGTTCAGCTTGCGCAAATGCAATCATATCACGTTGGTGGGTTTCGGAAGGAGAAGTATCCCCAGTGGTAGTATTACCGTATTGGCTGCAGCAACAATTAGAATACATTTCATGATAAGCTAGAGGAAACGGGTACAACTTTGTCAACTCTCGGCGCAGGCCCTGTAATATAACGCTGTATCTCCACGGTGGCGCATTGCGAACAGTGGCATCGGCAAGGTGTGCTTGTGCAGTTTCTGATAATCTGTAAAGTGTCGATTCATCCAATGGGGAGTCGAAAGGTGCATCCTGAGTTGAGACGAAACGGAGACTGACTGGGGAAATTCGACCTCGCTGAACTTGTATCAGGTAAAGGTAGATAATCGATAATGCGTTGAAGGCAATATACTGAGAATACCAAAAAGACTGAAAAAGCTGCTTCTCTTGCACAAAGGCAAGAATCAACTCGATTGCGTCTCGTGCCGCTGTCAAACACAAACTAAGGTAGTATTGGCAATTTGCTTCGCACTCTGGCCAGGTCTGACTATAGTTTCGGAGAAGCAGCGGCCGAGTAATGAATATCAATGTATGATAGCGCGCTAACTGCAGAACGGTGAGCTGACGTCTCAGTCCAGGGACTAAGCTGTCCGGCTGAATAATGCCTGATAGAAATGCCGGTAGCTCAGCCTGCCATTCGGCAACTCGCCCGCAAAAGAGTCTAATGATATCGATTTGCTCTTTGGTAGAGACGCCTGTGACCACATAGGGCTCTTTAGCAGCCTGTGTCAGAATCCGAGCCAGCACGGTATGAAACACAGGGGCATCCATCAAACAATCCCGCTTAGAAATTCGTTTTTCGTGGCGGGTTAAGTCTTGGTCATTAATTCGATCAGGAAGATCCTCTTCCAGATCTTCGTCTTGCCAAAGACGGGGACGGCCCAATATGACACTAAGATATTTATCCAATGTATATGAGCACCAAAGGACCCGGCGTTGGCATTCCTTTTGAATCAAATCCTCTTGATCGGTACCCAGACGTGGCCTTTTACTATGATAGCCCAGGGCCATCATCAGTTGGACTGTTGTTCCAAATGTGAACCACGCTTTATGAGCTCTCGATGAACTTAAAAGATAGAGTACCATCAGAAAGCGCGCTTGAACTGAGGGCAAGCTTGGTGCACCCATTTCATGTAGTAGAAGATAATCTGCTCGCGTATAATAAGTTTCACTTCTTTGCCAACCAGAGGTGTCAGCGTCTGTGATACGCCCTTCGTGGTCTGGCTGAAACATTGTCGCAATGCTGAATATCAGGAGTAGAGTTGCCCTGGAAGCAGCCGCCAGAGTGGTTTCCTTTGCATTGGTACCACCTTCAAAAAGATCATGAACCATCAATTCGACTGTTGGCTGGTGGAGGACTCTATAGGTCGGAGAAGCGAAGTCAAAGTACCGTCGGATTAAGATGTCCGCTGCTCTTCGAGTCGGCCATTCAAATTCCGCTGGGCTAATTTCGGGAACGACCCTGTCTCCAAATGAGAAAATTGACACATTGGATGAGGCCCCTTGGCTTTTTTGCTGGGGTAATAATTTTGCGGGCGTTGAGGGTAGGTCTTGAACTACGCGGCCAAGAAAGGAATGTGCCGAGGTTGGCCCCCAGTACTGAGGAGCAACAATCGTTGAGCCTGTCTCTCTTGGTGGCTCAGAAAATTCATCTGGTGCATCCTGGCCAAACTCGACACCTGGAGATCTATGAGGGGTTGGCGGTTGGCCCCAGCTCTCGGAAGGTATCTCCGTTGCAAACTGCTGATGTCGAGATTCGCCAATGGCCTGGTCCTGGTTGCTGTTTGAACTGAAGTTTGCGGAGCTTGGACGTTTTTTCTGGTGGCTTTGGTGATCAGAAGAAAGTGGGCTCATGGCGACACCTCTGTTGTAAGCCGCATTGTAGGTGCATGACAGCCGCCGCTGCGAGCAAGGGCCGCAAGGGAGTGTGCCTGTACACGCTTTCTTTTTTGCTTTACACGCATCACAAGCGCGTGTCACCTTACGCAGCTTTCGTGCATCACTGGCCATTTCCGACTGACTCAGGCGGAGCGGACGTTTTGATGCATTCGAGAACGAGTTGCGGATGTTTGTTCGCTGATCGGATACTTTTCCGTCTTTTCCGCCTTTTCCGGACCACGCGAGTCTGTCTGTCAGAGCCCTATCTTGGTGAATTACTTACTTGGTCTTCACAGAAATTGGAGGTTCAGACATATCTGATCAGCATCTCGCAGCTCTGAGGTTTCAGCTGATGAGCGGTGTCGTTAAACTCCAACGATAAATCGCTAGAGCATTCCAGTGTCTGCACTATATATCAATACCATACCACTCAAGCCAAAGTCTATACTTTTAGAGCACCACAGTTTCTAAAGATGCCTATGTGATGTGCGTTTCTCAGCTGGATATTGCCCAGGCCGAATCTAGTGTGCTTTATATGTGGATATTGAACCCCACGGCCCAAATTGGACAGTAACTGCAATGCGGGTCGGTCCGTGCCTCGGATGTCTAGGGCAATCTGAGTCACTACGACTTTCAGACTACTCCTCTCAACACCCTTGACAGTACTAAAATAGCTTAGCAAATATGGAATCTCTCAAGTCACCGGAATTTCCAAAATCTCACATTCAAACTTGCGAAGGACCACACACCCATACGGTTATCCTACTCCACGGCCGTGGTAGCAATGGCAAGGAATTTGCCGAAGAACTCTTCTCATCAAAAACTTCGAATGGAAACACATTGTCTGAATGTTTGCCCAGTTATCGCTGGGTGTTTCCAACTTCATGCGAAAGATATAGCACTACATTCCAAGAAGACATATGCTCCTGGTTCGACGCCTACTCCTTGGGCGATATCAATGAAAGACAGGAGTTGCAGAAGGAGGGGTTGACACAGTCAATCTACCACATTTTTGATGTCATCGAAGAAGAAGCCAATTTGCTTGAATGGCGACTTTCTCATATTTACCTTGGGGGGATCAGTCAAGGGATGGCGACAGCCTTGTGGTCATTCTTTGCTGCTATTGGCACTGGAAGAATACGGAGTCCATTGGCTGGTATGTTAGGCTTTTGCGGATGGCTACCATTTGCACAACAGTTGGAGGGCTTGCTTTGCGACTCATCCCTAAACAAAAACTCCACGCTTGAGGCACAGCGCATAGTCTCTGGTTTCTTCTTTGACGAAATATCCGCCCAGGGGCGATTACAAAGTAGGAACTCTTTAGAAAACTCTGTTTTCTCTACTCCAGTGCTTCTCGGACATGGAACAGACGATGCCTGGGTATCTGTGGATCTTGGACGACAGGCCTCTCAAATAATCAGACGGCTTATGACCCACGTTGAATTTCATGAGTTTACTGGCGCAGAAAGTGATGGACATTGGATTGAAGAGCCCGATGGTTTTGATCAGATTCTTCAATTCCTTCAAAAATGATAACTCGACCGAAGAAGGGAATGCGCCGCCTAGTGGAAATTAATGGAAGGGCAGCAAAGCCATCATGGGTGGTCTTTAATGGGATATAAAATCATGTATCTTGCTCGAAATAGAAATTTGCTAAATTTTTGTGTCCTCGATCTAGTTGCAGTCACTGGGAACCCAGTACATGTAAGTATTTAAGTCCCAAATCGAACAGGATGGCATAATGTCAAACCTCATGTTCGGCATGTTTGGGTGTGTATTAATAAAATGTGGATTTTTGTTCCGTACATTGTGAGTGCTGTCACGAAAATCTACAAAGACTCGTTGGAGTTTGCGTCCAAGTATGCACTTATTGATTGTTTGTCCAGGAATTGGCCCACCCCACTATGCCCAAGCGTAACTATAAGTCTGCCCGGAAGATCTGACCATGCAAGCCCTTGTACCTACCTTGCATCGCCGTATGACCTCATGCATGCCGTTGCGCTGTAGCCGAATTGAAGTTTACGCTTAACGGTCGAGGACAACTATAGCATGGAGACGAAAAAAGATCAAGTCGCTCGTGTGATCTCGTATTCGCAGGATAGAAACTATCTAGTACAAGGCAGGTACTTTCCCAAACCTACGGGCAGTGGACTATTATATTAGAGGCAGGAAAGACGGTGAAGCCCTGATATAAGCTAAAATAAGCAAACTCCGATATCGCGATGACACATTCTTGCCTGATCGGGGGGCCTTGGCGTGCGCGTGGGCTAGTCCCAAATAGGCTTGGCGTTGTCATTCGAAGGGCGTGCAGCACGTCCCCATCTTCGTCGGACTGGTTGCTTCTCTCCGTCTGCCCATTCTGGACCAATATGTACATCTGCGGATACGAATCTGTGGATTTCACATGATCATGCCCCAAAGCCTCAATCTCTGCGCTCTGAGCGCCCCCCCCAAAGTCTTAGGTTCACGATTTTGCTCCACTATTTCGTTTCCCTGTCTACCCCGGACCCAGGCTGCGGTTTCGGTCTTTTCCAGCAGACTGATTCTTCCATCTTCCACTCTCCATTTTCTCGCAACTTCTTGATTTTGGTTCGTATCCGTGCCGAGGTTCATGAGACTCGCACCTTTGAGCATGGAATACTTCGATTTTGAGGGCGCCTCTTCGGGGCATGGCTCCAATCAGCAAGAGGACGATGTCGCCTCCGTTGATATTGAATTTGATGAAGTCGAGGACGAAGTGGCCAATTTTAACTCTCTGGCCCAAGATCAGCCACTAGAGTTCCCCGATCAGTATATCGGACAGCCTGTTGATCCCGACGGGGTATACCCAATGTTCCGCGCCCAGGAACCGTGCGACTTTTGTCGCCGAATGGGATTGGATTGCTTTGTTGCCAAGCGTGGTGTCATGCAAAATGGCTGTACTTGCTGTATCTCTCTCTGGCGTGAATGCAGTTTCACACATGCCAAAACACCTGGCAAGTTCCTTCAGACCCTACACAGTGTGTCCGAGAATGCCTATGTTCCAACGGGCAGCCTCACAGGAAAGAAAGCTCTCAAGTCGGTCTCATACGGCCCATATGCCGATGATGCCGATGCACGCTCCCGCAAAAACAGCCCTCGATTCTCTCGGAGAGCAATCAGCGTTTTGAAGAGCTGGTTGCGCGATCATAACGAGAATCCATATCCTACTGAACAGGAGAGAGATGGTCTCAAACAAGACACTGGCTTGACAAGAACACAAATCTCGAATTGGCTAGCAAATGCCAGACGGCGTGGCAAAGTGCGTCCCACGACCGAGAGCACTCTTCCCATTCCCGGTGCCGTGGATATTCCCCAGAAAAAGTCCGTCGACATATCTCTCATGACACCTTTGGAGCGTTGGAAATACTCTCCTCCCGAGAACGAACCCGCTACAATCAGTGATATTACCCGTGCCTTGGCCAATCCCCCGTTCGATCCCTCGCGTCCACGCCGGGCCCCATCTGGTCACGTGAGGCCCCGTCGCCCTGGGTCCAGTACCAATGAGTCAAGCCATGCCAGCTCAGAACATAAACTGCGCACCGCCTCGGCCAGCAGTGTGGACACTAGTCGGTCATCTATCTCTGACCTCTCTTTTGCTTCGGCATTCTCTCATCGATCCTCGCTTTCATTTGGCTCAATGGATCGTAAAGATCGTCGCCGTCGCCGTAAGGCCTCGGTACCTGCCAACACATTAACCCATTCCAAGGCTAAATCTGCTCGTCCTTTCCAATGCACATTCTGCACTGACTCATTTCCTGCCAAATATGATTGGCAACGACACGAAAAGTCCATGCACCTTATTTTGGACAAATGGACATGCTCTCCTGATGGTGGAGTAGTTGAACAAGATGGAATACCTCTTTGTGTCTTCTGCTCAGCAGCAAACCCTGATGGGGAACACTTGGAGACTCACAACTTCATCAGCTGTCAAGAGAAAACAGTGCAAGAGAGGACGTTCTATCGAAAGGATCACCTCAACCAACACCTTCGCTTAATGCACAACACGAAGTATCAATCGTGTATGGACAAATGGCAGAGTAGCGTCACTGAAATCAAATCTCGTTGCGGCTTCTGTGGCTCTATCTTCCATACCTGGAAAGACCGAATTGATCATTTGGCGGGCCACTTCAAGAGTGGAGCTGTGATGGCTCAATGGCAAGGGGATTGGGGCTTCGAACCTTTGATTCAAGCTCGCGTCGAAAATGCAATTCCACCGTATATGATTGATTATGAATGGAGAAGTCCTGATCCATTCACCACACAAAAATCTCAAGGGGACGGTACCTCACCTCAGCTCCCCGTTCCCAATGATGCCAACTGCTACGAGCGTCTCTCGCATGAACTTGCCGCATACATCCATAAACAAAAGTCACAAGGCTTGGTTCCGTCAGATGTGATGCTCCAAGAAGAAGCCCGTCGTGTTATTTATGGATGTGATGACCCTTGGAACCAAACCTGCGCAGACAACATCGTGTGGTTAAGCGTACTCAAACGCGATTGTGGATTGGATACTGCTGTGCAAAGTGATACTATTCAGTTCGACGATCTAGGCATGCAACCTCCATTTGCAGTGCATGGCGGCCTGCGGGCCCCACCCCGGGAGCTGAACGTGCTCGCGCGAACAGTATGCCGAGGTGGCCTATATAGCCCTGCAGTCTCTAGCCCGGGCCTCCGCAGCCCCGCCTTTCCCGGAACTGGCTACTCATCTGCCGGACCTAGCCGTGGAGGAAGTCTCTCCGGTAGTTATGCTGGCAGTGCAGGGATGGCATCAGCAAGTGCGGATCCGTCATTTACCACGGATTGGGGCAGCAGTGTGCCAACTAGTCTTCCAACTAGCCTTCCTACCACTTCATCCATGCCAGGAGAAAGTTCTCTGAATCCATTGGTACAACTGGGCTTTGATCCCGAGTTCCTTCAACGACTCAATGACAACTATGGCGAAATCAACCCCGATGAGGTGGAAGGCATGAATTTGGATGACGACGCCGGTCAAAAGGGGGTCGGAGGATACGGGTGGCCAAACTCAGACATACTTGGTCAACCCACGACTCAGCCTCTGATGGGTGAAGGTCCGGCTTCAGATCTGGTCGGTATCATCAATTCCAAAGAGGGCCACGCCCCTGCTTCAGATACATCCAAGCCTGATCTTTCTGGATATCTCAATCTCGAAAGCCAATTTTGAGCTATGCGATGGTAGTTATCTTGACTTATCCAAGGTTCTTCATGGCACGGAAAAGTTACTTGTTACGAATTTGCTTGATACATTTCATTTTCAAGGCATATAATTTGATATCAATCATGCTAGCGATAATACTACAAATCAATACGCATTTCTTTTTCCCAATCCAGTCCAGGCTCCCACATCTCATCCTCGTGAAGTGTAGTTCAGTTTCCAACCCAACTCCCTGTGTCTTCTTTGTACACACGTCACCCAGTCTGGAGACGTCCTCTGACTTCTGATTCCTAAGCATTGCGTACCTTGATCCATTTCTACGCACGTGGCGTTCATGCTAGATCCGGATTCAGACCTTCTGCCGAACCCGCTTTTCTTAGTCGGGACAATGAGTGGTTGACTCATACGCCACCACGATTGAGACCAACAATTCTCTAATGCAACCCATAGCATTGGCTCGCATCGGTCTCAGATGCAATTCACTAAGATTCTGACTTGAGTCAGGCGCTCCCGTGGCCACGGAACCTTCGAATTCATCATGCCTAATTGGGGTTCTACGACCCTCTCCCTCTCGTGTCATGCCGAGTCAGAGAGCCCCACTTTGGATCTGAGTTAGGGCTACACGATCTCCACTATTGACACTGCTCACTATCACTGGCACGCTGACCCTTGAGATGCTGCCGGTTTATTGTTCGGGGATATCATCTCCCCGGTGTGCGAATGGACCCCTTGAACAGCCCTTCAGTGATTGAATTGATCACTCGGGTACGAATTGGGTCCGTTGCCGGAAATGAGAGGGCCACCGCCGTGTTCTCACTGTACATGATTGGCCTGGTTGAAAGTGAAGATCCACGATCCCCGTTCAATATATTGATGCTCCGAAAAGCTATTCTCGTTCTTTACGAGCTTACAAGCGATCAGCTCCATGAACAACCTGCCTTGGACGTACTAATCCGCAGAGAACTCTCGGACAGCATTGAGATGCATATGGTTACGTGGTGTCTTGAAGTTTGCCGACTCATATAAAAGGATTGGGTTTCCAAGAAGAAATACCGTCTTCAGAGCAAATCATTCATATCTATAAAATATTGCAAAACTGATCTACATCGAGAACAATGAAGCTCTTCTTTAGAAGCTTTTCAATCCTATTTCTATGCCTCAGCCATTTGGCGGCGGCTGCAACCGTATTCTTCCCAATTACTTTGACATGGACAAATCGAACTGTAGCCGGAGTGTCTCGGCCGGTCATTGCTATGAATGGACAGTATCCCGGTCCCGCACTGAATATCAATCAAGGTGACAATGTTCAGTTTCTGGTCGATAACCGGTGTCCATTTAATGCTACTGTTCATTTCCACGGTATGTGTACCTCTGATCTCTATACTGGTCATGCAAGAAATTGAACAGTTAAAGGGATTGAACAACTTGGAACACCTTGGTCTGATGGTGTTCCAGGAGTCTCTCAGAGATCAATCTCGCCCAATTCAACATTTCTCTACAGGTGGACGGCAAATGATTATGGAGCATACTTCTATCATGCGCATCATCGTGGCTCGCTCGAAGATGGTCTTTATGGTCCAATCTATATCACTCCTTCTCCATCGGTGACGAAGCCATTTAACCTCATGACGAACAATACCAGTCAGCTCAATGCTATGATAACTGCTGAACGGAATGGCTGTTCTGTGTTGCTTTCAGACTGGCGGCTTCTTACCTCTGAACAGATCTGGAATGCGGAGGTGGCTTCTGGTGTTGATTCCTACTGTGCTAATGCGTTGCTCATCAATGGTCTGGGGTCTGTGACTTGTCTTCCGCGCACTCAGATTGATGCTTTGACTACCGACGCTCAACGGCGAGCTCTAGGAAATGAGAGCTTGACAGACATGGCGTGAGCAAGCCCACCTGTCAGTGGTGATGCAGAATACTCACCATCCTCACAGATGTTTCCCACCCAACATCACATCTGCACAGGGAAACTTCCCCCACAACTACAGTGCAATACTGCCGACGATGTTCTCCGGCTGCACCCCATCACATGGACCCCAGCAGATCTTCAACGTCAACGCATCCCAGCAGTTCGTAAGCTGGGATTTGACCAGTGCATCGGGCGTGCTGCAGCTCACATTCTCCGTCGACGAACATGTCATGTGGGTATATGCCATCGACGGCCGATACATCACCCCAGTGCAAGTCAATGCCCTCACGATCCCTAACTCAAACCGCTACTCAGTGCTAGTGCCACTCACCCAGCCAAGAGGAGACTACACAGTGCGTCTAGTCAGCGCCAGCGTCCAACAGATCCTCAATACAACGGCCATCCTTCGATATCAAGGCACATCCCAATTAAACAGGGCCTCCAATCCCTGGATAACAATCAACAACCAAAACGCCACCACTGGAACGGTCTTCCTCAACGAGTCACTCGTCACTCCCTTCCCAGTCCTAGTCCCATCAACCAACATCGCCCAGACCTTCTTTCTCAACATCGACAGGTTCGGCGCTTCATATCGTTGGACTCTAGGGAACGGCAGCTACGGTCTCGAACTGGAAGAATCCCAACCGCTCCTCTTCAACCAGAGCTCCATCCCAAGCAATTTGGTCATCCGAACGGAAAATAATACCTGGGTCGATCTCATCATCCAAGTGACGACTCCCATCCAACCCCCCATCCCATCCACAAACATTCAAACAAGCATTTTATTATCGGGCAGGGCAACGGCGTCTTCAACTACTCGTCTGTTGCACAGGCTGTCCAGGCTATCCCTGGCAACTTCAATTTGCTTACCCCACAGTATCGTGATACGTCGAACACTCCGGCTGCGACTCAGGGCCCGACATGGTTGGCGATTCGGTATCAGGTGGTGAACCCGGGCGCTTTCTTGATGCATTGTCATATTCAGGTTCATCAGAGTGGTGGCATGGTGTTGGCTATGCTGGATGGGGTTGATGCCTGGCCTACTATTCCGCCAAACTATTTGAATGGGAATGGATTCTAGGATGGGTGGTGGCTGTTCGTCGTGAAAGACACGACAACCGGGCGAAGAAAAGATGTGAGTGGGCGTTGAGGCTTGGGCGGACAACGGAGAGAGCACGCAGAAGTTACAAAACGAGATGAGTCCTGGATTTTAGTGTCTACAGTTATAAAATGAATATGAGACTCAGGCAGATTGAACATTCGTCTCTCGTCGCCGGTGCGAATGCACGTCCGCCATTGTTCAGGGTAGGAGTGGAGACCCCAGAGTCTCGTCGATGACTTCATGACATTACATACCACCTGTGCGAGATCAACGCGATGAAGATCATGATTCCGGTTCATTTAGGGCATATTATCTCCGATTCATATTAAACAGGCAATCAGCTGCAAGCACACCTGGGCAGCATCGTCTCCGAGTGACGACATCATCCCTCAAAGAAGAGCCTGGATGCCCTGCTCAATGGCAGGAACAGAGGCCCCCACCACTTCAGTGACCTTCTGTCCATCCTTGAACAGCATAAAAGTAGGCATCGCGCGCACTCCAAGCTCAGCAGATAAATCGGGCACTGCGTCGACGTCAAAGGTGTAGAACTTGACTTGGGTGTATTGGTCGCTCCACTGATGATACTTGGGCGCAATCGCCTTGCAGGGGCCACACCAGACGGCGAAGCAGTCTAGGATTGCCGGTTCTGGCGACTCGAGGACTTTCTCTCGGAAGTCGGCCACGCTGGTGGGAGATTAATACCTCTGTTCGGACAGTCGGGATCTGTCGTACCTGGTGAGTGTGATGACAGGCATCTTGGGAATGTGATCTTGGATGATGACCACCGAGATCGCAGGAGAAAAGGGAATGGTTGAAGAGGGGAAAGACTGGAAGCTGACAGATCAGGCAATTTATAGAAACAAGGTGGGGTGTAGATCGGAGAGAAGCGGAGAAAGATGGCGCCGGTGACATATGATCGCCAGGGACGGGGTAATGGGGTACAGGTGGGACATGAAGAATGGCACCATTGAGAAGGAATGAGTCTACAGTATAGAATATCTCATCGTGAATGGCATCATGGTAGCCTCATGGACTCGACGGGGAGCTCCACCCGGGAGCTCCACGGCGAGCTCAGATTCACGACTACCGCGCAAGCCATACCAACCAATAAGGTCAATACAATCCAATAAATGAGGACTCTATTCCACATCAATAACAAAGGACAAGAAAAAAAAACTCCTCCAAAAACGACCGTCGCCTGAAAAATCAGGACTCGTGATCTGGCCAGATGTTGTTCCGAGCCGGGGGGAGAGCCGTATTTAAGATCCAACTCGGCTACGCCCCTCTTCACACTACCCACCCCCCCAACTTTCTGTCTCTTCCTTCATCCAAACCACTCACTCTTATCAAAATGTCTAAGCTTTTTATCGGGTATGTTCATAATTAGCATCGTGAGGCCATGACTGACCATTTTCCGTTTCCAGCGGTCTGTCCTGGGGCACTGACGATCAGTCCCTGCGCCAGCGCTTCGAGGAGTTCGGTGCCGTTGAGGAGGCTGTAAGTTTCACCCTTTTTCTGCCCCCACCAACCGCCCTGAGCGCATCCATTCTGACTGCTTCCCTGTCTAGACCGTTGTTAAGGACCGTGACACTGGCCGCAGCCGTGGATTCGGTTTCGTCCGCTACGCTTCCGATGATGAGGCTACTGCCGCCATGAACGCCATGAACGACCAGGAGTAAGCTACAACCCCCTCTGCGTTCCCCACACTAATCATTGCCACTGCCTGACGGCCGCCTCGGCGTTTTGTTACCCCCCAATTGCCCCCATTCCCCCCATTCTACCCCCTCATGCTGTCGCGCTCTTGCGAGCGCCTAGCCACGCCGCCCAATGCCCCACTCAATACACATGCATGGCAGAACAAGTGACTAACAATCCACTCCCAGGTTCGACGGTCGTCGCATCCGTGTTGACAAGGCTACCGAGCGTGGCGCCGGTGGTGGTGGCCGTGGTGGCTTCGGCGGCGGCTTCGGCGGTGGCCGTGGCGGCTACGGTGGTGGCAACGGTGGCTACGGTGGTGGTTACCAGCAGCAGGGTGGCTACCAGCAGGGTGGTTACCAGGGCGGCAACGGCGGCTACTAAAGGATCCCTTTCTCTGATTTGCACTCCCTGTGACCTTTGACTTCTTCTTTCTCATGGTCGGGAAAATCTGATCTCATGATCCCATACCCACCCCTTCCTCCTTCACACACAAACCCCCACCCCCTGTGAATGCCTACAAAATCGAATTTGTTACTCTCAACGACTGTTACGACTAATCGATGAGCCGATCCGGATTTTTTTTCTTTTTTGGGTTCCTGATCTACATTGTGCGGGATGTAGAGGGCTCAATTTATTATTTTGCCTTGCCCCGCCTCTCTGGTGATCTCTAGGGCTGGACAGAAGTGATACCCGTGTGAATATCCGTACTTTGAAAATCGCAATTCTTCGAGGTTATCTTTTGGGCTACCAGTAAAATTATAGTAGAAATGTACTGTACGGGGGGAGCTTGGTAAATCTCAGACTCTGCATCTAATCTATGGGGCTAAGCGAGAGGAGCCCTGGAAGACCCCGGGGCAAAGTGGAGCGATGTCCCCACGCACTATAATTGTCGCTTTCTAACAGGAACAGTTCATTGAAGCTAGACTCGCTAATAGATCTAGATCCACTGGGACGTCGCATAATTCATAAATGAGAGGCTATGGCTAAATCAGGCGCCAATATCGAGCGTATAAATTTCAAGCATGTCGCTGTATATCATTCCAGTCATGTTCGTGACATTATTTCGGGTTCAAGGCAGTTCGGCTTGAACATCGGACTCAAGGTCTGGCTCTTCGAGTGGAGGGAGAAGACTCGGGGGCTCAACTAGTTCGTCGCCCTCTGCCACGCTCTCTGCTTGAGAGTGGGCGAACTCGGTCGGTTCGATAGATATGACGGGGGGTTCAACTGACTCGTTCGAGGATGGGGATCCTTCAGCCTGGTTGGGTTGAAAATCAATGGTCTCAGGCACCTCGGTGTCTTCCACCGTTACTGGGGACGCAGAGTAATCCAGAGGCAGAGGACCATCGACTTCCGGCTGGATAGACGTGACGGCAGGTTCAACTGACTCGTCTGAGGGTGATGAGCCTTCAACCTGGTTGGTTTCAATATCCATGGTCTCAAGCACCTGGGTGTCATCGGACTCAGAGAAATCCAGAGGGTCCTCGACCTCCGATTCAAGTGTCTCAATATTCTCAACAGCTGTCGCAGATTCCGAAGGCTCGGGGAGCGCAGCGGAGCCTGCAGTGGAGTCGACAGCAGAGTCGACAGAAGAATCAGATGGTTCCTGGGGCCGTTCGGCTTGGATAGCAGGAGTTTCAGGGGTCTCGAGAACCTCTGTTTCTACAAAAACTTCAACAGAGGGTGTTGGTTCAAATGACTTGACAGTGGAGGCATCCGGTTCGGCAGTTTCAGATTCCAGCGACGCATCTTCATCCAAAATTGAAGTAGGAAGTACGGTGTCAGCTGCCGGGAAAGAAACCACCGAGCTCGGAGTCTGGATAGCCTCCACTTCAACTGAACTCGTAGCAGCAACGGAGGGGACGAAAGTGACGCTGGAGCTCGAAACGACCGAATGCTGCAGCACATCATGCCCCAAGTCCTGACTAAGAGGAAGTATCTCACCAGACGCCCAGAACTGCTGTTGGACGGAGCCAATAGCAAGGAAAGCAACCAAAACGCTCAGCAAGACAAGCGCAACATTACGCCGGTCAGCAGCAAGCACGCGAAGGTAATTAACAAGTAGAACTCTCAACGCGACCTGATGCTGCCCCTGCGCCTTCTGTCCATGCCGCTCGATCTTTTCGTGTCCAAAGTCCGTAATAGAATCCCTCCGACCCTCAAGAAGAGCCTGCCTCGAGAGCACAGCCTCGGACTGGAAAGACCCAGCAGAAACCAAACGGAGATGTCCAGGTATAGGCGACTGCATCATCTCAGGAATCACGCGATCATCTCCATCAAGCAGCGAAGGCGAACCCATCTGCGGCGTGGACATAGACAAGCGATCATGCGCATGTGAATGCGATTGCGACTGGGACAGCAGAGGCGTATGTGTCAGAGCCATAGACTCCTCGCCTAACCGTCGTTCCAGCGCCCGCCTCACATCAGACGGCAGCCAAAGTCCAACCTCAACATCAACCTTCTCCATATCACGCCATGCAGCAGCCCACGCGCCAGCGCGCATGAGTCCATTCGCGGCAAAGACGCGAATCTCCCATTTGCGATTGCTATCGCCGTGTCGGACGTGGCTTCCACAATCTGGGCAGGCGTCGCCTTGCTCGCCATCTGTTTCGCTTTCGCCTATGTCGGACATTTCACCTTCGGAGGCTGTGTCGTTTTCTTCGCGGCCGAGGAAGTGGCCATTTTGGAGGCGGGGACGTTGGAGTTCGAGGCTTTCTAGGAGTCGTTCTTCGAGCATGTCGTACAGATCTTCCGGGTGGGAGATTAGAACGCCTCTATCGCGGAGGACGCCAGATCCAACGCGATCTTGTAACCGGCGCCAACGCTTCCAGTACTCTGATGGTAGGGTTTCTTCGAGGAGATCTTGGTTCCGTGGGTCTGTGGCGCCTGGCACGGGGATTGACGGTGGGAGGAGGGTGCAGTGCAGTAGGACGAGTGGGAAATCCTTCTCCTTCTCTTTTTCCTTTTCGCGCTCTCGGTCTTTCTTTGCTTTTGGCTTGATTTGTGATCCATTCGGTGAGTAATAGGGGGAGCGCTTCAATGGGGACGAGCCTGGAGAGCGTAGACCTGCCCGTCGGCGCGGTGGTGTCAAGTAGTCATCTTCATCTGCCTCATCTTCGGTATGCATCTGTAAAGCTCTGACAGAACTTGGTTTCCGGAATGCTGCTTCCCGGTGTCGAATGGTACGAATATTCGCGGGAACGCCATTGAAATCGCCGAAGCTAGCCTCGGATTCTTCTATGCCATAGCCAGCGATCTTCTCGTGAAAATCCATATCGGGCATCTGTTTCATTTGTTTCATGCGATCAACTGGGTGGATGAGAACAGAAGCTGGGATGGACGAGAGCGATGAGCGACTCGAGGCTCTGGACTTGAGATGTTCTAGCTCTTCGTCCATTTCACGGCCGAAGACGTCGCTTGTTGAGTGTCGGTTTGAGGATGAGGAAGAATTGTATTCATAGTCGTGGCTGGGCATTTGGGCATTGCTGTGGTTCGATTCGAGTGATGAAACGAGGAAGCCTTTGCCTTGGGGTGCGAATGGTTGTGGGCTTAGAATGTCTGTTGATGTGTCGTGTTGACTATCGTCATGTAACCGCGCCATAGGATTGACACGCACTGCTTCTGCACGTAGCTGAGGTGGCTTCAGTCCCTTGGAGTTTGAAGATCACACAGAATGACAAGATTTCACTGCATGTCTCCGTGAATGCTAGCGTTGGGTGTTCATGTTGGACACTGTTGACGATGGGCTCACCGCCCCGTTGTGCCGGGCAACGGATCGACGGGTGACAGGTCGATCATCAAGCCACTGGTGACTCCACGTTGGTCTTTTCCTTCATACTTCCACGTGTGATTAGGATCGATTTTCAGAAAGGCTCGACTGCGCTGAATTCCAGTTGATTGTACATGAGAAGCAAAGCAAGCATATGAATATAAACCAAAAGGCGATCTAGTGTTGTCCAAGGATATCATCACGACAGAAAGAGCTTATATACCTCCAAAACCAATGCCAAAACCAAAGACAAAAAACAAGACCGCTGAGCATAAATCACTACAAGCACGCCAAAAATACAGGTTATATACGAGTGGTCAAACGTCAAACATTATGGAGGCCGTGGCGTAGGATTGTCAGGGCTCATAAGGGGATAATTTTGGTGATCTCCAAAGAAACTGAGGACATCTTGTGGGAGATACTCCAGCCAGGGTATTATCTCGCCATTTGCAAATGGAAAAGAGTCCTGGTGGTGGAGTGTGTTCATATCGACGTCGTGGGTTCCAATCATCATCTCGTTATCCGTATTCATCATTGGGTGGAGATCAGGACCGTGAGATCCCATGGGGGTCCTTTCTGGGTGATCTGCGGTCGCTGGAGGGACGGAATAGTTGTAGGAGGGCTGTGGTTCCATTTGGGACGATGCGAGGTTTGGAAAAAGTGGTCTTGCTGTTTGCGTTGCAGATTCAGGGTATCGTGGATCCATGCCCAAGTAGTATGGCTCATTACCGAGACTTGGGGACGGAACATGTGAATATTTGAGATTCGGTGTTGGGATATTCGATGTGTGCGTTTCGAGTCCCCGAGGCTGGGTGAGAGGCTGAGAATAGGAGCGCGATCCTTCTCCGGCAGTGGGGGAGATGATAGGGTAGCTGTGGCTGTGTTGGGACGAGTATGTTGGCTTGTTGGGGAGATGTTCACTCTGGGCTGTTGGCATTTGGTAGAGCAAGCTTAAATTTGGCTGAGCAGAGCCCGTGGCTCCGGCAAGTGCCCATCCGATTGCTGTAAACGATAGCAAGTCAGTCAACTTCTCATGGCACAATCTCATGTAGAACGTACCTTGACTTGGATCAATATGTGGTGACCACCTTCCATCGGATGGAATGTCAGCTACACCTGCTCTTTCGGGATCAAAGCCAGAGTCTGCTGGTGCTTTGCCTGTCCTCCAAGGTCCCAATCCCAGAGGCTGTCCCGGTGCAAACCCATCAGCGTTCTCCATATCTTCCACAGTATACAGAAGTGGATCTACAATTCCCTTGGCCTTCTGATCCAGGACTGTCAAGATATATCCAGTGCCTTCCCAATATGTGTTCAGTGCTTTCAGGGCCTTGTAGCAGCGTTGGTAGTTCTCCTTGGCTGCAGAGGCCAGCAATATATGCTTTTGAGTAGACTTCCGTTCTTTTCCATTTAAGGATTCCATGGTGGGCATCACGAAACCACTAGATTGGTTCGTCAATAATGGTTGCGGTGGGGGCGACCCGGAGCTTGACGAAGGAGATGCATAGTATGCACTTTCCATTAGAAACGCACAAGCTGCAATGTACATTGGCTGACTCGTGAAAGGATTGCCAATGAAGCTTTTGCCGTCGACCAGTTCCGAAAAGGAAAGAATATCGGCAATTGTTTTGGCCGACGACATAGAGAGCTCTCGACTGTTGGGGTAAAGATGCTGGATGGTCCCACCAAATGAGTTCAGCAGGGTCGGCTGGTGGAGCAGAACAATAAGCGTGTGGAACCAGAAGTGGAGAAGAATGAAGTTAGTTCCCTCCTTGGCCTTGACATAGGCCTGGAAGTTGGCTGCGTTGAAATGAAGCCTCGGCGATAGACGCTGGTAGATACCCGTCAGGTCGCTTTCCATCCCGGCAAGCAACTTCAGGGTCTCCGGCGTAACGTGTTTAACATCCTGAATCCCGTTAATGAGATCGGTCACTCGCCCGTAGAGATGAATGATACGAATGAGAGGCGGGAACGGGGCAGGCCATCCGTTCTGTAGTTGAGATTCAGATTGAAGAGGAAAGCAGAGCTCAATATCTTCATCGCGCAAGGTCACTGGTCTTCCGGTGCCTGACGAGATTACCCTGTCCAGAAAGAAGATGCTCCAGAATGAATCCACTCTCTCCCGTTCTCGGGCTCGTTCAGAACTCAATGGCTTTGGGGTCGTCTTCGGAGTATGGTGCACATCAAGGTCATCGTACTGGTCCTCCCTCAATTTCCCGGCATGACCTGTCTTGACTTCGCTTGGAGTGACTCCACTCTGGCCATAATTGTGTCTTAGTCCTTGGAACTTTTGCAGACCAAGGTCTTGAGCCATTCGGATCGATATCCCAAGATACATCCATAAGCCACTATCATGATTCGACCCAAACTGTTCATATGCGAGTAATAGGCACGCTTGAACGGCGGACAACGTCGGGCATGGCAAAGCATCCACCAAAGCGCCCATTGCTCGGTGACCAAACGGCAGACCCCGATCCCATTTCTGCTCGTCTTGTATTGGTTGCGAATTATCGATAGGCTGGGCCTGCGGTGGCCCAAGTAGTGGATGCGGTGAGAATCTTGCAGCCAAGGCACACACCGCATCTACCAACATCGTATCAACTTTTTTATCTTTGAGATCTTGTAGGAAACGGTCACGTTGCAAGAACGGAAAACTACAACCCAAGTGGACAAAGAAAAGGTCGCATAAATGGGACACAAGGTTGGAAACAGGGAGCGTATCATCTCGGTCGTAAAATGGAATCGTGTTTGTGTCGCGATTATCACGATTCTCCGCTGGGATGTTCGAAGCTCCAGTAGTTATACCAGGGGGCTTGGGACTTCGTAGAGGAGAAAGGGACTCTAACTGCAGTTTTAGCAAAAGCAACCTCCAATATTGATTTCACTAAACTATTCGTTTGAATAGCTAATACAACCCACCTGAAGACATGGAAGCATTACTCTTGCGAGAGCCTCGAACTTGTACAACCTGAGTATCAATTAGAAATGGATTTTTTGAAATGGACGAAAAGCAAAAGAAACAAACCATCTGCTTAAACCCAGGTACGATAGCTGTGGGCCCGAAGTATCGAAAGTAAGGGACATGGGTGCGGTTTCCAGAGCTCACAGATGTCCCTCCTAGGATGCAAGTCAGTATAGACAAAGCCGCAGCTAAGCTGCATATCCAACTCACTGCTCCTTGGGCTGTCCAAAGCCACTTGTGTATCCAAGTCTTTATTGACTCGCGGTAGTTCCCAGCCAGAAGTATCCTTTCCGTCCGGCGCTTTGCTTTTGGGCGACTTGTCTACAGCAGGCGTCGATATCGTTGGAAGGGACGGCTCTGGCGAACAACTCTCCACAGCCCGAGTCACGCGTTGGCTAGATCCATTGTGACCGGCCAAGTTCGGCGGAGCCCGGTTCGTAGAATCGGACTGTGTTCGCAGGTGGGCGGTCGAGTCGGTATAACCAAGACAAGTATGTTTATAGTCGGAGCATGTCTTGCAGACTAACCGCGCATAATCATTAGCAGCTGTATCTGCACTCCAGCAGTCGGCGCATCCTACCTGGCTGCTCGCCCGAACATCGAATCTTGCGCCGGCGACATGTAAGACAACTGAACGGGATCGCATATGATGTCAGTCTTCGAAAGGCTGCCAAGTCAATCAGATGGAGCCAGGTTGATCTACATACGCGGCGTTGACTCTACGGCGCTTTGTTTGCGGTTGGCCGTCGGTTGCGACAAAGCGGATTTGGCGCGGTGGTGGATTGCCAGTCTTCTTGGGAGAAGGGGGGCTCATGGCGAGCCGGTCTTTATCCGTGATCCCGACCCATTGGGTATCTCTCTGTTTGTCCTAGGTTTAGGGCGGGGGGAGCGAGTCGCCCGCAGTGGTTCAGATGACGCGACGACGGTTGAGTGTTGATTAAATTACGCGGTAGCGGAGGTACGAAAGAGGCGCGGATATCGGTGACGACAACTGCATCAGGTGGGCGAATATGATGTTCATAAGAAGGGATAAAGAGAGGGGAGGAACTTCGAAGGGGGAAGAGGGGACCCCAAATCTCACGATGTTCTCCAAAGGGGCCCCTGACCGCTAAGTCGGAAACAGTCACCTGTGGCCTTCAGGGCCAAATGTGAAGGTCATGGGATGTGCCCGGTGGGGGCGATGTCCGTGGGGTGAAGGAGAAATCATACAAGTCTGTTCCTCACGTTACTCTTGAATCTTCTTGATGCCACTGTGGACGCAGATGTACCAGCATACAGATATTCCACGGTGCATCGAGATCGCATCTCTATGGCCTCATCAAGTTTGAAACTCGGTTAAAACTCCGGGGATCTGGGGACCCCACGTTCCCCTTCGGGACCGTAGAGGATATCCAGACTACAGGCAAGTCAATTTGTGCGAAGAAGTCTGTATCAGAACTAGATCCCGATCAACAGGTCAACGGGTATTTAGAAAGTCCTCTATCCAGGAACCCCAATGGATCCAACATCGACAATAGCAAAGACTTCGATTCCACCGATTGCTCAAAAGCGAGTCCGCGGGTTCCGGGGATAAGCTATCAGCCCGCCGGGGAGAAAGATTATGCCCACGCACTATGAGTCAAGTGCTGCGTACTAAGTGACGTGGCAATATCACTATCGTTACCTGCAGGCATCGTGGAAATACTGTACCGATAAGCGCGTCGAGTTCACGGTGTAGCTATTTCAACCACCGCCAACTCTTCATGCATTTACTCCCATCTCTTTACCGAACTACTCGGCCATCTACATCGCGCTCGCTATCAGTATTCCGGTACCATCCCCGCCCCCCCCCCCCCCTCACCGACCCTAACCACATACCATGCATCCCAACCCGAATCTCCGCGGGGCAGTGAACACCACTAATTCGTAATCCCCAGATCAAAACGTCTCCTCGCAAATCGCACACCATTCAAGCTCCCAGAACCCTCCTCCAGACCGTTTAGCCAAACACACAACATGTCCAAGCACCCCGACTTCGACAAGGTCCAAGCCTCACGCCCAGACTGGCGCGAGGGCGCTGAAGTCGGCTACACCAAGTCCCCCAACCCCACATGGAAGAGCGGCGATGGCGCAAATGACAACGGCGAAAGCCTGAAGAAGAATCACGTCGAAATCGATCCTCATGAGGAAGGCCGGACCGCTGCGAGCAATTATAAACTTCTGATTTCGGGTATGGTGCCTCGACCCATTGCCTTGATCAGCACCCGCTCTGCGGATGGCAAGTACACGAACCTGGCGCCGTTCAGTTACTCCCAGGTCGTCTGTCATGATCCGCCTCTCTTCGTCGTTGGATTCTCTGGCTCGCTGGAGAAGGCCAAGGATACATTGAGGAATCTGGCGGAGACCAAGGAGTGCGTGGTCAATATCATCTCGGAGCATTTCATCGAGGCTGCGAACTCTACTTGTATCAATGTTCCCTACGGTACGTCGGAATGGGATATTTCCGGATTGCACCAGGCTCCTAGCGCAGTCGTCCAGCCAGCCCGCGTAAAGGAATCGGTCTTGTCGATTGAGGCTAAACTTGTCGAGTTGAGGGAATTTGAGAGTCGCGCTACACCTGGGAAGAAGTCTGGCTGCATGGCTATGGTTGAGGGTGTTCGCTTCTGGGTGAGAGATGATGCTGTGAACGAGGAGCGAAGTGCTATTGACTTGAAGGTCCTGAAGCCTGTGAGTCGGCTTGGCGGTATCACTTACGGTCGCACTACGGAAGTTTTTGAGCTTCCTCGCCTGCAGAGCTAGTATTCTTGCTGTGATATCATTGCATGTAAATATGGTGCTCGAACATTCTAGAGATTGGCTTATAGATCTGGCGGAAATATAGATGAACTGTCCCTATGTCATCCTCGGCATCCCACTTGCTCCCTAATCAAAGCTGTCTAAATTTCACTAGTGTCTGATTTTCGAAGCTTGGCTTTTTGACTTTCTACTTTGGGTTAGTATTCCAGCCGAGCTTTACATAGCTTTGACGATGCTATGATAGAAAACAAACTCCCAGTCGAGGAAACTTAGAGCGAGAAAATGCAAGTTCTCAAGTAACATGCTACAGCATAGGACATATAAAGATCTGACCTTTATTTCTACTGCAGTATAGTGGCAGCTCTGATTATCCCTATGCTCCAAGCTTGAGTGGGGTCCTCTGACCACGGACAGTCGCCGAGAACTACTATTGTAAGCAAGCCTGCATTCCTCCGTGTCGAGTAAATAACTCTCCGAAGTCTTACAATTGAAAGCGTAGTCGTAGCCAGTATGCGTGACAAATTGTCGGAGTATGCCACAGCTCCGATTCAAGCCGTGCGGAGGAGCGGGGTCGTGCTATCTCCAACTATAAAAGCAAGCACATCTGCGTCTCAGCTTATTCTAATCACTACATTTCTTGGCGATATTCAGAAGCACAAAACATAGCAAGACGGAATATGTCGGACGAATACGAAACCTATCAGTTGGGCGACTGGGACCTTCAGAGTGGACAGAAGATCGATAATGCCCATATCGCATACAAGACTTTTGGTGATCCCAAGTCTCCAGCTATTGTCTATCCAAGTTGGTTTTCGGGAGGTATGTATTATGCAGGACAGTTATATCCTGTACGCGGTCTCTCTCTCTATGGAAATACTGACATGATGTGATAGCCATCTCGGACAACTTCTGGTTAATCGGCGAAGACAAGTTCCTCAACCCTAAGGAATTCTTCATCATTGTAACCGCATTGTTTGGAAATGGCCAATCGTCCTCCCCCTCGAACCAGCCTGCTCCGGGTCCATTCCCAAAGGTATCGTTCTACGATAATGTTCGAGCGCAGCACGAGCTTGTAACCAAGCACTTTGGCATTACGCATCTTCGCGCCGTTGTAGGTTGGTCGATGGGTGGTGCTCAGTCTTTCCAATGGGCGACTCAGTATCCAGAGTTTATGGATATTGTCATTCCATTCTGTACTTCGGCCAAGACATCAGTGCATAACAAGGTCTTTTTGGAAGGCGTGAAGAGTTCGCTTTTTGCGGCAAAGAAGATTCGTTCTGCTGGGGCTGGTCAACTCGGGATTAGGGATGCTCCAGAAGCATTTGCCTGGACAGATGAGGAAAAGGACGTTGGGCTGAAGGCTATGGGTCGTGTTTATGCCGGATGGTAGGTGCTCGGAGCAACTCTGGTGGTGCAAAATCTCTGACACAACTCGATAGGGGTTTGAGTCAGGCTTTCTATCGGCATAAGTTGCATGAATCTGCTCTCGGATTCAAGGATCTTGAGGATTTCATGGTCAACTTCTGGGAGAAATGGGCTTGCTCCAAAGGTAAGCTTGGGACCAACATGAGTCAACTCGGAATTCTGACGCAAAATTGCCAGATCCTGAAAATCTGCTGGTGATGCTGCAAACCTGGCAAAACGGAGATGTCTCGCAGCAGGAGCCGTATAATGGCGACTTTGAAAAGGCCATGGCTGCTATAAAAGCCAAGACACTTGTTTTGCCGGCCAAGACCGATCTTTATTTCCCGTATGTTGGACTAAACCTTCTTCAATTTGGTCAAACTGACAGTGTCATCAATCTAGACCGGAGGATTCAGAGTATGAGGTTGCTTGTATGAAACCTGGTGTTGGGACATTGGATGTTTTCCCTTCGATCTGGGGCCGTAAGTCAATATACTATAGAATCACAAACGATTCAAGCTAACTCAATCTGCAGACTGGGCAGGAGGTCCGGGTGACAGCAAGGATGATGTTGAATGGCTTGACAAGAAGATGTCCGACTTCTTTGCTAACCACGGACCGGATGGCGTAAGCTCTCTGACCGATAGGATCAAGAATATGCTAGGTTGATTGTGAGACCGTAGTCAGGAATATAAAGGAATATCATTGAGGATGCCAAAATGCAGCCGGGGTAAGCGTAACCATCGCTGAAATCCGCATACCGATCATGTGATGCCTGAGTAAGCGTGAACCAAGAAGCGCCGGCGAACCTTGCATGTCGGCGCATCCTCCTCGTCATTTCTTTCTTGACTCACTTTGCGTCGCATGCGCTGGTCCAACTTGCTCAATCGCTCTCATTTGAATCTTTCCTCAAGCGTGGCGTTATCCATTTCCGGAGTCGTTTTTCTTCCATCGTCGCCAACCTTCGGAAACGATCCCTACCGCGACACGGTCCTCGGCAATCCTTTCTTCCAAACTTGATACATAATTACCATGGCTGCAGCAACCGCTCGCCAGTGGGGTGTCACCCCCCAATCTCGACAGTCTTGCCGACTCCGAGCGAGCTCGCGGCGAACGACGATCTGATTGCGGAGCTCAAGGCTCAGAACAATTTCGAGCTTCCGGCCGAGACAGAGAAAAGGTGTGCTCGATTTGAGATGGCCAAGCTTGAAAGCTTTGATACTAATGTCGACATAGACAGCAAGTACTTCAATTGCTGCAGCGCGTCGCGGTGGAGTTCGTCCAGGTCGTCAGTCGCAAGAAGGGTCTGTCGAATGCCGCTGTTGAGGCTTCCGGGGGTAAAATCTTCACGTATGGAAGTTACCGTCTGGGTGTTTATGGCCCAGGTAAGTTGCCACCCAAGACGAACTCTGCATGTCGTTCATTGATTGACCTGGTTCCTGGTAGGATCCGATATCGATACCCTGGTGGTTGGACCGAAGCATGTCCTGATCGATGATTTCTTCTCCGATTTTCCTCCGATCCTCCAGAGAATGGCCAGCGAAGGCGCAATTGAGAAAATGACACCGGTGCCGGATGCCTTCGTTCCCATCATCAAGCTCGAACTGTGTGGAATCAGCATCGATTTGATTTTCGCACGTCTCATTATCCCTGCGATTCCGATGAACCTGGATCTGAAGAACAATGATTATCTGCGAGGACTGGACGAGAGAGAGGTTCGGTCGCTGAACGGAACTCGTGTCACGGATGAGATCTTGGAGCTTGTGCCTCAGCAAAAGACATTCCGTCTCGCGTTGCGCGCAATTAAGCTTTGGGCCCAACGTAAGTGACCTTAAAGTATGGTGGTATGTCTCAGGTTGAGCTGATTGTTTAAAGGACGAGCAATTTATTCCAACATCGTGGGTTTCCCCGGTGGTGTCGCGTGGGCTATGTTGGTTGCTCGAGTTTGCCAACTCTACCCCCAAGCAAGCGGTTCTGTAATCGTGGGCAAGTTCTTCCGTATCATGAACAAGTGGAGCTGGCCTCAGCCCGTTTTACTGAAGCAGATTGAGGATGGTCCGCTCCAGATGAAAGTCTGGAACCCTAAGGTACGCAGAATGCCCGCTTTTTTCTTTGAATCATGCGCTTATAATATCAGATCTATCTCGGTGATCGTTTCCATTTAATGCCCATCATCACTCCCGCATACCCCTCCATGTGTGCCACTCACAACATCAGTATGTCCACACAGGCTGTCATCCTGAGGGAACTCCAGCGAGGAGGAGACATGGTGGATAAGATCTTCATGAAGCAACTATCGTGGAATGACCTGTTCACCCGCCACACTTTCTTCACCAATGACTACAAATACTACATCAGCATCACTGCCTCTAGCAAGACCAAGGAGGCCGAGTCAGCATGGTCAGGTCTTGTCGAGTCCAAACTGCGCCATCTTGTCGGAGCTCTTGACCGCAAACCAATCATTGCAGTTGCCCACCCATTCCCCAAGGGATTTGAAAGAATTCATACCATTACCAACGAGGAACAGATGGAGGCTGTTAAGAGTGGATCTACAAAGTACCAGGCAAAAGGCACTAAAACTGAGATGACTGATGAGACAAAGGATGCCGTTCACCAAGCTGCTATCCAGAACACCCTCGAGAACGCAGAGGTCCCACAGCTTACCGAAAGCCAGACTAAGCTGGAGCCTGATGGCCACACCGTCTACACTACCACGTATTACATCGGATTAGAGCTCAAGCCTCTCGAGCCAGGTAATTCTTCCGCTGACCCTATGCAACTTTTCTAACTCCTCTAGGCCAATCACGAGAGCTGGATATATCTACTGATGCCAACATCTTCAAGTCCAACTGCACTTCGTGGACAGGATTCCAGCCCGAAGTCATGGAACTCGCTGTCACTCACACCCGCAAGTAAGTCTATTGTTATCCACTTCAACACCGTGAACTGAACGCAACTCACCTTCTCAGCTTTGATTTGCCCGAAGATGTCTTTGAACCTGGTGAGGTGAAGCCCGTTCGACCAAAGAAGAAGGCTGGCAAGAGAACGGAAGCCGCCGGTCAGAAACGGAACATCAGCCAGCTGGACGTAAGTGTACAGAACAAAGCGAGACGATCCTCTATTGGCTAGAGACCAATCCCAGAATCCGCTATCCAACGTCCCGCGGGACAATCTTCCAGGATTCTTATGACTAAGAAGCACTAATACCAACATCAATTCCAGGGCTCGTCCGAAGTAATTGCGAAACGCCATGCCACCACCCCTATTTGAATAGCCTCTCGATCTTCCCTTTGCCATACCCACCGCGCCGGGGCCGGTCCCCATTGAACTCAATAACAGAACCCATCCGAATGTCTTGAAGTTACCAAAAGTCTCTGACCTGACTGTCGAGTCCTATCACACCAAGGGCTACATTCAGCTCACGGTGCTTGCAAGTTGCCATCATCTACGGTGAATCTTCTCTAAACGTGAGGCCAAAGGTTGGTTTCCATTTCTCTATCTTCTGCGTTGTCACTGGACAAGCAACTAGATTTGAAACTTTCCTTCCTTTTTCATTTGAGCAGTCCCTCGGGACCCTTTCAGATGATGCACATCCCCCTGCATCAGCTTTCTTACATGTCATATCTCATCGGTGTAGTATCCCCTTGGTGCTGCAGGCTGGATTCAATCCGCGCTGTATGTATCCATTCGACATCTTGCAGGTAGTTCAAATAATTGCAATGTGTCCTACATTATGCGGGCTACACTCAATCAATCAGATGTGCTTTCACACAATAGAGTAGCCAGTAAAAATATGACTTGAAGCAAAATCCGTGAGAGGTCGATATAAGCAGAGAGTTGAGCCAAAACGCCCATTCAAATAGCCTGAACAGCCAAAGGCAAATACGGCTCTTCCAACCACTCTAGCTCCTCCCTCGATAATGGAACATCCAGCGCCTGCAGAGCCCCCTCGATCCTCTTCTCACTATTCAACCCAACAATCGGACAAGCCCCTTTATGCAATAGCCAAGCCATAGCAATCGCCCCAATCTCATAGCCCTTCTTCGTCGCCAACAGCCCAGCCCGACGAACAATCTCCTCATTCTGCCCTCCAACAAACCACTTCTTACTCTTCTCATCTTGATCCGCACGCGCGGACCCCTCGTTCCACGGCCGAGCCAATAATCCTCGCGCCAACGGACTCCAAGGAATCAATCCCACCCCCTCCGCTTCACAGAACGGATTCATCTCCCGTTCTTCTTCGCGATAGAGGAGGTTATATAGTCCCTGCATACTCACAAAGGTAGTCCAGTTGTTCATCTTCGCTATGTATTGCAGTCGGGCGAATTCCCAGCAGTGCATACTTGATGCGCCCAAGTACCGGACCTTTCCCATCTGAACGAGGTCGTGGAGAGCGCGCATTATCTCCTCCGGGGGGGTTTCGCTGTCGAGCCGGTGCAGCTGTAATACATCGATGTATTCTGTATCCAGTCGACGGAGAGATCCCTCCACGGCATCGAAGATGTGTTTCCGACTGAGACCCATTTGGTTGACGAGTGGGCCGTCGTTGATTGCTGGGTTTGGTCGAGCGTCTAGGTCTTCTTCGAGAACTGGGTAGTAGATTTTTGTCATAATTACGACTCGACTTCGTGGAATCGAGTATTTGATGAGGGCTTTGCCGAGGATTGTTTCTGAGACGCCGTTTGAGTACGTGTTTGCTGTGTCGAAGGTGTTGATTCCCATCTCGTAGGCTTTTCTTATGAGTGGCAGGGACTGTGCCTCGTCTAGGACCCAGGGTGAACCTTCCCAGGCTGGATTGCCGAATGTCATGCAGCCTAGGATTATTCTGGAGATTTTGAGGCCACTTTTCCCCAGACGTTGGTATTCCATTTTGCGAGATGGCTGTTCAGTCCCATTCAAAGATGTGGTCGAACTTGGTATACTCATGCTGAAATTGGACAGTAGATACTTGGTTGTAACTGGCTGTTCTGTCTATCCAAGTACTCTATGAAATATTGGAGGGCATAGTTTCCCCGCCGAGTGCTCGGAGAGCTCTCCGTACTGAGGTTCTGTAGACGAACGGGCTGTTTAGCACCATGCAAATATAAGTTCACACTAAAAAGCATAGACCCTCTCATTCAAAACATGCATCTTTGTAATGCTAAAAATTCGAATAATCCATGACACCTTCTTAATTACCTAACGCTCAAATATCATTAGACATCATTCCCGGAAACGTGAACTCGCCAAAGTCCGCCAACAAAAAGTCATCTACAGGAGCCACCAGTGATTCGCCAGAAAAGGGGAATGAGCTCGGTGGCGGCATATCAGCAGCGTCTTGAGTATAGTTCATTGAGCCCGCTCCATCTCCAATTGAGGAAAGTAAATGCCCATCCCTTTGCAACACACTGATACACTCTCGTAATTTCCTCGTCAAGCCGGGGGTCATTCTGCAAATCGGATGCTGCTGAACAGCAGGTATATCCTGGAATAACTCAAGCACTTTCTGGATCAACTCGAAGTTCTGATCAGGCGCGAAAGACAACTGCGAATAGTAATCTTGAGATACCTCGAGCAAAAAATGACCCGCAAACGCAATCATAATGTGGAAATAATGTGGCATTCCAACGAGATTCTGTTGAAGATCTTCGTGCAGAATCATTTCGAATATTGCAACGGCAGCTTCATGAGCCATACTAGCTGCTGTTAAGAAATATGGTGGGATAGTCTCGCCGTTTAAGCCTTTGAATACCTGATGTCCGAGATAAAGCTTCCCAAAATGGTAATGCATCTGTAAACCGCGTTTGGGAAAATCACCGATACGGGGATCCGGCTTGAAGAGTGCAGAGAACTTTGTGAACCATCGGTCAAGTTGTCGTGAATAGTGAATGATTTGGTTTGACAATGACTGTGGCACTCGGGTTTCTTGATCTGATCCTAGGAGGTCTCGGACTTGACTCATGATTACTAGTAAGGAGACTTGAGATATTATCCGCACATCACAGTCTGTTGTGTTCTCTCGAGAAAGAAAGATATCTGCGTTCAGTGCAATTTCTTTGTCGCTGCGGAGTAGCGGGTCTCGGTTGTGAAGAATAGAAAGGTGTTGATCAGATATGAATGTGAGATACCAAAGCCTTACGCGGTCTTGTAGTGCTGCAGTATCGTGCATGGACTGAAATGGCCCATTATTATTAGCCATCAAGCGATGATCTATTGGAACTGAAAGATGATCAAAGCTGCGATGCAGGCGCATATCCGCTGCGCGACGAATAGCATCACTAGATAGAATCCGCGACGCATCTGACAGCCAGAATGAACTTATGCATAATGCACGAATATGTTCGATATCGTGCTTTTCAAATAGTGACCGCGACGCCAGACGGCGGAGTTCGCGATTGCATACCTCGTAAATGCGCTGCCCTTGAGGATCCTGTAGTGCTGATACTGTGCAGATAGCAGCAAACAAAATTGGAGAGCTGTCACGGATCTGCTGCGAACTTTGATATCCACTGCCTATCCCATATAGATATGGATCCAGCCGTGCAAAGTATCGCTCCACCAAAATATCTGCGATTGCGGCAGTGATGATCCCTTTGCTGACAAGATCTTGTGGGGAAGAATGTTGCTTGTGTCGCGTTGTACTTGGTGGAGTGTTCTCAGAAGACCCTGGGCTCCCTAGCCTGGCAATATCGAGATACGTGTCGATCGGGGCGTGAACAGCAGACGGAGTATCGGGCGGAGATATTTCACAACCATCCCAATCCTCATCACCTCGCTCTGGATCATCATTTTCATTCCTCGTCTCACCTATAGTGATCACATCCCCAGTCGATGACGATAGCAGAGCCTTTGGTCGGGGCAGATTGAGGTGCTGACAGATGTTGTCTAAGGATTGATGGAGTCCCGATATATCACATTGTAGAACCTCGGTATTCCTGGAACACAATGAGCTTGGCTCTAAGTCCAACGTTCAAGGGAGAAGATCACTTACTTGACTTCCTCAACCAGCGACTGCAGACTTTTATTGAGGACACAAGAGAGACCACGAGTACGACATCTTTTGCAGGGTGCGCCATTGGTCATATCACATTTTATCTGCCCCTATTAGCTTGAACTTTTGAACTCGAGTCATCTCACACCTTCTGTTTCCTACATGCACCGCATGCTGTGATCTTTCGGGTGATCCCCGGCAAAACATCAAGCACGGCTGGCTCCTTCGAGTCGGAGCCATTTGAGGCCGGTAAGGTTTCCGGATCTTCGGTCAAGTTCCGCTTGCGTTTGACCATGACTATGCTATAGAACAGTCTATGGTGACAGAATGAAGAGAAACCCGGGGAACAGCCCGCGTTTATGAACGGAGAAGCGGGGGAGCCCTAAATGCCGGATGAAATGACTTTGAGTTCATTCGCTGAGAGTCTTTGCAGATGCGGATCGCCCTCATTGAGTTCGACTAAATCTCGGACACTCGCCGAGTTATGAGGGGTTGGCCCTGTGTATGATCTACAGTATAAGGAAAATCAGATAGTCGTTGGTCGTGGCGCAAATTCAGCTGCTATACACCATGACTTCTACCATCGCAAACAAAGCTTCATCCATTCCTCCAGGAATCTACTGTCCAGTTATCTCGCTCTACAAACCCACCGTCAGACAAGAAATTGATTATGACGCGTCATACAAATTTTTCTCGTACCTCATCCGCGGCGGTGTCAATGGCCTAGTTCTTGCTGGGACCACTGCGGAGGCAGTCCTACTGTCCGCCGAAGAAAGAAAAGAATTGGTTAAAGTTGCCAGAAAGGCGTCCATTGATCTCGGTCGCCCAGAGTTCACTATTGTCGCGGGTATCAGCGGTCAGTCGACAAACGAGTCGATCAGACTCGCAGAGGATGCATTGAGTGCGGGCGCAAGCTTTGGATTACTGCTTCCGCCGAGCTATTGGGCCAAGGCTGTTACCAAAGATGCTATGCTTGGGTTCTATCGAGACGTTGCGGACGCAACAACATTACCAGTGGTGGTTTACAGTGTGGGTCTCTGCCGATTACAGGAGCATGTCAGGTGAATTATATCTCTAACGTGAAACAGTTCCCTGCAATGTGCAACGGGATAGATATAAGCTCCGACACGTTATCTGATCTCGCGCAACACCCAAATATCGTTGGGGTTAAATTGACATGCGGCAATGCTGGTAAGGTGACCCGACTCACGCAGGAGTATACCCATGCTCAGTTCGCGGTCTATGCTGGATCATCGGACTGGCTCATTCCTTGTCTTGCTGGTGGTGGCAGTGGCTGCGTCACAGGCATTGCGAATGTGTTTCCTAAATGTGTTGCGCAGTTGTATTCCTTGTGGAACCAAGAGAAGATCAAGGAAGCGAGGGAACTACAAGGGCTAATTGCTCAAGCTGAAAAGGCATGCAAGGAAGGCATTGCAGCTACCAAGTTTGGCACTGCTCACTTTGCTGGCCCTCTCGCTGGTATAACTGAATCGAAATGTTTCTGGCCTCGAAAGCCATACGCCCCTTGTGGCGAGGAGAAGTCGGCTTGGGTGGTGAAGATAATGCAACATTTAGTGGAGATAGAGCAGAGTTTGCCAGATGCTGTTTAGGAATATGAGTAACACATATACTTTTCTCGTAATAATTCTGAGTCCAAGGTTCATATGCCACTTCGATTTATAATATCAGAGGGTATTCTCTGTGTTCGTTTATCTCCTTGACTGTATAAAGCTCCTGTTCCATCTAAATATATTTGCATAAGGCTACTGAAATTTCCTGACAGCCAAAGCCGTAAAGTCAATTATATTAACCGACCCAATTCAATAAAGAGTATTTACAGTCTCATGTCTCGAAAAAGTCCTCTCGCAACTGCATATACTTGATCCGCTGCCTCCAAAAGGTGAACGCGACATGGATAGTCCCGGTATCCTCTACAAAAATAGTAGGATAAGATAACTCGCGATTAAGTTTCTTCTCACTGTTGTTAGTCAAACAATACCCATCTCCCTCTTCCAAGGTCTTCCACCTCCAAGTAGCAGCATTATCATCACTCCAGGCAATAGATAACGGGGCTCTAGGCGCTCCCCAAAACGCCTCTTTCTCATGCCTGGCAGCCTGATTTGCTCTCATATCAGTACCATCACTGATATCATCATAGAGACCATCTCTTTGGCCGAGGGCGTCTGATTTAGAGGAGTGGTTGTACACCAGAACTATCCGACCCGATGGAAGCACACCAAAACAGATGCCCGCATTTGGATTTGGAAGAACGGTCTTTTGAGGTTCCGTCCAGTCCAGTCCATCTGTCGAAGTAGATAGGTAAACACAATCAGCCCATCGGCTTCGAAAGAGGCCGAGATAAGACCCATTCTTCAGTTGTTGGATGTTCATATGAACACAGCCAAAGCTGTTCGGAATTTCCTTCTCGATCCAGTTCTTGCCTTCGTCCTCTGATACCCGAATGCAAGATATATCATCATTGCCCAACCATCTCGTACCTGGTTCAGCACGACATTTGAAGATCGGGATGACCCAGGCTCCATCCTGAAGAATGACGATAGGTTGCCGGATAAACGTGCCAGGATCACTGAAAAGAACGCGTGGCTCTGACCAAGTAATACCATTATTGACGGAAATTATCTGTTTGACGATAGCCGAATCTTGATTTCCTGCATCTTGGGAAGTGTATAATAGTCGAATCTCCCCATTTGAGGGATTGCAGAAGAAGACTGGGTTTTGTTCGCTGCGCGTATGGTCATGCGTCATTTTGACTGCTTCTGTCCAGCAATTCTGTCCCGCTAGAAGACGCGATATGTATATGCAGATATCTGGTCGGCCTTCAATGCTTCCGCCAAACCAGGCGCAGAGTAGGTCATCATTTGGTAGCTTAAGCAGGTTGGAGGCGTGGCATTGTGTCGTGAGCGCGGGAATATAGGCTTCGAGATAGCTGTATGGTCGGGTCGGTGATTTTTCAAGAGTTGGAACAAATTTGGGTGCTTCAAGCAGAGTCGTGGTAATCGCCATGGTTGCTAGCTCCGATCAATTGCTAGTAGAGTAGATGGTAAAAACTCTCGACGTTAAATGTCAAATCTTTTATGGAGCTTCGCTTATTTGTCTAGCTGTGTGACACTAGCCGAAACAAGTACGAAGCCTTCGTCTATCGGCTTGCTCACCGAGATGAAGCTTTTATGCTAAAATCCGGGAAACAGTCCGACTCTGATGCTTCCACTCCAGTCCCCCACTTCCCCATGGGGAACGAAAGTTGGAGGTCTCGGCATGCATAGGAACGTTGTGAATCTGAGAAATACTGGGAATATGTTTGGCTGACACGAATTAAGCCTGTCTATATAAATCCGCTTCACTATCCAACCATCGGTGGTTTTCTGTCCTAACTCGCTACCAGGTAGCCTTGACGTTTTGTTTAATTTGACCCATCAACTTTTGTTAGGACTACCTTCCACATCGCCATGGCAGGAGGAACAAGCATATGGTTTAGCAGTGAGGCGAAGACTGACCCAAAGGAAATTTTTAATCTTCGTCTCCTCTACCTGCTTGTCGCCGTTGCTTGGGGAGGATCCTTCTATGGATTTGACACAGGAAATATCGGTGGAATCCTGACGCTTCCCTCTTTCAGGAATGCATTCGGGCTGAATAACGTATCTCAAGCAGTGGAAGATGACCGCAAGGTAGGATCATTCTTCCAAACCAAACGATTTGTGAGATTACTGACCATAAAAGGGGACCATTGCCTCCATGCTCGCAGCAGGTGGGTCAGCCGGTGCCTTACTTGCCGCGCCAACATCGGACTATATCGGCAGGAAGTGGTCAGTCTTTGGCTGGGGTTTGGTGTTTGTAATTGGTGCAGCAATGCAAATGATTGCCAATTACGAAGTGCTTCTTGCTGGCCGCTTCATTGCCGGAATGGGAGTTGGCGCCTCGTCAATGCTCACTCCCCAATTCTTGGCGGAGAACTCGCCGAAATCAGTTCGAGGTTCGATGACTGCGACATACAATCTGATGATTGTGAGCTCTCTCATGTTGGCATTCTGGGTCAACTACGGTGTTGCGAAATGGTCCTTTCCTGGAGTTGAGCATGATGATTCCCAATGGAGATCAGCGATGGGCATTCAGATCATTCCTGGTGCCTTGCTTTGTCTGATGATTCCATTCGTACCCGAGACACCGCGTTACTTGATCAACCATGGCAAAGTTGAACAGGGATTGAAGAACATATGTCAATTGCGCAAGCTTCCTGCCGAACACGAGTATGTGCAAACTGAGTTCCGTGAGATCGAGGCTCAGGTTCGACACGAACAGGAGTGCTTCGAGGGACATAATTATTGGATTGTTTTCAGAGATGTCTTTACATCAAAAAGCAACTTTCAGCGCTTCTTTTTATCGGTGATGTTATTTCTCTTTCACAAATTCACGGGCACTGACTCCTTGAACGTGGGTTCCCTTTAGAACCCTGGTTGTTGAGAGGACTGACATGGTGAACAGTACTACGCACCTGAGATCTTTGCTTTGATCGGTGTGAAGAGTGGATCCTCTAGCCTACTTACCACTGGTGTATACGGAGTAGTGAAGACGGTTGTCACAATCATCTACGTGGGGTACCTTGTTGATCGCATTGGTCGTCGGATTCCACTTCTTGTGGGAGCGACCCTGCAAGCAACAGCCATGCTATACCTTGCGTTGTATCTTCGATTTGCCGATACAACGACGGCCAGTGGTGGTACCTCTGCCGGAGGTATTGTTGGTATTATCTGGATCTATATTTACGCTTTTGGATGGTCATTCGGACATTCTGTCGCTTGCTACGTGGTCGCAGCTGAAGTCTTCCCAACCAGAATTGTGAGTTGTAACCAAGTACACCGGTTTGGTACAAAGAATACTGATAAAAGCAGCGATCTTTCTGTATGGCTATTTGTTTCTTCATCAACTGGATTGTGGACTATGGTATTACACGAGCCACACCAAACATGATCACTGAAATGGGTTGGGGTGTATTTCTCTTATATGCAATGCTCACATACCTAGGGGTTGTGTTTATATTCTTCTGTTTGCCCGAGATGAAAGGTCGGTCTATGGAGAGTATGGATGATTTGTTCGAGCGCCCACTATGGACCATGTGGAAACATGCGTATCCCACCGAGGAGGAGAAGATGCGGCGCGATGTTCGAGAAGAGATGAACACCAAGCTGCAAAGTGTCGGGCCAACTATTGAAGACCAGGCAAAAAACCATCGTACCGAGCATGTGGAAACTGTTTGATGCATTTCGCGGCTTTTAGTTCACGAAGTAAGTCACAAAGCATGATCATCACAACCAATTAAATGTCACATGGACTTTTTTGCTTTCATGGATGTAAACAGCGGCGTCGCTCCGGGCGATCGGAGTAGGAGCGAGTCCTGAATACTGCGGCTTTCTCTCCGATATTTAAGCTTAGCCGGAAGCTTCAGTAGCGGCGTTCTAAACCCCGCAAGAACAATAAAGTAAACGTAGCTTCCCCATGATCATGATAGATTGGAACATACTTCAAGATGGCAGGACTTCAGAACAAAACATTCACCTTGAACACGGGGGCCAAGATTCCTGCAATTGGCTTTGGAACTTGGAAAGCCGGTCCTGGTGAAGCAGCAATGGCTGTGAAAGCTGCATTTAAGGCTGGCTATAGACATTTTGTACGATAATCTGGCCCTCTCAAATATTAGGAGCCCAAGCTGACACGAGGTTACGAATTCTAGGATTGCGCACCTTTATGTGCGTTTTTTCATTAAAAGAGATATGATCAAAAAGCATAAACTGACGGAGACGATTATAGATGGCAATGAAGGTGAAATTGGACAAGTCTTCAAGGAAATTGATGTACCTCGAGAGGACTTCTTCGTGACCACCAAGCTGTGAGTCGCAATGGATGAACACGAAAAAAATTCAATCGAAGCTAATCTCTTCCCCGAATATTAGCTGGTCCTCCGATCACCGTCGTATCACTTCCGCGCTCCAAAAGTCTTTGGATGACCTGTGTCTAGATTACGTCGATCTTTACATGATGCATTGGCCCGTGTCATTACCAACGGCTTCATCTGATACATACGGCAAAGAGGACCGAACAATACATGACACAGACTGGGACTTTACAGACACATGGCGCGATATGGAGAAACTACTAGCTACTGGGAAAGTCAGGGCCATTGGTGTTGCTAACTTTTCAACCGTGAATCTTGAGAAGCTGCTCAAGAACTGCAACGTTGTTCCCGCGGTGAATCAAACGGAGATTCAACCCTTGCTTCCTCAGAAGAAACTCAATGCACTCTGTACAGAGAAAGGCATTCATCAGACAGCATTCGGTCCACTCGGAGGTAGTGGAAGCACCCTTCACAGCAACCTAATTGTCAGTTCTATCGCAGAGAGACGATCATGTAGCTCCGGGAATGTGCTGTTAAGCTGGGGTGTGAAGAAAGGTTGGAGTGTTATTCCAAAGAGCGTCAATCCGGCGCGCATCGTGGGAAATCTACACAGCTGTTTCATGATGGACGATCAAGAGATGGCACAGATTGATCAGCTGATCGATACGCTTGGAGAAAAGCGTTTCAATCGGCCTCAGTGGGGGACAGTCATATTCCATGATGATGACGAGAATGTGCAATAATATGATTGAAGGAATAGTTTCAAGCAGAGGGCATAAATATCACTGTATATTCCTTTTTGTCCTACCCAGCTCGCATTTTCTTTTTGTTTACCTTTCTATTCACCTGTAGCTTGAGTTGAAATTTGTATTGAGCTTCCTGCCAAACCGAATGATACTGGGCTATCAGTATGCAACATTGGGCCAGGTGAAGGATCTTGCGTCAGGACGTTTCATTGTTCCTAAAAAATATTCTCATAATGTATCTACACAATCTCGGCTTCAATAATCATCTCATACTCTTGAGGATCAGGCCAAAATTTGACAATCTTCAATCCGGCCCCGCTCAAAAGTTTACTCCAGGCATCTTGTGTACGCTCTGAGGCAGACAGCAACGACATCATCTCCACATCCATAGTTGTCTGGCTAATACTAGCTCCTGTAGGGGGAAGAACAATGTCATAAATGAATAGCTTCGAGTAGCCTTCGATCATTGCGTCTCTAGTATTCTCAAGCAGCTGCGTGGCCTTATCATCGGGCCAATCGTGAAGAACAGCGTGCATAAAGTAAGCTCGACTCCCTGAAATGGGAACGTCAGTTGTGAGCTTAATTTAATGTGATAGATGTGTCTCACCTTTCACAGGTTGTGGTAAGAAAAAGTCATGTGCCATAGCCGTGATTTTCTCATCAACGTGTGCGTTGGCAATGATCTCCGGAAGATCCTGCAAGACCAACGCTCCAGCGGGGATGTCAGGATGCTTGGCCAGGACGTGTGAGATGTCGATTCCGGTATTTCCACCGACGTCAACAACCAGTGGAGAGCCATCTTCTAGCCTGGCGCCATCAAGCAGACGAGTTGTATCGTACACCTTAGTCCAGGGCGTCTTCCATGATGTCCAGGCTTCCATATGACCAGTAAAGGCCTCAAAGCAATCGGGACTCTTTTGCAATCTACCAAAGAAATTCAGTCCATCGGGGTCGCTGGCGGAGTGATTGTTCTCAACGAAGTCACTGGGCTCCTTATAAGAGATCTGGGCGAGGTATCTTGGCAGATTGTGACCGGCAGCAATGTATTGATTAGTGCTGGTTGAGATATGAGCTAGATGACTATATCCGAGTTGTAGGGTATACGTACGCTGCTTGCAGGGAAGCTCGAACTTTGGTGCGTTCGTCGCCGATAGCGAATGAGAAGGGGGTGGGTTTGAATGTATCTTCAAACGTTTCCTCAACTACATTGAACGCCGCTAGTAAACGGAACAGACGACCTGTTTCCGGTATGTTAGATAAATGAGACAAATACTTCTTGAGATGAAGACTTACGAAGCAAGTTTGTATCCACAGTTGGACTGGTGAGCTCCACCAACTCATGGATGGTCTTCTTCCCACCTCCGACCTCAGTCCACGATTTCCATAGGCTTACGTCAATGCAAGTTTGCAAAGCGGCAAAGACAGCAGGGTGCTCAAAACAGAAGCCCCACGCGCGCTCGTAAGGTGTTTCAACCCTGGCAAGCAAGCGGCGAGCCGCTGCACGTACTTTGAGGCGTTCTACCTCATTTCCGCCGAAAATCTGGGGCTCTACTGCATTGAGAGCACTAATAATCCGTTCGGTCTCTGTTGGTGCTTTGGAAGGCATTTTAGACTGCTCAGATCGGATTTGGATAGGGCAGGATGTGTTTGTGACAGGTACCGGAGAGTGGATAAAAAGATCATGCAAGACTGGAGCTGCATGCAGACTTGAGCAAATGCCTATATATAATCACAGAGGACATGACACTAATGTTTTTCACATGGTGATTGGAAACTCAGTGGAGTTATCCTTTGACTACCAGCGCCAATGGATAGGCAGTTGCCCAGTAAAAGCAAGGAGTCAAATCTCATGTGGACTTGGGAACGACAACCCCTCACACTAGCTCAGTACCAATGCACAGAATACTCTTTCAGTAGTAGTTTCATGGCTTGAGGCGCTAGGACGCCAAGGTCTGAACGTGCCGTACGGTCCAGCCGTTCGAACGTTCGGTCATTCGATCCGGCTTTGATCCCATCATCCGAAGTGGGGAAGTTGGCTTAAAATGTCGAGCTGTATTAACTATACTAGTTAAGGATGTGTGGTTGCCTCTTTCCGCAGATCTTCGTACCATGTTGTATGTAGGGAAATTGGATATATCACTGTTGTCTCGTTTCGTATGAAGCAAGAACAGCGACTATTCTCTTGATTAGGGAAATCATATGTGATGAATACATAATAAATCACTTGCTGTTGAGTCTTTCACCCCTTTCAATGGTGTCAACCTATATTGATTTACTGGGTAATGTGTCAACTTCCGAAGATGTCGGATGCCAACCTGCTCCGAGCGCAAGACATCACTGTTGAATTGTAGATGTAACACCCAAACGGTAGGATGAAAGAAATCAGGAGGCGAGTGTTTGGAAAACTTTGTTTCTCGATCTGGCCAATATTTGTATGTTTTTTATTTTTGACTTCTGTTCTGACAGCTATGATCATACCAGATGTGGAAATCACTCCGACTAGAACGGAGAATTTCTCCACATCACTCCACCAACCTTGCAGGTAGAATTATAGTTACGATCATGTATGACTGAAACGCAACATCCAAGCGAAGAGGCCCTGTGTACAGTACGATCTGGTCAAGTTTGAGGGAAAATCGCCGTATTTTGGTTACGCCACTGTAGATCCACAGAATCGGGGAAGCGGGAACATGAAAGTGTGCTCTCGGATAGCTGGTGCTATTAGTGAGATCAGCATTGAGCCTGGGCTCTGGTAGACTTAGTTCTGTCTCGGTTTTCAGTTTACTCGGCCGTGTTTCCATTTATCATTAATTCCATGTTCCGGACAGTAGTGTGTTCGCATGAATCCCGATACAGTGGTCAAGAGCTGGATCGTTCATCTCCGGGCAGGCCCATCTTCCGCTCTTTGGGTGGCTTTGCATAGGGCACAGTGAAGGATATCGACCCCTATTTCTGTTTCGTTTTTTGTTTTTTTTTTCCAGCAATAACTTCTTTACTACGTCAATTGGATGTGCGAGAGTACTCCTGACTCTCGCAGGCTTTCTCCAGTAACCAATGGCAACACATCGCTCCAGAAATGACTTTTGGCCGTTATCTGTCAGAAACGCCATGGTCCCGCATCTTACTCTATTGAGCAGTAGCTTAATTGCAGACCCACCTTCGGACCCTTCCTATCCAATATGCGGACAGACTGTATAGGATCATCCTGGCTAATGTGAGCTGTCAACCTTTTCTCACACGTGTGGGGCGGATGTGGTAGAGGCTTACCCGCGTCAACCTATACACAAATGGGTATCCCGAAGCCCCGTGGGACGCCCCTGACAGCCCGACATGTGCCCTTAGTCGTTTCATATGCCACATTACAGATCACAATTCGATGTTCTTGGCCTCTGGTACCTTTCAAGTTGCCGAAAGATAGTATGAGGAAATTTGTGAAGGGCAAAATGATCACATCCTAGCGTACCTTTGCTCCGGGGTAGGAGTGAGAGATAATGTTGACCAATTTACACATCAGAAACACTTTCATACTAATATACCCAACTTGATGCTCATCTGTCGCTGGGGTTTGTCTGTTTCTATCATTTCAATGAGATCTTGATTGACTCAAGGAATTCAAAAGTCATATTCAACATGGGTGTTTACGGTGGCCTAGGACCTATGACCAATGCCGTGCTTTGGGTTCAGGTTGTCGTATTTGCTATATTTGTAGGGCTAAGGCTCTACACAAGGAAGTTTATCTTGAACGCAGTCGGTGCTGACGACTATCTAGCCGTTGTCTCACTGGTAAGCGAGCCGTTCATTCCCATTATGTTCGCAACTGACAACGACTAGATTCTCCAAATTGTGTACACGGTTTTCGTGACCGTGGCAAGCACCTACGGCCTTGGACAGAAGCTTGCTGCTGTCGGGGACCCAGATGTCTACTTTACAGCAGTTAAGTATGAGCTGTTCAGTCAAGTGGCCGGACTTATGGTCATTGGGGTTGGAAAAGGAGCCGTGGGAGTGTTCCTCCTTCGCATTGTTCGAAATCACATTCAGATCTGGTTTATCCGGGTCTGCCTTGCAATCACTGCATTTATCACCTTGTTTGCTAGTGTGACCGTCATTGTGCGATGTACCCCGGTAGAGAGGAGCTGGAATCCAACTGTTCCGGGAACGTGCTGGCTTGACTTTTCTAAGGTTGGCTACACTGTTGGCTGTAAGTATCCTACCACACGACATAGCTCACATTTCTGGATTCTAACAATCACTGTTTCAAGCATGGTTTGTCGCAGCTGACTTTTCCTTCGCCATTCTCCCATGGTTCGTTGTCTGGGATCTCAACATGAAACAAAAAGAGAAGATCACCGTGGCATTAGGTCTGAGTCTTGGAATCTTGTAAGTTCAAACCATCAAAAAGTCGGCAATCCTTCTGACAGATAAAATCTAGCGCTGGAGTCTGTGGAATAGTCCGAACTGTAGCTCTTTCTGGACTGAATGCGTCTGAGTACATATGTGAGTTGCTTGCCACTTATTCTTAATACTGTTCTTCATTAATCTTACTGACGACTCTCAAGATGATACTGTACCAATGCTCATCTGGTCTGCCACCGAGAGTACCGTGACGATCATGTGCTCAACGATCCCCGTTCTTCGACCTCTATACATTCGCGTCAGATACGGCAAGGATGGCAAAGACAGCAGCAACCGTGGCAACAGTTCCTACAAGCTTCCCTTGTATGGGAGTGGCCGGAAGTATGGCATACTTTCGATTCCTGGCCCGGGTACATCAGTTATCGAGAAGAAGGGTGGCGCATACCAAACTACCGTCATGAAACACCAAAAAGGCAATAACAGTGACGAAACCATTCTTCGTGGGGCTGCTGGCATTGAGAGGACGGACGAAATCTCTGTCACATATGAGCCATATGGTAAAAAGTACTAGGAATGCCTTGTGATGTCAATGGTACTAGGAGTTGTTTTTATTTTCTTTTGATGTTCAGAAACTGTATTTACTGGAGGATAGTCAGAATACATGAACTTATTGGCACTTTCATGGAAATCTTGCTGATCCTATGGCCAGAGCTTCTATGACTTGCATCTGGAGCCTCCTGGGGAAGATAATTCACGCTTTTCATGCGAAATTAATGTTACCCAGTGCTTCTTGTGCCCGCATCATCAGGAAGGGACATAGTTCCTTTCAGTACCATATATGGTTTGAAACATCAACTATATCCCTTGAATTCCAATTAATTCCTACCATGAAGGCTTCTCTGAAACATATCTCATACGACAATCATGTCAGAGAGACTCATTATTGACGTTGTCGTCTCACCACTTACTGTATCGGAAGCTGCTAAGTACGATGTCAGTCTGCGACTATTGTGGTTATCCTAGATTCTCGGTATGAGTTGGTCAAAGTTTCTGACTTATCATTGGAAGATTGGAATGCGATATCCCCGAGTCTATCTTTCTCATTTCAGTGCAGTCGAATGTGCCTACTGTCTGCGGCCTTTGATATTTCAGTGTCAAAGCGCCGGAAGTCAACGGAAGAGCATCATTTTCGACAAGATGGCTTTGGGGGTTGCCTGGGACCGTGTGTGTAGTTCAGAAGAACTAGGTGTGATTAAAAGCTGTTGGGTTGATTTTGATGCATTGAGGGATCGGTCACGGGCCGTCCAATCTTAACATATTTGTTGCCAGTTTCAACTTAAATTTACGTATGAAGTGATTGATCATGTGAAAATAAAATGAGCTTGTTCTTGAAAGAAATTGAGACAAAGTAATGTACATCGTGTGTTGGGGATGGACAAGGCGTAAAACAAAGGGAATTCTAAGGGCAGTCTCTATTATCCTCCAGACTCTATTATGCTCGAATGATTTATTTGCCGATCTCAACACCGGCGCCACAGCCGAGGACACGCTTGATGTCACCGAAGATGGCGAACTGACCAGCAGTGATGGAGCCGACCATGAAGAGACGGGCACCGATACCACCGTAAGAGCCACGGATACCGAGCTCCTTGGCGATCTTGACGAGACGGGTGACGGTTCCCTCACCGGGAGCGCCCTGGGTCTTGTTGATCTTGGAGAGCATGGTGTCGGCGGGCTGGGAGATGACGGCGGCGGCGAGACCAGCGACGAGACCGGAACCGAGGTTGATACCGGTCTTGGAGCCGTCGGAGAGGGTGTTCTTGTCGAACTGAGCGTAGATGGCCTCGGAGACCTTCTCGAAGACGACGAACTTGGCCATGGTGTAGGGGACCCTGTGAGAGGCGCGTTAGCCAAAATGCGATCCGAATGACCTTATCGTCAAAAATGACTTACTGCTTGAACAGGATAGGTCCGAATCCGGAGTAGAAGGCACCGATGCCCTCCTCCTTCATGATGCGGCCCATGGCGGGGAGAAGACCACTGGCAAAGGTGGGCTGGGAGACGAGACGGATACGGGTGGCCTCAAGGGGGCAAAGGGCGACATCAGCGAAGAACTCGGCGATACCGGCGGAGGCGAGGTAGACAGCGGTACGGTTGTTCTTGGCGGTCTCGTAGCCGAGCAGGTTGATGGACTGCTGCTTGAAGAACTCGTAACCTCCGAACTTGAAGGCACCCTGGAGGAAGTAACCGGCAGCGGTGGGACCGAATCCAGTGAGGAGAGCGCCAGCACCCTCGTTCTGGATGACCTGACGGAAACCACCGATCATACCACGGTTGTAGGTGACGGGGTCAAGCTGAATACGGGTCTTGACGCTATACGTTGATGTTCGTCAGCATTGATCGACCACTTATTGGTTTGCGACGCTTCAATAGCTTCCAATCGCTCTCAATTGAATTTGGAGGGATTACTCACACATCCAGAGGAGTGGCGGCACCGTGGGTCAAACTACAGCAAGCAGCTCCCTATATCAAGTTAGTTGCATTGTTCATTGGGTTCTCTGCAGGATGCTCGGGTGAAGGGGGTGAGGTGTATTGCGTTGGGAGTCGTTGGAATTCCAAGGGTACGTACGGCGAAGGAGATTCTTCCGTAGAAGTTGAGAGGGCTCATCTGGGGGGCATCGGTAGAGGCGGCCATTTTGAAGATAAGATGGGATGAAGAGAGGAGAGTGGAAGATGGAAACGGGAAATGGGGATGGAAAAATGCGGAAGAGTTTGAAAACTGTATTCCTGCCATTGTGGTTCACGCCGCCCTCCGTAGCTCAGGAAGGTCTCCACTTTGACGTAGGGGTGGAATTGTGTGGCTGGGCATCGTCAAAGATATGTGACAGCACATTGTTTGCTGTCTATAAGTTAGATGGAGTATATCTATCAGAGATATCTGCTAGGATTCATCTCTCTCCAAGATTGGATTTATTAAGTTAAAGCTCATACAATGTTGATGCTAGGGAATGACGCCGTCCGAGCGCTATCTAGTCTGACTCCGTTAAATTCCGGGGTACTACGTACTGGACATTTCGACAAAGCATTGTAGATGTTGTTGATTTTTTTTTTTCTCTTGTTTTTCTTTGGGTTTAAACTCTAGAGATATTTCGACATGGTATGGCCAAACATCATATTATGCATAGGGTCTGGAAATTATGCTTTAGGTCCGATGATTGCCTAGGTGATCGGGATATACCGCAGTGGGCTATATGTCCCGAGTCCCGTCTTAGCCGCGAAAAGTTTTCGGATTTGGACATACCGTTGTTCAAATTCTTCCACCATGGTCCATAAGGTGTCACTGTCCTTCTGCTTTTTTACGCTTATTTGCTGCTTTCCTGTGAGATATTAGTTCATAACCACTCTCACTATTGGTACCCCGAGCAGATCACCTATACCCCTTACAGCATACGTCTACCAATTTATGCTACATTTTCCCTCTATTTTAACCACCCTCTCTTGGTTGTAGGTGGGTCGGATCCTGCTAGCATGTATTAGCCGGTTACCTGCAGGCGAATAGGGACTCTCAGAAATAATAGATATTCTTAGTGGACCTAGGGACAGAGTTAGTAAACAAAGGCAGGATTCTACGCATCATCTCCACTCAATAGGTGACTACACATTATCTAAATGGATTTACGAGGGTATATGGAGCACCCACCAGGCTTGATACCTACCCTCTAGACCGTTTAATGTACCCTGGCGATTCACTGTCTTTTCCTTTCTACCTGTCAACAATTGCTCTAAGCCAAAGTCTCATCATGCCACATTGAACATTTCTAATAGAGAAATTGAATACTTTTCATAGCTCAGCCGATATGCTTGCGATCCTAGACTATCTCATCGATTTCCCGTCGTTCGACTTTTCAACCACTTTCTACATCCTGTGTTAAGCGCATTCCTATGTAGTGTGTGACTTTCAGACTCCCATTCTTCGAGTCTGGCATAACGCATGCGCCTCCGTTTTCACACTCTTTTTTGTTCTCTTTTTTGTTTTCTTTCTGCATTGTCTCATATCTCGTCCCAGCTTCGCTCTATATATAGACGACATTTTACACATATTCCTGAGACCACCTTGGAGAAGTGGGAGGGTAACATCGAGGCCTCCCCACAGCTTAACAACATCCACGGGGACATCCAAATCTAATGGCGAATGGTGCGCTTCCATCCCGACCAACCGACACCACAGCTCAGAGTCACCCTTGACGCTTGATTATTATGACCAGAGAAGAAAAACAGACCAAACAATATGGGCTTTGCGACAGTGGGGGGAAACTAATGATACGCCACTGCAACCCGACCACGCCGAAATTACGGGGAACATTATAGGGACAGCACATAATCAGACACTCAGGGACTTAGTCATAGGATGCCCCCCCCCCCCCCCCCCCCCCCCCCGGGCCGCCCCCAGGGACCCGACTAATTCGGTCAAAAATCAGTTCTAATACAATTCCAATACAGTTATTCTCCCACCCTCTTCAGAGTCAGTATCAACGTAACTAAATCTTACACTCACGTCCTGTTAGCAATCCGTTGGGGTGGTTCTAACACCTTGATATTTAAACCATAGTTTAAGTCCCTCTTAAATAGCTCTTTTAGTATCAGAAATATAATAGTTACTCAGTCTTAGTACTACAAGATATATAAGGGTGGCTTTAAGCAATATATCATAAAAAGCGGAGAATAATTGTTTCTCTCAATATCTGGATATCCACGTATCACCCAGCCTCACCTTTTGATGAAGCTTTTTGTCACCTTCCAGCTCTGCAGATCAAAAGGCTCACCCCAGACCAACATCATATTTTCTAATGTACCTGGGTCCCAAAAGCCGAGTATATCAAGATAGAACTGATGTTTTTCATAGTAACCAGTTGAGTTGATGAGATTATCGCGTGCTTGAGAATACGGAAAGAAGTCCAACCATGTATGACGGTGACAGGAGCGTTTTGGATGTTGGAGATAGAGGTTGTAGCAGAAACTTCAGATTTTCTGGTGTAAGGCGCTTGAAGCTAAAAGGCGATAGAATATTAGCCTCGCAAAGCCCCTCCACCGGCAGACCTAGCAGAGCAACGTTGTCAAGAAGGCACAGTATCCGTTGGCCCTGATATGGGGTAAGGGGTAGCAGGTAATCAATTGACGGATCGCTAATTAGATAACTCTCATAGGCGCCCAATGAGACTAGCCGGAGAAGCCGTTTCTTGGTGCATTCAATGATTTTCTCTTCGGGAGAGCGTATAGCCAGGGCGAGATCATCCGCAACCTGATGCTCGAGACCTCAATGATTTCCTGGCCGTTGTTCATCACAGGAAGGCGAAAATACGGCACAACGCTAAATGGAAGCCCTTTGGCTCTCCGTGTTCTGTCGACGGTGTCTCTCGTTGCAATCTGTGATACTGTGCCCGCCACTCTTGGGCTCGGTATATCAGACCCTGGGATGTAATTCTAAGGAGATCCTACTCTCAAGGTTGACTTTCGTCATTCAGCCCGGGTCTTTTTCGCATTGAAAATGATATGAGAGACGTAGGACACGAAATTGTGTGACTTCGAGAGGATTAAAAATGATAAGATATGTGCTCAAGAGCCAAAGAAGATCTCTCGGGGCGGAAATACATATTTGATGCGGATAGCGTCACATCTCCGGTGCGGGAAAGAATGTTATGTAAATGATGTATTTGCTACAGGTAAAATCCGAAGCTGACTATGTGCCATGGAAGCAAGATTTCACAGCTAGTGACAAAGCGTCCCAAGTGAAGCACGGCATGCTATTTAGTAATACCAAACCTGGCAATATCCGTTTCACAAGATCCCCAGATATTTCCTGGAAGGTTGCTTTGGCATGACTGATGCTGTATATATAGGCATAACGCGGGCTCCTCGAGGGATAAAATGGTGCGAATATAAGCCTTAATCAGATAAGTTTTCATATGAACAGGCATATTACCTGCTCGTTCCTCGCCCTCTCAAAACTTGAGACATTTGCACTCTTGAACAATTAAAAAATGGCTGAAGACCACAAATTGTCGATTTGAGTTCTTCGTGGGCATCCTTGGATGTAAGTCTGTTGTAGACCCTACATCACTCCAATTCGATCCAGCTAGATCATTCATAAGTTGAGTTGATAGCGCGGATGTGTCCTAAGTGGTTCCCCATATTTCAATGACAAAATGATCATACACTCATGAGAAAGGATATGCCTGCGAGAACAGTGTTTCCCCACCCCTGTCCAAGACGATTGTACAATCGAGGCCCTGGAAGTGGGAGCAGAGTACTGCCTATACTGTGCAAAACTGTGTTCGCAGCAGTGGCACTGGCAACATACTTCGGGAAGGCATCGATAAGGTAACCCCTAGCAGGCGTGAACACTGTTATTATGCCAAAGCCAACTAAGAATGTCCCAATGATCATCTCGTCATCTTCGACATGCGTTTGCACTTCAAGTGTCAGGGGTGAGGTTGAGTTGTCCTGTATAGGCCCATGTCCCGCACATCTGGCAGACATGTGGATGCTTGAGCTGTTTATGTCCATAGCCACGTAAAGTATTGTGAGCTGCGGAGGAAAAACTTTCTAGGCGATGAATTCAAAGAGATGAGGGCCAGAAATCTCTTCGTAAGCGCTTCTTTGTAAATGGAAAGATCAATAGTGCAGTTGGAAATGTTGGACAGGTACCGTCGATATCAATTGGCCAAAGAACTGTTTCCAGAGAAACTTACCATTTAAAGTCTTCCCAAAATGCCGCCTTATCAATGGGTTCTTCGCAATTCATTGCCATCCCACCAATTCAGTACGTTTGAGGGGCTTTAACCACAAGGAGTTAGTAACTGCATGAAGGAAAAAAAACACACTGCAGTGAAGCCGGAATTCCTCAATTGACTGCCGTGATTTGCGCCAATTGTCAATAAAGCCAGGGATCATGCTTAACTCTGGTCAGCAACTCGCATCAATTTGCCTGCACATTCAATGAAGCTGCCTCGACACTAACAGAGAGGTTGAGATTGTTGATTCCAACAAAGCATTGGAGTCAGTCTGTCTTAAAGCATTCACCGCTTGGGTGAAAATGGGAGAAAGCGGACAACGCAGCGACTGTCTTCGCGATGCCACTTACGGAGATGAGGAACAAGCTCCTTTTTTAAGATCTACTTTCCTGCGGATTTAGCTTGAAGACTTATCAATTTCGGTCTCTGACTTGTAAATAGACATAGAGAAAGTACTCGTGATGAGTTGATTTGCTAGTAGCAAAGCCCCGTAAAAGGGGAAAGGTAGTAAGTACTGTGTCTGAGATCGTTCGAATACTCGTATTGGTCTTTGCTGTTCAGCTTAGCTCGGGGTCGGTCCTCGGAGACTCGGTTCTCGGAGTGGACCACGCTTAAGGTTCAATTTGGGCCTGCAGCTTATCTATCAAGGTTATCTTAAGTCTTGTTCAACTGTACGGAGTAGACAGATCCTATCTTTTCATTTGGCATGGAACTGCATAATCAACTCCACTCTCTAGAAGGCCAATCTTGAAGGCCCTTCGTTTCATACTAGATCATTTAACAATTCCTTTCTTCATTTTACAGTTCAAACCCTTGTCCTTTACAAACCATAATTCTTATTTTTATCATTAAAAGTTAAGCAAGTAGTGAAGGTCCCTGGCTTAAGCTGTAGATAAAGCAGGCGGAAACCCGGAAAGCGACGACATATAAGGAATATAAAGCACAGAGATTCAGTACGAATATCAAGTTATAAGCCAATTCTTAAATTAAACAATTGCATTCATACGAGGATCCTAAACCGAGTGAAGGAAAATAAGAGTACAAACAAACTATCAACCGAGCCCCTTTCAGAACCATTGATGCTTGAGGCATCATGAACACAACAATCCTCCATCTCTGAATCTATGTAGACTTCCCAGCACTTGAAAAACAAAATGAGAGCCCTGGTACAGTACAGCAAACTGAGATATCACAGTCTAAATATGTAACGCAAGTATTGCCAGAGAATTAGAACCACTAACGCTCAGACCCTCAGACGCATTGCCATGAATTCTCATCCGTATAGTTCCCAGGGCCGACATGCACATTGCGCTTTGGCCATTTACAATGCTTTCTGCGATACAGAAGCTCTCCATTGTCTCCATTCTTGGATCTCCTGACTGTCTCGGGCGCAATGCCTTCCTCAACCCATTTCACCATTGCCATCAGGACGTTGTCTTCAGGGTCTGTTCCGCTAAATTGTTGCGCGGTGTTCCCGATCAGCGAGGCGCCTGTCCCAGATATGCAGTGACTCATGCCACTAATTGGAAAGAAGCGATAGAAGTCGTCCAGTTCCGAAGGTGACATATTCATTTCCTCTGCCACCCGAGAGTAGTAAAGTTTGGAATTCTCAGAGCTGATTAAATAGTCTTGGGTGCCGTGGTATGAAAGTAATTTCCCCCCGGCAGATTGAAACGACGACAGATCAGCATCCCATGTTTGAATATCGTAGGGGTTTTGTTCCAAGGCGTCATGGGCAGCATGAACATCAAGCGATGCTGGGTTCCAGTTCGGGTCACTATATGTCACATAGCGGAACCAATCAGTTGAAAAGGAGAATGGCTGCCCAGTGTATAAAACTTGAGAGGATACGAGTTCAGAGCCTGGTTGCATCCTTGGGTAAAGTAAAGTGCCGTTTTGGCTGTACATTGGCGATAGAACCTGACGCACAGTGTGGGCTTGTGCACCACTGAGACAGGCTGTTTGGTTGCTGCTTGGGTTGCAGATCAAAGTGTCGATAACTGGGTGGCAAAGATCGGGATTTTCGATGATACCATCTATCGCACCATCCATGCCGTCACATTGACGAGTGATCTCCTCGTGCACGACACTCCACAAGGCGGGGGACAAATAGGTATCGGTTTCATTGGACCCAGTGATTCGGTAGAAGTGGCCAACCCAGGATATGAGGTTGATAAAGTTCATGGCAGGGGCACCGGCGACAACTCCATCAAAGTCGTGAGGAAATCTTTGAACTGATTTGAAGCCTTGTCTTCCACCGGTCGAACAACCCAGATAGTAGGACTTCTTGAATCCTTGCGGATAAAAACTCTTGGTCAATTCTTTACCGACGACGACGCCGGTATGAATAGACCGGTAGGCAAAATCCTCGACGACCGCGGGGTGTCGGAAGAATGGCTCGCCCGATGTCCCATTATGGCCATTGTTTGCACCGACAACTGCAAACCCCAAAGAAGCAGCGTATGCGAGGTCATAGTACTGAATACATCCGCCTAGGCCTCCGTTTCCGGTGCTGAGGAATCGACCGGTATAGTTGCGAGGCAACCAGGCCTCGAGTGAGATTTGGCTGTCATTCGAGGTAGCTACAGCCATTGCAACACGACATAGATCGACGCTCACTGGCTGCGGACCTTGTGAGCAAGAAGAAACCCTGTCCGGGAAGGTCAAGTTGGTGCCAGCGGGGACATAATCGACGAAATGGACATGAACGTTCGAGATATTGATCTTCTTTATCATAGAGTCACAGCTTTGCTGGAAGGAGTCATCTCCAATAGTAGAGCCAGCGAGCCCCAAAACTACCACAAGTGATGAGAACTTCATGGCGGATTGTAGAATATCGAGGGTTGTGCTGCAGCTTCAATGCGAAACGGGCTCTTTTAAAGTCGACGAACGCCCCTGACTTCGTAGATCATTGCATGGAAATAGACCCAAGAAGACCTGTTTGTGCAGCAACGTCCACTTTGCAGAATAGTTCACCCAATCGGGACCGGTCTCGACATGGAGTTCACCGATTGCTGACGATCCACTCATCATTTGCTCCACCACTCGGCGTCTCGGATATTTCATGCGAACTCCGAGTATTACGCAGCATAAAAACGCCCAGACGGCGAATAACCTTTTTTGGTCTCTCTGGTATTGGCATGGCCGAAACAATGCGTTCTACGACCACAATGACCGCTTTAAGCAGATTCGGTAGTGGTGCCAAGCGGTTGAAACAAACAAAAAATGGGTGCCTATTTACTGGGCATCGCTGAGGCGCAAAGTGGGCATCTTTCAATCCGTAGCCTAGGTCACTAGAAATCAAGGCTGTGCTAAGTGAAATGGGACGTGCCAGAGTTTAGTAGACGGCTTGCCTAGCTTGAAATCGGCTTCACGAAGCATTACAGTATCAATGCTAGATGAGACCAGTGTAGGGAAGTTGATAGGGGGACCTCAGATCTCTAAATTAGTGAAAGAGCAAAATATTGGTTTTCTAAACCCGATTTCGAGGAACAACCGTGGTGAAAAAGCGAGACCCTTTAGAAAGCAGATTTGGTTGGTAATCAACTGGGCATTTCTCCAGGACTGTAGCTCTGTTAGTGACCTCTTTTTTGTATGAAAAGTAGCTAAACGCCTTGACTCTCTATTTTACTATGGCAACTCCTTTCCATCATACTGGTTCATCCCTGGGTTATTCTCCCGTCAAGGTACATTGATATTTTAGAAACGTCCGTTTCCTTCTCCTCCTGTGCTGTCCAGTACGTCCAGGACAGCATTAACCGCAGTCTTTACCTGAAGGTCGGCATTCTGGCTCCCACGGTCAGTTCTGCACCACTGACATCAGGAATCAATACGTAAGTTTCAAGTGGAGCGACAAATTCAGAGGCGTAAAGCTTACACCCCGACCGACACAGAAGACTGTAAAGCCCCCTTATCCCAGTTCTTTGGAAGACGCTACTTCAGGCATGTTCAGTGCGGTCTTTGTCACTTTGTATGATGGAACAAGTGAGTCCTTGTAAACAGGTTGCTTTGCGATGGAGCCAAGACTGGTTAAACTACATTTATTGTGGTTCGTTTGAGGCTTTCGCTATTAAGATAAGCTGTAAGTTAGGAACTCACATGTTAAGGACCGTCTTTTCTCCGCCCTCTCTCGTGATGGTGTGGACACTGGCTACGATTAGTAGAGTTCAAATGTTCCAAGGAATATAGTTGAAGCATAGACGAGAAGACATGAAAAAGAAGAATGGCAAGGAACTACTCATATCTCCTCAATAGGACCATAGTTCATGACCCTAGCATTGTTAATCAATCTATCCAATCCATTCCCCTTGAGTGCAGCCGAAACAATGTTGGCGGCATTTCTTACGCTCTACACATCAGCCACATCGAGAAGCACGGGTATAATTCGACCGGGATGCTGCTGTGGAATTTCCTCGGAATTATTGGAGGATCGAGAAGAGGCAGAGATGGTGCCGACATTTTCCTCTGGCTTGGCGGCAAGCTGGCGCATTAGCTCGAGGCCGATACCCTGGGAGGAGCCAGTGATCAGATAGGAGCTCATGGCCGCGAGTGTAGAAAGTGATAACAGCATGTCTCTTTGCTGAAATCAGTCAAAATGTTCGAAGTTCAGATCCGATGAATAAGGCATCTATATATGGCAGGACTCAAAAGCCCCCCCACAATTCAATCCGACTGATAAACTAGCGGCATTCTAGCGCTTTTTCAGTAACGTTAAGAATTCGATGCCACATTAGAGTAAAATTTGATGTAATTTACAATACCCAAAAAGCGCTAAAATGCCGCTACTTTATTATTCGGATTGAATTGTGGCTTTTTAGTCCTGCCCCAGTGGTGAATCCCGTGACTTACATGGTTAACGTGATTTGTACTATTAGCGCCTCAGGCATCGATGTCCTCGTTTCAGGATAAAGAGAGATTGTGAGCATGCGAGGATGTGAACAGACAACAATGCATGTGTGTTTGTCAGTCGCGCAACGTGGAGTAAAGTCCGTCTAAGGGTTTAACGCAATCCACGCGGTTAGATTCTCGAATTTGATGCCACCTATCACTACTGTTGTATTCTACAATATATATATTGAAATGGGGACGGCGCGATGGCAGTCTCGTCAAAACAGACGGGTCGATACTAGCAATAGGAGCGTAGGCAAAACCCAGTAAGAGATAGGGCTATAGGAAAGGAGAGCACGTAGGGGTGGTCAGAAGAGAAAGTGTATCTGTCTTGCTCTACTATGCGTAGAGAGGTCTTAAATAGGGTACATTGACTAGTTAGTTATGAGTGCTGAATCATCCGTAGACCGCTAACTAACTACTAAGTACTTTATTCCGTAAGCAGTTCCCCCACTATAATATGTTACTGTTGTATGAGTTTCAAGTGTATCATTTCAATCGATCGCCAAGATACAACCTACCATACAGACCCCGTCAATGCCCATATTAGTAGTCTGGAGACCAGAAACAGCGTCAACCCCCCATATCAACAATACCAGCCCAGTTGAAACCGGTAGTGTGATATAGTGGTCACTTAAGAACTCAGAACCTGATACGATATTTGCCAAGCAAGCTAGCGGAAACGCAATACCCGCAGACTCTATCCCAAAAGGCAACATTAAGGTGCTAGTTGGCTTTACCGCTGTCGGCCACCAAAAGCCCTATAGCCTAAATGCGATCAGTCTCACGCTTATGAAATCAACATGGGACCGGATGTATTCTCATAAACGTCGAGTAATGTCTTACTTCAACCCCTATTGAAGCACTTTCAGTCGCATGTGGGTCCAGCCCTGGAAGACTAGGCAGCTAACCTAATCTAATTTAAGGGCCCACTGAGTCTTTTAAGACGCCGATCATTTCTAATGTAGATAAAAATGGTATCGCTGAGGTGGAAATATAGCAGCTGCTTGCGCGAAGCTATCCTGTGAACGAGAAAATGATGGCCAAACTACCAGTAATTGCCAAAGAACAACATGCTCCTCTGAAACACAGGCGCATCCAGAACTTGAATGTTTCGGTTTTATTTCGGAAGAGTGCTTTATCGGGGTCTTTCTCATCATCATGAAACACCCTAATGAAATTTAGTAGCTTCAAGTTAGTAATGCTTGTTGCAAAACGCCAAAGCTTCTTCTTCCCCTTTAGCATGGTTGTCACTATAAAGTTCTCATACCCGCCCTAGGGAAGATTCATTCAATACAGTCAATCCTTCAAAATGCGGTACAGCTACGCCCTCGTTCCTCTCGTCTCCGCCATGCAGGCCATGGCCATCGACGCCGACACCTGGTACTTCGGAAACAGTCTCTTCTATCTCGGACCTCCTTCTGGAAACTCGGCCATCACCAAGGCGACCTACTCCATTGTTCCTCCTACTGCCCCCAGCAGCGCAAAGGTCTCCAAGTCCAGTGATGAAGTCTGGGTTTCTGTCTGGGTTGGCGCTTCCTCAACCGCCGGCGATGACAATGCCAATCTCTACCAGCCAATTTTCAATTGGTCCCTGGATCAGGAGTCTCAGTAAGTGGAGATCGAAATGATGTCGCGATATGAGATAGACTAAAGCTTTTACTGACTTTCACGCTATTATAGGGGATGTCCTGCGTCTGTCGATGAGTGGTGTGTCGCAGCTAGCACTTATACTCCCGGTAAGGCAAAACAGAAACTCTATCTATTTCCATGGAGCACAGGAAGCTAACGGGAGGTTGCATGATAGATGGTCAGCTTGGTCAAGCCTATGTTACAGTCCCTAATAATACCACGGTCGATTTCGAGAGTGAGTTTCTTCTATGCCAAACATACTTTCATCACGAGGATCGGCTCTAACTTTGTATTCAATCTGCAGTCGCTGTCGAAAATCAGAAGGTCGTTCAAACTGTCACCATGGACGGGAAGGTTGTGTCAAAGGAAAGCGATGGTGAGTGAAGCAATGGAGATATTATCAAAGCTTGGCTCGACTAACAAGCAATCTCAGTTCTCGACTCTCCCCTGAAGTACCTCTACTCCAGCAATGAGTGCTACACCGGCTCCGGAAGCTGTGGTTCGCTCGCCGGTTACTGTAAGAACTTCCCGTTCAAGTCAAATGAATACAACAATCGCTAACATATAGCAGATATCAACAACCTTACTGTCACACTCAGTGAGGCCGATGCCAAGTTTGACCAGGTTATGGCCCTCGACGGCGTTACCGATGACGGTTTCACTACCTCTGACGGTGGTCTGACCTGGCACACCGAGTGGGTCAAGGTTGAGAGTGTCGACTTCGACTCCAATGGCGTCGAGAGCGACTACAGCGACAGCTCTTAAGTTTAAAATTCGTATTCCTCCCTTCCTTACTGATGTACAAGCTGGAAGTACATGGGAGCGGAAAGGGTTTTAGGGCTGTGTCGATGCTTTAAACAGAAGTCTTTAGCTGGATCTTCAGGACTCGTCATATAAACATTGTAACTTTAAACTACCATTCATAGCACATATCGGAAATTCAGATTCTGTGAATCTATTAGCAATTTGTTCATAGCCAACTTGAAACACTGCAGCTCACCTCGAAGTCCGTTAGATCTACTGACTCGTCCACTTGTAAGGAAGTCCCGGACTGAATTGCAGCAGCAGCCGCCGCATCCCTTTGTTTATTTCGGCGTGTCAACAAAAGTCGCAGGAAGAGAGTCAAAGCAGCCTGTGCGGATGAACATGCAAGTAGAAGCATACACCCCGTCTGGTAGATTGGTGCTTCCTTTGCAAGGAACGCGTGTGGGCCGATGATGTTACCAGCACAATATGCCAGGAAGACAAGCGCAACACCTGTAGAGCGCTTTGTATATCCACCCAGATTGGTGGCGGGCATTTGTAGTGCAAGAACTAGAGAGCAGACGTAGGCACCGACGATGTAGTAACTAAATAACACGCCGACTTTGTGGGTGGCATGATCGAGCTTCCACATCAAGGCGATACCGATGATCGTAGGGATAAGATACGCGAACATGACGATGGTACGGCAATTGGCAAAACGGGATGCCAGGTAGGTCCCCGAAAGAACCCAGACCACCTGGAAGCCACCGAATGGGATACCCAGTGCAACAGTAGTAAGGGAGTCGTGTGTGAGGCCCTTTATAATCAGCTTGCTGAAATTTGCGATTCCACCATTGACAATCTCATTAAATAGAGTGAAGAAGAACAATATCCAGACCTGTGGGTCGACCAGGGCTTCACGGATTTGGTTCCACTTGATTTGGTGGTTGATGATACCAGTGCGACCAAGACGTCCACGTCCAATGAGCAGGGCTTTTTCCTCTAAGCTGAAACGCTTTGCAGAGACAATGTCATCCGGGAGGAAGATGATCATAAAGATACCCCAGCAAACAGTGATGCCTCCAAGAATGAGATATATAGCCCTCCATACGGCAATCGTTTCGATTTGACCAATTCCAAACGTCAAGACTCCACCAACCATAGCGCCCACTCCGTTACAGCTGTAGAAGACACCAGCACGGAATGGTTGCTGGGACCGTGTATACCACATGCCAATGATCATCATAAAGCAAGGCGTGATTGGAGCTTCGAAGATGCCAAGAAGGAAGCGGCAGATAGCCATACCGGTGAAGGAGGTACAAGAAGCAGTGATCATAAGCATAGCGCCCCAGGCGATAACGTTCGCAGAGACTACCTTGGCGAGATTGGTCTTTTGTGCTAGGATATTCCACGGGTATTCGGCAACAAGGTAAGCAATGTAGAATATACTAGCTAGCCAACTATATTCGTTGCTCGACATGTGTGTCGACTTCAGGAGGTCAAACACGGCAGAGTAGGCCAGTGCAGATTTGTCGATGTATTGAAGCATATAGGTTCCTGCAAGCAAGGGCAGCAGAATCAAATCTACTTTGCGGACCACGACTTTGTTGCGTGTTTCATCGTCTAATAGGCCTTGGACGTCTTCGTTGGTGAATCCATGTTGATGCAGGAACACTTCACCCTCGTCGAGATCTGTGATAATACCAACTTGGACATCTTTCTCATCGACAGAGTCTATCACGGGTTCTTTCTTCGTGATATCCATGATATACGGACAGTTTGTTGATCTCTGAAAACGTTCAGGTAGTAAGAGGGGGAGAAATTAAACGGCCTACAAAAAAAGCTAAAGCTTCCCTAGGCCTTTTAAGCTTGACTATTTCACGTTATCTTGGCTTCCAGAAGCAGGCATGGAGTGCGATGAATGGCCATGCCATCCTCGGACTCTCACCGAAACGATAAGACCATGAATCATATCAGTCAACTCTAACTCAGGCTATCTAAACCTTGGCAAAGATAAACAGCCCGTGTCCCCACTTGGTCTCGTTTCCCCCGCACGGCTCTACTTTTGGGTTCCGAATAGATAGCAACCCCAACGGTGCTATATCAGACTTCCGAACCCCAACTCCAGTGTTATCTTGTCTTTCTTGGTTTCGATCTTGAACTTAGATACACAATCACAATTAATAGCATGGCCCCCTCGGTGACTCTGGCTCAAGGCCAACTAGTTGGAACCCAGCTCGAGGACAATTTCCCACAGACAGTCGACGCCTTCTTAGGAGTGCGATACGCATTGCCGCCTGTTGGAGATCGGCGATTCAGACCTGCAGTGAAAGTTCCGAGCTCATCAGATACTGTCGATGCATCCAAGTACGGCCCCGCGGCCCCAGGCAAGGCATTGCTATCGGGCGGGCCAAAAATAGAGCAGAGCGAAGACTGCTTGACTGCGAATATTTTCAGGCCTACTGTTTTTGATTTGGCTCAGAAACTTCCAGTCGCTGTGTATATCCATGGCGGTGCCTTCAACCGTGGAGCGGCGACGATGCATGACACCGCCTCCATGGTGGCGTGGTCGGAAGAGCCATTTGTGGCCGTGAGTTTTGGCTATCGCATTGGAGCACTTGGGTTCCTCCCATCGAGTCTCTCACACGCAGAGGGGTTGTTGAACCTGGGATTGCGTGATCAAATCCACCTGTTGGAGTGGGTTCAGGAGAATATTGGTCACTTTGGCGGTGATGCCGGGAATATCACTCTTTTTGGTCTCTCGGCTGGAGCTCATTCTGTGAGTGTCTCAATTTCCAAAATATCCGAGATTACTATACTAACATAATTTCTAGATCGGTCATCTGCTGCTCAATTACAACGCGAATATCTCACCCTTGTTCCACCGTGTTATTATTGAATCGGGCGCCCCCACCTCTCGCGCTGTCCGCCCATACAACGCAAAAGTTCACGAAGATCAATTCCAAGATTTCCTGAAGGAAGTCGCTTGTCCTCCAGATCTACCCGAATCCGAGATCTTCCCATTCCTACGGTCCCTGCCAAGCTCAGTAGTGACCAATGCCCAAACAATCGTGTTTGACAAATACAATCCCTCGCTGCGATGGGCATTTCAACCTGTAATTGACGGGGACACGATTGCCCGCAAGCCTCTAGAGACATGGGAGTCAAAGGCTTGGAACAAAGTCCCCATAATGACCGGCTTCAACGGAAACGAAGGCACCATGTATGTTGACAAGCAAATGTCCGAGGCATCTCAGTTCCGTCAATTCTGGGAGAACCTGCTGCCTGAACTCTCATCTTCAGATTTGGATACCATTGAGAAAATTTATTCCGATCCGTTGGTTGATTCTTCCTCGCCATATGTCGAAACTAGAGAGGGCGAAGGTCTTGGTCCCCAATATAAACGCATCGAAGCTGCATATGCGCACTATGCCTATGTCGCACCGGTCCGCCAAACAGCAGAGTTTGCATCATCGCAAGGGGCATCCGTGTATCTTTATCATTGGGCACTCCCACGAACACTTGTTGGTCGTGCCAACCACGGCGATAATATGTATTATGAGACATACAACACTGGAATTACGGGGATTTCAAAGTCGCAGAAAGACCTATCGGGTACTCTTCACGCGTACCTTACCAGTTTTATCACCAAAGGCGATCCCAATGCTATCACTGGACGGTATAGCGACCGACCCGAGTGGAAGCCCTTCAAGCCTGATGATAGGAAAGTAATGATCTTTGGAGAGGGCAATGACGAATTAATTGGCGGGGATACTGCTCCTCCAGCTAAATGTGTTGCCGACGATTGGGCAAGAGAGGAAACTGAGTTTTGGTGGTCGAAGGTCCCTATCTCTCAAATTGCTTGATTCTCAAGTAATCATTTGAACATAGTATAACAGATAGAAATTACAGATAGATCTCATTTATCTTTAAGAAGCATCGATAAGTTACTCCAAATTACGAAGGATAATATCCACTTCTGCGTCAGCGGCGTCCAAGATATGCTGCGATGGAAATTGCGGCTTCCAGCCGATATGAAGGCCATTCTTGGACTGCAGCGTGCACTGCCCACCCAGGAATAATGAAACTAGAGGACTGGGACAACCCAATGCATTTCCCATCTGCTTGAGACTCTCATTATCGGCAAGCTCCACAACATCACTGCCAATAAGTTGGCGCTTGGCAAGTGCTTTCGCCATGGCGCAGTAGATGTCATTCCAGGCAATGCTGCCACTGGAGGCGAGGTAATATCCATGCTTGCCATGCGGTATATCTTTGTCGGAAAGGATATTCCGCGTTATCTCCAGATAAAGCGTTGTATTGTCGAGAACATGGGCGACAGGCCAGGTCTAAATGAAATATAAGCAGAGGTTTTGAGAAAATATAGATCAGAGTCTTACCAAGAGGCTCTCATCCGGTCTGTATAGCTTTCCAAGCTTTTTGGCGGCTTTGACTATCGCGACCGTTTGGATCGAAATAGGATTGCCGAATCCCTCACCTTGACCATAGACGATGCACGGCACGAAGATATAACTTCGAACCCCGAATTCTTCCGCGGTCTCAATGACCGTGTTGTTGGCATTGAGACCCCGTTGAACAGGTGGAAGCAGTGGCTTCGCCGTTTTCTGAATCTCAAACAGCGACGGATCATCATCAGGCAACGACCGATCGATCGGATGGCCGGAATGATTGCTGAACAATTTCGCCCCGGAGGTGTGTAGGATATGCACTTCCTGTCCAGTCTGCTTTTTGACTTGTGCAAGCGCCTTGATCATTGCGACCTGGGTGGCGGATTCCATTGCGTCAATCAGGTACAAGACAATGGTGATCCTGTTGCTGATGATGGCTGCTGTCGTCGCAGCTTCATCTTTGACGTCAAATTTTATTGGCGTCGCACCAAGTTGCCTTACTGATTCGCCTTGTTGGTCTGTCCGAACCAAAGCAAATAGTGTGCCATATGGTGGCAGTTTGGCGGATTCCCATCGGGCCAAGAGGGTTCCACCCAAGTAGCCGGATGCGCCGGTTAAAAGAACATTGTGTTGCATCGTGGCCTGGGGGACGAGTTTCTCTAAGATCGAAAATGGAATTAACTGAAGCGTAGGTATGCGTATAATTGTGCAGAATATGGACAGGTTTGTTTATTTAGTCCCAGGGTCGGGGACCATTCCAGGTTGGTAAGCAAGGGCTCGGGATGGGCATAAATGTACCCGCGAACTGCGTATTATGCTTGTGCATCAATCTTGAAAGTTCCGCATAAGCTAGCAAATCAGAGTTCTAGAAGAATTCGCTGCAGGCACTGGATTGGCCTGCCAGAAAAGAGCTGTGATCAGCACAGGGGAAATAGTCCTCACTTTGTTAGTTGCTTGACATGTTAGTAATGCTATAATGCCACTCTGTGATCATTAATACACAACTATAAGGAAATTGTGCTTATAAAGTACTTTTTCACCGCGACTTCTCATTGGCCCTAGTGTTCTATATGTCACAATGAGCTGATCAATGGCAAGATGAACTCAAGTTTCAAGGACTTTTGAATATCGTCTAAATTAAGGTAGCAGATCTCAGAAAATTTATTAAAGTGATGACAAAAATGAACCTGCCACACTATATCAAATAGCGTCAGCAATGATTACCTCGGCAGCCTTCTCGCTGATCATGTAAATCGGCAACGCGACATAATATCCGGGAATCTTAGGGAATACCGATGCATCAACCACACGCAAACCATCAACCCCACGCACTCTGAAGTCCGAGTCCAGCACGGCATTTTCATCACCGTCCTCTCCAATGGCAGCAGTGCAGCAGGCATGGTGACCCCAAGCTTCCTGCTTGATAAAGTCCTTGACTTGGCTCTCCGTTGTCACATTGGGCCCCGGCCAGACCTCGTCAAATCCACCGTCGAGAGGAATGAGATCTTCAAAGATAGTACGAGAAAACTCCACCGCTTCATAAACAGCCTGAAGGTCTTTCTCGTCGGCGTCATTTTCTGTCACGCCGGAATCGAATGAATTGAAGGTGATCTCGGGCATGTCACGCGGGTCGGTGGAGCGCAGCTTCACGGTACCTGCGTTGTTGCGACTGCGTGATTTCAACGTGATCCAAGTCCAATGCTGAGCATCCTTGAGACCTTCATAGGAATAGTTGGGATAATAACCAGGGAAGTTGACGGGGGCTCCTGATATCAGAAGATCTGGCTCATCTTCAGCAACGGATGACTTGCGGATGATGGCAATAGCGATTCCGTTGGTGGTATATGTACCCTTGAACAAAGGATCGTTCTCGTACTGTTCCAGACAGGGATCGGGCATGGTGTACATAAAGGTGCATTTGGAGGTGAGAACGAAATCAGTTGGGGACTTTCCAATGGTTCCAATCTCGTAGCGGTCCTGGAGGTTGGAACCGACACCAGGGGAGTTGACTAAGGTGGAAATACCCAAGTCAGATAGTTCCTCTGTCGGGCCAATTCCGCTCAGCTTTAACAACTGAGGGGTGTTGAATGAGCCTGCGGATAAAATAACCTCGCGGGCAGCATTAACGCTACCCGGCGTGCCCTTGGAGCCTGTGCGAGATGCACGAGGGTCTGCGCGATAAAGACTCTGACCCAGGAGATAGTCCACACCAAGAGCACGCGGCTTAGGTCCGGAAGTATCAAACCGGACCTTGGTCACTAGAGTGTTCAACTGGATGTCAAGATGATACTTTCGAGATCCGTCTGAGTTAACAGCATTGACAGTCTTCATGAGGAACTCTCGGGGACCTGTACGCTTGTACTCCGGAACATCCACAGCAAGAGGTACTTGGTATGGACCAGTGTCGTAATCGCGGGTTGGGGAAGCATTGTTGAGATCGCGTAGAAGCACACCTGCAAGCCCAGTGACAGTGTCTATAATTTTCCCCAGCAAACCCTGTCCTGCCGCTGTCGCGCCGGCAAGAATCAAGGAAAGAAGCTTCTGGTCCTCAATGACAAGACGCAGGTCCGTTAAACTTGTGGTGAGCCATCCCTCAAAACCGTGGCCCAACAGACCACTGGGTAAATATCGGTTGCGCTCCAGTCTTTCGAAGTATCCACGCATGTTTGAGGCAGACCACGAATCATTACCGGTGAGAGCAGCCAGGTGTTCCCAATCATTCTCGTATGGGTAAATGGTGCTAACATAATTGTTAACATACGATTCCACCTGACCGCATGTTGGCATAGAACAATAAAGACTTACATCATGGCATTGTGGGCAGAGCATCCTCCCAAGGTTCCAGCCCTTGGGTACATGATGCCTAAAGGCTCAGATCCATCAGGTGCATTAGGTCCGACATGGAGGTCTCCTCCAGGAGTCCTGTATGTCATTTTGGTGTCCTCCTCCTGACGTGACATGTTCGAGTAATGGTTCACAAAGTAGTCCCATCTCATCGGTTCATACTCGGTAGACTGAAGCTGCAAGGCAGGCACAATCTGTCGGGTAGCATTTCCCTGGTCATCACCGGCATCCAAAAGAAGCACTTTGAAGCCGGCAATTGCCAATCTTGCTGCTAGGGGCCCACCACCAGGACCAGACCCAACAACCACATAGTCATATTCGGATGATGTAGTGGAATTTCCGGCCTGTTCAGTTGAAGATCTTCTATATGAATCACGATGCCGAGAGGTTGAGCCGTGACTTCTACAACATTCGTTAGTTTCGACACAAGCTGGCAGCGAGGATAATAGCAGAGCTTGACACATACGAAGCTAACACAACTGAAACAGTGGATAGTAACCAGGCCACTGCAGATAGACGCATGGCGAATGGTTAAGAGAGGAGGCTGACCTCAGACTGAAAGGCAACAATGAAAAGGAAACAACTACCCCGGACAGACCGACTAGAAAGATGAGGTAAAGACAGGATGTGTGAATTTCAAACGCGGTGTATATCTACCATTCCGATCTATTATAAGCCGAGAAACCCTGACCCCTGGAGCTTTCTGGAGGACCATCCCTGACCGTTTCTCTACCGTTAACTCATTCTGCTTGTAGTATGATCGACATAGTCATTCTATTTGAGAGTTGATTTTATTTGTTTAGCGTGTCGTATTCTTTAGCAAAACAGCCATTCGGCATGATTCTAAAGCTAGCCCAGGAGCTCCATACATGTGGGTAGACTTGTCTCGTATTCAATTCGGCGACTTTCCTAAAAGAAAGCAGGGACATATTATCCTCACTTCTTGACCGACACATGATCGAGATGATCAACCTGAATAAGACAAAAATATTCAGGAAAAGAATCTAAAAAAGACACCAAAGTAGGTGAATACAACGAATGAAGGTTTCATCCTGCTGTGCACACTTCAGTCGTTTATTGTATGTTTACAAAAGTGATATAAATACCGTATTTGTGACACGGCATTTACCGGCCAATAAATCGTTTTGTATTGCGCCTCGACCTCGTGCGCTGAGAAACTAGCGTCTACCCTATCCCGTCTGACATGCCGATCATAGAGCATTAAAGGCAAACGGTCCAACGTTGAAACCTTGCCCTTCTAGGTAATTGGAGTGCAATTTGTTATTGTGGATAGGATGATCCCTAGGGCACCAATACTAATCGTGCGCACCAACCCGGGATCGTTTTCCGCATTTTGAAATTAGGACCCAGAAAGTCACAGCGCCACAAAGCTACTAAAGCTGGCCCAGCATTTTCGTGTAAGCTTGACCATCTACAGGTTCCCGTTCCACCTGCAGCTAGGCAATGTGGGTTCAGGGGTACATGAACTGCAAGTGCCCCTAAGTATTGCCGAAGATTTTCCAAATAGACCCGGTATCAGTCAGCGAATTGACGATGTACCTAGGAACACATAGGTCTCTCCTGCCTCTTTAGGACATTTTCATGTTTGCTAGCACTTTGGTTGACTTTTGAAAGATAATTACTGAGTTCTATGCTGAACCCTTGCCAACCGGAAGTCAATGGTACCGCAGCTCGCGTATAGATGGTTTAAGAGGAAATTTCAAAAAGGCACACCTCTTGTGCAAAGATATTAGATTTTGTTCACAAATTAAGGAGATTCAATTGCGCAAAAGACTCTCATAGGCAATCGCTTCGCTTAATGGTGTAGCCGGGTTTCACTCGATGTGTCGATCTCATCAAGGGGGTAGAACTGCCGGTCGTCACTCTTGCTCTGGACATGAGATGTTCCTTCAAACCGTGATCCGGTGCCTTGAGAACGAGAGTTCATGCCGTATGATTTGGCTTGTTCCGTGTCTCCAAACAAGCCAGGCGAGACCCGACGTAACAGAGAGCGAATTGCAGGCAAACAGGCACAGATTACACCCACATCAACCTCAACCGTGCTCCAGTAGCCTACACTCACATAATCCCCTGTATTCTTAGTGTGATTTTCTTCATCGATTTAATGTTATTGAGCATCACTTACATGTGAGGTTTGTAGTGTTCGCAAAGTGAATGAGTGAGTTCAGTCGCAGAATACTCACAAGAGTCACACTAAGTTCAAATCAGTCATTTGTTTTATCACTTTGTTGCTCACGGGTACATACAAGATACCCAAACTGAACATGCACATCACGTATGCCTTCTTTTTGGTCGAAAGATTAAGATTATAAAGTTGTCGTAGAGGAAGAATCATAACCAATATGTCCAGCACCATATTGATTATCGCGGCAGCCCAGCCTTGTGCGTTGATATGATTGCATTGATAATTGCCCTCTCCATCCCAATGAAGCCATGCACCATGTAGTGGCCGACATTGAAACACGGAGATCAAGACGAAGGCAATCAGGTAGCTGATATTCAACCCAATAACGATATAGGTTGCTGTCCGGAGGCGTCGGTCGGGGAAAATGCGAAGATAGAAGCAGCAGATCGAGATCTTGGTCAGTGGCAGAATGGAAAGATAAATAAGTTCATCCCAGAAGTAAAGCTAATTCAGTTAGTAAGGTATCAATTGCAGCAATTTCGAAGTGTATGAACGAACATAGAGAACCCTTGTGATGTTGTCCAAAGGAATTGCCCACATATCCTTCCCCAACCCAGCGTCGGCCACTATCAACTGTAAGCAACTCAACATCGATACCAGGAATCAAGAAAATCATACAAACGGCTGAAAGTGCAGATAGAGGAACAACGAGACACTATGACACGTCATTGGTTAGAGAATCTTTGTTCATTCAAGAACAAACATTGCTTACCATCGTCAACATCATTGTCCAATCGTCCATGCCAAAAGTACCACCACAGCACCTTAGCCGTGCGATCATTCGAAGAATAAAAGCGACAAGTGCTAGGATACCACCACCGACGCCAAGGTATGAAACAAGCGTAGTTCTATCTCGAAGTGGAGCTCCACATGCAGAAGATGTGACGTTTTTTGTAGCTTATCTGTCAGTAACAGCATTCAGCATAATTGAGCAGGCAACTTACTCAGAGATTGACGAATGGTGCAGGTAGTAGCAACGCATCGCTCAAGGGTTGTGGTGTATTTGGCGTCAGTACATTGGCACTTCTGGTCCGTTAGAGTGCAGGAACTTTGGGGCAGTGAAACCTTCATGCACTCGAGCTTCACAGTGTCAGACGTCTTTCAGCTCATAATCGAGGCCATGGTAATAGAATGATACTTACCGCACAAGAGGGGAGAGCGGCGGCCAGCTTTTCTAATTGTTCCTGTTGCTTTTGTTGCGCATTTTCAGCTATCACAGGAATCGCGAAAACTGCAACAATGGCCGTTGCTACACCAAAGAAACGCATTGTGACTTTGATGACGATGGTTGAGAGTTGGTTTGACTGCAAATAGCCGTGTCAAGACCAGCAGACTCGAACTTGTTGAAGAAAGCAACTCTTAGGTTGGATGAGAGAGCCAGATACACCAGTTTGATGGAACTTTTAGAATTCTGCACTAACGAGATGTTTATTCCCACTGGGAGATTAAGCTCTTACCGTGGCGAGCAATAGATTACTCTCCTCCGGCAGTTACAAGTTACTCCAACAGTCTATCCCTGTCGATCGTTCAATTCTCGCGGGAAGTTGAGGTTGTGAAGACCGCCATGAGTTTTATTGATTTCACCGATACACCCCTGTATGGTTCAGATCAAGGCCACTAACACCGATAGAAATATGCTGTGAAACAATGGATCGAAGGTAAATTGAGATCTGCAGGCTATACGAACAGATCTCCAGCTCACTGTCAGCAATTCAACGTTCTAGGGCTAAATAGCCCAACCTGATTCAGGAGCCGACCTGACACGGCTCCACGAGCCGGGGATGTTTATGAGCCGCTGATCTGCAGTACTTTGACATTTTCTCTCCACTGGTGGCTGGGCAATTCGCACCACACACGATCTTGGCTTTACGCCGCAGTTTTCCAATTGATCTTAGTGGCTTTTAGCCAAGGGGCATAATCCAACCGGAAGCGACCGAGTGGTCCCTTCGTGCTACCCATTCAAGCAACTGATCGACTCTATGTTGCCCACAACGCACATGTCTTCAAATTCTCAGCAGGGTCCCTGATCAGCGCTGTCAACAAGTTGCTAGTCATCGGTTTACCAAAAACAACCCGGAAATTCCCCAAATTTGCCGGAATAAGGGCAAATGATTCTTCACTATCCAGCCGCGGCACAGCCGGAGATGTAACATTCCTGAATATCGGATGCATGTGCACTTATACCGAGCAGCTCAAGTCTCTCCTGAGATCAGATCCATTGAGATCCTCTCTGGTGCCAAACAGGTGCATAGCGGAGCGTTGGGAGAGCCCCTGTGTTTGGGTGGGGCGGCGCCCTCCGCTCTGTGTGCTTGGTCCCCGGAGTAAGAGGGTTGGATGCCGTTTTACTGCGCGGTTGGTAATTCCCACGCCTTGAGTGAAATTAGTCTTGACTTGGTTTTATGTCCTGATACGGGCCATTCAGGGGTCATCAATTGATCAGCGTAGGTACAATTTGGAATTATACCTGGTCACGGGCGACGCATATCTAGTAGACGTATGCCACACTTCTACAATAAGCTTCTTTCTCGACCTTCTCAAGTTTGATTTCCCCAGAGATTGCTTGTATCGGACAACTCAATTCAAAATCAGTCCGGTCCAGCTGTCATGCGCGTCTTCGCTCCAGGTCGGTTGCTCTGCTCATTCTCTCTTCTCGGCCTTGTGGCAGGATTTCCGGGAGCAGACAGCCATAATGCGAACTCGGCTCATCGTGGTTTACACAAGCGGTGCCCGTATGCCCAAGACCATGAGCCGTCCAAGGTAGAACATGACAAGCGTTTTCTTTTCGATTTGATGGATTCGCCTGTTGATGGTATGAACGACCCACCGCAGGGCTTCAACTGATATGATAATAACAAAATTCTAGTCACTGGTGAGCATGCCTTTAACCCGCCAGACTTTGAGAATGGGGACCAGCGGGGCCCTTGTCCAGGCCTCAATGCGCTTGCAAACCATGGCTATATTCCACGAAATGGTGTAGTGTCGGTAAGTCTTAAGCTACCCGACTTTCGTTGAGCATTAGCTGATGGAATGAAGTTTGCAAAAGTCATCGCAGCAATCAATGAAGTGTATGGAATGGGATTCGACCTAGCTACTGTTCTTGCAACCATGGGCACTGTCTGGACTGGAGATCCGCTGTCTCTAGATCCGAGCTTCTCCATCGGAGGTCGTGATACAGGTGTCAACAACATTTTAAACAATCTTGGGGGGATTTTGGGTCAGATATACCCTCCAATACATTATAACGCTCTCCACTGACCCATTTGTAGGTGAACCCCAGGGCTTGATAGGTTCCCACAACTTTATCGAAGCGGACTCCTCCAACACGCGTGACGATCTTTATGTGACAGGCAACAACTACGCACTCAACATGGACAAGTTTATGTCCTGGTATAACATGTCTACTGATGGTACATATGACATGGATCTCATGGCTGAGCGTGCAAAGAACCGTTTCGAGGAGACTATCCAAACCAACCCTAACTTTTATTATGGCCCTGTAACCGGCCTTATTGCGCGAAATGCCGGCTACATCTTCCCAGGCCGACTGTTCCGAAACCACTCACGTGAAAATCCCGAAGGCGTATTGAGTATGTGAAAATGACAGTTGAGCGATGCAAAAGCCCATGGTTGCTAACAACCTCGCAGCCAAGAGCCACATCCGGAGCTTTTACGGTATCTACGGGGAGGAACACAATTTGACCTATCGCGAAGGATGGGAACAAATTCCTGAAAATTGGTACAAGACTCCAGTAGATTACGGTCTGATTCAGCTCAACTTGGATACAATTGACTGGATGGGAAAATATCCGGAGCTTGGAAGGTAGGCAGTTTCTCTAGTTCATGTTATGCTTGCGGTTTTACTGACTAAAGTATACAGTGTGGGAGGCAACACTGGCTCTGTGAACAGCTTTGCTGGCGTCGATCCGGCGGATCTGACAGGTGGCGTGCTTAACCTGACCACTTTGCTGGAGGGTAACAATCTGCTTTGCTTTGTGTTTGAAGTTCTCAAGTTCGCCAGCCCTAACGCACTCTCCGGGCTATACAAAACCATTGCCGAGCCGCTGGAATTCGTCACCAATATTATTGCTGTCCCATTGCTGAACGTGACTTGTCCCGCATTCCAAGATCTTCAGATGGGAGGGAAGCCAATTTGGGAAGCTCTCCAGAACGATTTCCCTGGTGCGATGAAGAGTGAACGTGCCTTTTAATTATTTATCCTCTTATATAATCGAATTTCTTCTACCGCTACTTTTTATTTTTGGAAAAGAGCATTTCGTGGTTTTTTCGAGTGGGCTCTCATTTATAGATGATGTATAATACTTTGTTCATGTCAAAAGCTGAACAAGTTGACTATTATTAACATACAATGGACCTGGGTTCTAAACCATTAAATATCGATTCTAAGCATTTGAACGGTAATCAGCTTTTCTCTATTCCCCGCAAACTTTCCCATTCATGCTCAAGCATAGAGAAGAGAATCACGTCATGCCAGACACGACGGTGATAGACAGCCTCGCGTTCGCGGCCATCTTGCACAAAGCCCAGTTTTCTATAAAGTCTTACCGCGCTTTCATTGTACGAAAACGCAGCCAGACCAACTCTGTGAAGCCCAGCATGGAGAAATGCCCAGTCGAGTCCCCAATTGATAGCTTCTCCGCCATATCCTTTGCCCCGAAAATCGGACGCAAGCGATATGCCCAACATCACGTTGCGGTGATGGCTCGTCTCTGGGCCAAGATGGTTGAATATGCCCATATGGCCGATGATTGTCGCTTTGGAGGTCTCGATGTTAGAGGGAAGCTCCGTATCATCACTCGATTGATGTTCAGGTTGAAGACAGATCATGACACCTAGCATTGCCTCGCGGAACATCTTTACAAGGTCATCAGCGGAGTGCGCTGGCCTTGGTAACCGATTTGTGCTCATAGCTTGAATGGTGTGATCGTTGAGTATTTTTTGCTTGATAAATGTCTTATCTTCTTCATTGTCCTCGATAGCTCGGTAGAACAGGCGCTTAGACACAAAAATCTGTTTTGGGGCGTAGTTCGATGCCATGGTACAAGCTGACATGAGTCGGGGAAATTTTGAAGTGCTCGAGGTTTTGTTGCTGGCTTTACTGGCTTTGCGGGAGCCCTCTGGCATTAAAAGGACTTGGCCGAGATAGCTGATCCATGTTCACTCTAGAACTGATTGAGACTCCGACGGCCAAACACCAAATCAGTACTACCTTGTCTGCAATACAGTCAGACATGGCGTAATTGCACCGATTTCATTGGTTACCGCCAAAGTCCGACTTTGCACCCCAGTCTTTAATAGGGCAGCAGCTCGCTATTCTTATTTCCCCTTTTGGGTAGAGAACCAGTCATTGTGAGTCACGGAACACTTCCCAACTCGGTTTCTTCTGCAGGCCATACATTAAGGCTGTTCAACTCCTTGTTCAATTGACTCTCACGCATGTTAACATCATCGTATGTTTCGACGTTTTTTGTCGTCAAGTTCAGTGTTATTTTTAGGGAATGTCAAAGCTGAAACCTAAAAGTATTTCTACATATGACGTTAGTTACTGTGGCTTTCATCTTAGTGGCATGCTTGTATCAGAATTAGGAGCCTTGTGGTACTTTTTTACGGTCGGAGATTATTTAAACATTACAATCCTGTGGTTCTCCCTGGATTTTGGAGGGTTTCATGGCGCCAATATATATCACGTTGAATATCAATGACCCATGTCCATATAGGAACAATACCCCACCGGAACATTAGAAGAGCATGAGTCGCCCTATCTTTACTTTACATTTACATAGATAATCCTCACTTAACCTATGAGAAAATAGCCTATCAAATCCGTGGCTACGAAAATCTATTGCACAGCAGGTGTGCCCGTACTACTTCAGTTCCGTCTCGCACTGACGTTGAAGACATTGATAATGCTAGAACAATCAAAACATGCTCCTTTCCCTTTTTTTTCTCTCATCTCGTAACAGTTTTGATTATAATCATCAAACTGAAAATTTCTAAAATGCTGTCATTCTTGAGCTGCTGCTTGAAGATGCGGAGACGAGCCAGGAAATGGCGTGAAATCGAAAGTAAGTATTCTCGCTTGATCTTAATGCTTATACAGGGTGTTGCATCTAAACGGACTTGCATTAGATACCGCTTTCTTATCGGAAAAGGAAGCACCACGGGTTCCATCCGAGAACACAGTCATGATGCAGGGCTTTGAATGGCATGTGCCGGCAGACCAGCTTCATTGGCAACGCCTCCGTAAGGCAATACCCGACCTCAAGGATATCGGAATTGATAATATATGGATTCCACCTGGATGTAAAGGAATGGATTCAAAAGGAATTGGATACGATATCTACGATTTGTACGATCTTGGTGAATTTCATCAGAAAGGGACCAGGGCGACACGATGGGGCCCCAAAGAGGACCTGAAAGAGCTGGTGTACGCTGCACAGGAGATGTCCATTGGAATCTATTGGGATGCAGTATTGAATCAGAAAGCTGGAGCCGACTCAACGGAAAGCTATGCTGCGGTAAAAGTTGACCCTGAAGGTATGAGTGGTCCCCCGGTAACATTTCACAATATCGTATATGAAGCTGAAATGACGCTAGATAGAAACAGAAAGATATCCCGGCCCGAGTGCATTGATGGCTGGGTCAGATTTGACTTTCCTGGTCGCGGTACCCAGTATAGTTCGATGAAGTATCACTGGCAACATTTTAATGGAGTAGACTGGAACCAAAAAGGCAAAGAGCATGCGATATATAAAACACTGGTTGGAAACAAGAATTGGGCAAAAGACGTTAGCGATGAGCACGGTAACTACGACTACCTGATGTTCGCCAATCTCGACCACTCCCATCCCGAGGTTCGAGCTGATATTCTGAGATGGGGGAGTGGATCGGCACCGAGTTGCCAATCAGTGGAATGCGAATAGACGCAGCGAAACACTACTCTGCATCTTTTCAAAAAGAATTCGTCAATCATCTAAGAAAGACAGTGGGGGCAGATTATCTTGTGATAGGGGAGTACTGGAGGGGGGATGTTGGTCTGCTTTTGGGGTACCTCAAATTCATGGATTATGAGGTGTCTTTGTTCGACGTGCCGCTACTTGGTAGTTTTGCTGCTATTTCAAGGATTGCTGGTGGTGATTTGCGTAAGATTTTTAAGGGAACTTTGGTTGAACGGAGCCCGGAATATGCCGTAGTAAGAGTCCATCCCGAGCTGAAGATTGCTTATTTCTGACCAGTATCTATATAGACCTTTGTCGGCAACCACGATACTGTGAGTTATTATTCTATTATAGTCCGAACGCAGCTGATGTTCATTCAGCAACCAGGACAAGCATTAGAGGTAATAGGCCCCTCAATCAATAGACCCAGGCCCGGCTTACAAGGTTTTCAGACAGTAATTGTTCCTGTCTTTAAGCCTTTGGCTTATTCCTTGATACTTCTCCGATGGCAGGGGCAGCCCTGTGTCTTTTATGGTGACCTGTATGGAATCAGCGGTGGACCCGAGCCCAGGTGTGGCTCGTCGTGTGACGGAAGGCTTCCAATTCTCACTCGGGCACGAAAGCTGTATGCACATGGCGAGCAGCGAGACTACTTTAGTAGACGAAATTGTATTGGTAAGTAAAATCTTCATGCCATTCATTCATGCTAGCCTCTCACATCACGTTCAGGATTTGTTCGATATGGCGACTATAAACACCCTTTTGGCCTTGCTTGTATTCTCAGCAATGGCCCTTCTTCTTACAAGCGAATGTCAATTGGGCTAAAACATGCTGGCGAGATGTGGACCGACATTCTACAGTGGCGAGATGAAACAGTATTAATTGATCGCTCCGGTCATGGGATTTTCCCGGTAGCTGCTATGAGTGTCAGTGTTTGGGTCAACTCGAAGGCAGAAGGAAGACATGATCTCCATCGTCCGTTGTAAGTTTCAAGCTCTATGAGATCTGGGCATCTGATTTGACAGCTGACACACTGCAGTAACGAGGATATATACAATCTGTGATAGCTAAAGAGATAGGGGGTTGGAGTGGCCAATATGCATGTAGACGGCCAGTTACATTAATATCCAATTGCGGGTACTTGGAGACTGGGTTTGAAAACATTCTTGAATTATTTTTGTTTTCAGGGAGAGATTTTACTAATGTCTAATTTTGGTTGTGGCTCTTTACCTTCGACTTCACACTCGAGGTCTCGGTCATGTATAAGTCAGCTTTACTTTGATCTCGAATGGCTATCAGGTCTGCCATCTACTTTTTTTTTTTGATTAAAACCTGTAGATATGGTGTTTTTTGATTTGATGGTAATGTTTACTAATGGTCGCGTGTCTTGTCAACCTTCCTCTCAACAATTTACCCCTTTGCTCACGGTGTAAACCCCCAGCATGCAGCACTTATTGTAATTGGTAGCTCAGTCCCGTAATAAATATGTTAATGTGGATTGCTAGTCTTCAGAAGCTTTGCATTTGACTTTGTGAGATCAAGCACAGATCGGCCAGAAGTCCGAATGCGTCGGGACGCGCAACCGGGAATGAGACTGAAGAACTCTGGCTTGGCAAATGTTGCCTCGGCTTAACAGTAAACAGCTGACCTACTGACAGACTTGTACTCCGTATGTCGACAATATTTAGAATCTCCCCCGCGATGTCCAAAGCCGGCGCTACTGTATATGCCAGCTGTGGTCCTGTCGGACACTACCCCGAGGGCACAATGACTCAAACTAAGCTATGCGGGACCCCCCGTTTCCGATCATTCTCGAGAATTGGCACGTCCCCAGGATATTTTGAAATTTTCTGTTAATAATCGACTGTGGTTCGATCTGGTAAAGCGATTCCCGTGTTTATGTCGGGGGCATGACTGCTGGGTTTGGGTCATTAGTTTCAACTACTATGACAGGGAACCTCCTTGGTGCAATTCTCAATATAGGACCGATCGATTGATCAGCAGGCTTTGACCCCTCATCCAAAATCGAAGCATTCAGGCCCAAGTGATCAGATGCATGCGGTCAAGAGACATTTGCGTCGAGGTGTTGCTGGCTTGATCCTAGCCCGCTTGCCTTGAATCCTTCGCAACCAACGCATGCTTGCCTTTGTAGACTGTCACTTGCTGGTAAATCGTATGAGCTACCATGTGAAAATGCAGAAAGTAGCATCTTAAGTTGCCACTTGGGAAATCCACAGAATCTTGGCTTCTGTATTCCGCCCAAAAGTTGGGGAAGAAGCCGTCCTAGCCGAGCTAGATCTAGTGAATGGCTGATCAACAACACCAGATACCTTTTTTGATTGGAGGAGCGACTCACTTTCTCTGTGTATTAACCAGAACCGTTCTGCACACAGACTCCATTTGTCAAATTCAGGGCGTCGAGACAGAACCTGCCTGGTGGATGTGGGTACCGAATCCACATGAAGATGAATCTCATTTGTCTGACTCGCAACATCAAATGGGTCCCTGTGGGGGGTGGGTTTTTTCACCTTTGACCCTTTATAACACTGGTGTCCCGTTTGGATCTTCTATTAGCCTACAAATCACCAATTGAATGGGCGAGCTAAGGTTATCGTGATGTCGGACCATTTTATTGCCGAGGAGAACCTGCAAAAGGTCATGTCAACAACAGGTCAGTTCTTCCTGTATATTCATAGGGTCCAAGTGCTGAAGACTTCGCATAGAGAACATAGAGATGCCATCAAATCAGTCACAACATAGTTCACACGACTCTGAGGACCAGCATTCCGAAGTCAACCATGAGCCTATTCAAGAACGTTATGGAAACCCTTCATACTCTCGATTTCGCCGTGTGGCTTCGAAAACAATTGTGTCTTTCGGACAAAATGACCCAGAAAACCCTGTGAATTGGGGAAATGTATGGTCTCCAGAACACAATTCCAGGGCAAGAAAAATATTAAATCGCTAACCCTCTAATAGAAGAGAAAATTTCTAGTCCTTGCTTCCGGTGTCATGCAAGTTATGAACAGCACGATCGGTTCATCAATCTGTAGTAACGCCATCCCTCAGATTGCCGAAGAGTTTCACATCACCAACCAAGCAGCTCTGGTGTTACCTATCTCCATCTTTCTCATCGGCTACATTTTGGGACCACTGCTTTGGGGACCCAGCTCTGAGTACTTTGGCCGAAAGCCCCCTTTGCTTATAGCCTATTGCGGCTTCATGATCTTCACGCTGGCGTGTGCAGTGGCAGATTCATATACCTCATTGCTTATCTTCCGATTACTCAACGGAATGGTGGCATCAGCGCCCATTGCCACTGTTGGTGGACTGTTTGCCGACGTACACGATGACCCTACACTCAGAGGTCGCTTGATGGCATATTTCATGGCTGTCAGTTTTCTTCCGTTTGCCCCTTCCAACTTTTGTTTGAGCTCAAGATCTAATATCTGCATAGTGTACAACCTTTGGACCTATCATCGGACCCTGGGTGTCTGGTTTTGTCGCAGTCGTGAGCTGGAGGTGGTGTTTCTGGATCGGACTAATTTGCTCAGGGGCGACTCTCCCGTTGGTCATTTTCATGCCAGAAACCTACGGACCTGTGATTCTGAAGCATCGTGCGAAGAAACTTCGCAAAGACACCGGCAACTCGAGCATTGTGTCTCCGCTGGATGTGGAGAGCCGCAACCTGCGAGAAATGTTCCTAATTACGATCTCACGACCTTTCCGCATGATCATGCACGAGTCTATTGTTTCTTTGAGTTCTCTTTATCTGGCGCTTGCATATGCGATTTTCTACCTCTACTTTGAGGCTTATCCTATCATTTTCCAAGGTTCGTGATCTATGCCGAGAATCAGTCGAGGTCATGCTTCATTGGCGAGTGTTAACAATTGCTCACAGGCATCTACAAGATGAGTCCAGGTGTTTCTGGTCTGATGTTCCTGCCAAGTGAGTTCCAGCAGTCATTTATAAGTTAATGGTTATTAACCTCTTACTTGTAGTCGGCATCGGAGCCATTCTTGCATGCGGAGTTTTTCTATGGTATGATGGTTACCTAGCGCGAGCCAAAGCGCGCAACGCGGAATGGGCCTTCATCGAAGAATATCGAAGACTTCCTCTGGCATGCATCGGAGGACCGCTCTATGTTATTTCCTTGTTCTGGGTAGGCTGGACATCCTCGCCAAACATTCACTGGGTTGTACCCTTCCTCTCCGGCATCCCCTTTGGAATGGGCTATCTCCTAATTTTCATGGCCATGCTCAACTACCTGACTGACGCCTATGAGACTCTCTCTGCAAGCGCACAATCTGCCGCAAGCTGTACGCGAAGTATTCTGGGCGCTGTGATCCCTCTGGCTGCCAAGCCAATGTTCGACCGTCTTGGTGTGGCCTGGGCTTGCAGTCTCATTGCATTTCTCAGTCTGGCAGTCTCTGTCATTCCCTTTGCCTTTATCAAATACGGTGATCGGATCAGAGCTAACAGCAAGTTTTGCCAGGAGCTTAAGCGTCTTAAAGAGGTTGAACGACTGGAGCTGGAACGAGAGGATCGTCTTGCTAATGGCTCTGATGAGCTGAAGCCTGTTCCATCATACAATACTGGTCGCTCAATGACGAGAATTGAGACTGCTCGCAGCCATGCTGACAAGGCATCGATCATTTGTTAATTTCAGCCTTCGTTTCACAAAAGTGGTTGCATAACACAGTGTTTTTCTGTGTATGAATTCGTGACCCGCGGGCTTTATATTGGCTTTTTATTTCCATCGTTCTGGCGACGCAAAAGTTTTGACATTTTTTATCATGAGGTAACAGTAATAATTTGTTCTTCGGTGTTTAACAAACCAGGTTTCCGGGAGGGTCAGATTAAAACCACCCTTTTGCATGCCTTTTGATTCTGGCTGTTTGCTCAATTGCCTCGTTTGCTCAAATTTTGATATTTAGGGCATACCTCATACTGCATACCAGATACTCCAGATCATGATTTTGATCGAGGCCAGCATCGCATCATAATGAACTATATTTTAACCATTTTTAATGGAAACTCCCTTTAAGTGCAGCGTACCCCCCAATCATACGTGCGTGTACATCACCGTCTCACTCTCTCTTCAACCCTACCTTTCCAACCTTTCGCAGCCCCAAGGCTCCAACGCCACATGCCGCTATCATTAACCCAAAGCAGGTCCAGAATACAGCTCTATAGCCTGCCATCAAGGCTTCCGGTGAGCCCTTGTTTGAATAAATGGAACCTTGGGTGACACCCGCAGAAATGATGGCAAAAATGGTCAGCCCGATAGATGTTCCGAACTGTGCGATCGTATTGAATACTGCACCAGCGAGGCCCTGTGTCTTTGGAGTAAATGCATCGGTGATGATCAAGTTCGCAACTGTGAAGATGACTATTTTTGTGCGTGTCAGTTGAAGCTTGACTTGTGAGAGGTAACAAAAACTTACCATCTGCAGAAAGAGGACCAAGGAGCATAGCCCAGAAAGCACAATACCACCACGACCAGGTTGGATTGATGATCGCCATCAGGAGTGGTGATCCAGCGCTTAATACTGTGCTAACAAGGACGAGATGATTTGCGTGCAGGCGATGCACCAGAAGTCCCGTACCCACATTAAGTACCATTCCAATGATGACGTTTGGCAAGAATCGAAGTGCAGCCTGGAAAGCAGACAGATTCTGTACCTCTTGGAAACTTGTGTTTTTTGTCAGATTTGTGTGGCCTACAAGCGACGTTGATGGGCACTTACAACAGACTGAGAATGGTTTCCATCCCGTTCAAGACAGCCCAAGACAGGAGTACCATGACACAGACGGAGGCGAAGGCGGTATTTTTCCATAGAGAGTTCGGAATCAATGCGGGCTTGCCATTTTTCTCCCGCCAATTCATCCAAATCCAGAACGCAGGGATCATGATACCCGCAACACAGAGTAAGGCAATATTCTCAGGTGTGCCAATGTTAGATGGACTGTCCGTAATGGTGCTGTCAACAAAGTTAGTCAGGGTCATCAGTGGGAACCAAGGAGAGTCAAAGGCGAATTTACGCAAACACGTAGGAAATGATGCCCAAGCAAGCGCTCGACAAACAAATTCCAATCCAGTCAATCTCCGAGCGCAATGTGCGCCAAGAAATGGGGCCTCGTTCTGAATCCTTTGGCAATTTGAAAGAGTTTAGTATGGCAAGAACCAAGGTGGTTCCTGCACAGAGATAGTAGCCGAATCTCCAACCTAACGAGGTAGCTTGGAAAATACCACCAAGAACAAGACCACCTGAAAATCCCAGGGGTTGACCGAGTCCCAAACAAGCAAACCCGATATTCCGACGTCTTCCAGCTGGCATGGAATCGGTCAAGATGCTGAAAGCCGTTGGAAGACACATTGATGTTGCAATGCCTTGGAAAGTACGGAAGACTATCATTTGAATTCCTGTTTGGGCGACGCCACATGCTAGAATAAAGGATCCCAGGAGAAAGCAGCCGATGATATTTATCATTCGGTTTCCAATCAAGTCAGCCATTGAGCCTGCGAGGAGCAGACAGCATCCATTTGCAAGACTGCAACGGGTTAGTATTCTCACTAGGATCTGGGCGCTGGATACTCACGAGTAGACTGAGGCTGGCCTAGAAAAGCATGAATGGTTGATTAACTATGTCAAAACTAGTCTGGGTTCTGAATCTCGATCTAGCTATTGTACTTACCAAAGCAACAGATTCTCCGGTAAGCTCAAGTCGGCCGCAATAGTTGGCAGTCCGACAGTCAACAGTCCACTACTCATGCTCCCGACAAAAGTGATGCCGGAGAGTGTAATAATCAATATCACCGCATTGCTCCGAGAAAGATCGCTAGCATGGTCATCATGAGCTTCCTCGTTGGATGGATCAGCATCCGACGAACGAGGTGTTAAAGATGCTCCTAGAGAATCGTGGAGTTGTGCATGAAGCGTAAATGGTTGATCTAACGCATCGAGTTCCACGCTCATGGCTCCGAATTTTATGCTGTACAGCTGTATGAGACTATGCCTTCTGTCTCGGGCTGGATGCTCGAGTTGGATACCAGAGTAATGTATTTTTTCGGATTGCACCGTGCACGTAGGGAGATATTCAAAGACCGACTCAGACAACAAAGACAAGCTCAGCAAAATGCAAGCTCGGATAATGAGTCATTACGCCCTGCGTCTGACATGACGACTGATACGAGCCAATCAGAAAGCGCATGGAAAATCGAAGAATTAGTTATGCTGCCATAATTATCTTTCTATGAACATGCTGTGAGTTAATTTGCAATTAAAAATGCGAAGCCCTAACGACGAAAAAGCCTTCATGCGCAGTGACGGAGTTAAAGGAGATGGCGGAGTTTTGAGCGCGAAGTCCGGAGGCTTAGACTTTGGTTGCCCCGTAAGCCTCCTATATAAGCCAGGGACTTCTCACTCCAGTTCGAAATATGTAAGAGTAACCTCCAATTTCAATTGAATCAAGCCATCACAATGTCTAGCTGGTCGTGGTCATCCACGGGGAATGAAGTGGTGCAGGAATTTGCAGAGCGGATCGAAGGACGAACATGTATGAGTAACTTATCTGCTGCCGCATAGCATACGAAGCTAATCACATACCTAGTTTTGATTACCGGTCCAAGTGACGGAGGAATTGGTGCAGAAACTGCACTCTGTCTGGCATCTAGATCTCCGTCAGCTATCATTCTTGCGGGCCGGGATCGTGTCAAAATCGAACCAGTTGTCGACAAGATTACCGTGATTAACCCGAAGGTCAAGGTAGTTTTTGTTGCTTTGGATCTAAGTGATCAGTCCTCGATACGAGCAGCCGCGGCAGCGATCAACCGTCAATTCGCTCAAATTGATGTTCTCATCAACAATGCCGCAATCATGGCTTGTCCGTATGGCACGACCAAAGATGGATTCGAAGTACAATTTGGAACAAACTTCCTCGGTCCATTTCTACTTACTGGCCTTTTGCTCCCCCAGCTCCGCGCCTCAGCACCAGGGGCGCGGATTGTCAATGTGAGCAGCTCCGCGCATCGGTTTGCAGGCATTCAATTTGAGGATATTGATTTCGAGGTGAGTTTGACAACTGTGAACGAGACTCCACATTAAACACCTTCTGACTCGGAACTTTTTCTTGCGTTAGGGAGGTGCCGCTTATGATACATGGAAAGCATATGGCCAGTCAAAGACAGCATTGATACTGATGACCAAACACCTGGCAAAACGTATTCCAAGCAGAGATATCGCTTGTTTTTCGATTCACCCTGGAAGTAAGTGATGTCAACAGTCAGGGGAGTGTCTGCTTGTGCTAACAATACTAGGTATTGCATCAGGTCTTCAACGCCATGTCGATTCCGAGTCCATGTCAGATGCAAGAGTCAAGTCACAATCAAGTATGCAGACGCTCACTCTTTTTCTCCGACGCAATATAGCTGACGTTTACTTCAAGTCACGGACTTTGAGGTCGCAGACAGGAAGACTCTTCAACAAGGTTGCGCGACTACGCTATTCGCTGCCTTGAATCCCGCTCTTGAAGGTAATGATACATATCCGATCTACATTAGCTCCCATAACTAACGAAACGTCATTTTAGATCTGTCTGGTTCATACCTCAGTGATTGTCAATTGAAGGATCCAGCGACTCATGCTTGCGGGACAGAGACGGCCAATAGGCTGTGGCATCTCGGCGAACATCTTCTTGGAGAGGAATTCAATCTGTGAAATATCGAATACTGTACCTTACAAGGGGCGAATTATTTTCTGATACTTGGCAATATCAAGCTGAGCGCCATCTATCCAATGTAAAGAATGAAATATGCATCTGGTGTTTCACAGCGGCCTTGGTTCAGCCGCTGTCTCCTGCAAAGACACCGTCACCAGATAATTTATGTACTGTATGATATGCGAAACAAACACCTCACATTCAGGGGTCCGAATCCTTCAAACCCAGGATTCTTGAAGCCATCTATCAACGTTTGAATAACGTCATGCTTCGAGGCAAACAAGAGCAAGATCAGTTTCCCCATCTGGCGTGGCTTACGATCCGACGAATCAGTCTCAGATATGACGGATACATCACAACGTGAGCACTCTGAACGTGGCTGATGGAAACATAATCCTCGCGTGCCCGTAAAAATTTCAGGTGCTGACAGTTCCCCCCTTGCTCAGGCCGGGGCTCCCTTTTGACGCATGTTTACAGTAGCAGTCCGTGGCGTTTGCCATTTACCCTTTTAACCCTCGAAGACGCCCGAGGCGATGCTAAGGCAAGGAACGCAAGCCATGAGAAAAAACAAAAAAAACCACCGTATATTCAGCGAACGACAGGCAACCTCAGCCAATCACGGAATGCGGACACACCTCTCGGTCCAAACTGCCTTTCCGTCGGAGGGGGTTGCCGTCAGTCAGAATAAAGGCATTGAATTCGAAGGCAGCTGATCGCATCGTCTGTGCGCAATACATGTTGCAAGTGAGAATTGAGAATCGGGACTTTCACGGACCTGACGGGGCGATTGGCAAAGGGCCGTTGACAGGGCTTGCACTGCTGCTCCACTTTCATCGTCGGTGGTCGGGCCAGGAGCAGGGATCGAAGTCGAGGCTAGGTTCGGGGACAGGTCCAGGCTTTGCCCAGGGAAGCAACAGACTCGGACACGGTAGGGCCAATGCAGTGATTGGCCAAGGACGGGATTTGGAGACGCGTCAAGTAGGGACTACTGTAAACAAAGCGTTTTGTCTCCAGTATAGTTTGATTGCCTCGTCTGGTTATGAATCCCACAGACAAACAAATCGTGGGAATTCCAAGTAGCGGTGGCGAATATCTGTTATACTCTGCAGATCGATTCAATTGATCCTGGCTATGGTGGTCTGTGTTTCAATATGTGACGAACAGTAGCGTGGGGCTATGACGAAGAGGCGAAAACGGGACAAGAAAAGGGACTGATCACAATCATCATCATAATAATCCTATAATTCATATACTGTACTGTAATCTCTCTCAACAGAAAAGGGATAGGGGGGAGAAGAAAGCGGAAAAGGACATGTAAGACATAGCGGCAATCGCGCTTTGCGTGAAAGGGCGGTTGCAGCGGGAGAAAGTGTGGAGTATGGCGTATTCTGGGCTCTGGGCTGTGGGACAAATAGTGGCAATCCTATTCCAGTCGATGTTGCTGTAGAATGGGGGTTTATCCTGTTTCTCTGTCTCTTCTCTCTTTTGTCGCATGTACAGTAGGTATTGTCAAAGGAGGGAGGCCCCGTTCAATGACATCTCATGTCCAAAAGAAATAATCACATTAACAACCCGAAACTACTGTACTAATCCTGGTATCTTTGAATCCCGGCCGCGGAAGTAAAGGCACTGGGCCGTTGGAGAACAGCCCCTTTCCCTAGAGCCCCCTCCATCAGGGCTATGATACGTCAGCCCATTCCATGTGCCCATCAATTTAGTGTGATGGTGTGATGTACTGAACTAGATCAGGCTCCGAGCCAGTCAGCTCCAGTACCCGCGGCGATCAACAGGAGCTGGACCTGCGTGACTCAGGTCAAACATCCGGTCTCCATCGGCCTTTGCATACGAAAAAATTTGGCAGGGCGCATCGCGCGGTACAGATCCTGTGTTGCTCATCATTTCCGAGGATATCCGGGACCTACTGTAAGCTGGCCTAAACTTGCCTACTGTAAGTCTGCGGGTTCGGCCTTGGGGCAGGTTCACGGGGGCTCCGCGCACCGACAATATACGCGAGCTTGAAGATTCAAGGCTAAGGCATTTCGTACCTCGATTGCTATTCTGGGATTAGTGACCGATCTAAGTGTGTGGGGGGTGGTCTTCGCATCAACCTAGGAGCCAGTCAGAACGGGGGGATTTGAGAGTTTTGCCCACTCGAGCTGATCTGGTGCACAGCCTGCATACCTCGACCTGAACCCAAAACAAATAATAATAAATTACAATACAATAAATCCTCTGAGATCATGTGGCTGTTTAGTACTCCCCGGCGAAATTGGGCTCTGATTCTTTTGCGGGGAATCCTGGAGCGTATCACAGCACTTCCGCAGGCTCAGGTCCGCTGGATCAGGAATGTGGAATGCAGCTGCCAGAGCTATCCATTTTTTTTTTTTTTTGGTTTTGGAACTAGAAGCTGACGGAATTGTCTGGTGATCTTTCAGGTTTGCTGCCTGGTTCCGCATTACAGTAGATCATTTCGTTAAGGCTCCGAGGTTATATTTATACCGGCACCGGCTGACTTACCTCCACGATCATCCTTTTTGTCTTTTCTTTTTCCTTCCTTTGAATTTCAGCGTCGTTGATTAGTCGACTTTGTTGCCCAGAAGAAGACAAGTGCCAACGGCTTACAGCGTGACTAGATTGAATGGGACAAGTATGACAGCTTTTTCAATCGTGGCGATTCCGATATTCGTCTTTCTATTCGCCGTTAGACACCACAAAGAGGTTTTCCAGTGGCTGTGGCCAAAGTCAGAAAGATTCTGCTTAAAACATGCCTCGACTTCATCAGATGTCAAGTGCATGACACCGTATCCAGCGCAGCCCATCAAAGGACGAGAGCGGTACCGTGTCATGATGGATATCCGCAAACTCGATAAACAGAACTGGCTCACCCTGGACAAGAACTACATGGATGAGCACAGAGCCCGCAATCAGTTGCTGCACGAGAAAAGATCCGAGGTTTTGCGCTGTCTACCAGAGTCTGTGGATGCATGCCAGGAGGCACTGGAGGAAGTGTCAGACTTTCTCTGCGAACGATTTCCAAATAACTTTGAGATGAACATCCAAAACAACCAAAAGATTGTCGATAATCGCATGACCGGTGAGACATTCACAGTCAGTGGACGCGACCCCAAGGAGGGTTTGACCGATGCCTTGGAGGCCGCCGTTCGTCTCACAATGGAGGACCTCAGTGTTCTGATGCTGAATGATGAGGGTGAATATTACCTGTAAGCGAGACCCATTTTCTATCTGACAGACCAAAACTGACCCCATTGCAGAGCAGGAAGCGCCAGTCTGTTCCCTACAGGTTGGACAGTGCAACAGAGAATTGGCTGGACCATCTCTCAACTGCATGGTCCTGTACCGCTATGGCACCAGCACGTTGCCAACTCGGTCGATAAGTAAGTCCCTTGACATAGCTGCCAAACAGAAACAAAGCATACTAATCAAGCCGCCAGGTTCCTCGCCCGTCTAACTCCAAACTCGCCAATGGAACGCTCAAATTATTTCATCGAAGTGAAACGACCCGACGAAGACTTGACCGAGATTCTGTATCGACCAAAATCACTTTGCGAAAAGGAGTTGGTCAACCCTCTCCCCTCGGAAATCCTCGTTCGTCGAGAAAGGCAAACATTCCGTCGGTTGCCACGAACTGGGGCTATCGTCTTTGGTGTCAAGACCTATCTCACGCCTCTAGATGAGCTTCCAATGCAGGAGCTGAATAACCTTGCAACGGAAATGAGGAGTTGGCCTGAATATGTTGGAGAGTATAAGGGGAAACATCTTTGGGGATCCAAAGTCCTGGAATATTATCAGAAGCAAGTGGAGGAGGGTAAGATTGAGCCCGAGAAGAGTGAGGACTGAGTTGGCCTTGTAACATTATACCGTTTTTTGCTGTGTCTGTTTGGAAGATCAAAAATGGGTCGGCGGCTTTTTGTTAACAACGCAAAAGTTGTTTTATTGTCACGTTTGTTTCATATTCGCTTTGAAGATTAGGATCATAGAGTGAATTGATCTGGTTTTCCAGAAACCAATACTGTTCTAAAAGGTGCGGAGACATAAAAGGCAAAGAATAAAGGGTAATGTATATATCATGGATTAAAAAAAAAAGCTTGCACAGTAGAGCCTGGAGGAAGACAGATTTCAGGTACAAAAGGATAATCACATGAAGGCAAAGGTAGTGGGCAGCAAGCCAAAATCTAGGGTGGAAGTTATGTTGGAAGAATTGAAGGAGAACAAAATGCTGATAGTAGAAAAAGAAGCAAGTCGATCAACAGGGGTATAGCCAAGGTGCTTAGATCTTTGACTTTGGCGGCTTATCTTGCTTTAAACGCACGACACCCTATTGGAAATGTTAGCATAAGCCAATAGCCGTATAGCAAGGCATAATCAATGCACATACCTCTTGTGTGCAAGTTGCAATAAGAAGTCCGTCTTTAGACCAAATCTTCTGGAGTGCTAATCCTCGTCCCTCACCAGCCCACGTGCTCTCTGTCTCTGATAGCATCCATTCATCGGCCCTGAATGCCATAGGGTTGTGGAAATAGATCGAGTGGTCCAGACTGACCATCATTCCAACCTCATTATGCTGCGTCTCGGATTTGACGTTTGAAGCTTTGACAAGGGCTCCTTCTATCCGGCGGCGTAGTTCAGCAGCCTCTTCCTCCTTCAGTTCCTTCAGTGCCCGAGTGATATCCTCGTCATCGAGATCGGATGGGTTCTTGAGGGCATTCAAAAGACCTTCTAGCTGAGCACGCGATGAAAATCGGGGGATGTCATGAACAAGGGCGACTGTTCCGATGAAGTAGCTATCGGTAATGTAGGCAAGGGCGGACAGGTGTGCTTGATAGGAACCTTCATCGGAGATGTGACCGCGAGCGCGGATATGACGTCGGATTTTCTTGTCTTCTGGGTTTGGGGAGTTGCCTATATCATTTCGAATCTTGTCAATACTAATCAGATGGCGTGGTCGTTTCAGTCTATGACTTACGGTTCACAATGCCCGCTTTCCTTGACTCAAAAGGACCTCCGCCAGCATCACTCAAAGCCCTAATGCTACCCGGTTCAGGATCGGTGGGCAATGGGACATCCGGCTTCTGGGTGGTATGGTTGAGGGTCTTCTGACCCCCGCTGCCTATGCGACTAAAACTCAGCGTGGTGGTGAAGATCGGCCGACCCCGTTGCCGTGCCTGCACGGTTCTCGTGATGAAGCTCCTTCCGTCGCGGACTCGCTCGACATGGTATAGAATCGGAATTTCAGAGTCACCCGCAAGGACAAAGTAACAGTGCATGCTGTGGACGGCGTACTCGGTGGGGACTGTTCGCATCGCTGCGGAGAGGGATTGTGCGATCGCCGCACCCCCGTAGATGCCGCGAGCTCCAGGGGGATGCCATAGAGGGCGAGTGTTTGTATATACGTCCTAGATCCAAAGGCGACATGTTAGACTAGGACAGGTACGTTGCGGTGATGTGCCTACTGGGCCGAGGTCCGCCACCAACGTCAGATCGAGTACATTCTCGATGAGCGCTTTGGAGTGATCCTGCTCTGGAGGATCAAAAATGGTGACGCGCTTAGCCATGATTCGAGAGCTGTATCAAGAGAATGGAGAGAAGAGAACGAGATCGACGTCGCGGACCAGATTTAAATGCGGAAAGAGCCGAGGTCCGGCGCGTGCTGATTAAGTTGGCCGGCAACTGACTTCCAAGCTTGTCCTTTGTGCTTCCACATGGTCATTCATAATTTATTGTTCATATTTGTATAGTAACTCGGTCGCTTTGGGTTTTCAGATGGCCGTGGCCGCGACTCGTTTAGGCGTTCCGAGGATTTCGGATTCATGTCTCGAGTAAACACTTCCGCGTCCAAGTTGCGAACCTGCTCTGCCGATTTACACCGCATTCCCATCATTTGGTGGTATATCAAACCTCTCTTCGCCAACCTAAGTCTTAGCCTAAGTCAGCCTATGCTTCATCATGTTTACAACATAACGTTCTTCTCGGAGAATTTCCAGCTGTTGTCCAGGGGATTTCATTTCAAACATTTCGATGGGCAGAGTGTCCCATGACCCAATCAATCACAACAGATCCTATATACTTCTCAAATTCAACATGATTGGAAACAAAAGCAACAATATTTTTACTGCTGCAGCGTCAGAACACCTGGCCGATAAGGCAGAACGTTATAGTCGGTGTTATCATTCGGATCTCTTCCTTGGTAGAGAAGCTGCAGGTTGCACACGTCAACGGTCATCGTCTGATCAGGGTTACTGCGAACAAGATCTCCATGGCTTATGTCGTTGGTCCAAGTCGCACCGCTGTTGGCCTTTCCAGCAAAGGGCTGGTCCTCAGTTGCCGCTTGCGCGGTCCATGTACCGTCAAGGCTATCGGCCGTGAAGGACCGGAAGAAACGTCCATTCACTCCAATCGCCTCAACAAGCATCAGGTATTGGTTCTGTCCTTGGACAGTGTAGACCTGGACGGCTTCGAACAGATTTGCGGCTGTGTCGCTCATGATCACTTCTGAAACGGTACCGAAGTCGCCTGGGAAATCATCGATCGACATGCTGGTCCGGTAGATCTTCCCATTATCGCCGGCGAAGAACAGGTACATGTTTGAGGCATCTCCAATGACAGTTTGGTCGATCACGCCGGTATCAGAGTCGGTGATACTTCCAGAGAAAAGGGCTTCCTCGGAAGACCATCCATTTGCGTCTGAGGGATCACTGGATGTTCGGTAGGAGAATGCAGTGGAACCCCATTGATATGCCAAAACCCACACGTCCTTGGGTTGGAAGTAGAAGAGCGTGGGGGCAACAGTGCCGACATTCATGGCGTTTTGACTCGCCGATGCCATGTCCGACCAGTCTGAAAAGAGACCAAAGTTCATGGAGCCGTAGTTCCCTGAGGTATCGGGTACAGATGCGTACACTAGATGCTGGCCATTGTAGATTACATTGGTGAAATCCTTGAGCGCTGACCATCCTGACTTGGGTTCGGCTAGTGCATCAGTCGATGTCCAACTATAGGTGGATGGAAGAGCGCAGTCTGCCGAAACACCCAGCACTAATGCGAGCAAGGCAATGCCAGACGAGGCCTGGTAGGATTTGAACACTGCAGGTCTCATTGTAGTGTTTGTTTGAAAGGAAGAGGCGTGAAACACAACTTTGCGACGACAAAGAGACCATTTATATATCCTACACCGGGCTTGGCTTTGGCAAGATTCCCGGAACAAGACAGGTATATGGCTGTACTTCCTTGGCACATATGCTCCAAGCGGCTGAGCCGGAAAATTGATGATGTATTTCAGCTATAGAGCTTTATTTTACCGAGTGTTGCTGCAAGCAACTATTTCACCCGTCGGAGGTTTGCCCTTTTGGTCAATAATGGGCTGTTTAAACAGGCTAATGTTATGTAGATCATTTCTTCATGTTGTATGTCTACACAATGTGAGACATACATAGTTAGTGCCCAGATGTGTAATATGCGATCGTGCGACACGCCAATTGTTTTGCTGAAACTCCTCCCAGTACAGTACAAGCTCGAGCTCCGACACGGATGATGAGGACCGTGCCATGGTACTGAAGAATGTTGAATAGCTTTTAGCCTGTTCAATTTGTGCAGTGCAGATGCCAGCATCAGTGGCGCCGTGAGATCGGCGGAGGGCTTAGGCAAAAGTGGAGTCCTGGCTAAGGGGAACGCCGGGGTTCCTGGGCTGGGGCTGGGGCTCACGGTCTACAGACTCGGGGGTTGCTTACTCGAGGTTTCTCTCTCTAGGCAGCTCCGCAGTCGAATAGATACCAAGAAAGATATAATATTATCATCATCATCACATTTTTGAAGAACCGAAGACTATACAATAAACCCACCAACATCGATCAAGGTCAAAGATTGACCCCAAATGATGTAATTATCATTTATTGCCATGCACATCTCAGAAACGATCTCCAGAATCTCGCCTAGTCGACTTTGAGAGATCATGAAGCTTTTCATTGGGGACATATAGCGGCATAGAGTCCTCCCAGATAGAATCAGTCAGCACGCGCTTATTCGACCCATCAGCCTCCATGACAACAACCTGACCATAAGGCTGGAAAGTCTGATCGTAAAGAGCACACTCATACTGGAAGCCGAACATGCCAGTAGAATAGGCAATGCGACCATCCCAGGTCCAAACCGCATGGGCATCGTTGGCACCACTGCTGGTCAATACCTTGACATCCGAGCCATCAGTGGCCATGGTGCAGATATCGTAATTGGAAGGGCTGGTCTTGCGTGTGAAAACAATTCTCTCGCCATCTGGGGAGAAAAGAGGCAAATTATCCCACTCTGTAGTAAGGACGGAGATCTTGCGAGTCTCGAGATCGAGGAGGCGGAGACCGAGCTGGGACGTGTCTCCCAGGGTCGAGTTCGTTCCCCAAACACGGTATACGATCTTCTTGCCGTCGTGCGAGTAGCTGGGGAATCCTTGGTTGATGACGCTGCTGTTGCTCTCCAAGGTTGTTTGGCTGTCCAGCAATACCTCTGAGTATGTTCCGTTGGCGGTTGCGCGAACCAACCAGCCGCCGCCGGTGGCTCGGCTTTGGAACCAGAAGCCAACTCCGAAGGTGACCCAATTACCGTCGGGAGACCAAGCGGGATTGAAGGCACCTGCTGTGCCCATGGCGATTGAGGATGCGTCTAGGAAGTCAGAGGTCATGTCGTTGTATACGAGGTGCTCGTTTGTGCCGTTGGCATTTAGCGAGACGATGGAGGAGTTGCCAAGTTGCTTTTCTGTCATGGCAATCATGTTTGTGTTGGACAGTTGAGGGAAGACATCGGTGAAGCGATACTCCCACTCCTTGTCCCAGCTGTAAAGCTTCTTGTCCATGGGACGAACAGACCAGTTGGTCTTCTCGTAAACCACTTTCTTGCCATCGGCAGACCAGGCAGGAGAACGAATGGTCACGCTGGAGGTGTTTACAAATCCACCACTGCTTGTGTGGAGACCTTCCTTGCCAGCACCCTTGGCAAAGTAAGCCACCGTACTCTCGGAGAGGTATTGAGGGAAGATCTTCACGCCAGACCCTCCAACTTCAACGCGACGACCAGCGCCTGTGGCAAAATCCACGGAGACCAGGGTGGAGTTTGCAGAGTTGATGGATTCGGGACGGTGGGAATTCCAGGTGTTTTCACGGGTCATCTCGTAGAACAGAATACGCTTTCCACTGGGAGACCACTTGGGTGAGCCTAGAGAGTAGCCCGACTTTGAGACAACACGACGGAAATCAGACCCATTAGGGCGAATAGCGTAGATGGAAAGCTCCTGCGTATGCTCCCATCCGGTAACACCCAGGAAGGTTGGATCCCCATGGCCGTACCATCCTGAGTTACGGTCTGATGAGAAAGCAATCCATTGACCGTCGGGGGACCATGAGGGACGGAAGTATCCGTCAGGTAAAGAGGAATTGGCGGCAGTCGAGGCAGTGTCGGTCAGGTTCCACTTCTTGCCGCTCTCCAAGTCCAACACCCAGATATTGGCTTTGTAGCCATTGGCAGTGGATACATAGGCGACTTGTTTGCCATTGGGGGATATCACGGCTCCATCTTCCACCGAAGATGTTGCGACAAGCTCTTCAATACCGGAGCCATTTGTGCGGACGCGGTAAATATCCGAATTACCGTCGCCATTGCGCTCTCCGGTGAAGGTGATCCATTCTCCATCGGGAGAGAATGATGCATGGTATTCGTAGATAGGGTTAGATAGTAAAGGTCGCTCATTTTTACCATCCACATCGGCGACGTATAGCTCAGAGGTACCTGGAGCAATACGGTTCATGTAGAAGATTCCTTTTTTATTGGAGGTGGGCAAATCGCGTGGTGTGTGCAGCTGAGATGGCGTATCTCGCTTGTCAGCCTTCATCTGTTCAGCATAAGGACAAAGAGCCAACGCTGTAGGCAAAGCCAGGCCTAGTAAGGCAGCGGACGTGGAGAAACGCATGGTGAGGAATGATCAGATGGGTTGATGACCACGACCCGGCGACAAAGATGCCGTTATCTAGACGGCACTCTCATACTTATACCGAATCATTTGAACGACAAAATCCCTGAATGAACGATCATTTCCCATTCAGTGCTGTAGAAACATCCTTACCTCCGACGCCAAGTCCGCCTTCGCGTAATAAAGTCCCCATTATTTGCGCAGTTTGGTAGAATAGTGGCACCGCGCCAAGGATATCATCTTATCTGATGAAGCGAGCTAACAGTTTAGTCTCCACTGAGAAGAAGTTCTCATTTGGCTCCATCCATTCAGACACTGCGGTTGTATTGTTCAAGATTAATGTCTCGGCTCATTGGCCCTGTCGGTTGCCCTCAGGCCCCAGAGTTGAAGAAAGTAGGCAGGGATCGTCCTTGCTTGACATTTGACGGAGAAAATCTTTGCCGCATGTTCCTTTAGTTGATTTTGTCAAGTAAACAGCCAGACGGGGATAATGATGTGGTTTTGAACGACAGTAGCAAGGGCAATATAGGAATGCCGTGAATGCAGGAAGTGGCAGTAGCATGGTGGTATCACCTCAATTGGTTCCATGCCCGACAGCATTCCTGCGAGACCTGACGAGATCTCATTGACATCCGATCCCATCATCTCTGCCAAGCACATCGGTACGGGTGTTGTGCAAACACTCGGAGATTTCCTGCTGACCCCATTATTGCCCTTCATTTTGTTCGTCAATGCAAGAGAACATGCCCAGCCGACGCAATTAAAGGCTTGGCAGCAACGAGCCAGTGGAAGCACAAGAATTCCGCCCTACAGGTCTTTGAAATCTTGATTCTGTTCATAAAGTCTCCGAGTCCGACTCCGAGGCTCGGGCGGAACTGCCAGATGAAGTGCGCGAGACGTTGATCAGGGCGGAGTGGCCTTCAGGTTTCCGCGCCGTTGGTCTTGGCATGAACTAGACTTGGGGGTTCAGGGCTTCGGTCTGCTACTGTCGCATTGGCAGGGATTTGAGAATTGCTGTGGCTTTTACAGGCGAAAGCTTTGATATCCACTCAACAACATGCAAAGAATTCGGAATGACCATATTTTCATATGTTTTAGACATACTGTACTTTGCCAGTTTCTGACGGCTCCAATCAGCATGTTTGCTCCCGTGAGCCAATTGGTGATCCCTAGCCGGTCAAATATCCTCGCATCACTGCAGCATCCCCATTGATTTGGACTGTATCGCAGCTATGCGCCGGCTAGGCATGACCAGTACGATGATACGAAAACGCTCTTGAACCAAGCCAAGACTAAAATATACAAGCGGCTGAAGTTTTCCGAGCAAGAGCGAGCATGGAAATGAAGATTCATACTGTATATCGCTTTCAGAGTTAGATTATTAAACCATACCCCACTAGATTGAGTATTGACGACAAAATAATTACGTAGGACTGTTGAGGCTCAAGGCAATATATAAAAAAAAAGACTATTCTGAAGTCCTTTTGCTTAAATCGGAAGAAAAGAGGTTGTGGATCTCAATTTGCATACCAATTTTGTACAATATCGCAGACGTTGAGTGTAGCTTCGGCGGGAGGTTGGCTTGAAATTTGCCCGAGGCCGTTTGTTATTGCTGCTTGTTGACCATAAAGCTTCGTTGACTATGTACCTCCCTGGGGTCCCTGGGTCCCCGTCTGCTTAAAGATTACAAATCCTTCAACAAGCCTACGTTAAGGTAGGTGCCAGCGCGAAATCTTTTCATGAACTTGCTGACAGCATGATGACCCAATGTATAATTGTTGCTTACTTTTGTTGCTTGGTACGAATCGCCGTTAATAGGTTTAAGAATACTTTTGAACAGTTGCAGTGCAGTTTTAGCTGGACTCACGGCTTGTCAAAAAACCAAAACAGAAAGATGGGAAAGGAAGGGAAGATGAAGGTTCATGTCGTCGCATGTATTTAATTGAGGTGATAGTGAATACAGGCTCCAGTAATTGAAGAGTTTGCAGTTGCAGGTTCTTCCCACGTAGTATTATCATACCAATGGCTTTGACCGAAGTATCAATGAGTACGATATGACCCCGGTGGGAACGAACAAATTCGGCAGCGGAGACTTTGATCTTCCAAATTTGACGGCTGAATGTTGTGATTTGGGGTTTACTGGAACATAATCGGCATTCCAAAAATGAAAAGTTCGGTTATGAACACGGCATGCTTCCAGCTTGTGAGCATAATTGTTGCAACGGTCTTATATCATTCCTCATGGCCAAGCATAAAGATTAACACCCATCTAGCGCCATAAAGACAGTGCAGCAAGGCAAATTTGCAGGCCTGATCTAGGGATCATGCTAGAAAAAACCCCGGGCAGACAGCTTGGATCAAAATGAAAAAGTTGTGTTTTCAGTCAAGTCAAAAGTACATGCGAGTATAATAGCCAACTCGGTTCCAAATATCCCAGAAATCAGTATCAGACTGCACTGTAGCCGCCCCGCGAACCTGCTCCCTGAAGGGTGTTGATCACCCGGCGGAGCCAGTCTTGGAAGATGTAGGGGATGTCGCGGATGGTGTCGCCGTGCGGGAGAAGATCCCAGCCGCGGGCACCGTAGCGGTTGTAGTTCAGCCATGAGCCAAAGATGAGGTAGGCAGCGATACAGAGGAAAGCACTGTGGGGGGGCAATTAGTAAAGGCATTCCAGTGTGGAGGGTGCCCCAAGTCCAGTAAAACTCACATGATAATCAACCAAGTGAAGAAGCCCCAGCTGTTAGAGCCAGAGTTGTCACCACCCTTCTCTTTCTGGTAGTCATCACAGGCATATCGTGTACGCCAATCCAATCTTAGGATATAGGTATCATCATCCGCAGGACCAAAGCTCTTGAACTGAAGACTGCTATTCTTCGGCGTCTCGCCTTCTTCGGCGGCAGCCATCCGGCGCAAAACCTGTGCGGGTGCGTCTTCCGCTATATCTTGAATTGTGCGCAACCCCTCCAGTCCAGAACGATCGGGATCACATTGGAATTCAATGACAGCACGTGCAGCCTTGGCTTTCTGGTCGTTGTCCTCGCCCTTGTATTCACCACCAGCCAGCTTGACGAGGAGACCTTCGGTGTCCGGGTTGTCTTGTTTCAATCGCTTCACTTCGGGATCCTTGGAGCCTTGGCCGCCATGGTCTAGTCCGACGATCGGGAAGCCGAATTCGGTGCCGCCATTTCCGTCTTTTGGTGTTCGTTGTACGAAGCCGCAGACTAGAGTCAGATGATATACAGTCAGTTGGGTTCCAGCGAAATGGTTGTGTTCCCAGCGTGCTCGCGCTCGCGCTCGCAGCCATCTCGAGACGTACCGTTCCTACTCGCGCCGCATGTCGCCTTGCCCTGACGAGCGGCAGAACCCAAGATATTGCAGATATTCAGGCGGTATGTTGTATTGGTGACAAAGTCGTCCGTTGTTACGCCGTGTGTCACTTCATGGACGCCTTTTAGGGGGCTGAGGTCATATTTGTAACCGTCGACCTTGATGTGTTCGCAGTCGAAGCCGGAGGCCGATGTTAGGCTGGGCAGTAGGGTGGAGAGGAGGAGTGAGACTCCAGTTGATTGTATTCGCATTGTGACTGTTATTCAGGATTTGGAGGCGAGGGATGAAACAGCCCAAAGTGAGTTGAGGCTCCCGCGATGGGGAGAAGCTTGACAGCTCAGGTGGGGATGGTCACGAGGATAGGCACCGGATCGATAAACGTGACCGATGCACAAGCCCAGAAGAGAAACGGAAAGTTGAGAGTTGAGAGGTGAGAGGTGAGAGTCGAGAGGTGAGTCCCAGGTGCTTTGGGTATGAAGATGAGGATGACGGTGGTCCGGAGGTGTTTCGTTTCTCCGGTAGCGGCAAGGCAGCACACGCCAAAATGATGCTGGAACAGGAACGTCGAACGAATACAACTACCTTGGGTTTTTGGCAGTTTAAAAGTGAAGTTTTGTGATTGACACAAGTAAACCTATTTACCAGCGAGGCGCCCTTCACCTTGAGGCGATGATGTCACCAGACCGTCCTACAGGGACGGAAGTGAAGCCAAACAGTCCTGGGCATGTATAAAACCACTTTGGGAGGTCACTCTTTGCTCTTCAGATCATTCCAAGGAATGATGATCACTAGTCCTCATGTTCAACAAGCAGATCAGTCGCAGGTCAGTGGCAGGACTCGTAGTTATGTAGCAACACCAACACGCCCCTTTGCTTGTCTAGGATAATATAACCCTACCCCATAGCCTATACCAGCTTTATACTGTCCCTATACTATTCCAAATACGAACAAAAACCAACTCCCATCTCCCATCTCCCATCTCCCAACTCAAGTATAAACCGAGTCCGCATCGCCAAAGCGCACGGACCACCCCACTCAAACCCGATATCAGAGTCCCATCGACAAAACAGCACCACAGCACAAACACACACTCTCTTTCCAACCCCCTGCTGTTAGCACAGAATTCACACCAAGATTCTTCAAGATGGTGCAACCCCGCATGGTAATCCCAACCCCCTCTGACCCCCAGCCCCTCACCCCACCAAACCAAGACACGCCAATGGCCCCGACTAACGCGCGAACGCGCAGCTCTCAAAGGCCGACGAGGCAACCACCGGCGACGAGAATGAAGTCCGTCGCGAGGATCAGGAGAAAATCAATCGTTTTTCGCGGCTGCATCAGCGAGAGACGTTGCTCGAGGAGCAGTTGAAGGGCAAGCAGGTATGTATCTCCTAATTGAGACCTCTGTATGGAATGAGCCGATGAGAGATGAGGTGGGCTAACGGCTTGGTAGAAAGATAAGGAGGATCTAGAGGAGGTGTCGATGGAGCTTGAACTGGCTGATGAGGATGAGCTTGTTCCGTGAGTTATTTCCTTCGTGTTCTTTCTTCTCTTCTCCTTTTCATTTGGAGTGGTATTCTTCATTTTTCTCGGATCAATTGGATGCATATCCACGGAGTAGAACATGTGGCATTTTGAACACTTCGTCTAATGCATTTTCAGGTACAAAATCGGTGATTCTTTCTTTCAACTACCTCTACCCGATGCGCAGAGCATGCTCTCCGCATCCACGGAGCAAATCGACACCGACGTGTCCAAGCTAGAGGATTCGCTGGGTGAATTGCGCGAGGAGCTGCAGGAGCTAAAGGTTGCTTTGTATGCTCGGTTTGGTAGAAGCATTAACCTCGAGACTTGAGCCTTTCATCTCTCATCTTTTCATTTCTCTGTCTAAAATGGTCACTGATATACCGTGTCTCAAACCTATCGAATACTATATAACCCAAAACAATGAAGGTCGGATGCTATTCGTTCGATGATTGCTCTATACTTCTTCTCTTTGCTCCTGCTGTCTACCCTCGGGCCATGAAGAGAATGTCATAAGCTTAACCCAGCTCGTCAATGTCATTGAAAAGGAAACACGCAAAATAGGTAGAGGTATCTAAGAGGGGCCATGGAAAGAAAGAAAAAGAAACAGCAATCGCCAAACAACAATAAGAAACGACGTGACATGACCCAAACAACTGTGGCATAAATTTAGGAACGGCACAGGGTTCTCGAACAATCATTACAAATAAACGCCATTCTTCCGTGAAGCGATGTCCAGTGACCATAACCTGGAGTGGGAAGATATCACTTATCACCCAACAACGGTATAGAATTAGAGAAGAAAATCAACAATTCCAAGTCTTGGTCACTGTTCACCGATGATGCCATGGTCCTCGTCCGGGGAGGGGATGTATATACGGCGTCACCCTTATATCCTTCCTCGTAGGGTGTGATTTTTCTGGTTTGGCTGCGAGATGGAGATCACCGGAACTTGGCTCGGCACCGGCCCATGATTTCGTTTTGGCAGACCAGCTCGGCGCTGAATTCACTGCCGTCTAGTGTGAGGTAAATATCGAAGTAGACGCGATAGAAAATTCCCTGTGGTGTGTCCATGCGTTCGAAGTCGGTCTCTAAATTCTTACGCGATAAATCAGATGTAAGTGTGACGACTTCCTTTATGCCTAGAAAGGGTTAGTGGGCGACGTTGAAAACACAGGAGATAACACGTACGGGGATCCTTGGTATATTCGGGGCAGACGTCTTCATCACAGGCGTACAGCACATCCTCGTACATGAGTGTGGCGCCAGGAGCAACTTGACGGAAGAAGCTAACCTTGACGGGTTCGCCAATCCTAACACGCTCTCCCTTCTGGACGAAGATCTGACGGGTGTACTTGCACCGGTCGCGTCCATCCAGACTGGGAACACGATATTGTTCTGGGTGGTATCCCTCCTTGAAGGGCTGAAGTGTGGCCATCAGATAGTGACGACGGGCCACACGGTGGGTGATAACACGTTCAGTGATACCGGCGGTGACAGCACCTTTGACGATGGCAGCTACAGAGTCCATGGGGCGAACGACCTTGGTCTGATACTGCGGCGGCACGTGGAGCTTGATCTGTTGGAAAAGATATTCTGAAGCACCAAATCCACCAACGACAAGAACATTCTGCGGAACTGGGTTAGTATGGACATATAAGACGGAAGCAAGGTCCTTACCTGAAGCAGACGGTTCTGCGCTTGAATAGCAATAATCTGGTTGCGAACCAGCTCGAGAATCCGGTTCACAACGGGTTCGAAGCACTGAAGAATTTCTTCGTTGGTGAAGGTCATATATCCCTCCTCAATTCCGGCATCGGGGAAGTCAGCCTCGATACCCACATCCACAGCCCACTTTTGACCGTTGTTGCGGAAGTCGGCCTTGATACGGTTCTCAAAGTCCATGATACACTTCGCGTATACCTTGCCCGCAGTCCGAGAGCCATCCGGCAGCTTCATCTTCCGAATCTTCGCCCGTAGGATATTGCTAAAATTCCGGTTCAATGCCGTTGAACCGCATGAGTCACCAGAACCGGCAGTACACTCCATCACACTGAACGGCGATTCTTCCTCGACCTCGTATGCGATCAAATCCACGGTACCACCACCGCAATCCACGATCAGAATGGCATCGCCAGTCTTCAGGTTGAGCAGACCAGACTTGGCACAGAACAGTGCTGCTGCCTCGGGCTCTGAGACCAATGTGAGTCGGTTATCGTTCTCATCACGCAAGAAACCGGCTTGGATAGCGGCGGTACGCGTGGCGGCCTTGCCAGCATCGTTCCAGATAGCCGGTACAGTGAGGTAATACCGGATGTTGCGCTCCTCCCGAGTAAACACCTCTCCCAGTGTCTTCTGTAACTGCGAGCGCATGGCTTGTCGTAGCTTGAAGAGGTAATCGGCCGCAACATCGATTTCAGACTTGCCCGGGGGCAGTGGAGGAAGGTTGATAGGATCGATATAGGTGTTTCCGGAGAGCATCAGCTGGAGCTTGAACCACTCCACCTTTTGCACGCCAGGCTTGGGGTATCCCGTCGGGGCAAGAGCGTCGGCGATATCGGGGCCCCAACCAACGACCTTCTGGTATTGATCGTAGTAGAGGACGGTGGGGATCTAAGCAGGCAACCGCGGGTCAGATCCAGCGCGTTGGGGAGCGTCATGTCATGCTTACCTTTTGTTTCGTATGTGTTCCCGCACCCGGCCACTCGGTGATGATGTCTTCCCGCGCTTCATTGTTGGTCGCAAATGCAAATGCGACACCGGAAAAGGTTGTTCCAAAATCAATGCCGACGATCAGTTGCGCCTTGCTGCGACCTGCGCCCTCGACCTCCACCGCGGGGTTGCGCCCGGGGTACTGCGACGTCGACAGGGTTGTCGGAATGCTGGCGACTTGTTGCTGCTGCATACCGTAGCCTTGAGCAGTGTTCATCGGGACGGTTGGGTTGTATGGGGCAGTTGTAGAGCCGGGATGTTGACCGTGTTGGACCATCGGACTGGTTGGGCGATTGTTCATGGTGTAACTTGGCGGTCGGCCCAACCCTCCGGGTGGCTGATTCATTGGGAGACTTGTTGTCGATGAGCTGTGACCGGACGGTGGAGAACCGGGAGATGTGGCAGGGACAATCGGTGGAGGGTTTTTCTTGTTCCTGAAGTTGAACTTGAATCGGGAACTCATGAGGTCCATGTGAGGCGGGAGAAAGGGTGGGAAGAAGAAAGATGAAAGAGAGAGGGGGGGGAAAGTGAGGCTGAGGATACGAGGTGGAGATTCAAAGGGAGATGAAAGAAGAAGGGTTAAGGGCTTTGAAGGGGGTGAAGAGTGGCAGGTTTCGCTTATAGGGAGTTGGATGTATCTGGATCGGTTTCTGTTTCTGTTTCTACTTCTGTTCTTGTATCTAATTCGAGTTTTGGTTCACGTCGAATTTTCGAGTTCGCCGGTAAACAGACTCTCTCCCCGTGAAGGTTATCGGGGAGCTCTATACAATCCGGAGTCTATACTCAACACCAACATACCAGCCAGTTCTTCACTCTTTATTAGGGACAAGAGTCGACCATGGAACCACTGCAAATGTGTTCTTTGTTGTTTTTGGCCCCCAACGACTAAGACCATGTGGGAAACCCGCACAGCCTTGTCATTTCTAATTATACAGCCACTACAGCTATTTTCCCCCAACTAGGCAGGGGTTTTGCGGGCGACCCAGTGAGATGGTCGATACAGATTCTGGAGCATACTCGCCGGGTCCTGGATATAGCCGCAAGTCTGCCGATCTCCAGGTCGCTTCTCGAGGCGGAAGCCCAGACGCTCCACGAGGCTCAACACTTCGTCCTCGGACAATTCGACATTGCCAGGCTCTCCAATCCCAGCTCCTTCATGCCCGGGATCGCTCTCGCCACGGGAGTGACCATTCTCAAAGTGCCACAATAACGGGCCAACGTTGATCCACAGCCCGTTAGGCTTGAGGCAGTGTCGAATCGTCTCAATGTACCGAATTAGGTTTGGTGCGGTGTCAATGAAGAACACGGTGGTGACAGCATCAAAGGCTTCCTGGTTGTTGGGCTGGGTATATAAGACGGTGAAATCCGCGGCAGACATGGACATGGATCCGAAGCGACGGTCTGAGTTGGCCATCTCCTGCATAGCCAAGCCGGGATGCACGTCAGGTATCATGATCTGCCGAAGCTGCTGCGCTCGAGATTCGAGATTGGAGAAATGCAATGCGAATGGATGAAGTGCGTGTTGTGCCGGGCCGTCGGTATGATTGAGCACCCAGTTGCTGGCCAACAATTGATGATAGGAGATCTCATTCCCTTCAGCATCATAGCCCGCCATGCAGACTTCAAAGACCAACCGCCCGAGGCCAGCACCGGGGACCAACACTCGGATTTCCTCTCCCTGGTCGCGCCTTGCTCGGAACTCATGGTGAAGGTCTTGGAGGACGGGGTCATAGCACACCTCACGTTCGGCTCGCCCCTCCAGGCTCCAGTCACGATAAAACTGCCGGATCGTCGAATGCGCCTTGTTGAGATCTGACGAAGTGGCTGTGTCGAACCAATACTCTGTAGAATTATTTTTGTCGGGATTCGCAGGAAGATTAAAAGACTGTAATCCGATGGCAAGAATCGCATCTGCAATTTCAGCATTGACATCGATAGCGTCATCTACCTTGTTGAAATTGTCAAGGATTGAGAATGGCGGCTCAGATAGCATTTGCCAGTGTTCGGATGGCAAGGCATAGAAAGCCTGCCGTCTCCGATGTGTGGTGTTCTTATGGGCATTTCGCCGATATTGTCTATCACGGGTGAGCCGTCGTCCATAGGTGAAAGAACCAACCATACTAGACATACCTGAAGGAATCAAAGGCAGCAAACAGAACTCTGCGCTCTTCGGGATCAGAGAATGGATCAAAATCACCTCCCCAGCTGGCTTCCTCGTCCCCCGTTGGGTGGTGTTGAGCATCCGATGACATGTTAAAATCAGCACACAAAATCTGTTGCCCGTAATAACTAAATAACTGGAATCAAATGCAACGCTAGCAAAGCGAAATGGAGCAGCAAAGAAACCCGGAGTATATGGAGGGGAAGAAAATAAGTGCGAAGTTTTCGTCCTGAGGCAGAAACACCTGGGATTGGCCGATATCTGCCAGGCGGGGACTTCGACAGCACCAACACAGCTTCATAGCTTTGGACGTTTCATCAGTTTCTCAATTCCAGCGAGGACATAAATTTCATAGCCATGGCAACTGAAATGGCTACCGAAGTGCCAACAGCAATCCCCCAGGCGGAGCTTACCCCTCTAAGCCTCAAGCCCAGAGAACTCTCCTTCACTTTGCCCAGAGCTTTGCACACGACAGCACATATTCACTTGAACTTTATGAACCATTGTGCTACAGTTTTCCTGGCTACTTCAACACCTGGTGACTCGGGTGGCTCTATCAAGCCGATGGGAAGCTTTGTCTACGCGATGCCCGATGTGAGTGTCTCAGATATCACCACCCTTTCTCCTCGAGACATGTGTAAAAGCGACTTCCCGAGTGATATCTTCCTCGCATGGGGAGCTTTTACTTTTTGTCGCAATCTCTCATATTATTTTTTAGTTTTCTAAAGCTAACATAACCTAGCGCACATCACCCAAATCAACAATCTCAACGACACTTTACACATCACCCTCTAGCATTGAATACACAACCCGCATAGCCAAAATCCTGGCTAGACGGCTTGGCATGCCCGTCTACGTTGGTTGCAGTATCGATCCCCACTCCTTGGGCTTGGAAGTCCAAGAAGAAATGGAGGGGCTTACAAGCATTGTTAACGCGGTTATGACCAATTGGGAGGAGCATAAACAGGAGAAAGCTGCAAGTGAGAAATAGGTGGATGGGAACTTTGATGAGATATTGTTGTTGAATCTGAAACTTCCCTCGAGCCCGATTAAACTGTCATTCCTCCAAATTGTGTCTAACGGAGTACATCACGTCGAATTCTTCGCCAGGATTTTGACAGACTGCCTATGGTTTCTGATATTGTTTGTGCCGTCTCTTATGTGAAAAGCAAATCACAAGTATCAATTGTCGGAAATTGAGAAAGACGACGAAATTTTCAGGGTGCTTCACTGATTCGCGAGTATTCAATATGTCCCTGGATCATTCGGCAGCTCCAATATACCTTTAAATGTCAAGATCACCATGCAATGATGCATTCTACAACCGGACGTTCCGCCAAATTAGACCACAAGTTGAAAAGCAGAGATTGAATTGAGACATTCGCAGATGGCATCGATTCTTCTAATGATTTGATGAAGGTATGATTTCATCCAGTGTATCTTCATCGAATATACTGAGCCTCGAACGTATCACCTAAACAGATGCGCTCTGGTGCCGCTGACTCTGTTTCAGGGCCATGCATCAGTCCCAGTAGGTCTGAATCTGCCGCAAATTGTATAGTTCCAAGCGAACACAAGCTACTTTCTAAGGTGCAGTGACAGCAGTCATATCTGTAGGCAGCACCAAGAACAGAGAATCACATGCTACCCATATAGAGTAAGTTGTAGGATATAGGGTTACATCTAGTATGTGACCCACACGCCAATGTTTCTAAACATGGCTCTCCAAAACAAAAAACTGTAAAGGACAAAAAACATATCAGGATGCACTGTACGTTCATAGATATGCATCAATCATACCTGAACAATGCACTTCAAGAGGAACCAATCGACCACTCGGCAGTCAGCCCGGGCATCTCAGATCTCGACGTCAGAGCGGTCAAATTAATTAATCTGAGACATTTACGACACTAACAAACGGCAAACCTCGGGAGTCTCAGGTTGACTGTACTATGACAGCAGGGCAGAGCAAATCGGAACGAATCGGTTAGCGGATGAGTTTCGAGATCGTTGTCCCGCTGTGGGGCGAACTGAGGGTTTAGACGTAGGGGAATGAATATACTGAAGAAGTGAGGGTTGCGATGAGATGACCTGGATCGGACAGAATATAGTACTCGCATGAACCTGTTCACGGTATTGGCGTGACTACATGCTACATGTATGGGATGCACATGATGTCCAAGCCCTATCGGAGACGCCCGATACCCACACTGTCCCTTGATCATCGGAGACTGCCTGATGATCATCTTGGACGCGTAGACAGTCCCCGCTTGGCCCAAAGAGCAGATCAAACTGGAAAAGGGGGCTAGGATTTACACCGCAATTTCCATGGTAGGAAATACAGATGCCTTTGGGTCGACTGAAGGACATATTTCTCACCCGATCATTGGCTCGTTTGCCGCAGGTCAATGCTTTTCCAACCCCTGCAGTATGGAGAATATTTCCGACGGGACGAACCGAGGAGAGTTCTGTCTCCATTATGGTTAAGCTCGTGCAGGCACCCCTGTTTTTCAAGGAATGTTGCCCCGAGCCCTTGGGCATTGTTCGGGTGACCGGTAGAACCGGTTTTGTGGTTTCTCGTTTGCCTTGCACTTGCACTGGGTTCTAACCGAGGCTGTGCGGGGAAATTGGGACCAGCCAGTTCCTTCGATACGAGCCGATCAGGGCGCCATCTGTCGCTTTGGTGAGCCGACCGGAGGGGTTCCGGGTCTCCATAGGACGGATTGACGGAGAACTAGCCTTTAATGGAGAAGAGGGGGGCGGCTGAGTGTCTGTGCAGGGTTTTCCTGCATGGCATTTCACGGCCAGCGCATCAAGGCATGGCGGAATGGGACGGGAGATGTACTCCGTGTTCGGCACCAAGCCTGATAGGGTTGACGGTTGGGTACCACCCGATGGGGACTGGGATATCCAGACTTCGTCACCATCGATATCTGAGCTTGTCTGCACACGATGAAACATAACGTTCGGATAAAGCTCGGGGCAACCCGTTAGCACTTCGGCTGTGATAGGCGAGACGCTCGGCACTCTGTTGAAGAGAAGATTGGCTCCAGGTCCCACTGTCCGGGCCAGCCATCCGGGCTTTCCATGTGGTCCGGTGCATGAGTTCCGAGTCGATCCTTCAGACGTTGAGTTGGTACTGTCTGCCTTTCAAGACATGATCTTCACTGCCGGTTCCAAGGAATGGATTCTGGGAAATATGCTCAAGCGCCGAACCAGTTCTGATCATCTCTCAGGACTGGTGGAGCAGAAGAGTACATACCGGATCGAGAAGCAGACAAGGTTCATATCCCAGCCCGCTGGTGGGCCATGGGAAAAGTGACTGAGCGCTCTGGTTTGAGTATTCATCGACACTGCCACTGCCGATCTCGGGAGACTGAAGACCAGCGGGTAATGTACAGTAGTGAGTCGTGAGCAGTCAGTCGTGCGTAAGTTAGTGAGTAGTAAGGTCGTGAGTAGTGAGGGTAGTATATGGTCAAGCCAAGTCAGTGGTCAAATAGGTTAGCCCTGTCACTTCGGCTGAAGATTCTTTAAATTCGTTAATATTCTCCGCGATCTTTAAACCGATCTGCCTTTCCCCTTTACATTCTTTTGGCTCTTCTCAATGGCCTTCTTATCCTAACGCTTTTGAGCCTACTGTGGCGATATCCTCTCTTCCCATCTCTCATTTCTCCCTCTCTTCCCCCCCCTCCCTCCCCCTCCTCCCTCCCTTGTCCACGAATGCGGTTGTCTCTTCAAGACCATGCAGCCTTCCCATTTTCGGGGGAATAACCCAAGTTCCTACGACCTGCCACCCGTACAATCTGTGACGGGCGCATTCCCGGCCCCGGCACTGCTTTCCGCTCCGCCCAGCAGGCCTGACAGCGGCATGCGAATGGCCCATTTACTGCAACCGATGCCCCAGCACCTCCCACCCCCCGCTACCTCGCCATACTCGCGCTTTTATGACTCCGCATCTGGGTCACCCGCGGAAAGTGGTGCACTCCCAGATGCGCAGCTAGGGTCAGTACCGGGCGGTCCGGCGCTGTACCAAACCAGTCCTGTTGGCCAGCAGCCAACGCCCGCGCAGCTGCAGCAAAAGCGCGCATATCGACAGCGTAGAAAGGATCCCAGCTGCGATGCTTGTCGCGAGCGCAAAGTCAAATGCGATGCCTCGGAGTCGTCTAGTTGCACGGAATGTAACAATCGCAAGGTGCGATGCCAGTTTACTAAGGAGACGAATCGTCGCATGTCGTCTATTAAGCAAGTGCAAGACTTGGAAAAGCAATTGCAGAATACCAAGCAGCAATTACAGCATCTACAGACTGGCATGATGCGTCCTGATCGCATGGTTGATGTCGATGAGGGCATTGCGCAGCCCTTAATTAAATTGCCGGAGATTGAGTACCGTCCAGTGCGCAGGTCGAAGGCACCGATTGCTCAGGATTTCTCGGATGTGCGATCTAATATACGACATTACGGTCATGCCATCTTGAAGGTACCCACGCCGTATCGACAACAGGGCGCTGAGTCTTTGGTGACTGGTGATGCGCCAGAGCTGCCCCCGAAGAATCTCGCGGACCATTTGTTGGCGCAATATTTCAATTGTATTCACTCGGTGCTTCCGGTGCTTCACTGGCCCATCTTCATGGTAGAGTATGAGAAGGTCTATCGGTCGGGGTCACTGTTGGGTGTCCCGAATGAATGGGCTGCTGTGCTCTTTGGTATATTTGCCTGCGGTGCCATTCACACCAACGAGTTGGATCGGGAAGAGCAAGGCAAGAAATATATACGCATTTCCTGCGGAATCATCGACGTGTGGCACGACAACTTTAATCTGGATCGAGCTCGAGCTGCGCTACTTGCCAGTATTTTCCTCTACGAGGTCAATTCAAAGTCGGCGAGCTGGGTATGGATTGGTTCGGCGGTACGCGTGGCTCAAGAGATGGGGCTACATATTGAGTCAGGGCCATGGCCTGCAGTTGAAGGGGAGATGCGCAAGCGCGTTTGGTGGGGATTATACGCTTGGGACAGGTTCGTCATGTCCATTTCCCAGCTTACTGCCATGGATTTTGTACTAATGACCGTTTCAGATTACTCGCTCTCGAAATGGGCAAGCCAGTCTTGATCAATGACCAAGACTGCGACATTGATCTGCCCTGTCCTGTAGACGAGCAATATATCATAGAAAGCGGATCAATTCCCGAAAGCCAACAAACATCGCCCCTTCTAGCAACCATCCATGTTGTCCGTTCAATTGGCCAACTCACGCGAACCCTTCGATCAGCTACCATCAGCCCCGCCACTCTCGAGACCTTCGAACTTCACTTCAACACTTGCCTCGCAACCTTCCCCTCCCAGTTCCACCCAAGGACCGACCAAGACCTCGATCCTCGCTCTCTCGCTCCAGTAATATACCTCCAAAACGCCCGCCTTCTCCTCCACCGCCACAACATCTCCCCCTTTTGCCCGGATATCGTCCGTTCTTCCGCAATGGATTATTGTGTCTCTACAGCCCTCGACACAGCCAACATCCTCGCTCGCTGCATGCGCAACTATCCAAACGCAAACACATTACCCCCAGGCCCGGCAGGAAACAATGACCCGCGCGCCCTCTTCGCCTCCTGCGCCGGCTCCCTCCTATGCACACACATCTGGCGCTGCACTCTTCTCCTCCTCTTCCGCCAAGAATTTGCCGGCGCGCTAGCCTGCGTCCAGGCTCTCGCCTCAATAGGCGATGTCCGCACCGTCAATGCCGCCTGTGGCCGCTACTTGTCCTTCTTCCTCCACCGCCTGCTCTCCCGGCTCCGCCGCGGCGACAACATCGACCTAGAAAGGGACGAGGAAATGATGGCATATGTCTCCGGCGATATGCAAGGAACAAGCGATGGCAGCTGGGTTTGGCACGGCAGCGAAACAGGATCTCAACTCGAGACTATGTCCATGTCGCCCATGCGGTCAACACCTGTTTCCGGGGGCCACCCGAATCACCGTGAGCGCGATGCTGAATGGGAAGGCTGGGAGTGGATTGAGAAGACTGTGCAAGATCTCTTTACCGAGCAGCGGCAGCGGGCTTATGCTCAACGAGATACGCCGATGGGGGGCCAACCCCGTCAAGAAGGTCCTGCGCCTTCGGGGTCGAGTCTTGCGCCTGAGTTTGCGGGCTCGAATTCGGATCGCAGATCTAGCTCGGCGCATTCACGCATGACGATTGCTAACATTATTTGAATCGTGTTTTCATTTATTGGGTTGGATGCTTTTTGTCTTTGGCGCATCCCGCGACATCATCTCTTATCTCTCATCAGCCTTTTCTTCTCTCGATCCCCGATGTCCGAGTTGGGTACGACCATAGAACATGGTCTGGATGCCTCGATACTCTTCACGGCGCCCTCTGTCACAGCTCTCATCTCTCATCCTGCTGTCATAGGATTTATTATGTCTTGCAAATATTGCATTGCCGATACCCCTGTCGAACCATGTTCATAGCCTTTATTTATATTTTTTATTTCCTGTATATACTTACCTTCTACGCATACGTATTGGCTTCACGATGGGATCATCTGTTGCATCATCGGGTTGGTTTTTTATAAGCGATGACGAGTGTTATTTAGCTTTGCATTGTCCTCAACGGCACACCGGTTGACCAGCATTAGCAATTCATTTACATTACACTTCATCCATACCTACTTTTGAGCCACTGGTCTCGTGATTACCCCAGTCCGATAAACTTCTATAGTCACCGCGGGGAAAACTTACCTGAGGTCCACGGGTAGATTGAACCTCACCTGCATTTATAAGACTTGCAAAGTGTTCTGAACTTTACAGCATTTACATAGACCAAGGTTCATTTTACAAGCTCGCGGTTTTCCAAGGGTGAATTTTGCATTTGAAGATATAGCTATTAAGTTAAGGCATATACCAATGGAAAGATATCCACTCTTTCATCATTCTGATCATCTACCTCCCAAGGTCCTTTTCACTAGTCCCCATATCCACCTCTATATTTAAACCAAACAATCTCAGCGAGAACCGATTTAGTTAATCAACTCCAGCTCAACGGGAGCGATGGTACCGTTCTGGATAGAACCAGCGTGGTGGCGAGCAACCAGACCGTAGGCGAATTGGTACCTGTCAGCGCAATTAGAAAACATACTCTTGAAGCCATGCCAAAATCAAACAAAACTTACTTGTCAAGGAAGGGGAGGAGCTCGGGAAGACCGGGGGTGTGGCGCCAGTCGCGCATCAGATCACAGACAATACCGAAGAGTCCCATGAGGGTAACACCGGCCTTCTCCATGCGGCGGTTGGCATCCTCAGCCAGACGGATATCGAAGGTACCACTGGCGTCGGTGTTGGCGAAGACTTCGTATCCAGCGTCGATGAGGGAGAGAGCCAGGAAAGAAGTGCCTGGGAGGGGAATCGGGGTTAGTATCGTGCATCATTTCGCTGCTCTGGAGGATCCCACGTACAAACTTCGGTAACAATACCACCGATGATCAGCTGCTTGCGTCCAGTGGCCTTGACAGCAGCGCGGAAGTCGGCGTTGTCCCAGGCGTTGACCTCACCCTGGCGACGGACGAAGGTGGCGTTGGGGTGCATGTCGGTGATCTCCTTGAGCAGGAGACCGTTGGGACCACCGTCGGAGGAGGAGGTCAAAACGGTGGGGATGTTGAAGACCTTTCCAATGGAGGCGTGGCCCAGCATGTTGTTGCGGAAGTCGTTGGTGCCGTAGTCACGGACGACTTGGGCGAGACCAACTTGGTGATCGATGACCAGGAGGGCCTGAAAATGTCAATTGAGATGTTCTCCGCCGAGATAGATCGGGTGCACTTACGGCCTTGTCCTTGTCAAGTCTGTTCCATGCCTGGGCAGGAATGGAGGCTGCGAGCAGCAGAACTGCCTTGATACCAGCGGAGATGAACATCTTGAGAAGTTGAGAGAAGAGTCGAGGACTGTAGAGTAGAAGGTGTTCGAGATGATCTGGATGCCTTTCAATTGCATGGGAATGACCTCGACTTTATACCCCCAGCCGTCACCTACACCTCTTCATCTCCAAGTTTCCATCCCGTAATCCTGACTGAGGATTTGCTAAGTCCCACCTCGCCTCGCTACGAGGTTAGCTTATCTCTACTCGGTGATGCTAGTGCTGTCTGTTGTATTTTCTTGCTGTCCGTCCGTAGTGCCGCGACTTGACGTATATCCCTGAACGGTTACCGTCCTCTCTTGGCTTGCAGAAAGTGGCTTGACAGGGTCTTGCCGGGGAACAGTTACATTACAGATTTCAGTCAAATTACTAGATCGTGGATATTGTTTTCAAGAGCATTTTCTGTTTTTAGCTCGCTCCTGGGCGTGTGCAGTAGCTTGGTTCCGACAAGTTGGTATAGATGAATTCCGGCTTCATTGTTGGGAGCCGGTGTTCTAGTTTGTTGGCCGACATGAGAGTGAAAAGAAAAGCACTCTATCCCATTCTAACACTCTAGAGTCTAGTATGTCCACTGCGGAATTTTCTTTGATCTATGTAGATATTTAGGAACTTCCTAAACGGGACTGGCTCGGCTGATATTTGCTCCACTCAGCCCTTGGAAGCCTTAGCAATCACTGCAAATCCTGAATAATCCGTCCCCTAACGGTTTTTCACTCTCCGGGGTTCGAATCAGAGTGTTGGAAGAATGCATTTAATTTATCTCGAGATCGCTTGCAGCATACTCATGCAGAATTAGTGACAGTTGCCACGTTAGAGTGGATTCCCACCCTTCCGGGAGAGACAAAAAAAATACAGTAACCACGGAAAGCCACTGCATCACAAATCCCAGATCTCTGCCAGGGCTGTGAAAATCTTCAACCTCAAGTCAACTCGATCCCCCGCTGTTACAATAATAATTACTCGGATCTCTGAAGTTGACTAGGGAAGACCCACAAAACCATATCGAAAGCCAAGATACTGATCCATTTTCCCCTTTGGTGTCGGCAATTTCATTATCGTGCTTATCGACCATAGTGCAAGGGTTTCGGAAACAAACCCAGAGAGAGAGAGGTTCGGCCGGGACAGGATAAGGGCTACGGACAAGCCCAGTCCGGAAATGCGTCTCTCTTTAATTAAAGGAAATACGGCGCCGAACATTGCGGGGCCAGGGTTTCAGGGCAAAGGCTACACGGAAAATCAGCTGGAATTGCACATGGCAAGCAATTGAACATGAGGTCTCTGGTATGTTATTGTTACTGGAGACAACTAGGCTACTGGAGTCGCTGGCAAGGATTATGCATAATTACGAACCACTGCAACCTCTTAACCTCTACGGGTCTTGTGTCAGTCTCACGTCAGCCGCGAGGAGCGGTCTATACAGTATACCAGACATGTCTGAATCTGCATAAAGACCTGGAAAACGTATCGGATTGTGTTGGGGTAGACTGGGGGTATGTTCAAAGGCGCTCTTTGAGTTCAACGGAAAAACCACATTCTTTACAACTTCAATTAACCGGGCCTGCTTTACTGGACCAACACGAGATGGCTCGGCTGGGGAGACCCGTCATCTGCAGGGCCGAGATTTAGTGTTATTTAGCGTTGTGTAGCGTCTTACAAACCGCAGACTAATCTGTCTGTCAGCCTGACGTCGAGCTAAACATGCGCCTACTTTGATTGAGCTTAGCCAGTACTTTTTTTTTCAGTAATCAAATCCTATCTCACGCCCTGGGGCTGTTCTGAATGCGTGCCGTCGCCTACACAGCTGCCAAGTCATGCATGTAAAAGCAGGATGTAGCACTTGTAATTTGTCTCTCCAGTTGTCGCCTTGGTCTCCATTGCCAAGGACAGCATAGCCACTGCGGGGACCTCGTGCATGTGTCCGATACCTCATAGGGTGTATCCAGTGTCGGACCCGGGAAGCTGATTTCAATCTACGACCTTGTTGTCGGGTCTGCTTACAGGCTTCTTGGACATGTCTTGGCAGGCTACAAAATATCACCTGAAATATAAAACCGCTATTTGAACTAAGTGAATACTGGTAAACGGCCGGGGATACTTTATCAATCTCGGTGAGACACAATTGAGCATTGTCCTAGTCTCTAGTGCTCCTAAAATAAGGCAGAATTGCCCCGTCAACCACGTGCCGTGTGCTAGCATATTCCTGTTTGAGACTGCCCAGGTGAGTGCTAGCAGTTTTTGCTGTGCGATCTGGGCCGATAAAGGATGAATGTTTGTCTGAACTAGGAGGGTGCAGAAAAGAGTGTTCATGGATGTCGTTTTCCTTTCTCCTATTTAATCGCAGTAGCAGCTATCACCCCTTATTTCTCAACTATAAAACCGAACGCATCCTCAACCGAATTGTTACTACAGCTATTATTGGATTGACTAAAAGTACAATAGAGACAACATCTGGCTCAATGACTATTTCGAGCAATTTCATGTCCCCTATATAGAAGCAATGTCCTATTGTAATGCTATAACTGTTGTACTGATTCGCAGTCAATATCACTGTGGCACCCTAGACGTAGGCTATATTTCAAATAAGTTCAATTGTATGTACATGCTCTTGCAAAATTCTCCCTTCGCTTCCGATTCCCAGAGCTTCAATCCGTAAATCTCGTCTCGTTCAACCCATATTCCCCCACCCTAAGTCGGACTTTTTATCAAGATTTATACTAATATTTTATGTTCATAAAGCCAAAGTTTTATATATCCTGGTTTTCTTCCAAGATCTAAAGATGATAAACGAAACGGGAAGGTTCCTGTACTTTGAGGCACCCAGTACTAAATGACACCAAAGTCAGGCAAAATCGGACTTTCAACTCTGGACGACGCGTAGTTTAATATGAAAATTCGCTAAATGATTTCAAATAACAAAGCTATGACATAGTAATCATAAGATCGATAATTTTAAAAGATGTTGTTCTATATAAAATTATTGAGGTAGGAGGGACCAAACCCCGGCCATCGAGCTGGTGAAAGTGGTAGTACAGAAAGCCTTTGCTAGTAATGTATTTATACCACCAAACCTGATCCAAAATCTTGATACAAGAGAATTCATAGTCTGAAAATAAAGATATCAAAGCCCAGATCTCATCTATCCGAAGAAATCCTTTTTGAACTTGAGAAACGAGGCATCTAGGTGGTGACTTTAGGCCCATATGCTAGGAATGTTGTCAAGATTAGAGTTAGATACAGCTGACTGGCGTTTTACTTGTATGAAGAGGCTGGCTAGCCCACTGTCTATTGATCAAGTTGCAAGGATTCTAGACCTCATACGACTATGGTACGTTGGCTCCAGGAACCCGTTCCTGTCCATAACATCTGCGGCCAAGTGGATCTTCTTACCCCTGCGATTCCGGTATTTTGGTAAGCTTGTATCAGGAACTGTATTGAGAATTTGGCGGGTTAATCTCAGGTCGCTCAATATCCACTTTGCAACAGGGTGGATCCAAACAGGACTGTGAGAAATCCTATCATACTATTTGTAGACCTATAATAATCTTCTATTGATACCAGCACGAGAACAGCCAAAGCAGACGATTTCAATACAGGTGGCTAATCATACGGCGCTACAAGCACTCCTCGTGCAGCAGCAGATTTACATCGCCTGACTTGGTGTCAGTGCTTTGCTAATCTAGCTATGAGCCATAACGATTCTTACCTTAATACTCCTTCTAATCATATTGAGAAAATGCCACTTTTATTTGATCTTTATGGGCAAGAAGTGTGACAACTTCAAGCAAGATGTAGGTACTTTTAACTCAAAATCACAAGCAAAGGAAAAACGAATCCTAATTGATCTTGAAAGCTGTCCTACCTATTTTTGGATCTACTCATGTGAGTCTCCTGAGTGGCTCAATCGATTATTGATTGGTGTTTCCTATCAGTGGTCTATATTTTGAAGTTTAGTGCGGCTCTTCTTGTTTTATGCCTGTATGTCTACTTTGTGAAGCGAAATATATTATAACCCAACTTGTATAGGTTATCAATAAGAATAAGGTCTTATATTAGATCCGTTAGGGTTATTATTAGTTAAACTTGTAAAGCTCATCAGTTACGTAGCTGCGCGGCCTATTCGATTGCTATAATTAGGATGCGAAGAGCAGCAACATACAGTGCAAGGTAGTGATCTATAGCTAATGTCTTCAGGAATAGAAAAAGAAATGGTCCTTATTAATGATAGATGCTGTAGTTGAAAGCTGTAAAACAAGAAATCCAAAAAGTTGACCTAATGAGTGGGTGGGCATGGTGGTCAAATATATATTCGGATCTACACTTATTTGTTCACCAAATCACACAATAGAATTATGCTGAAATACCGGGATATGTTACGAGATCTTTTTGAATGATTTCAACGTTCGCCAAAGAGAGAAGTCAACCACAGTATCATACTATTGGTGATTGAGTGTGATGTGTATACTAACCAGTATGGCCTGCGCCGGGCCTTTCTCGGCCCGACCCCGTTCGCCGATATACACCTGTTTTATTCGCGAATAATATCCCCATTCAAAGACTAAGATGTGTCTACTCAAAATATTGTGGAAGAGATCGTTACATTTGGGGCTTTCGAGCTGGGGACCTCCCTGGTGTGGTGTCCACAGCGCAGTGTGGACAGAAAGATCGGTCTAAAACTGCCTCAACTGTCAGACTTCTCCCTGCAAACTTTTTCGTCAAGTCGTGTGTATCCTCGACTTGGATGAAAATCGAGATGCCAGTGACAAGTTCAACTCATCCGATGACGTCTAAACCAGGAAGTATCGGCTTGGTGCCAGAGGAATAACTGGAAGCAGTCCTCTTTTTACAAGCTCTCTGCGCCTGGGATGCGACTCTGACATACTCCGATCTTGGCTTGTTTTGAGAAGTCGAGATGGGCTACTGTGGCTCAAATCTCGATCCTCAGGGCCAATGGTGTTGTTGTCCCTGTCGACCCTTCGTATCCAGCGGAGCGCCTGAAGGGAACAAAACATGCAACAACTGCCCAGCTTGTGCTCACCACACCGGAATGGAAGCACCCCATCGAGATACTGGGACTAGAGGGATTGCTCGTGACTCAACAAACCTTGTCCAGACGAGCCTCTAAACGCGGACTTCCCCGTCTTGCCTGCCCTGTCACCTCTCGATCACAGTCTCAATCCATACGTCTTACACTCGCAGAATGTTGATATTCCCATTTCCATCAAGGTCCGGTGGGCATTAGCCAATGTGATTTCACCAATGATGCTTCCGAACCTCAGCGTCTATTGGCAACGGGTGGAAGGGGAAGCCCAATTTCTGGCATCGACAAGCTAGTGGTACCGACCTTGGCTGGTCTCCCTCATCGAGTTTATATCGACCAGTCTTAGACTGTTCTTGACTCTCAGTGCGGTAATCTCCATACCCATGTGCTGTCTATCCATTGCCCTCACACAAACTTCCTTTCTTTCTATCTTTCTACACCTGCGTTACGAGCCACGTCAATTTGCGGTTGGCCCCAGAAGAGGCAGCCTATAGGGTGACCCATAATTTGGATCCACTAAATGCGCATCGAACAATAACATTGACTTCACCAGCGATATCAAAGAAGTAATAGCAAGTAAACTACTGTAGAGACGGGGCACAAATTGGGTAACACTACCGAACAAATAACAGTCAAGCAAAGAAATGCAGATCGTCCAAGTCATCAACCAATCTGAAGTCGGCAAATCCAGAAATGGCGCCATTCGAGCTAAATCATTCTCATGAGAAGCGGTCAAAGGAAACGTGGAGGTCTGGGGTATGCTCTTCCCCTGATGTCCTCGTTTCCTCATTTCCTCTTCTTCTCTTCCTCTTTCAAGGTCATCCTGCCTCCAGTCTAAACCTTCACGGCGAACGACTTCAGGTACAGATAGTCGGCCATGGTGTCGTCGACCGTCTGGCGGATGAGAGCGGCGTGCTCCTTACCGTACTTCTTGACCCATTCGGCATCGAACTCTGCTTCGGTCTTGGTCGCACGTTTCTAAGGAACCAAGTTAGCATGATCTGCCCCCCATCGCTGCCAATTCAAAAGAAACTTACATGTTTCCGCTGCTCCAAAGCCTTCGACTCAATAGCATCATTATGGAATCCACGCCATTTCTCAAAGGCAGCCCGGGCAACTGCATGGTCGGCCTCGGTATCCCACTTCAACATCTCAGGGCTATAAGGCAAGCCCATACTATCACAGAACGCCTCCATGGTCTTGGCAGGCTCGTCGAGCATATCATCAGCATCGATAACGCAGATCTCAACCGATCCCGGGGCGACCACCGCGTCGCCGGGGCCGAGCTCCGGGCGAGTCGAAACACGCGGCCCGACCATTCCTGACTCGCGCAGGTAGTCGAAGTGGCGACGCAGCTCGTCGTACCCGGCTTCGGTGGGGTCGTAGTTGTGGAATCCTGTCACCTCGTCCAGAGGGGGGATTGTGCAACGCAGGTACGAGGGCACGCTGTAGTGCGGGTCGCGGATCAAGAAAGCCCAGTGGAACTTCTCTTGCAGCTCGCGGGGCATCACGGTTGGGTTGCCTGGCTCTGCGGGGGTGCTGTATGGGTAGGGCTCTTTGTTGGTGTGGCCGTTGGCACCATTGGTGTGACCATTGACGCCGTTGGTGTGGCCGTTGGTGTGGCCGTTGGTGTGACCATTGCTGTGGGTGTCGTTGACACCGTTCACACCGTTGGCGTGGCCCTCGCCATTTGTCTCGTCAGTGCCGACGCCGCGCTTCAGGCGCAGCAAGGACGGGGCCAGGCTGGCGGGCTTGCCACTCGGTGGAAGCAAATAGTGATCGATATCTTTGATGAAGATTCTCTTTCCCTGTTGCACGGTAAGTATCCCCTCAACGAAAAGCGTGTTTTGTCTATTCCGCAATGCGGGTATCCAGAGTCAACCGAGGAACCGGTGCTCGGTTTGTGTTTACAGGTGTGTAGAGAGTGGGGATATATGGCCGCACAGTAGGTGCAGAAACGAGCAATGCAAAGGGTGTAAACCAAGGGAATCTTCCCTCGTGTTCAATCCACAGACGGAGAACACAAGGAGCATCAAGTGACAGAACGCAAAGGGGAATCTCGCAGAAAGAAGGGTCGGACCTCAGTAGCTTCTCTTTCGAGTCTATCCATCACGGTGCTATACGTGGATTCGCTGAATCCACTCTCCAGACGAGCTTCTTCATCGTCTGCGAATCGGCCCGAGAGACGCTCCGGGCCGTAGTAGAAAGCGTCGCCGAACGGCTCGTGAACACACTGAATGGTGTCACGCTGAGTCATGAAGACCTGCACAAGATGTCAGCTCCATTTCCGATGTCTCAACAGCGCGTCTCTGGTTTCACTCACGCGCTCAAAAGCCGTCGAGCATGCTCGCGGATGCGTAGCCACAAAGATCGGCTTGTTCGACATCCTGATATGTGATATGCACCGGGTGAACTGCGTTTCTGCAAGCTGGTCCCGGACGAAAAATTCAAGGGTATAGGGTCAAGTGTCAACTTGAGTGGATCACCGATTCATCAATTACAGCAAAGGTAAATCCAATCTCGGCCGGTCTAACCAGTAAACCAGGCAATCTCCGATTCTGACTAGTGAAAATAACCCAGTCAAGGCCCTCAGCGAATGTGAGTGCAGCTTGATGGTGTCAGAGTATGCAATATTGCGTGAGAATAATGAAGAAATGCAAGATTTGGGGCCCGAAAACTCTTTATATCTCATCCACTCGGCTTTCCAAGGTTAAACCGGGTTTTTTCCTTTTTTTCTGGAGCCTCGGGAGGCGGAGAGCTTACCACTGCCAACCATGGAAAAGCAAAAAGATAATTATGGAGAGGTGAATATCCAGGCTTTGCCCTTTCCCGTTCTCGAAGGGAGCGAGATTCGGATCTACTATGGGCTGGATGTGACTGGTGTTACTCATGGGGTATAGACTACAGCCATGGCCCCTTCCTTCTTACAGTAGTATCAGTGGTAGCGCAGAGCAAGTGAAGTCTCGACCTCGTGCCCAGCATTAGCTCACGCCCAGTGGGAGGTGAACTGGAGTCAAGAGGCAAATCATAGAGGGCATAAAGTATTTTGCCCCTCTCCTCCGCTTGCCCCGCCGAACCTTTCCGCTTCTATTTTTTCTCCTGCCCCTCTTCAAGCGCCTCCCACGCAAATTCAAAGGCAAAATGAAAGGCAGAAAGTAAAACATACCCAGGAAGATCTCCACCTGGGAAGCCAATAAGCATTGGAATAGTGGACTGTCCAAGGTTGATCTCCATGTCTGGATGCGTCGTTTCGGAAATGCCCCCACGGTGCAAGTTCCGCATAATACAGTATACAGTATGTACACATGGCCTGTCAGTGTGATCTGAGTTCCCGAGGGGTGGTATGCATATCAAGACAGATATCAACACGAAGTCATTGGGGAGGTCTGATCCTAGCCAACCGTTCACCCAATGCTTACTCGGATGCTCATTGCTCTAGATCACCCGCTTTGACGTCATTTCCTGGGTATTTTCTGTCGGCTATCGTGGAAGACCAGTTAAGTGTTGAGCCATAGCAGCCGTAGGTTAAGACAGGACATGGATAACCAGGGCGCCCTCGTGAAGATTCGGAAGTGTCCCTGGGCTGGCGTCAGTGGCCCATCGTAAGATCTCAAGTTCTTGCTTTTCATCCCAGAATCCACCTTGTTTCAATGCTCCACTGCAAGGCACGCCAGTACGCAAGCTCCAACAGAGAATCCGCCAAGGTAGGCGTCAGGGTCGAATCATTTCTCCAACGTGGGGAGGGAGATCCATCAGCGCCGGTTTTGCGCGATTTATGAAGTCACGTGAAGATGAAGTCAGCAGTCACGTTGTTTTTGGTCTTCCCGTGCAGCTCACGTGGGTATCACGTGCCATGGCGGTGTCCCATGGCAAATTGTTTGTTTGGTTTTTACATGGCAATAAAGTCTACGAATATACAGTCGAGCGTTAGATAAGTCATCCCATGGTTATAAGGTTTACACAACAAGATTATTCCTCTCTATGTGCTGGTAATCCCAAGTCATGCTGTCACTCAGTGGGCCCTACCATCACCCTTCAGTATTTTTGCTTATCTGCTATGAGTGTTGACATCATTTTCACTATACAAAGTGGGACAATACGTAGTCGGTGAGCATATGACAGGTCATGTGACTGCATCATCGGGCTAGACCCGGCAGCTTCTGGAAGGCGGTGGAAGCTGGTAGTGGCGTCATGGGCCTTGAAGCAGCTTCGGGCAGCCCACGCTTGGGAGTATATCAACTTGCTTCCCTCCTTGAGGTTCAGTCACATTTTCACCAAATTACCTGCTCACATAGGAACTACTGTATTTTCCTGACAAGCTCCAGTCAATTCTTACTACTACCCAAAACCTCACTGATCTCACCCCACTATCCCGTTCAACATGAACGGCGCCCAATTTACAGACCGGGCCAACAAGGCCTTGCTCGACTCCAGCAGCCTGTGTGAGCAGTACGCTCACTCACAAATCCTGCCCCTTCACCTGGCAGTCGCTCTTCTTAACCCTTCCCCTGATGAATCAGAAGACCAGCAGCCCGTGGGCCATGCATCTCATGATGGTGCTGCGGCACCCCTCTTCCGCCAAGTCATCGAGCGTGCCCACGGTGACTCCCAACTCCTCGACCGTTCTCTGATGAAGTTGCTCGTCCGTCTTCCTAGCCAAGACCCTCCACCAGAGAATCCCAGTGTGTCTCCTCAACTTGCGAAAGTCATCCGATCTGCCACCGATTTGTCCAAGACACAGAAGGACAGCTTTGTCGCAGTTGACCACCTGATCCAATCAGTGTGTCAGGACTCGCAGGTCCAGCGTGCGCTGGGCGATGCCAATATCCCTAATCTTAAGCTGATCGACACTGCTGTTCAGCAAATTCGTGGTACGCGCCGCGTCGACTCCAAGACTGCCGACGCCGAAAGCGAGAATGAGAACCTGAAGAAATTCACCATTGACATGACCTCATTGGCTCGCGAGGGCAAGATCGACCCTGTTATTGGTCGAGAGGAGGAGATTCGACGAGTGATTCGCATCCTTAGTCGACGCACCAAGAACAACCCTGTGCTGATCGGTGAGCCCGGTGTTGGTAAGACCACCATTGTTGAAGGTCTCGCCCGCCGCATTGTCAATGCCGATATTCCCGCCAACCTCGCCCAATGCCGTCTTTTGTCTCTTGATGTCGGTTCGCTTGTTGCGGGCAGCAAGTACCGCGGTGAATTCGAAGAGCGCATGAAGGGTGTTCTCAAAGAGATTGAAGATTCCAAAGACACTATTGTTCTATTCGTCGACGAGATCCACCTGCTTATGGGCGCTGGATCCAGTGGTGAGGGCGGCATGGACGCTGCCAACCTTCTCAAGCCCATGCTGGCCCGTGGTCAGTTGCACTGTATTGGCGCCACCACTTTGAGCGAGTATCGCAAGTACATTGAGAAAGATCAAGCTTTCGAGCGTCGCTTCCAACAGGTTCTGGTTAAGGAGCCATCTGTCCCAGAGACCATCTCTATTCTGCGTGGTCTGAAGGAGAAGTACGAAGTCCACCACGGTGTCAACATTCTTGACGGTGCCATTGTCACTGCTGCCACTCTTGCATCTCGTTATCTGACTGGCCGTCGTCTCCCCGACTCGGCTGTTGATCTTATTGATGAGGCGGCAGCAGCCGTCCGTGTCACTCGTGAGTCCGAGCCAGAAGCTCTTGACACACTTGAACGAAAGGCCCGCCAGCTTCAAATCGAAATTCATGCGTTGGAACGTGAACAGGACGACGCATCAAAGGCTCGTCTTGAGGCCGCCAAGCAGGAAGCTGCCAACGTTGGAGAGGAGCTCCGGCCCATGCGCGAGAAGTACGAGAGCGAGAAGCAGCGCAGCCGAGAAGTTCAGGATGCTAAGATCAAGCTCGACTCTCTCAAGGTCAAGCGTGATGAAGCCGAACGCTCAGGTGATACCCAAACAGCTGCCGACCTTGAGTACTACGCTATTCCAGAGACCAAGACCCTCATTGAACGTCTTGAGTCCGACCGCGCCAAGGCTGATGCCGAACGTCGTGCCAACTCCGGAGATGGCGGCGAAGCACTTCTTGCCGATGCCGTCGGCCCCGATCAGATCAACGAAATTGTCGGCCGGTGGACTGGTATTCCAGTTACTAGGCTGAAGACTACCGAGAAGGACAAGCTTCTCAAGATGGAGAAGTCCCTCGGAAACCTCGTTGTCGGCCAGAAAGAGGCGGTTGTTTCCGTTTCGAACGCCATTCGTCTGCAACGCTCTGGTCTCAGCAACCCCAACTCGCCTCCCAGCTTCTTGTTCTGTGGTCCTTCTGGTACTGGTAAGACTTTGCTCACCAAGGCTCTTGCCGAGTTCCTTTTCGACGACCCCAAGGCCATGATCCGATTCGATATGTCCGAATACCAAGAGCGACACTCACTGAGCCGGATGATCGGTGCACCTCCCGGCTACGTTGGCCACGACGCCGGTGGCCAACTGACCGAGTCTCTGCGCCGCCGCCCCTTCTCTATCTTGCTCTTTGATGAGGTCGAGAAGGCCGCCAAGGAAGTTCTTACCGTCCTCCTCCAACTCATGGACGATGGCCGTATCACCGATGGCCAAGGCCGCATTGTCGACGCAAAGAACTGCATCGTCGTCATGACCTCCAACCTAGGCGCCGAGTTCCTCGCCCGCCCTACCACCAAGGACGGCCGCATCGACCCCCAGACTCGCGAGATGGTCATGGGCGCTCTGCGCGACTACTTCCTGCCAGAGTTCCTCAACCGTATCTCCAGCACAGTCATCTTCAACCGTCTCACCAAGCGGGAGATTCGCAAGATCGTCGATCTCCGCCTGGAAGAGGTTCAGAAGCGTCTCGAGCACAATGGACGCAATGTCTTGATCGACTGTTCCGCCGAAGTCAAGGACTACCTGGGTGCGGCTGGATACTCTCCCGCCTATGGTGCCCGTCCTCTTGGTCGTCTCATCGAGCGCGAACTCCTCAACCGTCTCGCCGTCCTCATCCTTCGCGGTGCTGTCCAAGATGGCGAGGTAGCCCGTGTCATCATGCGCGACGGTCGCATTGTGGTTCTGCCTAATCATGTCCTTGGCGAAAGCAGTGACAGCGATGATGACATGATGGACTCGGATGATATTGACGCTGAGATGGAGACTGATATGCCCGATCTGTACGATGATTAAACGGGATCTCGGTTTTCAGCTTGTGCTGTTAGCGCGTGAACAAAAGCGTTGAACATATTGAGCGATGAATGACTCACGATTTGATTTTCTTGCATGCCTTCGTCTTTCTTATTTCTGTGTTCTTGGCATGGCGTTGGTTCTAGCATTTTGTCTTTCTTTTTTTTGCTTTGTATCTACCTATCTTTTTGTTTTGTGGCTTTTTCTTTTGCCATGGGCATATACAATTTTGATTATTTTGATCATTTTGTTAATAAGGACAGACATAGTGTCTGTACAGTATTGAGGCTATACATTAATTGTCTCGTTTCACGAATACATATCTTACACATTCCTTCAATATATCCCACAACTTGTAAATTTAGTCCATAGTTTGAATGGAAACATTATAGAGGTTCTCCTTGTATCACACTGGCTGTTGCTAATAAAAAGTAAGAATTCCTCACTATCCATTACCGTGAGTATAGTGATTAAGTTACTATTTTGCCTTATTTGGTCTCTCATTCTCACCTCGATCATGTGGCATTCCAGATCGACCAACCAGTGACTACAGAGTCAAAAATGAGCTCGAGCACTCTGCTACGGTGATACGTAGTCAGAACAATCATGTCCTAGGCCTACCGGGCCTGTCGTCTTGGTCATTGACAACATTGAAATCTTGACAAAACCTACAAGGTGAATAAGACAGAAAGGTCAATGAAAACAGCGTTATACGTTCACCTCATGGAACTGACACATATCCTTCTCATTACCTTTGCGGTCCTTGGTTCAATGGGTTACTGGCATGTTTCTCTGCGCGACAGACACCTATTCTAGATTCTTTCAGTTATTCAATCTAGTGACTATACGACATCAAATCAGTGATGAGTGATGGCAGATGCATGATACATGTCTTTCGTGTCCATTTGCAGTGTACATAGGCCTGCCCCAACACTCAACACTGATATACCAGTACAATCCAATAGAACCATCACCTCCAGTGATTCCCAAAAGGAAACTTCAGAAGAACCCACATGAATCATGCAAGCTTTAAGAACGGATCACCCAAGGTTGCATTGCATTGCTCGACCTGCATAAGCCCAACTTAATATCCCGGTGAATTCCCTCCATTGGCACTGTGCGTCGACCTGCAAATACAGTACAACACTGTACAGTATACCCGGATTGCCGCTTCCCACTCGAATTCCAAATCTACTGTATCTTGCGATTGAGTTTCGCAACTGACTTTGGAGGCGCTTGGTGGGTTTCCAATGTCTGTGCGGTGAACGGCCAGATCGCCCAGACCGGATGCGATCAAAGTTTAACTGCGAGCAGGATCTGGGTTAAGATTCAATAGTCGGAGTGTGCAGTATCAAGTGCAGACTGGGTTCTGCAGGTTGTGTTGGGGTAATGAAATCAGGAGTATATTTTATCTTCTATGAATTATTCCCTATCTATCAAGGGGAGATTCTTCAGTCCCTCTAGACTTGACCAACTAGTGTACTGTAGTGAACCATATAAGTTAGGGCTAGACATGGATTCTCCAAGGTCCTAATACTGTAGTAACCACGAGATCCAGCCTTGCAGTACAACCCCAACTCGGATGCCACAAACGGATCATAAATCCGAGTCCCCAATTCCCCCAATTCCCTCCTCGGCTTCCGTGAAGAAACAACTGTAGGACCTCGGAACCCATTCATAAACGGGGCGGGGTTGCACCAGCCACGTAGAGATCAGACCAGAGGCCCAAGAGAACAGAGACCAATTCGTCAGGGGATAGCATGACGGAATGGGAATCGAAAGAGGAATAGGAGAGGCTTACCACCCTCCTGACCGGGTAATGATAGGCGTGACTCGATACTCGCCTTTGGTGTCTCCTATTGGACGCAGCGATGCCGAGGCTGGGATCAGCTGTACAGTTGGAAGGGGGTCCACTTGCTGGTCTTGTGTTTTTCTGAGTGGATTGCTGATGGGAACAATATATGGTCGCTTACAGAGTACAGAGTACAGGATCGCTTGTTGCATCCAGGGGTTGAACTATTGTCAAAGAAAAGAAAAAAGGAAAAAGGGATTGTACAGGACTTGTTCCAACAATAGCATCCACTAGTATTGGATGAAAAAGACTGAACGCGGACCGAGGGAAGAGAGGGTCGCCGAAACTCAGCTTAAACTCTGATTATAAGGAAAAACTGTATATCAGAAACGGTGAGACTAATCCGAGGAAATTGGAATGGAATCCTTCAATTTAATCTCACTTTCACTTTCAGTTTCAATTTGAATCTCAATTCCAATTTCAACCCTCAAATCGATGACTGATGGTTATTGATAATACTCCAGACTTATCATGTCAGTCCGGTCGATCCCGCCCAATCCCCCAATCCCCCATTTCTCCCAACCCCCAGCGTCAGTCCATGGAACCAGTCAGTCTATCGGCCTGGTATCCGTGGCTGGTGATGTCCGTTTCTGTGGTTATGGTCCGCGGTGGAGTTCCCTTACTTCTGAGTCCATTGCCGATGTCGGGGTGCCAAGACCTGATATACAGTAGGAAGCCGGATAACGGCGATATCCATATTAAACACGGCTATACATTGTAATCTCCAAGACATTCCAAGCCACTGGCTTGGAATGGGACCGTTTTCTGGAATTGTTCCTGAGCGTTCCCCTCCCGATCGTGGTACTGTAGGTGTTCACTTCAAAGAGAGGTTCGCAGACTCTGTTGGCCAATCGGTTCTAGGGAGACTATGTCCCATGGCGACAAGATCAACAGTTGACGCAAGGAGGCGGGAGATCGGCGGCTCGCCAGAATCTTCTGCTTTTTGGTCTTTTTTATTTGGGGCTAGTCTTTGCCGAACTCGAGAGAGAGAGGCTTCGGTTGAAAGGTTGAACGGAATGGAAGGATTCGCGATGGGACAATTTGACCGAGGATCTTCCAAATTACAGTAATATAGATTGGTTTCTAGAATTTTGGTATAGAACAATTCTAAATGTACCAGGTTTGCATCTAACTCTATCTTTATGTACCGCCAGTGTCCTCCATCCAGGCCACCCGAACCCGAACGCACATCTAGAAGTTAATATATACAGTAGAATATAATTAGAGGGGGTATCAAGTCCCGAAAGGACTTCGTGGAATCATCAGAAATAAAAGAAAAACAAATAAAAGAGAAAAGAATAGAAAAAAAAAGAGAGACTTTTCGTCCAAAAGGGATTAGACTTCCTCGTGGGCCCGGTGGGCAACATGAGAGGAGTTCGACTGATACTCCATCGGCCGAGAGTCATGGTGCACGGTCACCGTGATATCTTGACGGATACGCAGGGCGCGCGCAGACCCATCGTCACTGCTCGCATCGCGGTCCTCACTAGGCTCCAAACTGATATCAGATGCCGTAGCCTTTTGGGGAGTGACGGTAGCGCTGCGCTCAAAGTCTTGCATGCTGAAGTCGCCGGATCGGAGATTGCTCGGGGGCCCGTAGGGAGGGAGGTTGGAGCCGCCCTTGCTGGTCCAGGGCCCGGACTTGTAGCGATCAGTACCGCGCTTGGAACCGCCAGTCCAGCTCTTGAGGGCCGGGAAGACGTCACGCAGAAGAGACCACACTAGTGGTAGGTTGGTGACGAGGATCGCGACGGTGGCTTCGCGGAAGTACCAGTTCATGTAGACGTAGGAGATTAAGGAAGGGACTAGGCAGTACACCTTGTTCAAGACGGCGGCGACAATGACGAAGATTCCCATGCCGAAGAGAATGACGAGGATCAATTTCTGCTTCAGCGGCACGCGGACTTGAAGGAGCATCGGGATGGCGATGAGAAGCATGAACACATCGGCGGAGATGGAGATGCATCCTTGCACGATTTCGTAGTATTGGTAGGTCGAACATTGGACGTTGTCCGGTGGGACAGCCCAGTATTGAGTAATAGGACGGCAGATGAGGAAGAGAGAGAGCTCCGTGGCGACAAACCCAATGGCAACATAGATAGCAATCCAATTAATCCATTTCCGTTGCTTCAGTCCCTCACTGGTGAATGTTAGTTAATCGGATCGAGGAATGAGACTTGGGGGGCACATACGTGATACGGGCATAAATCACCAACATGCACGCCTTGAGACCCCAAACGCAGAGAATGAACGAGTGCTCCGAGACAAACACCCATTTACTGCCCCGGGTTCGCTCGGCCTCGATTTGAGGCGTCAGATGAAGTTTGTCTTCGTCGGTCATCAAATTGGATCCTCCCCGGATGCGACTTGATTTAAAGCCACACATAATAGTGTGTACCAGACCACCGCGAACAACATCAGATAATCATCGATTTGGAGGTTGCGAATGCCTAGACGTCGAATACGGGCGGTACTATCCAGAGCACTGGGGTTAGTGAATGGCCTTGTCTGTTGGGCGACGTTTACTCACAATCGCAAGACGGCGCCAAAGACACCGACAGCATATAACGCCCATGTCTCCCGGGCGAAATTCACCGCAAAGTCACCACCTAGACCTGACATTGCCTGTGGCCTGTACAAGGATTAATGAGGGGATTGAAGAATGCAAGGTCGAGACACCCACATTTTATAAAATCACCCGAGGGGAAGATTAGCTGCTATGTATTAAACTCTCTGATAGGCTCTTCATCTGCCGGCGATCACGACAGGGGGGGGGAAGAGAGCCGAGTTCAAGCCCCAAAACTGTATGTGATAGGTACTTTTGGGTGAGAGATGCAGGTTGTAAGAGCTGTGGAGGATAAATGCTTATCACTGAGCAAGATAGATCTCCGGTGACAGAGTCGAACCAACAAAAAGACCGGGGGGGAGGGGTCCTAATCGACAGGTGGATTCCATGGGTCAAGCTGTAGAGTACTGTCCGTTTCCTTGGATTGCATTTGTTTGGGAAATTGATCCGATTGCGCTACTCTGATTTGTACCTGATGGTCTTTGTGCCACTGCCCCGATCCACCGATGCCCGGGGGCGAACCAGCTTCAGCTGTGCCGTCGGAGCGCATTCCCATCCCACTGTAGGTTTATTGTATAGTGCTGAAAGGAGCTCTGGACCGAAACTTTACCGGCGAACTTGGCAAGAACACCTTACTAGACTAAGCAGGTGAAACTAGAGACCTACGTAACCCTAGTCTCAGTTGTCATGGACTAAGAACTTAATCTGTCGAGGCACGCGAGTGTTAAGCGAACACAGGGAGGGCGTCTCCACAGTGGAGGCTCAGGCGAGGATGGACAATTGCCCATCTGTGATAGTTGGCGCTCATTTGCTGATCCGGAAGGCCAACTGACAGGGATTATGGTCATCGACCAAGATCCTTACTCGATGCGGGACGTAGAGCCTGAATCATCAGGTGTCAACTTCTAAGTTTTGCGCTAATCCCAATGCATCCAGTATGGGGCTCTCCGTCCTGCATGCTGATTGGCTAATACCTTGGTTGCGGCATTTTAGAACGTGGATCCGAGGATCTTTACTCCGGCGGTCCCGTCTCCAGTCTGAGAGGAAATGGGTCTCGGGGGAAGTTGATGGGGTAGAGTGTAGAGGGTACATATGGGGAATACACAGGACAACTGGACACGCCTCAATTTTGGGAACTCACACCCAGCAATCTAAAAGAACAGTACTCCGTAGTGGCCAAATAGTGCGAGTTCAATCCCGAGTACGAAGAATGCGTCATTTCCTCCAACTTGCTGGACCGGAAGCTCCGAACCAAAAAGGAAATTAGACTTTCCTAGTTTATTCAGTCGGCGCCCAAACTCACTGAAAATCAAACCAAATCCATCCCAAGGTATCCGTGGCGCTATCTTTTAGTGCGTTCTCTCAGTCTAGATCGGTGCACACGCCACCCTGATCTGGGGCTAACTTCAACAGAGTGGCCACGCCACTGCAGCTGAACTATATACTAGCATGCATTTCTAGACCCCATCGCTTAATACAGAGGATTAATATAATTTGACTTGGCTGCTGTCTCGGAGGTTTCCACTTGATGAAGCTTCCTGGACTTAATACCCATCTGGGTTTAGTCCCAGGCTGCAGGGCTGTCTAAAATTGAAGACCGCCCCCAAACTTTCAACGCCCGGTCGCATTAGTCGTCCAGACATAGATTATGGGTGTCCACATCGGTTGCTACGGTCTTGGATGACTGGGTCGTATTGTCAATAGACCAAGGTCCCACTACTGTACAGGCTCTGGTGCGACCATATGCCCATTGAGGTCCAGTCGCCTTTCAGCTATTCTCCTAGGAGTATAGGCCCTCTCCTTTACATTGGACTTGTTTCACTCAGAGAGTATTCCTTGGCTGCGTCTGGAAATTAAGACGGCAGAAACGGAATCTCGGGGCCGACGACGGAGCAGGAGTACGTGGACTGTACTGTATAGCTTGGACAATGTGGAGGGTAGGGGGGGGGAGTCTACTGTAGCAAGAGAAAGGTGGATGTGGATTTAGTCTTGCAATGCAGCGGCAACTGCATTCTACCCGAGATGCATCGAGTTTCGGTTTCAAGTTCAGAATACTAAGCTGCATCTGGACATCGGTTTAGAGTCTTGGAATACACTGATAATGCAATGGCCGCCGTTTGAGGGGTTCGCCAATCACTCCACCATAGGGACCCGGCATCGTCAATCTCCCGTTGAGTAGACTCAAAGAGGAAAGATACAGAGATGCCAGTCTGAAGATGAGGGTGCCAAGACGACAGACACTGATAAGAAAATTCTTTCTGCTGAAGCTCCCCCTCTGGGTTAAGCGCGATGCACACCCTCCGCGTTCCAGCGAACTTTCCGTTGGAGTTTGGCTCCTTCGCCTCCGATTTCGCCCAATGAGATTCTGGAGTCGACCCACTGCGAACAAGTTAGCCACCGAATGATGCACATCGCCAGGCCTGATTGGTTGGAGATCCAGCATAACTTATAGGGGGTGGAGTCGGGATTACATGGTCGAGCCGACTTGTTCGGCCCATGCTGGTGCTTGTATGTCCGTCCCCATATATCCCACCGCGTTCCCTCTTGTTTTTGGTTTGTAGCTCTTCATCTCTCGGTTCTGTTCCTTTGTAACAGGAGAGTGTCTGGAATTTCGACTCTCGTTCTCTCATTATCTCGCTCTCTTAGTCGCCCGTTCACCCGTTGGAAAAAGAAGTCTTGTGGATTCAAGGGATATCAACTCCCCCCCCCCAAAATGTCGATCAAAATGGACCGGTCCGACAAGCAGGCCTATGCAGGCCCCGAGAAAGAGGTGGCGCCCTCCCCGGATCACTCTTACGACCACGATGCTCAGGATGGAGAATTGGTGAATGCGTCCGGTCATCGCCAGGAAGTCGAGCGGAACTTCAGTCTGATCAGTATTTGCGCTGTGGCCGTGACGACCGGAAACACCTGGATCGCTCAAGGTGGTAGTGTGACGGTGGCCCTGACGAATGGTGGACTGGCCGGGACTATCTATGAATTGTATGACTTCCTCCGGTCGTACGAGATCACGACTGCTAACCATCTGCAGCATTGCCGTTTCTTTGTGTTACTGGTTGGTAGCCGCGTCTATCGCCGAACTGGCCTCGGGTATGCCCTCATCTAGTGGTGTCTATCACTGGGCAACGGTCACGGCTGGCAAGTACGGCCGTGTGTGTGGCTTCTTCGCAGGATGGTGGAACTGTCTCGCCTGGATTCTTGGTGCCGCCTCGATGTCGTTGATTATGGCTCAGCAGACGGTCTCCATGTATATGATGACCCATCCCGACTTCTCCCCTTCGGCGTGGAATACTTTCCTCGCCTTTATTCTTTGCACCTGGTTCTGCTGCTGCATTGTGCTCTTCATGAACCGCTTCTTGCCATACATTGGCAACCTCGGAATGTTCTTCATTCTGGCTGGTGTGTTCATCACTATCGTTGTCTGCGCCGTGATGCCCTATGTGAATGGTACTCCGTATGCCACCAATCAGCAGGTGTGGGCTGAGTTCGACAATGGCACTGGATACACCCAGACTGGCTTCGTTTTTGTCGCCGGCATGCTGAACGGTGCCTACAGTGTCGGCACTCCTGACTGTTCATCCCACTTGGCCGAGGAGATCCCTCAGTCAGTATTTCCGCTATATCTCTTGTGACGCGAAAAAAAGCTAACTGAATCTCTAGGCCCAGCCGTAACATTCCCAAGGCAGTCCTTGCCCAAATGGGTGTCGGTTTCGTCACTGGTATCCTCTACATGGTTGCCATTTTCTACTCCATCAACAACCTTGACGATGTCATCGGCTCTCCGTACAAGTTCCCCTTGGCCACGATTTACCAGCAAGCTACCGGATCCCGCGGCGGTGCTCTCGGTCTCCTGATTGTCGCCTTCTTGCCAACCTTGATTACCGCCTCTGGCTGTTACATCACCGCTGGCCGTACGTTGTGGACCATCTCTCGCGATCGTGCCACTCCCTTCTCTGGCTGGCTCGGACATATCAGCCCAACCTTCGGCAACCCCTTCAACGCCACTTTGACCTGCGGAGGTGTCGTCACCGTTCTAGCCTGCATCTACCTCGGCTCGCAGACCGCATTCAGCGCCTTTGTTGGTTGCTTCGTGCAGCTGTCCAGTCTGTCGTACTTCTTGGCAATCTTCCCTCACATCATGACCCGCCGCTCATCTTTCGTTCCCGGATACTTCTTCATGAACAACAAAATCGGCTACGTCGTCAACACGCTGGCCTGTATCTACATTCTCGCTTTCGTGGTCATCTTCTGCTTCCCCTTCGCCAAAGAAGTCACCCCACAAAACATGAACTATGCCAGTCTTATGACTGGTGGCTTGACCCTCTTCGTTACCATTTGGTGGTTCGTTCACCAAGGCTCATACGAGGGTCCCAAGTTCGTCCCCTTGACTGACAAGGCATTGGCGGATGATGCGAAATAAACCGGCGAGGAATAGAGATTCAGATGATTGTTTTCATATACCATTTTGTTCGGAATACTTTTTCTTCGTTGATGATCTTTGCACGATCAGATGCTCCTTTTCATGATGCGCCCTTGACGTTTTATACACCCTTTTTGTACATTTCTAATTATGTTGGGTTTGACTCTATACATAGCTAAAAAGCATAATTTTCACATCCATTTGTCTGGAATGTCCTCTTTTAGTCTGAATACCCACCTTCCATGCCAAGATCTGTAGGCTCCATCCTAGACAGAGTTAATTTTTATCAATCTTCTGCTGTTCTAGACCAGTCCCTTGCAATTGGAGCGATCTATTAACATGGCACGTGACCACGCGTCCCGCGACTTCGCGTTTCCCGACGCAATCTTCACCAAGACCAGCCCAACCATGGTGTTCAAGCCCTTCAAGTCTCCTTTGATTAGGCAGCCACTCCCATCTACAGCAGGTAACACGGATGACTCCGTTCCTCCCGCGAAAAAACCCCGCCTGCTCAGCGACGATTGCACACCCGACCAAGACGCGAAGTCAACACCGCTAGCCAGCCGGAAGCCACTTGTACAGGTCAACAATAAAGGCACAGATAGTTCCATAACATCCTCGGTGGGGTCGCTGAAAGATGACTCAACGGACGAGAAATATTTCAATGTCCTATGGTAGGTCTCAAACGGGCCTCTGGGCCATGGTTACCATCATTAAACCAACCCCCGATGTCGAATACAGCTAATACTTTTATAGGCGCAAACCAACTGCCAAAAAGCACAAAACATGGGATGGAGACGGAATACTCTCCTTGCGCGGAGGGCTCGTCTCCCTGCGAGACGTAGCCGGGAAAGAGATGGGACGCAAAATGCACGAATCCACACTCGAACCAGGATCAATGCTCTCCATATCCGGTAAAGAAGTCGAAGTGGATTCCGAGATTTCTCGCTCTGAATATTTCTCTGGTCGAAGGTTTCTAGATAGCGGTAAACCAGAGCCGGCGCCCGCACCAGTTGCGGTGAAGAAAGAAGCACTTCCAGCGCGGAAGAAGAGTCAGGCACAGAAGCATGTCCCTACTGCTGCTGAGCGAACTCAATCTCTCAAGCGCTCGCTGGCATTGGTGACTAATCCCTCGGCGAACCCTGGGAATGCGCCGGCAGCTTTTTCGGCGTACAAGAAGCCATTGCTTGAAAATACGGTTGTTCCCAAGGTGGCCGGGAAGGTCATTCCGCGCCATGATCCCAAGGCACTGGGGGCCTTGGTTATGCCGCGGCCAAAGTCTGTGCCCAAGGGGAGACAGGTTGTTGATGTTGTTGTGGACCCGATTTTGTCTAAGAACCTACGACCACATCAGCGGGAGGGTGTTCAGTTTCTGTATGAGTGTGTGATGGGGATGAGGTCTTTCAATGGGGAGGGTGCTATCCTTGCTGATGACATGGGATTGGGCAAGACTTTACAGACCATTACCCTGCTTTGGACTTTGCTGAAGCAGAATCCTGTCTTTGAAGATGCGCCTGTCATTAAGAAGGCTTTGATTGTTTGTCCAGTTACTTTAATCAACAACTGGCGGAAGGAGTTCCGCAAATGGCTGGGCAATGAGCGCATTGGTGTGTTTGTCTTTGATGACAAGCAGAAACGCTTAACCGATTTTACCAAGGGACGGGCTTACAGTATTATGATTGTTGGATATGAGAAATTGAGGACGGTGCAAGAGGCTTTAGCCAACAGCTCCGGGATTGACATCATTATTGCGGATGAAGGGCACAGACTGAAGACGTTGCAGAACAAGAGTGGTCTGGCCATCCAGTCGCTAAGTGCTGCGAAGCGAGTCATCCTGTCTGGTACGCCGATTCAGAACGACTTGAGAGAATTCTTTGCCGCCGTGGATCTGGTCAACCCAGGCATTTTGGGGAATTTCAAGTCTTTTATCAAAGAATTTGAAACGCCAATTGTTCGGAGTCGACAGCCAGAAGCTACAAGCAAAGAGATCGAGAAGGGAGAATCAAGAGGTGAGGAGCTGAGAGAACTTACCTCCAAATTCATGCTCCGTCGGACAGCAGACATCCTAGCCAAATATCTCCCACCAAAGACTGAATACGTCCTGTTCTGCAAGCCAACACGGCCTCAGGCAGCTATTTACAAGAGCGTGCTCGCCTCTCCGGTCTTCCAATATGCCATGGGCAACACAGAGAGCGCTCTGCAGCTCATTACTATCCTCAAGAAACTGTGCAACAGTCCGTCTCTATTAACAGCCAAAAATAAAGACAATTCTCCAAACGAAACTCTTACGACCCTACTCGAATCTATCCCTCCGAATCTGCACCGACACCTCTCTCCGTCGTCTAGTGCGAAAATCCGCGTTCTGGACCAACTCCTCGATAGCATGCGCAATACCACAGACGAAAAGATTGTCCTGGTATCAAATTACACATCAACTCTCACTCTACTCTCCACCCTACTATCCTCTCTCGGTCTGCCCTATCTACGGCTAGACGGAAGCACACCTGCACAGAAGCGTCAAGGTCTAGTCGACGACTTCAATCGCCTTCCCGCAAGCTCCTGTTTCGCATTTCTCCTTTCGGCAAAGGCAGGCGGTACAGGTCTCAACCTGATCGGTGCAAGCCGTCTCATCCTCTTTGACGTCGACTGGAACCCCGCGACGGATATTCAAGCCATGGCTCGTATCCACCGTGACGGTCAGAAACGGCCGTGTCGCATCTATCGGGTTCTACTGAAAGGTAGTCTTGAAGAGAAGATCTGGCAGAGACAGGTGACGAAGCTGGGTCTTGCGGATAGTGTGATGCAAGACAAGAACAATAGTGTTGCACAGTTCTCCGCCGCGGAACTGAAAGACTTGTTCCGTCTTGATGAGGAGAGCCGTTGCCAGACTCACGACTTGCTGGGCTGTGAGTGTGGTGGGAAGGGGCTGACTCCTGCTTCTGGGCCCTCGTCTGGTGTTGCTACTCCTGCCACTGGTGACGGTGATGGGTCCGACCTGTCTGAGCTCTCTGAGCCCCCGTCCGACGATGATTTCGACTTGCCCGATCCTAGTACCCTCCTCAAAGCTTCCGAGGTTGATATGGAGAAACAGGAAAAGGCAATTCGAGACCGGTCCCGGAGGGGAACGTTGAAAGACAAGAAGGGGGATGATAAATCCCGAAGCCAGAAGGATAAGATGCATCAGTCTCTGGCACAGTACTCGCACATTGATCCATCTTTACTCTCTGGCGAAGCTAACGCTGCTGGTGTCGATGAGGATCTCGAGGCTGCTGTTGATGACGATGTGCTTGTTTCTTTGCTAAAGGATGAGTGTAACATGATTGGGTATGTCTTCAAGAAGACTAATGGTGCGGAAATGAGTACATAATGTTGGGCTCGAGGTATTGTCTGGGTAGCGGCATTTGCATGTTGTTATGGCTGGATCTCTGTTTAGATTCTTACGTACGTGGATACAGCAGATACAAATTTACATCAATAGAGCTATCCACAGGAAGTATCAAATGAGGTGTACAGTGAAACAACGTCCCCTTGCACTCAATGATCCGACGCTGGAGTTTTCAGTCTAGTAATCCTTGAAGAATAAAATTCGATAAATCCAGCTCCAGGAAGCTCTTGCACTTTTAAGACATGTAACGTGGACCAAAAGAACAAGATTTCATAGAATGAAGATAACATTCAGAAGAAGTATATGAGAACCCATAGATGGGATATGATATCTATGAAAGAAAGGAGTCATTAAGTGACTGACGATATACAAAAGTGACAGAGAAAAGAAAGTCAGTAAAGGAAAGATGATAATCAAAGAGAGAGAAGAAGAAAAAAGGCCAACCAGCACAATCACAATACACCACCCAAATACAAACCCATATCCACATCAATCCCATATTCACACATACAAATCCACCTGGCTCATATATCCATGCCAGACTCATTAATCATCCCCACTAATACCTAAGCTTGCCAACAAGCCCAAAGGTATAAGCCGCCTCGGCTTCACTCTTCATTTGAATCATGAAAATCTTGCCAGAACCCGTCGCAACACCACCCTTCTTCGCCACGGATCCGTCTTCATTCTCTTCGCGAATGGAAATGGCAATGCCCGTACGAGCAATGCGCTCAAAGGCACTCTCGCCTAGACAGACATCTAATAGAGTCTCGCCGCGAGTCTTGCCCCGAATGACAATGCGTTTCTCGGTCTCAACGCCGCGGCGTGGAGATGCTGCCCCTGAGGCGGGTGGGGAGCTACCGCTCGCGCCGTCGGTATCACCCCTCTGTATACTGCTATCGCTGCGGCCACTGACGGCTGTACCTGGGCGAGAGGGGGATTTGGGCGGGGCGGGCATGATGGTCATGCGGGCGGCGCCCATGTCGCGCCATTTGGAGGCGGATTCACGGGCGTACAGGCGGATCTTGGCGTTCGAGAGTCCGATACCGTCTGCACCCTTGATTGCTGCTGCGATACGGCCGATTCCTGAATTGGGGGATGGGTTGGTGCCAGAATCGCCGGAGCCGGAGTGGAGGCTGTCTTCACGGCCGGCGCGGGATTCGATTGTCGAACGGGAGATGTTGAACATCTTGCTGCCGGCACCGAAGCGCTTCAGTGCGGAGAAGGCACTGCTCATGGTTCCTACACTGCTTTCGGATCCTTCGGCCAGAGAGCGGGGGAGCTTGAGGCGCGGTAGCTCTTTCTGCGGCGGGGCCAGCCGAAGAGGCCTCCACCGTTCTTCGTGGCAGGCTCGAAGGATGCAACGGGGTGGCCGGTGAATGGTCCACGGGCGTTTTGGAGAGCAATGTAGGTCGGGTTGTTGATTCTTGCTTGGTTGATCAGGCCGTAGAGTGCATCGCAGTCATCGGGGCTGTGCGAGCGGAACATGATGTTATTACTGGTTGTGATCTTGGACCGCTCAGTGGGGGGAGAGCGAATGCTGATGTCGATGGCAGTGCCACGACGAATCGGAACGAGTGGCGTAAGTTCGAGAGAAATCAGCGGCCTTGATGAGGAATTGGGATCAGATCCCATCTTGAAGGCTTCAATTAGACCAGGGCTGACAATAATATCACAATCCTCAGGAAGCAGAGTCTCCCAGCTTCCTTTTTCGGACCAGGCGAAAACACCTGCAACTGTTTTGGATGTCTTGGTTGGCTGCAGTGGCACGGCACGGTATCCTCCTTGTGAAGCAGAGTTAGAGGGCGAGAGAGAGCTGCCTTCAAGAGTCGATTCAGCCGCTCTAGCCTTGGGGGTGTCTTGATAATCTTCATCTTCATCAGACACGGATGAATAGTCGTCCTCCGAATCGGACGACCCAGCGGATCGAGAGTACTCAGACGAGGAGTAGGAGTAGTGTCGGACGGTTGACGCATCTGAATCGGTCTCTGTGTAGTCCGAAGCGGTTGAAGGCTCATATTCGTGCTTCAGCGGAGAGGAGCCACGACGTTTGAGTCCACCACTGCTAGAAGTGAGGACTGGAGTACTGGAACGCTTGCCAGTGGAAGGGCTGGGTGAGCGATGAGGTGGGGGAGGCGGAGGACTGTCATCGGATGACTTGTGTCTCCTGCGAGACTTCTTCCTCTTGGATCTTGTGGGTGTTTCTGGAATTTCGCGCTCTGGGAGCGCATCCAGTGGAGGATAATCTTCCTCGTCGTCATCAACAGTTGTTGGGGTAGACAGATGGGTCTGACTACTGGGAGTTCGGATCTTGGGGATCAAAGGAAGAACGGCTGACGGCACAGATGATACCCTTGGTGATTCGGGTTCGGGCGACTCTCTAGCAGGTGTCTTCTGCGGTGACTTCTGTGGGGTTTTCTGAGGGATTCTCGAGGGTTTTTGACTTGGAGAGCGAGCGTCCGCAGAATCAGTCATCTCACCACCGTAGAATCTGCTGGCTGTTGGCGTAATAGCCGCTGGGGTGCTCGGTGCGGGTGTAGCTGCTGGTGAAGATGCAACAGTGCTGTCATCAGGCTTGTCGGATACAACAGTCTGTTGGGATGCAGTCTCCGAAGCTGGGATTTCGCCATAGCGCGAAAATCTCTTGGCTTTGGATCGTTTGAGTCCCGCGGACGATTTCTCGGGGCTAGTAGGCGAGTTCCGAGGATCAGTAGAAGGAAGTAGAGGCAGATCAGGCCGGGATGGCTTTGCGGACAAATCTGATCCTCCGGTGGTGTAGTCAGTCTCTCGGGTGGCGGTAGAGTACAAAGAGCTTCTTGCGTCGGTAGCAGAGCTGACAGTACTGGGCTCCGAGAAATGTTCCTTTGGAGTCAATGAGCGACGTCGTCCAGTGGCCTTCTCGCCGATCGGAACATCAACGTCATTGTAATTGGACCTAGGGGGTGAGCCACTGGCGGTAGGCTTGCGGGCCTTATTCTGCTTAGCTCGACTGATGAAGCTTTGACTTCGGCAGATTGACGGTGGAATAGGGTCCGAACCAAGCAATTGTACCCACTCAGCTCCGACTTCTTCTTCGTCAATGCGGAGTGAGATCAGTTCTTGCCAGTACTTGGTCGTATCCCCAGGAGCACTACGCAGCATGATCACAATCTCTTGCCTGGATTCCCCCCTGCGAGCTGAGACACATCGCACATCCATAGGAGGGAAAAGCAACCAACGATCGGAGTGGTCAATCTCACAAATGAGTAGATCACCTCCGGGTCCTTTGCTTGAAGGGTTGTCTCGGTATAACAGCTCGGCCCGGCAGTCCACCAGCTGACCACTAGAGTGGTATAGAGATAGGTTGAAGAAATCGCGCGCTCGAACATGGCGAGTCTGATCAATAGCTATACCTCGGAGGACACCCAACGTCATGGGGTCCCTAGTACGGGTTGGATCAATACTAGCAGCAGAGTCATCTTCCAATCTCGATCGTTCGTCTCGAACACGTTTTCGAGCATCGTAGACAAGACTCTGGTAAGCTGTGGCCATTTCCTCGGCCTTGGTGGATGGTGCCAGCAGGTTAATGCCCTTGAAGCTCTTAGCCAAGTACTTGAGTCGCACTAGAGGCCGCTTCAGGAGATAGGCGACATCGACTTTTTCTCCGTTGCTATCGATGATATCGCCATTCTCGTCCCGCTCCAGGCCTTCGTCTAGGCTCTTTGTGTCCGCGTTTTGAGAGGACTCGTCCTCTTCAAGGGGAGCGAGATTGACAATGACATCTTTGAAACCAAGTCGCCATGCCTTCAGGTACTCGCGATAAACTCTCTGGGCACCTTGTGCCCAGGTAAGCAGTGCATCCGCGTTATCTTGAGGGATCCGCTTGTGCAGGTTCTTCAAGCGCTCAATTGCAACACCCATGTTGACAATGGGCTTTGAGAAGTTCACATCATCTTCGGGGTCCAGAGACGGGCGGAAAAGACCTGCAGCAATTGCAGAGTCAGATCTAGAGAGCACACAAGTCAGAAGTACTGGAATGACACCTCCGACCAATGTCTTCAGTTCCCGCATGTACTTTGTCTCGTCACCCACGAGCTCTTGAAGCAGATCGTCAACGGTGGCGTGTGCCAATCGACTCTTATTGGTACGGATACTGCGATTAGATCGAGTGCTTCCCCTTCGGGATGTCGAAATGGACAAAACAGACATCAGATCATTATGATTTGTGAGTCGTCGTTTCAACTGGGACGACACGACAGGGAGGGATTCAGGATCAAACTGGTCATCCTTCTCTGCTTCTTCTGCTTCTTCTGCTTCCTCAACGATCTTCGACTGGTGTTTGTCGTTCGTTCCCTTTTTGGGTGCGGGTGCAGCTCCATCCGTAACAGTAGTGCTGAGAGTTTCAACCGAGGCGATTGTCGACAGTCTATGATAACCAGTACTAGGGAAAGGTTTGCTGTTTCCAAGTGGCACAGGTGCATTATGGCCCGAAACTTCTGATTCTTCTGACAAGAGCTGGGTCTCGGATTCTGAGGGTGCGATGCTTTCTTCGAACGGCTTGTCCTGAATCGGCTTCTCTTCCTTGATCTTAGTAGATGACTTTGAGCTCTTGTCTATACTTGATCGGTTTGATCCCTCGCCTGTTTCAGGCTCTTGGGACTTGGATGACTTGTCGGTCGAAGAAATGCTCTCCTTGCCTTTCGAGTGTCGACTCACGGCGCTCTTCGGGCGAGAATCACTGATCACAGATGGTTCAGACTCAGTGCCAGTCTGTAGCTCTCCATCTGCAAGTCTTTTCGACCGCCTTGCTCGGCCTGACTTCAGATCCAATGGGGCTGGCAGATCACTTTTGTTCTCGACTTCGTCCAGAAAGGGGTCTGGTGTCTCAGACAGCCACGCCTCAATTTTGGCTCCACGGCCTGCGGTTGGAGTCGGCGTAGGTCTGGGTGGTTCTGGCTCAGGCTTCCCAAACATCTTCTTGGACTCATCGATCATGTGCGCGAAGATACCTCCTTTTGGCGGTTTTGGCGCACCGCGAGCACGCCTCTTTGACAACTCGGAGAAGTCTGCTTCGCTCGCTGCCCACGCATCTGCGGGGGAGGCGATCGGTTCCTGTGCCTATCCGAAAGCTCTGAGGCCGCCCCGGGCTTGCCGCTGTCTGTCTCGTAGTCGCTCTCGGTGATTATGTGGATATTGCGAGTGCTGGGCATCGAGTCTCGAACTGGAGATCTGGGGCCCGCCCCAGAGCTTCGCTTTGAGAGTCGAGGAACGTCTCGCTCATCTTCGCTGTCGTTGCGTCTCGATCGCGAGGCTCTCGGCTGTCCATCATTCGTGGTATATTCGGAAATGCGCTTGGGCGGAGGTAGGTTACGTGACGAAGATTGCGTCGAGGCTCGATTTCGTGTCTTTTTCCAGTGTTCGTCGCTAATCACTCGTTTGCGCGGCGTACTGTGGCTGCGCTTCCTTACCGCGGGCGGGGTTTCCTTCGGTCGCTCTAGCTTTTCTGGTTTGGCTTTGGCTGGCTTCGGTTTGGGCTTCGTGGCATTTTCATCTTCTTCTGCGCAGACGTCATCGACCGTGATCACTCCGCCGCCTTGTTGTTGCCATTTCCGTACTCGAGAGCGAACGGTGTTTGTATCGTGGACGCCCAAGGGCTCTCCAATGTCCAGTGACTTGGCCTTCGCAGTGCCTCCACTGTTGGAGGGGCGTTTGGGTGTCGCAGGAGACGGCATCGGTCTCTATTGCAGAGAAACGGTCAGCAGCAGTTCCAGGGACCCGACACGCGGGTTTGTTGACATCCAGTGATGCGACGGCGGTGGATAATTACCAAGAAACCTGACCCCTAAGTCTCTGGTCAGTCCAGATGGATTATTGCAGGTCAAGCATTTGACGATCGCAAAGCCTTCAGGGATCATAAACAAAGTTGGGGCTGACTCGATAAGCCCCTCTCACTAACTGGTTGCTGGGAAACGGAGCTGCCGCCCAACCATAGTCTTTAATAGTTTGAATGGTCGGAATCGTCTGAGCAGTCTGGACAGTCTGGACGGTCTCTTAAGCAAGGATTGCGCACCTGAGGACTTGATGATCACAGGAGGAGATCATTTGTTTAAAAAGGATTGCGCGTCAGGTGGTTCTGCAGCGTCATAGGGTTGGTCTTTTGTACTTGAAGGTATCCGTGAGTACTGGTGATTTCGGTCTTTTAGTCTGGTTGGTCTTGCATATCTCTTGATATAAATGCTAGTCTATTACGTGCCCTAGTCCCTGTCATCTCTCTCTCTGCCTTGATCGCCCTGTTTGAGCCCCTAATAATGGTCGATTCCTCTATGATGCCCGCTGTTCTGGCCTAACCCTGCTCCACAGGGCGCCCCTCCACAATATAAGCTATGACGGAAGAGGAGCTACTTAGTCTTCTGGTCTTCCGGCTGTTCCTGTCGCTTAATTGCGGCCGAGATAGTGGTGATGCTGCCACACAGATAATCTATAAAAATATCCCAGGTTAGCCGAGAAGGGGAATAACGGTCCGGAGCTGCACAACATACAGAACGGGACTACAATCCAGATAAAATTCATCAAGAAATAATACAGCCAGAAATAATACGGCTCAGGTCGGCAATACGGCCGTCCATGGGCATGGTCAACCAGACTGGTCGCATAGTACAGCGAGTCGCCGTAAAGATGGCTCATGCAGACAATGACCTGGAATGGGTGGCGCAGGGAATGCCTGGTTGCGGTCAAGTATGCAACAGCAAAGCACAGGGGTCCCCACAGGAGCTGGAGGTGAATCAGCGGTGAATCGGTGAATCGGTGGCATCGTCGTGGTCTAGCTTACCACCGTCATGGTCTCCATGCAAAGGACCAACGTGTCCGAGGTCATATATCGAGAATCGGACAGGGCATATTCTTTCCAGAGTTGCCCGAGCAGGTCTTGGGCAGATGCCATGTGTTCATGGTGGATCATGAAATAGCCCTCGAAGAAACAGTGCACTGTTCCGGCTAACCCTATTGTCAGTGTTCATGCTTCGGGGTGAATTGCAATTGGCTTCTTACAGAGGACAAACCACAGAATGGCAATTCGATCTGCCAAGCGTAGTGTCGGTCGTACATAGCTGGCCAGTACAAAAGTCACACCGAGGAGTATAGTACAGGCTCCACCAGCAGAGAAGAGGAGCTCCAGAAGCGGTGTTTGGTTGGGCTCATACCCTACGATGTTGGCATCAAGGGGGTAGTAAGGATGAAAAGAGCTCTCATGCATGGTGTCAGATCAGACAGACAGGCTGAGGTAGAAACCACGGGGTTCGAAGTGTCTAGTCCCAATGTAACTTAACTTGTAAGCTAAATAAAGACTGTCAATGAGAAGGTGTCAGAATGTTTGGCTCGGGGGCGGTGGAGATGGTGAGAACACAATCCTTTACCTCTAGTCCAATTCGAATAGGAATATTGCACTGATCATAACCATGCCAGAATGCTCCTGCATCACTGTTTCCATCCACTGATCTCTTTCTACAACTATCAGGTCGAAAGGAAAGTGGTAACGTGACTCGCAACATTGTTAGCTAGCAACTGAACTTATATATCTACCTACCACAATCAGACCAAGACACTGACACTGACAAAAAATTGGAAACTGGCCCATTTGGGAAATGCTTGGATGATTTCCATATCAAATTCTCATACCAAAATCGGTATACTCATAGTGGACAACCAATCAACAATCAAGTCAAAGTATAGATCCCGATGTTCTGCCTCAGGCACAAAACATAGGGACCTTACGAGGCTCACCCCTCTCATTACCGTGATTCCCCGACATCTTCAATGGAGTCGCCTTCTATGATTCTCCCTCACAATGGCTTCCGAACCTAGACCACTGGGCATTGACGTCCACCGTCCCCCCATGGAGTCACCTCCTGGAATTGCCGCCCTGTTTGTGATCAGCTTCGACATCAGGACCGGGTAATTCTTACTCCTCCCCTGGCATCGTAGCTGTCTAGCTCGGGAATCTATCGCTGACCGGTTGCGACAATAGATATGTGGTCTCATGGAAACGAACTGCCCCTGGAGGTAAGCAGTCAGCCTGCTCATCCAAGACGCATAACTGACCTAGTCGTGTAGTGGAGGTTGAAGGGGTAGTGGAATACAAATCGCTGCCATCGGGACTACACAATGTGACCGAGGACCTGGTGTATGTCTGAAGATGTCTCGCAGAGGATTGATTTGTTCTTACTAACGCGCTCCAGGTATTTTGTCCATGAGCAGTATGCCGGAGTCAGCGCGTTCCTCAATTATCCCGCCACGGAGGCCGAGCGCAATGCGAAGATGTTCGCCATCGGTGTGCTAGTACCTCTCAGCACAGGACGACTGGGCAAGAGTTGGCGACATGCACCAAAGCTCAAGGAGCTTACGCAGTTCGTATCTTCAGGCACCCGGATGGGCTCCTAACTAACACCTATGCTTGATAGGAAATACGCCGCAAACATGGAGGACATGCAGCCGATGTCTGACTATTGGGAATCGTATCGCATAGGAGGACCTGACTCCTCAGCCCCCGACTCACCAATGGACTCGCCCTTGAGTCTCCGATTCCGCCCCGGCGAGCGCCCAGATGACCCGAATCGCACCCGCGCCTTCAGCGATGCGATGGTGCTTGAGACGTTAAGACCAGCTCTGACACCAGACCACCCTGCTTCGTCGCTTCCTGGCCTTATGGACTCCTTCGGGCCTTTGGTTTTCCCTCTGTACAGAGCAGCCTTGCTGCGCAAGCGCATCCTCTTCATGGGCGAAGCCCCCGTGCATACTCCATGCAATTACGGTAAACTCTCTCGAGCTTTATAGTAACGACCCAACTGCTAATCGACATCAGTATATGATCTATCTCTTCTAGCCTCACTACCGAACTCCCTCCTTCAGTTCCTCCCGTCAGATCGCATCCCACCTCTCCGTCCGCGTCCCCTCTTCAATATCGGTATCCACGACATTCCCTACCTATCCTCGCTCGATCCCTCAAGAAGCACACTAGACCCGGAAACAGACCCTAGCTGGATCGCATGCTCCACAGACACAGTTCTAACAATGAAACCGGACCTCTTTGACGTGCTCATCACCCTCCCGGCACCATACACACAACACGCCAGCGAGCGAACCTTCCCCAAGATCTCTCTGGTCCACACAACAGGCCCGAAACCAAACCAAACCCAGCATATCCCTCTGAAAGCAACCCAGCGTGACGCCCGCCGCTTCTCCATGCTCCGTCGCGGTCTCCGCCAATTCTCCAATAGACCCACAACCCCAGACTCAGATCCAGACTCAGACACAGACTCGACCTACTCCCCCAGCACCGTCGTCGAACCCCTATCCTGGACAAGACTAGCCTACACGTCCTTCATCTGGTGGGCGTCCGCCGGCGAGAACCGTGACGGCCTCTCACAGGAAGAAGAAGAGCAGCAAATAGAACAAGATACCCGCCTCCTCGCCAGCGTCGAGTCCCTCGCCAACCCCTCGCGCAACCGTCGCTTGTTCAACCCAGAAGACCCAGCACAGCAACCGGCAGAAGTCGCCCTGGTGGCCTACTTCCGCCGACTAACATCTCAAATCTTTGTGACGCTCGCTGGCGCCATTGCCCGCAATGACAGTGAAGTCCGCGACGACGAAGACGACGTGCCATACAATGATGCGTCGTACATTGATGATCCCGCGGAAGACGATACAGATCTCTCGCTCTCCATGTCGCGTCAATCCATGTACGGGGACGATGGACATAGCCCGCTGCTGCGCCAGCGCTCTGGTGCGTATACGCCTTCGCAGGCCGGGTCTCGGGCCAGCTTTGAAGACCGAGGCGATGGGCTTGTTACCATTACCGTTGCTGATATGGCGGAAATGGGACTTGATGTTTGGAGTGCGGCTGATCGTGTCTTTGTTGAGGAGTTGGTCTCGCTGTGGTGGGGTCGCGCAGCCAAGGTTGATAGTGCCAGGATTCGTTGCTGTGGGATTTCAGTTTTGTAGATGAGCTGGCTCTCTATAGTTGAATATACCCGTGCATTTGTTGATTTGACTCATATATACTGTTCGCAAGGGGTGAGCATGTTGACATCTCAAAGTTGTTTCGAGCTATGAATGAACCTAGGGTAGAGACGATGTTTGAGCAAGCAAAGTCATGTCCATGAGAGAATAAATTGTAACCGAATAGTCTAAAGTTGAAAGTATCCACAAGAAGAGAATTGTGACATAGGAAAAATGAAGAAAGAAAAACGAAGGACACTCAAGCCGAAATGTGTTGAGGGAAGGAGAATTGTGGAAGAGGGCAATCAATCCATGTGAAGTATAGTGAGACTCGTGAAACAAACATAAGGCATCCAATAAAGACCAAAACAAAGAAACAAGAAATAAGATTGCTTCCAATCGCCATGCAAATGAAACCGAAGCAGAACTATGCAGCGCCGGGGGGTATTGAAAACGAGAAGCACCGGCAGACTATGCAAAAGTGAAGAAAGACATAATTACGCATCTTGGATCAGCGTCACCAGGGGATCATTAACGTCGGAACATCCGAACGGGAGCACTCATATCCCGGCGTTCGCCAACCTCGTTTTCGGTTTTGGAATCAGGCCGGAGGTTGGGAAGACGTCGAGGTCCCCGGGTGGCACTCGGGTTGGAGCCGGCGGAAATGCGCGCTGCACGACTGGCCTCGGTGGCACTGACTGATCGTTGTTGGCTGCGAGCACGGCCACGTCGAGCTCTAATCTGAGCGAGGGCCTCTTCCCGGTTGATGGGGGTATCGGGGATACCGGGGTGAGAGGTACGCTGGGATTGTGGCTCTTGACGACTAGGAGCTCTCTTTACAGGTTTAGGGTAAGGTTGAGACTGGTCTCTTTCGACACGTCTCCCGGCCCTAGCTTCTGAGGGCAAAGGTGCGTTCGAGCGATGTCCATGCGCGTCTCTTTCAGTCTTGCGTGCCTGTCTGACTTCGGCAGGTGGGGGTGCTGTCGAGTGATTTCGGGAAACATTGGAGGCAACAACACGGTGCGTTCTCACAGGGGCGGGCTCTCCAGATGGTGTGAAAGACTCGACATGAGGGACCGATGCCGAGGGATTCACTTGCTCCTCGTGGGAAACTTCCTGCGGCTGGGAAAGATCGGGCGTGGAGTCAAATCGTAGAGGTCGGACGTTGTCTCGAATAGGTGATGGGAATGCCTTGAATGTTCCGGTCTCGGGTGAGAATGTAATCACAGGCTCCTCGGGCATCGGCATCTTTGGAGGGTCAGTGGGCTCAGCCTTCACGGCAGGCTCAAAATGTTGGTGAACCGGGGGTGTAGGTGGTTCATCAACGGGAGTCCGACTTGATTGTTCCCGCGCAGGGGGTTGAGGAGAGATAACCTGATCAATACTAGCCTCAGCGCTGTGTCGCTGAGGCGTCACCTCACGGACAGCCCTGGCCTTTGCTTTTTCCGCTGCCTCAATTCGAGCCGCTTCTGCTTGGGCCGCTTTAGCGGCTTCATCACGAGCAGCTTCAGCCTGCGCGGCCTCAACAGAAGCAATCCGGGCAGCCTCTACCCGAGCAGCCTCAGCAGTTTGAATACGAGCAGCCTCGACCCGGGCAGCTTCAACAGCCTTAAGACGAGCAATTTCAGCATGCGCAGCCTCGATGGCCTCAGTTCTAGCGGCCTCGGCCTGCGCAGCTTCAGCAGCCTGGAGACGAGCGGTTTCAACTCGCGCAGCTTCCGCAGCCTGAAGCCGAGCAATTTCAGCATGCGCAACCTCGATGGCCTCGATTCTAGCGGCCTCAACCTGCTCAGCTTCGATAGCCTTAGCACGAGCAGTTTCGGCTCGCGCAGCTTCCGCAGCCTGGAGACGAGCAATCTCGGCATGCGCAGCCTCGATAGCCCCAGTTTCAGCGGGCTCAGCCTCCGCAGCTTCGGCAGCCTTGACACGAGAGGTTTCAGCTTGAGCTGCCTCGGCGGCCTCAATTTCAGGCTTCTGGAACTGGTTGTAGTAATCCCGGTCGTAAATGTAGCGACGGCCTTGACTCTCGGCAATGCGGCAGGAGCAGCGTTCGAATTGACACTCAATGTTCAAGAAATGGACCATTTCTTCTGCGGCAACTCTGCGGCGGCGCTCAAACACAAGATCTTCCTTCAAGTCTTCCAAGACATCTTCATCAACTTCAATTGGGGGTGCCTCGGAGGCTAGTGTTTCATTCAAGGTCGCAACATCGGACAAACGCGGGCGCTTGGGAGGTGTAGCTTCCGCTTCGCTGTCGTCTTGTTGCAGGGCGGGGGATCGGACGGAGCCTGCAGCCGCACGCTTAGGTCTCCGTGGTGTAGTCAAAAAAGCGAGGTCGCCCTCGGCTAATGACATCCTGCCGAAGTCTTCTCTTCGAATCTCGTGGGCACGAACTTCGAGGGTGCTAGAATGATTGTCTGTTTCCAAAGAGCGAAACTTTCCTTTGAGAACTTCAAGTTCTTCGGTTAAACCAGCGAGAGCGTAGGCGCGTTCAAATGCTTCTTGCTTGGCCTTTTCCTTGGACTCTCGTTCCGCTGTTACTTCTTCCTTAAGTGCCTTGAGTTCCGATTTTGAATGTTTCAGTTCCTCTTGGAGCTTCACCAAAGTCGACCCAGCCCGGAAAGCCTCTTTGCGGGCCTTGCGAATTTCTTTCTCGAAAATTGATCGTTCATGTCCTTGGCGTTCTTTGGTTCCATGTAGTTCCTCGAGTAGAGATTCAAGGCGTTCGCTGATTCGGCGTTCTCGTGATTCCGCTTCGGAAAGTTCTTCTTGTGCGGTAGCTAGGGCTGATTCGGCCTCCTCACGACCAAGGATAGCTCTCTGTATGGCAGCATTGTTGGAGGCAGAACCACCAGGACTAGCGCCCCGTGATAGACCGTTCAAGAAAGCCACTTTGGCCTGCACTTCTGAGACGCCTCTGGTGTTTTTGTGGTGTAGTGTAAGCAGGTCGGCCGGTAGCGAGGGTGACGCGGGTATGGTTTGTTGATTCATGCGTTCCGGCGACACCGGATGGAGGGCTTTTGAGGGGCTCGGGGGAAGACGCGTCGGAGACTCCATCGCAGATGCTGAGTTTGTAGATCCAGCCGATGAAGATCACAGTGTTAAAGGAGCATCACAGGAATGAGAAAATAAGGATTATGCCACGGGGGAAAATCACTGTGGAGTTTCACCAAGTGACGCACCCACACAAACATGTTTATTGCCCTCTTTGGAAGGTCATGTGACTGTTGCTGTGGTGATGGTCTGCACCTTCCCCAATACAGTTAGCCCCTCACGTGCTAGATATGAACCACATCGGGTCTAGCGCCTATCGTCATGTCTGTGCGCCGTTAAGACTCGCATTGCCAATATCAAAATTGACAGACGGGCTACTGTGGATATTCTTTATTGCTTGCATTAAGATGCATGAAATTGTTACTCTTCAGCTAGGCCAGCGGGCCAACTATCTGGCAACCCACTTCTGGAACTTACAGGTAATATCAATCTCACTCGGGTGCCCCAAACTTTTTTTAACTCATTAATATCAGGAATCATACTTTACATACAACGAGAGCGAAGAGTCCAATGTTGACCATGATGTTCATTTCAGGCCGGGTGTCGGTGCTGACAGCTCTGAGACTTACACGCCTCGGACAGTAATCTACGACCTCAAAGGTGGTTTCGGTACCTTGCGCAAAAACAATGCCCTCTATGAACTTAGCGAGGACTATAATGCTGGCCAAGGTCTATGGTATGTTTTGTCAAGTAATGAAACACATTGATGAAACAATCAAAGTTAACATTTGGCAGGGATGGCCAAGAGATTGTTCAAAGGCAAACTCCAATCCAGCCCAGTGAATATCAGAGAAGCTTGGATCTGGGTACTCAGGCTCCTCGTCTAACCTCGGAGTCTGTACGCTACTGGTCAGACTACAACCGAGTTTTCTACCACCCACGCTCTATAGTTCAGCTGAACGAATACGAGCTGAACTCCCAAACTATGCCTTTCGAGGATTGGAACGTCGGAGAAGACTTATTTCATAACCTGGACAAGGAACATGATTTGATTGACCGTGATGTGAGACCTTTGCTCGAGGAATGTGATCAATTACGAGCCCTGCAACTCTTTTCCGGGTCAGATGATGCTTGGGGTGGATTTGCAGCCCGGTATGTCGAGAGATTGAAGGACGAATACGGAAAGAAGAGTATCTGGGTTTGGGCTATTGAGGATGGCACCAGAACGCAGAGGGTAAGTAACACAAAGAACACCGTTCTAAAGAGTTGATGGGTTGGTTGGCTAAGTTTTGAACTTTGAACAGCATCATCAGTTCAAGAAAGATACGAACAAGGCCAGGTCACTGTACTCGATATCACCACAGGTATCACTCTACGCCCCAATTATTGATTTGCCACACAAGCTTCCCAGTTACCTCAATGTGGATCGCCAATCAGAATGGCAGAAGGCGGCCTTGATCGCTTCGGCCATTGAGACCGTCACGCTGCCTTCCCGACTGCGGCCGTACCAGCATTTCGAGGCTTCTCTGGCAGGAGAGGATGGCACACACACCATTTTCGAGTTGCAAACCTCGATCAATAAGATCAATGACAGCCATACTAAAACGTCATCCAATGAAGAAGGATCGTCGAAAGCCCAAACTGAATTTGACATTGACTTTGCTTATGACGGGGAGCACCAGGGCGCCCATATCTTCAATCAAGTTCAGGTAACCCGTGGAACTGAACTGGAACAAGAGGGAAAGCCCACAGATGAAAGGGATGTTGGGCATCTCAGAAAACTCAGACTCTACAACTCGGAGGCGATGCTCCAAAGGTATGTCTTTTTTTGGCATATTCCCAATCATTGTCTCAGCCAGGAAAAACTCACACTGTCTATACCCAGTTACCATACGCCCCTTAGCCTGCCTATGCTTGACAGCTTCCCACATGACATGTTCCCCACTCCCAAAGCAGGTACTGGCATCGACGTTTTTTCCGCATTGACCGCTTCGACCCGTACAGCCCACAGCATCAAGGCTCTTTCGGCAACTGCCGCTCGCATGGTCTCGGTTGATGAGCGGGAAGATATGATCAATGGTCTCGGTGAGATTCGAGAATTCTACGAGACTGGGTGGAGTAGTGGCTCGGACGATGAGGATGACTGAGTCCAACATGCCCTAGTCCATAACCGGTCCATGACCAGTGTTGATATCATCGCAATTAAACGAATCCCAGGGTGTAGCCGGCCAAGGCCGGCTAGCCCATTATATTTTTATTTTCCCTGTTTGCTCTATTCCTCAGGACCAAACTTAGCCGGGGTGAACCAAATTATTCCCAGATGAGTGCCTCTGCCCGTTATTCTGCGGGCTTGAAAACCGGGGGATGTGTCCGTGGCGTTCAAGAGTATGGAAATACAATAATCCTGGACCAGCCTCCCGGAAACCATTCGTAGATATTAAGGGTTAGCGTAGACCCCAACATGTGGCGGCAGAGTTTAAGACATTTGCAATATGTAAGACACGATACTATGGCCCTGAGAATGAATGTGACTCCCCGCATTACCCGTCTGACAGGTCCCCCCTCACAAGCATTATATTGGGGGGGGGGGCTTGATGGTATGACTCTCTCTATGTACTAACAGGGGTGAGAAGGCTGGTTTTCCAACTGCATATCCCCGCCAACTGATGTCCTCTGTAATGTGTTTTCTTAAGGGATCATCGGTCCAATTGACAATTCTAGACAATAGTACGGAGTATGTGTTGTACCTCTTCGTAGTATCACGATCTCCGAGACATTGGACCAGGTCAAGGTCAAGATCAAAGACATCATAGAATGGATTCCAAGGGCGGAAAGTCAGATTCCACACTAACAGAAAAAGTCAATAAGTGAATCAGATCAAAGTCAGGGAAGCCAAGTCCAGTCAATGTGTGTAGAGACCAAAGAAACCGCTGACATCACCCACCTGACGGGCACCTTCCTAACCCCTCAGGGGAAATTCCACGCTCCCTCTCTCTCTCTCCTGCATACTCTCGGCAGTCATGTAACGTCACCATCTCTGCCGCTCAGGCACTTGTACTGTATTCCACTTCCAAGTTCTCTTCGTGAGGCACTTTTCATTGATTATCCTTTCCACATCAGTTCCGATCGGTAATTTCCTTTGGGACCCACCGTGGACCCTGCTCACGGAGCAAGTCCAGGCCAATGCAACGAGAATCACTTCCGTGTCTTTCCCGGACCCTACGATGGGTCCCATTCTTTACAATTGACTTCAATGCGGTAAAGCGTGGTCAATGTCCCGCGGAACGAGTCTCGAATGTTCATTCTCATTTGTGAGGTTTCCCCACACATTTTCTTATCTTCAACACATGGAGAACAGGGACCGAGCTCCAGTTTATTTTGAGGATGTGGAAAAGGGTTCCTGGATTGACCATGGTACTGGATGGATCCTAGCATCATTGTGTCTCTCTTGACTCTTGGTATAGCCAAGAAGGGAAATCAGAATGTAAATGAAAAGAAAATTTCTGAGAGGCCCGCACCGGGCACTTTACCAGACATGGATACCATGACTGTCAATCGCAGAGCTACACATCGCTTCGCCAAGGTCTAACCTGCATCGACTTCTGTTCCGCTTAAGCGTCGGGCTTTGAATACTTTGCCTTTGGCCATTCAGACCCCGGTCATCAGTTGACGAACCAGACGCCATCTTTGAGACCGACTCAAGTGTTCATTGGCTCAACCCCAGTACATGTACCTGTCGTCTAGTCAACCGGGCCCGTGTACATGCGCTAGCTTCTTCTTGCATGCGGCAGTACTATACCCTACCTCATGGCCCAGCCTCTGCGCTGGAAAATACGCGGGTCGACCGCTTGATACCGATCGTTCATGCTAGGTCTGGTTGGCTTTCCAAGATCAGGCGCCACTTTTTATTTCCACCCTGGTCTGTTTTTAGTGCTTCGTTGTACCGGCTCATACCAGGGAAATGACCGGTAGGCGGAGTCTAAGTGAGTCAGGCAATCAGGATGCCAATCCTGATCGTCCTGCACCAGATTGGGCTCTTTCAGATGAGGAGGGGATCCAACCCAGAGGACATAAATTAACCCACGCCTCCCCCCATCGTTCTAGCTCGCTTCTGAAACGATTTCGATTCAATATATTTCCCGTTTAGGAACTCTCTCGCTACGGTTCCTATCGTCCTTCGTTTCAAGGGTCTTTCAGCCCTATCAACAAACGAGCCCTACTTTTACATCAACCACTCGTTTACTAGCCAAGATGAGGGGCGCTCCAATTGTTCTGCTCTATGCCGCGACCCTGGCGTCCGGCATGGTCATTACTCCCAGAGAAGCTGAGGCTCGCATTGCCATCCGCGGTAATGGTGGTGGTGACGGCGGCAGTGGTGACTGGTGGGGTCACGATGGTGGTGACCACGGAGATCACGGTGACCACGGCGGCAGCCCGGAGACTACTCCATGCGAGACCGAGACTCCTCCTCCCGTAGAGACCTCGACTCCATGTGAGACTGATACTCCCACTCCTCCCCCGGTTGTGACTCCTACTTCTACTCCTTGCGAGACTGATACTCCGACCCCACCGCCGGTCGAGACTTCTACTCCTTGCGAGACTGATACTCCTACTCCTCCCCCAGTTGTCACTCCCACTTCTACCCCGTGTGAGACTGATACTCCCACTCCTCCCCCGGTTGTAACTCCTACTTCTACTCCTTGCGAGACTGATACTCCGACCCCACCACCGGTCGAGACTTCTACTCCTTGCGAGACTGACACTCCCACTCCTCCTCCCGCGTCATCTACTCCCTGCGAGACTGATACACCCACTTCAACCCCGGCTACTTCAACCCCGGTCTCTCCCACTTCTTCTCCCGCTAGCTCTACCCCCTGCGAGACGGAGACTCCTACTACTCCTCCTCCCGCTAGCTCGACTCCTTGTGAGACTACTACTCCCGTTGTCCCGCCTCCCGCTAGCTCTACTCCCTGTGAGACTACCACTCCTGTGTCTCCTGTCTCTCCTCCTCCCGCTAGTTCTACTCCCTGCGAGACTACCACTCCCGTTGTCCCGCCTCCCGCTAGTTCTACTCCCTGCGAGACTACCACTCCCGTTGTCCCGCCTCCCGCTAGCTCTACTCCCTGCGAGACAACTACTCCCGTCTCTCCTCCTCCTGCTAGCTCTACTCCCTGCGAGACAACTACTCCCGTTGTCCCGCCTCCCGCTAGCTCTACTCCGTGCGAGACAACTACTCCCGTCTCTCCTCCTCCTGCTAGTTCTACTCCCTGCGAGACAACTACTCCCGTTGTCCCGCCTCCTGCTAGCTCTACTCCCTGCGAGACTACTACTCCCGTCTCTCCCGTCTCCCCTCCTCCCGCTAGCTCGACCCCTTGTGAGACTACTACTCCCGTTGTCCCACCTCCCGCCACTACCACTCCCTGCGAGACCTCCACTGTCACCCCCCCTCCTGTGGTCGTGACTACCACCTACACTACAACCACCTGCCCTGGTATGTTGAGCCCAATGATTGCACAAAGATGATTGCTAATTACATCAGTGACCTGGTCTACCGTCTCCAGCGGTTCATCGACCTACACTCACCCTGTGACCCAGACGAGCACTCTCACCGTCACCTCTGTCTTCACCTGCACTGAAGGTTGCGAGCAGCCCACGACTCCCCCAACTGTCCCCACCACCCCTGCTGTTGAGCCCACTACTCCTGCGGTTGAGCCAACAACCCCAGTTGTGGTGCCTAGCTCTTCTGTCGAGGTTCCCCCCAAGGCTACCTCCCCCGCTCCTCAGCCCTCCGGCGCTGAGCCCACAGGAACTAGCCCGGCTCCAGTGGAGTCTTCTTCCGTCCCCGTCAGCTCTTCCACCTCTGCTCCTCCTGCTTCTTCCTCGCCTGCTTTCAACAGCGCTCCCGGTCAGTTCCAGAAATCCATTGTGGCCTTCATTCCTGGTCTGGCTGTCCTGTTTGCTCTGCTTTAAGTGGTCACCAATGAAGTCACTCCGCCTTAGAGATACATCATCTTTATGGACTGTGGCGCAATGGCGATTGGACAGACAGCTTCGTTCAAGATTAAACCATCATGAAAAGACTAAAAAAATTGTATTCTGGATATCTGGTCTTCGGGGATGCTTGAGTTTTTGTTATACTTTACACGAGTAATCTGGCAGGACGGTTATTAATGGGTTGACGACTGACGCTCCTTATCCATGAGCATGGAATCCTAATATAGTCATACATAAATTAGTCAATTGATATTTCTTTCATAACTACCTGTTTCAAACAACTCCATTTACTATACTCCAAAGAAAGCTCGAATACAGATAAAGAAAAAACAAGGCCATTCAACTCAGCCCTGCGCCCGACTTAGGGCTCTTATGTAATACGATAACGATAAGCAGTGCAAACCTGCCAATGTTTGCATGATGACCCGTGTCCTCATCCAACAGCTCTTTCAGGCTTCACGTTCCAAGTGGCCACAGTATCCCTTTCCGGATGGCTTAATTCCTCTGACTCAAAATCATTCCTCTCTCCACTCCCACCCGTCGACCTCCCACGACGCCAAACTCGAGCTCTTCAATAGCTCCTTACAATTCTCCGTCTCCGTCTGGCGCAAGCTAGCGTCCCACCCGAATCCCGACACATCACGGCTGCCCGCCGAAACATAAATATCCAGAGAACCCGTTTAATACCTTTATATACGTGCTTGAGCTGGGTGACCTGTACGATCTACTGGAACTCACAATCGAATCATCAACTTGGCTGACTCCCGCAGCCGGAGCACAAAAACCTCACATTATGGCATTCAATCGCCGACGATTGCCTAACTCTCCAATGCTATCCCTCGTTGTCCTCCCCTTCCTCATCTTCCTTCTCAGCTTTGCTGGGCCAGCATCGGCCGCCGGATCGGCCGTTCTGGGCATCGACATCGGCACCGAATATTTCAAGGCCGCATTAGTGAAACCCGGTATACCACTCGAAATCGTTCTGACCAAGGACTCGAAGCGCAAGGAGTCAGCCGCGATCGCGTTTAAGCCTACACGAGAGAGCGATGCTCCTTTCCCCGAACGGTTCTATGGTGGTGATGCGCTTGCCCTGGCGGCTCGGTACCCGGATGACATTTACATCAACCTGAAGACTCTTTTGGGAGTTCCATTTAATGATGGTGCCGATGAAACTGTCAAGAGTTACTGGAGTCGGTTCCCCGCATTGAAATTGGAGACTGCGCCTGATGGTCGTGGCTCCGTTGCTCTCCGCAGCAACCGTCTCGGCAAGGAGCAGAAGAAGGAGGCTTTCTTGGTTGAGGAGATTCTTGCCATGCAGTTGAAGCAGATTAAGGCTAATGCTGATACTCTGGCTGGTAAGGGCTCCGATGTTCGTGATGTCGTCATCACTTACCCTCCATTCTATACTGCGGAGGAGAAGCGGAGCCTTGAATTGGCCGCTGAGCTTGCTGGTTTGAAGATCCAGGCTCTGGTCAGTGATGGTCTCGCTGTTGGCTTGAATTACGCTACCAGCCGCACTTTTCCCAGTGTTTCTGATGGCGAGAAGCCCGAGTACCATGTTGTCTACGACATGGGTGCTGGATCGACCTCCGCTAGTGTCTTGCGTTTCCAGAGCCGCAAGGTTAAGGATGTTGGCAAGTTCAACAAAACCATCCAGGAGGTTCACGTTGTTGGTGCTGGCTGGGATAAGTCCCTCGGTGGAGACTCTTTGAACGATCTTATTGTCAACGATATGGTTTCCCAATTGGTCGAAGACAAGAAGCTCAAAGACAAAGTTACCGTCGCCGAAGTCAAAGCGCACGGCAAGACCATGTCGAGACTTTGGAAGGACGCAGAGAAGCTTCGCCAAGTCTTGAGCGCTAACACGGAGACTTCGACCAGCTTCGAGGGTCTGTACGATGATGATCTCAACTTCAAGTACAAGCTCAGTCGGACCAACTTTGAGAAGATGGCCGCCGAGCACATCGCCCGTATTGGTACTCCCGTCGAGCAAGCTTTGGCTGCCGCCGGCCTGAAGCTGGATGACATGGACTCTGTCGTTCTCCACGGTGGAGCTATTCGCACTCCTTTCGTTCAGAAACAGCTTGAGAAGCTTTGTGGTTCTTCCAAGAAGATCAGAACTAACGTCAACGCCGATGAGGCGGCTGTCTTTGGTGCTGCTTTCAAGGGTGCTGCCCTCAGCCCCAGCTTCCGTGTTAAGGATATTCGTGCCAGTGATGCGGCCTCGTACCCTGTGTCCTTGAAGTGGAACTTTGACGGCAAGGATAGAAACCAGAAGCTTTTCACTGCCACTTCTCAGGTCGGCCTTGAGAAGCAGGTCACTGTGAAGAACCTGGAAGACTTCGAGTTTAGCTTCGCTCAACACGTCGCTGAGAACGACGAACAGGCTATCCTCAGTGTTCAGACTCTGAACCTCACTGCCTCCGTGGCCAAGCTCAAGGATACCTTTGGTTGCACCGCTGCAAACATCACCACCAAGTTTGCCATTCGCCTCAGCCCTGCTGACGGTCTCCCCGAAGTTGTAGGTGGTAACGTCAGCTGTGAAGTTGAGTCTGAGAAGAAGGGTATTGTTGAAGACGTCAAGGGCTTCTTCGGTCTTGGCAAGAAGGATGAGCAGCAACCTCTCGTCGACGAGAATGGCGATCCCCTCGAGTCTATTACCCTTGAACCTGAGACCGAGTCTGCCACCACAGCCTCCGCCAGCTCGACATCCACTACTACGTCTACCAAGGAGGCCAAGGCCACCCCCCAAATCAAGACTGAGATTGTTCCCATCAGCTTGAAATCGACTCCCCTCGGAACCCCTGCCCCCTCGGCCGCAGAGCTCCTTCGAATCCACGCTCGTCTTTCTGCCTTTGATGCTTCCGACAATGACCGTATTCTCCGCGAGGAGGCTCTCAATGAACTGGAGTCATTCATCTACCGCAGCCGAGACCTCGCCGACAACGAGGAGTTCATCAAGGCCGTTAAGGCCGATCAGTTGACCTTCCTCTCCGAGCGCGCCTCCAAGGCCAGTGACTGGCTGTACGAGGAGAGTGACAACGCCAAAACCGCCGAGTTCCATTCCAAGCTCAAGGAGCTCAAGGACATCGTCAACCCAGCATTAAAGCGCATGAAAGAGAGCTCTGCTCGCCCTGCCCGCATTGAACTGCTCAAGGACATGCTCAAGAACGCCGAGTCCATGAAGGAGCTGATCAAGAACCAAATCGAGAACGACGAGCAAACCTACTCGTCTTCCCTCTCCGCTTCGAGCGCCACCTCTACCGAGTCCGAAACCGGCACTCCCACCCCAGCGGCCTCCGACGAGGGTCTCGACGATCTCGATGAAGACGCCTACTCCACCTCCACGACCTCTACCAAGACTGCCGCAACCCCCAAGCCCACTGGCCCCAAGTACTCCCTCTTCAATCCCACAGACCTCATCGCCATCACCCAGGCCTATGAGTCCACCGCCCCCTGGCTGGAAACCCAACTCGGTCTTCAGGAGAAGCTGACTGAGTCCGACGACCCAGCCCTAACCCTGGTGGAGGTTGATTCCCGACTGCGTGATTTTGAGCGCATTCTCAACCGTCTCTACGAGCGGATGAGTGCCGCTGCGGGTCAACAAAAGAAGAGTTCCGGCAGCAAGGGCAAGAAGAGCAAGCAGTCCGACTCCGAGAAGAAGACCAAGGCCAAGGAGCAGCCTAAGAAGGAGCAAGCTAAGAAGGAGAAGGAAGACCTTCCTAAAGATGAGCTGTAGAATATTTCTCGATCTCTTTATCTGCTTTCTTGGCATGTTCTGCATCTTGTTTACCTTTTTTTTTTTTTCCCATGTCTTATCTTAAAACGCACAGAGCTTTGTCATTCTAACGCATCCCATGTATCATGCATCCTACATCAAAGATAGAGAAGAATAGCAATGGAGTTTGGAATGAGCGCCACTTTGGCTTTTTATCTCTTTCTTACTTTGACGAGCCTCGACCCATCTATCTCATCTTTCCCGTAGACCTTCAACTCCCACTCATTTGAGTCTAATACGACTCGACGCACCACACAGCCAAACCTGGCTTTACCATCCACCCTTGGTCTTTCCCTTGCCCTCGCCAGATCCAGCAACGACACCAAGGCCTGAGCCAGCCCCAACACCAGATCCAGATCCCCCTCCGACGCCGCCTCCAAATCCTCCAGAAATTCCAGTCCCAATGGTGATACCGCCGCCGCCACCACCAGCAAGGCCTGATCCAGAACCACCACCCGCACCGAGGCCACTGCCGCCTCCTCCGCCACCGGGGCCTGTAAAACATGAATTTGTTAAAATGTCTTCTATGGTTGAATTGCATTGCATTGGGGAGTAGTTTAATATGTGATCGGCAGAGAATTAACGTACTGGTTGGAGCAGCCATGGCAGCGAGGGCCATGCCGAACAGAACGACAATATAGTTTGTTCTCATATTGGGTAGCTGGTGATTTAGTCTGGTATTAGCTTTCTTGTTTATGTGAACAAATAGTACAGTAGAAAGAAGGAGTCATATAGCTTAACTTACCAAATAACTTTCGAGTAGCTGGATTCGCTGGCTGAGACTGATGTCCTGAACACTGGGGAAAAGGCTCAAATTTATACCCCCGGACTCAGCTTTACTTCTTTTTGAATACTCCGACTAGATGGCCTCAGGTCGGAGATTGAGTGGATTCCCCAGAGTCAAGTATAATGTTTCATGCGCATGATCGGGTCAGCGATGCTGTCCGAACGTTGTATTTTGAAGTTATGGGGGTTGTGCTGCATATTGCCTTTTATTTGCTTGTTCGTAAAGATGAATTGGATGTGTATAATAACAATTTTTGTAGCTAGTAGATGTGATCTCGGCTATCTTATGTAGGTTTATGTTAGTATAAACTTGGATCTTCGCAATTGACATGGGCTTCTTTTGTACTCATTGCATGGCATTTTGCTTGATGCTCAACTGAGGGATTAAATAACCGCGATACTGAGCTCTCGTCTAGTCTTTGGAACTAGCCTGGCTTGTTTGTAAATAGGTCTTTTGATCTGAGGTACACTCATGCAGTCTGATCCGGGGGGAGAGACAGTTGACCTTTTCCTTCGGCGCGAGACTGCTCCATCTGCATTTGAAAGCCCTTCAAATACTTACAAAATATCAGAGTGACATCTAACCCTACCCGATTGATGATCAGGATAGCAAGATTCTCGGCTATTAACGGAATATTAAACTGCACGTAAGCCAGAAGTAGGACTGAGTTGATATGCATGTTTTGGCTGCGTTAAGTGGCGTGATTGGCTTATTTGAATATGATATTAGTGTCTGAAACTCACCTAACGTGATGACTTTTGCATTGAAACTCCCCAGGTGGTTGATCCTTAGTAGAATTTACTTTTATTGGCGGTCAATCAAGAGAAGCTTCAACTTTCGTGCCTAGACTATTGTGGACCCTTTTCTTTGTGAATATACATCGTAGTATGCGCCAGGTACTATTAGCACTAATCGGTTCCGGACATGCTTACTACAGGTACAATTCAAAATCAGGCAAACCAGATGTTTGAATGCAGAGTATTTAGACATCCAATTGCCAATTCCTTTACTACTTGCTCCCAACAGCGAGCATAACTAGCGAAAGCTCTAGTAAATACTGTGCTATGACTGAGAACCCATTTGAAGCAATATAAACTTCAGGTCTAGCACTCTCCAGTAGCGCTTCCGCCCACGCATGGACTCCCGGTACAGTTAAATCCAACCGGATTCACCACATTTCCACACAAGTATGACTCTGCAGCAGTTCCATTACTCAGGAGAAGGGTGCTGTCTCTGATGGCAATATTGGTACACGGCGCTACTGCACTGCACTGCAGGCTTGCAACTCGCGTTGACTTGCTGGTGCCTGATAGACCGTTAATTTGCACATTCTTGATCTGGAATTCTGAATTTGTGCAGTTGCCTTGACCTGGTGCGCCCGAGAACCGCGTGCACTGAGAGATTGCGAACGCAGCTCCGCGGAGTCCTGTCGTGGTCAGATTGGTGAGTTTCATATCGGATGCGACTAGTATTTGTGTTAACGGTATTAAAAGCAGACTGTGTAGGCCAACCATAGGGCCTCATGAAAAGTAGATGATACCCAATGGGTCAAGGACAAAAGCTTACATCCAAGTCCGCCGCCACCACCGTTCGGTGGGTAGCCGTTCTGGTCGGCTGTCCACGTCTTGATATAAAACTTGAATGCTTCATAATCAGAAATATGATCATATATATGTAGAGCTTAGTTGCAATCTCTCGAAATCGATCACTCACGGCATGTAAAGTGTTGTAGTATTCGATGTTTTTCGCTGTCACCCTCTCAATTGTCTCAAATTGGTCTTTGTATTGCCCAATACTCCCCATAGCAATGCCTAGCCCGTTATAGAATTTGCTGTTTGTGATGGTTATGTCAGTGCTGTTTCCTTTTAGAGACAAGCTGTCATCGCCATTGTAGACGGTCCAGTTGTTGAATGTGATATGTGAGGATCGGATGGTATTGGCCCCATCAGTGTTAGCTAGGTCAATTTAGCACTCAGTCTCTATGGGAAGAAAAAAAAAAGGATTTCATCAGATCACTCACAGCTCTGTGCCCAGTTTCCTGTGTTATTGACGAGGATATTATCCAACAACACGTTATGAGACTCAATGATTGACATTGTCCTTTAGAGCTGATGTTGGCAAATCAAAGAAAACCAGTTGACAAAGACACTCAGCTGTTTACATACCACATCTGACTCCTCAGAAAAGTGAGACCACGAATTGCCGAGTTTTTGAGGTTACTGAAAGTCACAGCGTGCGGCCGCCCTGGATAGTTGGAAGTATTGGGCTGCTTTCGGATCCATTGATACCAATAGTCCCCATTTCCATTCAAGATACCTTTGCCGTACCCGTTAATTCGAACATTATTACCGCCGAGTATGAAGGCTGTTGACTGGTTTTGATATCCAACATCCATTGAGTTGTTCAACCAGTATACGATATCAGTGCTCCACTGACCAGAGAGAGATATTATCAGCGATTGAGCTTGCCAAGGAATATGACCAGCAATGCGTAGCCTGAATAGGAGATATATTTACCAGAAGAGTTCCGTAGATGTCTATATCAACATTGTCAAGCCAGGAAACGTTCATAGCCGAATTGACATAATATGTTGTAGGCTCGAATACAACTCTTCCGTTCTGGCCGCACTGTTTGAATGCCTTCACAATCGCCGGTGCATCATCTGTCGCGTTGCTGTCGCCACTCTTGACTGTGCAGCTCTTTTGGTGATCTTTGGCGGCCACGGGACTGAATGAAGCCAGCAAAGAAGCCAGAATAACCGGGACTGAGTGCCACATGGTGAATACGAACTTGGATACGACGTTTGAAAGTGAAATTCCCTTTCCATTGCACTATATAAGATATTTGTCCTGTCACACTCCATCTCCCTGTCGGTCTGTCTTCGTCCGACTTCGAGCAAGGTTTGTAGCTACTGCCGGTGCAAATCGAGGCAAACGAGATGATGGGCAGTTAAGTTCCTGAACAGGCACATGTGCTTGTCGTTTAGATAATTTTGCACCAATGAATGGCAGCTGGACTGAACAGCCATGTCAGGTATGCCAAATGCCGCTGTCGGCCTGGTTTGAACCGAAGGGCAAATAATCTCCGGCGCGGGATATGATTGCGGGGGTGCTTGGCATTTGCGGTTTGAGCTTCGATTCATGAGCTTCTTTCAATTCAATTCATACTAGTGAAGATTATGAAGAAGTAGAAATAGCTGGCCGTTAAGTATCAACCCTCAATTGCGTTGCTGCGACGTATAAGGAGAACTACGTATGTCTTAAATCTCAAAATATGATATTGAACCTGTTCAATCGCCCATTGCTTCCAACTGTTTTTGAATATTTGTATCAATTTGTGATAGATTGGGACAAGAGTCTCATTGCGGGCCATTCATACATTTATCTTTGTTTGTATTTGCTTTTGCCCCGGATTCTAGTCTAACTTCTTGCAGTCCAGGCACCCAACCAATCGTGCAAAGGAGTTCTTCATATTACGGAAGCCAAGCTATTATGAGTGATGCCAAGTTGAAACATTTGATATTCCTCTTTTACCCCGCATTGTCGGTATAGCAGAGACCGAAACTTGAATGACAAGGACTAACTATAAATGTAACCCTAAGGGTTGATCCATGTCAGGCCGAGGGAAAAGTTATCAACATAGTTGACGATTTCATAATGCGAGTATCATTTGCTATTCTCGCGAGCTTCTGGATTCTCTCGGCAGAGAGCAAGTATATTGTGCCCGGAGGTAGATGGCATGATACAAATGGCTCGTTGATCAATGCACATGGGTCCGGAATCACCTTCGACCAGAAGTCCGGTCGTTTCTGGTGGTTTGGCGAGTACAAAACACAAGACCAGCCGGAAGGCGGAGGTGTGTCTGTTTATAGCTCTGAAGATCTGAGTACTTGGACTCCGGGGGGACTGGCGTTAGGTACATTTTGGAGTGAAAATTTTGAATTGATCCTGAAAAGAAGTTGACGTTTGGAAAATAGCTCCAATTGAAGGACATCAATATATCTCGCCCAGTAACATCATCCAGAGGCCAAAAGTGGCCTACAGCTCCGATACTGATGACTATCATGTAAGGCGATACTCTCCTTATCTCACCGAAACCAACCATTCTGATCGAATAGATGTGGTGGCATGCCGACAACTCAAAATATGGGCTTCTTTTGCAAGGTCATGCAGTCTCTTCCAAGATTGGTGGACCATACAGCTTCGTCGATGCAACTGCACCCCTTGGAAACTGGTCACAGGATTTTGGGATGTTTACTGACTACAAGGATGGCCGGTCCTATGCTCTCTACTCAAATGGAGATAGTGTAGATGGACGAGATGTATACATCTCAAGCATTAATGACAATCTTACGGCCCTGGAAAAGACCGTGTATCGATTTCCAAAATTCGATCTCGAGGCGCCTTCTATCATGCAGACAGACAAAAGCTACTGGGCATTCATGAGCCACAAGACTGGATACCGGCCTAACAGTATGTGATTCCATCATATTAGTTCTCTTGGCTGGGTGTATGGCTAATAATTCAGATGTGGTGGCATTTCGAGCCGATTCATTGAGTGGGCCTTGGTCCCAGCCGTTCATTGTTTCCCCATTGAATACGAGGACCTTCAACTCACAGTCGGGGTTTACACTCAGAATCAAAGGAACAAAGAAGACTACATACCTCTACATTGGTGACCAATGGGACTCCAACTCTGTCTGGGATAGTCGCTATATTTGGTTGCCGATTGAGGTTGACGAGAAACGCAAGAGCGTATCTGTGGAGTGGCACGACGTTTACGATCTTGATGTGTATGTCTTTCTCGGCATCCAAATCATTTCAATCGTACTGACTACAAACTAGCAATACTGGAGAATGGAAAGAGATCAAGGGCAAGACTTACAGTGCAACAGATGCGAAGACCCAAGGTGGTGCGTATAAGCAGGAGGCTGTGAGTACATCAAATTTCTGTATGCTCCATGTTTGATGACTGACTGTGCAAAAGAACTTCGCCACCGACGGATTGATTCTCACCGGAATATATGGAAATGACAGCACAGTCACGTTTGAGAACATTGAGGGCTCTGGCAAACCACAATGGGTCTCATTTTACTACCAAAGTATGTCTTTGCCTTGTTCCTATGCCACCCAGAAGATTCTGACTAGATTATCAGACACAGATGATATGGGCTTTGGAGATCAACGTAAGTACGCTCATTATCTAAACTCAAGACTTAACTCTGATGCATTCAACTTCAATAGCTGGAGGTACCCCTGACAGAATCGGCGGTTCGTGGCAGCTGCGTCGAATTAGCAGTGTGATGGTCAACGGAGATTCGACGAACATTGAAACCCTATACCAGAGAGACACACACAAAGGAATCATCCTGTCCACTCCGCTTCAACTGACATTAAAAAAGGGAAAAAGCAACAAAATAACCATTGGGGGATTATACAATGGGTTTGATAATAAAGGCGCAGACTTGGATCGGATAGTGGTTTACCCTGCGGAGGATTAAATACTTTTACGGGTGGAATAAAGTTGCAGAGATGAAATAAATGTGACCCTAGCCATCAAGTTTCAGCCATTCCCCAGATCAATCTCATAGATGCAGTTGGAGATACTTCCCAATCAGGTAATAGGGCTTCCCCGCATTGGCCCTACTGCGCTATCCCCAATCGGTCAAGAAAAGTTCCTGGAGCTCGACCCTCTCTCTCTCTTCAACCCCACCCTCCCCAAGCAATTGACAATGGAGAAGCACGATCTTGTGGAGTCGCCGCGCAAGCGCCAAAAGACCAGCGATGCTGGCCCAGAGCAGATTGTGGTTGCTGGCGACGGCGCCGCAGATCTCCCGATCACGGCCGCCGCGGCTTCAGACGCCCAAGGTGTCAAAGAAATTGAAGTCGGAATCACCGAGTTTGTGAGCTCTGACAATCAGGGATTCTCCGGTCTATTGAAAAAGAGGTAAGCGACTCTTGTTGCGTGTTTTGGAGCCATGCTAAGCTGGCGCAGATACACCGATTTCATGGTCAACGAGATCACGACCGCCGGCGAAGTTGTTCACCTCCGCAACACGAACGCACCGAATGCTGCCCCCAAGCCAAAGCCTGTCGAGAAGTCTCCTGAGACAGAAGTCAAAGCCACGGAGGTGACTGAGGAATCTCAGCCAAAGGCCGAGCCGGCACCAGTCGAATTCCAAGTGTCGGAGGAGGACCGCGCGCTGCTGGGCGAGTTCTTCGGCGCTGAGAATGCCACTACAATCATTACCATGCACAAGGAAGCAATGGCTAAACCTAAGGCTCGGCCCAGCGAATTTGGAAAGGTGACGGTTGCTATCTCTGACCGCGATGTGCGTACCAAGATCCACCAGAACATTCGTCGTATCTTCAACTCCGAGATCGACTCTACCACCGACCAGGATGGCAATATGGCAATTACCGCAGCGAACAACCGTTTCAAGCGTGCTCCGAAGCAGGCAGGACGCGGCGGCGATGGCGCAGTTCGTGGTCAGGGACCCCGAACCAACTGGGAAGAACTTGGAGGACCCTACCTGCATTTCACAATCTACAAAGAGAACAAAGACACCATGGAAGTCATCTCTTTCATTGCTCGTTCTCTGAAGATGAACCCTAAGTCTTTCCAGTTTGCCGGAACCAAGGATCGCCGCGGCGTTACCGCGCAGCGTGCTTGCGCCACCCGCGTTCTTGCTGAGCGACTTGCCAAGCTGAATCCTACTCTTCGTAATGCTACTCTTGGTGACTTTAAGTACAGCAAGCAGGGCCTGGACCTCGGAGATCTGCAGGGCAACGAGTTCTTGATCACTCTACGTGAGTCTGACATTCCCGGTGTCAACCTCAGTGATCCCGAAAGCGCAGTCGCCAAGGCCACCGAGGTCGTCGGCACCTCTCTGAAGAACCTCCGCGAGCGTGGATACTTCAACTATTATGGTCTTCAGCGATTCGGAACCTTCACTACTCGGACTGACACAATCGGTGTCAAGATTCTACAGTCAGATTTCAAGGGTGCCTGCGATGATATCTTGTCCTACAGCCCTCACGTTCTCGAGGCAGCAAAGCAGGGCGATGCTTCAACGATGAACATCAGCAACGATGACAAGGCTCGTGCTTTGGCCATCCATATGTTTGAGACCAAGATTGCGACCGGGGCCAACACCGCCACCAACGACATCTTGTCGAAACTTCCGCGCAAATTTTCCGCCGAAAGCAATATCATCCGCCATCTCTCTAACTCGCGTAATGACTACTTGGGGGCTCTGCAATCTATTCCCCGCAACCTGCGGTTGATGTACGTGCACGCATACCAGTCCCTCGTCTGGAACTTTGCTGTCGGTGAGCGCTGGCGACTCTACGGCGATAAGGTTGCGGAAGGTGATCTTGTGATTGTCCAAGAGCACCGTGACAAGGAATCTGAGATCCCTGAGGCCAAGGAGGAGACTGTTGATGCAGACGGCGAGATCATTATCGTTCCTCAAGGCGAGGACAGCGCCACTGCGGCTGAGGACATGTTCACCCGCGCCCGGGCTCTGACTGCTGAAGAAGCAGCCAGCGGCAAATACACTCTCTTTGACTTGGTTCTCCCCCAGCCTGGATACGATATAATCTATCCCGCCAACCAGGTGAAGGACTTCTACAAAAGCTTCATGGGCAGTGAGCAGGGCGGTAAATTGGATCCTTTCGATATGCGCCGCAAATGGCGTGACGCCAGTCTGAGTGGCAGCTACCGCAAAATCTTCAGCCGCATGGGTGACGACTACTCGTTTGATGTCAAGATGTACTCCAAGGACGACCAGCAATTCGTCCCAACTGACATGGACAAGTTGAAGCAGCGGGAAGCCGATGTCAACATCGCCTCAGATGAACAACCTGATAAGCTGGCTATCATTCTGAAGTTCCAGCTGGGATCCAGTCAATATGCCACCATGGCTCTTCGCGAGTTGACCAAGGGCAAGATGACTGCCTACAAGGCTGACTTCGGTGGCGGAAGATAAAGAAGGGACATGACCGATATGCCGTACATCGCCTTGCAGAGAGGCCTTTACAAAAAACCACATTGACCATAATATTCTGATCCAAGTGACATAATCCTAAGCAAATAACTAGTAGATATCCAATTGACGTCTATTGCCTGAAACCTCTTCTCCAAGCAAATCGGCCCTTGCTACCAATAGAGTCCCTTCTTGCTATCACCGAAGCGGTGCGGGGGAATCCCCTCTTATCCTTCACAGTTGACCCCCGGCTATACTTAACCTTAGCGAATATCACCCATCTCAACAATTGTCGGGTAGGCCTATACTTTAGCGAATATCGCGCAGATATACCGGCTATACCTTACCTTTGCGAACATCGGAATTTTTAAAACAGATTTAAAAGGGCCAACATACTACTGCATTTGCACATATCTTAGCACTGTGTTTTTGGCAAGGAAGTCCTTTCTATTCCTTCTTTACTTCCAAGATCTGGAATTGCTGCTTTCCTGTTCCGTTTCTTCCCCCCAAACTTCCTTGTATAAAGTATCTGGAAGCTGTTATTCAATATGTCTGTCGTCCACCCTTTTGATCCTCTCTCACCTCGGGAAATCGCTCAGGTCGGTGCCCCTTATACAATGTGCTATGGATTGAATTGCCTACCTAACTTAACAAGTATACAGGCTGCCCAGATCGTTCGCGAAGCATTCAAGGGACATGATATCAATTTCCGAGTGATCACTCTCCAAGAGCCGCCCAAACAGCAGATGGTCATTTTCCTTGCGAAAGAACATCTCGGGGAGATTCAATCATCGCGACCTTCACGAGCTGCAAGAGTTCAGGTCACCGTCCCATCTGCATCGAAGTCGTACGAGTTCATTGAACTGCTTCTTGATCTTGACTCTGCGAGAATTACAAAAAAGGAGCACCTGGTGGGAAAGCACCCCTACATCGACAGCGAGTACATGCAAGCTGTTGAAAAAGCTTGTAAAGAGGACAAACTAGTTCAAGCAGAGATTCAGAAGCTCAAATTGCCAGCGGGCGCCTCTGTCGTTATTGAACCATGGGCCTACGCAACGGATGGAATGAAGGATATGTCGGAGCGAACAACCATGGTATGTGTGTTATCTCGCCTTGCCTCAGTATTAGATCTAAAACCATGATATTGGAATTCTAGTGTTGGTTCTATATGCGCCTTCTTGACCACCCCGATGCAAACTTTTATGCATACCCCCTTGATGTATGCGCAGAAGTATCAGAGAAACTTGAAGTGACTCAAATATACCACTTACCATCCTCCGAGAAGGACTGGGTTTTTGGACATGCACGGCCTTATGACCATGCCAAGCTCCATTCTCCTGCACTGAGTGAGTATCATCCCGATTTGCGACCCACGCCTCGCACAACTACGAAGCCCTATCAGGTCATCCAACCAGAAGGTCCGTCTTTTCAAGTCACTGGGAATCTGTTGAGCTGGGAGAAGTGGACTATGCGCGTGGGGTTTAATTACCGTGAGGGCTTGACACTTCATGATATTCGCTATGAGGACCGAAGTCTATTTTACCGTCTATCTTTGTCGGAGATGTTTGTGCCATACGGTGATCCGCGATCTCCATACCCTCGAAAGGCCGCTTTCGATCTTGGGAATGATGGTGCTGGTCTCAATGCCAACAATCTACGCCTTGGATGTGATTGCCTTGGTCTGATCAAGTACTTTGATGGCTGGCACAACACTGCATCCGGTGATCCACTCAAGCTTCCAAATGTGGTCTGCTGTCATGAACAAGACGATGGTATCTTATGGAAACATACAAATCATAGAACACAGAATGCTGTGGTGACTCGGTCCCGGATTCTGGTGTTACAGACGATCATTACGGTCAGCAACTATGAATATATATTTGCATTCCACTTCGGCCAAGATGCTTCAATCCATTATGAGGTGCGAGCGACCGGGATTTTGTCCACTTGCCCAATCAACACGAATGACAAGGTTGGCTATGGCACAATTGTTGCACCTGGTGTTCTTGCCCCATACCACCAGCATCTATTCTCGTTACGAATTGACCCGGCAATCGACGGGAATGAGAACTCCCTGCAAGTCGAGGAGTCTCACCCCATGCCAATTGATGACCCAAGTATTCACAATTCCTTCGGCGCTGGCTATACCACAAAATCAAAGATTATCACCGAAGAGGGTGGCCACGATCTCGATTTCGCAACCAATCGCACGTTCAAAATGATCAACGAAAACAAGGTTAACCCTATCACTGGAACACCAGTGGGTTTTAAGATTCTGCCATGCTATAGCCAGATGTTACTCGCTCACCCCAAATCATACCATTCCAAGCGATCTGAATTCGGTAGCCATGCCGTCTGGGTGACTCGCTACCAAGACGACGAGCTTTTCCCAGCTGGTCGACACACGATGCAGTCGCTAGGTGGTGAAGGAATCAAGTCTATGATTGAGCAGCGCAAGGACGATCCCAACGGGAACTCAAATGTCCGCAATGAAGACATCGTCGTCTGGCACACATTCGGGTCTACGCATAACCCTCGCATTGAGGATTGGCCCGTCATGCCCTCTGAGAGGATGGTCGTGGGCTTGAAACCAATCAACTTCTTCACCGGCAATCCTGGTCTGGACGTCGCTGTCTCCAGCCAAGACAAAAGCCAAAGCGTGTTGGTTGAAGATGCTCCAGCTGTCAAATCGGTTCCTTGTTCACATTTGTGAATTTGCAAGCAGTCAAAGTTAACCCTTGGATCAACATTGAACCTGAAAACCTTAGTACTTCATGCTAGTTCTATTGTATGCATTTGAATGCTTTCCCATATGTAAGTGACACTGATTGTTTAGATGGAAAATCGAAGTTGTCTGGACTACCTCATATTGCACATTACCATACAGAAAATCATCCAATGGGACAATAACTCAGTTGGGAGAGTGTACGACTGAAGCTAACTCAGTCCGAATTCGTAAAGTCGCTGGTTCGATCCCGGCTTGTCCCATTTCTTTTTTGCTTCTTTCTTTCTGGTGCGGCGAGGACTAGTGGGTCGTGTTAGCCGCAACTTTGTCTTGTCTGTTAATTCGCCGAACACAAATCTTTTACTGTACATGTATAGGGTCGCCTGGAATCTCACGAAACCATCTTTTTTTTAGTAAAAAGAACATGGCTAAGTTATGGCAACGAGAGTGATAAAATACTGTCTGAATCCGTGGTATCCGGGGATCAAAGACTGAAGCCTACTATTGCTGTGCTTACTTAGCCTATCTTCACCTATGAGCCGATGGCCGAGACATACTGAACAGCAGCGCAGAACTTTTCAGGTCATTGAAGAGAAGGGCCATTCAACCATAAGTAAAGTAAAACAATTGAGTATTCAAATATACACGATGCGACTGACCAACATATCCGAACACAACCGGCTGTAATATGACTGCAACATAGACTAAGAAACACATAGAACATTCCTACACAACGCCTCCTTATATCGTCCAATTGAAAAACGCATCAAGCTCTCCTCAATCGTCACCGAAACTGTCTCCTTTCCCCATCCCTAGTCGGTGAAACAGCACCAAAAGACGAGACATCGGATACCTCATCAAACTCTCTATCACGTCGCCTTCCATCCAAATCCGAGACTTCGGAAACAGCATCGTCATCCGGACCATAGGAATTATCAAATGGCATTCGAGTCAATTGTATTGTTCCCCGTGACGGCGACCTGAACTCCTGCTCTGTAGCACTTCTTCTATGATCCAACGGAACAGCGACAGCAACTCCTATCTCTGTACTTGAGTCATTAGGTCCAGGCTCTTGAGACAACGACATCCGGCGTGTAGAACTCGGGCTCGGAGTTGGATCTGGACTGGGTTCTCCGGGAGAGGGGGGCGGAACATTGAGAACTGGCAGTCTCGACATAGGGACTGCGGCTGTGGGGGTCGGGGGCTTCGGGGATAGTGCTGCATACTTAGGCGACGCCATTAACTCTTGAGTTGAGAGGCCGGTTGTTTGAGTTGCCGTCATGTCGTAAGGAGGTGGCAAGTTATGGCGCTCTTTTTCACGGCGGCGGCGTCGTGCGAGGAATATTATCAGGGCTATTATCAAGGCGAGGCCTATTATTGATACCGGGACTGCGATTGCGATTTTGGTTTTTGTTGAGGTGCCGCCCGAGTAGGAGCCTGGCTCGGTAGTCGATAAATCTGATTTGGTCTGGTCCGTTGTATGCTCGGGTGCTACAAAAGTGGAAGTGATGTATAATGAGGTGATTGACAAGGCTGGCGTAGAGAATGACGATGAAATTTCGACTGAAGACAAACTTGCCGACGTTGTTGAGGTAGTTGCTTGGGATGTAGTCGAAGTTGATGGTGTCCATAGTGTTGGTTCCACTCTGGTAATCTGGTCTTGTGTCGTACTAGTCTCCGTGCTGGTCTCTGTCGTTGAGCTTGGGCTAGGTGGAAGTGCTGTCATAAGCTCACCGGCAGAGAAACTAGTTGTACTTGATGGTGAGAGACTCATGGGTAAGGTGTCATCCAGGGCACCGGTCTCCGCCTGCGTTTCAAGGTTGATATTTTGACCGACTGGTGAAGTAATTGCTATGTTTGCAACCGAGCTCACAGATGAACTAGCTGAGTCCTCCTGTTTGGATAAGTCATCGACCGTAGGCTCGTAAAACATGGGTATGAATCTCACCATCTTTGGTAGTATAAAAAAGTTGGGCAGCGCGGATGCCCGGCTATAGTGGTTTTATGTAAGGACTCGAAGGCGAATTCAACAAAGAACAACCAGGAAGAAGACAAAAGGCGTGTGACATGGGATAGATTCCATTCACTACCACTTCCAGTAATCTCCACCGCTCTTTGAGGCCTTCCAGGGACTGACTTGCAGATTGGATGCGACAGATTACAAGTGAGAGAACCGGGCATGGGAGAAAAGGTAGATCTTGAATTATCACGGTCACTTACAGCCCACCAAAATTGAACTACCCAAGGCTCCAAGGTGGGGTTCAGCATGAAGCACTGCCTTCGAGGAAACTGGGGTCCAACAAAGAAGCGCTACCAGGCGCTACGGTCGGCGTCAATGAAACTTGCATCCTGGAACCATTTTGGGCGTAAAATCCGAGACTCTGCTCTACAACAAAAAGAATATTTGGAATACTTGTGAATGAATACTCTAATAATTGAAGACACTGAAGACAACATTTCTCTCCATGAGGCTCAGGTATAGATTCTATTTTTATGACGTTCGCGCTAAGATGGGGCCACGTAGGATCGGCGTTAGCCCTAACTGTTTTGCGGTTAGTGGTCAGTGGGAGCGCGAAGTACATGTAAGGTATACGATGTTGCTGTTATTATTGGATTGTGACTGCTTTGATGCTGACGGGCTTATGAAAACACGAGATCCAATAGATAACTTAAGTTGATGAAAGGTCATATGTACTTGGATTAATCCAACCCTGGGCTATTGTCGTGGCCCGCCGCAGCTTACCCTTCACTCATGGTCTTTGTTGAGTCTCAGCCTAGCGAGAGACTATCGCTTATGTTGATCAACAGAGCTATGTCCATTAAATGATGCATTAGGTACCTTGCATAACAGTCGGTAAAGATACGAGCTCCCTCTGAGCGATAACGCCCCGGGAAGCGATCGGCATAGCACGGGTCAGTCCCCCGAGCTTAAGCCTAAGCCCGCCTGCAGCTCAGCACGAGCAGGTGCCCCGAAAAAGCTTCGGGTGCCCGGAGGTCTAGGCACTCGGGCACTACAGCTCTCTGCACAAGATTGCACAAAGGCTATCATATCATGGTAAATGAACGATCCACAAAAATAATTTTCAGCTCCTTTATCACAAATTAATCCGATTTAAAGTACATGCACTTTATCTTCATAGACATAAGTTTCAAATGTTAGCCTTGGAACATTGAAGGCACTTCGATTCTTAGTCATCCGAATTCCCGACGTCTCCAGCCTGAGCGCTTCTTTACTTTACCATTTCACATTCTCTCTGGGTGTTCAACTCCGGAATGTTCTCATAGCGACGTTGTCAATTTTATAATGCAGGGTCAAATACTGGAACAGGATGCAGCGAGCACACCACGTCGAATTGGCCAAGCTTGGTATGGCATCTTTCAAACTTCTTTGATAACTGTGACTGACTTCTAATTAGTGATCGCTGTAGAAAGTGAGGCATCTGAACATATTGGAACACAGGTCCGGTTAATAACACTAGCAGGAAGAAGATAAAATGCAACGGCACTTTCCCTACAGTAGGACCCTTGCACCCTGCTTCTTGGCGACAATTAACACAATCTCCAGTGTCGGAGCTGTGAGAAAGCCCGAAAAGTTTGTGAAGTCTCAGCGAGTCTTCGCAGGAACACTAAAGTTCGAGGGTGCGCAGCTTCTTCCATTAATTAATTACTGTCTAATTGAAACCCAGCTTCGCCTCGGATGACCAGCAACTCGAACAGCTTCGGGCTGAACTAACTCAAGTCCAGAGCCTCCTGAAATTGGAGCAAGAGAAAAATGCGGTTATGCAACAGCAATTATCTCAAAAACCTTTTGTTTCAATAGAACAGCCGCTGCCACCTCACCAAGCCGATGATACAGCGTTTGTTATCAAACATATGGGACGCATGGTTCATGATGAAAATGGCATTGGTCGATTTGCAGGCTCAATTACTGGCGTTCACTTTGTCTTGAGCGTCGAGCAAGAATGCCAAATGCCGGGATCATTTGCAGAGAGCTGCTTTCGACTTTTCCTGGCTCAATCAAGTCCTACACAGCCGGCAACTACTCCATCTGCGCTCATCTCGGATCTCGAAGAAATAAGAGCATGCTTTTCTTCTTCGCCGGCATTCTACTGTAAACAAGCGCAACATTTTGTCGCAAATTGGGAAGCGTTTTGCCCAATCTTTGCGGAAAAGCAGCTCGTGGCGGACATTGAAAACCTCTTTGGTGGATTGAAAAAAGCGAGAAGCTTTGAAAACATCAATCATACAACTGTTATGACACTTTTATTGATACTGACTATCAATAAATTATACTCAGATGACTCTGAGTCATCTGATGGCGAAAACACGGCCTCTACTCTATATCTATCATTGGCCAATAAAATGACTGAACGAGTCACGGCTAGAGGTGATCTAAAAAGTATACAGGCCTTGGTGCTTTTGGCTCTTTACAATCAGCTCACGGCAAATTGTGTGGCAATGATGACCGTTAATGGAATGATGGTTCGGCTCGCACAGTCAATTGGTCTTCATAGACATGCGAGGAGGTTCAAAATGAAATTAGGCGAGATCGAGTATCGCAAGCGTCTGTGGTGGTGGATATATGCATATGATAAGTATGCTCAATCCATTGGCTAATGTGGCGAAATACTAAACAAAGTAGGATCACATCTATACTGCATGGTCTTCCGCCCTTGATTAAAGATACCGACGTCGACAATGATCTGCCACTTGACTGTCATCTATATGATTTCGAAGCCAACGAAATATCTCACCCTTTTCCCGGAGAAAGGACCCCCGTGTATATCTTCATTCAATACGTGGGCCTCAGTAAGAGGTTATCAAGAACCCTTAACCGTCTCTACACAACAACACAGCGACGCAATGGGGCAACCAAAATCACCGAGTTGGATCGCGACCTTCGCGTATGGAATCAGAACCTCAAAGAAAATGGTATCGATTTCGATATCGGGCTTCGCCAGACTAAAAGCTCGCTGAATAATGTCAATCCCCTACACCCCAGGCCTTTGATTTGGCTTCAACTTATGGCAAATTTTGCCATGTTGCTGATTCACCGACCAGGCTTATCCTTTGATAATACAACCACAGAATTTGAGGACTGTCTTCATGCATGCCTTGATTCCAGCAGTGCAATAATCCATCTGCTTGAAACTGCTACCTTCCCAAAGTGGCTTGCAAATTTGTGCCTTATGGGCCCTGGCATAATCTTCCAATCGGCGCTGATGCATATTCTTTGTCATTGTCGATACAGAACATCCAAACCGGATAGATTTCCAGAGCTTGAAACTAGCATGGCCATGGTCTCAAAAAGCATCTCCATTCTGGAGAAAGGCATCCAAAGTCCCAAAATCTGTCTTTCAGCTCCAGACCCCTACTGTGATTCCATCAATCAAGTGATCGGAACATTGCAAATGCTTCAATCTTATGTTTCACAGCACGTGAGACGCTCTACAACAATTACCAATGTAATAAGTGCACCTGATGTCGGTAGTGATGTGCTCGATAATTTCGACGATACAAACTGGGGCGGCAATGCGTTGGGTGCGTTGAATTATATGACATCCACTGATTGGGCAAGCGAGACTGAAGGACCATTCATGGGGTTTATGGAACTAGAGTCTTAGCCAGAAGAACATTGAAGTGCAGGAGCGATGAACTTCTGAACTTGACCAAATTGGCCTCTATCTTGCACTTGATCCTGTGGACTCCGAAACTAACCGTAGTCCATGGTTCTCCCATGATCCAACAAAGGCTGAATAATTGCCACGATTGCAAGCCGTGGAGCAGTAAAATGCGTGAAAATACTCGCGGGCCGATGTACCTTAACTCGTAGGCGCTAACTACAGACATGGCCTTTGACTGAAGATGTCAGAGCATCCTGTCTTCTATCAACCTTGGAATACTAGGCATGTGAAGATTCATGAAAGAGAGAACTCTAGTTATTAACTAATTTTAACAGGCCCGGGCCTACGCGAGACGTTTCAAACGGTAGTTAGTAAGTATCGGAGACTTTACATAGTAGGATACCAAGTCATTCTACAAACTTTCAGAGTTAGGCGAAGTATCTCCACGTTAAACTAAGCTCTAAGATGCGATCGATATAGACAACCTCTTAAAGGCGCTTAGGGGAACTTTCGAGATCGGCCTATCTTTCTCTTCTTCCTGAGGGTTGTTTAAACAGCATTATAAGTATGTTGAGCTTATTTTACACTGCAATCTAGACGGAAGGCAATAGATAAGGATAGCCTTTTCCCCGTAACATTAGTAGACGGCAAGGTAGGCGTTTATAATGGACCAGTTTAATATATCGGACCATGGTCAATGAGGGAAGAAAAGGATTGCGTCCAGTACACAGTAGTAATGTTTAGGTTTGTTTATTTAATAGGTGGGCTGCAGTACAAAAGACGCGATAATAGTCTATAGCCTTACGGCGTGATAAATTAAAAAAAACTTAATCATCGGTATGTAGAGCAATAGCTACATTTCCCTCTTTATGAAACCCCATTTTCGACGTGTTTTGGGGGTGAGAAATCGATGGAAAGTTCATAAGAACTCGTGTTTGGGAGGAGGGGGCACCCCCTGAACGTGACGTGGTGACTGATGGCCGACGCCCTCAGATCCACGACGGTACTGAGTCCCCAACTCTTTCGCACGCGTTTCAAGCCACTTAACTTTCAGTGTCTGGCTTATGCAAACTTCAGAAATCTAGACACCCATTTTGCTTCGCTATAGTTCGCCTGGACGTTACAATTGAGCGCCACGGGTTCGCTTCCGTTCATGGCCTCTTTAAAGCCGACCCTCCAAGCTGGTCTCCAAGAGAAAGGAACCACCGTCTCAAGAGGGCAACAAGCGGAAAAAAAAAGAGCTACAAACGTCGAACCTGGTAAATATTTTCTCAAAAATAAGTGTCGGGAGGCGGGAGAGGGTGAGATTAGCTCCGACGCAGAGGACGGCACTATCACATTTGATGAAGGTCTTGTCCGCTTTGAGGGAGAGGCGGATCTGTATTTCGTCGGTTCGGAAGTAGAGTCTTCTGCCTTCAAGATCTCTGATAAGCCTTCATCAGATGGAAGGGAACGGGAGGACTTCTCAGCGGAACAGCATGAGGCTGAATGTGAAGCACGATGGAGCCATTGGTTTGATACTCCAGGTTGAATATCTATCCCTGGACTTTTCAGAACAGGCGAGCATTGAATCGATGTACGGTGTATGATAGCTGCTAGACAAAGCTTGGATAAGATCTTGACCCGCGTTCAATCATGACAGTAATTCCAACGGCTGTACCTGCTAATCCCACACTTGCAATAATATGGCCTGCAAGTCCGTAAAGTATCATCAGCTGCTTCCCTTGAAACCCAGGTATAGCATGATGGGTGTTACTGCTGGGCGTTGAAAGCTCCACTCTAGGTCACTTTTAAGTTGGTCCCTCACATGAATACTTCAATAAACTCACGTTGAGGTTGGGATGGTTTTTACCACACTACAATCCCTCCGCATTTGGCATACCTGATAAAATTTGGGGGACCCAGGGAGAGGTCCTTTATGGAAGCATTAGAAGAGAGCCTCCATCCCCTCGAGTACTGCCTAAATAATGACAAATGCAACACCCACAAGTTGACAAGCTATTGACTACCACTGCAACTTACTATTGCAACTTCGGCCACGACTCTCACAGTGACCCACCCATACAATCATCAATCGGCTGATAAAACCCCCGTTAATGGAAATGGCTTGATTCCGCATGGCCCTTGCGTTCTCTGTGAATTCCGTTCTTCTCAGCACATCCATCTCCCGGACCAAAGTTGGACCGGCTATCCAATCACTAGTCAATCCTCCAGTTGTCTCTCCTTCCACACGAATCCCTCGAGAGACATTCTCATGCAGAGATCTACGAGATGCAATTCTGCCATACTGCTAACTATAAGATTTCTCAAAGTTCTTTAATGAGCACGATGTGAGTTTTACGTTTGAAAACTGTGAGCAGAATCGAACTTTAGGACGAGATCATGCAATTTCTGAAACAGGCTGCCCGGGAGGATACTGCTCTGTTGATGAGCCAACCAAATACAGACGGTAAAACTTCGCACGAACTACTGGAGGAGACCAGAACCCGGTGGCGTAGACTAGGCCGGCCCATACCAAGCCTTGGAAGAGGCAGAGGTAGTAGAAGTATGACTACAGTTCATACAGTATAAGCGTAGCCATCGTACATCTTTGACGCCTTTGGAACCATTAGAGTCTATAGTTGCCATACCAGTGAAGGTCCTTGCCAGGAGTCAGGTTTGCGAAGTCACGAAATCTAACTAGTCAGTGTTCTTGATATGTCTCAGCACAAGACTCCTGCAATGGCCAGAGTTAATTAACAGGATCTTTTTATTGTGATTTGATTGGCCATTATAATAGGCAATAGAAAAGACTTCAACGATGCTAGTGCATCTTCGACCTCGTGGCAAATTGGGTAATAGTTTCCGGTGTCCATAGGGCAAGACATATCGACTGTTCTTCGGGGCGCCGAGAAATCAATAGTCAACGGGTTGATTGCGCCACATGGGGAGCCACATGGTTGAACTCCGGTTGAACTCCACCCGACGAGCGATGATTGGTCGAAACTTACAAGACATACCAAACGGCTTGATACCCGTTTGGGCTAACAATTTCGGCAGGGATCCACGTACCATACCGCATTGTCCGTTGAAATACACGGTCTCCCGCCGTGGGCATCTTCTTCTCTTCACCCTCATCGCGAATCATGAGTTTCTTCCGTACATTGAGCCTGACGGCTGCGGCCATGGCTGCTGTGGCTGAGGGCCATGTATGCCGATCCCCATCTGCTTCTCCCAGTGTCACCATCGAGCAGGGTGTGATCCAGGGCTTCTCCCAGAATGACACCAATGTCTACTTAGGCATTCCATTTGCTGAGACCACGGCTGGGGAGAACCGTTGGAAGGCTCCTAAGCCCATCAGCTCGTTCCCCAACGGTCACTTTGAGGCTACTGCTTATGGACCATCTTGTGCGCAGGCAATGTCTGGGACGGCAATCACCGCCCAGAGCGAGGATTGCCTCAACCTCAACATTTGGACTCCCCGCCAAGGTGACTCTCTCCCTGTGTTCGTCTATATCTATGGCGGTGCCATGGTCACGGGAGGCAACAGCAACGCCCAATGGCAGGGGTACAACTTTGCCCGTGATGATGTTATCTACGTCAACTTCAACTACCGCGAGAGTGTCTATGCGTCGCCCAATGCGCCTGAGCTGCAGGGACAGTCCCAGAACTTTGGAATCATGGATGTGGAGTCAGCCTTGGAGTGGGTTCACAACAACATTGAAGGTAGGTTCATATCCTTTTCAACCACATTATGGTCTTTAGCTAACCCAATTGACAGCTTTCGGTGGTGACAAGTCGCGTATCGTACTGGGTGGCCATTCATCTGGTGGAGTGCATGTTGATCACTACCTCTGGAACCACCCCGAGACCTTCCTGGCTGGTGCGATCGAGATGTCTGCCAATGCTCAATCCGGTCCTGGCTATGCGCCTACCGGTGTTGCGCTGAAGCAGGTGGTGCAGGACATGCTTGATGCCGGCGTGTCCCTGGACTGCACGGCTGAAGACTATACTCTGGACTGCCTGCGTGCAGCAGATACTTATGCCTTCCAGACAACTGACTTCAACTCCACCACCAACACCTGGTTCTCACCACCGGTGGACGAGATCACCCGCTTCTCCAACTACACTGACCGCTTTATCAATGGTCACTATCCAAAATCGCTGCCGCTGATTGTCGGAAACTCCGACCAGGAGGGCGAGATCTTTGGCTACGTCTATGGCAGTGAGAACACCGACTTTTCATCCTGGATCCGCACTTTTGATGCCGATATTGCCTTCGTGCCCGCGGATGAGCTCCTGGCCGCCTACAACGAATCCGATTACGCCTCTGTCTCTCTGATGAGCGGTGCCTCTTACGGTGACGCGCGCTTCCTCTGTGCGACCGACGCCCTGCTGGACCTGCGTGCTTCCGAGCAACCCACCTGGATCTACCGCTGGTTCGGTGAATACTCGAATGCGCTGCCAATCCCCAATCTTGGGCCCTCGCACGGAAGTGAGGTGCCCTTTTTCCACGGCGGCAATGAATGCTTCTCGCTTCTCGACGGCGTGACCGACGCAGAGCAGCAGCTGGCAGACTACATGCACTCCTGGTTTGTCTCCTGGATTCGCAACCCTAGCGCTGGACCTGGCTGGGACAAGGCCCGCCCTGTTGATGGACCCTTGGCGCGCGTAGGCGTACCTGAGCATGAGGAGGAGATTGTGATGAGCACGACTGGCGCGTACAACAGTCGCTGCCAGAAGGTCTTCAAACCTAATTACCCTAAATATCCCGTAGTGCAGAACCCTGTTTTGCTGGCGGAGAGTGCCTGAGGAACATTTCAGCCTTGTCTTGTTCTGTATAATACAAAATTTAAATTTAAATAATTCATCATTTCCATCCAATCGCGAAACATGACAAACTCGTCCTAATGTCCCTAATGCAGGCATTGTTGCGGATCTAGTCTCCAACACCTGAATTCCAACGCCGAGGTTCTGGAATACGAACCCTAACTGTGTCGACCCCACTGTATCTCTCCGAGATTTTCCCGGAACACTCGACGTTTTAAAGCTCTGGTCGAGGGCGGAAGTGGCTCTTCGCCCTTTTTTGTGTAATTAGCATCTGACCACATAATATATTGCGTTAGTCTAGTAGCGGAGCACTTGACTTCGAATAAATTAAGTCCATTTAAGTCTCGATTTTCAGCATTCGGACATTTGCTATCGGAGTCGACCAAATCCAAGGAAACCGATTCTCCATGTCTCGGAATCAGTCTACATGTTCTCATGCAGTGGGGGCCAAACTTAGGTTGACGCCGATGAAATCCCTTCATCCTCTGGTGGGTCAATCTAGATGTAACCGATTCAGTGAACGAGATGTACTAGGGTCTTGGCTGTGGATCTTGGGAAAAGTGTGTTTATTCCCTCAATTTCGAATTTAGTCGTAAAGGGTTTGCTACCAATTTATATAATTCTTTAGTTCATGGCATCCTGCCTTGCCATTCCACCTCTCTGCGGATCGTGACCAAAGCGCAAATCAATATGGTCCGACCGGATCTGGGCCAAGTGGTATGTGCTCTTTCTTCAAGTCCATGTGGTCTAGCTTGCTGACAGGATTTCTGGCGTGCAGGTGGCTTGGTACGTTTGCACTGTAGCGGCATGCATATTCCTAGTCTGTCGGCTTGTGGTCCGTCTGCAGCTCCTCAAGCGGCTTTACCTCGACGACCTGTTCGTTTGTCTGGCTGCTATGTGTCTAATTGGCGATCTGGCGATCCAACATTACATGTTTAATCAGGGTAAGCTGCTAAAGCATTGAACCGGTGGAGCAAGCTTCAAGGGGACTCCACTGATAATCGCAAGCACAGGCATGTCGGATATGGCAAACGCAACTGCAGTGGAGATGATCAACATGATGAAGGTACGTCAGTCCCACGTGTGAAAAATAATCATATACTCATGTGCAATGCATCGAACAGATGATCATCCCGGGCTCTACATTGTATGTCACTGCGCTGTGGCTGATCAAGTCCAGCATGGTGATCTTTTACAAGCGCCTGGCGGATCGAACCCAGTACCAGATTGTGTACAATATCACACTTGCTTTCCTGGCTGCGACCTGGCTAGTACTGTTCTTTGATATTGTCTTCAAGTGCTATCCGCCCCGACGCCAGTGGGAGAGTGTTTTAGATGCCGAATGTGAGGATGAATGCTTTTATACCAACTTTCATAGACGCAGGAACTGACGCTCTTTTAGTGGCATGTCCCCAAGGACCTTCAACAGTAAACTATTGGCTCACTATCCTCTGTATGTCTGCCTATCCATTTTTACTTGAATTTCAAACTAATCTTTACAGTCAACATCTTCAGTGATGTTTTCAGTAGGCTTTCTCAATTCAACTCACCTCAACTACTTCGTTTTACTTACTATGACCAGTTATTTGCCTCCCGATCTCGCAAGTTGTGCGACTCAAGATGCCCAGGAAGCAAAAGTGGGGTGTCATCTCTGTTTTCCTTCTCGGTGTTCTTGTTGTCATTTCCAGCAGTAAGTCTCCTCCCATCTGCTCATTCTATCCGATTCCTATAACTAACTCGCAATGTACCAAGTCATCCGGGCAATTTACTCCTACCGTAATGAGCAAATGATCACTTGCACCGTGTCCATGGTTGAAACCGCCATCGCTATCATTGCTTCCTGTCTACCCGTTCTCCGCACCCTCGTATTCGGCTCGCACTCTCGCACAGGAACCTATAGCGGCCGCCGTGGCTACGAGCTCTCGCAATCTGGCCTCAACGCCAGCAAGCAGCAAACCACCGTCTCCGTCTCACAAAGTCACGCTGACCGCGGCGCGGATGAGGTTTCGTTCAATGACTCCGAGGACGGATTGGTGAAGGACACGGCATTGAGTTCTGGACCAGGAATTGCTGTCAGACACGAGTATTTCGTGCATGAGGATCATGCGTAAGGATGCATGGAACTTCTGTGAGGCTAGGTTGGGAAATGTATCAACTGTGCACCCTGCCACACGCTTCTCTTCATTAAATTTAATCTTTCAGGCGTGCAAAAGCACCTTTCATTCTTACGGCTTTAGAAATTACGTTTTAATAATTATATTTGCGGGTATAATTTGTCCATCCAAGCTGAGTATACCATTAATAGTGTAACGCATGAGTTTGTATCAAGTTTACAATGATGGACGGCATATTCGTCGGTTAAATAACTTGAGACTTACATATTTCCTATTGGTTTTCTACTACAGTACTTGATTTTTAAAAGCTATAACTTTAGATTATACTAAGAACTCGGCAATGTTCCCTTCCGTTGATCTTGTCCAGCCAACATCATGTAGTGATCGGGATTATCCGACAGCGACGGGATGCTCCGATTAGGGTTTCTCGCACCAGTAAGATCGGGAATCGGGATTGTTGCGTTATTCCGGACATTTCATTCTTGATTTCTCATAAAATACATCCTTTCTATCAGATTTCCCTACCTCAAGAACCAGGATCATGCATCCCATGCACAGATATCACCTTACCGCCACTGGCCACAATCTCAACTATCTTCCCGAGTATATCGCCCGTCGCCATGGTTACTTCAAGGAACAAGGTCTCGATTTTGATCTCAGCATACCGACTCCCTGGGATGGCGTTCTCGAAGATCTCAAAAATGGGACCGCTGACATGGCTCTCGGGGGTATTTGGGTGCCGGCGATGTATCGAAATAGGGCCAAAGACTACACTGTCTTTGCGCAAATTGCGAATCGCTGCCCTCTTGCTCTGATTCGCCGAACTCAAGATTTTGGATTCAAGCTTTCTGATGTTGTTGGAAGCACCGTTCTCCTGAATTCAAGCGGTGGAGCCAGCGTAGGCCTGTTTTTCAAGATGTTGCTACGTCAGAATGCACTGGACCCAAAATCTGTCAACTTCATTCAAGATCTGGACGGTGCGATGCTGGCTACTTTGTTCGAAGGCGGCATGGGCGATTATTTCGTTACTGATAATCTGTCTGCTTTGGCCATGACAGCGCGAAACCCCAAAATATCAATTGCAATGGAAATGGTCAAGGAAGACGATATCCCTTGGAGTGTCTATTACCGAGAGACGGCAACTATTACTCAGGAAGTTCTCGATTTACAGAAACGGTTTTGCATTGCTCTTAACAAAGGCATAGACTGGGTTCTTCGAAATGATGCGGAGTCATTCAAAGAGGAACTTTCCGAGTTATTCCCAGGCGTATCGATTGATGTTGTCGTAGCCGTGACGAATTCTTACCGTGAGAACGGCATGTGGTCCTCAACCTGTATACCTAGAAAGGCATTCAATCAGTGGCAATTGGGTCTTGCCGATGCATGTCTCATAAAGGAGGTGTTCTCTTATGAGGAGATGGTGAATGATGTACCAGCAAAAGAAGCCCAGCTAGAAATGGCGGCTAAATAGTTATCCAACTCTCTTGTTTTTGATTTCCAATCAAATGTGTGTTTCGGCCTTCCAACGAAGATCAAACGCAAGTGTTGTAGTGGGAGAGCTGCTTACTGTATGAAGTAACACTACCTTGGTAGCGGTCTACGGATGATCCAACACTTATGATGTAACTTATATAAGACTTCTTCGCAGCATAAAGCGTCGAGGCTCAAGATTAAATGGATGAATGACTTTTTCTGACAAAAGCGCGGTCTCGTATCTCCTTCCACTTCCAGACGTTATAAATATAAACGTACGGTCAGGCTATCGCAGTTCGCATGCTATTGGATGGATTTTCCTGCAAACCTCAGCCGAAAAAACATGGTTTTTGACCGAAGAAGAACAGGAGGCCATGTGTCTGAAGAGATAATGGGATATTGTGCACTGAGGTGAAAATGAATTAAGCCGCAAGTGGGTGAATATTGGCCTTACCGACCCTTTCGTTTGACTTTTGGGTATTGTCTTTTTCACTTCTTCTGTAGTGATCAATGGATTAGGTGTTTTCTGTCCTACAATTATTGCTGGTATTGGGTACGCACAATCTTGAGGCACACATTTGAACAAACGTATCAACGATTTCCAGATTTTCCTCCTTGCAATACAAATATCTGACAATTCCAATTTGTGTTCTCGGTGTTATCCGGCGCAAAGGATGGGTTTGTTGATGATAAGATCAACAACGTAGGAACCTATGAAGTGTCTTTATCACCGACAACGAAAGCTGCTAGTATAATAATTCCCGAATACTGCCATTATATTTGGCCATATTGAAATACCAAGACTACTAAAATAAGCGTAGTACGTTCAAGTATATTTCGGAGTGAGATTTAGACAAAACCCGAGCCGATCCCACCAAGAGCCGGAATAAGGCCCTAATCCGAGCATTGCATCATACCTTAATTCGGGCCTTGGGTATACCGACAAACTATTTAACAAGCGTCATTTCGACTAAAAGTATTGTCAACTTTTCAGTTCAAGCTCAACCACCTCTTCTTTTCACTACCATGGCAGTCTCCGCTCTCGACTCCCGTATCTTCCGGAACCTCTTCGGCACACAAGAGATCCGCGACGTGTTCACAGACAAAGCATATGTAAAATGCTTAATTGAAGTGGAGGCAGCACTGGCTCGCGCAGAAGCAATAGTCGGCGTAATTCCAGCAGATGCAGGAGAGGAAATCACCAAAATTTTATCTAACCTTGAACTTGAGTAGTTTCCCCCAGAATACGATTGAGTAGGGGTTCTGATGCTAAAAGAAATCATTATAGTGATGAACGTCTTGCCAATGATACAGACATAGTTGGTTATCCCGTGTTTCCACTTGTTCAACAATTGGTCGAACGGATGCCAGAGCATCTTGCCAAGTATATTCATTGGGGGGCGACAACGCAAGACATTATGGATGATGCATCTATGCTTCAGATTAAGCGCGGCCTTGATTTAGTGGAGAGTGAACTTCTTATTCTGAAGGAAAGTCTGAAAAGGCTGGCAAATACCTACCGAAATACGTATGTTCTACTTGATTCTTGTCTGATATAACTTAAGCTTATAGCAGTTCTAGCCCCATGGCAGGTCGAACACACTTGCAACATGCGCTCCCTTGTACCTTTGGATACAAATGCGCTGTATATCTTTCCGGTGTTCTTCGCCACCTAGAACGACTCACCGAGATCAAGGAGCGTTGCTTGCTTGTTCAGTTTGGCGGTGCCGTTGGGACCATCGCGTCACTTGGATCTGATGAAATGGGCCTTAAGGTACGGGAACAGCTTGCCACAGAGCTTGGCCTTAAGAACCCAGATATCAGCTGGCATGTTGCCCGGGATAATATTGCTGAGATATTGAACACATTGGCTCTTGTGGGCGGTACACTAGGAAAAATTGCGTTGGATATTATGATCATGTCGTCCAACGAATTTGACGAAGTGTCCGAGCCTTTCGTTCCCCATCGCGGAGCCTCTTCAACTATGCCACAAAAGCGCAATCCTATTTCAAGCGAAGTCATCCTTGCTGCGTCCAAAATGCTGCGAGTAAATGCCTCCTTGGGCTTGGATGCATTGATTACCGATTTTGAGCGTGCGTCTGGCCCCTGGCATCTTGAGTGGGTGGCAGTCCCCGATTCCTTCGTGACAGCAGTAGGAGCTTTGCACCAGACAAACTTTGTTCTTCGTGGATTGGTCGTAAAGACTGACTCCATGAAACGCAATTTGCATTCCACAAAGGGGTTGATCGTGGGTGAAGCTGTGATGATGGACTTGGCGCCATGCCTCGGTCGACAGAATGCTCACGATCTGGTTTACGAGGCTTGCAAGTCTGCTATTGAGAACAACCGCACCCTGTTAGATGTTTTGCAGGGGACACCTGCTTTGGATGGTATCATAAGTTCAGAGAAGTTGGCGAATCTTTGCGATCCTCTTCAGTACATGGGGGCGAGTCAGATGATGGTGGATCAATTAGTCCAGCGTGCTGGATAAAACATCTTGGATGGAGTTGAAATACCCAAATTCGACAAAAAATAATATGCATGATAGATGAGAAGTGCCAGAGCACAAACTGGCCCGTAACCCGGGAGACCTCAGCGACGGCTCAATTGAATCCCGTGCAATAAAATGATCAAGCGGACAGGACGCCAAAAAAAGGATGATACATGTGACTATTTCCGTCACACTATTATGTAGATATGTGATCCTTGTCAAAGTAGATGTAGACATAATGCTGTTTGGAAATGTGGAGCATAAGTTACCTGTTTTTGAGCTTGGTATACAGTAGTGTTGAAGATATATCCAATCAGATTTCAATGTTTGTAGGTTGGTAAGTTTGACAGTTCTCCACTGCCTTCTTCACAAATTCTTTGTTCTTTCCTCAAATATATGTTTGCTACTTTTAAAATAAGAGTACGACTTGTTCCATCTCTTTCGATTCGAATATCTTGCCCAATTAGGACAACACGTGACCGAGTGGGGATACCATCGTCACTGCTGCGCAGCGTCTCGAAGACTCTCACCCCACACTCTTCAACACAATGAGTGGCTTTCGCAATGTTATGAAAGATGGATGGCATCCAAAGGGGAAGGAAGGACGTAAGGAGAGCTGGCGGGGTGATTTCAAGGGAATTAACCAGGTGGTAAGCAAACCCCTCGTTTGCGCGATTCTCGGCCTCTGACGTTCTGTTAGGCTGGATGGATGGGAAAGGGTAGAGATCCCGAGTCCGAGAGCTCTGAACATGTCTCTCAACCTCTGTCTTCATTGAAAGACCCTTCGTCATTCGGACCTCCCCCCAAGCATATCAATTACCATGGCGCCGCCGCAGTGCCAAATCAGACGACACCCGATACCCGGGGTATTGGTGCTCCACTGTCCCAGGATCAGATCAACGCGCAGCATGCGCACCAAAAACAGGCAGCCCAAGCGGCTCAAGAAGAGGAGGAAGAGGCTCAAAGGCCTCCTCCTCCTCCAGTACCATACCGTGTCAACACCACCGGCCTGTCTACAGACAACCTGCCTCCACCGCCTGTGCGGCGGACGGATTCGCCCGCAAGTTCGACTACGAGTTCGATTTCGAAGCCGAAAGCACCCCCAAAGCCCCCGCCCCGACTACCCGCTCGCAACGGTTCCCCGGCGTCCCAGAGCTCCGACCCACCCCCAGTTTATTCCCCCGCACAGCAGCCGCTTTCACATGATTATATCAACCAAGATGCTACATCCCGCCTCGCAAACGCTGGCGTTTCGGTTCCCGGGTTTGGAATCGGAGGGCAGGGTGCTCAGCAGTCTCAGGCACCTGTCAATGAGTTGCAATCGAGATTCTCCCAGATGAGAACAAACTCGGGATCCCCTGGCCCTCCTCCGCCGCCTCGAGCATCGACAAATCCAGACTCACCTGCAAGTGGGAACTCTTCGATTCAAAATTTCCGCGATCGACATGCCGATAAGATTGATGCTGGCAAGCAGAAGTACAGTAACTTCCGCGAACAGCATGCCGATACTATCGATTCAGGGAAACAGAAGTACGGTGACTTCCGAGAACGCCATGCCGACAAGTTTGATGCCGGAAAGCAGAAGTATGGCGATTTCCGTGAACGTCACGCCGACTCAATCGACTCTGGCAAGCAGAAGATGAGTGGTGCTGCATCCAGTATCAGCTCCCGCCTTGGTGGCTCTCCCGCAGCTCCTCCGCCGGCCCGTGCCTCGACGGATCAGAGCATGAACCTGGAGCCGGCAGAGCCCGCGCGGGGCACTTCGTCTGTGCAGAGTTTCCGTGAACGCCACGCAGATAAAATTGAAACGGGCAAAGAGAAATGGGGCGGTGTCACTTCACGGTTTAACACATTTGTCGAGGATCGCAAGTTCGACGCCAATGCGAACAGGCGTGTACCACGACCCCCGTCGCATTCTATGGCTCAATCGCCTTCCCCTGCGCCATCGCCTACTAGTCCAGATATTCAAACTCAGGCGCAGCGCAAGAAGGCTCCTCCCCCACCTCCACCCAAGCGGGCGGAGATTCGAGCGCCGGCAGTGGACTCCCTGTCATCCTCAGTGCCTCCCCCCATTCCTCATGACACCAGGCCTCGCTGAGGAGATTGTACTTTTAGCTGTAAATACTTGGCGCCGCAATCTTATACCGCAGATGCTTTGCAAATGCGAATATCTCACACCCTATGCTCTCACATTCGTAGTTCATGCAGCCCTATCCTGGAAGTAAGACCGAGGCTACATGTGATGATCCGCTCCTCCGATCTCATATCAACTAAGCTGTTGGGAAGTGGCCAAGAGAATCCCAACAAGATGATACTGATCGGCCTCAATTGTATTGGCTTTGGCGACCGCTTCTGTCTACCTGCATGTATTGTACGAGCTGCAGCGCACATGAGCAGGGTACCCTGGGGTAGGTAAGTTAAGGGCACATAAGGGGATGAGTCAGCAATTCTCCCCACCTGCACCTGGTGAAGACATTCCTCTGTTGTGCAACTATTTATCCCCATTGTATGCAGGCGCGAAACATCTTGATTGGTTGTTTTCTACGTTGCATGGATGGCCTGTTCGACTTTCCCTTGAATCAACAGTAAGGTTGACTACGTCAATGCCTGATTCAGATGTTGGTTGAGTCGCGTGGGTCTGGGGGAAAGCGGAGAGAAGATGAGATTCAACGCACATCCCCAGAGAGAGATGAGAGAGAGAGAAAGAGCGAGGGACAGACGAGAGCCGAGACATGAGACACCAGGATATGCCATAGATGTGATTCATCCTCATCACCGAGTGCCCTACTCCCATACGAAGCACACTACGATCAGCCTCGGCCCAGCAAAATCCCAACAAACTCGGGGCTCCACCGGGATCGGCCGCAGATTGCCTTGTTGAGAATTTAAACATGGCAGTTTGGCTGGTGGATCCCTGGGGAGGCGCATTTTTTGAGTCTTTGGTCTTGCTTCCAGACTTTTCTCCCTTTCTTATATCTCGTGCAACCCCGTCTTTTTCTTTTCTTGTTCTGTATTCGCGCGAAAAAGCTCCGGAGAGGGCACCATGCATGACTTCTACGTCCCCACCGAGATGGGCCAAGCCACCGTTCGCATCGGCCTCCCTCCTGCCTCCCTCCTCAACTTTCCTCCCAACGAGCTCCCCGTGACGATTCCCGCGCCTCATGTTGCTTCACCGACTTGGAAGCAGCCCTTCAACATCCCGAATGACCTCTATAACCAAGTTTTGGATATCCGGGTACCAATCACAATCGCCACCGTCTACGCGCTGACCGTGGTTCTGGTCAATCGCATCAACAAGAGACGTGGATACAAGCCTTATGCGTTCAGCAACACCCGTCTGTTCAAGCTGTTCGTCATCCTGCATAATGTGTTCCTGGCCGTATACTCCGCATGGACCTTCGCAGGCATGTTCCAGGCCTTCAAGAGCTCTTTCCCCGACAGCGATGATCCTCACGGCCTGGTTGGGGTTGTGGACTCGCTCTGCAAGATCAACGGCCCCCGCGGTTACGGCAATGCCGCTACCTACAGTCCCATCACCGACAAGTGGTCTATCCCCAACCCGACTTTCCACCTGACCAACGGTATGCCCGACTCGACTGATATTGGCCGCCTGTGGAACCAGGGCTTAGCTTACTTTGGCTGGCTGTTCTACTTGTCCAAATTTTACGAGGTCGTTGATACCGTGATCATTCTGGCCAAGGGCAAGAAGAGCTCTACTCTTCAGACCTATCATCATGCCGGTGCAATGATGTGTATGTGGGCCGGTATCCGCTACATGGCAGCTCCCATCTGGATCTTCTGCCTCGTCAACTCGGCCATTCACGCGATGATGGTAAGCTAGCAGACTAATAATTTCAGCGGCAATACTGCATACTGACATTTGTTCTAGTACACCTACTATACCATTACGGCACTGCGCATTCGCGTTCCCAACCCCATCAAGCGTAGCTTGACCACTATGCAGATTACCCAGTTCGTTTTAGGAACCAACATGGCTGCCGCATACCTCTTCATCCACTACACTATTCCTTTCCCCTCTGGCAGTCCAGCTCTGAGCCAGCTGACCCAGGCAGCGGCCTCCGCTGTCGCCTCTCCCGTCGAAGCTGGCATGGTTCCCTGGCTGAAGAAGCTGGCCTTCCGTGCTGCCGGAGCCGAGGGTCTCGCCGAGAATGTGGGTACCACCGGCATTGCACCCGTCCAGGAGTCTGGATACTCCCAACAGATGGTGACCTGCATGGACACTACCGGCCAGGCGTTTGCTATTTGGCTCAATGTCAGCTACCTGCTGCCTCTGACCTATCTCTTTGCGCGCTTCTTCGTCCGCTCCTACCTGAACCGCAAGGAGACTGGTGTGAAGCAGCCCACACACATGGAGGCCGCCGAAAAGGCCGGCATGGACGCTTTGAAGAGCCTCAACCGCGAAATTCGCCGGGCCGCCATTGAAGGCGACAACAGTGAAGTCACCACTGATGACGAGTTTATCAAGGCTCAAGTGCAGAAGATCGCAGAGAAGGCTGTCACTGTGGACTCGCCGGTCCGAACTCGCTCGGCCGCCGCTAGCAAGGCAAAGTCGTCATCGGCTTCTTCTAGCCGATCGGAGTCTGAGGAGGGGTTTGCACCTGTCCCCGCTAAGAAGGGAGCTAAGAAGCAGAAGTCTGAAAAGCCATCTGCGCTTAGTGCCTCCGAGACCAAGGGTGAGAATCCCTTCGGAGTTCTTGGTAACAATGCTTAGGTACCTTTTTGGTGAAGCATTACCTTGCCGCATAATTTTGGAGTTTAGGGACTGAAAAAAAAATTCACGATCTGATGTCAAGCGTGGTGGGACTAGGATCCCATCGCTTGTGCTTTCGGTACGCCGTTCAGTGGTTTCCTGCAGGCTTATGGATCTCGCTGCATTATAATTTGCCCATGACACGCCTGAAAACCGGCTAGTGTCAGGGCAATCTACGGGGTAATGTCTTCTCCCGGAAGTAGTTAATCTCCGGGTTGTTAGACTTGCCACCGGTTTTTGGAGGAATTGGTTGTTTTCCCAGCGTGCTCTGCCTATTCTTTTTTTTTCTCCTTTTTTCTTGTGTGAAGATATTAGTGAATCGTTTATGAGCAAGAAGACCAGGTTGTATATTATAGCTGAAGACCAAAAGTGATTCTCACGCAAATTACCCCAACCTCTCCACATTTGATCCACAGGGGCAATTAGCTGCATCTAAACGACGCGATTTGAATGGAGGAAAAACCCCCGGAATTAACACCGGAAATTCGACAAATGCAGCACAAGAGGCGGAGACATCGTGCTCTAACCTCGAGTGGCATAGATAGTGCTCTACTGCGGACTCGAAACGAAAACCCCATCCCAAATCCCGGAGTATAAATTAAACCAGCATGATCGCCTCTCTTCCACTCGCCATCGCAATTCCAGCGGTGCCTTGTCCACAATGGCACGCATCCTCAGCTGCCTGCTCCTTCTCTTCGCCTGCCTCGGCACTTCGATTCAAGCAAACGACCAAGCCGTCTCGCAATGGCCACTTCAAGACAATGGACTAAACAAAGTTGTTGAATGGGACCATTACAGTTTCCAAATCAACAGTCAACGCATCTTCATCTTTTCCGGCGAATTCCACTATTGGCGCATCCCAGTCCCGGAACTATGGCGCGACATTCTGGAGAAGATCAAAGCAGCAGGCTTCACAGCCTTCGCCTTCTACTCCAGCTGGGCCTATCACGCCCCAAATAACGCAACAATTGACTTCACCACCGGAGCCCGCGATATCACTCCCATCTTCGAACTCGCCAAAGAAATTGGCCTCTACATTATCGTGCGCCCAGGTCCTTATGTCAATGCCGAAGCCAGTGCTGGCGGTTTCCCATTGTGGTTGACAACCGGCGATTACGGCACCTTGCGCAACAATGATACTCGCTATACGAAGGCGTGGACGCCTTACTTCACCAAAATGTCGGAGATCACTAGTAAATACCAGGTTACTGACGGCCAAAACTCGATTGTTTACCAGATTGAGAATGAGTTTGGAGAACAATGGGAGACTAGTGCATCTCTGCGCGTGCCTAATGAAGTTGCTATTAATTATATGGAGTTGTTGGAAGCCAATGCTCGTGCTAATGGTATTAACGTACCTCTGACGGCAAATGATCCCAATATGAACTCCCACTCGTGGGGAAGTGACTGGTCAAATGAGGGTGGCAATGTTGATGTGGCCGGCGTGGATTCTTATCCTTCGGTATGTGTCACTTGCTCTATACCAAGAGACAACAGAAAAGAAGAACTTCTACTGACATCTCACAGTGCTGGACCTGCGATCTCAGCCAATGTACCTCTACCAATGGCGCATATGTCCCCTTCCAAGTGATGGACTACTACAGTTACTTTGAAGAATCCCAGCCCAACATGCCGGGCTTCATGCCCGAGTTCCAAGGCGGCTCCTATAACCCTTGGGGCGGACCGGAAGGCGGCTGCCCAGAAGATATCGGCGATGATTTCGCTAACCTCTTCTACCGATGGAACATCGGCCAACGCGTCACAGCTATGAGTCTTTACATGCTGTTTGGAGGAACGAATTGGGGAGCCATTGCTGCGCCTGTCACTGCCAGCAGCTACGACTACTCCGCACCCATCTCCGAGGACCGCTCCATCGGCTCTAAGTACCATGAGACCAAATTGCTCGCTCTGTTTACTCGTGCTGCGCGCGATCTTACCATGACCGATCTCATCGGCAATGGAACCCAGTATACGGACAACGCTGCTATCAAGGCCTTTGAGCTGAGGAACCCAGAGACCAATGCTGGCTTCTATGCTACTTTCCATACTAACACTTCCATCGCGACGAACGAGGCGTTCCATCTGAAAGTTAATACATCTGCTGGATTATTGACTATTCCGAAACATGCTTCCTCTATTCGTCTGAATGGTCACCAGTCAAAGATTATTGTTACGGATTTCACTTTTGGGGAGAAGAAGTTGCTGTACTCTACCGCCGAAGTGTTGACATATGCCGTGTTTGACAAGGCTCCTACACTTGTGCTCTGGGTTCCTACAGGCGAGTCGGCTGAGTTCTCTATCAAGGGCGCGAAGAGTGGCTCTGTTAAAAACTGCCAGGGTTGCTCGAGTGTTCAGTTCTATAAGGAGAATGGTGGTTTGACGACTTCGCTTACTCAGGGAAAGGGGTCGACTGTTCTAGACGTTGATGGTGTTCGCGTTGTTGTGCTTGATCGGTCGTCTGCTTATGCATTCTGGGCTCCTGCTCTCACTGATGATCCATTCGTCCCAGAGACGGAGGCGGGTACGTATTTTCCTTTCAATCTGGGGGCTTTCTCATGCTAACGTTTTGTAGTTCTTGTTCGAGGTCCTTACCTTGTCCGTGGCGCCAAGTTGACTGGTAGCAAGCTTGCTATCACGGGCGACATTATCAATGCGACTACACTGGAGGTGTTTGCGCCCAAGGCTGTCAAATCTATCACTTGGAATGGAAAGGCCGTCAAGACGAAGTCGACTGAGTACGGCAGTTTCCAGGCCTCTCTTGATGCACCAAAGTCAATCAAATTGCCATCATTCTCCTCGTGGAAGGCAAGTGACAGTCTGCCTGAGCGTTTTGCTGACTATGATGATTCTGGTGCGGCTTGGGTTGGTAAGTTACTCTTCTCATGGTGAAAGTCGCAGTTCAAATTATTAATTCTAATAATTGATAGATGCCAACCACATGACCACTTTGAACCCTAGAACTCCCACCTACTTGCCTGTTCTATACGCAGACCAATACGGCTTCCACAACGGTGTCCGTCTCTGGCGTGGGTACTTCAACGGAACGGCAACCGGGGCATTCATTAATGTGCAAGGAGGATCCGCTTTGTAAGTCCCACCACTCAACAAAGTCTATGCAAATGTTAACATATCAACAGCGGCTGGTCAGCCTGGCTCAATGGCGACTTCGTCGGTTCATACCTCGGCGATGCCAACACCGCCCAAGCAAACCTGACTCTCTCCTTTGCCAACGCCACTCTCAGCAGCACATCCCCCAACGTCCTGCTCATCGTCCACGACGACACCGGTCATGACGAGACAACCGGAGCCCTGAACCCCCGCGGCATCTTTGACGCCAGCCTCCAGGGCTCCACATCTGGCTTCACCCACTGGCGCCTGGCAGGCACAGCAGGTGGTGAATCAAACCTCGACCCAGTCCGCGGTGTCTTTAACGAGGATGGTCTCTACGGCGAGCGCGTCGGATGGCATCTACCTGGCTTCGATGATTCGGCTTGGAAGACAGCTTCTTCCAGCAAGAGCAGCCAGGGAAAGAGTCTCCTCTCTTTCCAAGGCGCCACAGTTCGCTTCTTCCGCACTACAATTGACCTCTCCCTCCCCAGTGAACATGATATCTCGATTTCATTCGTTCTCTCCACGCCATCCGGAACGACAAACTCATACCGTGCTCAGTTGTTCATTAACGGTTACCAGTATGGTCGTTATAACCCCCACATTGGAAACCAGGTGGTTTACCCGGTTCCTGTTGGTATCTTGGATTATACTGGAGAGAACACCATTGCTGTCGCGGTTTGGGCGCAGAGTGAGGAGGGCGCTAGTATTGGCGTCGAGTGGCGGGTTGATTATGCCGCGGAGAGTTCGTTGGATGTTGCTTCTTTCAAAACCGGGGCACTGAGACCTGGGTGGAGTGAGGAAAGGAAGAAGTATGTTTGATTCTGATCAGGAGTTTGAAATGGGAGGGTCAAAATCGGGATATAAAGAGAAGATTGTTCTCTTGGTGTTATCGCAGATATTGCTGTAGTGATGAGGAATAGTATATGTTCTCGACCATTTTTGTCTACTACGAACTACGAAGCCATGTGAGGGGCAGTGTTATTATATCTAGACGATACTTTACAATTTTTGCAGTGTATGCTATTGTATACTTAGTAGGAGATCAGATATCCATACACCATGTCCTTTGAACAAAGTTTCCTACATATGCCCCTATATACACAGGATAAAGTCTGCCGGATGGGGCCTTTTCTATCTAGGCTGCTGCCGCTTTTATAAGGACGCTCGGGCTCAGGATCACTGAGTAGACATTAGCACAGGCTTAGATTTGGTGATCATGACTGGTGAACTAATTGCGCCTTCAAGGTCACAAACTGGTGAGATTATAAGGTTCGGTGGAGAAAGGAGAAGGTGGGGTCAAGCTATTGTAGGCTAAGAGCCTCATCCTAATTGGGATAGTTCGTTGGTGATCAATTCGCGACTGTAGTCGAGGACAAGGTAATTAAAACTACAAAAAGTCGACTAATCAGAGATGTACTGCAGGTTCTAAAGATTCGGGCATGCTGCTGCGCGCAGCGGCGGCGTAGAAAACCAGATGCACTACTACTTCAATGATATAATCCTAACTGACTGTAATGACGGCCTTCACGGCCATCTTCGCGGTCACATACCCTCTGAGTGAGACATCCTTGGGTGGAAATTATAATCTGCACTAACTACCAGCTTCAATTCGACGAGAGATGCGCCCTCAAATTGGATGGATTTCAGTTTTGAACTTCCCTATGTCTCTGGCGTGGTCCCCAGAGAAGAAAAGAAACCAACAAAAGACCCAACAATGATGCAAATAACAACAACCTGTCAATGGCAGCCTCAGGCTCGGGCATGGACAGAAACGCAGAGGAAACCATGCACCTTGCCATTGCCCGCTTCTGGAGCAGAATGGCTACCGCAAACAGAAGTTTCTTCCGGACCACATCAATAAAATCGAAGGAAAAGGTCTAGTTACGGAAGAAGAAAAGCGCCGCCCGCCGCCAGCTCCGCCAGGACAAATATCTGGCCAATGTTAAATGAGATGATGAAGATCCCAATTGCGCCACGGACACCAGGCAAAGACCTCGATATCCCTGTTGTTCTCAATGGCATGTCCTCCTATGAGCCGGTGGACGGTGTAGAGCCTCACATTCTAAGTACAGAACAGTGGCGGCAGATATACCTCGACACCGTTCTGCGCGTGGGCCAGCTGCAGGCAGACGCGATCGTTGCCCAAGATGACGAAGAGCTTGACGACGAGAGCACTTGGCACAAAGATCATAGGCCGATGACTATCCCTCGATTAAAACCCCCATTCAAACAAAAAGTCTATGATATAGTACACTTTCCCCGCGTGAGGAAGTGAGGGTCAAGGTAGGGAAGGGTACACGCAGGTCTAAGCCAGGTCTATATCGGATCAAGATGGTACAGAGAAAGGTACCGGAAAGAATCAAGAGAACGGGGAACCGAAATTGTATTATTACGTCTCGGAACAATGTTATATACGTATTTAATCCTGAACTAAATTATCAAGACTAGTGCGTTCACCGAAGTCCTAAACTCGAGTACGACAGTCTCCAGCGGCCCCAAGCTCAAATCAAAATCTGCCCACGTCCTTGCCCCTTGTATCTTACTATGGTCATATTTTCGAAGAAAAGCCTTCTATATCTAGTTCTAAGGTAGTTTACAGGTATATTCAAAGGCTGTTATTTAGTGATATGGTCTGATCCATCAATCTATAGAGCGTATAGCAAACTAATTTTAACCCAAAGCTACATAGATTTATTTTATCTGAAAAACGGTTCAACCGTTTCTATAGCTCCATGTTGAAAGTTTCCTCCTTTGAGTGACTTTGTTCAATTGGGTTTGAATACGAACATCTTCAAGATCTCGGATAACTAGGACGCTGAAGACGTACCAAAGACAAGGGTCGGTTTGTACTTCCTACAACCCTGAATGTCAACATTCCTCAGTGCAATCAAACCAATCACCTCCATCGCCTTGAGCTGCCATAAAACAAGCCCAATGAGCGAAATAAGTGTCAGGGTTTCAGGACCCCCACGCCGGCTGAAAAGCTACCTCCATCAGGCCAAGCCTCAACTCAAGTCGATATACCAAGCCAAGCGGTGACCCCCACGGGCGATCTTTTCCCAACGTCCAGCGTCCGTTTCCCCCGCAGAAAAAGGACTAGACGAGGGCAAATGTCCAGGTGAGGCCATGTCCGGGGTTCCATTTCCCCAGTCTTTGCTCCCCCCACTCTAGGCCGGGGTATCGTCGCCACCATTGGCTCTCTGTCGTGCATATTCCCCCATTGCCAACAGACTAGCTTGCCTCCGAGCGAATAGGGTCCAGTCTGGGGTATCATCAGGGGGGTGTCATTGCCATGACCGGGATCTCTCTTGGACCAGCCTTCCATCACTCCCATGCTCGGGTTTTTACTCGCGACTGATTGGCCATACGCGCCACATGCTCTTATACTTCGGGAGTGAAAATGAAGACCTGGGGATGTCCGTCGCCCCGAGTCGCTGCCGAGATTGTTTTGTCTTTCTCGTGGCTTTTTTTTCGTTTTCGTTTTCTTTCATTCTTATACCCCTTGCTTTCCCTGGTATCTGACTATTTTACTTCGTCCATAGCGAGGGAGTTTGGCGGTTCTCGACTCATATCCGTTTCATTCGCCCGTCTTTCTGCTCTTCGAGCAGGTGTTGATACAAGATGTCTCCCAGAAACTCGGACATTGAAATTGGCGACATCGACAAGGCCAGTGCCAACAATGTCGAAGTCATCGCCAATGCCGACAAGCCAAATCCTCAGAAAGAAGCTCCGGCCTCGGTGGCCGCTCTCACCCCAGAAGAGCGCATCAAGGCCGAGAAAGCCCTCGTCCGCAAGATCGATATCCGCTTGTTGCCCATGATCATCCTCATGTACATCCTCAACTATCTCGACCGAAACAACATCGCCTCAGCCCGTCTAGCAGGCCTGGAAGAAGACCTGGGACTAGTGGGCAACCAATTCGCAACCTGCGTCAGCATCCTCTTCGTCGGCTACCTGCTCATGCAAATCCCATCCAATCTAATGCTCAACAAATTCGGCAAACCAGCCCTCTACCTGCCCATCGCCATGGTCCTATGGGGAGTCATCTCCACCGCAACCGCAGCGGCCTCGAGCTATGCCGGCCTCGTCGTGATCCGGTTCTTCCTCGGTTTCGTCGAAGCAGCCTACTTTCCAGGCTGTCTCTACTTCCTCAGCGCCTGGTACACGCGCAAGGAACTAGGCTTCCGCACCGCAGCCCTGTACTCCGGATCTCTGCTGTCGGGCGCCTTCTCTGGTCTGATAGCAGCAGGAATAACAGGCAACATGGATGGCGTCCTCGGCCTTCGCGCCTGGCGCTGGCTCTTCATTATCGAAGGCGCCATCACAATCGTCGTCGCCTTCGCTGCGGTCTTTGTGCTCCCGAACTTCCCTCGCACAACCGGCTGGCTCAGCGACGAAGAAAAAGAGCTCGCCGTCTGGCGACTGGAAGAAGATATCGGCGAAGACGACTGGGTCGACAGCGAACAACAAACCTTCCTGCACGGCGCCAAGCTCGCCTTTGCAGATATCAAGACCTGGGTGTTGATGCTGATGATCCTCTGCATCGTCTCCTCCGCCTCCGTCACAAACTTCTTCCCAACAGTCGTCCAAACGCTCAACTACGGCAAGATCGAGACCCTGTTGCTCACAGCTCCGCCGTACTGTCTCGCCGTCTTCTGCGCATTTGCTAATGCCTGGCACGCCGATCGAACCGGCGAGCGCTATTTCCACGTTACACTGCCGCTCTACATCTCCGTCGTGGCGTTCATTATTGCTGCCACGACGACGGGCACCGCGCCGCGATATGTCGCCATGATGCTCATGGTGCCGTCGTTCTATTCTGGCTACGTCGTTGCTCTTGGCTGGATTTCGAATACCTTGCCCCGTCCGGCGGCTAAGCGTGCGGCTGCGCTTGCTGCTATTAATTGCGTCTCTAATGCTAGCAGTATCTATGCTAGCTATATGTATCCCAATAGTGACAAACCGCGGTTTGGTATGTATTGCTTCCTCCCTCCCTCCCTCCCTCCCTCCTCCTCCCGTTCTGGTCTGTTTTTCGTGATAGAATTGCTGACTTTTGCCCTTGTAGTGCCCGCCATGTCCGTCAATTGCGCCACTGCGTTTATTGCGATTGTTGCTGCTACTGTTCTGAGGTTTATGCTGGTTCGTCTTAACAAGAAGCTCGATCGTGGCGAAGAGGTTGAAGGTGCTGTTCCGGGTGAGGGAAGTCGTCGTGGCTTCCGGTTCTTGGTCTAGATGGATTGGTATTTATCTTCTGCGGTGGACTTGGGCTATCTTTTACTCTTGCTTGCCTTATGATCGGACAGGACTATCTTGTGTCAAGATCAGAATAGGAGATCGTCCAAATACAATAGAACTTTGTCTGATAGAGCTTCATTAAAGATAGACTTGATTGAGATCATCTTATACTATTCAAGGATATACTCCTCAGTATGACAATATATTCCATCCTCCAAGAGAAGGATTTCCTCTTGATGGAACATAAGGATCCATTATGTCCACATCAATGACTGGCATGAAGGGCATACCTCCTCCCAATATTTGACCGATATTTCGGTTTCCCGCTACCTTCTTTCTTCCCGGGTCCTTTCTTCATCCCATCTCGCCCCGATGTCCCAGGAATTCCTTGTCGGTTCTCATGGGACAGGGACTAAAATAGAGTGTAAAATAGACTCTGGGGATAGATATGCATGTAGGAAATCTTTGTTCAAAGGACGCTTACGGGATTGCTGTGTAAATCCGCAATGTCCTGCTAAGTATACACTGCCACACTGCAGAAAGTGCAGAGTATCTACAGTACGTCGTGACATGACTACAATACAACAGACGCAGAACAAGATCCATTAAATTACCGAGACATCCACCCATTAAAACCATTACGAAACAAAGAAAAGAGACAAACCGATGCAGACGAAATGCAAGAAATGGCTCTGATGTGGATTTCAAGATAGAGCTCGAGAGGATAAATATGAAAGGGCCCAGACATGACCATGACAGGAAACAATGTGCTAGAAGACAAGAGAAAGTAGAGAGAGGATGGAAAACGAAATCAAAAGAGAAAAGAACTGCCCAGTACCCACGCTCCTAATATTCAATGACAATGATTCAGATGCACAATGCAGAAAGAGAGATATGAAGTGAAATGGAAAAGGAAAAGAAACAGCGAGGAACAAGGACTGCCACACCGATTAACTGGCAGGAACTTTCATTAGATCAAGATCACCAGGATGCAGAGCTCGAGGTGAACAGTCCTGATATTGTTTTGGTGACGGGACATGCAGTAGAGACCATTGAGATTTCCACAGTGCAGCACGGTTTTGTATTTTCTGAGTTGTTGGCGGTTGCCGCCGGAAGCATGATGGTTATGGCCAAATCGCTAGAGCGTGAATCCTTTTGATCAATGAAGACCCCGCTCGGATGCATCTCATGTTCGCAAGAAAGAAATCATTAAACACCATTCGCCAGAAGTGATGTATGTCTATGGACAGATGCGAGCTCGGTCACTGTCTGAAATCGCTTGCGGGACAGGACCGAGCCATGCAAAGAAACTCCCGCCCAGAACTTAGATGAAGTGCGTGTAGATTTTGGAATTCTCATGAACTTCCATCTCCTATAAGGTTGTTAGTTTGGGCTACATGACAAATAATTTTTCAGATGCACTGACCATTTTGAAGTTGTTGATTTCCTCCCGAATTTGCTGAGCAAGGAGGGGAGTTAAACGGTTGCAGGTCGCAATCTCTCCACGTCGATCGTACTCGCCACTAGGCCAAGTCTCGTGGAACTGAATGCGAGGGCTGAAGACGATATTTCTACCGGCAACGGCCTGGGGAGTGATAGGTGCACTCTTGGCCTCGGAGGCTGTGAAACGTCCTGCGCTCGAGAGGAAGTAATCTTCCCCAGCGATCTTGACAGAGTCGGTCTGGTGAGCGGGCGATCGTGCGGCCTCATCGGGTGTGGGAGGTGCACTGGAGTGCGGTGAGTCGCCACCGTTGGTTGCATGTGGCGAGGCACCAAGGTCGGAGGGAGTTTCTATGAAATGTCAGTATACCACTCGGATACTTGAGACTAGTGTTACATACTTTTCAGGATACCCTTGCGAACCGCGGCCAAGATCTCCGCACGCTCACGGTCTCCTCCCACAATGCTTCTACGCGACTGGGAGTTTTCGGATGCAGCTCTTTCCCGGACGGAAATAGACCGTCTCATGTCTGAACCACCCTCGACTCGTGGGAAGACTGTACTTCCACGGGGCATTCCCTGGAGATCTGGGTTGGCAGCGACGGTCTCCCTCTCCGCCTCAACATTGACGACAGTGATCTGCGGGGGCGGAGTCTCACCAGCCGGTGCCTCGATGGAACCGATGCTGGCGACTGACTTCGGTCGGAACATGCCAACCAATGAGCGAGTTGACCGTTTCATTCCTTTGCCCATTTTGCGTAGCATCATCGAAGCAGACGAGGCGGTGGATGAGACGGAGAGGTTGTCCGTAGATCCGGTGAAGAAGTGACCCTGGTTAGAGTAGATGCTGTTACCCAATCCACTCAGCTCCTGTTGCTCGGCAATTGCGGCCTGCTCAGGTCCCAACTCTTCCTTCAACGCTTCACGGCGCTCCTTCTCAAGCTGAATGGCTTCTCGCTTGGCAGCATTGGTTTGTGCTGAGTTCTTGAGGAGTTCAGAGGCACTGCCAAAGGAGAACGCCCGTCTCAGACGTGATTTGCCGGGGCGCTTCGATTCATTTTTCAAATCATTTAGACGCTTTGCAGCGGGGGAATCTAAAGGAGGAGTCGCTTTGCGTGTTTCGGGTTGAGGAGTAGTTTTGGGGGTGTCAGTTTCTGTCGAGACAGGTTGTGACAAAGGCGATGGTTTGGTGGTTCGTTTGTCATCAGACTTGCCGGTCTTACTTGTCGCAGAGCTGGAGTCAGGGGTCTGTACATATTGTTAGTCCGGTTTGTTTAGATCGGGCGGGTAATCCTACCGATGAAGTCGATGACTGAGCCGAGTGATTACTACCGAGGCTGTCTCGGTGAGAGTGTGAAGACACTGGCCGTGGAGTGGGATTGGTATCGAAAGCAATGAAGTCGTAGGGTCCTGATGTAGGTCCCGATGCAGGTCCCGTGGCAGGTCCGGGCGCAGCAGACTGGAGATCCAGTTGCAGGTTGGGATACGCGGAGGAGTCCATATTGCCCAAGCTTCGACGTCGGTAGCGCTCTGGCTGTGTTCTCTCGCCATGTGATACATCATCTACACTGACCACTCGGGTATGCATGCTCGGTCGAGGCACAGTTGGAGTGCTGTGATCGTCAACCACCACGGTCGGGACTGGAGCAGGAGTTGCAGTCGATGCCGCGGCTTCCGCCCGTTGATTGGCACGGCGATAACGGTTCGGAGAGGGCTTGGGGGAGTTTATGTTCATAACGGAAGGGGAAGGGAGGTTGGCGGTGGATAGGGGGCGGAGCGGCTGATCACTCCTCGGTTGCCTCGAGGGAAGTGCACTGTCGTCCTTGGAAGCATGGGAACGAAAGGAAGAGTTGGAAGAAGAAGAATTCGATACAGAGCCAGCTGCAATATGGGGGTTTCGGGGGGTAGCGTAGGCCTGATTCCCCGGGACTTGGGGGGAAGTAGGAGCGGAAAAGGCGCGATGTTCTGGGCGGAGATGGGGAGACCACGACTGGCGGTTTGGGGACGATTGCCCCAGATTTGAATTGTAGGCGTAAGGCGCCACTACCGGATGTCCTGCTCGATAGTTTCCAGAATTTCCATTGAAGGAAGTCCACGACATGCTCTGGATATGCGAGGCTTGATTTTGGGCGTTGAAGGTGCCGGAAGAGGAGGAAGGACGCGTCTGAAGCACAGGTACCGTACTACTTTGCGGAATCGTTTGAACCAACGCGGCCATATTGTACTTTTCACCAGTCGGTCAAGGAATCACGTCCGGGAGGCGTGATCGGGGGGGTTGTCGGGCAGCGGAGGATGAGGTGGTGACAGGAAAGACCCGACAGGGAAGTTATGTCGTCAAAGAAACAGGAAGCTGGCACCACAAGAGCTGTCAGACGAAGCAGGAGAAAAAAAAAGAACGTTGACAGGTGGAGATCAAAGAGAAAAGGGATGCAGGCTCAAGACCGCGTCAGCCAAGGGGGCATACCTGTTCTAACGTGGGCATAAATAGTGGTACAAGGATTAAAGAGAAAAAAGGAAAAAAAGGACGCTGGAGATGCAGAAGGAAACTCGAAACCAGGCGAGTACAGAAACGAAGGTCAGGCTAGAAAGCCATGAGAGAAGAGAGACGAGAGGTGAAGGGGGAAGGGGGAAGGAAAATAGGAGGGGTCTGAGGTGTTGAAGATTAGGGGGATCGGGGATTACGGGCAAAACATGCATGACACTTGGTATATCTGGGACGATTGACTGCTTTTGTTTCCTGTATTGTAGTATTGTAGTATTGTAGTATTGTAGTATTCTAGTATTGCAGTATTGCAGTATTGTAGTATTGGCATGTTATGGGGGTGTTTGTCCTTCTTGATTTGCTTCTTTTTGGGACATTCTCTTCTGCCTTTGAGAAGCTCAGGGGCCAAATTTACTTGCCAATCGGAGATGCGGGTCATCCCCTTAACTGCTCCATAGTGTATTCTTAGACAGACAAAGTCTCTTGAGTCAGTGTGCAGAGGGCGCAGAGAGGACTATCGTCTCTAGTGCACATTGTGCACAATCATTCCGTGCACAGTGTACGCATGTGGAGGAGAAAAGGCCCGGCTCACACCAGCAGTTGCGTACGTGCAACTTTTCAGCCACGCCACCTCGATGAAAAGATACACCTGGGAAACGATGAAGCTCACTCGAACCGTATCTCTCACCATATCCCCATGAACACCCCCCCCCTCATCAAATCGCCCACCGGAGAGCATTCTGGCATTGGAGATCCGAACCTTGGTTAGCTGAAAGGGCAGAACCACGGATCCGCCAATCTGAGCATCTGAGACATTTGATATCCATTTGGACCACTCACGTTGCACCGATGAGGCTCATCTTTCTAGGGCTTGGGACTCTTGCCCTCTCTAGACATTGTAGTATCCCATGCCTTCTACAGTGACAGCTGGGTTCGTGGGGCTTATCGACAAGCTACAGGACTGTACACATGTACGTCTTTCTACGCGTATCAGAACCCACTGCCATAGGCTACTCGGTCATAGTCAACCAGACCGTACAGTAGTCTCAGCCATCGACTGGATCACTCGACATTTTACACTGTACATGCACCGGACAGTATGCACTGCGTCTTATCTCTCTCCACGTCCCCTCTCGATCCACTGACTTCCCGCGTGATCGACACACGCCAAACCCGTTCAGCAGGCTGTGCTTCACATATAATTCTCTCCTGGATCCAATGGAAAAATCCCATGGTGCCGATCCTGGCTGGTTTGATGATCCAGTGCAGGCTGTTCATCATTCTACGGTAACTGTATAGCATCACACCATGTACGGGAGCCGGCGGACTAGCTGATATCGAGCCATCCGACATTAGCGCCTGTTAGAGTGCAATTCATCCTTGGGCGGATTACCCCAGTAATATATCTGTGCTCGTGCCTGTGCGTAGATTAATGTTCCATTTGCCCTCCCCTTTTTTTTTCTGGTCGCTGTGTGCACGGGTGTTATGTGGCGTATCCCAAGGGGGGTTGGTTATAACTAGTAACTACTTCCACGGTTAGTACCGTTCTGTAGAGGCCAAGTGCTCAAAGAACGAGAAAATGGACTTGACATTGCGGAGAAGTCGGATCACACGTGGAGCTCTGCTGATCCACCAACTTGGACGGCTTTGGTTTCCCTTTGGGGGCGGACTCGTGTTGGGTATGGGTTGATGTGCCTCTTTTCGTCCCGTCTGCTTGCTTATTCGTGCGGATCGACCTCCGCTTCAGTTCCAAAGTACACGGAATTTCGAATTTAACTTAGTACCTACAGTAGCCTACAGTAGTGTGGGCTGATACATTAAGAGTACGTATGGGCATACCCTAAATGGGAGAATGTACGGGGGGATTTTTTTTCTCTTCTTCTTTCTCCGGGGAAAGCCAGTGTGGAGACTCGCTTCGGATGATTCCTACCTTGGCAATTAACGGCAGTGTGCGAGGAAGAGTTCGGAACTCCGACTTGAGGGGCAAACCGGTTTGATCTTCCGAGTGTGGGATATATTTGCTAGATCGGATTTATCTGATACACTTGAGCCGCGGTGGATTGCATCGTGAAAAGTTCTCCCCACTAGGTTCGGAGACTTCGATCGCTGGATAGCTGGACAGCTGGAGAGCTGGATAACTGGACTGGGAAACTGGCCTTGGATCGGTGATGCTGGATCTGGAGGGTACTGGATCGCCAACTGCAGAGGTGGGCATTGGAGGTCACGAAGAAAGAGTACAGTATGCCGAACCGTCCTGGTGGATACGAAACATGAAACGGATACGAGGCGTAGCTCACCACAGAATGCCGAATTCTTCGTATTCTACAACAATCGCCCTATCCATGTACCCCGGTGAGGAACTAGACAGTAGACATTCCCCCATCGACAACCTTAAAACGACACCAACCAGGGAAGACAGAGGGGTATAAACGATTCTATTCTTTTGTTTACCTGGTCTCATGAAACACATATATTGGAACACGGTATTCAATAATCATAGCGCATCCTCGTCATCCTCGAAATCGTCATCCATGTCATCGTCGAGACCCTCGAAGACCATGAATTTTTCGTTCTTAGCGTCCGTCTCATCAGGAACAACATTGCCATCTTGAACCTCGCAGTCCTTTAGCACACATTCGCTGCCGATCTTGGCTCGGCGGCCGATGATACATCCTGTAAGAACGGCCCGTGGTCCAACGGTGACTCCGTCCATCACCACACAGCGGGTCAGTCGGGCACCGCTGGAGATGTGGGAGTTTGCTCCGATAACACTCTCCTTGACGACGCACTTCTCTTCGATGGTGACGTTCATGTCGAGGAGACTGTCGCCCTTGGTGACAGTGCAGCGTTGAGCAACACCGGCTGGGTAGGCGACCTTGTGGTTGTGGGCGAAAGCAGAGGCGGCGGAACGACCAACTTCCTCGATAGATTCCAGTTTGGCAAGACGGAGAGAGGTGGATAGGAGCATGGCGGATGAATCGACACGGCGGACAAAAGGCGCCGAGCCTCTTTGGACGTAGGCAAGCATCGGTGGCAGCGAGCTACACTTCAAGCTCTGGGATGCTGTCGGAGCCTTGACGCGAGAAGCGAATTGGGGTTCTGAGTTCCGTGTCGACTCGGCGATGGCCGATGTAGCCTTGGTAGTGCTCATGCTCTGTAGATCAATTTCCTCCTCGAGTGACTCGCCGTCGTGGCTGGCATCCTCGCCGGAGGGTAGAGAGTGACCTTGTCGCTGGAAAATCTCGTTCATCTTGAGTTTGTCGCCGAGGCCTTCTTGCCACTCGGCCTTGGCCCACCAGCCCACCAGATCCTCACTGACGGACTGGAACTTCTCATTCAGGCGGGCGAAATCCTTGACCCAGTAGGGCAGGACGTAGAGGTGTGCATCACGGTAGCTCGACAACATCTTGACCTGTGCGTGCTTATCCACGAGGGAATGGCGCAGAAGGAATCCCTTGTCATTGACCATCTTTTCCTTCATAGTCGACATTGGCATAGACATGACCAGCTTGGAGAGGTCTTCGGTGTGTCCGGCGGGGGCCTCGTCCTTTTCGAATGGTGCAATAGCCACAAAATCGGTAGCTTCACCCTTGACACTTTCCTCTCGTCCTTGTGTCTGATAGAAGACACTTAAACCACCACGACGTCCACCCTGTTCGCCGCCAGGTCCCGAGCTCGCGGGGCCGTGAGCGTTGCGCCCCTCCCGGACTGTGCTGCTGCCACCGAGAGCGCTCTGGAAGATCATCCACGATTCCAATAGTGACTCACCGGGGATTTCGCAAAGAAGATCACAGGGAAGAAGGAGGAAGTCGGACTTGATGCAGTTTTGAATCTCTGGGAGGCGGAGCAATTCTGCGGTTCCAGTTGTCATGTCTAGGTCCTTCGGAGCAATGACTGAGGGCGAGGGCGAGGGGATCGAGGTGAGATGGGGATTTTGTCGCAGAGCAGCCTGTAGAGGTGCGAGGGATGAAGGAGGAGTGACCAATGTGATATCTATCCAGGTTAGTCTTTTATCACTCCGCGATCAGCGATTCAGTAAAGCGCCTACCAGTGATTCCCATGCGTTTGCAAAAGTCGATAGTGTAGAAGATCATAGGCCGATTGGCGACTGGGATAAGACATTTTGGGTACCTTTAACAGCTGTGTGTTAGAGAGAAGTTCGCGATATTGGTCAAAATATTTGAGATACTGACTCTTCGGGGTTTGAAGTGAAAGTGTTGAGCGAGACACCCGGGCCACAAAGGACCAGGGCCTGAAACCCAGTATGGGGTACTGGGAGAGGCATTATTTTGCAGTTCAGACCATAAACTTGTGGTCTCGAGGTGTTACGAGGGAGAGCTATGCGAAACGTTGAAGTGTGAATCACATAGTGGGACAAATTATCTGCCCGGTTGACCCGCCTTGGATTCTGCCGGTACTACTAGACAAAGAGGTATTACGTTGAGTGAAAGATGGGACTAAGTTATTTCTTTGAGAATCATTATAGCCCGCGAAAGTATTGAAAATTACTCATCAAAACAGCTCAATGCAACGGGAAAAAAAAACATTTTGCTGGATGGTTTTATTAGCTTGAATGATATAGATCTGGGATGAGTGTAGTAGGCGGTGTGACCTATGCGCGAGCGGTGACTGGTATAGCTTGGGAAAGTCAAGTATTCACTAGTGATTTATCTGATGCTCTTTAGCATTCCAACTGACAAGAATCTACGTAACAGAAGACTCAATTCGACTTTGTAACTATCATACATTGTGTAGTTTTCCAGGACTGGGCTTACATAATCCCAGCCCCGGGATACCTAGCCCCCAGATTTATGTGACGCAAACAGGACAAACAGGAGTAAACACCGCGGTTAATGCTCACCAGCCACATGTTTCTGGGCCCCGAGGGTCAGGGACACTTCATCTTTCCATCCCCTATCCCCACCCTCTTCTTTTCCAGAGACGAATGATATGCGACCTGCAACTTATTGCGATCGCGATTAATTGATGTGCCTCTAATCTACACCGCAATGTCTTTCCCCCAAGATCCTCGGCAGCGCCGCGGCGGAGCCGGGAGAGGCTTCAGCTCAACCGGTGGACGAACTGCCTTGGGGTATTGGTTACCCTTGGCTTTGACCGCTGGAATTGCAACCGTCAGCATCGCAGCTTGGATCTGGAGCGAACGGAACGATGATGACGACGAAGACGACCAACCCCACGACGGCAATGGCCCTTATCCACCCCCTTCTGTTCCTGGCAGTGACTTCCCCCGCCTGCATATGGTGCTGGAGACTATGCACGAGGCACAGGTACCGACGCACTGCCCAGTGATGGCTCGTACGATCATGGTATGATGGCGCGCATGCAGGGCGCTTTGCGTCGCACACCAAGTCCTCAGCAGATCTTTGATGGTGCCAGCAAGAGAGTTGTCGCAGGTGTTACTGCCGCAGGAGCTTTTGTCGGTGGTGCTTTGACCTCTATCCGCGAAGAGAACAAAGGCGACTTTGAGGATCACTCCAGATGGTCGGAAGAAGCTCAAAACAGAGCTCATGAGAGGAGTCAACAACCAGCAGTCGCGCCAACTATGAGCGGTGGACTGCCTAGTCGTGGTGCCACTTCTAGCCAGTCATTTGAAAAGAAGAAGAAGAAAACGGTTGCAATCGTCGTTTCCTCACTTTCACCGGCTGACTCCGACGACTATGCCTCTGAGCACGCTGTAAGCATACCCCCTCCTGACATTCACCCAAACCTTTCTAACGAAAATAGTCTATCCTCTCACATCTTCCTGAGCACATTGACTTGGAAACCTCGAAAGTATTCATTTTGATCTACGCCCCGGATTTGGAACACGCAATCAAGCATGGAGGCTCCTCCCGGCCCACGCTTTCTATCGCCTCATCATATTCTAACATTGCCACGGAAGAAGCTGCTTCCTCCGGTGAACTGGCATCTGGTGATCTGACTGCCGTTGAGCCGCGCGAGTATGGTCTGGAGGGCACAAGCCACTTCTTCAAGACACTCTACACCCAGGCCCAAGCGCTGGTTGAGAAGGAGACCATGATTATGCCCTTCAGCACAGCTGGTGGATTTGTAAATCTTGTCCGCCACCTATCCCCTGATCTTGTTTATGTCCAGGAGTCTCTCACCGGCAATGAAGGCGATGCAGTCCAGCACATCTCTGGATGGGTTCGCCAGGTTATTGTTGTGGTTGGAGATGAGGGCGGCCGAGGTGGGCTCATCGACAGTGATGATGAGTCTGCTCTTGGTGAGAAGGTGGAGAAGTGGTGGCAAAAAGAAGGCACCACCGGCATTGGTAAACGTATTGATGTCGTCGATGTCCTCCGAGTCGGTGATGACTGGCGACGACGCGTGCGTGATCTGGACTAGATCCTGAATCACTGCTCCATGATTTTGATGTTGATATTGGGTTTCTTGCATGTGTATACCTGTTTCTCTACTCCCCTGATGATTGATTGACCCTATTCCCCTGTTTGACTGTTCTGCTTGGATTTGATATGTTTGTTTTTGACAGTATAGAGCTCTATTGTCACGTGTGGCAACAAAGATAACTCTCTGAAATTAATTCATTCTTCCCTGATTTCAATAGACTTCTCTTAAATACTTACTTGCTGAACAGCATTCCCATAAAACACCAATAATCATAAAAACCCCTTTCATACGGCTCCCATACATATTCATTGTATGTTAGGGCAGAGCAACTAGTCCTATTGCGGGAACCTTCACGTGACTCATTGTCACCGCGGCTTGGCATCATTCAACTCCCTCTCTGAGAGACCTCGCCCAGCGTCTTCTTTGAGCCCACCCCTTCCCAGCAGCATTATCGGGGCGCTTACATTCTTTCATTCTTTTAACTTACCTGGCTTGTCTCGGCCAATCTTTTCGCATTGATTCCAGCTGTGCTGGTGACCAGTGCTACCCTATCTATCCCCACATGTCTCGCGCATCGACCCTAGTCATTTCCCGGCTTCCATTCAACATCATCAGATCGGCATCCCGATAAGTCGCATTCCTAACTCGCTGGTCACACCGACTTCGCGCAATCGGCGCAGACGACATGGCGACCGCAATTTCCAAACCGACCTCTCATACCCCGAAGATGAAGCGGCCGCCCCCGCCTTTCGGCCAGGCCGCGGTCAACGGGTTCAAAGGCCAACAACTTTCGTCCTCGCCCACCTCCGCCTCCAAACGCCCTCCGACAAGCGCCTCTGTACACGCAAATGCCAACTTCACAAATGGCACTGCCAATGTGGCGAACTCACTTAAAGGCCCCCTCAACCGAACCCGGAACCAGTCACAAAGGCCGGCTGATCAGCTCTCGCGATCTGGTCGGCCAGTCACGAGAACAGCGGTGATGGATCAGGCTCATAGGGCTGGTAAAAAGGCACCAGAACCATATGGTAAGAGATCCTGCGATTTCTGCCCTGGCAATGGTACGCGCGAATGCTGACTCGGCCACCACAGTGAAAACTACATCATACATCCTGAAGAAATATTCAAAGTCACCTCCGTCTCTTATTGTCCATTTGCATCCCACACATTTTCGATTTGAGCAGCAAGATGGCAGCTTCCCCTACAACTCCGAGATGAAAGTCATCATTGAACACATTCGCGCCGGAACTGTTCCACATGATCTGATCGAGGAGCTATTACGAGGCGGAGTGCAGTTCTACGAAGGTAGCTTCGGCAGTGATCAACTACTATACGTCTTCTTTACTAATGTGCACCAGGCTGCCTCATCGTTCGTGTTATTGATCACAAATCCGTCTCTGCGCAAGCGAGGAAGACCTCGGCGTCATCAACCACCGAAAGCAATACTCCTTTCTCTCTCCACAATTACAACGAGCATGTTACACCATCAGCTTATGTTCCATATCCGAAACAGAATCAACTCACGTCCGATTCACAAAGCGCAAAGACCGACGGAACGCCAGCTCCAACCCAACAGGATGGCGAGGCTCCAAGTGAGCAGGAAGGCCAGAACAACAACCAATCGCAGAAAAATATACCGTCTAAGTCTCGAGTATTTACTACCGTACTCCACCCAACTGCACGAACTTTGCAAGCGGAATTGACACTGCTCGTCACGACTCCTGACCCACGAGCCAACAAAGTGAATCAACAAGCCTCTTACGCCACGACTCCAGGAGGCGTCCAGCAAGAACGTGGTCATACAGCAAAGAGGCAGAAGACCCTTGTTGCACCGGAAGATCTTGTAGAGTGTGAATCAAGAATGATCCAGGCAATGGCTCCCCCACTATTCCTGGAACCTGTGCATAGTCTTGATGCTGCTCAGGAACTACTTAAATTCCTGGAGAGTCCATTACACTGCGATCCACCACCTTCGCCCAAGCGCCGCAAGAGAACCATTGCTGAACTTGCTGCAGACGAGGCATTGGCTGCTGAAGAGGAGAGATTTATGCTTATTATGGACGAGCGTCTGGAACCTACAGCTTCTGGTACTGGTGCCTCCAAGGTTGCCGTTGTGGACGATACCGGCGGCGTGGCACCGTTTGAGCCCCGATTCTCTCGATTCAAGACAATTGAAACTATCCGCATGCAGCATGAGGAAAAAGCTAAGCGCGAACACGAAATCAAGTTGAAACAAGAGCTGGCCAAGAGACAGCAGCAAGACCAAGAACGAGATCGACGTCGTGTGGTTGAGCAGCGACAAGCCGATGAGCACGCAAAGGAGGAAGCTCGTAGACAGCAACTCGCTGCTCAACAGGCGCAGGCTCAACTCGCCGCACAGCAATCAAACCGACATGTGATGGCTCAGACCAATGGTATGAATCAAGGCCAGCAATCTTCGCCGGTTATACGCAACCAAACTCCGCATGTCACTTCGTCGCCCCTCGTTGGCAACACCATGCCGGCACAGGCCGTTCAGATGACTATGTCTCAGTCTGGATCTGGCAGTCCGCCACGGCCGCCATCTGCTTTGCAACACGCACACCCCATGGGCCATCCGATGGCTCCTTCGAGAAGTCAACAGGGTCCGAGCCGACACGGCACTCCCCAAATGACCCAGGGTACGCCTGCTATGTCACATGCTACTCCAATCATGCGCAACGTGACACCGACCCAGCGGATGAATCATGGTAGCCCTAACCACCCGAACATGGCTCAAACCCCCATGATGAACCAGGGCATGGGTATCAACCCCCAGATGAATGGTACAAACATGCAACACCTTACTCCACACCAGCAACAACTTTTGTTGCAACAGCGACAGCAGCAATTACTCGCACAAGGGCATCTCGGTCAAAATCAAATTACGCCTCAGCAGTTCGCCCAAATGCAAGCCAATGCACAGGCCAATGCACATGCACAGCACAATATTCAATCGCATCAGCAACAAATGCTACAGGCTCAACAGCAGCAGCAGCAGCAGCAACAGCAAAACAATCAAAATGTTCAAAAAGTTCCCCAGCAGAATCAACAAGCATACCAAGCTGAACTCATGCGAGCTCAATATGCGCAGATGCAAATGGTTAAGCAAGGCCATCATCCCCAAATGCAAGGCCAGCAAAACCAGCCACAGCAGGCTAGACCACAGATGACAGCTCAGCAACAGCAAATGCTGATGGCAGCCGCTCAAGCAAATGGTGGCCAAGCTCCTCAAACCCAGCAGGCCATGCAGCAACGATATGCCACTCTCTTCCAACAACGGCTGCTTCGTCTTCGACAAGATATGTCACAGCGACTATTGCCACAATTTGGTCCACCGAGCCAGTATCCACCCAATATTGCTCAACAATATACCGCCGGACTGGAAAAAACCGCCAAGGCATGGATTCAAGAACTGATCCGACGAGAGCGTGAAGGTATCCCGATAGGCCAACAAGGCCAGCCAGGCCAGCCAGGCCAGCAGCGAATGAACCCGAATCAGGCCGCTTTAATGCAAGCTCAGCAGGCCCAGGCTGCCCAACAAATGCAACAACAAAACTCAATGCACGGCATGAATATGAACAACTGATGCCAGTCCGACCCCTGGCATTAATTGCACCGATAACATACAAGATCGACGATGCCCCGGTATGGCAAAGGCAGGGTTGCAATGGACAATCTGGCGTAAGACTGATTCACGCTGAACGTTTACGCGGCCATGTGACTGGCTGATAACAGCTTCATTTACAAATTTTCCGTTGTTTAATATTGCTTGAACCTTTTACCGCGCTTGCTATTTATTCTTTTGGTTCTTTTCATTTGGGTTGTGGGGATTTGTATAGGAGCCGGACATCGTGGAGATGAGAGGCCGGCGTCATGCAATTTTTTGACATGGTTTTTTTTCCCCTGCAATTTCTTTTCTTCATTTCTGTGATTTGTACTATCTGGGCACGGTTTAGGCGGGAAATCTGGGATTTATCAGACTCGATACCATTCTGTACAGGAGTTTCTTTTCTTTTCTGAGTCTGGGGGTTTGGGCGGACATTTGTGGAATATTTTAATACAATGACAAAATGAAAGAACTTCAAATCCTTTCTTCAAACTACGTAGATGAACTGTACAGTGATCAAGGGTAACTTGGGAGTATGCTTTGTAGGTTATTTGGAAGACACACTCGATCAGAGACTACAGCAAGGAGATTGAAGAATTCGGATTGTAATATTCTTGAGTATGGTTTAGACAAAAACTCTGGTATTCCTGAACTCAGACTGTTGAGCTTGATATATTTGAACACTCATGGAGAACGTCATGTCAATTTAGAATAGGAGATCATCACAGTAAAGGAAGACCAGAGTTTTTTTGTCAGTTTGTCCTACGAAATGGCAGAGAATAGATAGCAGCATCAAACAGTCGGACAACATTGATCCGATGCTTTCATGCTTTAAAATAAGCTGACTGCGAAGTGCAGCATCGCGTGACAGATGATGCCCGAGGTTATGGGGTTCACACTGGAGAACTTGCAGAAATTGACAGGTTGAGTTTTTTATATCGTGTGCTTACATAAGCACTCTGTCAGCGCGGCGTGGGGCCGGGCCGGCATTACTCCGGGCGTTGCCTAATTAGGATATCTATCAACAGTGGAGTATAGCTTGATGTTGGAGAATAGAAAGGCAGTTGGGTTGGAGAAAAACTCTCTGGTTCAGTTGTGCTTAATACTAAGACCACAAAAGGAAGTAAATAGACCATGGATAAGACTCATGAGATGATTGCAGCTTCCCATGTCTCATCCGCCATTCTGAACATGCCCACATCATAGCCCTCGATAGGTATGAGGAAGAATAAAAGAACGAGAATCTTTTGAATGTGGCTTCATACTGCCCAGGGCCATACTATTACCATATCTACTTTGACACCCCCCTTGTGATCTGCCCATCCTAGTATCAACTTTACGCAGAGGGAATAACACTCGGCGGGAAATCGTCATACCCTACACCGTCTATCGTAGTATCTTGACCTCCAAACTCAAGACACCGCCGAGGCTTGATCCCAACTGAATCAAGGTACCATATTATCGTGCTTTCCACCCATACGCAGGACAGGTGTGACACTGCGTGGAAACGCTGCATCGAACAAATGTTTTCTCGATGGATTTTAACAGCAGGAACAGGGATAATGATCGCCATACATTGCCAATCAAGTTAAAAGATAACCCTAAAGCTCAGTTGTAACCCGACAGCGACGTTGAGAATCAGAGATCTCTTCTAAATGTACCTCTGCATTGCATCGCATGTCAATGGATAAATGGCTCATACTATTTCTCCCGAACCTATACCTAGAACGAGTTGGATAGACGGAGCGGTTACTTCGAACGTGAATATCACATTCCAATGCATGCACTCTTCAATACAGAGTACAGTAGTCGGTATCCGTTGATGTCAAATTATTCCGAAGTACATTCAATTTCTGAAAGCCAAAGAAAGGAATTGCTTCGGGCGCTCAGATGACTGAAAGTTCATGCAACCATGCAGTTTCAAACTTTGAAAAAAATGTCTCATTTTGCCCAGTGTGTCTATTGGCGATTGGTGAGTTGCGACGTGGCTACTGGGAGCTGTTCCAATGCGTTTGAGGACTAATTTCCACGCGCACAGACATGCCAATGTAGATGGGTTCAAGTAATTTCCCTACTGGCAGGAAAGTTTCTCCCTGGAATGTAGAGGCAGGGTGAAAGTACATGCATTGTCGCGTCATATTGTTATTTTGGACGCTACTGTAGCGTAGTTTCATTTACTAAGTCAGAAACAAGAAAACCAAATAAAACTTCCATTCCAAAAGCCGAAAATCCAAAATGCGAAATGCAAGATAGAGAAAATCAAGGGACTATTGGCCACGCTGGATGCATGCCGCTTGACCGCAACGCACAGGTTCCTCCACAGGAACACAGTATCATCCCGGTCATCCTACATTACATGCGCAGTCCACCTGCCTCGGGATGAACGATGATGCCACGACTACAGACACGGCACAGAGCCCAACTACTCGGGATCCAGACATGAGAAGGGGCAAAAAAGGAAAGGGAGTTGCACATCAATAGTGCATAATTGGATGCATTCTAGAAATTCAACCCATATCCCCCAACCTATCTACGGTGCTATGGAGAATTGCAAGGCAGCAAAAGAAATTATTGGATATCACTTTCCTATCACTCCACTAGGGTCAGTTCATTACTCGATTTGGTCTGCGTGGCATATACATAGCATGGACAGCGCGGTGTGACAAAATGGTCCGGCCATTGGTCAACAAATTTCTGTCAACGTCGCGCAACGTGTACATGTACAGGACCGAATGAACTTAGCTTTGCTATGAGTAGCGGTGGACGAGATGATTTGTCACTGGTATTTGAAAAAGTGGTGTGGATTTGAAAGGAAACGAGAGCGAGAAGAAATGGAATGGGGGTGGGATCTGGACTGGAAGATTTGAATTCTTTACGCTTGAACCAATACCGACGGTGGAAATGCAAAGGAGATGGGAAATAGGGTAGAAAATGGCCCGAATCGCGGTGAAGAGCGAAATCAGCCACCACGCCCACTGTGCATGTAGATATGCCTTAGGCTTGGAACAAGAGGCGCAGGCTTAGCCTTCAAGGACCGATATTCCATGCACGACGATCACTCGGCAAAAAAGAGTTAGAAGACGCTGCCTGGAAGGCTGAAGCCGGGTAGGTGGGAGGGGTGATAGGCGTTCGTTAGATGATCTCATATACAGCAGAAATAGAACATAAAAAAGCAAAAGTCAAAAAGAAAATAACGAACCACTGAACGCCCGCAAGCCCCCGTGTCCAAGTTTCCAAGTTTTCAAGTTCCAAGGCCCGAGAAATGGGGAATGGGGGGAAGACGGAATGGAGGAGCAGACGCATTAGACCCGATCTCGACATGGTGGCGAGAGTCCAGGCACAAGTACGCGGCTCTTGGCGGTTGCATAGCGTATGACCTTTGTTTTTTTTTGCTTGGACTATCTTGGTATCTTTCAGCTTTTTTTATTTTTGGAGTCTATAGTACAGATAGGTAACATTGTTTGTTGGACCATGTTGTAGACTCCACATGCTTCAAAGCCCGTGTTGCGCTGTCGAAAGTGGTGTGGCGGAGCTTCCTCTTTGGGTTGCAGGGCTCACGGTGTTGCAATGCAGGTCATGGACGTGTGTGCTTGGGAGTTCATCCACATTGGCGACTAGATACCGGGTTACAGATTGGAACACGAACTGAGGTTATCTGGCCTCTATTGAGAAGTAGATCGTGACTCGCGTTTCACGGGACAGAGGAATTGCGAATAGGGAGACCGTGAGTTGGTGGAATGTGGAGAGTAGAGTGTAGAGATGAGTAAATAACAATTGAATGGCGCGCGTCTGGCGTGTCTGATTCGACGGGATATCTGTTCCCAAGTCCACTAGGCTCCACTAGCGAAGATAGATCGGTTGGAGACGTCCAACGATGAAGTGATATGTAAGATTTGCATCTCGCAAACGCGAGTGCGAGAAAACCATGAAAAACGCAAAGGGAAGGACAAGGTTTCATTAATTATAGTATAAGGGTATAGAGGCTGAGTAGATGCAACATCGAATGCACATCTTTTTGTATATTATGCCACAGAGTGCTAGTAGATGTTGGTACAAGCAAAAAGAAAAATAACATCACGTTGTAGCGGATTGTACATGATCGCCAACCCCTGGGGGCATGAATTATAAGCGATTCCACCTGTAAAAAAAGAATTCATATGCAACGCCAGATAAACACCGACATTCAAAGTGTACCTCCCCGACCTTTGGCACCGAACAAATTATGCAAGAGAAAAGGAAGAAGAAAAGGAAAAGGGGGGGAAAAAAGGAACCAAAGTCTCCGATCAAGGAGACATATACAACGCCGTGGTCAGAGATCAATCTGGCCATCAATGCCTCTGCCCTGTGGGCAGCCGATCCAGAGACGGGGTATCAAATATCCTGAGGTAATAGTGGCGCGTGTCTGCTTCTTAGAATCCATATTTTCTTTTGGAGTCGTGTGGAAAATCGTTTTTTCGGGTTTTCGAGATTTTTTTTTGCTTGAGGGAATTTTTTGCTTTTTTTTTCGTGTTGCAACTAGTCATCCCAGCCATCGACGCTGAGCTCACCGCAATCAGGCATGGAATCTTCTAACTTGCTTCCGTAGATAGGCCGACCGTCGGGGGTCAGCTGGCCACGGAAATCAGGGTCGTAATCGGGACTAGTATCATCAAGGGTAGCAACATATCGGTTCCGACCACCCCGCTTGCTGTGGGTCTTGGTATAGTGTGCGTTGAGGTTGTCGCTTCGGGAGAATGCGCGGTGACAGCCAGGGACCCAGCAGACGTGGGGCTTCTCCTTGGAGTGGCTCTTCATATGACGCTTAAGGTGCTCCTGGCGTTTGAAACGACCCTTGCAGCCAGGCTCCTTGCACTTGAACTGGACCTGCTTAATGATGGAAGGCAAGTTCTCAAGGCTGAGGTTGGATCGAAGCAGCTGCTTCTTAGATGATTTGCGGGAGGGCTGGCGATGGCGTTGCATCATACCGTCGCGATAAACAGGAGAAAGTTGGAATTCCTCTTGATATTCGTGGCCAGACATGCGGCTGACGGGAGTGTCGGTGCCCGAGGGGGTGCCCAATGAAACTGAGCGCACAGGAGTGGAAGGAGTGTGAGTTTTGAATGTGGGAATGTTGGTAGGGAACTCGGAGTACGTGGAAGCAGGAGGAGTAGCAGGAAGATAGGATGCCTGAGCTGGAGTGATAGTCTGTGGTACTAATGACTCGTGCGTTGGCATCCAGGGCATCATGTTTGACATGGATGCTGAGTTGGGCAGTCGCTCAGGCGGCTGGTTGAAGATAGGGCGAGAGAGACACGGGTTGGAAGCCGACTCCGGCAAGTATCCAGGCTGCTGGGGACGGTGATAGTAGTTGCGAGCCATCTGGTTATACTGAGGCATTGGGGCCTGGTAAGGGAACGATTGCTCATGATAGGTTTTGGGCACATCCTGGGGAATCCAGAACTGCTCAACGTTCTCATCATAGCCAGGAAGGTACTCGGAAATGGGCATAGGCTCTTGACGCTCCATGTTACCGTAGGACATACCCACGCCTTCGCCGGAGGTGAGATCGGCCATTTTGAAGGCACTGCGAAGCGGGGTGGCCGAAGTTCGTCTTTCCATTGGCATGGTGTGATAGTGCTGGGCCTCGTGCCATCCGGGGGAAGCCATCGAGCCTTGACTGTAGAGACTGGTGGGAGTTGGTGTTGGAGAGTCCAAAGGAGAGAAGCTTGAAGTCATCGATGGGCATTCACTAGGGCCCAGGGAACGACAGTCAACCTCGACAGTCAATTGATCAGAGATTTGCTGTCCGTGAGGTCTCATGTCGTCGATATCTTCGGTTTTGAAAGATCGAGGAGCAACAGGGTCAATGGTATCGCCTGTTCAAATCACTTAGTGGTTGAAGGAAATTAAACGATAGAACCAGGTCAAGGTTGTAGTAGTCAAGGACAACGAGGGACGATGAGGTCAAAAGAAGGAAGACACTCAAGGGAAGGAAGGAGAGAACGAACAAAGAAGCACAGGACAAGGAGAGAACAAGACACAAGAGAATGTATTAGGAGTATAGGAAAGGAAAGAATGTTTGAAGGATGGGAATGGAGGACAAACGGGCAGAAATAAACAAATCGGTCGAGCATAGAATCCCGAGGGGGTGGGGATCGAACTTACAGCTATACGCCATGGTCAATGCTCAGATCAGATCCTATGGTCTGATTAGAGGCGCGACGCGTGCCTAAGCAAGGCCAGGAATGCAGACTATGGGATCCTATGTTACCACGGCAAAGGTCTGCGGCTGGATCTGGGCTGGGATCGGCCGGTAATCGACGTAGTCTAGCGAAGTGGTGGTGTTTCGCGTCAGGATGGAGACCCGGATTTCCAAAATGGGACTCAAGGACCGTGGCTGGATTAGAACACGGTCGAAATAGGCGTTATTGGTGTCAGATGGCCCTTTAACGCGCTACCTTGTTACTGGGAAACGAGGTGCTGGGCGTAGTCGAAGGGGAGGCTGGTCTCAGATTGATTAAGTGGACCACAAGGGGAGGGGGGATTATAAGAGCAGGGCTCAGTAAGGAGGAGAGGTTTAAGAAGAAATCGAGGGACAGTGTCTTGGAAGATATAGGGAAGTGGAAGCTTGTTCCTGGTACCTTTTTGGGGGAAAAGAACTTGATCGACACGATTCATTGCCTCATCCCTCACTTTTCTTTTTTTCGGATTTACCTGGTTTTCTATTCGTCTCTGCCATTTTTCCCTTTTTGACTTTATTTTGTCAATATTATCTTCTTCATGCATCTCTCCCGAATCATCCACCGTCTCCACCACGCCCAATCTGATCTCGCAGGTTGAAGCATGCAGCATACACTGGAATGTCTAGGCGGCTGTACCACTTGGGTTCCGCACAATGTGAGCGAAGTCTATTTGCGATTTGACATGCAGCGCGGATCCTGGCTGATTCCCCGGACTTTCTGGGTTGTGTCGATCACACTAACCGCCTGAAACCCTGATCGCCTCCTCTCCACTTTGGGTCTCAGGTCAACTTAGACATAGAAGAGATTTTATTGTTCTATAATCACCAGGGCACATGATAACTCAGAGTTGAACGACTATAGAACCATAAACCGGGAAAATATGAGCTCGCTCGGACGGTGGAGGCTTGGATCGATCGCATCCGTACTTTTGCGATAGGTCAGACGTTGACCCCATTTCGTCTGTGCGAGTGATCTTCAGATCCCCAAACATCCCAGATTCCACTTGAACATTCTCCTATTTCTCCGCTTTTTCAGGCTCTGAACAGTGTTCTTTTGTGGATGATTGTTGAGTAAGATTCGATCTCTGGTGGTTGAGTGTACTTGCCCGTGCCAAGATTAGCCCTAACCCAGACGTGAGTTACAACCCACGTCACCAAGAATGCGAACACGCACTTCACTCCCATAACTCTGGAACCCATCGGTTCGTTCGTAACTGAACCTGCGTCTGATTTATCCCGCCTCAGTCGGGACTTCACGGTTTCGCCTTCGGTTTCGCATTCTCCCTCTGTACCCGCCCAGATAGCGATCGGCCTGCTTGTCAGTCCAGCCTATTATCGGCCCTTTTTGCGATCGAAATTACGTTCGCCGATTCTATCAAATTTTCTGTTTTCGAATTTGTGCCACTATACTATACAGTACCAGGAGAAAAAGCGCTTGGGCCAAACACTACGCGGCTGATTTTGGATAGCTCTCACCCGAGAACTACTCGCTCGTAGCAGAATGAAGTCAATTCTATAGCGATCACGGCACCCGAGTCAATGGCTAGGCGCCGGGTATCTTCTACCCTTGTCGATCATATCCACTGGCAGATCTCATTTTGCTCTCGCACCCTGAATCTCATGCGTCTCGCTATTCAATATCTCCCACGTGAAACATTCACCATCGCGCCTATTGATTTTTGATGCATGTCTTCTCCCATGAGCAAAACCGGTTTTGACATGCTTCTTCAAATGCATAGCTCTCAATAGTGCTGTTTTCGACCTCCAGGGTGTTTCCCCAGAACGTTGGGGTGTTTGTTTTAACTCCTGTGTATCATTCTACCTTATCTGAGCTCCACCTCATACTCATTCACTCGACTTCCATTAGTACCATGTCTCAAGCGTGAAAGATTACATTCATCTCTTTTCTGCACTTTTCGCTGGCTCGATTCTATGAAGCACGGACCAAACGCAGCAAGGGCCATCTGCAAATCCCGACGACTGAAAAAAGACCCCAGATCTCGGCACGCCCCTGCGTTTGAAGGGATAGGCTTCCACCTACGTATATAGCTGGACTTTCCCACGAAGCTGCCAAGCCTAAATCACATCTGTACCCGGCACTAACGGTCACTATCACTAGCTAAGATTTTTGTTGGGGTTGAGGGGGATCCGAGATCTGATATCAAATACCGAGCTCATACTCTCAGACCTCATAGAGGCTACAGTACGACATATCTATTAGTTCAAATGCCATGATCGCCAATGCTGGAAGGTTTCGATAGTGGCATTGAGTTCCAGGGTTTGTTGCACCGAGTAATGCCACAATCGGTGCCACCGTAGCTCTTGACTTTAATTCCGCCACTCTGATCTGGGGCCGCGAACTGTGGCTGACCTTGGGTGATCTCCCAGGCATTCATGATTTACATGCCGCCCCTGTCTGTGCTCAACGGTCTGTTCTCGGAGATGGCCATCCTATCAGTTCGCCACTGAACGACCTGCGGGTCCTTTGCCTCCAATCCTGTAGCAGGTGAAGCTGAAACTACAGTACAGTCGCTTTCTTTACTGTAGCGTCACATAACTTCGATTGAGTGAAATTTGGTGGCAACTGAAACGCTTAATCTTGAATGCTCAAATCATGTAGTAGGAAGGGTCCACGTAGAGAAATGATCACGCTCGGCCCCAGATATTCAATCAACTATCCTTAACAGAACTGTTCAGACCAGTCACTTTCAATTAAACTTTATCTCTCCTCTGTGGTATGGCTGCATTAGCACGACCGCGAATTGATCAGGAACCAGGTACTCGGTGCCAGCAAACGAAGCTATCAACTGACCAAGCTTCTCAGATCCCTGCTTGTGGCATTCCGCCAGCTTCGGGGTTCGACGCCCAAGAGGTCCGGCCCCAGCTCCAAGATCTGAACTATTCATGTAACCCCGCTCAGGCCAGATGATCAGCAAGCCATGCAAGCCGCGACAAATCCGCCAGTTCAGCTGTTTTGCGGAGTGCTTCTAGAGTGGTCTGCTCCTGCAAAGTTGTCCACTAGACCTCTGCCTAGCATACCTGCCTGTATTATTGTCCTAGTCCATCCGCACCGATAGGCACTGGCATTCTTCGGTATGCACTGCTCAGCTTCCGGCCTTGGCTCTTGGTCTGGTCGCTGCTGCAGTGTTGCAGTGGTGTAGTGACGCAGGGCTGCAGGTCCGTTATTCTGTGCTCAGTGCCACTGACGTGACTACGAATGCCATCCTTCGTGCTAGGCGTTCGCTGGTTGTGCCCCCACTGCTACTCCCCCATTGTCTGCTAGCACCTACATACAGTAAGACCATCTCCTGTAATTTCCAAAAAATACCGTCAAAGCGTTCCCCGCTATGCTTGAGTCTGTGCTAGAGATGGACTGTCTCACATATTCACAGATCTTAATGTGACTATCTGGTGGAAAACCCTACATAAACTTAGAAGTCACTTCCAACCAACAACCGGACGATCGAATCTTTCTCTCTTCATTTCCCCATATAATCAGGATCAATTGGTGCACCCGCAGACAATGATTTGTCTCAAAGCTTCAGTATCTTGGCAATGTACCTGCAGGGACAAACTGACCCGCCAATAAGAAAGCCTCAACCGAGCTGATCATTTCAAGCTGCAACACGCGGATCAATAATAGTGAGTCTGCACAAAACCCGAAAAGGTACGGGCTGTCCTAGGTCCCTGGTACCTGAGTACCTCCACCCCCTTGCATATGGCAAGTTTTCATCACTTTGGCCTTTTAGCAACCGTTCTGGCTTTGGCGTGGCTTTCTCTTTTTTCTTTTTCTAGTTTAGCACTCTGATAAGATACCTTGAAACAAAGCCTTTTATTGCTTTTTTTGCCCACCGCTCATTGGGTGTTCGCTTTCGCCTTGACTCGCATTGCAGCGCGTCACATTGCCTTGCATTGATTTATCCCGACTCCCAGGGTTTGACTGTTGTGGCGAAAGTTAATGTTCCGCCTTACCACCCCAGGGAGAAGGGTTGTTTGATCTGCGCAGTCACTACGATCGGTAGGTCAAGAATACTCTGTTCTCATACCAAGCCTCCACCTTCAGGGGCTTCCTTAAGGCTTGCCCTTTTGCCCTCGTGTCCCTATTCATCTCCATGTAAATCTAAAACAGGAGCGTGGTAAGTCGCGAAGAAGGAGAATACTTACAGCCAGACCTCTCGAAATCCTTCGTACCAGACGCGACTGAAACAAAACCAAAAGGCCACACGTCTTCATTTTTCTATGACTACAATAAATCTTATTACAATAACATCGAATTAGCTCAAAAAGAAAATAAAAATCTTCGTGTCGCACCCCCACAGCGTTGCAATCAACCTGCCGTCTCACATACCAGCGCAAGCACACCGTCAACTACTGTAGGTACTCACCTCTTGGCTTCGAACCATCTAGAGTATTTCAAATGAATTCAACAGCGTAACCTGCCATCTGACTGGTTCAACCGTACATGAGCATAGCGTACTAGCAAAGATAGACAGCCTTAGTCTAAGATCGGCCCTGCACACCGGGGCCTCCGGAGAATGTCAGACATGGTTGATCTACAGGACGCGGAGCCCCAGCACAATATGAATCATGTCTAGCCTGTGCGGTGATCGGTTGCTAGGATATCTTCTCAGGTAACGGGAATCCAAATGATATCATATTATCGGACCCTTGCGCCTGAGGTTCGGGCTAGCCTGGCGGGCGATGGGCCGTTCATGTACTTTGGGAATCATGCGTCTAGGGAATTGCGTTGGTTTCAATCTTATGCTGTCTCTGCGCAATCTACGGGGTATTGATTCTGGGATGTACGGGTTGTGATTCAATATTGATATAGATTGGTATGATCGTGCGGTATTTTGCAGCTCATGAATGGTGTCGGGCAAGGTTAGGCTTCAAGGGTTGCGCTGTGCATGTAATTTAGAGACAGTTATCTTCCTGTGACGCGGATCATGGTGCTTGGTAGAGACATTTTCTATTTCACTGCGACGCAGATCATTGATACATGCTTAGTCGTGTGCCACCCGCGGGAGCTCCGAGATTCGCGACTTGCGCGATCACTATGTGCCCCGTGCGATCTCGAGTGAAATTCACGGGCTCTCTGAGTCAGGGATTTTGGTGGCGAAGTTTTTGTGTAGGTTTTGGGGCGGAATGAGAGTTGGGTTGGAGGAGATAGTGCGGAACTCTGTTGAGGAACGCTTTAGGCTATCTACACCTTGGCAATAGGCCAGTGCTATGTTTGAATCGGAGATCAGAATAGCAATATTAGATAAGTAACATGGTGATATGAATTGAGAATGATCTGATCTAAGAGCGTAGAGGATTTGGAGTGTATACGGCGTCCAGACCCGCAAATCGGTTACTAGCCAGTATAGCGAATGGCCAGTCTGGCCAGCATGGCCTGTTAGCTTTTACAATCACCTTTCAAATAACTTTAGAATGTAGTTTGTGTATATTTAGAAATAGTTATGTAGTCTTTGTCGCTTGTATGCCACCGTAGGTTTCTTTTTCTTCCGCATACTCCATGAATATATATCCTGGAGGGATAGGCTGGTGAGACTGTCCAACCAATGGAGTTTTAACAACTATATTGCCGAAAATTGCGTCTATTGACATTAAAGGATTCTTTCAATTATATATAGTGATAAAATTATGGAATCAAGAGGGTGTTGTCTAGCGGATATGGTACTAGTTGATGTCCTTGAATATGCAACGGCGAAGGCCATCTGTTAATACAACCTGAGGTATGTACACGTATGTTTATCTGGAAAGCCTACTAACAGTATGATATAAACATGTTCTTTAATTGATGTAGTCATCAATTTGCTGGACGAAATTGATATAACTATAGTCAATCAATGGCCCCAAGGTGACAGACATATCTGAGACCCGACCGCGACAACATCCATCATCTTAAGCTCGGTACATATAAGTTCCAAAGAAAATATAGACAGTTCGGATGCGGTACACACCGCGAGTGGCAATAAAGCGGTACGATCATGCCGATGCTGCAATGGTGATATCTTGCGGTCCCCAAATCGGACGAAACGCTGAGACGCCAAGATATCCATGGATCTGGCACCCATTTCCACGTTTTGAACATGAGCACGGTCAGCAGCGAGCATGACACGAAGTGTGCATGTGTGAAGTCCAAGTCTCAGCTGCCACGAGACACGCGAGATGCTGTCCTACCAGAAAGTTAGCAACTCACCAGCTAGTGATAGCGTATACCGCACATGCCCGGCTCCCCGATTGGCCCCAGAGCCTTGATTCCGAGCTGTCTATATTCCAACCACAGATAGGACACCAAGAGATCACAGCCAACAGCAACAGGTAGCAGGAACAGGTAGTACGAACCCCTGAAACAAAAGCCGACAAAGACAAAGAGCACCAGCACCACACGAGGCACCAAGACCCTTTGGGAAGCCATCAGCCCAGATATCAATCTTACCTCCGAGAACAGCTGCAAGTCCAGTAGCAAACGTGGCGCATGTCATGGACATGGTCGCTGGGATCCATCTCGTGCACCGGGAACCTGCAGATGGAAGCTATCATCCCCCCGAAGAAAATCCCCGGTGTCGCTTTAGGTTTTCCCATTGCGACGGACCGGTTGGATCTGAAAATGGGCTGTTTGTCTTAAGATTCCAGGGTTGGGATCCAGATTGGCGCAGGGATCTGCTTCCTGGACCACGAACGACCGGAAGGGTTGCTGCAGGCTCGTTTACTGTACTGTGTGTTGGCCAGGTTGTCATTTTCGGCTGGCAATGCCTTTGTCCAGAGAGATGTGATATCGAGATATCCGACCGAGCGAAGTTGTGCGTTGTTCTCTTGTAGCTGTAGGTGAATACCTCCGATGCTGGAGGGTCAACTGATCGACACATCATGACCCGGCTTCGGATAAAGTTAAGTGTGAGTGTGAATATACACTTGCAGATTCCCCAGAAAGCCAAGAAAACAAAGCTGTCGAGTAGGCAAATGAGGTAGAGGTAGATGCTGATCGCCTCAGTCAAAGGCTGACTCCTCCACGCCACAAAGGGCTATCTAACGAAGCGCCCAAACGCCAATATACCCTTGCACAGCTTGTGCTGTAGTCCAACAGACCTGAAATCCAGGATGACATCAAAATGAGTGGCGAGCAACTCATGGGAAGTCGAATTGAGCCCCGAACTCCGAACTCCGAAAGAAAAACCGTTCCCCAGCTATTTCTACAGTCAAAGTCGGGAAATGGAGACAACTGAAACGAGCTGGAAAGAGAGTAAAGACTCATTCATTAGCAAGATCGCACATAGAACAATCGGTGCAGTTAGACCAGAGACGAAACCATCGAAACAAAGAAATTAGCGGGGGAAAATCCAGGATCTGACAAGCGCCGTTTAGGGGCTCTGATAAGCAAAATAAGCAGGCAGCCCTCGAACCGAACTTATAAAATTCCAGAGCTCTGCTCAACAGCGTGGAATATCATCCATGACTATCATGACTCCCATGGCTGCCCACGAGACAGAGCCGCTATTGACGGATCCCACCATCTCGCCAATCCCCAAGTCCAAGAAGCTTCTGGTGCTGATCGTGTGCGCTGTCTTCCTGTTGTCTGCGGAATTCGGATTCTTTATGTCGACCGCACCACAGACAGCGGTCTTTGAGGATATCATCTGTCGCAACTATCAGACTGGGCTGAACGGCGCCCAAAATGGAACTCTGCCAGATCTGAATCCTTGCAAATCAGAAGCTGTGCAGGGAGAGCTGGCAATTATCACGGGCTACAAGGATACGTTTGATACTATTCCCAGTATGTGCCGGGACGTTTTTGTCGTGATAGGGGGATATATGTATGCTAACTCGGGCCATGTTAGGTATTGTGCTGTCGCTTCCATATGGCATTCTAGCCGATCACTGGGGGAGACGACCAGTTCTCTATCTCAGCATGCTGGGTATCATTCTTAGTGAAGTTTGGATTAGAATTGTTTGTAAGTTGAGCTATTCTACTGCCTGTTCGCGGATACTAACCAAAAAACCCCCAGGCTTATGGTCTACCGTGATTCCCCTGAGGATGGTCTGGCTATCGTCGGTCTTCAGGATCATTGGCGGTGGTGATTCTGTACTGACAGCCATTGCTTTGGTCATTGTAGCTGATGTCTTCTCTGAGGATGAAAGGTACTGTGGACCATTGCCCAACTCTTCGGTTCGGAGACCAAGTCTAACGGACGCAGATCAACCGCCCTCTTTCGCCTCCAATCCTGCGTTCTCCTCGCAGAGATCCTGGCGACCCCATTGAGCGCCTACATGATGACCTATGGGCCAATGTTCCCTTATCTCATCAGTATTTGCCTCATTCTTGTCGGATCCATCCCGGCTTTGTTCCTCCCCGAGACTCTCGAGGACGCAAAGGCGAAGCAGTCATTGCACACCAACCCGGAGCAGCACGATGGAAATGACAATGAGCAGCCAGAACGAGGAGTCAACAAGTCCCTCTTGGAAGAATTGAAGCGACAAGGTCGCGAATTCCAAGTCTCGACTCGATTCATATGGACGGACTCCAATGTATGCATCATGATCCTCGTGTTTTTTGTCACGATCATGACCCGACAATCGACAAACCTGCTTCTGCAGTATGTGTCAAAGAAATTCGACTGGAGCATTGCTCGCGTATGTATTCTGTCCTCTTACAGCAGACACATCAGTGACTAACAACTCTCCAGTCCAGTCTGCTCATCTCGCTGCGTGGAATCTTTTCCATGGTCACCTTCATGGTCTTCATGCCAGTTCTGTCCTTCCTTGCTGCTAAATACTTTAACCTCCACGGCAAACAAAGCGACCATGTCATGAGCAAAGGCAGTGGAATCCTTTCTGTGATCGGGTTTGTCGCTATCGCCCTCGCCCCGACACCCGCTATCCTCATCTTCGGCCAGATCATCTTGTCGATGGGCATGGCGTTTATGGTGAATACTCGCAGTCTTGCCACTGCGCTTGTACTCCCCGATCATGTTGGTACCTTGTACTCGGCCCTAGCCATCACACAATCTGCAGGTATGCTTGTCGCAGGTCCGTTATTTGCCAATCTTTTCCGGTTAGGTTTGCACCTCGGCAACGCTTGGTTAGGGCTTCCCTTCTTACAAGCGTCTCTCTTTTTCGTTATTGCTGTGGTGGCTGTTTGGCACATTCGACTTGGACCATCTCGGGTTAGTGACGAGGAGCAGGAATCCTCTCTTGAGTAGTTTCGGGCTGCTTTCTTCTTCTTTTTCCTTGGACCTTGATATTGTTTTTTTCTTTCTTTTCTTTTTCCTCTTTCATCGTTATCCAAACGTTTCACCACGCGTTGCCCGAAGTGGAGAATCTCCTGCAACAACAAACAGACTTGGAATAGCCGAAGCGAATAGAGGCAAATAGAAGCAAATAGAGAAGCCCTCAGTGGACATTTGGCTTGCAAGTCCAAGTATGTTAACTTTTGATCAGCGAATTCAATCTCGCGGGGTGAAAAAACAACGGAGATCCGGCGTAAACCGATGCAACCCTAGAAAGTGAAGCATTTGCCCCTTATTGGCGCCTGCGACGGTCTTCGTCGGTTGAGCAGCTGCGCATCTTGTTTGGCCGTTGGAATTTGGGCTCATCTCGGTTCCCCCGGGGATCGTCCCTCCACGGAGCCCACTTTGGCCCACTGGAGTCGACTTGGCTCCTCCACTTTGCTGCACCGCAAGGCTCAAGTCTGCCCGGTGCACGATGATAGGTTGCAAACCCCTTGCAATCCCGTGCAAGTACGGCGACATCCGATCCGTCAAGCGACAAATCAGCACTCTCTTCTCGATGCATGTGCTGCTATCATCGATCGCTTGTGCCTGAAGAAGTCGATGCAGATTTCCCAGACTTCACTGGGAATTCATATTTAAAGCGTCACTCAAGTCCGCTTTTTGGGATTCCCCAGACTCCATCTTCTTACCGATCAATCGTCATTATGTTCCAAGCTAAGCCTTTGCTCGCCACCATGGCGGCAGCCAGCTGTCTCACCGGCACATCTGCCAACTTGAAGACCTGCTCCAGCAGCTCGGGCTTCAGTTGCCAGAGTTCCTCCACTACCCCGACTTGCTGCTTCAATTACCCCGGCGGTGCATTCCTGCAGACCCAATTCTGGGATACTGACCCCGTCACCGGTCCCTCGAACTCGTGGACTATCCACGGACTGTGGTATGTATATATACCCCAGAGTTCAAAGAGCAAGATACCGTGGTTCATGACATAGAAACTAACCATCTACATCTCAGGCCTGATAACTGTGACGGCACATACCAGTCCAACTGTGACTCGACCCGTGCGTACACCAACATCACTGAGATTCTGCAGGCACAGGGCCGCTCTGATCTGGTCACCTACATGGACAAGTACTGGGTTGACATCGATGGTGACAATGAGTCTTTCTGGGAACATGAGTGGGCCAAGCACGGTACTTGCATCAACACCATCGATCCTGACTGCTACACTGGCTATGCGGCCCAGCAGGAAGTTGGTGATTTCTTCCAGAAGACGGTTGATTTGTTCAAGGGCCTCGATACTTACAAAGTAGGTTCTTCTGTGTTGAGCATATGGATATGCAGCTGGAAATGGTGATCTGACTGTTTTGATAGGCTCTTGCCAATGCTGGCATCACCCCTTCCACCACCAAGACTTATACCAAGGCCGCCATTCAGGCTGCGCTTGCCAAGGCCCATGATGGTGCGAAGGTGTACATTGACTGCGACAGTGGCAACTTGAACCAAGTTTGGTACTTCTTCAATGTGCAGGGGAACATCATTGATGGAACATATGATGCTGTTGACTCGCGTAAGTTGATTTCTGCTGTTATTCACTTTTATTCTGACTAATTTGTTCCTTTAGTCACCACCTCTGGTTGCTCCAGCACTGGCATCAAGTATGTGCCCAAGAGCTAAATCCAGAGCGAGGGAATCATCGAGTTAGGATAAGCCGTTTGAATGGCTTGTCTTGAATTGCCTTAGGGCGTGCTAATTTGCGCACTGAGTGTGTCGCTGGATTGGTATCTCGGAATTATGGTACATGTAAATAGGACGATTTAACGTTAGTGTGAACGAAATGAAGCAGATCGATTTGATCATCAATAGGGTTTCACTGGACGTGAACGTAAGCAAGCGGTTCATCAATTTTCACAATGAAATTGCAAGCCAATTTTTCGTGTTCCTATCCAACCTTGGGGGTTGCAAAAGGTATACAGATGGCTGCTACTGAGCGCCAGCCATCGATCTGTAGGAACCAGGAGTGGAGTCTAGAGCTGAAGATCCACGTGCTGTTGGAGTGTGGCTTCCAGGAACTTAACCTTCCAGACGGGGTCGAATGGAGGCAAAGAGCAGCCAGAAGCGAGGCTCTGGAGAGGTCCAAGCAAACGAATATGCTTGGAAGTTGTTTGTTCTTGGTGAGCATGCATTGAACAAATGAGCGCATCAGATAATAATCGTAGTTTGTGATAGCGAAGAGAAGACTTCACATGCCCTTGAGTCGTGCAGCACGCCTCTCTTCCTCTCGCTTGTCCTCCATGCGACCCAGGAAATCCATACGGCCGATATAGCCCTCTTTGGCTTTGCTGTGGGTACGAAGCTCATCTTTGATACCCGCCTGATCGACATAATTGGCCCAGTCGAGCCTCGACTTCTCCACAGTATTGATTTTGGGTCCGCGCGCATCATTGTCATCTGGAACAAGTTGCTTCTCCCAGCTTTTCTTGATCATGCCTGTTGGGTTGGGATCGAACCGCGAGATCTTACGAAGGGGCCGGCGGAGATTGAGGGCGGCTTTGGCTGCCTTGATATCATCTGCATCGGCGTACTCAACATTTTCTCCACTCGATAAGAACGCCTTTGCCTCTGCTGAGTGTTTGGGCACCACCTTCTCTTCTGTAATCCACTCTCCAGCAAACTTGTAAGTACGCTTGATCTTGATCATCTGATCGGCGTGCGGCTCGAGGGTAGTCTTTTCCTCGGTATCTAGCGTGATCCGATTTTGCGCTTCTGTATTTGTGGTTGGGCTGGGTTCGGGAGTAGGATCGGTTTCTTGGATTTGGGATGGCTGTAAGCCGAGTCCGCTATCGGGAGCGTTCATCTGTTCCCACAGGGCGTTCACATCCACGGTCGCGCCATCGATCTGGGCAAGAGGTTTGCGCTCTGCTTCCTCATCTCGTCTGTTTAACAGCGCGCATTAGCAACTAGTGTGACCCAGGCAATGTGTCATTTAAACGTGAAGCTTACACGTGTTTTTTCATTGCGCGCGTTCGCACAAATCCCCCAGATCCCCCTTCATCGTCGTCAAGGTCGATGTCATCGTCTTCGTCGCTGTCGCGCGCGCGTTTGCCCTTGGACTTCTTTCCTTTGCGCTTCTTGTCTTTCTTCTCTTTTGCTTTGCGAATTGTGACTTCATCTCCAGAATCGAGTTCCTTGTCCTCTGGGAGCTGAGCTTTCGTATCTGTCTTCCGCTTCTTCTTCGCAGGTTCCGCGGACTCATCGGCATCGGATGATAAGTCGGAGTCGTCCTGTGCCACGTCTACCTGGAAATCTTCGTCATCGGCAGAGTTGTAGTCCTCCTCATCTGGGTCCTGGACTGGCGCTGCATTGTTTGACATGCTGAATAGCTTGCGTGTGGGTGAGAGGATGGACAAAGGCGAGATGCAGGTGATTAAGTTCTGCCGGGCGGTGGTTATCGGGGTCTCGGACTCTCGGACTAAACGGCGTTTCTCTACTTCTGGAGTTCAGTCAACCACTTCGTTCTTAACGTGCTATCAACTTGCTGACAGACTAGATATTCTTTTTGAGAGACTGATTGGCATTATAGTAAAAAGCACATGCCATAAAGAGCAAAAATGACAAAATGAGACATGAAGATACGCCTGCAATAGCTTCTGCCTAGCATGGATTAGGATTATACATCCTTCCATTCATCCGCAAACACCAATTAAACAACACTACGCTTACCCGGCACCTTTTCACAATAAGCACCAAGCCCACCCCTAACTCAAGTCTGAGAGTGCTTAGTAGCAACCTCCATCTTCTCAAGCTGGAACTGCGCCGCCCGACGACGAGAGACATCTTTCTGGAACCATATACCCAGGGCAGCAATCACACCCATGAACACCTCCATCCCAACCAATACGCACAGCAGTACAAATGCTGCGCGGGTATTGGTGCAGTCACGGTCAAAGTTAGCCGGTGTTGCGGTGGTGCTTGTTCCGGTCTTCCATTTGCAGGTCCAGCTGTGCAGGGTTTCGTTTTTGCTGAATCCTGCTGGATAGCTTGATGATGGGAGGTATTTTATGAAGAGGATTCCAACTAGAGCTGTGACAAACCCGGCCAGAGCTGAAGTCGAGGCGTAGATGTTCAGTGGTTTAATGCGGGAATAGGGCTGGGTCTGAGTTAGTGTCTGGGTTCCAACGGGTCTACGAAGTATTGGGAAAGACAAAGACTAACCGATGGGAGGAGAGCAGCTGCAATATATACCAGATTTAGTACAGTGACTATAGAGCCACAGACTAAAGCTGCGATGGTCGGCCGTATGTCAAAGTTCAAAGGCCACAGGGCAAGGCCGGCACCTGCCCACTGAGATGTCTTATTGTAGTGTTGCAAGGGTGGTGCTTCACAGGCAACGACAGCAATTGCAACACCAAAGGTCAAGAATGATAGACCAAGACGAGCAAAGTGGACGACTCGATTACGCTTCAGGAAGGATGATTCCTCCATATCTGACGAATAAGCACGGCCCGATCCCGTGAGAGACGAAGTTGAGGCCATGATAGGAGAAAGAACGTTGAGACTTGTGAGACAAGATGGGAGAGTGAGCGTGTGTAACTTGATTACCTTGCCAGCAAGGACTAGAATATCGGGTTGAAAGAACGAAGCCCCTCGAGGCAATACAAAGAAAGAAAGAGGAAAACAGGTAAATGCTTCAACTTCGTCTCAGAAAATAAGCAACGGAGACAAGGTCGCATATCTATATTCATAGAGACATACAGTGCTAGACTAATCCAAAGATAGTTTTAGCGAGCGCTTTGCTATCACAAACGGGGACCATCGAATGACCATCATTCCTGAAGACGATATTCCATAATGGTTTCCGCATACAGCCATGCAGGGCGCCTCGACGGGTCCTCTCCTGTGCTGATTCGCCTCCGGTACAGAATAAGATTCCCAGGACCATCAACGCAGAATTGTAAACAATGGGCTTGCTGACTTGTACACCCCAATATTATGCGAGCCTGGGCGGGCGCCAGCTTGCAGACTTGGCAGAGACTATGCATGGACAAGCACCGACGAACCGCCTCTCAGAGTCAAATATAGACATCCGAGCGGGGGTTGTCTCACTGATTGATGCTTGACGAAGGACTTTCATTTGTTCCTCTTCGATTTGGGTTTTTGAGGGTCTGGCGATCATGATGTGTGATAGGACGCATCGAAGCGCCCGGGATTGTGGCTAGGAGCCACCGGCGGTAAACTTGATAGTTCAGGCACAATGGTGATGAGCTTGCTTTTGGGGGCGTTTCCTGTATCTGATGAAAGGGAGAATCCAAACCTGGTTGATATTTCTAAATTTCCATGTTTACCTTAAAGTGCTTCCAAGTACTACCCCGGGGTAATACTCGGGCTGTTTTGAGCATTGGCGACTCGGTGTATCGAGAGGGGTTGTCGTAGCAAGAGTCATGTGTCTCTTAATGGACCAGCCTGGCTTTGCCCTTCTCTCACCTTCATGTATACTTGACACACTGAACTTGAACAGATGTCGGTCTTAAGCGCAACCTACGCTCGTAGCTAGTTCAAAAAGACCTTTACAAAAAAGGTATAAATAATGTAAGTATGTTTGGTGATTTATCAGATGCATTTGAATGCTAAATGTTTGATGCAATCTCAGGGGTAAAATTGTATGTAAAATTTAATAGTCAAAAAAGCGCTCAAATATTACCACTTTATTGGCATCAGATTGTGGGCAGGGGCTTTTTAGTCCTGACCCACAGATATTACTTCATCCCTGGTAAGAATCGCAGGGTCCATGGGGTCCTTTGTTGCAGCTGGTGAATCATCGTTGTCTGCACCGAGTGACTGCTGCAACAGAGATGGCCAGGCAAGTCCATTTCCTTCTGCATTATGGTGATTTTGCTGGCATGACGTGGAAGTTCCAAGTAGGATCTCGCGACTTTCCAACATGCCTCTGTCAGATTCTGTCGTCACATTCGATGCCAACCTTGATCGCGACGTAGGAAACCAGGACGACGAAGAATTGCTAGGCGCCTCGGGACCCCAGCAATTCTGAAGCGACTAGTTGACCTATTCAACGACGGGGACGAGATTCGGATCGACATGAATATGACAAGGTCGGCAATCAAGGTGTACGTGTTGCGGAATCTACTCTGCCACAGCAGAAATTATATCGACCGCGATTCCGGGGACCTCGGAGACATGGCATCAAGTAAATCTTGTGAGGAGTGCTACAATGTTATGAGGTTAACGTCCGAGTCGCGAAGTGAAGATGGGTAAAAGAATAACTCAAAGTCATGCTTGTACAAAGGCATTGACCAACTTCGCCTGATTGTGGCCTAGTATTGAATCTGTTACAAATGCGGAAAAGAGATAACAAGAAAGAAAAACAACAAGAGAAGATGAGCTATGAAGTTCTGAAGTTCTAGTCCATCTAGGATCACCATAGGTTCTCCAAAACAGACACCAATAAATTAGCGATAGGCAGTGATCCAAACCGTAGTCTCTCTATGCTATAGATAGAGAAACCATCTTGCAATACTCATTCATGTTACCTTTTGCGTATATACGTGGCTCAGATTGAACGGAAGTGGCTTACATCGAACTTCGCCGAAATGGCTTTGACATCATCCAGCAAATTAGTTCTGTGCTCGTGTCAGTATGAATTTGGCCACCTATCCAACTTGTGACGGTCCCGTTGTTCCAGACTGGGCGTAAGGCACGGATTCCACAATTGCCAGTGGTTATTGTGAATCTTCGCAGATGTCGGCCATCGAAGTTGATTGTCACTTGGCTTCCCGGTAGCCTATAATCAAGCGTGATATTCGGAATTTTCGCATCCGCACTGATCAGAACGAATCCAATGATGTGAGACCTCTTTTCTATTGTCGTCATTCCTTCATTCAAGATGAACACGTTCAAGCCCACAGTAAGATTATGTAACAAAACAGTTTGCGACGCGGGAACTGAGAGACATGCACATTTATTCTCATTTCTTGACCACCGTCTTATAAGTCTATCGCGGAGGATCTCTGCTTGAACCTCTTTCCAGACTACCCCAGCAAGCAAGTTGGTTTCAAACTCATTTTGACCACTCAGAGCTTGTGTCATTGAACACCCATCTCTTAGCCAACAAGTATTTCTGCACTGTCGACGTAGTTCCCAGAGGTGGAGATGCGGCTGTTCAATTCTTGCTGTGCAATGGTACATCGATGGCCAGTTGTTATGTTTCTGGGGCTCATCCAATAGACGAATCAAAAACCCACGGTCTGAGTTTACTCGGAATCTCATCCTCCAAAACGATTGCAGCGAGAAAAGAACTGCCATCGCTCTGGATATAAGTCGAAGGCCGAAGAAATCGGCAGTAGAAAGGTAAGCCGCGATCTCAAGTCGTATCTCCACGGGGAGCAGGCTGAAGCAGTCAGCTCCAAGGATTGTATTGCTGCTCGGGCTCTTGTTCGAACGTTGGATAGCTGACTTGCTGAATTGATTGATATCATAGCACACCAATTATTTAGACATCTTGTATAGTCGCTCGCTGGGGTCCACTGTAGTCCGAACCCTAAGAGTCACTGCTAAAAATCTACTGAGTATCTTTACCAGGTAGACCTCTGTAGCTCAGCGTTCTTTCCTTACACGAGGTCGTTTCTATGAGCAACCATCCTCCTAAAAATTGATCATGGACCTATGGACGCCCCTTCCCAATGGATTTTCATGGATGAAAACACCTTTTGTCAGGTTCCCTCGACCTTTTATCTCATCAAGAAACCCCAACACTTGCTCCCTCGAGCAGCTCCATTGGTAATTCCCCTCCCCCAATTTCTTTTTTGCTTACTTTTTATAGAATGCCGTCTAGAGACACTGTCCTCCTCTTGGTCCTTGCCCACATCACTGCTGTCATTGCGATAGTCCGTGGGTGGCGGGCTCTATACCGTTGGGGTATGCGTGGTTGGAGATGGTTCTGCGCTCGCTATGACCGCGCTAATGCCATAGAGCTGGACGAACTTGCGGCCGAAATGAGGCAGATCTACTTAGATGAGCAGTACAACGCCCGATGGAGCATGGTGGACTGGTTGGATGAGACCACCGTCCAGCCCGACTATTTTGTGTGAGAAGGAGGTAAGTGCACCCCCCCCCCGTCATGTTTGCTAATTATTTCTTAGGCATTGGTATTGCTGGTTGTTCTATTTCTTCTTTTCCTTTTTTCTTTTGTCGAAAGCCATGGGGCCATTTGTATATAACTTAGGTAGCTAATGTATATGTTCTGTAGCCCGTAGCCCGTAGTACACCGATGAAAATCTCGCCCTTCTACGCAGGGTCGGTGACTAGTAGCCCTCGGGTGAAGCTAAGACGAGATTAATTAGAGTGTTTTTGAAAAAAAGATGACAGTTTATTGAATACTATATCTAGTCTAAACGAATACAACTTCTGTGTACCTTTCTTGATTACGTTAGAACCGGTCTTATTAGAGTGATCTAATGAATATGCGCTTGGGAGTTAGCATTTAAGTCAACCTATGTAGGTGTTATGATGCGGCTGGACGGGCGGAGTCGCGAGAGGCTTTGAAATATCATCATCGATAGGACACGCGGAGTTGACAGTGACACTGTGTTGTGCTTCTTCGTGGCGAGAAAGAAGAGTATGTCTGTTCGGGGCATTGGCGCGATATGCGAACTTGTGTCACTGGTAAAATTGTATAGTATCGATACCAAGAAAGCAAATATGGTTTGGGTTTCCTCTACGGTTGCGATGGATCCCGTGATATCTATAGGCAAAATAGTGGTAGCGTAATTGGAAGCACCATCACAAAAATACGAAGCCGACGGTTTTTGGCTCGACGAGGCACTTTGGTTTCTATATTGGTGGCGAAATTCAATATGTAAGCAACCTTGGAGTCTATCTGTCTCCTAGGGCCCAAAAAGAACGTATGCTAGATATTGATGAAAGGTCTGGGAGTCCGGTTTATGTAGGTGAGATTGACATACCTGTTATGGTTTGCGAGTCTGTTGCGAGATATATAAGTAGTGAAATGGGAGATGCTCGATGGCAGTCTGGTCAAAACAGACGGGTCGACAAATGGTGGCAAGAAAACCCAACAACAAGTCAGGTTAGGAACTCTAGGCAAATGAGTCTTAACAGTGATAACCGGATGCTATATCAAGGAGCATAATGATCATAAATCTTGAATCAGGAAAATGAGTGGCATTGTTGTAACTGTCTATCCTTCTCTACAGTCGTAGATTGCCCATAACCCTTCCTCGAGGATATCATGCCTGAGGCAGTAATCATACAAGTGTCGTGATTTCCCCACTACAGTAGATATATATAAGTTGTAGAGGTTTGGTTGACAGTATAAAAGTTGGCTTAGTCTTGATTAATTTTCTCGGGATATGCGATATCCAGTTCAACGTTTGCACTAATTAGTGCCAAGCAAATTGTCATCCTATAAGCGTGGGGGCTATCTGACTTCGGGCAGGGTTACGCTATAAGAGCAGGGTATTTCAACTCCATTAGAGGTAGTATAGCTGGAAAGCTAATCAAGACGAGAAACTGAGTCCGAATATATAGCTGGTTGATCAAAATAAATAGTGTGACTTGTCTACACGCCGCTCAGCGAAATTGACGACTTTGGACTTTATAAGAGAGGCCATATTCAGAAGATATTGTATCAGCCCATGGCAGCCAATTTGGAAAGTGAGGAGCAAAACGAGCAATCTAGCAAACTTCAATCCGCTAATTATGACAATTACCATCCCACCCTTTGCTGGGCCTCCTATCGCCCCCCAGATCCCTATATAGCGTTATCTTAAAATCATATGGTTTGCCCCCCGCAATGTTCCAGCCATGACATTGGTACCAGTTAGAGCTTTTATCCCCAATGAAGAAGTTGGATTGAGCTTCATTAAAGAAATTCTTTAGCCAGAATTCGGTTTCGTACCTACTTAGTCTAGAGCTGATCTTTTGGAAGAGCCCTGACAAAGCTGTTTCTTTGGAAGCTTGGAAAATGAACTCATTTTCTACCTGGAAAATCTTGGAAGTTTTGTTGGACCGAGCTCGAGTTAGGATAAATACCCGTGCTAGAGGATGCTGAATAGTGCAGATGTGTGTAAACGTCCTAGATAATTTCTGATAAGACGATCGTCTTAAAGTATCCTGTTGAGATTGAAAGTACTCAATTGGATGTTGCTTTTGATGGAATGTGATACTCGAGCATGGACAAATATCAACTTTGTCATCGTGCTGGAAGTCACACCAAGTATTACATTCGAATAGAGCGGGCTTTGGATCACATCTCCAACCAAATTTTAGAATTTGCCATCTAGAGTGCCGGTGAAGATTTTGACATCTAGAACAGTATACCCAGCGCTCGTTTTGAAGGCGACGAAGCAGTAACGTCCTAGGCAATGTTGATAGGACACATATACCACGCTGTCTATTATATGAGACATAGTAGGCATGTAACCTCTTACAGCTCAGTGCAAAACAAGCTCGGTCTAGGTCGGAAAGAAGCTGGAAGATAATCTCCACTATTTCTGAGGGGATCTTCCAGAGTGTCTTGAATTTCTTAGGCTCGACTGGTTCGACTGGTTCGACCCTAGGGGGTGGATCACGGACTCGCAAAATATTGCAAAAAGGTATGTAGGTGCGTCGAGTCATGGTGAGCATTCATTCAACTGATATCTTGTACAGGGAAGGTTTTGCTTGTCGCCGGGGAGAGGGATTTATTTTGTATGACATATACTACTATGACGCGCACACTTCCATGGGTTTCATAGACCGGCAACCCGTTGATACTTCCGGGGTCAGCTCTACCGATATCCATGGATTTCCAGACTCTTGACTTATGAGTATATAAGATAATGTCAGAAACCAAGGTCGAATACATGGTGGAGACAGGGTAATTTACCCAGAAAATCATATGACAATTGGTACCTCGTTTACCATATAAAAGTGCATATTATAGTTAGTCATCGATGTCCGCATAGATTGTGAAATTGCGGGTTTTTGTCATTTTAGTTAGAGTCCTCAATATCAGCCATTTTTAGCATACATTGATCGTACCACAGATTTCTGTCAGATAACGCTAAACCATACCTGGCAAGGCCGCTCTGTATTCATACTGCGCCGCTAGGCGGGTAGAGCTCAGATGCTCAGTAATCCGGATCAATAGCAAAAATGCCTCAATATAAGGCCTAGGGAGAAGGAAGGCGAAAAAGGGAACCTGGGCTGTTGGGCGGGAAGGGGGACTATATACAACCACGCACGGCCACGCACGGCCACACGTAGATCGGAGGCGTGAAGTGAAGCTGTGCTTTATATAACTAGATTTGAGAAAAACTTTTCATAGCGGTCCGATATGGTGTAGTGGCTAACATCGTCGTCTCTCACACGACAGCCGGGGGTTCGATTCCCCCTATCGGAGTTTCTTTTTGCATCATTCTTTTTTCTTTTTTTCTTTCTTTTTCTTATAAATGTCTGCCGAAGAAGATTTTCCCTGGGGGAGTTTTCTTTTTCCAAATCACGCGTTGGACTCGGTGGATTCCCAGGTTCGCGCCAACGCAGATGAGTGAGTCACCCAGGGGGCTGAACGACAAACACGAACCTGAGTCATTTGACATGGAATTCGGCTACCTTAGGTATGACTGAAGATGAATCATTTCAAGTCAAGCGCAGAGTCGCAGATTGGCCTCGGGAAATACAAAAGGAATGTAGATTTTCAGAAGCCTCCAGGGCTATGTCTGTATAGATCCAGTTATCACCATATCCAATCCAATTTTCCACGCAATGGCGTCACCTGTCCAGGCAGTCGAAATGACTAGCGATGACTCCGATCAATTCTCTGCGTTCAGGTCTCCACAGATCAAAAGTCGAAGCCCCTCGCCGGAATATGACCCCAAAGCCGGCGAAAACAGACTGCGCCCGGCCGGAGGTAAGCAACAAACAATCATGGAGAGTGATCAAGTCTGACGAGATCAGACATCATCAATCGGATCACATGGGACCCAGCATTCGAGCGTCACGACTATGTGATTGGCTTTGTGGATCGATTTGAAGGTCAACTGGAGGTCGGCATGGATAGTTGGAAGAAGGAGACCACCCATGAGGAATTCATCCCCCAACACCGAGTGCTCTATATACGACATATCCACGGGGAAATCGTATGGGACCGGAGGAGACGAATTGACAAGATTTTCAAGAGCGGAAATTCGGCGTTCAGCGAACTTGCCTTTCTTGCATGACACCTTCCTTCGCCCGCTTGTGTACTTGTTTCGTTCGCATCACTTCAATCCTTTGCGAATGACTGCATTTCACTGTCAATATGAATCCTTCTAAGCCCCATTTGCCTCGTCTGAGTACCAATATCCCCGTGCTGGAACAAGAACCCAACCCTCTGGCACCGAAGGCCCCTCCAAATGCGAACATACCCCCGGTGATCATGCCCGAGAGGCCACTTCGCCCAACATTGCCTACCGAGGAGAATCAAGAGGAAAATGTGGCACCCACCACGCATGTTGCAGAGCCAAAGCCTGTTTATCTAGTCCCGAAAGGTGTGCCTGATTCGCCTATCACACAGCCCATGAGGATCATGTACTACGACGACGCGTTTACAACCCGTGGATCGAACCACTCTCCAAAGGAACGTGTTACACAGGATTCGGTTGTTGTGGTCAGGTTGAAGACCAATATTAAGGTACGTGTCTAGTCGCATTGCATGGACGTCCACTAATGAACATAAACCCTTAGGCAAAAGAGAAGACCCCCAAACTTCTGTCGGATCTAGGCCTCTTTTTTGCCCAGACATACCAACGTCCCCAGACTTCAGTACTGGTCACACTCAGCGAGGATGCTTCTTTGATCTTTGGCAACACTCCAGACCCAGCCTACCTGGTCAAGATTTGTGCTCTCCCCAGCCTCGTCGCACCACTGACCAATCAACGCAACACAAGTCTCATCCAAACAGCACTGCTGGGCTATCTTGGAATTCCACCAGACCGAGGCGTCGTCATTTTTGACGCGGTAGAAGAAGACAATCTTGCAACAGATGGTACTACTGCCAGGGGAGAGATCGGTCGCCTTGAGCGCAATGATCACAGCAGTAGCCCCGGTCTATTTAAGAGCATTTCACGATCGATGAGCCGCCGTTTGAAGTCAAGCAGTGGCAACAGTGCTCCGATGTCTCTCTCTGCTGTCAGTACTATGGTCAGTCCCGATTGTGCTGGACCTTCATCCGCGTTGCAAGAATTTCCCAAGCTGCCCGAGGCCATTCGGCTCCGATCTTCCCAGTCAGATACTGCGAAAGAGACACATACCTCGAAGCCCAAGTCTCTCATGACACGGTCACCTACCATTGGACCCCCCGATGGGGAGCCAATCAGCGAGGTGTCATCCAAGGAAGAAAAAAAGGAGCGAGGCTTGAAGAAGAGAGAGAGTCTGAAAAGCTTTGTCAACCGCCGTTTGTTTGAATTGACTGGCCCAAGAGGCCCTTCTACGCCTACACCCAAGCGAAAGAAGGCTTGATTCCAAATCGATCAACAAAGTCCATTACCAATGTATGTTAGTTGTAGTATCATTCCCCATTCTATTCATATTACTTGGATCCGGTGTCTATCACACTTGAATTGATCTTTATTTCTCTTCTCCAGTTTTTCATATCTCTAGATAGGCTTTAGTTTCCTTTGATAGCAGAGAAATGGGTGTCATTTCCCTTCCTCTAAAGAATAGTGAGAGCCTAGGCGAAATGTTGGTTAGATGGTCGGATCCAAGTATAATTATACTGTGTTCATCCTATCAAGATTTTCTCTACTTAATGTACGGAACAAGTCTAAGCTTATGGGACCAGATCATACCAGCCATAGCGCGACTTTGCAAAGATTTTGGTGTTCGTGAGAATTTGCATTTTTATCCTCACTTTCAAATCGGTTTTCTTTTCTTTCTCTCCATTCTCACGCGAGACTTCGATCATCACATTGTTTCCTTCGATCCAATACCGACATCGACTTTTTTTTCATCATGTCTGACGATGTTGGATCTTCTCCTACCAATGATGCTAATTCCAGGGATGACCAAGATGACACGAGTTTTGCCGTCTCCTCCGCAGCCAGCACTGTGACCGAGATCACCGGCGACCTCTTTACCGCACCAGATGACTCAGCTCTTATCCGTACATTCATCTCATATAAGAAGCCCACTCTTTGGGATTACAAGCTAATATTGTGCATTAGACGCTTGCAACTGCGAGGGAGTGTGGGGCGCTGGCATCGCCCGTACCTTTCGCTATAATGTAGGTTACATGCTACCGTCAGATTTTGAAAGACTTATCTGACATCATATCATGCTTAGTACCCCGCCGCATACGAGATATACCGCAGTCACTGCCAGCAGCATGCCGAGGATAGACAGGCTCACCACATCCTGAACCTCGAACCTCGAAGTGACAGAACTGTTATCGTCAATCGCCCTCTCGGAACAGCGCTCATCATCTCACCCCAGCAGACGGATGTGGCCATTAATGGCCGGCGGCACTGGGTCATTTGTCTGTTCACTTCTACAGGCTGCGGCCGCCACGTCGCCTCGCAGGAAATGATTTTGAATGCGACCTGGTCGGCCCTTATGGACATGCAGAGGGGCGTGGACCAGATTAACTGGTCTAATGGGCCCGCGGGCCAAATCCAGAGTCTACATGGCTGCCGATTCAACTCTGGCTTGTTTGGGGTGCCGTGGGCTAGGACTCGTAGATTGATTGACCGGGTGGGGATACGCATGGTGGTGCATGTGACAGAGGAGACGACTACTTCTACTCGCCGGGGTGCTCGTCGAGGTGGGCGCCATGGTCACTGCGGCCGACGGACTGGCCGAAACTAGCCATGTTTCAAGCCATCCATAAGGGGAAGGGAGAATAAAATGCTTATTTATTCTTCAAACAGAAACTCTGGGATTATTTTGAATACAATAGTGAGACTACAAGCATAGAAGATTCTAGTAGAAATCACTTTAGTTTGGTCTTAGATTTGATTGACAAAGAGAACAGCGGCTTCACGTACTAGGCATGGTGCAAGCATAGAAGTGAACTAAATATTGAATTTCATTCTTCACAAAAATCGCACAGTACTCGTCTATATAATTGACAGAAAATAGAGTCTGCTAAGAAAGTGTATGTTTCAATGAACTAGGGCCAGCGCGTCACCTGACAGCGCGTAGATCCCGCGCGTTGATTCGCGATAACCAGATTGAAGACCCCAACTTCAGCAAAGCCCCCTCCAATTTACCAGAGTTTGCCGCAATACAGATCACACTATGGCTGGTGAACCACAGCCAGCGCAAAAGCGCCCACGACTTCCTTTCAAACCTCCCAGTCGCACAGCCGCCAGTGCGGGGCCATCATCTGTTCCAAAGACCAAAGGCAAGGCCAAACAAACCAGCACGAAAGCCTCCACATCCACTTCGGCTTCAAAGCCATCCGCATCAGCATCCAAAGCATCCAAAGGGAAATCTACAGCCGCTGACAAGCGTCCCCGCTCTGAATCTCCTCAATCCGAGGCAGCATCACAATCCGGCTCAGAGTCCGAACCCGAGTCGAGCGAGAGTCGTTCGCGTTCGGTTTCTCAGGAACCAGATTATATTCTTGCGGAAATCACACATTCAAACCCCGCGGAAGATGTGACATCTAGCGAACCTACGATACCCGCTAAACTGCTTACGCGGCTGTTACATCAACATTTCCAAAATGAGAAGACAAAGGTTGCGAAAGATGCCAATGGTCTCGTGGCGAAATATGTTGATGTCTTTGTGCGGGAGGCTATCGCCCGGGCTGCATATGAGAGGGCCGAAACAGATGGAAACTCCAGCGGGAGACGTGTTGGGGATGGGTTCCTGGAGGCATGTCTCTCAACGTCCTCCCTCTAACATTTCTGGCATACTAACCGTTAAAATAGGTTGAAGACCTGGAGAAAATGGCACCACAGCTTACGATGGACTTTTAGCGTCTGAACCAACACCATGTATTAGGATTTATTGTTTTGTTCAAGATACCACAGCAGCAGGCAGGCAGCAATATTCGTTTCAGACAAATGTCGCTTTTACAAGTGCAATATCCCTCGGATTGACATACTCAGGCGGCTTTCCAAACATATGATCCTCCACGAAAGGCGGCACGGCGTCAAAGCTATGAGCGTTGTGGAAGAGTGCAATATCCCGATTTACCCTCTTGGCTAGCCAAGCGTTGGCTGGGTACGCCGTGTTCTTCTTGCTTAGGTGGACGACGACAACGGGGAGTTTGTTCTGCTCGGGGAGATGACCTAGCTTCGCATCGTAGGTTGTGTGGCAGATATCGAAGACGAAGAAGACCCGCGTACGCCACTTTTGCATTGCTACCAGTCTCGTTGCCGGGGGTGTTTCTTGGAGGTGGTAGAGGTGGCTTGCTTTGAGGAGACGGATTGCTTTTGGGAAGAGGGCTTCCGGGTTGGTTTGAGCCTTGGATAGTCTAGAACTTCGGTGTGAGACGATGACTAGGACCCTGAGAGGGCTGAGTCTTGACATTGGGGGCTTTAGGTGTGAGATGTGAGATGTGAGACAAGTTCCTCGTTGATATCTCTTTGGTCTAGAGGATCTCATACCGAGCAATAGGAGTATTTGGTCATAGGCAGTAGCTTTGTTTCCATATTATGTTTCAGAAACACTTCTAACTGTGGAATTTTATAGAGTGCGTCGGAGAGGCTTTATATGATTTTTTTTCTTTCATTCTAAACGCCCATGGATTGAAACAGGATATGGGGCAGACTTCGGGGTCTACTTAGACCGGATGAGAACCTTCCAATAGGCCAGCATACTCCTCGTCGGAACCAGAACCCTCACCAGTCATCTGCCACAGCGTGAGACTGTTCATCTGTGAGCCTGACAATACAAGGAGAGGGAACTTCAGCTGCCAACGCCAGGTACCTGGTGACAGGGTTTGGTTGCTATAGTACTCGTGTCCCGGTCTGGAATGTAATTGCGTGCAACATGACCTATCGGAGTCATAAAATCCCCTCAAAGTCCAGATATATGAAGACCAGCTGTGAAATCAAAAGGCAAAGAATGTAGGTAGGAGTGGGAACGGAAGGCGGTGGCATCGGATTTTGCCTTGTGTTTTCCTTCCTCAACGCGCGCGTCACTCCCAATCTCGAACCAAATACTTTCGCGATGAACGATGCGACGACCTCCTTGCTCACTGAGCATTTCAGCTATACACCCCTGGTAAGATTGATCGCGGTCTCCTCGACGCGCATTGACCGGCGCGACCTACGACCAGGACCCACCTCTTGGACAATTCGCTGACTGGCGATTAGTCTCTCATAGATGACATTATCAACTCGATCAACAACTTGATCTACCAAGCAATTTCAAGCTTGGAGTCTGGCTTGCTTGCTACGCCGCCTGAGCGACTTGGGTTTGCCCATGGCAACGACGGTTCTACCATTCCCGAGACCGACGAGGATGGAAATGTTATTTACCCAGAGGCCAAGCTAGAGATTGAGAATGGATTGCACCAGCTGGAGACGCTACTTGAGGCCAATGTTGACAAAGCCTTTGACAAGTTTGAGATCTATGTACTGCGCAACATTCTCACTGTGCCGGAAGACTTGCTCTCTTGGGTGAGATTGAAACATTACGAGGTATGTGGTGTGACTAGGGCAGCCGGAGGCGTCTGGACCCCCTGCGAAAAGAATTCAACTAATGCGCTCCGCGATAGGGTCTTTCTTTCAGCTTTTCGCCAGACACGCCCACACCCGAATCCATCCACGCACAGCGCAAGAAATTACTCGAGACCAAGAAATTGAACCGCTCTCTCAGAGAGGAATGCAGTCGAAACGAGGCGGTCATTTCACAGCTACGGTCTATTCTAGCGAAGGTGGAAACAGCCAAGGCAAATGGCTCTGGCGCGTCTGAGAATAGTCTGGATTTGTCTTTCTTGACCTCCAGCCCAGCTGCACGCCAGCTTCGGGTCGGCGTCGAAACTGGACCCAATGCCAAATCAACACCTCTTACAACAAACACAACATTTATTCTCTCTCAGCTTCCTGCATTGCAGGCCACACTCGTGCAACTTCGACCTAAGTTGGCAACATTACCGGGGGCTACAGTGGCGATGGAGACCAGATCCAAGAGAGACGAACGAAAAGAATACATCGAAAGCCGAATTCGGCTCCACCTCGAGCGTGCTGGTCAACTTGCCATGGGCGACGATGGCAATCCTGTTGTAGCAGGGCGCAGAATTGATATCCGCGAAGCCCATGCCCTTGAAAGTGTGGCCAACATGCTTACGCAAGATAAGTCTGTGTAAGATGGTAATGTGTATGTGTGATGTATTTGGTTTTATAACTTCATTATTCGGATTTTTTATGGTCACTCAAGACCAAGAGACGCTCCAGGTCTCCTGTGTCTTCCGGAAGGGGACAACGTCGATCTTGTCCGACTCGAGGATTGCAGAGATCTTCTCGCCCTTCTTCTCGATAGTGATGAATTCCTTCTTCTCTTCGGGCAGACCATAGAAGGCACGTCCGAACTTGCTCATGAATCCCTCGACGATCTCCGGTGTGATGTCCTCCTCCTTGAGAACTCCATTGTCGCAGGCCTGCTCAAAGGCATCGACCACAACCTGAGTGGTGTACGGTTGAGTGAACACACCGGCAGCAATCTTCTCACCTCCACGCTTAGAGGCCGCAGGGTGCGGGGCGCTGTCAGAGCCGAAGAAGAACTTGGGGTTACCCGATGCAGCAGCACGGAGAAGGGCATCGCGGTCCGCGGGAGTCTTGGCAACAGGCTTGCAGAAGCAGAACGGATCGCCAGCCCACGAATCGATGATAATGGACAAGTGGTGGGCTGTGATGGTACCTGAAACAGTGGGGCCACACTTCTTGACAGCCTCCACGGCCGCGGCAGTAGTGCAGTGCTCCAAAATGATGCGCAGCTTGGGGAACTTCTCGTGCAGCTCGAAAAGCTTAGGAAGGAAACGCTCTTCGGCTGTCAACACAGTCACATCCTCGCCGGAGGGGGCTTCGCCATGCAAGTTGAGGATCATCTCTTGCTTTTCCATCTCTGCGAACACGGGATAGAACTGGGTATAGTCAACGACACCAGAAGAAGAGTTGGTCGTCACGCCGGCCGGGTAGCTCTTGACACCGGTGATGCCGCGCTTCTTAGCTTCGATAATGGTTTCCGGGGTCACGGTCTCGTGGAGGTAGAGCGACATGAGGAACTTGACATTAGGCTCGAGAGCCTGCAGGCTCTTCTGGTAGTCCAGGGCACGGTCGACGGTGGTAATTGGTGGCACTAGGTTGGGCTATGAATTTCATTAGATAGAGCTCATACAAATGAACTTGTTTGTACAAGAATGCCCTTACCATGACAAAAACAGTGTTCACACCTCCCTGGCGAATGGTGGGAGTCACCAGCTCCATCATAGGACCATCACGAAGATGGACTATCCTTGGTCAGCTCCATGCATCTCGATATCAATTATGCAGTCCTCTCCCCGGAATGGTCAGTACCGTGGAAGTCAGCCGAAGCGGGGAGTTTGACTCCCTGTAGCTTGGAAAGAGGCATTGTGAGTTGTAAGATGTTAGTTCAAGAGGCTTGCCAATTGCAAAATCTAAGAAGTTGACTTGAACGCACAAGTTCGCTCTTTGCCCCGCCAATTTTCCGGGATTCTGCCACGGGCGGTGACCCCAGTTCTATGTTCCTACAATCCCCGCCATCTCTGGACATCGCATCTCTTCAGGTAGTCGTGCAGGCAAATACATAGAGCTGTCTTCCAGAAGGAGCACAACAGTGGTGCATGTCGGAAATGTCAGACCTGGAGTGTAAGGCGTTACGTATATACCTGCTAGAAGACCCCGACGGATGGTCCGCTCTGTTTTCATCGGATGTAGGGGCATCTTCGGGTCAGATAGCGCGACGATTCCATGGCCTGAGTCGAGACATTGAACGGGATCTCCATTCTTCGCTTTAATGGGATTATGCTGACGGATGGATTGTAGACCCTGACAACGATAGGACCGAGAGCGGCCTTGGCGCGCAGTTACAGTTTCCGGGGGATCAGGTTTGTCTATATATGACTATATGGTTTCAAGAACATGCTAATATGGCAAAGGTTCTATTGGAACTTTTACAGTAAATAAGACGGACGAAGAGCCAATATTTTTCCTCTCTCCACAGCTCATGGGCTTCATCCATACGTGATGATCTACAGCACGACTTTTCTACAGTAATTGTGATCTCTACTGTACATACAGTACAGTACGGCATCAGGATATTCTTTTGTTCTAATTCTAGCTGATGATTTGTTTACTGCCAAGTACCCACATGCTTTGTCAGTATGGCCGAGTGGTTAAGGCGCTAGACTTGAACTCATTAGTCGAAATCTAGTTCATTCGTGATCCTAGGTTCGAACCCTAGTGCTGACGTTCCTTTTTGTTTTTTTCTCAAATCTTTCACCAAGTAGGAGTCCTCATTTTTTAATTATGAACGGCATCAGTATGATTCGATAGACAGATAGTACAATGGACAGCACTCTGGACCGTTTTCCAGTTAGTCGTACCACAAAGAGATCGCAGTGCGTAGACTGACTAGCTAAATCGGCTTGTATGGTTGTATTGTCACTCTCAGACGACTCACTAGTAAGACAAAGTGGTTGTCGTCTTACAGACCTGAACTCATGAACATTAGATTTAAATTTGGTATGAAGTGGTTTCAAATCCAGGATCGGAAAGATGAGTAAGAAGAGGCACTAGCGCCTATTCCATGAATATTAAGAGATGACACAAGGTATTCCATGTAGAATTCAACCAAACACGCCATTGATAACCACGTTCTAGACAAAGCTAGACGGCGTTTTGCCTGTGCTTGAACCACCATAGAGCGGTCAGTCCGTATGTCAAGCACACCACTCATCATGATTGATACTCGCATACTTATATGGTAGATAACAGCAGATATTGATCACGTTGTTTCCTCACACAAGAAACGTTGACTGAAACCTGTTCACCAATTGCATGAGATCTCTTCAATGGTCCAGGCATTTTCTACCCTGTCGAAACTATACATGGCCACTCGATTTTGATAACTTCGTCATCAAACGAGACAGCTCTTCCTTTGGGTTTGGCCAAGACTTCTTGCACAGGCGAGTCAAATTCAAACAGCAAGTCGTGATCCGTTCTTGTTCCATCGGATGTAGAGGCACCTTCGGGCCAGATAGCGCGACGATTCCCTGGCCTTAGTCGAGACATTCAACGGGATCTGCCTCTAATTGGAACCATCGCTTTTCCGACGAATTTGTAGCACACGGTTCTCAATCGCCGAGGAAATCCACGGGAAGATAGCCCGATCGAACTATTTCGCCGAAGACGATTTGGGTCGATACTAGAATCCAGTATTTCGCTATCTGGTACCGTTGCAGAGTCTTCGAGAGGCATTTCTTGACTCGACTCAATTTGAATGGTAGTAGCTTCACTGTTGGCATCATCTGTGGGAGGCGTGCTTTGATTTGCCGTGTTATCAATCTGCGTTTCCACTTTCGCTAGTGGAATCTCGTTTGGTTCGTGGTTTGGGATGGACAGGCTTTGCAGCGCGGCTGTGATTCTGTCATGCATAGCTTGGTCTTTGATAAAAGAGATTGGAGTTGGTGTGGGCGTTTCTGTTGCGACGGGCTCCTGGGTTATAATTGTATTGCGTTCCAGCGATGGTTGTTCATAGGATGGTTGGTCTTCTTCGACAAGGCTAGTCACTTCAGTAACCTCAATTCTTGGGGCCATTGCAAGTTCCTCTAATTCCGAATCCAAATCGGACCCCGAGCAGTATTCATAGTATTCATCGTCTGTGTCTTCTTCAGACTCTTCCCAATTGGAATCCTCGTCGTCATCCTCTTCGTCAAAGTCTTCATTCAAAAGATCCTCAAGCCTAATATCCGGGACATGAGTTGTCTCGTCCTTGGTTTCAATTCCAAAAGCTTTGTTCTCGTCGGCGGACGATAAGGTGCGACTCTCGCGATATTCCATTGCCTTGCTTTCCAAGGCTGCCGTTGCAGTGCTCATATCCAAATATGTCGATGCCATTTTTTGCATGTGCAAACTGTGAACGGCGCGATAAGCCTGCGACACTAGTTGCATCACATATTCGGCCGAAGCAGCACCGTCGGGGTGGGTGGCGGCATGGTCGTAAACTTTGGCGCAGTGTAATTCAAATATCTGAGCCAGCTGAAATACATCGTTGAATTTGGAGTCGTTCAAGGTGTGTTCTGGCCACGAAGTCGTCATGTTGGGTGTTGATAAGGGAGTAAGTTGCGACGCGCCAAGTGCAGCTTGACGCGTTAAGTAGCTTTCCCGGCAAGGGGCGTTAAATTTGAGGAATTTCGCTTTCTGGCCACATAATTTCCATTCGTCCATAACATTAAATCACATACATTCTTCACCAGCCTACACCTACGAACCTCTATACCTCAATTTTAAAACGTAGCACACATCATCAAGCCAACGACCGCCAGCGCGTTATTCTAAATACGAGTCCGGCATGTTTTAGCATTCGCTCTAAAACCACTTTCATAGAAAATAAATACATTAATTATAGAAAACGTCGCTGGAGACTGGGACTGTACTTTGTCGCGTCGCGCGCAACACAACTAATCGGTTTAAGTCTGAAGAATAGGGGATTTCATCAGAATGATATTGAATCAAGCTGGAGAAGGATCTGTCACAAAAGTTCAGTCAATCCATACTCTACTGCAAGAATGATAGAATATTACCTTCTCGATATACTTCACTCCAATCAAAACGCCATCTTCGTCTTCAAAGTCTTGGCTGTCTCCAAAGTCATAGTTGGTTTGATCCATACATGTGAGACAATTGATCACAATTCGCGCAAATTTGTCTCCCATACGCTGTGGAAGTTCGTTCGTGGCCAATGCAACAAGATTTGTTTTGGAGTTGGAGCTTTCAACGTCCGTCTTGTGTCTAATTTCTGCAGGCCAGGGCACGCCACTTTGATCATACGTAACAAATGATCTCCAGAGTCCGATTTCTAGCATGCACACTCCGAGACTGTAAATATCATGCTGCATGGTATAGTCTGCTTCTGGGAGCAGCCCTTGGCGATCGGGATGACGGTAGAGATTCTGGTCCCAGGCAAGATCGCCGTGGCGAAGCGTCTTCCCATCAGCCATTCGAACGGACCTGAACCCGACAAGGGCCAGAGACCCCAGCTGGGAAATCCCGTTATCGAAAATCAAGATAGTCTCCGGCCGAATGCTCTTGTGTACGAACCCCATGGTGTGAACGTAATTAACCGAGATCGCAAGCTGCATTGCCATGGTGAACACCTCGCTGAGAGAATAACGTTTGTCGGAGCACAGATGATCACGAAGACTACGTGGGTTTCGCATGCTCTTTGGTATTCTGAATATGAAATCGAATGACTTTGTACGTCCTGTCCTCTCACTTTGGTTCTTCACAACTCCAAAACATTTCAACAAGCTGAAATTGACTGGATCCGTATTGCGAAGGCGTCGGGCCAGGGTGCGGACATCTCGCGTGAGGACGGTCATATTGGCTTCAGGGTCACATTCTGCGTGGTCAAGTATCAGCGTATCGGATCCAACTTTGACCAACGTTTTCATGACCGAAAATGGTATTTCCGAGACTACAAATTTCGATATTCCATCAGCTGGAAGGAATATGTGTTCATTTGAGAGAGTTTCCTCTGTCAAAGACTGTCTAAGTCGACTGGCAACGGAGACTGCCGTTGTCTGAGAGGTCTGCTTTTCTAGCTGCGTGTCAATCTCCGGATTGTTCACGCGAATAATCAGATACCAGGTAGGGTCGAAGATTGCTTGCCAAGTCTGTAACTCTCCGATCGCGGTATCGAGACAGCCCTTCACCATGAATGCGTATTTCCATCGGGTCAACCGCGGAATAGAACTGACACGATCATATTTGGTTTGTATCTTGCTGATCTGCGACACGGCAACCTCGAGCTTCTGGTGCAAAATTTGCAGTATTTGGTCCTGCAGGGACTGATGGTCGTGGTCCAAAGTCGACCAAATCTGCTTCAGAATTTCCAACTGTAAGGATATTCTTTTCCAACGCGCTGCAAGAATGACCGCTCGCTCCGAAACCTCTTTTTCTGCTGCCTTGTAGCTCTCGTATTTCTCGAGCAGCTGCTTGCCGTACCTTCAAACATCATTAGCGTCATGCCATGCTAGTTGTATTTTCTACGCACTTGAAACAAAGATCCACCGTGCCTATTACCGCGAGACCCAACTCTGCTCCAGACATGTTCAGTGTTTATGAGGATATGGTTTCTTCCAAAGAAGTTGAGCTTCACATACTCATTGATTTGAGGGGCTCATGACTGACGTGTCAGACTAGGCGCCACAGGGCGCAGCAAATGCGCAGCAACTGCATAGCAGCTGCACAGTGTCATCACCCAACTTCAAGGCACTTTTCTTTAACTTACTCGATGTTTTGTCAAGTAGCGCATGTCTCCAGAATAATGAGCGCGCACCTCCACCTTCTCATCTATCGGATTTTCTCGGTTGAAATACAATGACGCGAGTCCGACAGTCGAAATACTCCAAGTTGCCAGTTCGCTTCACCCGGGAATACACATGTCATGCCACCCGCGAATCGATACTCGGGATCAAATTCGAAGAAAAATGGAAGAAAGAGAGATCACTGGGCCAGGGAGCATACGGTGTTGTCTGGTTGCAACAATGCGTGACCGACAGCTCCCCCGGACGGCTACGGGCAGTCAAGGAGATAGTTAAAGCATCGTCCTCGGATACCTTCAACTACACGCGAGAACTGAAAGCCCTTGCTAAATTCTCTCGAAACCAAGTGGGTTATTCGTTTCACATGACAGAGAGCGCACGCTGACAAGCTAAGTATGCCGATTATTTCGTTAGGTCATCAGGATGGTACGAGAACGAACACTCCATCTTCATCGCCATGGAATATATGAGACTCGGTGATCTTCAACAATACCTCGGCAAGGCGATTCCGGAAGTCGAGGCGCAGACGATTACTTTTCAACTGCTCGATGCCCTTGCTTTCATGCATAAGGATGGGTACGCTCACCGCGATTTGAAGCCTGCGGTGCGTGCCATGCAATTGAAAAGTAAGATGTATACTGACGATGATAGAACATATTTGTCTCATCAAAAGGCCCAGATTGGTGGATCAAGATTGGCGATTTTGGCGTCAGCAAACGAGTGGATCATGATTTGACGGCCCTTCGCACTGCGATCGGTACTCTTAGTTATATGGCGCCAGAAATGCTTCTGAACAAGCACAAAACCGTGCCAGACACCCCAAACTTTGTCTATACATCAGCAGTTGATATCTGGTCTGTTGGAGTGATCGCCTTCTACATACTGACTGGCGAACTGCCGTTTTCGGGTATTCCGGCTTTGCTGCAATACACGATGAACCCAGACGATTCTCTCTGGGTCACATTGCGGGATTATGGTGTCAGCAGAACAGGAGAAGATTTGGTCAAAAAGCTCCTTTGTGTAGTGCCTGCCGATCGACTATCTGTTGGACAGGCTCTCCGCCATCGATGGTGGGAAACAATACCTCCCGCGAGAGCCGAATCCTTGGGCAGAAATTCCCAATACAGTACACCAGAGTCCATCGAGCCATCTGGAAGGTGGAGTGCATTTGACGAGACAGAAACATGGCCGGACACACAGCTAGAATATCGACTGAAACCAAGTGCAGAACAAGTTTCGATCCCTTCAAACCCCGAAAAATCTCGAGAATCCCACGACGTCAGAGAACACGACCAAGAAGTCTTTTCTCCAACGAGACCCGATCCTATCCCACATACCCAGCTTGGCGATAGACTAGAGTCGGCTTCTTTCAATGGTAGTACCTCTTCCCTCACAGTGATAGCGAGTCCCCTGCCAGCCATACAGAGGAAGTCTGTCGCAGATATCGTGCATGCAGTTGAGAAGTCTGCGGCTTCAGGAAACTTTCCAGGGCCCAGTCAAACAAGACTTGGATATGACACCCCACCTAAGACACGGAATCGACGTTATTCACGTGGCTCGTATAAGACAAATACACCCAAACCTCAAAGCACAGCCATGAGCATCGGTGCCTTTCTCGCAGCCACTACTATGTTGCTTGCCCTAAGAAATTCCCGCCAAGAAAATGCAGAGAGAGGGAGACGACGCACACCAGCGGCGTCTACGGCGTCAGGAAGAAAGCCAAAGGAAAGAAGAAACCGATTTGAGCGGTCATTAAGCCAAACGCGGGATTGAAATATTCCATCCAGACCTCGCTGTACAAGACATCTATCTTCGAAACTTAAGATCATTCGGCATAAATTTGATTTCAGTATTAATCATTTTTCTTATCTTCGCCGTGTGTCCTTGGTTTATCCTGATCATATTCCATCTTCATTACCCTTCTAACGTCACTTTTTATTATTCCCGGGCTAGGAATAGAAGGCTTCATCCGATATTGAATCCCTGGTAAGACATAAGGTGGCAAGCAGTTGTATCCAAGTTAGGCAAAAAAGCTGATTTGATCTGAAGGATACTATAGACTGCCGTATGCAAGTAAATCTCGGAGAAATTGTCGGGCAGTTTCTTAAAGGGCATGCATGTACATCTTGTGCGTTGGGATCTCCTAGTTCACATAGAAATCATTGCATCTCGTATATTCCCCTCGTATCGTTCCCCTCGTCAAGCAAGAAACCTAACATTGCAGGTCAGATGCCTGAAGTAAGAAATTGGCGTTTGTCAGCCTTCGCCAAGTCTTTTGCGGCTTTTCATTGTCTTGGCTAGCGGGGCGCTGTCAAGCTCATCTCCCTGCCTTTGCTGGTTATTTATCAGTGGTATGGACTGGCTGCGAGATACGTAGCCAGTCTTGTTTTCTGTCCTTGTGGAGCTTGCGAAGTCTGACAGCCTACGATACGATACTATGATTGCCTTTAGGAGCAGCTGTGGTTCTCGTATTGAAGAGGATCTTGGCATACGTCGACAATTACTGTGCAGTTGCATCAGGTACGCCCGGTTCCTGCGGTTTCATGTAAGACCCGTCGCGTACAGCTTCCTGGAGGTGACATTGACATCGAGCATCTGCAGGGCTCATGCAGCTTACTTGAAACAAGGCGAATGGCGGCGATTGCTTCGTATAACCGTATTTTTGGTGAGATCTGAGCGGGGATTTTAGTCTCTTGCCCTGAAGAACAGGGTCTTCTGGTCAAGATATAAAGTCGTGGGGAACCACCTGGTAGTATTCAACTTCATGATTATTATTTTATTGCTGCTAAAATGAAGTTTGAAGTCAATATTGTTTTCGAAATAGCGCTACTCCTGTTCACTGGAGTTTCTGCAAACCCAAGTATGTTTGTGTTTATGGTTGCTTGATCTAGTTCTAAAAGAATCGTCGCAGTTATTCCAAGACAGGACACCACCACTCTTCAGGCTGGAAAGCCAAGTAAATGCAGCCGTTCGACCAGTAGCCAATGGCTCAGCATATGTGATACTACTATATTCTGGCCCACATCGACAAACTACTTCTATGGGCCGACCAAAGGAGCCAAGGCTTCTGCTGTCTCCTGTAATGCGAAATGGGTTCAATTCAGCGGACGCGCCAGTGGTTTGGAATCTCTAGGTGCAACATCTACATCCACTATTTATTCATCCTATGTCACTAGCACCGGAGCCTGTAACACGGAGGTTCGAGGCGAAGATCTTCAGGACACCCATACCGGCCCAGTCACCACGCTCTGTGACGGAATTACACGCGCCCTCGGCCCTCGAGAATCAATCACCGACTACTGGCCAGGCACAGGCCCCTGTAGCTCCTTTTTGCTAACCGAGACGACTACCACACTGGTCTACCGATCGCCAGCAGCGACTCCAGCCTGTAAATTGAACACTCAGGACTGCATTCCCATTTGGAGCACGTACAGCAAGCTTTCAAGCGCTTATTACTCCTCTGTCACAAGTGAAGTGCCAGGTGATACCAAAAGCCCTATTCGACCAGAGAGCTGCCCAACCACAACGCGAGACTACTCAGATCCCAACGTATGCAATAATTGCCATTACCTCCCAGATACAGCAACTCTATTTTACTGGCCAGTGATAACCACTGGAGAAACTTGTCTGCAAAGTGGAACTACTCTCACTGCCACGCCAACGGGCGAGGGGCCCAATACCGCCATTGTTGACGGGAAAACATTCGTATCTCCAAGCCTTTATCTTTCCTTCACCAGCATTTACGCCTACAGCAACCAACGCGCCCATTCCGGTGGCCGTTGTGGCAGTGATCATGAAAATGTGATTGTTTCTATTGCCCCGGAAGCAGCTACATCTTACCGCCACCATATCAACGCAAAATATCCCACGATTGGAACTGCGTATCCCTTCAATTTCGCTGAATATCAGCCGCATCAGGTCGGAAACTACACCATGCCCCTGATTCCTTGGGAACAATATCTTGGTGGGTCCCAGTGTTTGTCAGGAGGAGGTGGCTGTAGCATGGTTCGCGATGACTATCTTCCGTGGTTTGAGATGCCAGATGTCATGACTCAGGTTGATCCCCTGTGGACTAGCTGTGATAGATCTTGGTATATTCCACCAGTTAGCCTTGTGCCACTTGGAGGAACCAGGAGCCTTGAGTCGCGACCAACAAATAAGGCGGAGGCGAGCAGGGCCTCGGCTACTCCAGCTGTTCCTTCGTCGGGCTTGGCTGCGCCCACTCCTAAGGCTACTTGAAAAATGGGACTTGCTTTTTTGAAATTGATGCTTGTGAATAGCAGAATAGTGTAATAAAACACACTTAGAGACAATTGATCACTTCATGTATCCTGAGCTGAAAGGGTTCATCGTAGATGATGATGGATTCCTCATGTTATTGATATGCTTCTGATATGACCGCTTGTATATGTACGTACTCCTGATTTATTCAGATCTAATTCAGGTCTATTCCTTTCTTCTCGCAGTTCATCACTTTCTTAGGCCAATTACGGCCAAGTTACGCGGACTCTCACTGTAATCAAACACCGGCTCAACCCAACAATCTTTGATAGATTCCTGCTCACGAAGGAATTGCCACCGATCTACCACAATGATAGCCTCGACGAGCTGAGCACTGAATGCCATTAGACTCCACACAACACTCATTTGTTTTCTCGCGTGGAGGTATTTCGTCTCGTAGCAGTAAATCTCCTCGTCCGTCATGGTACCAATATTCTCCTGCACCTGGGAACCATATACCGGGTCTCGGCCCATCCGGATAGTCGCAGCACGAACATATGCAGTAAAAGACTTAAAGGCAGCCTTGGGCAATTTTCCCATGACGATGGATTTGGCATTATTTTCCGAGCAATTTCCGTCAGAGATGCCATCTTCCAGCACAGAGGGCTTAGGAAGAATACTTCGATCAACGAGAATACGCTGAAGGAGAGCACGGAAGAAGTGACGGGAGAAGGAAGATTCGCTATCTTCAACACCCCAATTGTAAGGAGCTTGCACTGCCAGTGCACGAGCTGTGATGTTAAGCTTCATGCCGGTTGTTGCTCCGGGACTTCGGTAATTCTCGTAGTATTCAGACATTGGGAAGCCATGCGGATCGTAGGATGCTCCAGTTTCTTGAAGTCGAGGGTGGAGAGATCGAATAATAGGAAGATCATGTGTACTTGGACCCAGACGTTCTGTCAACAGATTGTAGCAACAACCGATCATAGCGACGGCCACAATTGAAGGATTAAGAATGAGAGATCGTAGACCGTGATGAACAAGGTTTCCGCAAGAGTGAAGGGAAACGACCATCAACCTAGAATCAGGCTCATCCTTGCTTTTCCTATCAGAAGCTCCATCGGTAGATGGATGAATGACGTGGTCGATAATCGGCTCTAAGTAGCCATCTTGGATTTCGTGCTCAATATAGCTGAGAGTACCGCGTGTACGGATCTCTGGCTCCGGCAGCCTTTTTCTTAATGGGCTCTTTGTAGGAGATCCAAGTAGCTCTTGTGCTTGAAGACTCATATCGCCCAGTATCTCTACGAAAGGAGCCTCCGGGACCTGTGAGCCTTCTGTCGCTGGTTGGGGGGCATCTGCCGTTTCAGAGGCAGTCACTTCTAGAGTTGTGATGCAATCGTCACATGAAACCTTTTCGTTGTTGAAATTTTGAGCTTTCGGGTTCTTTGCCAACTTGGCTCGAACATCCATGCTCTTGGCACCACTGATGTACTGATGCCTGCGTTCAATCGCGATGATATGCTTGTGGTAAGGTGAACTGGCCAGTGTCCGTCCAAGGTAATTCTGGCCAGACCCGAAATCCACAATATGAGTCACTGGTTCACCTCGGCGCTGATTTACAGTGTCTGCCAGAGATGCGACATGTTGAGAGAGGCACTGAACCTCATGGACCTTTTTTCGATTCATATGCATCGCGACTTGTTTTGGTAACTCAATCCTTTCTGAAGTTGAGGAGCATATTTCTCGTTGCAGTGTCAGTTGACGAATTTGGAAAATGTATTCCAAGAGACTCTGGGGAGGGAATGCTCCTCCATTCCAAGTACGACTGCTTTGATCTATAGAGGACTCGCCGGTGCCTCGTAAGTGCTCAATGTCCTCTCGTAGGAGTAGACGGATGACATCTTGCGTATCATGCTGTTCAAAGAAAGATATCCAATCATTTGGCAGGATTGTTGTATAAAGATCGGGCTCCCGAGTCAGAAAGTCGACCATGTGCACGCCACCGCACAAATTCATGAAAAGCACCGACGTCGTAGTGAAGCCGAGAAGGGCCTCGATGTAGGCATCAGGGTGCTGCCACACCCTGGAGATGGGTAACGGCCGATCGAAAGCCATGCGAAATACTGATCACTTCATTGTCTCAAAATCTCCAGCAGCCCTGAAGGATCCTTCAGGTTCGTGGGAGTGCTGCTGAGTCATCTAGGGTTGCCCCAGAAAGCGGTCAGACTAGTACAAGACCAAGTGCATACGGTTGAGAAGTGCATTTCTTCCAACCCTGCAGTGAGATTAACGTTATTGCAAGGGACTATATCTTACTTGAAGTTAATATTAGACTGATAAGTTGAAGATTGTGATTTGTCGCATTTCAGATGGTGTTCTTACCCGGCCACTCCTTTACCCGACACCTGAACTTGGACAGCCAACTTTCCGGCACACTTGGGAGGCTTCTTAGACTTTCTAGAGACTCGATGTTAATGATGCAATAATCATCAACACATTACACGTGTATCTCACTACTAAAAGCTGTGATTATCTCGTGGCAATTTTGTCTTGTTTCAACCCAGCAAGTGCAATTTGAAACGAGGAAGACTGATTCATCTTACTCATGAGGAAGGTACGTGAGTATCGTTATGTCGGCCGTGATCCTCCATGTGCATCATGTGGAGTTGGCGGTGAGCCTGATGATATGCCAGACTGTAAGTTCTACTGCGTTGAAAATTGACGATTTCGCCGTGAAAGACCACTAAAGACCTATATAGTGCCAGTTCGAGAGGTCATCGAAGAATGTTGCGGCGATCAAGAAAGACACGAATATCTTGGAGATTGGAACGGTGAATTCCCCGAATCATGCGTGTTTCATGAAGGCTGCTGGAAATTGTTGACACGACATTTCAACAACGGAGTTGTGCCTCTCGACAAATTGATCAATGTAGTCAAAGAGCCATCTTGGCCAAGATATCGTGCCTGTGAGTCATCTATCACTCCCCCAATCAAACCTTTGCATTCACCAAAATGATCAGATAACCAAGAAGAACTTTTAGGTTATGTCATTCCAGAAACCGGTACTCCTAGCTCGAGATGCTTTCGATATATCGGGTTCCGGGCCGAGGCGAAGACCTTCCCAAAGAGAGCAAACATGGAAATGAAACACCCCATGAAGACAGATGCACAGGGAAATGACTGCTTTCGTCTTCTTCCACTCGAGATCCGCTTCGAAATCGCCTATCTTCTCCCAACGCCTGAATACCTCAGCATGAGACTTGCGTCGAAAGCTATGCTCCCCATATTTGAATCTCAGACATTTTGGAAAACACGCTTTTCAATTGAGCGAGAACTAGGATATCTCAACTATCTCGTGAAAGATGGTTGTAAAGATTGGAGATTGGTGTACTGCTGCACTGGCAAATTGATGCGCCTGACCAAGACACTGCGTTTTCGAAGACTACAGTGGCTTCATAATGAGTGGATTAAAGATCGGTGTATGATGGTTAGAGATCCAAAATCTCAATTATCTAAGAACAACACTCGATTTCAGGGCCTACTCTGGAAAAAGGCCGCTGGAGAAATGCAATGCGATAGGCCTTACAGACCCGGGCCTTACAGGTTCGATAACACTCCGTCATCTGCACTCGACAATGAAGTCTGCAAGCGGTGTAATGGAGTTCATATTCTACCACCCCCTCAGATGGTAGGTGTTTCTCGCGAGCTTGTGGAAATCGCTGTCTCCGTTCTCGCTGAAGATGAACATTCATTTATCACTGGCTTCAACCTTATCTACGGCGAAAATTCACCAAACGTTAGTTTTGGCTATCAAATCTCTCAAAAGCAGATCAAGATTGATCTTCGCGGTCAGTCGTTGGCAGGCTTCGAAATATTCGCCGGAGAAGGGGGCATTCAGGCCATACGTCCAATATTTACCCAAGAATATGGAACATGCCATAGTGTGATTGGCAAACCGAACACAACTTGTAAATCGGTATCACTAGTCCCAGATGGAGAGATAAAAGCGTTTATGGGAGATTTTGATGTAAGTCAAACATTGATCTGCTGTTTCAGTTCGCATGCATCGTTTACTGACTTGATTATAGCATTGTAGAATGGTAAGCCTTGCAGTAGGTTCGGTGTGCGCAGGTTCTTAACACGTATCTTAGTAGTAATATTAGCTCAAACTTTGATACTGAAACAAAATACGTATTAATGACTAAAATTTAAGCTTTTTAGCTACAAGCATCAAATGCCATTCGACAGGAACGAGGCGTGGAATGTAGAATCGTTCACGAGATTCTGTTTTAGTACATGTCCTTCAAAGTTGTTGTTCACTGATTATTTAAATACTGTAAGATTATTTAATTTGAGGTAAGTGACAAGAGCAATGCTTTTTCCACACGGGAGGCTTCAGACTATCGAAACACTCATAGTTGTTTCTGATCCATATTACAATATCCAAGTCATAACCACTAGTCGCTTACGGTACAAGACCAGCTGTTGTGGGAAGCAGTCTCATCAAGAGCCCGACCTGAAACGTAAAGACCGGCTCCGCACTAAGGAACATTAGCTTTCGAAAGTTATCAAACTATGGAAGTGAGAACTGACCATGAAACAGCCAATTGCGAATATGACAATATTAAGAACGGTGAGACAGGCCTTTGAAGTCGTGGAGAAATACCGACCCTTGTTCATGTAAAGCCAGAAGATAGCAGGAAGTGCGACTGTTGCAAATTGGAAAATTAGTATCGTCTTGTGATCGAAAAAAGCCGCTAGAAAGAGACAATACGTACAACTAAAGATGCTTCCAAACAGTGCGCTCTGTCAAACGATTAGCAGGGTAAATCATCACGAGAAAGAGCAAAACATACAACAAAACTGAGAAGGTTGTTGAATCCCGGAATGGACTCAGCGATAACCCAAGCAAGCACCCAAAGAAGACCTCCAATTCCAATCCATGTTCCAATTCCCACAAAGCTTCTCTTGTGCATGTGAGGAGATCCACGCAGGACCCTGACATAGACATATTTGCAGGCAACGTGACCAACAACGATACCGGCAATGAAAACCTGTACAGAATAAGTCAAAATTGTTTGTCTTTCACTGTATAGCAAAGGGAAAATCGAACCGTTGGAATTGCGAGACCGTAGCAAATCTTCTTCATGAGCGGACCCGCTGAGGAGGGAGCAGGGGATTTGACACCAGGGCCTGCAAATCGATAGATGATCAAGCCAGATACAAGATATAAGACACCATCTGTGATTTGAAGCATGGCTAAGGATTTGGGGAAAGTCTTTGGATCTTGGGTTTCCGCAATGAGAGCGAAAAAGGTGACATGAGCAACTGATAGTTTAAAATTAGCAATGGTTTTACCTGCGAACGAAAGGGATAAAAGACGCACTGAAACCAAACATAATGTTGCAGAATGCGAGGAATCCCTCGTAGAAGCTGACCTGTCGGAAGGCGTAGAATTCAATGGGGTCTTTGGATTCAACTCCAATGCTCACCATCGTCACTATCGTTGTTGTAAGGATACTCACGAAGGCTGATGGGGTCCAAATTGTTAGCGGTAGCTCTGATATAAACAGTCGTATTATCACTTTGCTCAACTCACAGATAAGCGATAGCCAGTATACTTTGGCCATTGTGCGTGGTAGCGCACCGAGGAAGCAAATGACTAGCGAAACGACACCAAAAACAATGCCACAGGCACCATTATCGGTGATCGTGCTGAGTACGATTGTTCCTGTCAAGATGTGACTTGACATGACAAAGAGCAGGAGCAATAGCTGGCCAATCTCGAGCACAATCCGTCCAACACGACCAAACAAGATCTCGCCGGCGTCACCCATACTGTGAACATGCGGGAACCGAATCTTGAACTGTCCGATCACATAGCCAGTGTACCAAGACAAGGTCGATAAGAAGACAAGCAAAATGGCAGCACTATGATTTTGCGTTAGTCATGTGTAAATGTTGCCGTCTACTACATATTACATACGGAACCATTCCTAGAACTGCAACTGTCGATGGGATGGATAGAATTCCCAAAGAAACATTCTCAGCAATCATGACTACAAAATATTGTTAGTCGGATAGCAAGACTGTGATGTCAGATCATCTCACGCATTCCACATTGCCTGTGCATTTGTTAGTTCTATACTACAGTCTTGATCCATGGACGGGACTGAGAACCTACCACCAGTTCATTGTCCGATATTTGACTTCAGCGACTTCTTCAGATCCAAACGGATCATCGCTTGCTGGCCCCTGGCCTTTCCCCTTCCCCTTGATATCATCATGTAGGTCTGAGCCGTTGAATTCGACATCAGAGGATAATACGCGTGATTCCTGATCTTCGCCCATTTCTCGTAACTTGGAAAGAAAGTGTGTAAACCGGATGGATGAGAACGAGAGAATGACTCGAAGTTTTCTGCTGTCAGGGTTTTTTTAATCTAAGTGGACCTCTCCACGAACACCTAGGCTATCTTTTTTGATCGAGTTAAGTGGGACATCACATCTCCTGCCGTACTGTAGATCTGCCTCGATGTGTATTATTTTGAAAAGTTCGCGCGATCTTGTCCATAATACCCAGAGCTGCGACTATAGTCTCTCCACCCCATGGAGGGGAGCTCGTCTGACTGGTTAAAGCCTCTGGATAAGCATTCCACAGTGGTGTTTCGGCAGTTTGTCTCAGTTTCAGAAATTGCTATATCGTACCATGTTTGCCCAAGCCCATTACCCCTTTCTCCCAATAGAATTTTTCTCTCCAGTCAAGTCATTCCGAGGTTAATAAGGTATGCGTGACTAATAAATATCACGTACTAACTTCAATTGGACCAATCATACTTGCTTCTTTTGTGGATATAGCCCAAGTGGCAATGGGAAACACGATCCTAGCGTGTCGGGGTGGAGAGCTGCAGAATTGCTCCGTCTTGGCATGCCGATCTTTTGTTCCAGAAACTGACACCTGAGGCAGCATCACTTTCGATCCTGGTTGCATAAGAGAGAGGGGCTGGATCAAATGTTCAATTCAATTGGCGTCAAGGTATACAGTATATTCGGGCTACAGGTGACCATTCACGGAGTTGGTGCCGATGCTTTAACTTTGCGCGGCTCCTATCAGACACAAGCGGTCACGTGCAGCGATCTATACATCCATGTAGAAACTTGCCAGGGTGATTGAAGTATGATGGTTTATGATTGAGTAAATTGATGCTCCAAAGCAATCCTCTAACTAATTATTAAATGCTGAACCAGATAGCCCAATTTGTAACACTATATCTCTGCTTCACTTCTGGACATCAGCAGCGGCTAACTTGTCTTCGACCAAGTTGAATAAGTGTTTATCTCGGTTGCTTTCAACAGCTTCCAGGTCGACATGAGATACCCACCCATTTACTTTGCACTTCAGATCTTCAATGGCGTCTCGTGAGTCAAAGTCAAACGGATGTTGCTGCATGTCATCGAGCCACGTTTTTAATGCTGGGCCAAGGTGATCCACGAAATGACTGAAATTTCCACCCCCTCCGAGAGTGTTTGTCATGATGGGACCAGAGAGTGCCCAACGGAGGCCAAGACCAGAAGTCATTGTTTTGTCTAGCGAGGTCAGAATTGGTGCTGCAAGGGGCTCACGCGATAAACATACCGAGATCCTCGGCCGAAACGACCCCTCTCGAGACAAGACTGTATGCCTCAGCGCAAACGGCAGCTTGTAGTCGGTTGGCGATGAAGCCGGGTGTCTCTTTTCGGACAACCACAGGGTCTTTATCGAGGCTGCTGTAAAATGCACAAGCAGCAGTCACGTATTCTTCGCTAGTCCCGGGATGAGGAACTACCTCCACCAAGGGTACCAAGTGTGGAGGATTGAAGGGATGCCCGATCAGAATGCGAGCCGGATTTTTCTTGCACTCGGTGATAAAGACTGATGAAGGCAGACCCGAGGAAGACGATGCGATTAACACATGTTCAGGAGTAATTGAGTCCAAGTGGGCAAATAGACGGCGTTTGAAGTCAACCCTTTCTGGTCCGTTCTGTGACTCTCCATCAGTATCATATCTGAAGCTTCCCAAAAATGAACTTACCTCTTGTATCATATCTATCTCCCCCATATGAGGGTCAAGATCTTTGACAAATTTGAGATTCTCTAAAAAGGTGCTCGGAGCCACTTTGGTATTGGGCACAGCAGAACCATTCTTTTGTAAATATTCGAGAAGTTTGGCCTCAGCATCGGGTGCTGGGTCTGTTGCAATGACTTTGAGGCCTTTGGAAAGGAAAAGTGCTGTCCAACTGGCGCCAATGACGCCAGTGCCGATAACACCGACAGTTTTAATGGAGGATGCGTTCATAATTGATTACTTGTTGATTTTGATTCCCAGAAGTGGATTGAGATGTTTCTACTTATATATGTGAATTAAGTGTGCACCGGTCGAAATACATCATCTCCAGACTTTGCCGCACTGGAACAAACGGTTCGGAACGATAGATTGCTTACCCGATCTGGACGTAAATGGCTCGGAAGCCCTAATAAATCCTCTATTCCGGGCCGTCATCAGCCGACCTTGAGCCACAGACACTAGCAAGCCCCAGTAATTGGTCAGGAAGTATCCAGAAATTAGTCTCTACAGTACAGTATATACAGTACTTGAATGCTCAGGTCTAACTCGGGCTATCAGATCCAAAGTTCCCGAGTTCCGTGACTTCGGCTTGCCGAGTCCCGACTTCTCGGAATCCCAATTGGGAACAATTCGGAAGCAAGCCGTACCTGTCGATCCTCTCACAAAGACGTTTCACGTTTTGGTGGGTCTTCGATTTCTAACATAAATAACCCCCAAAGCCACTGGTGTGGCAGTCACCCAATTAGCCTGTTTGTTCATATCGTCTTCTCTTCAAGCAATTTGCGACACTTTCCACATCACAATGTCTTCTCACGAAACAGTTCCTGGGACTGATATCTACGGACCGGGTACATTCGTGGACAAAGAGTTCACACCAGCTCCCCAAGATGCTAGTCGTATCTTCGAGTATATTGCCAAGGGCACTCCGGGATTTACTCAAGACCAAGAACTTTGGAACACCGTCCGATTTGAGGGAACTTCGCTACCCGTCATTCCTGGTCCGACAAAAGCACCCCTCATTGCAGCTGCACTTCATGCTATGTGTGGCGTAGTAGCCCACGAAATTGTCGAAGACCGTGATGGTACATCAGCCAAGTCCCAGGATGTCACAGTGAACACCGATCATGCGGCTATCTGGCTAGGAACCATCTTCGCGGCTTCCATCCAGGGCAAAGATATGTCAGAGCTAGTCAGAACGCGTCAGATGCCATCTCTTTTCACAAAAGATTTCGAGGGCGACTTCATGTCCTCGCCCATGAGACAACGAACCACCGCCCTGTACAAGACCAAGACCCCGGGTGTCTGGTATCAACTCCACGGCTCCTTGAATGCTGCGCCAGTGCTCAAGTCCATGGGCATGGATCCAGAGTATCCCGCAAAGACATCAGACGAGGCCTATGAATACATCTCTCGCCACGTTGAGCAATGGACTGCCGATGAGTTGGAAATGCATAACGTCAAGAATGGCTTCTGTGGAAGTATCTGTTTTACTCCTCAAGGGTGGTCAGAGACCTTGATGGGAAAGAGACTGGCAGATCATCCGCTAGTCGGTTATTCACGACAGTCGCATGCAATTCCCACTCCTGCCATCCCATCGACCAAGCTCCCCAGCGATAAGCGGCCTCTGGCCGGAATCAAAGTCGTGGAGCTGGTTCGTATTATCGCCGGTCCTGTCATTGGCTCTACTCTCGCTGCTCTCGGTGCGGATGTGATTCGTGTCAACTGTAGTAGTCTGACAGATTTAAATGTATGGAATCTTGGATATTTCGATTTGCCTCAAATGCTTGGGTGCTAACTGAATTCGAACAGGTCCTGCAGCCTACCTTGAACACGGGAAAACGTACCATAGACCTTGATCTTACACAGGATGAAGATAAAGCACGCCTGAGAGAACTTATCGCAGACGCTGATGTCTTCGTCCAAGGCTTCCGTCCCAATGCGATTGCAAGAAAGGGATTCGGCATCAACGATCTTCTCGAAATGGCCGGGAAGCGAGGCAAGGGAATTGTTTACGTCGAAGAGAATTGTTACGGCCCTGACGGACCGTATCATGAGAGACCCGGCTGGCAGCAGATCGGAGATGCAGCTTCAGGCTCTTCTTATGTCATGGGTCGGTCATTAGGCTTCAAGGATGGTACTAGCATTCTGCCTCCCCTCCCAATTTCGGATATGAGCACTGGTCTTGTCGGTGCTCTAGGAACACTTCTTGCACTTCGGGATCGTGCCCGACTGGGAGGCTCATACCGCGTCACCAGCTCTTTGGTAAAGGCGGACGCGATCTCTTTGGAACCGGAAATTGGTCTTTACTCGCCGGAGATTGTTGCAAAGAGTACCGAGCTGTTCAAATGGGGTCACATCGGTCCTTCTCAGTTTGTAACGGAGATTCTTCTTGTCGTCATGGATGGCTGGAAGAAGGTTTTCCCCCAGTACTTCGAGACTGGATCAGATTCGCTCATGACCACCTTCCAAGATGGGCCCTGGGGCCAAATGAACATTTTGAAGCCTGTGGCTCAGCTGAGTGACCCTGGTGTGACGCCTCGATGGTTAACACCTGCAGTGCCGCATTGCTATCATTCCCGGGACATAAAATGGCTGTGATTTGTTAGGTGGGAAATATATGATCTTCAAATTTACAGCAATTACATCTCAAGAGAAGGTTGAATGAGACATTTGAATTCTAATTTATAACACATTCCAAGCTTCCAGAGTTAGGAGAACGTACTTATTACCTCCTTAGCAGCGCCTACTTCAAATTACACAATCTTACACAATCGTGATCAAATCCATTAGTTAAGTCTTGATCTTTCTGAGTGATGACATAAAAAAGTATTCATTAGTCGTTTGACAGAGAGTGTCACATAGAGAGTTCCCAACTGTCCACTAGGCTGACTGTGTCATCCAATTGTGCAAAGAAGGTCGGCCATTCATTCCAATCAAATGTATAGTTTTCAACCCAAGACAAGTTACCCGGAGCAGGTTGAGGCTCTTGCTGTGCTGACGCCCTGTCTTGCGTAGCTGTGTAGTCATTGTCACCGGTGGTTTGCCAAATCTCAGCATTACCATTGTCTCCTGATCCGCGGCGATCGATGTTTCTCTCAATGAGGCCGAGAACAGAGGTACAACGCGAAGCTAGGGTGGTATGCTGCTCATAACTCTTCAGAATATCTCGAGCCTGTCGTAGAAGGCCATCCAGGCGAGCCCGGGAAAAGTATTCTATTATCCGTGGTGACATTTTGGCCGCGAGCAGGACGGTTACAGCCATATATACATCTTTCAAAGTCATTAGAAAAAAGAATCATGATACGGATGGTATGGATGGAAGTACTCACATGAGACAGTGTACCAATTTGATGGCAATATGTACGCATGTGTTCGCTCCGGCAAATTTCGCACAATGAACTCGATTATGTCGGAAGCGGCTTTGAAGCAATGGATCTGACATTGCGAAACTACATGTGGCAGCAGCTGCTCATCTCTGTAGAGACTGGTCTGTGGGCTGGCATCCGGGTCATGCTGCTGGATTTGAAGCAGAAATGGCCTGAAAAGCAGGAGTCGAACACAGAGATATCTGCAGGTAACATTAGCTAGTTTTTAATTGGACGAGAATATTATACAGACCGAGCACGTAAAACATTTGCCTGACGCGTGAAATGCTTAGTGGGTGTCAAGTCCGCAGTGTCTGAGGGTAATTGAAAAAACGGGTGGAGACTGCCAGCCCAATTGTTTAAATCCAACTCAAGCCTGAACAACGTAGCAAATTTATCTAAAGATAATGATGAAGCCAAGCCAAATCCTGTCAGAGTTTTGTTCGAAAAAGATCCGTTTCTGGCACTGGTAGAGATGTAAAATGTTTCTAGAACTTCACCAATGATGTAATGCAACCGACAGAACGATATATAAAAATCGATTTTGCATGGCAAAGTCGAAGTTTTGGAATCGGAGACAAGCTCTGGAGGGTTTAGCACCAAAGAATCTAGGCCCTGTTTTGCAACATCTTGAGAGATCTTAAGGACACAGCCAAAGGTCATTGAGGCGATTCTAATATAAGTTAGCTCGCACATTGAACACTGTCTCATTACCACATACCTATCCATTATAATACAGCCATTCCAAACCTGACGAGCCAGATCTCGTTCATGTGGGTTACTAATAGCCTCGGTCGTTTCAGGCAGATGCAGCCCTAATTCTTGGGCAATATGAATTGCCATTCCGATATTTCTGAAGCACTTTTGCGGCACTCTCTCGTGCTGTAGGTAAACCGCAGTGAGCAAGAGAATTTGGATGATTTCAAAGTTGTAAATGCTCGTCAGTTCGCAGGACATGAGTTGCTGAGCTCGGTCAAAAAATACACCGGATGATTCATAGCGAGAAAGAAGGGATTGGCCCTGAGAAGCCACGCATGATGCCGCAAACATGAGATTGAGAATGCAGTGAAGAGCCCGCTCATTCATAGGCACTTCTCCATCTTGTGTCCATAAAGTCAGGTATGCTCTTTCAATCGAGGGTCGATCAAGCCATGGGTATGTGGTGTCCACGTAATCCCAGTATGAGGCCAGCATATCATCCGCTACTTTCCTTGGAGGAATCGCAAATTGCGAGTCCGATTCTGTTGTTAGTTGTCGTTTTCGTAGCTTTGGTAACTCTTTGAGTGGCTTTGGACCAGCACGTGCACCATTATCTGTTCCATCTCCAAAGGCGCTTCTCTGGTATGTTGCTTTTGCGGCTGATGGTATGATATGTGCTCCACTAGAGGCACCGAATAGACTTCCGGTAGGTACAACATCTTGGTCGGAGCTAGCCTCTTCCGTAAGGTCTTTTGGAGAGGCTCTGGGCACTTCATTTAGATCTCTTAATTGTGATGTATCCCTGTTAAAATCCCCCCCACTGTTAGCTTCAAAGAGCAGGAGAAAATTGTAATTAACATAGCGATCAGCAGTGAGTAAACGGCAGAGCTGAAATGAGATTGACGCGTTGGGGCATTTCAGTTACTCACTCCACATCCAAGTGCGAGACTTCATCAACTTCACGATAGATACAACTCTGTTTTCTTTTCAAGCAGGCATTACACGCTAGAGCCGGGATTATGAGCATGGCGTCGATCTTATATTAAAGTTGACGATCGACTTACCTGGTCTCAAACCATCACATTTTGTTTTTCTGGATTTGCAACTGTTACACGCCACGCTTATCTTGGCACGTTTTGCTTTAGGCTCTTTGGATCCTTGCGGCCGGTCCTGCTGCTGGGTCGGGTTCCCAATCTGAAATGACAGCATCATCTTGCGGAAAGTGAAGATTGCTGGATTGAGAGCTCCGAGGTCGTTCCGAACGTTGCGGCTCCCGGACGATGTTGCGGGTTATGTCATCATCTATCCCAATTGGGAACTCGGAATGGCGTCCGACATGTCCCGATTGGGATGCGTTCCGATTCCCGATCTGCCGACTCGGGCCGTTTTGTAGTTGATTCGAAGACCCGCCAGGTGATGTACATAATGTCAAGATACTTAAAGCAAGTGAGGTAGCCCTCACAGACTCCTACCTACTTGCACAAAAAAACAAACCATCCATCTCTCCATTTTCTAATTCAGACTTAATAACCGTCACTCGCAATGATCCCACCTCCCTCTCCTCTGTCCTCCACGGGGCGACTCTATTTCCTTGATGTCGGTATTTCAACCGCGGACATGAATGGTCGAATCCTCACCTGTCACCCAGACGGCTCCGACATGCGTGAGCTCATTACTCAAATCAGAACAATGCCGGATGGAATCGCCGTCGACCCTTCTAATCAACACATCTACTGGACGAATATGGGTATACCATCCGCCAACGACGGGTCTATCCAACGCTGTGATTTGTCTGGAAAGAATATCGTCACAATCATCCCTCAAGGCTGGACACATACACCCAAGCAATTGATTATTGCGCCAGTGTCGAAAAAGCTGTATTGGTGTGATCGAGAGGGTACGAGAATTATGCGAGCAAACATGGACGGCAGTGACATTGAGGTACTCTACCGAACTGGGTCCGAAAATACCGTCCAACAATCTCCCTTGGATTGGTGTGTTGGTATTGCCGTTGACGAGGAATCCAATACTATCTTTTGGTCGCAAAAAGGATCGTCCAAGAGCAATAAGGGCAGAATTCTGTTCATGGGCCTCGATTTGAGAATTGGCGAATCGCCCGAAAACAGATCAGATGTCCAATGCCTTTTGAATAGCCTCCCAGAACCCATTGATCTGGAGTTGGACCACATGTCAAAGACACTGTATTGGACCGATCGGGGTGATCCCCCGCGTGGAAACACAGTGAATTCAGTGGTTCTTGCCGATCTGCCACTGAACGCGTTACAACCAAAGATATTGGTTCGTAAGCTCCATGAAGCTATCGGGATCTCATTGGATTCGAAAAACGGTCGAATGTTCTTTGGTGATCTTGGAGGGTCTTTGTATAGCTCGAACTTGGATGGCTCGTGTAAAACCACCATACTACCTGACATGGGAGGTGCGATAACTGGAGTTGCCTATGCTGAATAATAATATAATTTAGAGACTATTAAATGGGGGAATATGACATCTTAACTCTATATCATGAATTATTGATCATTTACGTTCCAATCTTTAAACCAGTCTACCAAAAATGTCCTCACCCGGGGATCTTGTTTTCATAAATGATCTTGATTTCAATGAAGCTATTATCATTAAAATCATACCGGTAGGATTAAAAGACTAGATATTTCTCCATCGTAAAACATCCGTGATAAAGGACAAAATTAGGAAAAATGCCTTTTGATATAAAGTAGGATTTAATAAATCCGATAAGCTGAGATATAATGTGAGATTGAAATGGTTACTTTTTTTTTCACCCGCTAGATTATAGTGCAAAGTCCTTTACTTTCATAGTGTATCACGTTTGAATCTCTTTTTCTGGGTAACAATTAGATACTCGTGCATTCGCCATTGTACAAGAACTGTTCACGTATGCTAAAATTTTGACATTAACCATGACATTAATCAAGTGTAAGACGTGAAGGAGGACGAGAAGAGTAACGGGTATGATCCGGAACATGATCAGTAGGCTGCATATAATACCATTCACGTGCAGCATCGTTCTTCGATTTGTTGATGCTCTTGAAGCCCCGATCGAAATTTATCATGCATATGATGGCACAAATCACGGTTGCTGTAGTAAGAATCAGAGAAGCAAAGGCGAAAAGGAACATCATGTCCTTTCCAACGGTGTTGGCGCTAACGAGCACGACGATGCGGCTGATCAGATATGCTATCACGCCCAAGTAACACACCTAATACAACATTAGTCAATAAACTCACAACGGGAAAAGAGAGACTCACTATGATAGCAATCAGGCCCAACTTTTGCTCTTTTTGAACAAAGTAAATACCAAGAAGCATGCTGAAAAATGCAGTTGGAAGAAGGAGCATGGTCAAAGTGTATTCCAGTCCATAGACATGTACATATATCAAGACATACTGAATGATGAATCCAATCAGAAAGTAGAAATTCAACTTTATCAGGACGAGGAATATCTGCGGTGACTTTGTTCAGCAAGTGATTCATATGATCCTTTGAATGTAGTAGAGGGATTTGAATGGTAGTATCGTACCTCGAATACAAGATAACGCATTCGCGTTTTCGGACTACCATGAACCACTTTGTAAATAGCCCAGGAATACTCTTTATGCAAGAAGTATACAATCGGCCAAAGTAGCAGAGATCCTAGTCCCGTGGCAATGGCCACAATGATCTCCGCTGGCTTGATCAGAGGCCACAAATTGCGGGTAGTATCAACCAAGGTCGGATACCCATAGCGGTCCTTGTATAGCCTCATCGTGTTCTCCTCCATCACCTGGTACTGCATGACGGAGTAGACAAAAGTGCAGGTATTGGAAATACAAATGGCAAAGAGGAGAATGTTATTCTTGTGGTGAATCGCATCCAACACAAGAAAAAATTCATAGAGGCAGGCAAAAATTAAAATACCAAGATTGATCGGAAGGACCATAGACACTGTCACTTGGACGATCGTAGGAGTAACCCATGCTTGCCATGAAACGAGGATATAGCTGGTACTTTCATGAGCGCACTAATTTCGAAAGAGAAAAGAGAACCATACATTTCAAGAGCAATTGTGACAACAGCCTGTGTGAGTAACACACCACAGAGCCACCACTCGTTTCTCGTTGTTGGCCTATACATCCTGGGTATATGCGCAGCCAACTTTCGAAAAAAGCGAGTTCATGAATTGACCATTGATGATTTTTAGGTTATATGAAGAACCACTTGTTCCTTTTTTTTTTCCGCCACAATTTTGCGGCACATGTGAGACATGTCGCACCTAGTGGTGATTCCGGGGCCAGTTATGAGAAAGTGGAGTGAAATTTGGGCATTATGGGCGTCTCATTGGACACTAACCTCAGTGCCGAGTGAAAGAAACAATCGTTAGCCAAGCGGAGAGCCTTCGAAGGTTATTGCTCCGCTCCAGCTCCGCCACGTTCCGCTATTCTCAATGTAGGCACTGCAGGTAGGGCAACTTCGCTCAAATGTACGCAAAACGGAATCTTTACTGCAAATACAAAGATGAGAAAGCAAAAGGTAAGCCAAACTGCCGTATGCGCTAAATATGGAACCGAGCCAGCTATTGCCGTGCCTTAGTCCCGTCTGGGTCAAAACAAAGCTTCATTCCGAGGCATTTGCGCATGTCGCCAGCGTCAAGGTAGAGTCCACAAATGGAAACCACATGACAATTGTCTACTGCGAATTCTGAGCGATCCTACTATTCATGGCCGCTAGTTCTTTATTACAAGAAGATGGGCCCCTCCAGGCTATATGGACCTAGTCTTTCTTCCAACCCTCCCATCTTTCAAACTGGGCCGTATCTAAATCAAAAAGATCCAACATCCTCCCAACGCTATGGTCAACCAAATCATCAATCGATGAGGGTTTGATATAGAACGCAGGCACTGGCGGAAAGATTATTGCTCCAGCTTGGGTCACAGAGGTCATATTCTGCAAATGTATTGAGCTGAGAGGGGTTTCTCTGAGAGCTAAAACAAGTCTGCGACGTTCTTTGAGCATCACATCTGCAGCACGGGCGATGAGATCGTCGCAAACTCCGGAACTGATTACAGCGAGGGTCTTCACGCTGCATGGTACGATGACCATCCCGTCCACACGAAATGAGCCGCTCGATATTGGGGCTGCCATGTCGTTGACATTGTAGACAAAGTCTGCCAAGGCTCGTACGTTGGCGATTGTGTAGTCGGTTTCATATTTTATTGTTGCTTCTGCCCATTTGCTGATGATGAGATGGGTTTCCACGTTCAATTGACGTAGGGTGATGAGCGTTTTGATCCCTAAGATGGATCCTGTCGCTCCTGTGAGGGCAACGACCATGCGCCGCCGTCGGGAAACTTTAGGTTGGTCGTCAAAGGATGTAGATGGAATGTTTGCGTTGGATCTAAAGAGGTCCATATTGGCAAACAACTAAAGATGATAGGATTTTTCTACCGTATATCGACGGAGAATCATGAGTGCAGTATATTTTGGGGGAAACAATTCAAATTCGCTAGAACGAAACATATACAATAAATAGTCACCATCGGCAGCCCTCCCGACATCAATAGAGGCAGCCGGGACCAAGCTCAGCTCCAAATTGGAGATATCCACTTCCGGCCCGATCAGGTAAACGGCTTGGCTACTTTGAGGTCAACTTTAGAGGTCAAATTTGGAGAAATAGTGGGGAGACATGGTGTGGATTGGCTGGAGAAGCCTCACCTACCAACAATACGAACCCCAAATCGGGGGTTTTGCATATAGTTACGTACCAGTTCATGTGTTGCGGGTTTGACACAAGAATGAGACTCTCATAGTGGTATTTCTTTTGCTCGTTGCACTCAATATAGCCAATCCGATTGGGAATGTTCCAAGTAGGGACAAAACATAACCGGATTGCATGCTTGGCGAACGCCACATTGTCACACTGGAACGCCAGTCAATATTTGGAGAATGACTAGTACAGCTCGTTTTGGTCATAATGAATGTATATTCCATGCAATGTCGGCACAATAGCCGCCTTTGACTGGATACGCCCGGCATCAAAGCTGGCAATCTAAAGAGGAGAACGAGTATATAAATACTTCTATCCGAATACCCTGCGCCATAATAGAAAAACAGATGGTAGAGGTGCATGCTCTCAACTTTTACCTCTTTTTGATTGTTCTGGCATGATGAGTTCTAGTAATGGAGAAGAGTTCTCTGCGGCGGAAGACCTTCGCCAGTTCGTCAAAGAGCTCGAGGATGAAAACGACCTTGTCACCATCACTAAAGAAGTCGATCCTCACCTGGAACTCGCTGCAATTACCCGAAAGGTCTACGAGACCGAGGACAAGGCTCCAATTTTTGCCAACATTAAGGGCCGGCAAGGAACTGGACTCTTCCGCATCCTTGGAGCCCCCGTTGGTTTGAGTCGTAATCCAGGACGCAGGTTCGGACGTATTGCAAAGTCCCTCGCACTACCCTCCACTGCAAGTGGCGAGGAAATCATCGACAGAATCAACGAATGCAAAACAAGATCGCCGCTGCCTCCGATCGAAGTCTCCTTTGATCAAGCACCCGTTAAACAGCACAAGCTCTTTGGAGATGAAATTGATCTAGAGGCTTTACCAGTTCCTCTTCTTCATGATGCAGACGGGGGCAAGTTCTTGCAGACCTTTGGCATGTACATTGTGAAGACACCCGACGGACGATGGGCCAACTGGTCGATTACCCGAGGAATGGTCCATGACAAACGTCACATTGTTGGACCAATTATTCCAAAGCAGGATATTGGCGTGATCTGGCAAATGTGGAAAGACAAGGGAGAAGAAATGCCGTTCGCACTCTGCTTCGGTGTTCCTCCTGCGGCGATCATGGTTAGTGGAATGCCGATACCAAAGGGAACGGATGAATCTGGCTTTGTGGGTGCTCTATCTGGCAAGCCTGTGAAGGTGGTAAAGTGTGAAACCAATGATATCCATGTTCCAATGAACGCCGAAATTGTTTTTGAGGGTATGTTGATTTTTCGCCTAGTGAGATACTGTGCAGTCTAACCGAGGCTATCACATAGGTGTGGTATCCTCCACTGAAGTCGGCCCTGAGGGCCCAATGATGGAGTATCATGGCATGGTGTTCCCCGGTGAAGCCAAGAGCAAGCCTCTCTGGAAAGTGAATGCCATCACCTACAGAGACGATCCGATTTTGCCTATCTGCGTGACTGGCAGAGCCACAGACGAAAGCCATACTGTCTGGGCCATCATGATAGCCGCCGAGGTCTTGAACATCTGTCAAGCTGCAGGCCTACCCATTAAAATGGTTTGGTGTCCCTTTGAATCCCATTGCATCTGGTTCGTTCTGCAGGTCGACTGCAAGAAGCTGAAAGACTTGAAAACAAATATTCCAGAATTCAGCAAAAGGGTCGGCCATACTGTCTTCGCTTCGAAGCCTGGTTGGTATATTCCGAAGATATTCCTTGTCGGTGACGACGTCAACCCAACAGACCTTCGAGATATCATCTGGGCTGAGGCTACACGCTGCCAGCCACTCACTAATGAGTTCTTCTTCCATGAATATGGAGTCATTCCCTTGGTTCCGTATGTTGGATACGGTCTCACTCCCGAATATGAGAACTGCCCTAAAGTTGTGCGCTGCTGTATGTTTCCTTTCGAGTTTGAAGAAGAGGAGAAAAGGTGGAAGGAGGGTTCTTTCCGAGGATCATATCCTGCTGAAGTTCAGGATAAGGTGACGCGTGACTGGAAAGCATATGGATTTGAGCATGAATAGGGTTCGCAAAAATGCGAACACTGGCACAGAGAAACTATCTGTTAAGAGAGTGATGTGATGCTGTTTGGTCTGTATGACATGGTGGAAGAAAGTGTGCGATAGTGAGCCCGTGGGCTTTAATAGGTTCTGGGCTCGCATTATTTGAAATACAGATGAACAAGGATGATCCTTTGTCACGTCGAGGTTGTCGAGACTTTTCTTGTATGTGTCTGGTGGTGTGGGCTAGGATTGTAACTTATTGGAAATCGTATGGTTCGACTAGGCTGCAATAGTCAATTATAATCCTGGGAATATTCTATCAATATGATCATGGATAAACGCTATGCAAACAAATATTCTATCAACATTTGTCAATAACTTGGGAATCAACGAGAAATATGTCATATGCATCAACAATTTAGCAACCTCAGCCGCTCACAATACGATTAGGTGTGAGTGCCTCAGCTGGGTTAAAAGCGTCGTCGCCAGGGGTGACTGTACCCTCGGAGGTAGAAGCATTGGCATCCCTGGATTCTTTTGCGTCTTGTTTTTCGCCCTTGGGAACAGGCTTGGACCCCTTCTCTCTAAGCGCTCCGGTTTCGAACGCTTCCTCGGGTAAAGGTCGAACATGGGGCTGGCAGATCCACCAAGGCCGTCCATATTCAGCAATGGTTGCTTTTGATCCTTTCAAGGTTTCGTCGGGTTTAACCTCAAACTTTTCGGGTGATGTTTCATATTCTTGGAGGCCACGCTTGATCGCTTTCTCTAGGATAGTCAGAGTGTGCTCAAAAGCCGCCATGTCGCCCGGTCGTGATCTCGCAAGCGCATCTCGGACGTCAGTGTGAGTCGCGATCATGGGGCGGAGGACTTGGAACAGATGTGGCTGCATGAATCCAAGGCTGGGAGAATTGGGCTTCTTGACCTTATCGGCTTTGCTGCGCTTTTGCTTTTTCTTAAGGGGACCATCGTTGTGGTCATTATCTTCCGTCTCGGTTTCGGCAAATTCATCAACAGGATCGGATGGAATGTACAGAGGTTTTCTTTCTGGAACAGGCTGCTCCAGGACGTATTTATAAACGATATCGAGGTATCGTCGCAAAACAGCGTCGATACGGTAACCACCCTTGCCATCTCGGCCGCGCCAGTATTCTCGTCCTTCACTTCCTACTGGGGGTGGCTTGCTGAATATCGAAGGGTCCGAGAGGTTGGCTTCCGCGCTCATGACACCGTCGGCACCGGTGGCTTCGAGACATTTCTCGATATCGTCGTAGTTGAGGATGTTTCCATTGGCGAATATCACGGTGTCGGGTGGTAGGTTGTCTCGTAGATAGCGCAAGTATTCCCAGTCTGCTAGTCCAGTCATGTGGCCTTTCTGCTCCCGTCTGCGTCCATGAACAGTGATAATGCTAGCACCGGCGGAGAGAATCATCTTGGCGTATTCCAGGGTCTTTTCCTTGTCCTCTTGAATCCGGAATTTGGCTGTGACAGGAATTGACAGCTCGGTGTGTAACCGGTTAATGAGCTTGTAGATCAAATCCCAGTCCTCCTGGAGAAAAGATCCATAGTGTCCCTTGCGCGCAATGCCCTGGGGACATCCAAGGTTCAGATCAACAGCATCACAGTATGGGGCCACATGGCGAGCGGCCTCAATGAACTCATCGGGGTTGTTTGTGCAAAATTGAACGAAGAGTGGGCGGTCGATTGCGGGGTTTCCATCTAGGTACAGATCTTCCTTCTTTCCTCCGACGATCTTGCGGGTAGGGTGGAAATTCTGGTTTCGAACGCGCTCTTGTTCACCAAACAGGCGAGCATGGTACATTGGCGAATATGCGAGCATCGGCTTAGGTTCGTCTGCGGGCATGAAAGATCGAGTGAGCATGCGCCACGCCTGTAAATGATTAGTCTGGGTCCATGATGCTGTCTTAAAAAACCAACTTACAAATTCGGATCTGTCGACCATTGGCGCAACGACATATTTGGGGCTACCAATGCTCTCATAGAATTTTCTACCGAACAGCTTTTCCTTCTGCGGAGCGGGCGCGGGGATCTGCTCGCTGGGTTGCGGAGGGGCTTCCGAGGCCATGGTGGAGGTGAAGCGCGAGGAGTGTCGAAAAATTCGGCCCAGTGAAGGGCTAAAGGGCTTTAAGATACCTATTTTGACCGTTAAGAAAAAAGCCCAGGGATTGGTCGTGGATCGCCTCGAGTCGCAAAAGTTCCAAGTCGCAACTTTCTGCAAAGCACATTATCACGGAGCGGATCTATCTTGATCCGGGTTATCTTATCGCGTCTACAAGATATCACAGAGCCTCCAGCACTATGCGCTCAGCTAATGTCAGACTATTTGGACCTAATATTCTGGTGTATACAGTCGATTTTTACTTTCTTTGGACACTGTGATATTATCACCTACATCATTGTCAGAATCAAGAACTACCTCCTGTTGAATTCGGTTTCTGATTGCCGTTCTTTACTACCAAGCAGCTCCACACTCATCCTTAGATTATCAGAGTATAACATTGGTCGTACAGCTTGGGTCACCAGGCGGGCTTAATTATTTTCCATCATAATTTGGTAGAAAAGCCCGTAGTTTGGTAGAAAAGCCTTGGTTGTATCAAAAGTGACTCGGGTTGGTGCCCAGGTGATCTCGAGCATCTCGCGGAGGCATTATGTAATCTGATATGAGGCCTTCGAGAATCCGAACCATCCAAACACAACACTTCAGAACTCATAAATCTGCACGCTGCGAGATAACGTGTGACGAATTATGGTTGAATGAAATAAATTCTATCACTGGTGAATCCCATTTAATCAGATAGGAAACTCTGCAACATATCTCATTCCCAACTGTCAATCATGGACGCGTCAACAGGCGCAGGAGGTAAGTTCGCGCAATATTCCAGATGGCCGATTTTAACAGTGCTTTAGGTCCCTTGAATCTGAATTTGTCTGAAGATGGGCTATATGCTGCTCATATGAGTGGCAAAGCACTGGTCGTCCACTCCAAAGCAGCGTCAGAGCACAAGGAAGTCCAGATTGCAAGAATCAAAGAGACGACGCTCAAGTTCCTCAAGTATTCACGGCCACAGCTCAGCCCTAGTTCTATAACAGATGATGATTTATCGCGGCGGCGTCTAATATCTGCCAACGATACCCGAATCTCAGTCTGGCAACTCAACCCACTGGAGATATTTGCCGATATCGAAAGTGTCGAACCGGGGGCATTGTCTGTGGACTTTGGAGCTGATGAGAATGAAGTACTAGTCTTTCACTCTTGGAACACCAAGTTGAGCATCTACTCACTGGAGACGGGCCGCAGTTTGGTGATCAAATCTCCAAAGCTTGCCAATCATCTTGGGTTTGGATATCGACCTGAAACGAAGCAGCTAGCCATTCTCCTGAAGCCAGAAACTTCCGATCTATTGACTGTCCATCAGTCCCGGTCTTACGAACTACTCAATCGAACAGTGCTCTCAACAATCGATGCCCAGGGCCTGAAATGGAGTCCCGACGGAAAGTGGATTGCTGTTTGGGATATTGCTAGTGCAGGCACAAAGGTACTGGTCTTCACGGCCGACGGTCAACACTTCAGAACGTATTCCGGGCCATCTGGCGTGGACGACACCTTCGATTTAGGCGTCAAACAGATCGAATGGGGCCCTACCAATCTACAAACTGGCGTTTGTGAATTACTGGCTGTTGGGAAAGTGAATGGAAATATTGACTTGCTCCGAGCCCGCACCGTGAGTTCTAATCCAATAAAACACACTTTATCCACCGACTAAATTCAATAGTTCTCTTCCGCTACGACCCTCTCACACATCTTCCCACCTGACCAGCAAGCCCCCACGATCTGGCGGGAAAGATACATCAACGCAGATGGGGACGCCGAATATGCCGAGGCAACCAGCTCCTCTGCGCTCAGCATGAGTCCCGAGTCGGCAGGGTCTCCACGCGGTGTCTTGACTATGGCTTTTAGCCCTGATGGACATCTTCTGGCCACTGTCGATACTATGCGGCAAAATGTCGTTTGGATTTGGTCGCTTGAGGGTACTCCGAAGCTCGCGTCTGCCCTGGTTCACGAGCAACCTGTTCGACAGATTCTCTGGCATCCTTCCACGCCACAACTATTGATCAATACCATCACAAATACCTTACCTGCCATTCGCTGGTGGTCACCACAGGATCATCCCGTTATTGCTCGAGTTCCCGTTAACCGTAGCGAGAGTGGGAAGTATGACGTGAGATGGGAAGGGTCGGATGCCGATTCAGCGTTTTGGTTCGGGTCCACGGAAGAGTATGCCATTGGTTACCTCTCCGCTGGAGACAACGGCGTTGAGTTTGAATTGTTGAACTCGGTCAGTAGTAAGGCTGGTGGATATGGCGGGAGCTCGAGCCGATAGCCGAGTTTAGTGACACCTTAAGGGCTTTGATGAACGGAAATTATGTCTTTTTTAGAAAGCGGTGCCTGGATCCTTCACTGTCATTCTTTCATGAAAATAAAATTAAGGGTCTTCCAGAACGAATGCAAGTGCTGGTGCATTGCGTATAACAAAACGGCATAGCTTAAACAGACTCATGCAGCGTTATATCTGACATGCGTTGCATCTCCATATAAACACCTGGGAATTCAGCCAATCAGTTTATTACATTGAGTCTCACAGAATCGCCCAGACGCAAGTAGACTTACCGGCAACTTCCCACCTATTACTCAGAGTGTATAACATATCTTCACATACATTCTTGCTCTCGGTATAATGAGAATTTCCCGTTTCAACTGCCATCCATGACATATTAGACGCACAGGTATAAATGCACTGTAGGATCAGTGGAGAAACATTTTCCAAATTGCACGCTGCAAGGCCCTGAATATTCCTGACAAATGATACGATCTGGTTGCAAAGCTCTTTGGTTATCTCGATACTTTGCTGCATACACTGACGCACACGCGGTGCAATCTCAGGGGCCATCATTTGGCTGTTTTCTATTTGCATATCGCAAGAGTGATGGTTTGCTAATTTGAGCAAGGCACTGGTCATCGTTAGATCGTAGCATAGGAAATACGATTTGGCTCATCACCTGAAACATAATGCTGTCGCAGTACTCATCTCACTGGACATTGCGTCTTTGTCATTACCTGTCATTTCCAAGAGGGATTTCAACGACCGAGAGAGAAGTTCAAAGTTGTTTAGCACATATTCGAGATCCATAGACGTGTCGTTGCAATGTCTAATGACGAGGCCAAGAAGGTTTGATGCTTGTGCCATCCGGGCAAAGCTACTAACTGTGTTAGTACTACCTGATGAGAGCAGAACACGTTCTGGGGACATCATCTCCTATTATGATAAGACAGAATTTTAGTTCTCGATACAGCAAAGAGACGCGTTTTCCAATCACTTACGCCACTATCCCAGGCACTATCGGAAGCTGGGAGTAGCGTGTCTTTTGTCGGATCTTCGGTGCACAGTGGGCGATGGTCAACGCCAATCGCAATATATCTTTGTGAGAATCAGCACGCTTAAATTTCTTGACCAGGCTAGATATTCGATGGAGATTCCCACCTGTCGAGAATAATGATCAACCACCAAACACGCTGTCTTTCTTCCCAATCAACCCAGCTACGGGGAGGTCCCATCGATTGGGGCGCTGACTTGTGGTGTAGACCGAGTACAATACCTTGTCTCGCACAGCAGCTAATATTGAGAAATGCGGCAGGGAATATCCCATGTCCAATTTCGTAGACGCAAAGCAGGAGCCCTGCTTGGACTGTGCGGAGACTGATGATACCTTTTAACTCAAGCTCGTTGCTAAACTCTTTTATAGTATGGTAGAACTTGGAAGTGCTCGCAGACTTCCCGTAGGAGAATGAAAGCCTCAAACACAATAACAAAAGTGCGGTATCCGCTTTCAAAGGTCCAGTTGTGTTTTGAGTGAGTCGATTCAGTCGTAGCTTACTCACTATAGGCATCCATGTATGAATGGAAGAGAAATAACGAAGTTTGAGGTTCTCAATCTCGATAAACCCACCTACTAGGGACAATATCTCCGGTGGAGCATAGACAGGGTTTGAATGGTTGGGTATGTTGCAGGACGACCAAACCTCAGAGTCGAGATACGATGCTAAAACAGACAGGTTCTCGATGTAAGGATGCTGATCGTCAGTGTTGCATGCTTCCCCATCAGAAGCTGGGTACGGTGGCGGGTTGGGAGAAGATGCGATCAATTGTTCGAGTCTTTGGAGTCGACTGCGCAAATCGGCAATTTCGTCTCGATGGCTAGACTGCGTATTGTCCGAGTAATCACAAATTCGGTTGGATCTGCCGTGAATCGGTTGCGATATGAGCATAGAGGCTCGAAATATCGAAGCCAATAACGTACCGGAGGCACAAGTTACAACTGGGTAAGCTTTTGTCACAACGTCTTTTATTCTTTTTGCACGATGCACAGGCCCGGGTAGCAGCCACCATATCCATTGAATCGTCCATAGTGCTTTGAAACAGCGGGATTTAAGCCCGGACTTGCAAAGGCAAAGACATGTGTGAGGCTTGCGCAAAGGAAGAAGCGGAGACGAGCGGGCGCTCATTAAGTCCGATGATTAAACTCCGACAGTTTACGCCAATCAAAAGTAAGAGAGTGGATTCTTATGAATTGCCAGGCGGATTTTGCGGCCGCAGCCGCGGCCACTCCGCTTTGGACGTGATGATGTATAGATGTGTATAAAGAGGGACAGGCAGCCCTAGGACTTTGTGGTCTTAAATCAGAATATCCCAGCCCTTCCAACTCTATTCTACTATCATACGCACCTCACAATGACAAGAATTTGGTTTATCACTGGTTCTTCGCGCGGTCTTGGTCTATCCATCACCGAAGCTGCTCTGGACAATGGCGACTCTGTAATTGCAACCGCTCGCAAGCCAGAGCAGCTTAATCATCTTCTGGAGAAGTATGGCAGCGATCGAGTCCTGCCCATGGCTCTTGATGTTACCAACAATGACCAAGTCCTCCAAGCCGTCAAGGCAGGTCATGATAAATTCGGCCGCATCGATGTGGTCATCAACAATGCAGGATATGCCAACACTGTTTCTGTTGAGGATATTGATATTGAAGACTTTCGTACCCAGGTTGACGCCAATCTCTTGGGTGTAGTCTATGTCTCCAAGGCGGTGCTCCCGATCCTGCGTCAGCAAAAGTCTGGCCACATTTTCCAAGTGTCCTCTGTCGGTGGGCGTATTGGCGCCCCTGGTCTATCGGCCTACCAGTGTGCGAAGTGGGGAGTTGGTGGTTTCTCAACGGTACTGGCCCAGGAAGTTGCATCTCTCGGCATCAAGGTCACCGTGCTCGAGCCTGGTGGCATCCGAACCGACTGGGCCGGTTCATCTATGCAGACTCCTGCAGTGAGCGAGCCCTATCAGCCAAGTGTGGGTGCATTTGTCGAATTCCTGCGCAAGTCTTCTGGAAAGGAGCCTTCCATTCCAAGCAAGATCGCCGACATCGTGCTCAAGCTATTGGAAGAGAAGGAACCCCCTTTGCGTCTTTTGATTGGTCCTGATGCTGTTGAGCATGCAGGCAAGGCGGCTCAGGCGCTTGCTGCTTCCGACAAGCAGTGGCAGGAACTAAGTCTTTCTTCGGTCTGAAGCGATTGTGTTTGTTGGACTCTAGGCCGACTGGATTATTGTATACTGCGATTTGTATATAAACAGGTACTTTCTGTGGGCTATTCTTCATGGTCAGTCAGACCAACCAAGGCCAAGAATATTGAAAACATCAAGAAATTCGCAACAATCCAAACCAAATCGTAACTTGATATTTTCGAGGATGATCACCGCTGACATAATCATGGATCAACTCGCGATAAGCTGATAAAAGATCGGTGATACTCCGCCTTTAACATCTTCTCTTCCTCCTTCACACTCAGACAACTCGTCATTTCTGATTCCGACTCCCTCTAGAACGAGACATCTCTGATTTCTTAATACGCTCTATGTGTGCATTGCACTGCTTGGGCTGATCGTGCATTGCCTTGCAGCTCCGGCCTCCCACCCCCGCACTCCGCATCGCAGGGAAGCTCGACACCCCCGAGCCTATTCACCAATTGAATTCCAAGTCCCCAGGAGAATGATACAGGACTAACTTCAGACACCCAATTTGTGCTACTATCTGTCCAACCGGAATCTTTGCAGCTTGCCTGCCGGTCGAAATTAGCACATGCGGATGTCAACAGTCAGTCGTCGCCGTTAAATTGAACTCATCCAGTTCACTTTGCAATCTGTTTTTGTTGGTGCGGATAATCTGACCTTTCATTAGTCCGCTCGCCCCTATTAATACAATCACACAGTGAGTATAGCACCCATTGCTATGTTCACAGCGTCCTTGGATCCTAACACCCCACACCTAGATATCCACCGATCCAATGGAGGTAAGAGTCTTCTGTTTCGATATACCATACCCGAACGAACCTCCTCGCTATATACTTCCCCATTTCACCCTTTTCCTATTGTGTAAAGCTCGGTTGCTCCGTGCCGCTGCAGCCATGCACGGGCCGTTGTGAGACTGCTGCTTGGTTCCGGGCACTTTTTCTTCCTCGGCAGATAAATAGGCCCCTAGGACCTTTCTGCACTGCCAGCCGGGCTTCTGGAATAAACACCGGACTGCAATCTCCATCTTATGGATGTTTGCTATGGTTGCAATCTGAATGCGCTATAACAAGATGGGATTCTGTTGACCCCCGAGGGGCTCCCTGGACATTGCTCATCAGCCTCAATCTCAGCTCGTTTCTTTTCTTTTTTGTTTCCCCGAAAGGCTTCAATTCGATTGGGCTGACTCTCTGCCCAATGCTATCTTTGCATCCCGACCCCTGCCATTCATCATTCAACCTTTGCACTGTCTCTCACTCTTCTATTGCTCCCAACATGCACGCCCCCTCCCATTAATCATGTTCGACCCACCCATTGGCCGCAAGAGTCGACCTCATGCTCCGTTTCTCGGGCGTCAGATCGACTTCTTCGCATCGCATGACTATCCATGGCAAAAGGCAGGCGCAGAGCTAAGTCTTGTGAACAATTTACAGGGAAACAACCAAGTCACTACGTCTACTCAGGCCAAATCGGCAGAGGTACCGAGCACCAAGGGCCCCGATGCCAAACCCCGTCTTCTCTTAATGGGACTCCGCCGGTCTGTTTTACCGTCAGCTCTTAAATGAACAAAGATTTAACTGTTCCCAGGAGCGGAAAGTCTTCCATTGCAAGTGTGGTCTTTCACAAAATGCCACCTAATGAAACCCTCTTCCTTGAATCTACCACCCGAATTCAAAAGGACTCTATTCAGTGAGTAGTCTACATACACTGATTTATACGTTGTACGTCAACTTAAGATTTGCAGCTCTTTCATGGACTTCCAGGTTTGGGATTTTCCCGGTCAGCTTGAATACTTCGAGTCCAACTTTGATCTCGAAGACATCTTCGGCAGCCTGGGTGCCCTAGTATGGGTTATTGACGCCCAAGATGATTACCTGGACTCGGTTGCCAGGCTGAACCGAACCATCTTGACCGTGCAGCAGTACTACCCCGGTATCAATATCGAGGTGTTCATTCACAAGGTTGATGGACTGTCCGACGAATACCGCACCGACACTTTCCAGGACATCGTGCAGCGCATCTCTGATGAGCTCAGCGACGCTGGCTATGAAAACGCGCCCGTCCACTACTATCTCACTTCCATCTACGACTACTCTGTCTTTGAGGCATTTAGCAAGGTCATTCAAAAGCTGATACCCAACCTATCCACTCTTGAGAATCTGATCAACACCCTCGCCAATAATTGTGGCTTTGAAAAGACCTACCTGTTTGATGTACTGAGCAAAATCTACATCGCATCCGATACCCGTCCTGTTGACATGGCCTGTTATGAAATGTGTTCTGACTACATCGATGTAATTGTCGACGTGTCTGAGCTTTATTCATGGGACCACCCACAACGAAAGGCCTTAGGCGATCAGATCCAGGAGGCCGAGAGCCATGTGGTGCTGCACGATCAGACCATGATTCACCTGATGGAGATGAACAAGTACGTATCACTTACGCGAATAACTTCCTTGTACCCAGCTAACCATATCTTGCAGATACCTCTGTCTGGTCTCTGTCATTCGTAACCCTGAAGCAAAGGACAAACGGGGCCTGATTGATATGAATTGCCGCACTTTCCAGGACGCCCTGAACGAGGTTTTCTCACGCAGCTGGGAGCAGGACGAAGCTGCCCAGTCGGAAGCGGTGAAAAAGTGAAGTGTGTGGAATGGATACGTCAACTCGTCTAGAAGCATGAAGCTTGCTGCGACGTGCCCAGATGGGAAATGAGAAAACAGGAAATAGGGTATCCTCTCGGCAATCACAATGATTTATTTTCAGTGAAGCCAATAAGAACCAAATATGTCGTATCAATTATCATCAGAAAGCGAGAGCATGTAATTGTCAATATGTAGCCGGGGTTGCGATACACCGTATATATTGAATTCAGTTGGAGATAATTTAAGTCGATCTATTATCCCACATGATGGTCTGTTTCCTGTCCAGTCTGGAGTTGTACGGGCCGTACGTGTGAACTAGATACTGTTCTGTGCAGTAATTCTGTATGGAAATGTATGCACTGAGACATTGATCAATTGACTACTGCGGTACGATGGACGTTTGACAAAATTTGTATTTAGCTTGTTGGTCCAATCTGTATCAAGCGCGCGGGGAAATATGCCGTAGACACGAGAGATATATAGATGCGCAAGAGCAAATCTAAACTACATTTTATTTCGTCCACAATATACGTTAATCTCAGTCAAGTATTTACAGATCAGGAATCCAGAGCTCCTTATTCAGAAGGGGATCAAGTTGATATACTTCGGTTCGAGGATCTCGAACCCCAGATTTGTCAGCGGCTCTTCAACCCCAATAACAATATTTCAGATGGTCATCGACCCTTACACTTCTTCGCACAATCTGCAAAGATGTCAGAACTCCGTCAGCGACAAACAGCTGCAAAGTCCGAAAAGGCCGAGTCGCCACGGCGCAGACCATCCAACAATGACGACGACGAAGAGCACGGAATCAGCTTGCTGGACATGATTCGGGTCATTGTGACCGTGATCGTGGCCTCGTGCGGTCTCTCCTACTACATGACCTCGACCGAGTCCATGCTATGGGGATATAGGCCGTGGTTTACCCGGTGGCCAGTGGTGAAGCAGTGGGTGGTACGCACATCCCCTCACCTTTTGATCCCCAACGAAAGACCAGAACAGCAGGTCAAGACGAACAGGTGAACTGACTAACGTATGCTCGATAAAGAATGGCCCAGTAAATCTCACGCCAGCCCAACTGTCCCTCTACAATGGCACAGACGCTACCTTGCCCCTATACGTCGCCGTGAACAGTACCATCTACGACGTTTCCGAGAACCGAATGATCTATGGCCCGGGTGGGAGCTACAATTTCTTTGCTGGGCGGGATGCCACACGCGCCTTTGTCACAGGCTGCTTCAAGGACGATCTTACGCCGGATATTCGCGGGGTTGAGACTATGTTCGTGCCAGTCGATGATGTCGTTGACGAGGCTATTACATCTGCGCAGAAGAAAATCCGTCGGGAAAAGGAACTACGAGACGCCAAGGCAAAGGTCGAGGCGACTGTCCAGAGGTGGCAGGATTTCTTTGCGACGCATAAAAAGTATTTCGAGGTCGGAAGTGTGGTGAACGGAACTGTCGAAGGGGAGGAGTGGCCGCTCTGTCCAAGTGCCGAGAAACAGCGACCGAAGAGAAGTGCGATGAAGGACCAGTCGTAGGCTACTTTATATCTGTATCTGTATCTGCATCTGTCACATAGTCCAGTCGGGGCCAGTTGAAAAAGCATCATCTACGAATCGGATCGTGAATTTCCTTTCAAGAAGTTTTGTAGATTTTTTGATTCAGTTCGCACTACTTGGAGTAAACCAGGAGTGCGAATGTTCCACACTCTTCGAGAGTCAGACGTTAAACCAATATGCATCACGCCCAACCGAGCTTCCCATGGTAAAATGATATCATTCGTAGCAAGGAAAAAGATAACCGCGAGAGAAAAGACGAGAGACGAGACGTTTACTCGGCGGTGACGGCGCGGGCTAGTCAAAGTTAGTAAGGTGGCGTCGAGGCGGGGTACGAGGTATGGGAACGCACTGTAGATGCTCATGCTGGAGTGACCGACAACCTTCTTGATCTGGCCGTTGGCCTCAAGGTCGGCAAGAGCAGCGCGGGCAAGGCTGCCGTTGATCTTGAGACGGTCGACAAGGGTGGCGACGGTGATCAGACGGTAAGACTGAACATCCTTCTGGAGCTTCTCGGCGGTAGCCTTGTCGAGAACGACGGCGTGCTGGGCCTTGTCCTTGACTGTAGGCGAAGTATAAGTCAGTACTCTGTTCTCTGGTATCCCACGATTCCTTTCTTCGATGAACCGGCGAATCGTCACGGTCGCATGGATGGAAATTGCGTACCCTTGCCCTTGGACCACTTCTTCTTTTGCTTCTTGCCACCGGTAGCTGCTGCGGGCGCCTGATCACATTTCGATTAGCTGTGTTGGGTGATATACTGGGTGCTGGGTGCTCACCATTTTGATGTTTGGGTGGATGTTCAAAGGAAGAGAGCGACAGCCAGAAGCCGTTCAAGTGCGAAAATGCAGTGGGGCGTGACTGAATCGAGCCCTAAGCCCTTGGTCGGTTAGTGCCGGTGATGTGATTGGCTAGTGGTTGATTATGTCAGAACTTGATGTCATCCACGGACTTCTGCCTCAGGCGTCGACTAACTTTAACCGCAGCGATGTTCATTCTTGGGAAGGATGGAACTTTTGTTAAAGAATCAGTGTTGGTAGTACTTGTTTGTGTCTTTTGCATTATAAATATACATATGTTACCCCTCAATTGGACATCACATGCCACGGTCTTCAATATCATGTGTGTCTGTGAAAGCATTCAACACACTGGCTACGTCAATTGTGGATTCATGGAGAACAGTATCGAATCCACCTATGTTTTCTTGAGCTTTGGTAAAAAGTAAGGTGTACAATACATGAGGCTCCATTGGTGGCCTTGTGCCAAGTCGAAGGAGATGGTGAATGGGCTTTGTGAGATCAATAGAGCACGCGTTGAAGTGCTTGATCTTCATTCAGCTAAGCTTTGAAAGAATGAAGTCACCAAAGCCTTTCATGTTCATGTTTGTGCTTGATACCGTTATAGCCTCTATCTTTGAGTCGTATACTACGCCATTGTAGTTATGAAAGGCTTTTATTGAAAATTGAATACATTCGATTCCATGCGGAATTGCCAACTTGCTGGACTATTTAGTGGCCCTCGTTGCCCTAGATTCATTCATACCTCATTACAATCCACATCCTCATCCTCATCATCACTCAGTACGTGATCTCTCAAGATAAGAACAGCCCTTTTAAAACTCTCTCTATAACCTCAAATCATGTCTCAAGACACCGAGCATCCCGAAATGGGCAACGGTATGTTCCTTTCCAACGGTTTTGCTTTCCCAGAAATCCGGACCAATCGTCTTGATAAGACGATCTGGTGGGTTACCGCATATTTTGATGAAAAAGAAATCAACCAAAGTGACCAAGATCTACTGACACTCATGTTGCGCCAGATTCACAACAAGAAGGTCATGATAGGTCCCAATGGTCTCCATCGCCATCAAAAATGGTGTATCTCGATTCCAGCTCCGACGGATGAGCCCATTGTGTTTGGTGAGATCCTAGCAAGCGCACAGCTAAGAATTCAGTACCTCCTAAGGCTAATGGCCAGGGGTGAACTTACTATTAACCGGTCGTATTTCAACAGTGGCACATAGACTTGTCATACTCATCTCATATTCATATACCCTAATGGTTTTTGGCATTACTTTCTCTGTTGATGCTTTTGATATGTCTCATCCATTACTTTTGTTTCAGCTTATTTCAATTGATTGTTTTGGTATTCAGGTCACAAAAGTTGTAGTGTGAAAACGTAAAAGGATCATGTTAATGTAAACCCGAAATTTCAATGCCCTAAACTAGAAGTAAGACATTGAATCTACGTCACGCAAGATATAGTAGAAGACTGCCATATTTAGGAAAATAAACAGACCGAAAACTTGGAAAACTTCTATGTTTTATCATTTTGACTCACGTAAAGAAAGAAGACTATTTTTTGGAGTCTCAACGCTTAGGCTGCAATCATCCGGCCAGGCCCGTAAGAGTGGGCATGCTTATGGTCGTGCTTAGGGCCAAGATACTCACTGACTCGGTGCTTCCCTTGTAACGGTTTTTGTTCCTCTTCCTCTTCTTCCTCTTCTTCAAAAGCAGGCCACTCCTCCCAACCATCTTCCCACATCTTAGCTAGCTTATCACTCTTCTCCTCTCTATTCAGCTTTTTGTTCTTCATCACCTTCTCCCACTTCTTCATATCCTTATCATCAAGAAGACACTCATCGAGCAAAGCGCTGATCTGGTCCTCATCGATCCCCTCGCCGATGAACACAAGTTCTTGGCGTCGATCACCCCATGGCCCTTGGAAATCATCCTTGATGGATTGCTGTACATCTTGATCTTTAGGCCAGGCTTCATCAGGGACTTCGGCGAACCAAGGTCCACCACAGCCGACGGTCATCATACCACCTGCTTGGCTCCATTCGCCGAATTGCCAGGGACGAGTGGTTAGCCAGAAGAAGCCCTTGGAACGTAGAACTGGTCCGAAGGCTGGGTGTGCTCGTTTGTTGTTGAGGATATCTTTCGGGTCGGGCTGGTCGAAATCTTCTACTGACTCGGTGTCTGTGTCCATTGCATCTTCATCTTCCTCTTCATCATCTTCCATTTCGTCGTCTTCTTCGACTTCGTTGTTTTGGAGGATGATGAACTTGTCGTGAAGAAGGGCGAAGATACGACGTGGGTGGAATGGCCGACGGGCTGTGTAGACGAAATTGTTGATTCCATACCTGTGAGAATGTTAGCAAATGTCTATCGACACAGGGGCTGAAGCAATACTGACTCTAGGGTTTCTGGCTTGGGCGCCATGCGATCACCATTCCCCGTCTTCTGCATAGTCATCTCGTGCAAACTACGAAGCCAGCCAGCACCAGAGGCAGCGCGAACGAAGTCAAACTTGTTCGTGTCGATGATCTGACGAACATCCACTTGCGAGTAACTTGACTCGAGGATCTTTGCATCTGGGTTTAATAGTTTCAACAAATGCAAGATCTTGGTTCGAGTGGCTTGATCAACGGTCTCGATCTTGTTAAGAATCAAGACATCGGCGAACTCGATTTGATCTACCATCAAATCGGAGATCGTGCGTTCATCCTCAGGGACTATTTCCTCTTTACCATATCTGTCAGACAGGAACTCTGTTGTATCAAAGCTGGATAACAGGTTGAAAGCATCAATGACAGTGACGGTTGTGTCCAATCGGGCCATGGTGTGTAGACCACCCAGTTCCACACTATAGTCAGACATGTTAGCCTGGTACACATAAGCAAGAAGGGGTGTGGACTGTCCATACATTTCATTGAGGATTTTCTTTGCGTCAGCATCGTTTTCTGCTGCAATTTGGCCCTCGGCCTCTAACATGGCAGAGCTGAACTCGGCTGTGAAAGTCTCGGCGACTTGCATCGGTTCACTGATCCCTGTGCTTTCGATAATAACATAGTCTACCTCGTTCTGCTTGGTCAACTGTGCCAGCTCAGATAGCAAGTCCCCCCGAAGAGTACAGCAGATACATCCATTTTGAAGTTGGATTAGCTTCTCGGTGGTTTGGGAGACTTTGTGGTTTTTGATAAGGGCAGCGTCGATGTTCAGACTAGTGAAAGACACAGTCAGTATGCTGTATATGCTGACCCTGTAATTGTATACTTACGAGCTCATATCATTGACAATGACTGCAACTCTCATTCCATGATCTGGAGATCTGAGGATGTGCTTGAGGAGGGTGGTCTTGCCGCTTCCCTATACAAATGATATTGTTGTTAGCTCGCTTCTCTCGACAACTGAATTTGAATCATACCAAGAAACCAGAAAGAAGAGTCACAGGCATCTGACGAGTCTTAGGCTGCTTCTCGAGAGTTGGGACATGATAGGCGACGCCATCTCTTCCGGAATCGATGACCATAGTGACAATGCTTCTCGATTCGTATGCAAATTGAATATAAAAAAAAAGAGATAATCCACTAGATTCTCATGAGAACGAGGATACACTACACCCAACACCTTGCGGACCACTCTTTTTATCTCTACCAGGGCATCGTCTCCAAGTTCCTCACCCTCTGACGCTATTAGTTGCATTTACCATGTAGTACAAATATCAATCCAGGTCTTCTAGGGTGGGATAGATACCAGTGGGGATCAGAATAGCCCAATGAACCATAGTTTACCTAGTAGTGATGATAAATGCTGCATTCTGTGTGGCTGGCGTAGATGGTCCGCAAGGTACCTGGTTGACGCCGCTGACTTTCACGGTCCTCACTTGACGACAGGGGTATGAAATCAAGTATTAGATCTTCTGTGATTGGACGAATATGTTACTTTTCTTGAGGCTTGTTTGGGTAAACATGGGGATTGGGGTGGTCGGATGTAGGGCTAGTTACAACCTGAAAGCGAGTACTCTTCCTGCATTGGTCTCCTTATAGTCCGACCTCTACTGATAACTCCTAGCATATAGACCTTTCGAATTTGACTAAAACATGTGCAAGAGGAACGACCCAAGAACATACCAACATCAACTAAAAGATGATCAAAATGACAAGTCGGTGCTCGGCCCAACTGAGGGCCGAAAGATGAAACCCTACAGGAACCACCCGGGAACTATAAGAAGCACATCCCCTCGAGATCAACCGCAGTGAAGTGAAGATTCGACTCGATTTCTCCATTGCTTAACTGTTCAATTGCTCAATTGCATTCTCATTGCATTGCCTATGACATCATCCCTGCGATAAGGCTTCAACTTCAACTCCAACTTCCCCCCTGAAACTCCCCTCAACAACAAACATGGCCCTCAATGTTGATCTCGACTTCGGCAAATACACTACCCCCCTAGCCCTTCTAGGCCTAGCAGCCCTAACAAAAACAACCTACTCCTATACCCGCCAAGCAAGTAACTACCTGCGCCCAAGCACGCTGCGCACACGCTACAATCCCAACTCCAACACAACACCAAATTGGGCCCTGGTGACCGGCGCCACAGATGGTATAGGCTTCGGGTTCGCACAGGAGCTATGCGCGCGCGGATTCAATGTCATCTTGCACGGGCGCAATAGTCAGAAGTTGAATCAGCGCAGGGAGGAACTGACGGCTGAGTTTCCGACTGCGAAGCTGGGGGTTGTTGTTTGTGATGCTGTGAGCTTTGGCGGAGATGTTGATCGTATTGATGAGGAGGTCAGGGGCATCATTGCTGCTTCGGCTTCTGGGGGCAAGTTGACCGTTCTCGTTAATAATGTTGGCGGGGAGACGAAGCCGTCGACTCTGCTGAAGGATTATACGTATGAAGATATTGAAACCACTGTTGCGTGCAATGCGACGTTCGCGATTCAGATTACGCGAGTACTGGCTGCACAGTTGGAGGAGAGTGCACCGGCGTTTGTGTTGAACGTTTCTTCTGTGGCGGCCTTTGGGATGCCCTATATCAGTGCTTATTGTGCGACCAAGGGGTTTATGGATTCCTTTACCATGTCGCTTGGGGCAGAGTTCCGGGCGGAGGGCAAGGATGTTGAAGTTATGGCGTTGAGGGTAGCCGAGGTGCGGACTGCTGGGTATGATGTTAAGAGTAATTTGTTTGTCCCCGAAGCGAGGGTTCTGGCTGCTGCTGGACTGGATCGTGTGGGATGTGGGCAGGAATTTGTGTGGGCGTATTTCTGGCATTGGTTGCAAGGGTTGTCGTTTGATATCTTGCCTAGGTGGGCTTTGTTGAAGATTGCTTCGATGAAGCTCAAGGCTATTAAGTTTGAGGCAGACGCAAAGAGGAAGAGTAGTTGATTATTGATGTGTCCATTGTCAATGATTCTGAATGTACATGAGATATCTGCATTGACGTCATTATGGTAGTGTATAACTGAGAATGTCTAGAAGCCAGCAGTGGACCGCTCGCGATCACCAGGGCCATGCAGGCCTGCGCCGAGGTTTTCTGTGCACTCCGTTTGCCAATTTCTCGGGGTGAACTTGTCAACAATCGATTTGAAAGCCTCCAGGGTACAGAACGTCTCATCGCCAGGGAGGTGGTTCTCACGCTTGGCGGCGCAGCCAGGGATAGTAACAGGGCGGTCATTGTAGCGGATACGAACATAGTGCTTCTGTAGAGACTCACGGGAAGAATCGGAGAAGGACGAGATAGGTGTCCGCGCTGTCTCGGAGGGGGTAGGTGCCTTTGGCGCAGACTTACCCAGCAGCGAAGAGAGAAGACCGGGCTTCTTGGAGACAGGTGGGTTGGAGAATTCCTCGAGCATAGTTCCAGCATCGGCGTCGGAGGTAGAAGCCTGAGAGAAGAGCTCAACTGCAACAGATGAAGTAAAAGGAGGCCATGACTCGTTCTGGAATCCACCAACACTGGACAGGATTGCTGCGAGGGTGGTGTCGTGGCATCCGCTCATGGCGAACTTGATAGCCTTGCTCGTCTCGGGGTTACCAGACCCAGAGGCAGCACTCGCACTGCGCCATCCACCATCAACAGCAGTGCTGACCATGCGGTCAACAACATCACCCATGAGAGCACCAATACCTAGCTTTCGGTACTCGGTGCTCTCACCATAACCGGCAAACCACTCCTCGACCGAGATACGGTCTAAAACAGCACGGCCCTTCTTGTCGTAAAACTCGGAAGGAAGCTTAGTGCTTGGCCCATGAGCATCAGTAGCATTGATGGTGTCCATGATTCCAGAAAGACGGGGGTGAGCATCAACAGCAACCTTGGGCGAAGCCTCGGGCATGTACTTGGACCAAAGGCCATTCAAGTATGCCATCTGTTCGGTATCATTCCCTAGTAAACATGAGCAACGATCCAATACTATAATCAGCCAATCAAAACGTACATCGTTCAGCGGCGCGATCGGCAAACAGCCGAGCCAGCTGTCGGAAACGTTTACAATTGCCCTCATTAGGGAAAAGAGTCTCCTCATTCACCTGGCGAGCAACAATAACGGGGGGTGGGAAATCAAGAGTGCGCGCGCTGGCAGGGTACATTCCCCAGAAGGCCTCCTGGAGCGACTCCAGAGCGCGGGGGATCGGGGTAGCGCGCAGGTACATGTCCTCGGCATCGGATTTGATCTCCGGCATGAACCCAAGCTGATCGACATAGAGATGGCGCAGTCGTTGTCCTAGCGCATATGTCGTCTCACGACCTTTATCTGTGAGTTCGCCGTGCAAGCTTGAAATTGAAATCTGTCAGTATGTCCGAACCTCGTATAGCTCCCGAGGTACCCCCGGACCTCGGTCTTCCGTGGACGAGCTCGCCCTAGAACAGGTACATACCACATAGCCTCAATCTCCCCTGCTGGTCCCGGTGCTACCACGGACTCATCATTGCTTCCGAAAGCTTCCATCTTCCGACGCCATTGGAACCCATTCCATGATGAGAGGTCTTTGCTGCTAGATGCCATCTGCACCATGCGTCTTGCGACACCACAGTACGGCCAGTCTGATGATAATCAGTAAATTGATACTTGTATTCTCACATCCATTGGTAGGTTCACATACATGGACTGAGGCCTGTCTTGGAGAAGGGTTAGCGGAGACCGTCGGAGGTCGGGATTGGGTATCAGGAACATACATTTGTGAATCGGGAGGAAACAGGTGTTCGTTCGCCTAGAGTCAGTCAGATCTTTTCGTTCAAGATATATAGGAGCTGTGAATGAGCTTCTCACCATGGCGAAGGAACTGTGCTGGTTAGCCGCGGTCGATGAGTCAATTGGGGGTTCTCTTTCACGTACAACTTGGACTAGCTGGAGCTTCAGGCTCTCGGGATAAAGATGAGCAAGCTCATCTTTAGTGTAGGGCTCACGGGGAATGAGAGTGGTCATCTTGACCAGAAGGCAGAGGTGGGAGGGTTACAAGAAGTCCGGAGGGAAGTCCGGGGAGTATGAGTGTCTAGGCCATGGGGCGGTGAGGAGGCGCTAAGCCGGGGTAAGGCGATAACGATAAGTGCCCAAGCAGATCAACGTCTGGACAAGCATAGAAACAAGACTATATGGAGATGAACTATACGGTGAGGGATATAGAAATCAGTAGAGGCGATTGGTGCGGAGATTTTGCTTTTTTGTGTACCTAGATCTATGCCAAGAATACTCAAGCGCCGCACCTCGGCGTATATTTGCTCCTTGCATCAGATGCCCCAAAAATGCAGCGTATTCACAGTATGGTATAATATGCAGAAGCTCCAGAAATTACATCTCACAGTCACTAGTCTCCCATCCATCCTCACTTTCACTTGCACTCCAGATAGAACGAGCATTGGACTCGGCTGGCACATCTATGGCTTCAGCTGTCGCCGCTGCTACCGATGCCGCTGCTCCAGCAGCAGCCATTTGCTTAGCCCATTTCTTGTTGGTCTTTGCCTTCCGTTCATTCTCTTCCGTCTGACGGACCTTTTTGATCCGCTCTGTTTCTTCGACGGTCGCCCGTTCCATCAACTCGACAAGTTTCTCTAGTGCAGGTGCGTGAGCCTGGGCGAGTGCGAAGTCTCCGACCTTGATACGCATGTAGTCCATTGCTCCAGTAATCAGGCCCCCATATGGCTTAGCTTCGCGCATCGCTGGGCCGAGATCATCTGATAATGATGCATCGGCGACGGCTTGTTGGTCTTGGGGGTCATCGAAGGGGATATCTGCGTCGGCGGGCTCCTTGGCGTTTGCGTCACGAGCAGACTGGGGTGCATCCGCCTTGCGGTTGTCAACAAAGGTGAGCTTCTGGTAACGCTGACTAAAGTGCGTGAGCAGGATCGCACGCGCTTTCATGCGGCGGCCGACTTCGATGGCTTCTGCGGACGTCGAGTGGCGCTTAGCCATGGCGGATCCAACCATGTCGGGACCAAAAGTGGCTTCGTGGATGAGGACAGTTGATCCCTGACCGATGGAGGCGAACTTTGCGGAGGGTCTACAGTCTCCGGAATAGGAGATCTTGAACCCATGGGGGAAGACGAGAGAAACGGCGAGCGCACCCTTGCAGTGCTTCACCCGGCAGGTGAGGAGGTTTTCAAGGCCAGTGGCAGACTTGAGAAGAGAAGTGAGGGGAGAAAATCGATCATTGAAGGACAGTGAGGTACGATGACCAGAGTATACATTGTCTGGTCGATGGCGATATGAGAACTTGGTGATTATTTGAGAGCCGGAAACTTCGGGGTGCGCAGATAGGGGAAGGACTTTATCGAATCCAAAGTCTTCAACGGCGGAGTACTCTTCCAGCCAAGAGATCATCGCATCATCCGACACGACGGACAGCCGCTTCTCTTGGAGGATCTTTGTGAGATCAGTCTCACGACGAGAAGGCGCAGGACTGAGACCATAGTTTTCCTGGTACCAGGCTTTAATCACAGAGGCTGTGCCTAGGTGATGATCAGCGTGCAAATGACTGATCCAGATCATGCGCAGGTTCTGGAACACTTCACGAAGCTCTTCGGGCTCAAAGACTCGCTTCAACTGACCCAGGGTGTTTTCACCGCAGTCCAGAAGGTAGTAGCCGTAACCAGGAACCTTGACCAGATTTGCGGAGACGTTGCGGTATTTTGATGGAATAGAAGAGCCAGTACCCAAGGCAATAATTTCGGCATCTGAGCCAGGCCATTCCGTCCGCTGTGCTTGAAGCATCTTTTGGAAGGCAGGCTTGGCAATACGCTTGCGAATGACATCCATCCGTTGCTCAACAGAACGTGGGATTTTGTGCAGGGCCTTTTTCAAATCGAAACGAGACATCACCTCGTCCTTGTTGAAGCCGAAGTTGGGCTCCATGTTGATTATGAAGCCGGGGTCGATGGGCTCAAGCGGGGAGTTCTTCCGAGCTGCGATAGCAGTTGCTGAGCCGGCATTCGGGGCTCCAGGCTGAGGCAGCGTCACATTGTCATGCACGGGAACCGAGTAGCTATCGCTGTTCAGACGAGCGAGTCGAACGGTCGAGCTAGCCGCGCTACCCAATGCCAGATAGTTAGGCGTGTGGTCTGTACCCGAGACGGTATGTTTGCAGTCGGGCAAGCTGGCGACAAATTCCTGGAATTTGGGGTTTTCAGCAACACCCGGACCAAGAATCCAGATAAAGGCCTTCAGCTCGGTTGTCACAGCAGGTGACTTCCATTCCGGTCTGTGCACTAGGTCGTCAATGTATTCGGATGAGGGAACCTCCATGATGGCAATACCCTTTCCAAGTCGCGGAGCTCCTAGTACCATATCAGGAGTGATAGTCTTTCCATCTAACGACTGAACGCTGTTGCCCTTTGTCAGGGCAGAGTACTTGGCTCCCTTTTCCACGTTCAATTCTTTCGCCTTGTTAGGGTCGAACTTTCCGCGGATATCATGGTTCCGCACGATATAGCAGAGTGCCTCATTGGCAGGAGAGGTAGGTGGGAGACTCTCGACCGTGGCACCAGGCCAGGGCTTTCGAACAAGCACTTTGATATCAGGGAGGGGACCCTCATCACCTGGAGCCGGTCCCTTATATGGCTCGAGATCCTTCGTCTCAGGATTGCGAACAAACATAGCGGCGGGCATCTTGACCTCAGACAGCTGGGTTTCGAACAAAGTATCCATCTTCCATGTCGAATTGAACATATCCTGTACAATGGACTGTCTCACCACTTGATCCTTGGTGCGCTGGTCCAGCTCATCAGCGGGTTGTGCAGATTCCTTGAACTCGTCCAAACTCCGCTTCCGTGGGCTGCGAGACCTCCTCGGAACCGAGGGGCTAGCCTGGCGAGGCTTGATTGACATAGCCCATACTTTAATATTGGAGTCTTCCCATGAAGGCGTCTGGAAGGGATCCTCGGCCCCGATGGTTGCCTGCTTAGCAAGGCTCTCAGAGTCATACTCTTTCAAGAAAACCGGCATACCCTTGCGGAAAACAAACCGCCGAGCTGTAGCCAGAGTATGCGTAAGATTCGTAGGCCCATGGATAGTCAGGTTCCCCTTCTGTTCTACGAGCTCACCATCCCGATCGACATAAGCTACGCCATGCCTTCCATCCGTGCTCTCCGGTTTGTTCTCAGGCTGGTTCTCCGGCAATTTCTGAGTCTTCTTGCCTTTCCTCGATGCCTCGGCGGCCTCTCTCTCAGCTCGACGACGTGCCTTGTTCCGGTTCTCTTCTTCAATGGCCGCAGCGGAGGTCGTGACAGTATCGGCCAGTGTCAAGATCATGCCGATCAAACCGCCCGTGTTGGCCCAGTCAGTTCGCCCGGTGACGAAGACATCAGTCAGAAGACTGAGCTTCACGCCACGTTCTGTGCATGCGCGCTGTGTGCCTTCTGCTAGCTGTCCAAAAAAGTATCGTTTGTCGGGAAAGTTGAGACAGATGACCGTGCCGGGCGTGTCGGCCGTCGGAGTCGTGACGACCTGGTAGAAAAACTTCATCGGGTTGGCGCGTCGCTTCTGTGGGGGAGAAGATACGATTTCGAATTTGGACGGTTCGCAGATTAAGTAGTCTTGAGCGTTGCGTCTGTGGTGGGCGAGTGGGGCAGGAAGAATCAACGCGCTGGGGTGCACTGCCGGTTGTCTGATTCGGAGTGGCTCAGCTTGGAGTACCGGCGCCTGGTGAGAAAAAGGTCTCGAGTGTGTCGAGAGCAGTGAGTCACTGTTCGTCTTGGTGGCACGGGTGATGCGGTATGTTCGTAGAGTCAGAGGTGACGTCCGAGGGAGCGCACTGAAGGCGATCGCGCGAGTAGCCTTGAGAAACAGGGCGCCGCGCGCTAAAAGGGAAGCCAACTTGACTGGTTGATAGTGAACGGAGGGGAAATAAGAAGAAACCCCGTCGCAGCTGGTAACATTGAGGTTGGTGGATCCCGTCGAAAAAATAGCGACCGATTTTGCACGATGGACGCACTGGCTCAGTCAACGTCCACCCCTGAGATGCGTCGTGGCTAACTATTTTTTTACTTATTTAGTTGACGTTGATATCAGTGTTACAATTTCTTTTGGTTTCAGGACTATAATGCCAGGAATGGAGCTGGAAGGGTATCATTGTCAGGTTCAGCCTTATAGATCATATCTCATACTACAGATTCATAGAAGCCATGGACATCAAGGAAGAGTAAATTGACAAACATTCTATTGGGCTAAGCTACATTCAGAAAAGAAAAGGAGTACAGGCTATGCAAAAAGACAATCATATGGCCGTAGACATCAAGAGATGGACTTTTGCTCCATGCCTTGTGTACGCCAGGAGTAACCACTCCAAGTATTCCACCCAAACCCATCGCGGGAGATACACGATATAATGAAGATAGGCGCCTTGAAACTCCCCGATATTGAAAAAAAGACCGATCCGCAAAATAGAGTAGTATGGTATAGTCACAAGGCGATGACAAGAAATCAAAGTGCCGAGGAGAAGAAATCACATGTACAAAGAAAAAAAGAAAGGCCGGCGAGGCAGGACGCGAGTGGGGAATCACTGAAGGTGGGAAGTGACAGCAGACACACGCTCGAAGGCGGCGTCAATGGTGAGACAGAGAGAGTCGAAGCGTCTCTTGGCTGCGGTGCTAACATCAGAGGTGTCGACGACTAGTTCAAATTGAGATTCCTTCTCGCTGGACACACCCTCGAAGGTGAGGTCGGCCATGGAGGAAGCGGGAGCAGGAGAGTCAACAAAGAGAGCAAAGGCAGGATCAGACTCGTCAATCTCAACATCGGGATTAGCAACACCAATGTCGGACTGGGGTGAGTCGGAAGCGGGGCGGCTGACGGCGGGAGCGTCGTTCTTGGAATCCTCAGAAACGTCGATGGAAGACGACTTGCCGGAGAGAAGCTCGGCGTCAAGAGCAGGGCCCTGGGGGACTTCCATGACAGCAAAGACGGAGGCGTTGCCAAAGTTCATGTCAAGGCCAGAGTTCCAGCCAGCGTTGTTCATTCCCATGTTGGGATCCATGCCCTGGTTGGGGACCATGACCATGTTGGTCTGGGGGTTCTGCTGCATCTGGTACTCCTGGCCACGGTTGACGTTGGAGTCTTGGGGCATAGCCTGCATGGTAGGCTGGGGTTGGGGCTTGGCCTGCTGGGGTTGTTGCTGCTGTTGCTGCTGAGGTTGCTGAGGCAGAGCGGGCAGAGTGTCACCCATATCGTTGAGGAACGAGGAGAAATGAGGGGATCCGAGGAGCATGCGAGCCAAATCGTTCAGACGGGCATTCTCTTCGTAGAGAGCGCGGTTCTGAAGACGTACTTCGTGAGCCTCGTTGGTGCGGGCAGCCACTTCGCTTTCGAGTTGACCAATGTATTCTAGTGGTTAAACGTTAGCAACATACAGTTACAGGGTGGTTGAAGTAGTCATACCCTTGCGACGAGATCGGAAAGCGCGAGCAGAAACCTTGTTCCGCAATTGACGACGCTCCTTGCTGCTGAGCTTCTTGCCCTCTTCACTGGCAAGGAGACGCTCGTCCTCATCCATGTCGGCCTCGTCCTTGCGAGCCTTGGCCATTTGAGGCATGCCGTTGGATGGAGTGGGAGAACCTTCGCCATTGGCCATCGCGTTGGCACGCATCTGTTGGAGTAGACGGGAGATGCGCTCTTCAACGACGGGGTCAGGGTTGCGAGGACCGCGAGCCTGGGGCATGGCAGCGGGAACTTGTTCCGGACGCTGCTGCACCTGGTGACGGATCATCTCGCTCTGCTTTTGTTGCTGAGCTTTGGCCATGGCGGCCTGTTGGTGCATACCAGGGTACATGCGACCGACTTGCGTGGACGGACCAGCCTGAGGCAGCTCCTGGCCGCCGATAGCGCTAGGGTCAATGTATTGGTTCTTGTTGCCGGGTTGGGGCTGGTAGAAGTAGGGTGATGGGTTCATGTTGTCGGATTCGATATCCATCTCCGACGGGTTCCTGCCCGGTGCGGCGTTGAAATCGAATGGAGCCTCCTCACGCTTCATGTGATGACCAGCATACACATCACCGTTCACGGGGAATCCCTGACTGTTGTTGAATCCCATGGGGACCTGGTTGTAGGTCATGGAAAGCGCACCGGGCGGCAGACCAGTCTGCTGCCTGTGTTCATCATACTGGTGGCTAGGAGCCTGGAAAGCGAGGGGGGACTGTCCACTTGATGCGAAACTGGCACTGCGGGCTTCGCTGGCGCTGAACTCGGTACTTGCGACCGACGGTTGGCTGGTCATGGCGATCTTAGAGCGGGCGTGGTCGTTTGTGTAGGTGAGTTGATCCATGTTGATGAAGGAGTCGAGATCCTGATCGTAACTGCCAGTCATCATAGGCATGGGAGAGGCGGAGGGTTGCATGGGGTGCTCTGCGAGTGTAGCCATGGTGAAGATAAGCCTGTCTCCCAACTACTGTAGGAGAGGCTAGATGGAGGTGGAGAGTAGGATTGGTCGTGGTAGTCGTAGTGGTAGGGGTATTGGCGGGTGGTGAAGATCTCGTGACTAGAATTGTAATAAACGAGGGGACTGCAGATAATAAAATAATCCAAACGAGAGAAGAGGAGGATTTAATGATAATGACAATGAAGCCAAAGAGATGAACCAAGGAAACAGGGGAAGGCCACCGGAATAGAAATCGGATTGCGCGTCCTTTTGGCTGAGTCAGCGGGGTCAAGGAACTCGGTCCCGTGATTGGCTGCAGCGCCACCTTGAAACAGGCCTTGTTTACAATACCGTATCAAGGGATACTCCTATTTCTATCTACTGACAGCTATTGACAATTGCAATTGTCTAGTGAATTCTCCTATGGCCACTCAATAGGTATTCAATTATTTTTATACTACATGAGAATCTATATCGATAGTTGATCAATAGTTACAGTGTCTATGTTTTTGCCGTGTAAAAGTGGGTTACCTCCGAGGGAATCACACTCTTCTATTGGCTCGGGTAACCTGGGGCTCGGAGATTCCTGGTACTGTACTGTACGGAGTGTCTGTTTTTTTATTCATGACGCAGGTGGCTGTGTGCTGTCTTTGTTTACATCTATACACATTGGTCTAGGTGACATTCCACCCACTACACAAACAGAAATATATGTCCATAGTCACTTTTTTTGGGGAGGTATTGCACTCAATCCGATCACTGGTTTGCACATGGGGTGACTATCACCATGAGCAGTTTTTAGCGTCAATAGAAACTACTCGGCGCCGAAGTCCTTTTTAGGCAGTCTATACCGTAAATGATCCGCTACAGTACTCCGAGGGCTTGCCTCGCTCACTCTGGTGAGACAGAGCCAGTGGTCCAGAACACAGCTGTAAACGCACCTCAGTCACGGTGAAACTAGGGTGTAGCCACTCCAGAGCATCCATGGAAGTGATCTGTTTCATCGCAGGGGTCTATGTGCCGGCGTCTCGCCCTGGACGCGAGTCCAGCATAACCACGGTATATCGGCACAGTTAGTTCCGTCTAACATAAGTTCAAGAATAAGCTTCAGTAGAGTTCAAGCGGGTCGGCTAGAAAAGAATCAACGAGCCCATCTTCCACTATTCGGGAGAGCCCCGGTTTCACGTGATGTGACTACTCTGATTTGGGCTAGCTTGTCCGAGCTTATCAGAGTCTATATTTTCGGTGGATTCAAAATGTTGATCTTTTCACTTGGTACGCCCGATGTTCTCGTCTGCTACTCAGGGTGAAGGTGGATATCTCATGGCGCCCTAGAAAAACCTTCTTCTTCTTCCAATCTTTCAACCTGCCTATTTCGATCGCCAAGACCCTTCAGGCCAGGCGGAATAGGTCATACCCGCTACTAACTTTTTTTCACAACTGCAAGTCTCGAACCTCGGAACCCTCGCTGCGCCCAGTGATCATCTAGGGCTGAGGCGGATTTTCGACTGATCTCCGGCCGCGTCAAGTGACCGCGTCCAACAGAGGCTGAGTGAACAGCCACAGCCGAGTAACTAGTTGTCATATTCAAGTTAATAATAGACCCTGACAGTCCCTGTGGCGTATCTATATGGCGCCGATATAACCGATAACGTTACCTGATAACTTAAACATTATGAACGACTGTGTTCCTGTTCCTGACCCGGGCGTCCAGACCGAAAATCGGTGAACAATGGTTAGGGCTTCGGCTCGCACCCCCGGCAATTCTTCGCAATCTCCATGTGCTGATATTTATCAGACTGACTTCACGCGTCCACTGGGGACTGTTACCATTGATCTCTGCTCTCCGTGCGCTTGGTTTTATCCACATTGTAATATTTGCGGTGTCCTGCAAATGCATCTAGTGGCATTGGTCTAGATCGAATTTTTCCCATGTCCATAGTCTGGTTGTCTGACGACTCCCTCATTTTAAGACCCGCCATTTTCCCTGATCACCCATGTCCCCAGACTCTATCTCTTCTACTTCTTTGGTTATCTGACGAGTCCTTGTAGACCCGTGTTTCCAAGCCAGTGGGTGTGTTCCAGACTCTCGAACCCTTCGATCTAGATGTTGTGGGTAGATCGAGGATTAAGGTCGAGATCTAGATTACGCCGAATCGTTGACAAAGCTTGGGTTTTTCGCTTAGCTCCACTGTTGATCTGGATTTTTCTCCGGCTTGGGACTTGATATGGTCTTCTCCGGGCATAACTTGTACAATGTGGAGCGACTGAGCATATTTCCACGTGTCTGCTCACAATTTGAATGTTGAGATCTAACAAGGCAACGGCTTCGGTGAGTTTAACTTTCTCAGGGAACTTTCTAGACCGTTGCCCCCGGTGGACAGCGGTGGATGATCTCATAGCGTTAAGATTCCACATGATAATTTCAACGTTCAACGTTACTTGTCGAATTTGACCGTCTGTCATATGGCCCAGAACCATATCCAAATTCTTTCTCGATGACATACATTTGAGGCGAATCCAAGTGGTAATCATTGTTCGTTATTTATGCATACATGTTGTGTAATAGAGTGTCTTGTGTTTCAATGGCCATTTTCACTACAATGCAGTGGTATATATGTTTACTCAGAAGATATTCCTGCTCAGTCTTTGCCACAACTCTAAACCAAGTCATGACCAAGGCCAAGACAGTGACTCATAGCCACATACAATGACGATATAGGAAGACAATGGAAGTGCAACTGTGAAGCGCGCGGTTCTCCCCGCTCAATCGCCAAGCAAGGAATGGTAACGCAAGCCTCAGGCATAAACTATTTCCCCTTTCGGACCCCGCCCATCCGAGTTGAGATCCCATTGACCCAGTTTGGATTTCCATGACTCAAAACAGTCCGTGGTTTGGTCGATGTTGCAAGGGGCTGTGGTTAGCATATTTTAAAGACCTGATGCTGCACTCCTGAGATTCTCAAGGAACTTGCCTCTTGACAGATCCTGGGCGATAACATCCAACACAAATACCTTGTCTTGGCATTCGAAGCGATGGATTCCACAGCTATCCTTGCAACATGCAAACAGACACGGTTTCATCTACTGGATGAGAATCCTTCGAAGGAGGTAGGACGCACTGGGTAGATTGATTGATCTAATCATTAACATGTCAACTTGTGCCAGATCGACGTGGATGGGTTGAACATCGTGGTCACTTCCTCTGCGGCTGATTCGACGGAAGATGCATCCAAGTCTAAGGTCAAGGGTAAATCTAAAGCCAAGGCTGCGGGACGAGAGTTGATCTCAGATGCCCATTTAAGATTGAAGGCCGGGATTCATTATGGGTTACTTGGACGAAATGGGACTGGGAAGTCTAGTAAGTGTGATACTGAATCCTGCGCTTTTGCTTCCAAATACCCGTATTGATATATGCAGCTCTTCTTCGGGCCATGGCCGAGAAACTTATCCCTGGTATTCCACATGCCACTCGAATGGCGATCCTGCAGCAGACGGAAGATCAGGATCCTGAGCTTGATACAGCGACAGCTTCAAAGCAGGACAAGACTGTTTTGGAGTCTGTGCTTGGCAGTAACGAGCATCGGAATGAGGCTGCTCGAATGGCTGATCGTAAGTATCTCAATATATTTGCACTTCATATAATTGACCGTGGGAATAGACCTCTCGAAAAGCTTCGAGACAGACGATCCAATGGAACCCGTGCGAGCCATTCGCAAGATTCGACACCAGAGAGCCGAGAGACATCTTTTCCTGGCTCATAAGAATGCAAGCTTGAAGAGTGGTGCCCGTGGTCTCCAGGCGAGAAAGGATCTCAAGGCCGCCGAGGTTAAACTTGAGACCACATCGGATTTGTGAGATGCGCAATGATCATTTGTATGATTACAACTGACATCACCAGGCTCGCACAAAATGTAGACGCCATTGAAGCAGAGACAGTCGCATCAGATACCCAAGATGCCGTTGAGACATTACAGACTCTGCAGTCTCAACTTGAGGATGTAAGTGCTTGCACAGATATATCTATCATTCCCACTCACATGCATTCAGATGAAGCTTTCCGACATGGAACATCAAGCCCGACGAGTTCTCCTCGGCCTCGGTTTTAAAGAAGATGGGTTTGGAAAGAAAATTTCCACTCTTTCTGGTGGCTGGCGGATGCGATGCATGCTAGCCAGCGTCCTGGTGCAAGATCCCGACATCATGATCCTAGACGAGCCAACCAATTTCTTGGATCTGCTCGGTGTGGTCTGGCTAGAGAATTACCTGAAACAGCTACGAGACACGTCAGAGACAACTATCATATTGGTTTCTCATGACCGCGATTTCATTAATGCGGTCTGTGAAGAGATTGTCATTCTTCGGGATCAGAAGTTGACTTATTTCCGAGGAAATTTGTCGGCTTATGAGCAGGACCATGAGGAGCAGAAGCTCCATCTCGGTCGTATGAAGGAGGCGCAGGAGCGGCAGATTGCTCATATAGAATCTAGTATTCGGGAGAATATGAAGATTGGGAAGAAGACCAATGATGAGAATAAGCTGCGGCAGGCTAAGTCGCGGCAAAAAAAGGTTGATGATCGGATGGGGTTGCAAGTCAGTGCGAACGGTGGGCGGTTCAAGCTAAACCGTGATCTGGTGGGTTATCATTTCACCCGTCGAGCTGAGATCGATGTTCCCGTGGACGAAAAAGGTGCGACCATGAGTTTGCCTGATGCAACCGAGCTGCGGTTTCCTGGTCCATTGGTTTCGCTCGAGGGCATTGTGTTTCAGTACAAGAAGACCGACCGCATCATCTTGGACGATGTGAATCTGGTCGTCCACTTGGGTGATCGAGTTGGAATCATGGGACTGAATGGATCAGGGAAAACAACCCTGGTCCGCATCTTGACGGGTCAAAATACTCCTTCTAAGGGCAAGGTGTCGACTCATTCGCGGTTAAAAGTGGGTTATTATAGTCAACACTCTGTGGAAGACTTGCAAGAGCTTGGGCGATGCCAGCCTGGTCTGACTGCGCTGAGCTTGTTAATGGCCGAGACAGAGGGCTCCATGAATGAGGGTACGGTCAGAGGTCTGCTTTCTTCAATGGGGTTAGCAGGTCGAATTGCATCCGATGTGCCTGTCTGCAAGCTATCGGGCGGACAGCTCGTAAGTGAAATCCTAGAGTCTTCTTTGTATAAGCTAACCAGAATCCAGGTTCGACTTGCATTGGCACGAATTGTCTGGAGCGCACCGCAGCTCCTCATTCTCGATGAAATCACCACTCATCTGGATTTCCATACTGTGACTGCATTGGCTACGGCGCTCTCTTCTTTCAATGGTGCTGTTCTCTTAATTTCCCACGATCGTTTCCTGATGCGCTCCGTGATCGAGGGTAAGCGTGATACAGAGCACAAGCTTGATGAAGACTTTGAAGGGCTGGACGAGGAAGAGACAAGAGAGACCCAGCGACGTCGCTCGGTGTATGTGATCAAACAAGGCAAAATGAGCGAGCAGAAGAACGGGGTGGAGCAGTTTGAGCAGAGCCTGGTGAAACGAGTACAAAAACTGCTCGCAGTATAGAGATATCAGGTGACAGACATATCAAGCAGAGCTCCGACAACACCTGGGCAACAATCGTATCCGTAGTTAAGCGTCTCCATTGTGACAGCAAATCAAAAGGGAAGTTCACAGTTCGCAGTCCGCGGAAATTGATAAGCCACCGAGATAGCGTGACTCAGCGCGGAGTCCGCCGCCCTCAAACGCGAGCAGGAATGTCCATGCGGACCCCTCGCATTCTTACTCTGCCATATATTTGGCTCACCATGTCGCTTTACACCTCCTGAACGATGATGGCTCTGTGCAAGCAGATCTTGAGCCCTAGAGGTCCCTGGGCCCCGGCCAAGGCGATGACTCGACTTCAGAGCACCGCCACAAGACCCAACGCCACTCTCGCAACTGAATTCACCCCACACTCCAAAGCCCCGCGCTTATCAACGCTCAAAACTGCGAAGCCATTTTCCGAATTTCTGACCGATACCTTTAATCGCCAGCATGACTATCTTCGCATTAGCGTTACGGAACGCTGCAACCTTCGGTGTTTATACTGCATGCCGGAGGAGGGCATAGACCTGTCACCCTCTGCCAAGCTCCTCACATCCCCAGAGATCCTCTATCTATCCTCGCTGTTCGTTTCACAAGGCGTGACCAAGATTCGGTTAACGGGTGGAGAGCCAACGGTCCGAAAGGATATTGTACCCTTGATGCAGGACATTGGCAAATTACGGCAGAATGGTCTTCAGGAACTATGTATCACAACCAATGGAATCTCATTGCACCGGAAGCTGGATCCTATGGTTGAGGCTGGACTGACGGGAGTCAATTTGAGCCTTGACACACTGGACCCATTCCAGTTCCAGATCATGACGCGACGCAAGGGGTTTGACGCAGTGATGAAGAGCATTGATCGTATTCTGGAAATGAATAAGGTCGGAGCGGGTATCAAGCTGAAGATCAACTGCGTGGTCATGAGGGGTATGAACGACCGTGAGATTCTCTCGTTCGTGGAGCTGGGCCGTGAGAAGCCCATCGAAGTGCGGTTCATCGAGTACATGCCTTTCGACGGGAACAAGTGGAACCAGGGCAAAATGTTGCCCTACCAGGAGATGCTGACTCTCATTCGATCGAAGTATCCTACCTTTGAAAAGGTGGCAGATCATAAGAATGACACGAGTAAGACATACCGTGTGCCTGGATTCGAGGGACGTGTTGGTTTCATTACGAGCATGACACATAACTTCTGTGGTACTTGCAATCGACTCCGCATCACGAGTGACGGTAACCTCAAAGTCTGCCTATTTGGCAACTCCGAGGTGTCCCTGCGGGATATCATTCGCAAAGAGAATGGCGGAAATCCGATTGACTTGGATGCGATGCACGACTTGCAACTACTGGAAACGGTCCAAACTGCATCCCGTCTCAGCGATGAAGGAGCCTTGGTCAATGAGCGAGAGCGTGAGATTCTCGATATCATCGGCATGGCTGTGAAGCGCAAGAAGGCGAAACATGCCGGCATGGAGCAACTGAAGGACATGAAAAACCGTCCTATGATCTTGATTGGTGGGTAGATATCTTCTTTTCTCATGATTGAAAACGTTTTATGACTTGTAGCTCACCCACTGGATGGGCATTTCTTTTCTACTAAATCTGGCAAATTTGATACCATGTACATATGCGATTTATGAATTTCGGATACCATTTCTCGAATCACCGGCTGATAGATGTACTAGACCCTAAACCGAAACAAGGCTCAGTCTACTATTTGACAGCTAGGACTGGTTCCCCTTGGTTAAATATCCCAGTCCACATGCTATCAAATCCGCTCAAATCCCCCCAAACCCGCCTTTACCATAGTGGGCGCTCTACAACCGACCCCAAAGACGAGAATCAAAATACCTCTCGCCCATCTCCATCCCTCCCAACAATCTCTGACGCAGACCTCCCGCATCTCACCCCCTCGAAAACCGTCCACATGACCCAAATCACTTCCAAACCAGAAACCAAACGCCTCGCTACAGCGGCATGCACAGTCACCTTCTCCAACGACCGACCATGGGCAATTTTGCGCAAAGGCCAAACACACAAAGGCGACGTATTCAGCGTCGCCCGGATCGCCGGCATTATGGCTGCTAAGCGCACACCGGACATTGTCCCACTGTGCCACCCCGGCATTGGAATTACCGGAGTGGAGGTCAGTGTTGAATTACATGACCCGGAGAATCATGGCTATGGCTCTATGAAGGTCATTGCAACTGTTAGTTGTTTTGGTAGAACTGGTGTAGAGATGGAAGCTATGACTGCTACTATGGGGGCTGCTTTAACGGTTTATGATATGCTCAAGGCTGTTGATAAAGGAATGGTCATTGAAGCTGTTCGATTGCTTGAGAAGCAGGGTGGAAAGAGTGGACATTGGCTTCGAGAGGAGAGAGTATAAAAATGCAGCATCAGAAGTATACACGTTCAAGCCCTAACCGCCAAGACTGAGATTGTCTTCACCGTATTTTCCCCGGCGTTTTTTCTTTTTTTTTTTCTCGGAGTTTTGTCTTCTTTTGTTCTTTTGTTCTCATATATCTCATGCAAGATATTGTGCATTTGCATTGATTTTGTTGCCTTGATTCTTCATACTCCTCGGTCTGACGTGGTGGCCCGTGACCCTGAAAGAAAATTCTTCCCACTCCAAGCCGGTATAGCGTTCAGCCGAGCTTCTCACCTTGCCCTCTCCACTGTTCGCCACGATTCACTACTGTTCACGTTCAATAATGACTTTTTCGACCTTTGATATGTTCGAAAACTCCTGGAACCATTAGTGGTGTGCGCCATTCTAAGTTTACCTTCGCGGCAACCGCGGGTCGACTATAAGTTAACTTACATCAACGACAACATTTTTCGTACTTCCCAACTTGGTTAGGTTCTGCTTATCCGAGGTGAAATGAGGCTTCAGGCTATACTTATCCGTACGTTTATGTTGATAACTTCGTCAAGTCTGAAACTAACATGTTTCGCACAGCCCTCAAATGGAGAGGACGAATTGGACAAGCTGTCATGGCAGTCCTACCCCCTGTGAATTTCTTGACGCTACACTATGTGTATTTTATTGCTACAAACATCATAGCCAGTGTCATATTCTATTTGACCGCGACACCATGGCGGAGCGTGGCATATACTGATTCACTATTCATGTGTGTCAGTGCTATGACTGGAGCTGGCTTGAACACAGTATGTTTTCCCCCCTTCCACTGTCATCACTGACCAGCAACTGATATGCCGATAGGTGGATCTATCAATTCTCAACAGTTTTCAACAAGCAGTCTTGTTCGTACTGCTCATGCTAGGTCATGCAATCTTGATCTCATTGACCGTCCTACTCATCCGCAGAAACGGATTCCAGGCAAAATTCAAGGGTGTTTCAGAGGAACGTGAAAGGGAACGGACTTCACGTCAGCAGTCTGTCTTTGAGTTGCAACCCGGGGATGGAGAAATCAACCAGGGAAGTGGAAGTGCAGATAGCGAACTTCCTAATGCTGCGGGCCAAGGGCTCCAGCAACGCACCAAGACATCCGTGACAGCCACCACCACTACACCAGGTGAATCATCATACCATGACGACCCTTGGATAGATGAAGACCAAGTCACTATCGGAGGAAGACCCCACAGACATCATCATCGAGTCTTCCCAATGGCAGGCATCGGCGCCAGACCAGACCTGCACAACCATCCCCGCGATGCAGTGCCAAATCAACTCTCATCCGCCGAGGATTCAGTGTCAGGCTTCAAAAGTATCATCCGTGGGACGCAGAAATTCATGGCCTCGAAGGGTGTTGTATCCCGGAACTCCCAGTTCCACGACCTCACTGCAGCTGAGCGCGATGAACTAGGCGGAGTGGAGTACAAAGCAGTATCGTTTTTGTCGGTCATTGTATTTCTCTACTTCATCTTGTTTATTCTGTTTGGAATGATTGGTATGGGTGTCTGGCTAGAAGTGAATCACCCCGATGTGACGCGCTCGAATGGTCTTTCGCCATTTTGGACCGGCTCGTTCTTTGCTGTATCTGCTTTTGTTAACAGTGGCATGTCTTTGCTGGATGCAAATATGACAGCTTTGCAGTTGAAGTATGTGTCACCTTTCCCAAACTCATGATCAATATATCTGACTCCTTCCAGTGCCTACCCGTTGCTGACAATGGGCATGTTGATTCTCGCTGGAAACACGCTTTACCCCTGCTTTTTGCGCTTCATAATTTGGACTATGAGGATGATGCTGCCAGATCGGCCTCGATGGCAGTCATGGCGAATCACTCTTGATTTCATCTTGAAGCATCCTCGGAGGGTAAGGCAACATGTGCTGTGATTTGTTATGTGGACACTAACGGTAAAGCAGGTTTACACAAATCTTTTCCCTGCTCGACACACTTGGTATCTACTTGGTACAATTATCATCTTGAACGGCATTGACTGGGCCGCATTTGAGCTGCTATCCATTGGAAACAAAGATATCGAGATTCTTCCAACAGAATATCGCATATTGGACGGACTGTTCCAGGCTCTGGGTATGTCCAGTCCATCATTAACTTATTTGAGTCTGCTAACTAACCTATCACCGTTATAGCTGTCCGCGCCGGTGGATTCTACGTCGTGACCATTGCCAATCTCCGTCAAGGCCTCCTGGTTCTTTATGGTGAGTTTCTCCACGCATTTAACCCGGAATGAACCATCATACTGACAAGAACAGTCCTCATGATGTACGTGTCAGCGTACCCAGTAACCCTGACAATGCGGTAGGTCTATCTAACCCCTCTCATATCCATCTTCAATCTAACACTCACCAGAAACACAAATGTCTACGAGGAACGCTCCCTGGGAATATACGCCCACGACGATACCCCTGAAACACCCGCCAACACAAGCCGCAGCAACATAGTAATGGACCTCATCAGACATCGACTCGGACGCCCTGGCCTATCCGAGACATCGCGTGGATACTTCGTGCACCAGCAAATCCGATCCCAGCTCAGCCATGACCTCTGGTGGATAGCATTGGCTGTATTCTTCATCGCAATTGCCGAGTCGGATCATTATACCGACAACCCTGTGGCATTCTCGACGTTCAATATCATTTTCGAGGTTGTTTCTGCTTATGGTTGTGTCGGTGTTAGTCTTGGGTTCCCTGGCAAGAACTATTCCTTCTGCGGGGCGTGGCATCCGATTAGCAAGTTGATTCTTGCTGCTGTTGCTTTGAGAGGACGACATCGCGGTTTGCCTGTTGCTATTGATAAGGCCATTATGTTGCCCAGTGAGTCTTTGGCTTGGGCTGAAGAAGAAGACGCTGTTTTGAGGAGGGAGAGAGCTACTGGTGGCCCTATTGGGTCTGTTTAGTTGCTTTTTTTGCATTTGATACCCTTTTTTTTAGAGTGTTAGATAGATTTATGAGATACGATATCAATGAAGTGAGAAAAGTAATTCTTTTGTAGGATTGAGTTACTACCCGGACTGTATCCTGGTGACTAAAGTCGACATATGCAATAAATCGTTTGCGACAAGGAGATATACAAAAAAAACATCAGGAGTCTACTCGTCCTCCATCTCCATCTCGTCTTCACTTTCATCTTCGCCCTCGATCTCAAGCTCCTCCTCGCTTTCCAATTCCTCTTCGTCCTCATCTTCGCTGCCGGAATCGCTGCCAACACCACCCATCACCTCATCATCGCCACCGTTCTTCTTGGCCTCCTCTCTCCGCTTCTCCTCTTCGCGACGACCCTCTTCGAGAACAGCAGCGCGCTCCTCACGAAGCTTGCGCTGTATCTTGACGAAGGCGCCGATGGGTGTAGTTTCCCAGTCAACGTCCTTCAGGAAAGTGTCAACCTCGGTGCGGTTGCGGGGAGAGTAAGAGACGTTCAAACGGCGCTGTTCGATCCAGCGGGCGTTGGCCTCAGCCTTTTGCACGATAAGCAGGATCATCTGATTGATCTTGGCGTTCTTGTTTCCGCCAGAGCGGGCAGAGACCTGCTTCAGCCAGCGCTTAAGGGATACAACGACGGGCACAGACAACTCTGGGAAGGCAATGTGCTTGGACCACAGAACAAAGAACTCGGAGAGGAGCTCGGCGACCTGCTCACCCACACCATCTTGATAGGTGCGCGAGCGAAGGTAGGACTTTGGCGCGCGAATGGCTGTGTTGAAGTCCAGGGGCTTAAGAGTGCTGGATCTGGGGTGCTTGCGCATCTCGGCTGAGGTCAGGACCTCCAGGAGTGAGGATGCGAGCGGGATGTAGGTGCCGGTGGCACGGGAGATACGAAGCAGGGCGCGGGTCAGCTGGAAGCGCAGGGGGAAGTACTGAGCGGTAGGAATGAGGCGCATGGCACCGAGGGTGATCTGCACAACGGGGTAGATGAGAGGACGCAGAGCGGACAGCTTGCCGGATTGGGCCTCGACGAGACCATCACAGTGTTGGGAGAGCACACGGGACCAGAAGTCCAGCGAGTGCACGTATTGCCAGTTGTAAATGGTCTTGTAGGACTCCTTGGAGGTGTTGGTGATGCTGGAACGCAAGTGCATGGCCAGCTGACGGATGAAGGAGAATCCGGTGGTGTATGAGACGTTCTGGTCAATACCCCAGATCTCGGCGGCGGAGTTCTTCATCAAGTTCACGCCTGCAAGTGTGTGCACAGTCGTGTTACGGCTGCCCTTCACAACACCCTCGTAGGTGGCCTTGAGCACGCTCTCACGGATACCAGCATCTCCAAGAACCATAAGACGGCGCAAAAGTAGGAAACCAGTAATGCGGGTTGCGTCGTTGGTGGAGACATCAGCCCAGATACCGACAACGGTCTTAACGAGTGTCTTCAGCACCTTGCGGAATTGAAGAAGGTATGGCAGCATGGGCTCAATCGACGAGAGGGTCAGCTTGAGTGTGGATGCATCAGACAGGTTGACCAGAAGCTGGTGGACCGAGGAGGTGTGAGACTTGATCAGAGGCGTAAGGGTCTTGAACTTTTTCGAGTCCAGGGACACACGGATCTTTCCTCCAGCGGTCTCTTTGACGGGAAGGTGATGAGCCAGGACCTTGGGAACGGTGTTGAGGGCCGTGACAAGCACCTGGTGGTAAACGTTCTTGTCGGAGATGGTGTACTTTTGCTCTGGGGCATCGGCATCGTTCACGTGGGCAGCAGCACGGAAGGCGAGCACAACTTGACGCATAGCGCGAATCGAGTTCTGCTCCTCCATTAACTGATGCCACTTCTTAACGGTCTGGATGGTGAGGGTGGTGCTCTCAGGCTCGGCCTCCTCGTCCTTCTTTGACTTCTTCTTCTTCTTCGCGGGTTCCTCGTCTTCGGGCTCATCACTTTCACTCAAGGCATCGACTTCTGACAGATCGCCTTGATCGCCGAAGTCGAGTAGTTCGGCATCGTTCTCCTTCAGGTATTTGTAGAACTCGGGGTCCTTTTCTTTCAATGACTCCAGCTGCTCCTTGTGTTCGTCGTATCCGTCGACACTGCTTGCATCATCTTCATTATCGTCCTCCTCGGGAGCCTCCTCGGCCTGCGCCTTGTCTTCTGAGCGCTTGCGCTTGCCGATCTTGGGGGTGACATCCTTCTTGGACTTCTTGCCCTTTTCCTCGGGGATTTCGAAGCCACCAGCGAAGAAATCGTCGACATTCATTTCGGCGAAAGCATTCTGCTTCTTCGCTTCTTCGGGGCTGATCTCATTGGCCTCCTCGGCTTCGGCGCGTTTTGTAGCATTTTTTTCTTTGCGCTTGTCGTTCAATTGGTGTCTTTGCTTCACCTTGGCGTGGGACTTGCGGCGTTCGATGACATCCTTAAGATGGTTCTTTTCGAACTTCTTCGTAGATTTCTTGGCTCCGGCCATTGTGAGGTGTGCAGAAAAGAGTCTGCAAGTATTGCTTGGTGCTGGAAATGGCCGTCGGACAAAAAAATTTTGGGGAGAAAATCGGCGCCACCGCCTTCCCCACCGCCTTTGATTCGGGCGATAACAGCTCCAGCTGCAAGTCGGACTTGCGACACTTACATTCACGATTCACGATTGACGATTGACGACTAGACGATATTCTGAAGTTGGACAAATCATGTATTCCCAGCGCCCACTTCCGTATGCTCCCACGCCATACAGCTATACCCCTAACCCCGCCCGATCGGCCTCGATCAACCTAGATGAAGTATGGGACCCGTCTCCGCATTGATAGACAGACTGACTGACAATTGTCCAGGAAGTCAAACTAGCTTCTAGCTCAGCTGAGCGTGATCTTTACGAATCCTTAGCCGAAATATACAGCATCATCGTCACCCTGGACGGTCTTGAGAAGGCATATATCAAGGACGTGGTCACCGAGGCAGAATACACAGAGACATGTACTCGGTTACTGAAACAATACAAGTCCAGTCTTGGAGATGAGACTGTATCGCGGGAGTTTGTTGACCTGGAAACGTTCAAGAGAACATGGAGTGTGAGTGTACCATGTTTACCCTCCTGCCGACATCGGCATTGCTGAAACTATATACTGCAGTTGGAATGCCCGAGGGCTACAGAGCGACTGCGTATTGGTCTTCCTGCTACGGTGGAGCAGGCTTCTCACGGTGCGCCTGCTCCTAGTATGGCGGCGGCTGCAGGACCGGCTGGGGCATCGGGTAGCCTTATTCTGGCGGCGACCGAGAATTTCATTACCTTCCTTGATGCATTGAAACTTAACATGGTTTCAAAGGATGCATTACATCCTCTCTTGTCCGAAGTTATTCAGTCCGTGAACAAGGTCGCAGATGGAGACTTTGAGGATCGTGGCAAGATTATCCAATGGTTAATTGCATTGAACCAAATGAGAGCCACCGAGGAATTAGGTGAAGATCAAGCGCGAGAACTTGCATTTGATATTGAACAGGCGTATCAGGGTTTCAAGGCGACATTGAATTAATACCGCCTGATAGTGTGGTGATCGCAGTCCTTCGATTTTGTTCTCCGATATTGATCACATCGCAAATATACCCTTTTGCTTCTTGGATACTATTATATTCTTCGTTTTACATGTGCTCATTGGCTTTTCTATTCTCTTGTGCATTGAGTCTGTGATAATGGAATATTTCTGCCTCACAAATAAGGCCACAACGGAGCCGCGGACCCATCAAACCCGCTTTTCCTCTTTGGGAAATTTTGTATTTTTCCTTTCCGCGTGGCGGCTCACGATCCCCCGGAGGCGAGACGAAGGGTTGCTCTTTGCTCTGCATTTTCTCTCGGTACACAGCAATTCGCCAGTATGATCAATGCCTCGACCGATGAGCCACTTCACGGTGAGTACCCCCGATCTACACTCTCGGGCCAGTCGGTCCACAAAAGATAATGGAACTGATAAGCCAGTGCTCGATCTCCCGCAACTCTACGAGAAGCCCTCCGGCACCGAGCTTGTGAGAGCGCTGGCTCTCCTGAGTTTGCAGCCACGTACATTCGGCACCAGCGCTGATGTCGTCAAGGGCCCTGCCGTCCAACCCGCCGGCGTGACTCGGTATCTCACATCCATTATCTCGAGCCCGTTGGCATGGCTCGAGACCGATGAACTCCGCGAGGCAATCTGGGACGCGGCCGCTGCCCGACTCAGTGAGCGGTCTGGCCGAACAGGTATGCATCCTTTCACTTTCCTGCTATGTTGTCTCTTACTGACTGACTCATACAGCAATGCCGGCTATGTCTCGAACGTTCAATGTGCCCGCCTCCTCTGGTGAGGACTACACCCTGACCCTCCACGAGCCTTCCATCACGGCCGACAACCTCGGCATGAAGACCTGGGTATCATCCTACCTTCTTGCCCGCCGCCTCCACAAATTCCTCGAATCACCACCGGCGCTGGTTCCTGCCGTCTCAACTGAACCCTCCCCATCCAAGACGGAGACATCTCTGCGAGCCCTTGAACTTGGCGCTGGCACTGGATTGGTCGGACTGGCCTTTGCCGCTCTCCAGGGTAAATCGGCTAGCATCCACCTAACTGACCTGCCGGAGATTGTTCCAAATCTCGCCCACAACGCCGCCTTGAACGTAGAGCTCCTGAACCGGACCGGAGCGACTGTTACCACCGGCGTGCTTGACTGGACAGTCACGCCGTCCCCCCTGCCATCGGCGGAGCAGCGATTCGACGTGATTCTCGCGGCTGACCCGCTATATTCCCCCAGTCATCCGAAATTGCTGGTTGATACCATTTCGCCTTGGCTTAGCCATGGACGTGATGCGCGGGTCGTGACGGAGATGCCTCTTCGCGATGCGTATCTCCCACAGGTTCAGGAATTCCGGAGGCGAATGGGTGAGTTGGGTCTTGCGGTGGTTGAGGAGGGTGAAGAGATTGGATATGACGACTGGGAGAGCGCAGATGGAGGCGCTCTGGCCGTCAAGTGTTGGTGGTCCATCTGGGGATGGAGTGAGAAGGTATAGAGGAACGGGTTTACAGGTTGTGATCCAGGTCGTTGGCACGATCACACGACATCACGAATAATAAACGATACACGATAGATTAGCATAAGATTTGTAGATCCGAGTTAGCAATGCATTGATTGAAAGATATCTCTCGAAAAACAGTAATCAGTCGATGGAAAGTAAAAAAAAAAAAAGCGTCTCGAATGATGAGAGAATCACAATAGAAACTCGAGGTCCAAACAGAAACATCAAGCCCCATCACGTGGCGATGACGTCGGTGTTCAACGGACCATGGAAGTAGTAATTTCTCGACTTCTCTCCCCAACATCTGCCAAAGATGACTTCTGCTCATAAATCAGACGTCTCTTGCACATACATGGTCAGTCTTAGAAGCCCAAAATTGTGTCCTTCCCGTGCTAATTGTCAGAAGACCTGAAGTCAGACCCAAAACGCCACCAGAACAAACCACGAAACATCCAGATCCCCAATTTCAGGTTGGAATGCATATCCAACGAGCCTAATGCCCTGCCAAATCTAAGCTGTTTCCTATAATACTCATCCACCGACTGAATTCATTCCTTCGTGCAAAAACATCAGCTATCCAACTCTCCGGCTGTCAGCCTTCCCTTCAACCCCACTATCCAAGCGCATTCTCCACCAAGAACCTGAAAATGGTCATCGGACTCTTGGCTATAACGGCCATTCCGACGGTGACGGGTATATCCCTCGCGTCCAGCGAGCAGCGCAAAGCAAACCAACGCAAAGAAGATAACCGGCGCATGCTCAAGTTCAATATCGAAGCCGAATGCGACGGTGATACGGATGATGATCGCGAGTTGAATGGGATGAGTTTGGTTGTTAGGAATGAGAAGGTAAGAAATATTTTCACATATACTACCATACTACAGACACAGTCGAAGCCAAAACAGTACTAACTAGCTACAGGTCTACCTTGCAGATTCAAATCCGTCCAAACGCTCCATTCCAGCCTTCACAGCTCTGGCCTTTTATATTGAATACCCAGAACTAGATGAAACGAAGCATCTAGATCGGGGTTATGGTCTTCCGACATATGTGCAGACTGAACCACCGTTGCTCAATTGGATCTATGCCGATAATGAGACGTATGAGCTGCGCTACGGGAATCGGTCTACGAGTGTGGAGCATCTGGTTGGACCATGGGATTGGGATAAAGAGGAGAGAATTATTTCTCTGGATAAAAAGAAGAAAGCCTTTTATGCCGTTGAAGAGGAGGAAGGTGAATGGGCGCTCTATTTTGATCGTGATGGGGATGAGTTGGAGGGGATATTGGAGGAGCAGGGATTGTTGGATTGTGCTTTTGTGCCTGTTACACTGATTAGAAAGATTGTTGAGGAAAAACCTTCTGCTGGTGAGCCGCCTCAGTCGCAGTCACAGTCCCAGCCTCAAGGTCAAGGTCAGGGACAGGCGCAGGGACAGAATGGAAAGACTGGACAGTAACGAGATATACGGCAGTGATTATAGCCATGATATGATTTTTTTTTTTTTACGATATTATTGTGAGTATCTTGCATATGGAACAGGCTACAGAATAAGTGTATAGTAAATGAAGCAGACGTATAGAGTATGAAGCAGACAAACGATATACGGACTAGGCATGCGGGATATTGAATATGGAACAAGATGTGGGATATCACCCAGTAGCAGCATACTATACACAACAACACACAGCACCAATCTAATCATCCAATCCACCCCAACTACCAGCATCACTAACATTACCATCACCAGCAGCAGCCTTCCGCTGCTTGCTAGCAGCAATAGCGCCTTTCTTTCGATTCTCCATGCGCCGCTCAAATCCACTTTTAGTACTAATCCGCATTCCACGAGCACTCTTCCCATCCTCATTCTCCTTGTCCAATCGAGGCATCTGCCGCGCCTTAACTCCATGCCTCTTGAGGTCCTTTTTGCTATTCTTGCTCAAGTTAGGCAGTGCGTCAAGCAGCCATTTCTGGATGGATTTATCGCCATCGCCTCCACGCAGCTTTTCGCTCACGTCGATAATGTTGGCGATGCTCTTGACATAGGGGATATCTTCTTTTGTGTAGTATGTCACTGCGATACCGCCTTCACGGCCTGCTCGTCCTGTCCGGCCGACGCGGTGCACGTAGACTGCTGCTGAGTTTGGAATGTCGTAATTCACTACACCGTTGATGCCGCGGAAGTCGACGCCCCGGGCAAGTAGGTCGGTAGTCACTAGGATCCAGATCTCGCCTTTGCGGAAGTCACGCATGATCTCGGAGCGTTGGTCGTCTGAGAGATCTGAGTGGAGGACTGCGATTCTGGATGAGCCGCCTGCTTCAGCGGGAATGTCGTATTTGAGTTCGGAGTGTAAGGCGATTGCTCGGGGAATTGTTTGTGTGAAGATGAGGAAGGGGGGTCGGAGACGGATGTCTGATGCTGAGGCGGCTGTGGGGCGAAGGAGTTGGCGGAGTCCGAGCAGTTTACCCTGCTCTGTTGCTGCGTAGACGAGTTTGTGGTCAATGTTGGGGATGGCGGAGTCCTTCAAGCCAACAACCAGACGGAGTAGAGCATGCGACTCGCTTGCTTTGATTCCGAGATCTTCTTGTCGCTCTTTGATTGTCGACTTGGTGAGATCTTCAATGTTGGATCCCATCGTAGCTGACCATAATCCAACTCGCATATCAGGGTGTGTGCATGCTTTCCAGATGTCCAATGTCTGTTCCCGGAACAGAGGATCCAAGAGAACATCTGCTTCGTCCATGACGAGGCTCCGCACTAGAGGCAGGGTTGCCATAGTTTTGGTCCGGTTCGCCGAGAGAGCATTGACCAACATCAAAGGTGTGGTGACGAGAATATCACTCTTGGTCAATGGAATATTAGCTTGGTCTTTTGATGGCTTACTGTCGGCATCTTCATCGTCGGTTCCAGATGGCGCATCACTCTCTTCTAGGACATCCGCGTTGCCTTCTTCGCTGACGCGCATTCCCTTTCTCATCAGCGTGATTTTCACACCGGTTCCAGAAACTAACTTTCGGCCTTCGTTGACAATCTGACTTGCGAGTTCCTTGGTAGGCGCCACAACCACCGACAGAATGCCGTGCTCGTCGGGGCTGGAGTGGTGGTGTCGCACAATCTTGTTGATTACAGGAATCAAGAATGACAGTGTCTTACCACTGCCAGTCGGGGCCACAATAAGAAGATCCGGCTCAGAAGCTTCACCGAGAAGCAACGGAAGAGTACCGAGTTGAACTTCTGTAGGCACAGTAAATCCTTGATCCGCGACGTTCTCTGCGAGGCGCGAGGAAATCTTATATTTGGACCGAAGCTCCTTGAAAGAAAGCAAAGGCTCGGGGAACAGACGTCTGGCGCGCTTCTGCTCTTTCTTGCTGAGAACAGGAGCTTCTTCCCTCTTGGACTTCTTCTTTTTCTTGAGATCCTTGGCCGATTCTGGCTGGGGCTGAATCTCATCCATGTCGCGCAAATCAGTCACCTTAATCTTGTGAGAGTTCAAGATTGTGCGACGCTGCACTTCATCCATGGAGTCCTCATCAGATGCGACATCTTCAGACACCTTTTCAGCGCTGTCCTCGATCGCAGCAGCGGTCTCTGTCACAATGGTTGCAGGGCGTTTGTTTGAACTGAAAAAGTCCAGCTCAGGCACATCATCTTCATCTTGCTGAGGAGCAGAGTTTCTCTTTCTTTTTTTGCCGCTCTTGGCAGCCTCGAGCTCGTCGGCGTCGGCAGTGCGGAAAAGCTGCGGGTTGGCAGCTTTGCCGGCTGACGGCAGACGAGAAGAGTCTGCTTTTGAAGCAGCAGGCTTCAATTTGGTTGACCGAGTCAACAGCTTGAATGCATCCATGTTGTGGTGAGTTGAAAGTGTCGACTGCGATATTTCACGAAGAAAAAAGAGTGGTCCGCCGCTTTCACCCTGAGCCAATCAGAGGTCATCCCCAACGAGTGTAAATGTATTGGACTTCAAACCACAACAGGATGAGAACAGCTTGGGGTGTGAGGATCCAGAAGTGATAGAGAAATAGGATGAGTGCTATGCAATGGAGCAGCTCAGTTATCCACATGCCGCTGGAGTTAAACCAGGTGCTTAGATTTGAATTATCTGTAACGAGTCCGGCGCAAAGAGGTATAGAAGAGATCTAAGTATTGAGAAAACTTGGAAAAAAAACTTGGAGAAAGACCTGAGTTCATTCTTAGAAGGAAGCAAGTCTACACGCAAAAACAGCAATGGCGAGGGAGTATACTTTGCGTAGATATCTACTGGGGCATTTACACAGTCAGGCACAGCTACTTGCGAACAGGCAGAGCTCAAAGCACTGAATTTATACGGCTGTCACACCAATGGCAATTGCTTCTATCTCAGACAACAGTTTATATTCCATCGTCTATCATACAAAGTAACAAAGGGAAATAAGGAAAGGACGACTCTAGACCCCTTAGTGCGCGTGCGCAACCTCACCCCGGTAACCAACAAAGTTCATGCGACCGATCATCTCACCAACAGTGAAGAAGCCAATGACCTCAGCAGCAGTGACACCAGCAAAGGCAAGCTCCTTGGGGCTGGCGTTGCGGATACGGGCGAGGATGCTCGAGGGCGAGGGGAGGTTCTTGAGGGCGGCGGGGTTGTTGATGAAGGGCTGGAAGTAGGACTGGAAGGTGGCAAGGTTGCTGGTGGTGGGTTAGTCTTGGTTGTTGGTTACATGGTGTTCGTGCGATGGGCGACTTACGGAGGAGCCATGTTCTGGCCACGGAAAACCAGCTTGCCGAGCTCAAGGCCGACCTTGGAGTAGTAGAGAGTCGGGGGGATCATGGCTAATAGAAGTTAGCTGGGCACTTTTTTCATTGGACTATTGTAGATTCGAGTTGATCCCGATCATGTCTGTCAACAAGGAGGTTGGAGTCGAGGGTCGGGTGGCACGACACCAGTCGGGTCAATCGGACCAAGGTGGTCTTCTGATCCGGGGACGACCCAGGCCTAACGCTCCATTCACTCCATTTGTAGACACCATATCAGAGACGGGGTTGGCTCCTTACCATCGACGAAAGAGATGACCTTGCCGGCGGGACCACCGATCTTGCGCAGGGCAACGGCGGCGTTGGAGATGGCAGGACCAGCGGAAGCAGAGACCTTGGAGAGACCCTCTGAGGCCTTGGAAGCTGCTGAGGAAGCAGTCTCGCTGGCCTTGGAGGCAGCCTCCGAGGTGGATGAGGCATGTCTGACGGCGGTTCTCCGGGTCAGGAACTGCGATTGCCGCAGGACAGCACGGGTGACAGGCATTTTGAAGGGAGAAAAGGAGTGGACGAGAGGAAACAAGCGAAAGAAACAATCGCTAATGAAGCAGTATGGTCCAATGGTCCTAAGTCTCGCGCAACGGCAGAACCAGAATCTGCGGATTTGGTCGCTCGGGAACTTCAGGGAATTCAGTCACGTGAGTCCAGCCTAGTAAACAAAAAGCCATGCTTTCATCCTCGATGAAGATTAGTTCATATTTGGTGAAGGGGTTTGTATCTGTAGATAAGTCCATTTTCCAAAAGATGAGTTCAGTGAGTTTAGTGGTCGCTATGAATGAGTCTGGTGTGTGCTGTACCAAGACACTGTACTATGTACCTGCAGGCCACTAGAACCACCCTAGAACTAGACAGCCCTAAAAGAGATACTATACTTGGTTATTATCATTCCACTTGGAACAAGTGATATCATTGGCTTGGTTGGAATTTAAGGTGTTGGTAATGGGTGTTGGCCGCTAAGCCAATAAAGTTATAGAGAGCAACTATATATACATGGAGTGTGTGCAGTGCCACCACCATCTTGCGAGTCGCATATTGACACTGGATCTTGGAATATTCTTTTTCTCCCACGGAAAAACTTAAATTCGAGGTCATGAGACCACTGTTATATTTACCCTATTAGGCTTATGGAAATGGCCATGATCCGACTCAGTGTAACGGTGTGGCACTACTTCGACTGCCGGCAATTTCCAACTGTTTCACGCATTTTGATCAGAGGACACTTAAGGGCTATGCGGAGTCTATATGAAGTCTACACGGAGGTTGCACGTACGGCCAGCTGGTGATGTGTTCTACACGGATGATAGCACCCCGTACTGCCTCGGTAACAGGGTAGTAACTGGTGTAGGAGTGAACTTTACTTATAGCCACCCTAGACTCAGTAACAGTGAGCCTAGTTAGCAAATAACTTGTATGACACGCCTGAGGCATCTCGATTTGCACCGTTTGCTCCGGAAAAAGGGCCCAACGCCTCGAGGCTTTTCTCCACAAAACTCCATCAACCAGGACGCTGCAATTCCGCCGGAGAATTGCCACTCTCGGGTGATAGGGAGATTGGATGTCTGCAGAAAATGCTCGCGACTGGGATTACAGATTACTTATTTGACTGAGATCCAACTATTCACTTTAAATTCAGGGCCGAGGAAGGTCCAAACCGAAGTAAAAGCAGCAATTAACCGAGAGCCGATCACCATTCGGCCCGGAAACACCAGAGCGGGCTTGGATTTCCTCCTTGGGGCCAAAGAGAGCAATTGACCCCCGCGCGGTTAAATCCAGGGCCCCTCCACTCCACTTGGAGGTCGTGGGGAGGTTGCATACATCATGCCCCCCCCCCCCCCCGGTCTTTTGGGCTATTAAAGAGGCCTGTTCCCGGGGTTTCAGGGTACATCTTTCTCTTCTTTCATATCCATATTCACCATGTCGTCCGCAACCACAGTCACCAAAACTAACATCGGTGTTTACACCAACCCCAAGCATGACCTTTGGATTGCCGACACAACCCCGACAGTCGAGGAGGTCAATACGGGCAAGGGTCTGAAGGCTGGAGAGGTCACAGTCGAGGTGCGCAGCACCGGAATCTGTGGGTAAGTAGGAGCAGAACGCGAGCCGGAAAAAAAGGCTAACAAGACATAGATCCGATGTCCACTTCTGGCACGCAGGGTGCATCGGCCCCATGATTGTCACGGGCGACCACGTTCTCGGCCACGAGTCGGCCGGCCAGATTCTGGCTGTCGCGCCCGATGTCACACACCTCAAGGTTGGCGACCGCGTCGCCATCGAGCCCAACGTGATCTGTAACGCCTGCGAGCCCTGCCTGACCGGTCGCTACAACGGTTGCGAGAACGTCGCTTTCCTCTCCACTCCCCCCGTCGATGGTCTGCTCCGCCGCTATGTCAACCACCCGGCGGTTTGGTGCCACAAGATCGGAGACATGGCCTATGAGGATGGTGCCCTTCTCGAGCCTCTCAGTGTGACCCTCGCGGCCATCGAGCGCAGCGGTCTGCGTCTCGGTGACTCTCTGTTGATCACGGGTGCTGGTCCCATTGGATTGATCTCTCTGCTCAGCGCCCAGGCTGCTGGTGCCTGCCCGATCGTCATCACCGATATTGACGAGGGTCGTCTGGCCTTCGCCAAGTCCCTCGTTCCCAGCGTGCGCACATACAAGGTCGAGATTGGCAAGTCGGCCGAGCAGTGTGCCGAGGGTATCATCAATGCTCTCAACGACGGCAAGGGCTCTGGCCCCGATGCCTTGCGCCCCAAGCTGGCCCTGGAGTGCACTGGTGTCGAGAGCAGTGTCAACTCGGCCATCTGGAGTGTCAAGTTCGGTGGTAAGGTGTTTGTCATTGGTGTCGGCAAGAACGAGATGACCATTCCCTTCATGCGTCTCAGCACTCAGGAGATCGACCTCCAGTACCAGTACCGGTACTGCAACACTTGGCCCCGAGCCATTCGCCTGGTCCAGAATGGAGTGATCGATTTGAACAAGCTCGTCACTCACCGTTTCTCGCTCGAGGATGCTCTCAAGGCCTTTGAGACAGCTGCCAACCCCAAGACTGGTGCTATCAAGGTGCAGATCATGAGCTCCGAGGAGGATGTCAAGGCGGCCACTGCTGGCCAGAAGGTTTAAGAAAAGGGTGAAATCAGCGGGTTTCTGATTGGGATGGTTGACGATTTTCCTTTTGTAATATCCATGTCTAGAGCATGCCCATCGGGCAATAGAAAGGCCACTGAGCCATTCAGTTCAATTCTGGACCATTGTAGGATGTAGGATGTAGGATGTGAGAGTAAGAGTCCAAGTTGAAGTGGCAATAGGAGTATAGAGGCGGAGTCACTGGGGACCTTGCCAAGATCACCCCCCAACTTCCATCTCTCACTGCTTTTCCCCCTCACGTCGACCACAAGTCAGATGCAAGCAACATTCTCCCCCCAATGGAGTCAAATATGACCCGATATACCACAGACCCTGACTAGACCCTGACTGGACTCTGCGATGAATGCCCGGCATTCACCCTGCCGATCTCAGCCACCGCATCCGATAATTGCCCGTTGCTCCGCACATCGCATTACAGTACTTCCAAGCAATAGAACAATGCACCTCCTCCAAATCATATTGGCTCTTCAATTCATACACTATGTAACACTTGCATCGCCATGACCCCCCCTCCCACATTTCCCCTCATTGCCATGCTTGCACAGGTCAGGGTTTAAAAGATGCACAGGGCCACTTTCCAATTTGCCCACTTCTTCCTGTTGTGCTTTGTCCAATTGTAACCATGAAAGGGCTGTTCTTTCTAGCCCCCCTCGTGGGAGCTGCTGTGTTAGGTTCACGATCAAAACTCGATGAGTGTCCTGGATACAAGGCTTCCAATGTTAAACAGCTTGGGGAGACTCTGACGGCTGATTTGACTTTGGCTGGACATGCTTGTAATACTTATGGTTCCGATCTGCCGAATCTTAAGCTTTTGGTGGAGGCTCAGACTGGTATGTTTTATCATGCTATACAGTAGATCTCAGTTGGACCGATGCTGATGTGCATACTATACTAGAGGATCGTCTCCATGTTATGATCTATGATGCCGATGAAAAGGTCTACCAGGTTCCTGAATCGGTCGTACCTCGTCCTACCGGACAGAAGGGTCACCAGAAAAAGTCCGTTCTCAAGTTTGACTACAAGGAGAATCCCTTCTCTTTCAGGGTACTGCGTGGAAAAGAAGTGCTTTTCGATACTACTGGTACGAACATCGTCTTTCAATCTCAGTACCTGAACCTGCGCACGTGGCTGCCGGATGATCCCAACCTCTATGGTCTTGGTGAACATACGGATTCTCTGCGTCTGCCGACAACCAATTATACTCGGACACTGTGGAACCGAGATGCTTATGGTGTTCCATCTGGGACGAACCTCTACGGTGATCATCCGATCTACCTTGATCATCGTGGAGAGAAGGGCACTCATGCTGTTTTCTTCTTGAATTCTAATGGTATGGATATCAAGGTTGATAAGAGTGATGATGGGAAACAATATCTGGAGTATAATACTCTCGGCGGTGTTCTTGACTTTTACTTCATGGCTGGTCCGACACCCAAGGATGTCAGTGTGCAGTATTCAGAGATTGTTGGACTCCCTGTAATGCAGAGCTATTGGACCTTTGGTGTGAGTTTGCGTCATTTGTCTTTGACTTTCTTTGAATGGAGTTTAACGTTTCTAGTTCCACAATTGTCGCTATGGCTACCAGGATGCCTTCGATGTCGCTGAAGCTGTCTACAACTATAGTCGTGCTGGCATCCCACTTGAGACTATGTGGACTGATATCGACTACATGGACGGCAGAAAAGTGTTCACTCTTGACCCTGCGCGATTCCCCATTCACAAGATGCGGGAATTGGTTTCGTATCTGCATAAGCACGATCAAAAGTATATTGTCATGGTTGACCCAGCTGTTAGCCACTCTGGTAGGGCCATCATGATCTCCACCCACAATGCAATATCTAACAAGTAAATATTAGACAACGGTGCATTCAACCGAGGCTCCGACCAAAGCATCTTCCTCTACCGCGACAGCGACCAAAAAGAACTTTACGAAGGTACCTTATATCCCCGGAAGAATGCCTCACAAAGTGCCAACTAAAAATGAACAGGAGCCGTCTGGCCAGGCTTAACCGTCTATCCAGACTGGTTCAACCCCGACACACAAGAATACTGGAACGACGAATTCGCCCGCTTCTTCAGCGCCTCGGACGGCGTCGACATCGACGGTCTCTGGATCGATATGAACGAAGCCTCCAATTTCTGCCCATACCCCTGCAAGAATCCGGCCCAGTATGCGCTGGATAATGACCTGCCACCTGCGCCTCCGGCTGTTCGGAAGCCGCCTCGGCGCATTCCTGGTTTCCCTGGGGATTTCCAGCCTGCGAGCTCGAAGAGGGTCAAGAGGGGCGTGGAGGTCCAGCGGAGTCTGAGTCTGGGTTCTCGGAGCCATGGACATGGCACGAATGGTGCAGGGAAAAAGGGAATGAAGATTGGTCTTGAGGATCGGGATCTTATTAACCCTCCTTATGAAATTGCTAACGAGGCCGGTGGAATCAGTAACAAGACCATTGATACTGATATTGTTCATGCTGGAGAGGGCTATGCCGAGTATGATACTCACAACCTTTATGGGACCAGTATGTTCTCCTATTCTGTACCTGGGCGAATGACAGTCTAACAGAATTAGTGATGAGCTCCGCATCCCGCGAAGCAATGCTCAAGCGTCGTCCTCATGTCCGTCCTCTCATCATTACTCGCAGTACCTTTGCTGGAGCAGGATCACACGTTGGGCACTGGTAAGCCAGCCATTGACTTCCCAATCTCCATGGCCCCCTCTATCCCAAACTTCATCCTAACGACAGAGAACAGGCTCGGCGACAATCTCAGCGAATGGGGCAAATACCGCATCTCGATCGGCCAAATGTTAGCCTTTGCCTCGATCTTCCAAATCCCCATGGTGGGAAGCGACGTCTGCGGGTTTGGAAGCAACACGACCGAAGAACTCTGCGCGCGCTGGGCCATGCTCGGCGCTTTCAGCCCATTCTATCGTAACCACAACCAACTCGGCTCCATCCCGCAGGAATTCTATCGCTGGGAGAGTGTCACGAAGGCCGCCAAGAAGATTATTGATATTCGGTATCGGCTGTTGGATTATTTGTATACTGCTTTCCATCAGCAGACGTTGACGGGCGTACCGTTCTTGCAGCCGCTGTTCTTTGTTTATCCAGGCGATGCCAATGTTGTTGGAAATGAGTTGCAGTTCTTCTATGGGGAGGGCCTTCTTGTTTCGCCTGTTTCCGAGGAGGGTAGTACTTCTGTCCAGGCTTATTTCCCGGATGACTTGTTCTATGATTGGTTTACCGGGGCGAAAGTTGTTGGGACCGGGGCTACGCAGACCCTGTCTGGCATCTCCATCACTGATATTCCGATTCATATTCGGGGTGGGCGTATCCTTCCCTTGCGTGTCGAGGGTGCGATGACAACGACTGAGCTGCGCACTCGTGGCTTCGAGATTCTCATCGCGCCGGGTGCTGATGGGTCTGCCGAGGGCGACTTGTACCTTGACGATGGAGAGTCGATTGAGGTTCCGAGTGCGACCGAGGTTCACTTCCAGTATCGCGATGGGAAGTTGAAGATCAGTGGTCGCTTTGGGTATCATCCTGCGGTGGCCATTGAGGCCATCACCGTTCTTGGTCGGGATTCTCCGTCTCCGCGCAAGAAGGGTGTTCAGTATGATGCTGCGCGCAGGAGCCTCACCAAGACGGTTAATATTAAGTTGACTGGTCCAGCGGAGGTGGAAGTTTAAGTCGGAATTTCTAAGTTTGTCCCTGAACCACTGGGTTCAGGCAGTTCCTCAGAAGAGCAATTCCAGATTCTACGCTTTGACCGTTGCTATACTCCGTACCGTAGTATACAATATATTAGAAACCGGGCCATGCGTTGATCATTGGCCCAACGGCTGTTCCTGCATTTCCCCATACTCTGGCCCGGACTCGAACCAGGATCATATTGACGTGTAATCACCTTGGGTGCCTCCAAGTGCCCCAGGGTGCCTCACCAGGTGTTTCGGTAGTATAAGCGCCTCGACAGTACAGTATTGATCCCTTGCATCGACCCAGGGGGGGGGTTCTCAGACCACTTTCCCAGCCATTCTAATAATATACTTCGAGTCGACCCTAGTGTGGGGCTGTGAGAAGTCTCACACAGCCCTTATGCGACCGTCTCTCTTCCAGTCACTTCGCTCTTGTCTGACTCTCAGTAGGCAGAAGCAGTGGGTCACATCGGCGCTAGGCCAGTCCGTACTCCGACGCCACGTTCACAGCACAGACGGGTTCTTGAGTCATCTGATGTCCACCGGGGACACCTTGGGCATGTTCTGGATATCATAAGCGAGGAACTCCTGCCTGGGTACTAAAATAGACTTGTCGCATGGTAGGATCCAGGTAGGATACATCGACTCCCGTGGATGGAAAGTCCGTTTCCTTGGGATAAGACCCTGTCAATGTTTCACGTCCAGCCATTTGCTCTCATTTGTGGGACAGAAATTCCAGGGACCAAAGGAAAACCTCGGCTGACTCTCATGTATTGCCATATTACCGTATTACCGTATGGTCAAGCCAAGTGGATGGCGGTAATTTATTCCGATCGGTGGAAGATCGGATCGATCTGAGCTGTTTTCCAGTTGATACTGGATGTATGTCCAGTATACAGAGTGAGAAAAATCCTCCAAAAAAGAAAGAAAAACCAAGATGCCATATGCAATACCCATGTACAGTAGAGGCATTGTCATGCAGCCTCCAATAAGCCCTACCAGACGCATGTCAAGCTTTGATCCCCAGCTCATGGGGCTGATCCACTGAGCCGTGTCTCACCCCGGGTACTGGAGGGCCCAAAGCCAATCCCGCCTCCTCCTTTTTTTAGTCTCACTTTTAGCCTCTGATACAGACAATAGTGCCATATTGTGTCTACTGGAGGGTACTTTGGACTGTAGATAAAAGAGCGGAGTCCACGGAGCTCTGTCCCAGCGCTCTTGTGTTTACCCACTTTTCTCTGCTCTGGTGCTTTTAATCCTCTCCTCTCCCACTTTCCTTCTCTTCTTCTTCTCACCTCTCTCTCTCTCCCACCCTTCACACAACCATGCCTTCCCTCATGAAGCTCGTTGCCACGGCTCTCGCCGTGGCCCCTGCTGTGGCCCAGACCTTCAGTGACTGCAACCCTCTCCAGGCAACCTGCCCGGCGAACCCTGGTACCACCGAGTCGGACCTGGTCTTTGACTTCACTCAGTCCAATGCCTTGGGCAAGTGGAAGACCACCGCCGGCACGGTCAACACTGGTGGTAGCAATGGCGCCGCCTTCACCATCAACAAGTTGGGCGATGCTCCCACCATCCAGACCGACTTCTACTTCTTCTACGGTGAGATCAGTGTCGAGATGAAGACTGCTCCCGGTCAGGGTATTGTCAGCTCCATTGTGCTCGAGTCGGATGACCTCGATGAGATTGACTGGGTATGTACCTTTCTCCTGCCAACCACGTCCGGAATGGGCACTAACGAATCAACAGGAGGGTATTGGTGGTAACAATGGACAAATTGAGACCAACTACTTCGGCAAGGGTGATACCACCACATATGATCGTGCGACTTGGGTTGCTCTGGCTACTCCGGAAGATGTTTTCCACAAGTACACCATCAACTGGTCCAAGGAGGCCATCGTCTGGTCCATTGACGGCACCCCCATCCGCACTGTCAACTACGCCGATGCCAAGGGCGGTACTCGCTTCCCCCAGACCCCCATGAACCTCCGCATCGGTATCTGGGCTGGTGGCTCCAGCGACCAGCCGGGTACCGTCACCTGGGCTGGTGGTGCTACCGATTACTCTGCTGCTCCCTTCAGCATGTACATCAAGAGCGTCGAAATCAAGAACGCCAACCCGGCCGAGTCCTATACCTACTCGGACAAATCTGGCTCGTCTGACTCCATTAAGTTCACTGGCTCCAACGCTGTCAGTGCCCGCAGCACCACCTCCTCGGCTGCTCCCACCTCGACCACGGAGACCTCCGCGGCCGAGACTTCCTCGGTTGCGGCTGCCACCACCACTGAGACTTCCGCCAGTGTGGCTCCCACCACCGAGGCTTCTTCCACCCCTACCACCATGGTGACTGCCGCTCAGAGCTCCTCCGCCTCTGCCTCTGCCTCTGCCTCTGCTGCTGGTTCTTCCACCGCCGCTAGCACCGGTGCCTCCAGCTCTGCTGCCTCCGGAGCTTCTGAGAGCTCTAGCGCTGCCGGTCCCACCGAGACCGGCTCCGGCTCCTCCAGCTCTGGCTCCTCCAGCACCGGTGGCAGCACGGAGACCGGCTCCGGCTCTTCCTCTGGCTCCTCCAGCTCCGCTGGTACCAGCACTAGCGCCTCGGCCTCGGCCAGCTCCAGCCCCGCCTTCAACGCGGCCTCCAGCTTGGCTGCCAGCTACATGGGCCCTGTGTCCATGCTCGCTCTGGCTGCTGCATTCTTCCAGCTGTAAATGATTCTCTGAGCGCTTGTTTTCCGTCATGCATATTTTAATGAAAACGCGCCTCGATTGAGGAATACACCTGGGCTGGATCCGGATATGGTAATGGTTTGATGGATGGTTTTCTATGATGTACCCTATTTTATTTTTTTCTTTGTCCTTATTTTCCCCGACGCCTTCTTTTCACCATTGCTTCCGGGCTGGTAAGGGTTGGCGATTGTTTGGGCGGACATTTCTGTATCTAGCGAATACCACTATCAACGAGCAATAATTCTTGTCTTTGACACATTTTTTCTCCAAATCAACAATAAATCCCTCAGTGTATTCCACAGTGGCTTGGATCCAGAAAAATTCACCGCCTCTTAGCCGGTTAACCCGAACTCTACACAGTACCTGAAGCTATAGTGCATGCATCTGCCCACTTTATTGCATCCACATTCCACATTCCAACCTAAATCAAACCTACACATATTGACTTTGATCTTTATTGTACCTTACCTTTGCCTTTACCTTTACCTACATCCACAGCTACAGTACAGCTACAGTAACAGCGACAGGAACATACAATGTACAGGAACCCATGCCCGCCCGCATGACTAAATCATATGCGAACCACCATTCCAACTCGCCTATACAGATAAAATACCTCACCGTGAATCGGACATCAATACCGTGTCCAGCCCCGAGCTCAAACCCTGGAACTGATGCTCTTGGCCAGGTCTGGATTGGCTGTGGATGCCTTGTATTTCTTTGATTAGGGCAAGTGTAGTCGGATTGGTTGGCTTACACTGGTTGCATTGGGCAACCGTGGTTGGGTGCTTGGTTTGTTTGGTTTGTTTGGTTGCTTTGCGATTCGGTCGGTTTCGACTGTATACATTGAGTGGGTGTCGGGTCCGATTTTTTCGTTTATTCTCTGGATGTTCAAGGGAAAGTGATTGACACTTGGTTCTGGGCTTGTAATTGTACTTGTAATTGTAAAATTGTCATGACTCGTTATGTATCTTCGTGAATTTCCAGGGTCCGCTGCGGGAATCCTCCAATAATTTGAACTCCCAATGACCATGCGTAGGCTCCAACCAAATTGCAAATATAAATCAAACTAAATCAAATCAAATCAAAAATGCACAGCTATCAAGGAATGGTACAGTACAATCATGTACAGTACTGTACCTGTAACACCAACTCGATCCTTCAATCCTTTGACCAGGAATCCAAGATGATCCTCAATGATGTACAGTACAGCCATCCAACTCGGACCCCTACCCAGTGGGTCGCGAGTCAGTCAGGGTACTGTAGTGGGTTGGTATCGAGTTTGTCTCGGGCAGGTCTTGGGGTCTCAGTCAATAAGTGGACCCAACCCCAGCACGCTGCACATCCCTCAATTGACGTGCCAACCTCAACACCGAATCAGCAACTGGACGATGATGCGTTGCCGCAACACGGAGCAGCGCCAAGGTCGCGGCGGGTCGTGGCGATGGCGTGGACTCCATCGAGGTGGGTTCATCTGCAGGGTCCTGAGCCTGAGCTGACGACGCCGATGCAGCTCCTGACGATCGCGCCCGGAAGAAATAAGACCCGATGGTGCCGAGATCGAGCGAGTCCAGCACGGAATGGAGACGGTCTCCGGGGTTGTGGTCGCGGTTGATCGCTCGGCTGGGGTTTCGTCGGTCTTCGCGTGTGACGATTCCGTCTATCGCTTCCAAGTGGTCGTCCAGCGTGGTGAAGCGCGTGTGGAGAGAGTCGGCTTTGCTGCGGATTTGGCTGCGCAGTCTGTCTAGGTATTCTTCGCGTCGTCGCGTTTGGATTGCCAGTCGCATGTCGCTTGCTACTGTGCCTGTGCCTGTGGCGGGCTCGGGTGGCCGTGTTGCGAGTAGGCTGTCGATGGCTGAGCGTAGATCTGCGCGGAGGGAATCGAATTCCCAGACTGCGGCTTGCATGGCTGACGTGCTGCCTTGAAATTCGAGATCGAGCGCGTTTTTGGCATCTGGAAAGGTTGTCCTCAGTTGCGCTTCTAGGTCGGAGAGCATGCTTTCGCTTTGTTTCAGGATTCCTGATAGCGGTGTTAGGGTTTCTAGGGACAGGTCAAAGATCGACTCTAGTTGTCGCTGGGAGGTGGACAGAGGTTCTTCGGGAGATCTTGCTGATTGGAATGAAGTCTGTGGTGGATATGTCGGTGCCAAGGTGATACAGCTGCTGGGATAGAGAGCTTTGATGCTGGGCAGCCGGCAAAGGTCTTTGGCTTGGTAGACAAGCTCTGGGAGGACAAGCAGGTGGAGGATCAGGGCAACGAGAACGGCATTAATAGCCCCTCGGAGAAGGGTGCTGTTCACAAGCCCGACCTTATCCTTCGCAACGTCGTCTTCGGTTGCTAGAGACGAGCCAGCGTCTCCAGCCTTGGCGATCTTCTGGTCTTGCGCTGCGGTTTCACTTTGCACTGGCACTTTGCGTCGTTTCTTCATGTTTGGCGTGCCCGACTGACTCGGAGATTGTCTATATTCTACCCATGACTTTTCTGGGTTTGGCGTCTCGCATATGGAGGGCATGATCAGCTCCGGGCCCGATATCCATGATGACGAGGAAGTCAGTGACTCCGATGACTGCTCGATCTTCGAGTTGCTCTTCTTTTGAGGGCTGTGATTTGGTGTGACCGGGGCTTTCTCGTTGGTTTCTCTCTCCTTGATCGACGACGCGATCACCCAAGACTCGCCCAAGGCTGGGTGATCTGAGCTGGGTTGTTTTGTAGACATGGCGTAAACATTTCAGCTGGACATCAAGGACCTTCCGACGTAGCGAAGTGTAGACTGTGCTCCCAGGTTGCCCTTGAAGATATGCAACTGGGCTGACTGCCCGAGTTGCAAAGCGGTGGGGGAATCATCAGATCGGCAGGAAATGCGGCCGAGAATCTTCAGCGCAAACAACAATGCGCCCATTGCCCCGATTGCCATTGCTAGTCCACAGAGCTCTGCCACGGCATCTCCCTCGGTCGCGATTGTTATCCACGACAGCTCTTCGCAATTGCTCGTGTTCCGACCCCAAGCAACCCGAAACTCCGATACCTCCCACCGATCATCGAGCTATCGGAACTGCCCAGGAGCTCTTCACCTCCTCCGTTTATAGCCCCGGATCTCCTCTCTTCCTGCCCAATGGCACTCACGTCGTCAACAAACTCATCTCCTTCCTCCGCACTCAATACCTTCAATACGGCTTCCGTGAAGTCCTGACACCAACCATCTACAAACGATCACTATGGGAAATATCGGGCCACTGGCAGAACTACAAAGATGACATGTATGAGGTTACCGGTCGTGGAGCTAGCGGCGAAGCCGAGGGCGAGATCGGTGAGGACGAGTCATACGGATTGAAGCCAATGAACTGTCCCGGTCACTGCCTGCTCTTCAAATCACAGAACCACTCGTATCGCGATATGCCGGTGCGCTATGCAGATTTCAGCCCTCTGCACCGTAATGAAGTGTCCGGATCTTTGACCGGTCTCACGCGAGTGCGCCGCTTCCATCAAGATGACGGACACATTTTCTGTCGCCCGCAGCAAATCAAGGCGGAGATTGCTTCGGCGTTGGGATTCGTCGACATGGCTATGAAGACCTTCGGACTCGGACCGTACCGATTGGTGCTGTCCACTCGGCCGGAGACGGATTATATTGGGACGATGGAGATGTGGGATAATACCGAGACCCAGTTACGGGAGGCGTTGGATAGCACTGGGCGCGAATGGGCTCTGAACGAAGGCGACGGTGCTTTCTACGGCCCTAAGATCGATATTCAGCTCCAGGACCAAGCTGGCAAGTTCCACCAGTTGTCTACCATTCAATTGGACATGAATCTGCCCCAGCGCTTTGAGCTTGAGTATCAGGTCGCAGAGGGCGAGCCGGACTACAACCCTGCTACGCCTGGAGTTGCAACTCCGGTCATGATTCACCGTGCCATCTTTGGCTCCTTGGAGCGCTTTTTGGCTCTGCTTATTGAAGAACACGGCGGACATTGGCCCTTCTGGCTCTCTCCACGTCAGGCTATCATCTTGACTGTCAATCAAGATGAAGCTGTGTTGCAGCAGGCCAAGGAAGCGGCAGCCAAGTTCTCTGGGTTCCGCGCATTGCTGAACGACGGCAGTGCCCAGCCGCCGCGTCCGTTGTCGTCTGTCGATTCGACTTTCCTGGTTGACGTTGATGCCAGTGCGCAGACTTTGGGAAAGAAGATCCAGCGTGCCAAGCAGATGCATTATAACCTCATTTTCATTCTGGGGTCGCGCGATCTTGCCGATGGTGGTATCACTGTCGACATTACGGGACAGATGCAAAGCAAGACCGACCCGGATGGCCAGCTCCAAACGCTGCTCAAAACCAAACTGGGCGACCATGCGCTGCACAACCCTCGAGCCGTTAAGCTCAAGGTAGATGAGGTTCACTCGCTATTGGTGGACTTGGAGAAGAACTTTGTATAACATCCTGGAAGTCATTTGATATGAGCGCCTGTACTACCCACGATATTCCCATTTCCAATTCGACTGTATAATTTCCACATTCCCCTTTTCATCTTGTCCATTCCACCGTCCAGTTTCTGATTGACGGAGACCATCTCTTCTTCTCTCTTCGCCCGCGCGGCTATCCTCGGAATAGATGCCTCAGGCGAGAAACCGCCTCCGAGTTCGGGCCCCTGTAGGCGTGCAAGAAGAGCCCATTCTGATCTGTAAGGGCTGCAAAGGGAGTCAAATTCAAGATTCAATCCTTGAAAAGCAGAACAACAGGCCCGACAACTGCTCCGCCACTCATCTCTCGATCCTCACGCCCTTCGCTCGACTTGCATATCACGTGACTCCGCTGTCGGCGCCGAAAACTCGTCATGATCGACTTTTGAGTCACAGCATATTCCCCATTCTTCATTGGCTTCGACTTTCTTTTCTATAAAGACTCTGTGTTCTGATCTTGGAATATTCCCAAGTTGATTCTTCTGCGTACCGAGTCTGCCTGGCCGACTACACTTCCAGATCTTCTTATCAAATTCCTCCCCCCGCGGTACCCCGCCACTCCGCCATGCCGATGTATGTCATGTCTACAGATCAATGTTATGCGGTGCTGACCAGTCTAGGCTCAAGGACCCCTCAAAAAAGTACAAGGCGTTCAAGCCTCTGAACCTGCCGAACCGTCAATGGCCTAACAAGATCATTGATAAGCCTCCTCGCTGGATGGCCACCGATCTGCGCGATGGCAACCAATCTCTGCCCGACCCAATGGTATGATTCACCATTCATCCTGAAATGAGTGTATACTGACTGTGGTATAGGATCTCAATGCCAAATACCGCTTTTTTAAGATGCTCGTTGAAATCGGTTACAAGGAAATCGAAGTGTCGTTCCCGTCCGCGTCCCAGATCGATTTTGACTTCACGCGCCGTCTGGTCGAAGAGCCCGGTCTCACCCCCGATGATGTTTGCCTGCAGGTCCTGTCTCCCTGTCGTGAGGACCTCATCCGTCGCACAGTCGACTCCCTGAAGGGCGCCAAGAAGGCCATCCTGCACATCTACCTCGCCACAAGCCCTTGTTTCCGTCGCATTATCTTCAACATGGATCGCAAGCAGAGTCTGGAAATGGCTGTCCGCTGCACCAAGTATGCCCGCTCCATCACCAAGGATGACCCCTCCCAGGCTGGTACCGAGTGGCAATTCGAATTCTCCCCCGAGACCTTCTCCGATACCGAGCCCGAATTCGCTGTCGAGGTTTGCCAGGCTGTGAAGGAAGCCTGGGAGCCTACTGTCGAGCAGCCTATTATCTTCAACTTGCCCGCCACCGTCGAGATGGCTACCCCCAACGTCTTTGCCGATCAGGTCGAGTACTTCTGCACAAACATGACCGAGCGCGAGAAGTTTGTCGTTTCAGTTCACCCCCATAACGACCGTGGCTGCGCTGTTGCCGCTGCTGAACTGGCACAAATGGCCGGTGCTGATCGAGTCGAGGGTACTCTGTTCGGCAACGGCGAGCGTACTGGAAACGTCGATCTGGTCACACTGGCTCTGAACCTGTACACACAAGGTGTCTCACCCAAGGTCGACTTCTCAGATATCAACTCCATCATCAAGGTGGTAGAGGAGAGCAATAAGATTCCCGTGAACGAGCGCTGGCCTTATGGAGGTATCCTCACCCCGGTGGCCTTCTCCGGAAGTCACCAAGACGCCATCAAGAAGGGCTTCAAGCTCCGCGAGGAGGGCCGAGGAAAGGACGAGGAAACCGAGTGGGTCATTCCCTACCTGCCCCTGGACCCTCAAGATATCGGCCGTACCTACGAGGCCGTCATTCGCGTCAACTCCCAGAGTGGCAAGGGTGGCGCCGCCTGGATCATTCTGCGCAGTCTGGAGCTGGATCTCCCCCGCGCACTCCAGGTCGAGTTCAGCAAGATCGTGCAGGAAAAGACCGAGTCTGTCAGCAGAGAGCTGAAACCCAGCGAGATCGTCAACCTCTTCGAGGAGGCTTACCACCTCAAGTCCAACCCCCGCTTCAACTTGGTCGACTACAGCATTACCACCGACCGCTCGCAGTCCCCTGCTCCCCCTGAGCCTGGCAAGGCCCTCAACACTAAGAACCTTAAGCGTCGCTTCACTGGTGTTATCGAGATTGATAACGTTCAGCATGCCGTCACCGGTGTCGGCGCTGGTGCTATTTCCTCCCTGGCTACTGCTCTGTCAACTCTGGGCATTGACCTGGATGTCCGCGACTACAAGGAGCACTCTATCGGTCTCGGACGTGACGTCAAGGCTGTCACATACATTCACTGCACAGCAGCCGGTAGCAACGAGCAAGTGTGGGGTGTTGGTATCCACCAGGATGTGGTCCAGGCCTCTCTGATTGCGCTGCTCAGCGCTGCCAGCTCGGTAAGTCCTCTTTGATTACTCTCACCTTGATATATATCACTAACCTGACCCTAGTTCCTCGCCTCCCGCGCTGGCTCTCCCGCCCCTTTCCGTCCTATCCGCTCCAACACCCTCACCAATGATGACCTGCAGGCTCTCGAGCAGCTGACCGGCACCTCCGAGGCCGTTACCTCCAACGGCGGTCTCAGTGCCAAGGTTGACATCGAGCAGCTGACGACCAAGGCCGAAAGCCAGTAAACTGTAAAGAACAAAAGTGAAGTCAGAAGTTGTTTTCGGGCTTTAAAAGTAGCAATAATGCATATTCCGGACCGTGTCTGGCGTTTCAATCTTCAATTTCTTTTCTTTCTATCTATAGTCTCGATCGAGAATGACAGCGTGCGAATACAAGTCATGCATTTTAGTCCTATCCGCTAATTGAAGACGTCATGTCATGTATGAGCATATTTAGACAGTTACCATCCACCAAAAGTATCATCCCAACTCCAACCCCAGCTCCTCTTCTCGGCACTCGTAGTTCCATAAGCATGATACTTCTGCGGCCCTTCAGCGGAAATAATATACCCTTTCTCACAAGACGAGAACGAGACCTTCGGCTGATTCTCGTAGAACGTGTCAAAGCCAGAATCTAGTGCATCTGCCAGACTATTGACCTTTCCTGCTGGGTGGAGCTGACGCCAAGGGTACCGGCAGGCGTCGCCTTCACAGGACTTCAGCACTAGCATTAGGGCATCGAGGCGGTTCAGGATCTGGGGCAGTTTGCGTTGGGCAATGGTGTAGCTTTGTTTTGCGGGATGTGTTCCTAGGTTTTTGGTTTGATGAGGGTCGCCCTGGTTTTTTGTGAGCTTTGGGTTCAGACATGTTGGTGGGAGATGAGTGGATTGGGCTTACCTTGAGGTCAAAAAACTCCTTCTCGTTGGAGCACCATACCGAGTAGTATAGGCTATAATCGTTTGAGTGTAGCCTGATAGCTTTGTAGGTGTTGTTTTCGTAACTGTTGTGAGGTTGTTGGAGTTTGTCACTGGCATATCCGTAGATTCCTTCTGGAACAGCCTGGATTTACAATCAGAATCTGTGTCGACTTCCATAAACTGCTGGACTTACCAATCCCCAGTACTCAATGGCAACATGCTCGGTCCTGTTATCTGCCGTACTGGCAGCAACAGTTGTGGGAATCTTCTTCCCATCCAGACCCTCTCTCGTAGCCCCAGCCAGGGACAAGAATGTCGGTGCAAGATCGGTATGACTTGTGATAGCATCCAGTGTCTGGTTTTTTCCAATGCCAGGTCCTCGCACGATCAAAGGGACATTAATATCAGTTTCTAGATACAAGTTAGTCCAATCCGAACAGAACAAAGACCAGCTGAACTCACCATAGCCACAATTTTTCCCCGGCTGCATCCGATGCTGCCCAAGATGATACCCATTGTCCGTTGAAAAGAAGATATAAGTATTGTCCAGCTCCCCCAACTTATCCAACTTGTCAACCAAATCTCCTATCATATCATCGACAGCCTGCAACGCACGCAGCCGACACCGCTGAAACTCATCAATGTAATCAATGACGGTCTGATTCAATTCCTGCAGATTATCCACCCAGCTAACCGCATTTTCAATACGCGTATTGAAACTCTCGTCTCGCGGCGCCTTGAGGTCCTTGAAGAGACCCGCATGTCGAGGCGCAAACTCAGGCTCCCCGAACCAGTTCGCGTCCCGTGTTGAATCGTGCGATCCATTTGAATGCGGCGCATTTGGTGCCACAGTTAGCATCCACGGTCTATCCTGCTTGACGGCTTCATCAATGAACCCGGCTGCCTTTTCGGCGATCACATCGGTCGAGTAATTGCCGTCGTATTTGACTGGGGTGTTGCCATTGCGGGTCATCCGTGCGAACCAGTACCTGTATGTGTATGGGTCCAGGAGGAAGTCTGAACCGTTGAAGCCGCGTGCGTAGGGTTTGTTGTAGTTGTCTTCTGTGTGCGCGTTCCAGAGCTTGCCGACGTAGTATGTGTTGTAGCCTGCATCTTGCATCCAGAGGGGCAGATAGTTGTCATTCCAGCCGGCTGATACGACTTTGGGGTAGCCGCCGTAGGGAAGGCCCACGTCCGTTACGTTGGTATTGTGTGGCATGCGGCCTGTCCAGAGGTTTGCGCGGGAGGGACAGCAGAGGGCGATTGAACAGAAGTGTTTGGAGTAGCTTGTTCCTTGTTCAACTAGCGTGGACTATATGGATATTAAGATTGTATCTGGCTGCTTGGTTTGGTATCGTCCATACCTGTAGTTTGGGCATATGCTCCAGTCCCCCGACATATTTGCCCTGGTCGTCGGTTAGGACGAAGAGAATGTTTGGTTGTTTGGCTGCGACTAGGCTCGCTGCCAGCAGAGTTCCCAGTTGAAATTTCATTTTCAAAGGTTTTCTTTTGCTCTGTTGCTTCTATGGCAGAACCCCTCCGGGCAGCTATATAGTCCGATTTGGCCTCGGGCATCCAGGATCCAGACATGAGGGGAGCTGTGGTCTCATTTCTCCACAGAATTGCTCATCGACAATCATCTACTGTACAGCTCTCTTCCATCGTATGAGAGAACGCGAATCAGGGCGATCCTCGTCGGTTGTGTATGTATAAGATCGGCAGTCGGCAGAGCATCGCAGAGAAAAGATGGAGACTACGGGACGGAGTGACGAAATAGAGAGGGGTTGGCTGCTGATCCAGAGCACTAGGGGTTAAACTAGTCAAGTGTGAAGTGTTTAGGGTTAAGTTATGTCCTGAAGAGTCAAAGCCCAAGTGATGATGGAAGCATGGGTCGCCATCACGTCTTCGGGTGACTAATCCCCTCCCGTCACGTGAACGTATACTTCCAAGTTGACTGAACTTAACTTATAACTTATAGTTGACTACCTTATTGTTCGGCTCCTATTCTTTATTAGCCGGCATTTAGCCATCCAAAACTCATCAAAGATTCTTCCAAGGTTCGGCTTGAAGTGAAACTCCAGGGGCTCTCAAGTTCAGTTGCAGTTTAACTTTAACATTAACGTTAACATCAACCAACTTGATAGTCTAAGAACGATCAGCACTACGTCATGAAAAATGATGTCGACCACGGATTTATGTGACAACAAAGAAGACTGCACAATCCAAATCCCATAAGTGAGCCCCTTCTGTTTTCATTCCGTCGGGGAGTATCTTGCCTTGTAAGGAATCTACAATTCTTTCGTCTTTGGTTTCTATTTGCAGTTCAAAAGCAGGTCGAACAATTTTCTCTTGATCAGGGGAGCCCTCAATAAACCGACTGTGATGTTTGAGAACCAAAGATATAGTCCGTATGGTCCTGCCAACTCCAGTCCAAAATTCGCTTTTCTGTCGTCCCAGCAAGACCACCAGTTGCTGTCTGGGAAATCATAGTTTCTGGCACGCATTGCGAGGGGTCAGGGCCATTTTGGGTGTATTCCGATATGTGAAGTTTAATGATGGCGAAGGCGATCGCTTTACGTAGCATCCAACTTATCCCCTGCTAAACCGATGTTAGAATGATGTAAACAATGTCTCCGGCGAAACACACCAGCTGAAGGATTGGGTCTGGTTCGGTTGATAGACCTCTGTCCTGAATGAAAGATTTACCGTGTTTCCTTCACACGTCTGCAAAAACAAACTTGATACTGATGATCAAGTCACCCATAACCCAGAATTCATTAAGGCACTGTATCATGTTGTCCAATGCCCTGGGCAGACTTGTTGATAAAGTTCGATCGATTGGGACTTATAAATGTAGCGGAGTGGGTATCTTGTCTTTCATCCATGATCTCGGATGATCGTACAGCAAAGGAGTACAGTAAGAGATAGAGTATGCTTCGCCTTACAGAATACATGCAAGGGGGATTATCATATACATTGAGCTAGCTTATGTGCCAATAGCACGGTCAACGTACATACTCAACATATATACATACATGTATTGAACGCCTGACCTAAATTCCAGCGAATCAGACGTAAGCGCTCTTTCAGTCTACACTGCTTCATTTTATGTGATCGACCAGGTGAGGATTGAGAATAGGTTCGTCGGATTCTAGTCCCCCAGCTATAAATACGTCTCATCTTCATAGATTCAGCATAAAACGCTACACTTTCTTTACTCCCCCACCAAACCGCATACATACACACATCTCTTCTCACTTTTCTCACTTGTCGCTTTTGATACTATCCCTCAGAATGTGGGACTACTTTGATGGCAAATCCATCCTAGTCACCGGAGGGTCTCGGTTTCTAGGAACTGCTGTTGTACATCGCCTGCTTAGCCGTTCGTCTACATGTCATGTCTACTTACTTTGTCGCGGGGGAGAGGAGTACGTTGTTTGTTGATAATATTCAAAAAATCATGCAATCTATCTGACTATCATCTCATAGGAAACTTCGCCGTAAATGGGCAGAGTGGTTGCCAGTCGATACGGTATAGAAGCTTTGCGGCTCAGGCCATTTGTCTGTCATGGAAGGAGACATACTCATGCATGATCTGGGGCTCTCAAAAGCGGATTTAGAGACCGTACGGCGAATGCCCACCTTCATGCTCCCAGCAAAGTAACTGGCTCTGATTTGGATGTTCAAGAAGACTTTTATTGTCTTAAAACCCAAGGAAATCCCATTGACGAGTGGAACGACGTGAAGAAGCTCGGTACAAGCCAGGCATACGAAAGTGAAGACTTCCCATGGGCATATGCCTATGCGAAACATTTGACGGAACGACTGTTATTGCACCGCTTTTGTCAATCTGACGCGAAAGAAAAACTCTTGATTGTCCGTCCCTCAATCGTTGGACCAGCCCAGCGCTTTCCATTTCCGGGATACAACATGCGTTTTTCAAGTCCTTCCACGGTGTTAGCCACAATAATGGCGCTGGAACCATATCGCAGGTGGAATCTCGTGACGCAGTTCGAAGCACCGGAGCTACAGGCCCAGATAGATGAAGTTCCTGTAGATGTTGTTGTCGACCGTCTTTTATCACACCTGGCTGCAGGGAACGATGGCTGTATTCACGCTGTGAGTGGGAAAAGCGCTCGAGTAACTGTTCAGGAGAAGTACGGTCAATATATGAGTCTTTGAAAAAAACCTTGGGCAATACAACTACGGTGGTTGAAGGGGGACTGGAAGTCTGGAGAGCAACATTGGGCAAGTCGCCTATATGTGATTCTGGGCACCTCGTTTGCTTTCTCGGAGGACCGAACTATGGCACTGAGTCGTGAGGTTGACCAGAAGAAATTTCCAGATCTACAGCTCTTCACTCGTATCAACATGGCCAGTCCTTCTGTGATCCGAGAAGAGCACATTCGACATGTCATGGAAACGTTTGCGCAGAAGTTTTGGGGGGCGTGGTTGATTCTGAATGTCTTTTATCGAAACTTCGGCTTCAAAACGTGATATAAAACTATTATTTCAGTGGTATATATATCTTTATGGTTTCTGAAGCAATCAGAATGAAAATTTAGAACACCTAACATCGTCTCTCGTAGTAAAATCTACTTGCTATGTTCAAGCTTTTAAGGCATATCAAATCAAATCTATAATATGGCATCGAACTTTTCTTTCCGAAAAACATATGCTCAATCGCGATCAATGTCGTACTAACGCCTCTCATTCTATAAAGAATAATATGTCGTTGACATGGCGGAGTCTTCGGAGAGTACGGAAAAGAGGACACTGGATTGTGCAGGGTATTGAGGTCATGAGTGAGGCGAGTTTGGAAAGCTCCATTTGCCATCCCAGGTCGGCGACTACTCCCTGTGTTGATTAGATGTCGTAGGCTTCTCTCGAGCAATCAATGAGCCCAGCTTGCCACCAATATCTAAGTTGGGGGAGATCCACCAATCTGGCCTCCAATCTTCAAGCAGGCTTTCGATCGATGTCGAAAAGTCAGACTAGCTACGTTGATCTTCAGTCACAACAACCAGCCCCTTAAAAAACCATTTTTGAAATACGACGTCAGTGAGCATCGCGGGCATTCGAAAAACCGTGGCAAGAGAAGGGATAGCCGCCGGGGTTTCCAACTAATTTCCTTGAGCTCGAAATATTCCAACGCATTTTTAAGCTCCGTGGACAATGAGTACAGTAAAGAAAAAGGTCGTGTAATTGCGCGACCGGCGAATCCTGTTGAGATTTAAAAATTGCTGTAAAAAAATATTTCACAGTCAACTGGAAAATATCGTGTTTTCTTTATAGAAGATTTGGACATTTTGCGGTGATATGCCAGCAAACGGATCCAAGCTCATCAACCCCCAAATTGAACCATGTTTATCTATGAAGCAATTCTCACTCTAGCTTCTAGCTTTAATCAAATCGGCCGCCTTCTCGGCAACTGCATACACAGCAGCCTGGATGTTTCCACTTGGCTCAAGAGGGAAGATACTGGCATCCACAACTCGCAGATTTCTCGTGCCATACACCTTCAGCTCGGAGTCGACCACGCCTCCACTCTCCTGTGGCAACATGGCACACGATCCAGCGGGGTGGAAGCATGTAAACAGGCGTTCCTTGACAATCTCCTTTGCGTGGTCCAGATCGTTCAAGTCCTTTGCGTGTTCAGGCATCCGCTTTCCTGGCTTGAGGAGAGTAGAGAAGGGTGCGGTCCCCACCACACGGTCCAGGAACTGCAACTGTCTTGCCATAATCTCGAGATCAAGGGGGGGGGAGAGGAAGTTGGGATCATAAATTGGCTTATCTTCGCTCTTCGCAGAGGAGATGTGGACTGAACCGCGAGAGAATGGGTGACTGTTCAAGACCAAGATGGAGATGTAGTTTTCTGGGAGGGTCTTGGCCAAGACATCAGATATAGTTGTCTTGCCTGCGTTCATCTGGATCTGAGCAGGCATGAAGAGGTAGTGTGAGGAGGTATCTTCATTGTGGAGGAGGATCTCGCGGAGGTGGCTATATTGCACTTGTAGGCTCGCTGAAACATCTGTTCCGTCGAGGTGCGTGGAGAGTAGACCGTCAATTTGCTCTCTAGAAACAGCGCCCTTTCCATCCACAAAGGGAAGATAGGCCGTGCTGATTGGCATGCCCGACAGCGGGCCACCATTCGTCTCTTCGTAGAGTTTGATCAGTGCTTGGACGACCTCCGGATTGCGCATGATATCACCCGAGATCTGATTCTCTGCAACTTCAAAGTTGATGGTGGACAGAGCGTGGTCCTGCAGATTCTCACCTACGGCTGGGTTGTCAATAATGACTGGGATATTGTGACTCTTGAGGAGGTCTGCATTTCCTATTCCAGACAGTTCAAGCAGCTGAGGAGTGTTCAAGCTGCCTCCGCAAAGGATCACTTCTCTCTTGGCGGTGATCTGGTACTGGCCGTCCTTAGACTTGACCTGCACACCTCTTGCAATCATATCACCATCTTCTTGGGCAAGAAGAACATTTTCAACAGTTGTCTCTGTGAGCAGTCGCAGGTTTGGCCGTGCCGCAACTTCAGGAGAATAGTAAGCTGCAGCATATCCTCTTTTGCCCATCTTAGGATCAACTGTTAGAGGGCTGGTAAAGGCGCCCAGCTTTTGGCCCTGGATTGGGTCGGCATCTGTTTGCCAGCCCAATTGTTCAAATGTCCTATCCCATGATTTGTTAAACTCGCCATACACATCCGGTAGAGATACCGGGACAGGCCCATCAGAACCTTGATTTTCGGTCTTCATGTAGCGATTGGTACCAAGCAGCTCTGCTGTGGCGTCGCTGGGTGGGGTGTACGTGTGGAACTTGCGAAGATAGGGTGCCATATCCTCCGCACCCCAGCCTGCATTGCCCAGTGCCTTCCAGCTCTCGAAATTTGACGCAGTGGGATAAACGGACAAAGAAAAATTCATGGCAGAGGAACCACCAACGACACGGCCTCGTGGCTGACCAATTTGCCGGTTGTTTACATGGACCTATGTATCATTGAGCTTTGTACACGATAAAGAAACAAATGGAGCGTACCTGAGGAACACTCATATAATCCCAGTCAAAGTCTGGATTGCCATACATTGTACTCAAGAAGCCAGGAGTATCGATACGGGGATCTCCCATACGATTCGCACCAGCTTCAATGAGGAGGACATTGACAGAAGCATCTTCGCTCAGTCGGTTGGCTAGAACAAGACCGCCAATGCCTGCACCGACAATAATATAATCATATTCATCCATGTTGAACTTTTGAAGAACGATTGAAGGGTTTCAAAAAATTAATGCCAGGAAAACAACAGGGGGCAAACTTGAAGAATCCGGAATCACTCCGGCTGACGGGACAAAAAGCCCTAACCGCCTCCGAATCGCGCTTGGCAGGCCCATTTTGTTGCTTAGCCTTCTACTTAGTCTCCTGGCTAGAGCCCGACTAGAGCTGACATGGCGGGGACTGTCATTTTAACAAGGTCATTTTCTCACATTTGGCCCCAGCTAGTGTTTTAGCTTATTCCCGTGCCAATCAGAACGGGATCTCTGAATCATTCGACTCCATCGCGATCAAAAGTACGGTCTGAAGACACAGCGGCCCCTGCAGATCGATGTAAAAATGTCTGTAGCTGCTGGAATCTTTGAACTTATATCAAATGATCCTGGTCGGGTTCTTTCGCTTACTATATTCTGTCGAAGCAGATGTCATAACCTTAAACTATGCATCTATACAATGTTTTCACATTCCCCATCGTCCGCGACGGTCTTATCGCCAATACGATTCTGGTTACCGTTGCTACAATATTAGTGGCATTACGATTTGTGTCGCGCCACATTCGCAAAAGCAAAATATGGTGGGATGATGTGTTCTGCGTCGCTGCTCTGCTTCATACATATGGAATGCTTGCAATGCATTATCGCTATGCTCGCCTTGGCATGCGCCACCATATTAAGCAGATTCCACCGGAGAATACAGTGGTGATGCTGAAGATGCTCATCATATACCAACTTGTGTATTACAACGCCATGGTCCTGGCCAAATTCTCCTACCTTTTCCTCTATCTGCGCATCTTTGTCACCCCGGAGTTTCGAATATTGACGTGGGTCTGCATGGGCGCCGCTGTTGCATACTGGACTGGAAGTTTGCTCCAGATCTTCCTCCTATGTACACCCTTTCAGAGAAACTGGAATCCAACGCTACCCGGTCATTGTGGAAACCAGAATGTTGCTTTCACAACAATTGGCGTATTCAATCTTCTCACAGACTTAATGATCATGGTACTGCCCGTCCGGTTCATCTGGAAATTACAGATGTCTATCGCGACTAAGATGGCACTGTGCAGCATCTTCGGGCTGGGAATATTGTGAGTTAGCTCTATCCTCTCGAGCTGTTTTCGCAAATACTAATCATGCAGCATTTCCTCCATCACAATCATCCGTATCAAAGTCCTCACAGCAGTCGATTTCCTCGACCTCCCATACTCTATGATTTGGGCTGCCTTCTGGAGCGTTACCGAGCCGGCGCTTGCCATTGCAAATGCATGCGCACCTATGCTTCGGCCGATCCTCAAGGCTATCTTTCCATCTTTGTTCAATACTGCCAATGCTGAATACACCACTCAGCCAGTGAGTGGTCCTATTCTAAGCAAGAGTAATACGACGAAACGGATGGACGAGATGGACAGTGAATTTCCACTCACGCGATTAGAAGAATCGAGATCCAGGGACGATGACTCGTTGAACTATCATTCACAGGATGATCGTTCGCATGTTCATCATACTCCCAGGAGTGTTGTTGGTCCCAAGGGACAAGGGTTGTATACTACTTAGCTCGTTAATATCTGATATGGAAATCTTAATCCCCGATATAGCACAGTAGTCTCTGTAGAGCCTCTGAGTAGAATGACAGGCCCAAATTCCATATTTCAACCATCTCAGAGCCCAACAAGCCAAGCAAGTGATAAGTTGGCCTGACAACCAAGGCACCAACCTCCATCTCACGTGAAAGATTGCCAATCAATTTAGTTGACTCAACTTCCTATTGAAAGGGCCCCTACTCTGCTGACAATGGAAAGAATCAAATATCCAAAGATTCCAGCACTTCTCATTCTATATACAATCCATTGCCTACTTCCAGCAATCTTACTTTTAACCACGCCAAAGCGATCAAATATTCGCTACTTCTCAATTCCGGGCTCAATATGGATCGCCTACAATGCCATACATCTAGCAGCAGAGCTAGGCCCTGGTTTTATATGGTGTGAATTTGCACGTCTGACATTGACAATCGTCCTCCAATCTTTCAATTGGTTACTCTTCAACCCGAAAGACGTCTCTGATCTACCTGTCGAAGCCGGCTACGGAATTTCGCGTCTTTATTATGTTGTTCGACTGTTTTATCAGCCAAGAGGAATCAATACCCCCTGGCAAATTAGAAATGCCCCGAAGCAACCGGCTTATTATCAGCGCAGGGGTCTGACGGAACCGTCGCGAGGTCGCTTCTTGTTTCGTCAGACTGTTATTGCTGGATGGCAATATCTTGCGCTGGATCTTTTTGCTACGCTTTCCCTGAAACAGGCGTTGGAGCAGGAGAAGTATGGGGCTTTGCCTTTGGTTGTTCGGTGGGATTTGTCTGTTGAGCAATGGATTGAACGGGTCATTTCGAATTTCGTGGCTGGGTTTGTCGTCAGTCGTATTCTTATTGACTTTCACCATCGGGCTTTCTCTATCATCGTCGTTGGAGTTGGTCTTGACTCGCCGTCCAATTGTCCTCCGTTGTTTGGGAAATTTGGTGACGCTGATACATTGCGAGGGTTTTGGGCGTAAGTTTTACTCGGGCATTGGAGGCGAAGGAGAATGCTAACAAGATGTAGGAAATTCTGGCATCAATTGCTCCAACAACCGCTTACCTCTATGGCTACTTTCATCACACACGACCTACTAGGTCTACCATCCAGGTCTCTGCTTCAACGCTATACGAATGTATTCGTTGTGTTCTTCGTTTCAGGGGGACTCCATGTCGTTCTTGATTTCGTGCAAGGAATACCAATGCAGGAGTCTGGAGCCTTGATATTCTTCGCCATAGCTCCACTAGGTCTCTTGATTGAAGATGGGATCAAGGCACTTTGGAAATCATTGCATCCATCAAGCAAGGGTGTGGCCCCGACAGGGTGGCAGAATATTCTAGGTCTTCTCTGGGCGGCTACTTGGTGCAGTATTACATCCACTTGGTATTTCTATCCGCAAATGTTGAGGCCAGAAAATCAGACACTCGTTCCCTTCACTTTGGCACCTCACGTGTCACTTCCCATGTTAGCAGGGATTGTGTTGGTTGGCGGTGCTGTGACAGCATTTGTGTTCGAGGCCGAGACCTAAACCTAGGAACTCGATCATGTTACAGCATCTAGCGTCTTGAAATTGGTGTGCATCACTGTATGGGCCGAATCCGGGCTTGTTTTCTACATCCTTGTCGTATGAGTGGCAGCAAATGAAAGCCTTTAAATAGTGATTAATGAAACATACATCAGGTCGCCTATAGACGTTTTTATTCTACCCAAGAACCAGAAGATGGGCATTAGCAACAAAAGATATCAGTCGCAGCGAAAATCGGGTAGTTATGTATGTACAAAACGCAACATGCAAGAAGGGCGAGGTGAACCTAAAGCTGACCAAGGTATTTGAGGGAAGGGGGAACAGGGAAATTGAACAAGTCAAGGCGCAATGAATGCTACGTAAGAAGAAAATAAGGACAGACACGGAACCAAGTTTCCAAGGAGTATACCCGGGACAATGCAAGCAACAAGCGACAGAAATATGCATAACATACACGCTTGAATCAAGCATCGTAGCCTGTTCCATCATAGCGTCTGGCAGCGCTGTTGCTGCTTGTTGTGCGATGGAAGTCTTGGTGGCCGTCATCTCCCAGGGCTGTCTGGTACATTAAGGCTTCTTGGGGCCAGTCGTCCATAACTCCGCTGTCCTGTGTACCGGGTCGTGTTGGGTCAGCATGCGCTGTGCCAATTGTTGGCGCGTTGCTATAATCCCATCCCTGTTGGCTAGGAAGCGAGTCTCGTCCACTTGAGGGTCGCTCATTGCCGGGTGGAATAAATCCTTGTGATTGTGGCGGCAAAGACGTGTTGCCCATTTCAAAACTGAAGCGGAAGTCGCGCTCTGCGCCGGCATTGCCATCAATCTGGTCCAGCGTGTCGTAGTGTGAGTCGTCAAACTCGGTCACTAACGTAGCAGATTGAGGTTCTTTGATATGAGGCACGGCCGGATTAGGCGGCGGGACAGGGTTTGCCGCCATGTTATCGGTGGGAGTGTCAAGCTCATGTGGCATCGATGGGGGCACATCGGTATTAAACGTAGCTTGCGGGTGGATGGTTTCCTCCAGTGTCACGCCAGCGGGAGAGCGGGGAAGAGGTTCCATCTCAGGGTTCATGGTCGAGTGGCGAATGCTGTTGCCCATGGTGCTTCCAGGCTTGGAGATTCTGCTCATACGGTGCTGAGGCATTTCTCCAAATTGATTGTCGGAGCCCTCCATGTCGCGAATGCTAAATTGAGCAATCGTTCGCAGCTTCCGGGTTACCCAAGAGGCCAAAACCTTTCCACGCTGCTTCTCTCCCAGGCGGGAACGGGGGAAGTCGCCGTGAGATACGAATGCCACAATATCTGCCACGACCTGGTGCTCATTAAGAATTGCATCAACGATCACAGGGACCAGGGAGGCCAAGTATGCCTTGCGAGTGACTTCAACCACGACAACTATCAAACCACCAGCTTGGAAAATTGCGCTATAATAGATTACGTTAGTATCAAGTTGGCGACAGGAAATTCTTCAACACTCACCATCCTCCATTGACAATGTTGCGATGACACCTCTCTACAGAGGTTTCAATGTCCATCGGGAAGTGATTCAGTCCGTTGACCTCGAAGGTTTCACCAATGCTCCCAAGAAGGAACAACACCTGCATCTCAACCGGTTGACCACCAGGGCCAATTGGCCGAGTAACAGTGTGAAGGAAACCAAGATCACCGGTTCGGACGTAAGGTACACTGGGGTCACCATCCGCAACACGGCCATTCAAGCGCTCGGAGTCAAACTCTTGCTTCGATTTGTAGAATCCTTGAGCACATGCATCGGATTGAACCCAAATCTCACCATACTCACCGACATGGGCCAGTGTGCAGGTTTCCGGGTTCACAATCGCAATTTGTGTGTTGACTGGCACCATACCCGAGTCTTGCAACAAGAGCGCGGTGGGATCTGCGTCTGGATCAACAGGGTAAATGAGACCTTGACGAAGGCTGCGCAGGTCCAACCAGAGCTCAATCGGCTCAATGCACATATACGATCTTGTGGTAACCATTGGGTTGAGAACGTGGGAGTAAACAACATTGATCGCAGTGCGGTCCAAGCTGGCATTGGCAAAGTGCAGGCGTACCTTACCATCTGTGTGAAACTGTCAGTTTATAATTCCAGACTTCCATATTGCTCGTACATACAGATATCAACTCTGGGTCTCCCTTCTGCAGAGATCATCAAATTCTTCAATTCCTGAAGCTGGAAGCCCTTTCCAGCCATGGCACTCATGGCATAGTCCAGCATTTGGCTAGTGGCGTAAGTGTCCTTGATCTTATATCGAGCAAGAGTAACGAAGAGTGTCATTGGATTTTGTGCAAAGTCGACGGGTGAGACAAGATACGTGGGAGCACCTGACTCATTAGTACGGAACCCTCTTTCGAGTGAAAACAAACTTACCGACAAAGATACCCATCAAGCAGGTGTGAAGGAATCCAAGACCCAGTGTACTACGCACACTTCCAAGTACCGGTCTCGAGCTAGTCATCTGGCAAGTCTCCTTCTGAACCTTGCACATGCCCATGATAGTCTCGTGGGAGATGCTGACAGATATTCTTCGCTGGTCTGGTGTCCAATAGGTCCAAACAAGAGCTGGCTGATTCCCTTGGAGCCAAGTATCTTTCACTGTGTAACCAAGTTCACGACATCCGTGAGATTGCTTGGAAGGTTTTGTGGTGTTGTAAATTGCAGGAACGCCAATATGAAGAACTTGAGCGGATTGCTTGATATGCTGAGAGACAAGCTTTTGTCTCATGACATGGTCAACTTCCGTATTGACGATGATCGCTTTAACGTTGAAATCACTGATTATGTGCAAAAATGCAGGGGCGTCCTCGGAAAGACGGTTCTGATCAATGGGCGCCATGGGGATGACAACAGCACCCAAGCAGAAGCATGCATGAATAGCATATATGTAGTCTTCCGAGTGTGTGTACATCAAAACGAGGTGATCTCCTGGTCGCACCTTGACCTTGTTCTTCAGGTAGGTGGCCACTGCAGAGACCTTCAAATCAAACTTCTTCCAAGTGATACCCTTTCCTTCCTTTCCGCGGCCATCAATAGAGCAGTAAGCCAGCTCTTCGGCTTGACGAGAGACACGCCAATGTAGAAGGTCGACGATCGTATTGAAGTTGTTCAATGGGGTTGATGTGCGGTCATCCATCACAACGTCACGGTAGTCAACACCCGAATATTGCTTCTCCTGGTATGCAAGCATGTCCTGTCGGGATGACAGGGCAAGAGGAGACCAAATACCTCCCTCGGGGTCAACGCCAATAGGCAAATTCATCACGGACCGCTCAACGCCAAACTTGACGTGCACTGCTTGCAACATGCCGGCGTCAAAGTCTTTGCGACAGAGCATGTTCCCGATCTCTTGTCTGCCATTCTTGGTGACACGGGGGAGAGTATTAGGTGCTGTTAGAAGAACACAGTATACCCGAAGGTGATGCTCCTGGTACAAGACCTC